CCCGGTGTTATCAATAACTCAAACAAGGCGTAGGCGTCGTCTCCTTTTTTCAGTCCCTATTTGTTTTGCGAATTGCTGCTTGTTCGGGGCTGCTGTTACTGTGATGATGCGACTGGGATAATGACGAGAGAAAAAGTGGGTGGGAGAGGCGAGAGTTGTTGACTTTTCGCAGCCACTTGGCGGCTTTTCCCGGCAAGAATGGATGGAGACGACAGCGGCTGATAAGCGTGCTAATTAGAGGTACGGCGAGAAAAAGAAACGTCATGTCATATGAGAGAGCAATGCTCGGAATGCGGAAAACAGTTGAAAGGTCACAACTGATCAAGTTCACTAGGACTTGACAGCAAGAAAAGTTGACATAGTCATAAAGCCAGATGATGATTTCCTTCATATTGAACTCATGCATTCCGTTCAGAGTCCGTTTTCAATCCGTTTTTCTTTTTAATCGTGTAGATCACATCACCATTTCCCTAAATATTGTAGAGCATCTTCATGTTCAGGCCGTGATACTTTGGAGTGCGTAGTTCAGAAAGCATTAACCTTAGTGTAGTGGTCGTCTTCTCTTAGATACCACCAAGTACATCACTGACCCTTTTATGACGTTTGAGCCGTTTTCTCGAGTTTTCTCTGTCTCCCTATCACTGTTCTTTCTTCTTACCGAAGAATTCGCTGACTGTGCTCTTTCACCTTCTTCTTTCTCAGTCAGCATGTGCCAATCAATCAGAAGAACACATGTGACCGGGCCTATGATAACCTGACCACTTGATAATTCCCTCATTCGTCCATCATCGAGTACGTGCAAATTCAGGCCACTTCTCGGTTCCAGAAGTGTTTCCAAACACGCCAAAGCGTGTCATTGTTTCAAAGCGTCATCGTCTGACACAGGGCAATTTGGTGGGAAATCCTCTCGTTTCAAACTGGTCTAATGACCGCTTCTCTGTGCCTCGTTCCCTCTCGTCTCGCTTATTTTCGACTTTTCAGTCAGTCAGCCCGACTCAAACTGTCTTCTCTGTCTGTCACTTGTCCCTCATTTTCCCTCATCGGAAAAAGAAACCACCACCGAAATTTTTGTATTATTCGGGAAGAAAGGTTGTATGTGTATTGTGTTGACAAACTGTGTGGCGACCCTCTCCCCTCACACGCACTGGTTCTCCTCCTCTCATTTCTCTTTCGAGTAGTTTGGTAAATTTGATCAAACCCCTACTCCCCTCTGCGTTTTCCCCTCTCTTACCACAGGAGCGAAACGTATTCGATCCATTTCCGATCGAGTTGACCACGTTTACGTCTGTCATTTCTCCATTTATCATTTTTCAATCATCTTCCAGCCTATCCTTTTTCACTTTCATGTTTGCCCCAGTAGACCAGGTTCACGAAACCGTGATCAAACACATGCCCGGCCTGGGAAAAACGAACAAAAAATGGTAGGTGTTTCCCGAAAGGGCGGAGCTTGTTGATAGAAATTCTGGTACAAGAACAGTTCGAACAGCACGTGTTTCACCGTTGTTGTCTCTAGCTTGGTGCGGATTACGGTATCATGTTTGGACCGGTTGTGCTCTATCCAGTCGTGTTCTTTGGCTCAGTTCTCATTCAATGAAAGTGGATACAATCCTAGCCTGCAAGTTCGGTCATGTCACGTAACCGATTGTTTGACTTCCTGAGAGTATCATGTACCTCCAAACTTGAACCTATGATCCTTTCTGGATCGTAGTCTCTCTCCCGATCCTTGTTTCGTTACCGTCTCTTCAGAGCTTTCTTTCAAGTGGTTCGCCGGGTGAAACAACGATATCCATCGCCGTTTCTTTCGGTTATCAGCCCGTCATTTTCTCTTTTTCACGCCAGTGTTTGTCTTCCGAGAAAACAGCTGGAGAGCTGCCAAGTGATGGTCTCTTGAGCACAAAGTGCACGTTGATAAGAGAATCCGAGTCCTCCGCGTGATGATTCTTTGATGGTATCCGACTGTGAGTACACATGGCTTCCTGCACTTAATCATTCCTCCGCCCGTATCACATGGTGGCAGCGATGGTTTATCAGCTACCTGAATGCCTAGAATTCTCTCCGTCCTTTTTAGTTTTCTTTTCCGATTAGTCACCATCTTATTGCGTATTTCTCTTTTCGTTTTCTCGTCGCCCACGCCCATTCTCAATTCGGAATTCCATGACCCACAACGGGGGAATGACCCTTTCGACGGACGAGAAAGTGGGCGGAGTCGGCACACAAAGCCGCCCTTTCCTCCCTGATTTTTCATGTTTCTTTCGGACAAACACAGCCACCTTTTGCAAACTTTACACACATACACATACCCACACATTTTTTTACCCCACCGTCGGCTTTCCGTTTTGTTTCGCGCACTCTGCTGCACCGACAGACAACGTGTGTTCTTCGTCTTGTTTTGTAAGTTTCGCCGAGGTTGCCGGAGGAGCAATTGAAGAGTACACACTGCAATGAGCAGAACACAACTGCGACGGGGAAACCACGTGTAAAACGTTTGAAAGGCGGCGAGCAGACTTCACTCCTACAGTAACCAAAGATCCAAAAGTTCTTCTGTCAACTAGCTTTGTGCGTTTTTACCAGAACTCTGTTAGCGTTTGCGTCGAAACTTCCCCGGCTCAAGTAACTATGTTTTCTGAAACATGTGTTCAGAATGCTACAGTACAAATTTGGAAAGCTCTGAAAAAATGACAGTTTCCAACTGGGAAACGATACGTTTGATTTTTTACAGTAACGTTGAGACACAAAGTGTACCGCGTGAACTGTGAGCTGCTCCCGAGTCGGCCAATCTCTGATCAGTAGCTCGTCGCTGCGCGGTGATGTGTTATCAGCCAAATTGTGTGTTCAGACTCTTCAAAAAACGGCTGATGCCACCACCATCTGCTTCCTCTCTCTCCCTATCTCTCTCTCTCTCTCTTTCGTACTGTTTGTGTACTTCTCGTTCACCCATACAAGAAACTTGTGTATTTCTATTTTAAATTCGAAGCATGCCAGAGGACCTCCACGAGACGCAAATATTTGAAGCGGCCCGATGGCGCCTCCCTAATAACTCTCGACGATAATATTAAGCACCTACCAGTTGGTGAGTGAGCACCGAAAAGGGGCGGAGTCACGGTGGCTCATTCACACAAACTGGTCTCAGAAGGATTGGAGAGATAGGATGTTTAACACTGCATGGAGGTAGATGCAACATGTGATCCAGGTGATTCCCCGGATGTTTCTCACTCCGGAGCACAGTAGACTCCTCTGGTTTCCGTTGCGTCACTCCACTTCCCTTCGTGTATTCCGATACCTCCGTTAGGTCATTTCCTTTTCTTTCCTTTTTTGTATGTAAATTTTGTTGGGCCCATTTATTTAGCGGCACAATGACTGGACGGCGGTTCAAAAGAAGACACCGCCGCTCCGTTCTGTTAGCAATAATAATTACTTGTGAGAAAAAAGAACAAAGTGGCTTTCGAATTAAATTGCTCACATATAACTAAAATGAAATAGTCCGTTTTGATTGTAATACAAACAGTGAGAGAGAACAGTGCTAACTGACCACTTTCGTTATTTTCCAGTTTACACTTGCTCTAACTCATTCGGCTGACTTAGAACTTGAGAATTCGGAAAATGTCTGGTATATTCGAAAACGGATTTTCCCAGAGCTACAGTATGAAACAAGAGGAAGGGCAATCAATGTTCGAAAAAGCGTGGGCAATCTGATAAACTAAATAGGATTTTAAAGGATATATAACGATTCTCTCCCAAATTCATTCTGCTTTTCAGCATCAATCTTCTTATTGAGTGCACAAATTCTAGGGTATTTTGCTTTGGTGGGGCTCAAGTTCTCAAACATTGTACTCTGGTAACTGTTCGTTCAAGTGCTCATATTTTCTCTCTGCTTTGCTTTTTCCTCAAAATGTGTGAAGTCGGAATGAACAGCCTCTCTCTGCGAGGGGGCAGCTTTCGCGAAAACGACCATCGCGGCGCCTCCCAAACGGGGGAGGGAGCCGGAGATGATGCTCAGAAGGGGCTACTGTCTGTGGGGTGGCGCCAAACCGCAGACAACATACACACAGTTGATCCCCTCCACAGTGCTCTCACTTTGCACCTCTCTTCCTCTCTGTTTCTCCTAGTTTCTCCGAAATAATCAACATTAGAAAGGGGCGTGTCGGGTACCCGACTGGCGCCATGTAAGCTCGTCTGCGTCTCGCGGCGGTCCTGCTCTTCACACTAATTAGGGGTTGCGCGGGTCCCCGGGCGAGTGGCGCCTTCCCTCTCGGCTCACAGTCCGCCCCGTGGTTCTCGCGAGCAGAGGTGTGCTGAAATCGAATACCTTCCACTCTCGCTTTTTTGCTGGCCGAGGCAACAATAGAAGGTCTCTGGAGCTGGCAAAGAACCTTTGAACTCCCTCTTTATTGTTTGGCTTCTTCCTCTTCAATCGAAAGTTGGTGAAAGTGAATAAAAAGAGGCAACTATAAAGCGCTTAGCCAGTACCAGATGTGGCAGGTCATAAAAGTTGGTCACATGAAACCACCGGGGGCTCAATTGTCTCTTTCCTCCCTGATTCCTTCAGTGTTCCTTTCTCTGCGCTTCCTCGTCCCTCCCACATCGCAGGTATTTTTCAGTCCCTCCCACGAACCAACATAATGGTGTTTATCAGCTGGTGAGCAGGTCCAGGAAGCTTCTTGTCGTGTTTTTTGAATCTTTGTGCATTATTCCCTCCCTCGCTTTTGCTCCCTTTCTATAATTAGCCAGTAGGAACCAGTTGGAACCAGTTGGGCGCGGAGACTGATAGGTTGATAACTCGCTTTGAAAAGTTATTTGTAGACACATGTCGGTCCATTTTCTCAAGTACTCTTTATCCTGCTGCTCCTACTACTCAGCCTTTCCTACCTTCCTGCGAGGTATTCCCGATCTGTGCCCCTTTTTCTGCGATCCTTCTCACCTCTTACTTCCGTTCCGACCACACCCGCTTTTCAAACATTCCTTCAATCCATCCATTCAAACCTGTTTAATCGTGTTTCAGAATGCGGAGTCCGCAAGGGACGATGTCCACCACCACTGCCCTTTTCATGCTCGTCACGGTGCTGCCGGCTGCTGTAGAAGCGGTTCAGTCGACGTTCAACTACGTGCCGATCGGACAGAATCCCACGCTCTACACTCCCGGTTTCGAGCCCATCATGCACCTCGATCAAGTGAGTATTCTAAATTATCTATTCATATCTCTCCCGTTTCATTTCAGATGACATTCAACGACACCGTCTTCTCGGACCGTGCTTTTCTCGTGGAGTTCTACGCTGACTGGCAAGTCGTTTCTCTCTATGTTCCTTTCTGATTATTCCTCTTCAGGTGCGGACACTGTCGTGCTTTCGCCCCGTACTTCCGTCAGTTCGCCAACATGGTCCGTGACTGGTATCCGGTGGTCACGGTGGCCGTCATCAACTGTGCCGATTCGTTCAATCAGCAGGTGTGCCGCGAGAACGGCGTCACCTATTTCCCCATGATGAAGGTAAGAGGGGCGACAGTCTGTTTCGCTGGATGTGTTCGAGTGTCTTTTGCTGATTAGAAGGGTAGAGGGTCATGTCATTTTTGCGTACATATTTACACTGGCCGACACACACACAAACGGTTAGGGAATTGAGGAGATCTCTCCGCCGCTGGCTGCTGCGGTCTGTGTGCTGGCCTTCTCTGATTGGGAAAAAAGAAAGAGGTGATAGCATTTGGTTTTGGTTTTTGAGTAAATAAATAACGAGGCAGCCGGACAAACGGGAACGAGAAGTTCTCAGAAATGATGATGACTCGCGCGATTTCATGTGTGTGTGCTCAGGTTTTTGATTTCTGGGAGAACGGATAAATTAGAGTGGGGAGAGCACACAATGCGAAGACCAGAGAAGATCAGAGAGAAAAGAAGGTCATTAAGACAGAGAGAGAGAGAGAGAGAGAGAGAGATTAGGATTTCCTGGAACTGTGTAGGATAGGATGATGAAAACATCAGAGAAACCTCTGGGTCATGTGCTTCAGCAGCAGAAAGTGTATTGCACTTTGAGCAGATAAAGAGGAAAATTAATTTCCTTTCGTCAATCCGATCTGATCAGCTGAGCTGGCTCCTACACAGATATTTTGCACTTTCCGTCGTCGTCTGACCCTCAAATGACGTAGCTGTTCTTGAGAACCTAGGTCTCGAATCAGTCTCGATCCTCTCTCCGCCTGCGTTTCCTGCTCTCTTGACCCCGATAATCCATCCGAGCACAGTGTCGTCGGAGAGGCGCCGGATGACTTTCCGACCAAAGAATGAGAAGAACGAGTGCATTGTTGACCTGCAATCGATTATTTGTTTTCTCGCCACCATCATCGCCCGGATTGACGTGAATCGGCCTCCTCTTTGAAGCGACGAAAGGCGTTTTTAATGAAATCCGAGAGGTGCTCTCCCTCTTCTGCACTGCATTTGTTCTCTTTTTGCGAGAGTTGTTCACACTTCGGGGCAAACAGAAACGGGCGGTTTGGCGAATGGAAAAAAACGGAATGGAACGAGCGCGGCCAAAACTGTGTAGTTGTGGAGATCCAAACAAACATGATCCGTTTTGCAGTACTTTGCGAGAACGGCGACGCAGGCATCTCAAGCAAAACTGTTTGAGACGCCGCATTCTGCTGAACAGATTCGGGACACTTTGCTACGAACCGTTAGCAACGAATTCATGTTCAACAGGTACATCCCAGAACAAACTGACTGACGAAAATAGCCGGCGCTTCCAGATATCCCGACTGGCCGAACCTCGGACACATAGCCGTCGACAGCCGCACTACCTACGGGCAACTGTGGGACGGAGTTCCGATGCGTGCCAACTACCTCGCCATTCTTTTCGAGGAGTACGATGGAGTCGGCGCCCAATTCATCATGGACCTGATCGCGCGGAACCACGTGCTCGGAGCCCGCCGTGCTCTTTCCAACTCGCCACTCGTTCAGATGCTCAACATTCGCAATTTCCCGACTGTCGCACTCTTCCGAAGAGACCATCAGCAAGCACTTTACATGCAAAGATACACCAATCAGACGGTCAGCGATCTGGACGAGGCAATCACCCATGATTCGGTCAAAGAAGGCAGAAAGGAGCCGATTCTCACGACGACGTTGGCTCCGACAACCACCACCACCCAGACCCCTCTCGTCGACTGCCATTCGTATCCGGAACGGTGCCGTGAAATGTACTACGTCTCGGAAACCGACATGCTCAAGGCTATGCGCATGGCTCTGCTCGACGAAGTCACTCGTATCCCTGGACCGATTCGTGGAGACAACTTCACCAATCTGCACGACTTCATGACTCTTCTATCCAACGTAAGTGTTTTCCCCTCGAGGCACATCATCTAGTTATCAATTTTTGCAGCACTTCCCGGTACTCTCCTTCCAAAATGATATCCGCCGATCGCGTGCCAAGAGAACGACTTCTGTGGTGAGTATTTCTGTTTTTGCATTTCCAAACAAAATGAATTTGATTCAGATTCTGCGTAATTCGGAACGTGCCCGCTTAGTGTTCACCCACATGCGCGAGTTCCTCGAAGGTCGCAAATCGATCGGATCCGTCTCTTCTGACGAGTATCGCCGGCAGTTCGAAAGCGTCGAACGCGTCTATGCCAGTCCGTTCCCCGTCAATTCCACGTGGCAGCACTGTAAGGGCTCTTCTCCAATGTTCCGTGGATACACTTGCGGTCTCTGGACGACGTTCCATGCACTCACTGTCCACACGTACATCGACACAATCAAGGACGATTTCGTGAATCCTATGAAGCCGTTGAGCAGCATTCAGGGATGGGTGAAAAGCTTCTTCGGCTGTGAGCACTGCCGGAATCACTTTATGCACATGACGACGACGCTATTCCCGTTGAACGAACGGCGAGTTCGCCATCCGCACGATATGATGACCTACTTGTGGAGAGCTCACAACATCGTCAACAACAGACTGCACGGCGATCCGACCGAGGACCCGCAGTTCACGAAAATGCAGTTCCCTGCGCCGTTCCTTTGTCCGACTTGTCATTCCGGGGGGCAATTCTCCCGACGGCAGGTGAGTAACGGGGAATTTTCATCGCTTTTCATCCAACATGTGCTCGTTTTCAGATCAGAAACTTCCTGCTCCGCTATTATGGAAGCATCAAGCCGCACAACCGACTGGCAGACCAACGTCTCGCCTTCTGAACGAATGTAGTCTGAAAGACTGAGAATGTAAATAATCCTTCAATATATTTATGAGAGTTCAAGTGTGCCTAGACCCACATCGTTAGCTCGTTCCTTGCTTCTTTTTACCTCGAAATCACTGCTGTTCCATTCATTCGACCAATCCCTTCCGATCAGTTGTTCCTTTCCAAAATCGATCGATTAGCTGTTCCCTTCCTCAAATATGATCCCTGTTTTTGTCTCTCGATTCACTAGATTCCCCATGATTCCTGACACCTTGTATTGCACTCAAGCGGGTCATTTCCCCTGTTTTTATCCAGATTTTCCTTCTTCCAATCACAAACACACACAATATTCACTTCGTCCTCTGACCAACCCATATTTTGCCTTCTCGTTTTCCCTCCTAGAACACACGTTCCTCACATCAGGAAACCCGCTCTGTCTGTTTGAATATTTGGGTACTCATCTTCTTCCTCTTTTCCTGCATATTTTTTGCGTTCTCTTCTGAATCATTTTCGTCACAACTCCATCCACTCGTTTTCCCTTTTTCCCCTCCCAACCATTTATTTTGTTGCCTTCGCCTTTCCTTTGCCACGTGGTGGTAAGTGTGCTGTACAAACATGATCAATAAAAAACTGAAAGTTTTCCGTTCCATTCCGTCACTTTTTCGCAATCGCAAACTACAAACAGGGGAGGTCATTGGACTCGAGCTCTCTCAACCACTTGAAGTTTTCCAAAGAAATGGTCTCTCGTTTCCGCGAATTTCGCCAAACTTTTTTTCCGTTTGTTTGCCCACACTTTTGAAACATGATGTGGTGGTCAAACGGTGGCAAAGAGTGCGCGCATCCCCGCAAAGAAAAAACCGACTCGAATTACCACGATAATTTATGGAAAACCGGTTAAATGTTGTAATTACACACGGGGACTAAACGCAAATCTGCACGACAAAGAACGCGAAAACGGGACAATTATTCAGAGCTTCGGCTGTGGAACGAGGCCGGTATCGGGGGCCGACGTCATGATCAGCTTCTGCACTTCCTTGAACTTCGGATGATCCGAACCTCCGACCAATCCGAGGATGGCCGCTTCGGACGTGGTCAGAATGGCTCCCGCCTGCTCCATTTGCTTGAACGCAAAGTGACGATCAGTGTGACTGCGGCTGCTGACGGCATCGACGACGACGTGCACATTGTGGCCACGCTCCAGAAGATCGTACGTTGTCTGGAGTACACAGACGTGAGCTTCGATTCCAACGAGAATCACGTTCTCAACGTTTTTCAGAAGACCTTCCGCTGGAGGAACGCACATCGAGAACTGCAAATCGCACAAGTACAGGACAACTCGGATGATATGGCTGGCCGCACCTTCATTTTATCGAAGATAGGAGTGTTCTCCGCGAGTCCTTCCTTCAAGAGGGGCACTGTGTGGCCCAGTCCTTTCGGGTACTGCTCCGTGACCACCGTCGGAATGTTCAAAATCCGGGCAGCATCGATGAGCCGACGAGTCGTGGTCACAATTTCCGGAAAGTACTGAATGTTCTTTCTGAAACAAGGCCTTCGATTTATTTGTCTTTTCTCCATTATAGACACTTACGCAAACTTTTCTTGTATGTCGCAGACGAAGAGAGCAGAGTTCGAGGGATTGATACGTGCAATCAACTTGCGAGCCGCCATTTTCTGAAGAACACCGATCAATAGAGACTGATAAGAGGTTGAACATTTATCAAACGGAGTGAGGTTGCATACACCGAAGGTCACGAGGAAACCCATTAAAGAGCGATTTACAAATAGATTTTGATGACGGATGTGTTATCTGATCTGACGTTTTAGCAATTGTCCTGCGCAAGACAATCCAAAAAAGTAGGCTGGTTGAACAGGCGATTTCAGCCGCCTGCGCCTGTTTTTTCAGGCGCCCGTTTTCTCAACGCAGGGACGTGGCGCGTTGAAAAAACTGGCGCCTGTTCGACCAGCCTACAAAAAAAGAAAGAAAAAGCATGTAAAAGCATTTACGATAAACTCCGAGCGCCAATCGTAATTTCGGAGCATCGTTGTCACATTTTCGGCGGTAGTTTGAAAAAAAGTTGTATTGTGCATAAACGCGTCTAGATGTGAGTGGTACACGTGCGCGCGCACGTCTACATGCACAGTAGCTATTATTGACAAACGAGACATCTTCTCGGGCGGCAGTCTGCATTACCAGCTCATTACCATCCAAGAGCAATGCAGATTTTCTCGCATGTTTCTCTCAAAATGAGCTTCAATGAGACACTTTTGTGTGCTCTGATCATGGCTTTGGTCGTAGCACTGATGCATATGCTTTATCGTTTCGAGATTGCGAGAGCACAGGTACAGTAATTCTTTCCCTCAGAGTAATTATTGAATTTTTCAGTATCGGGCCTTCAAAGAAATAGTGAAAGAAGCGATGGACACACTGAAAATGGCGCACGAGGTGAATTTGACGGCCGAGAGGAACAAGGCGACCGCGCATTGCCTCAAAATGAGGATGCAGCACAGAGACTTCAGTTCGAAAGTTGGCGGTCTTCAACGGAAATTAAGGGAGAGCAACTGGCACATGAAGACTTTGAAGGATAAAGTTTACTCGATGGAGGGCGCTGAAGAGGACGCGACCGAATTGGAGAACGCATTGATCGACGCGAGAGAACTGATGAGAAAGGTGAGTAGATCGGGGACCGATGCGATCGATGAGATCAATAATTGCAGAAGGATCAGACCATCGAGACACTCAAGAAACAACTGAACGACTCTCAATCAATGCGGGCGGATATGCAATCAAAGTATCTGATTAAGATCCGTTACCTGGAGAAGCAGCTCGAATTGAGCGAGCTGGAGGACAAAGAGAACAACGTGTATTGACTTGCACCCTCTATCCCTCGTCTAATTTTAAATTTGTGCTAATTTGTCTAATAAGTAATCATCAATCTTTTGCGCCTTCTTAGAAGACATAATCCAAAACACCTTTACTCTTGGCAATAAAATAATTGAATTGAACCGTGAAACACCAGTATAACAGGAAACAATTAGAAGTCAACCACTGATCTATGGGTCGTTGGCGTACGGGGCCAAGTCTCCGACAAAGTTCTCCTGGACCTCCTCGTCCAGTCCGCATGGCCGATTGAACTCTTGTCCTTTCTCGTGGATCCATTTGTTGGACACCCATTTAACGCCGAGCAGAACGGGGCAGGCGGCGTGGCGGGTGCGCAGATCACCGTCTCCATTTCTCTGAAAAGGGAGCGGATTGGGTGGAGGAAAGCGAAAAAGGGACGAACTCGGAGATTGTACCAGAAGAGAGCATCGTTCTTCGATGGGAAGACGGCGGTTCCGAGGTGATTGAAGACTGTGGCTCCTCCTCGTTCCGGCTGGCTCATCTGAAAACGACCGGATGGGGTGGGAGCGAGGGGAGGACTGTGCAAAGTGTAACTTCAAACTGTGATATCTTTAGAATCCGATAAACTATTATCTGTTTCTCTCTCTCTCTCAATCACTCTGTGCACGCGCATTCCTAGAAATTGGTTCGACAAAGACGGCATCACGCACTTTTGGGATGGCTTCTGGCACTCATCACACCCAAACTCATGCAATATTATCACACATGCAATAGCCCAAAAGTGCGTGATGGCATCGAAAACACGGAAAAACTTCTCACATAGAACAAAACCGTCGCGATTCGGTTGCCGGTATTGAGTGTCTTGAACGCATTCTTCTCCTCTTTCTATAAATTGTCACAATTGAAAAGTGTCCCGAAACTCACGTAGAACAACACTGTGGCTATTCGATTTCCGTTCTTCCCGTACGGTTCGGGCACGCCTCTCTGAAATTCGGGCTGAAAATGCCACGTGCGCCGGAGGGATTACCCACCAGAGACATGTCATAATGAGGCTCGTAGTGCCCGCCGAGACCGTAATTTGCAATCTGAAAAGAGAAAAGCGAGGAAAGTTTGGATTACCCGGGCAAAGTCGAAGTGAGGATCGTAGTGACCTCCGAGACCGTAGTTTGCTACCTGCAATCACAAAATGATATCTCTGTACGGAAGGCTCGGAATACCTGAAGTTCTTCGGAAGTGGCCTGGTTGAGTCCGGTGAAGTCCTCGATTCTCCGGTTGACTCTCGCAATCACAGGGGACAGATCTCCCTTCAGCCAAGCACTGAAAACATTCCGGTTCCCGAGGGTTAATGGTCCAATGCAACCACTCCATTCACACCCAGAAGCCGTTCAACAAAGGGAAAAGAAGCAAACCTCTTGGAGATGCGGTACGTGGCATGTTCCAGTTCGCCAGTCTTCGAGTTTTGAACAGTCGCTCGTTTCAGCTAAAACAACACACGTGTCAGATAACAGAGGAGAGGGAATCACTCGGGAAAAAGAGGAGGGAAAACTTATTCTAGAACAGAGGCACACTTCAAACGAACAACCGGATCGGAATGTCACCTCTTGGAAATACGGTAGTCTACGGTCACTAGACTACCGTCCGCGGCTTTCACGGTGGCACGTTCTAGCTAAAAAGACTATCGGACTTTTTCTATGGATTCTTGGAATTTAGTCTGTTGTCTGGTACGTACCATTGGTGATGCCAACTCCTTGATAACCTCGATCTCCGAATCCGAAATGACATTTTTGAAAAGAACGGCGAGAGGGTCGAAACGAAGGATCTCGACCTTGATCGGAGCCAGTTTCAGGAATGGTTTGTCCCTCTGAAAATGAAGTTTTATAAAAGTTCTCTCTATTTTCTCTCGAATACCTTAAGATAGCACTTCAGCTTGTTCCTCCATTTCTCCTCGACTGGGGGAATCTCTCCACGACAGAGTGCTTCGTAAGCATCCCTCTCAACGATTCCGTCAAACTCGACTCTCTTGTTCACGATCGGCGGCAGGTCTCCTTCCATGTCCTTTCCTTGCAACATGTCCTCGTACCACTTGACGTTTCCCTTCGCTCTCGGATGGTTCGGAGCAATCTTGGCAAGTCTCTTGGTCAGAGAGAGCGCGCGACGGACGTTTCCTTGCTGGTAAAGGGAATAGGCAAGATACTCGAGGATCTCGGCCTCTTCCACAGTTGGCGGGTTCTCGTTCTCGATCTGAAAATGATTGTTCTATGTCTGTTGTGGGTGGCTAAGAATCGTTACCTTATTGAGAGCGACTTGCATCCACATGAGAGTGTGATAATAGTCCTTCTGGTTGTAGGCAGCCCTTCCGACCTCAAAAGTGTCGTGCCCGGATAGTTTGTGCGAGACCTTTTCCCCTCCGATCACTCCGTTCGCGAGGTCGTGCGTGTCCAGTTTGTACGTGTCCTGCAGTCTCAGAAGGGCCGTCGCTGCTCCGCTCAGATCCTCATCTCCCGGGAACTTGACCTGACTGCGAACGCGATTGTCCGTGATGTTCTGGAGGAAAGTGGCCGCTTTGTTGTTCAGCATCATGTTCTCCACGTTCTTCCATTCGCTCGTCAATCTCTTGATCAGCAGGTACGCATTGATGGGGTTTGTGACGAATTCTGGGCCAACGGCTTCAGCGTGAGCATTTCGGTGAACGTATTCGTGAGCGTATCTGAATCCGTATTTCATGTCAGTTCACCCTTCTGAACTGACCTTCTCAGATCGTCCAGTCTGGATCTTTCGGCTGCAATGTACTGATCAATGAAGGTCGTTACGTCCTTCTCAGATCCGAGCATGTGCTAAAAGGGAAGGGTACTTTTAAAATGATTTAGGGTGCTTCTCACCTGCAAGTCAGCAATGGCAGTGAAGAGATCCGCGTAGACGAGGCCTGCCAAAAGACAGACTAACACGACTGCTCGCATTCTGAAACAATGAAAACGTGATCAAAGGGACTGGGAGATAGAGAAAGAGCACGGACAGAATCAGTGCACAACTGACACGTTCGAGGTCAGCAGAAAGAGTGAGAGTAAGGGAGAGAGAGAGAGAGTAGAAGAAGAAGAAGAAAAGAGAGGGAAGAGCAGCCGGCACACTGCAGACTTTTTGTATATTTTACAATTCGGAGGCGACGACGCAGCAGGGAACGGGCTCACTTTATAAACATTTGAAGTTGATCGTACCACGCCATCCATTCTACGTGCACACAAGGATGATCTTAGCGACCTTCTGAACATCACTAACCATGAAAACCTAATCAGAGTGCTTCAAATTGTGTCAAGATCACGGGAATGCAAAGGAAAAACTGCGTTTTCTTTCTCAGTGATGTGGAGGTTTGCATCGCGCGATTCCCGAAGGAACTTCCCCCTCTCGCCATCTGAGTCTCTTCCTCTCGTCGTCTGATCTGCGGGATTTCGCACGTAGGAACGTCTTCGTCGGCGGGCCGATTCCGTCTCGTCTGACCTCCATTAACAATACCAATAACTAGGTTGAATCGCGCAAAATTTATGATGACGTGGCAGTGAGTGACGGGCGAAAAGGTAGGAAATGAGGAAAAGAATAGGCGGCGAAGCACTCGTTGATTTATATAAGAAGCGAGAAGAAAGACAGTTTACACCCTCGGAGGGCTTACGTGTCTGTCGCGCGGCCGACGTGCGCCTTCCGATGCGTACGTGACTGCTTCTGCGGGCCGATCCGGTAGTAATGTTTGCGAGAGACACCACTCGATCAGCGGGTGCCAGATGCTGGCCGAGGGTGTTCCGGACACGATCCAAATGGGAACAAACGGGGTTTGTGAGAGAAGGACTGGCTTCCTTTGAACGATTAATTCAACTGCTGGAATCCCAAATCTTTAGGAAAACCGTAAAATTCTTTCGCGTCTGAAAATTTAGGCCCCGGAGATCACAGTAGGAGGGGCCAGCAGAGCGATTTGAGTTCAAAATTCTCTTTGGAATAAAATGGACATCTGTACTGTTCAACTTTAAAATTTGAACATTAGATAGTCAAAAAATTATCCGCTCTATTTCTCATTTCAGTGCGATCAAAATGGTTCAATGTTTTCTGATTTCTGATTTCCATAAATCTGTCTCTCTCTCTGTTTTTTCTCCGACTTCTTCTCATTATCTTCTGCATATGACACGTCGATTGGCAGAAAAGGAAAAGAATAAAAAACGGAACTGGTCACGGCGACCGGTTTTCTTACGCCTCCCGACGCAGAAAACACTCAGATGCGGGCGAGGAATCAACGTATTCTTTGAAAGGAAACCGAGGAAATATGAATGGAAAAGGAAGGGAGACGGGTCCGGCAGAGAGGGCCAATGACAACGGGAACACTTAACTTCGTAAACTTTTCAGCTTAGTTTTCACTTTTTCATTCACATCGAGAATGTTTGTTATGCGACCTTCCAATTTTAACGAATGTTTTGTTGGTCCAATTCACTGTCCAATTCAACTCCGTTTTTTTTGCCTTCGCTATCATTCATGGTGTACAGCTGGGCGCTAGTCTGTGAACTCCCAGACGAACAAACAGACATTACTTTTAGAGCCAGTTTCCAACTTTATCAGTCCATGAGTACACATCCTCCTCCTTCAGAATAAAGATCATTGCTCAGCCAGCTTCAGGTCACTCCCAAATCCACGTAGTGTGATGAGTGTCCGTCCCAATTCGGACCCCGATCGCATCTCCGATTCCACTTCTATTCCATCGAATCCTCCGTCATTTTCCCAGCTTTCCACGCCGCCAAAATGCTGCTAATCGATCGAAGAAACCGAAGAAGCGTTCAAATATTCTTGCTTCTCACCAGTTTTCTGCTCATTTCCGGCTTCTTCTTCTCGTTTTTCAGGTAGATTTCCAAATTTTCTTTAAGTTCTTTTTCACTGTTGGTTTTCTTGTAGATATTCGGAGTGGCAAGACCCAGATTTCTTTCCAGGTATAATGAAGTGAACGTATAAAGAAACAGCCTTGATTTTAGAAGAGGTGCACGAAAATCAGAAAACTGAAAGGGAGATTGCATTTGAGAAAGTCCGGAAGCTACAGAAGGGTCACTTTTCACCATTACTACAGATACTTTATTGGTTTTTCTTCGACGTTTCAGGACTAGCGGAGGAAGCAGCAGACTATGGAGACCGTCCAAAACAAGAAAACGGAGCAGCCGGAGCAGCATTCAAAAGTGCCAGTGCTCTTTTCCGAAGAGTGAATGCGACGGCGTTGAGGGAAGGTGAGAAACGGCGTCCATGAAGCCGAGAAGAAAGGTCGTTCAGCTGCATTTGAAAGTGGAATCGGAGGAAAGATGACGGCTGACTCATTCTACGACGAAAAGCTGAAGCAGAAGCAAGAGGAAGATCGTATCGCCGCGGGAGAAGGAGGTGGTGACGTGATCGGAGGGCACACAGGTACTGGGGAGGAATGCATACCAGGCGTGACCTTCGAGAATTCTCTATCGGCTTCTTAGCTGTAATGATTCAATACTATCTACTGCTGCTCTTGAAGTTTGCGATTCGCAGTTTTACGGAGGTAGAAAAAACAGTATGAACTTCACGTTCTTTCATGATACTTTTCTTCTAGAAAAAATGTATGCGCTCCACCAGATACTTTGAAATTCAAGCAACATGACTATTTTTTTTAGATCCTACATCGTATTTGTACGTCTTTTCAGAATCTCCGAAAGTTTAGACATTATCTAAGAGTACAATCTCCGTGCAATCAAAAATGCGCAAAAATGTATTCATAAGCTTACCTTTTGAAAGCATTCGGAAATGAATACAGTTCTGGAGGAAAAAGAATATAGTTGGAGAAATGCATAGATGAAGGAGAATAAGATTGGTAGTGTAGCTTCCTTTCTCTCCGATTATATCTGATCGGATCCATCGAAACACAATGTGCGGGATCCGGTCGAAGTGTTGCCGATGTTCAGGAAACATTCTGTGCTTTGTGACGCCTTTCGATCCATTTGTGCATTGGCGTGGTCGGGCGAAACAGGAAATGATGTGTGCGATGAGAAGGCCAGAATCTAAAGCTGTCTAGAAGAGTCTCTTCCACTCTCCGTGTCCATCAAACTCTTTTTTAAAGGCGCTTATTTTGTGTTGCGATCTCAACGAACCGTAGTTTATTCACCATCTTTTATTGCATGTCTTTTTTGGTTAAACTTCTGAAGCTAAGGTCAATGACACATTCTGCTATTTACTATTTAGTCTATAGCTGTAGTTCTTCATTATTACGCCGCCCGTGCCGCTTTCTCAGTCAGCTCCTAGAGTTCATTCATGCAAAGGCATGCAACAAACGATGCTCCTTATGATATTGAGTACTTTCTCTCCAACCTCCGTGGGCATCAAACCTATACCCCAGAATATCTACTTTCCATCTTTTGTACATAAAAACTCAGTGGAAGCCGAGAACCGTTGAGCCACAGACCCTCAGAATTGGCACACTCTAGAAGTGTCGCTTCATTTTCGTGTAACTTCAAATCTCTAGGAGAAAAACGTTCGATCTTGTGAATGAGATAATATATACATTGCACGGTCTTCTCCATGTTTCGTCGGTGGCATCCATGTTTCGTCGGTCGAATATACGATTTCTCGAAAGAAACAAAAGCGCAGTATCTGTGGCTGATCTCTCCGTTTTTGGCGTCAAGCATCGCAGCCATCGGAACACGTCGTGCCGTGAGTATCGTCCGTTTCCATCTGCCTCCTGCCTTTCCGTTCATATCTGATTCTTTCCGTCGCACCGTCCGTCTCCTCCTTTATTTTTTAGTCGACGGCTTCTTCTCCCCGTCACTTGTTTCGTCGATTCTTTCTGATTCTTTTCGATGCCTTCATCGTTCGTTTGATTTTCTCTGTTTTGGCTGGAAACGACATGAATCCGAGTTATCTTTTGCGGTGGACACTTTATGCAGTCATCGTCATTTCCCTCCTTATTACTCTACAAGTTGTCTTTTCAATACAGAACTATGGTAAGCACAATTCTCTCTTCAATTACTATATTAATTTAAAGAAGATCTGTCAAAACTGTGCTTTTTTTCGAAGGTTATCAACAAGCTCAGAAAGCATACAGTCATCAAGTATTCATTATTTCAAACTTTCAGAACAAGAAGAAACGGGAGGCGAAGAAGCTATCGAAGTTATTCGAAAGAACGAGACGGTCTCGTTGGATCTGGTCGGAAAGTCGGCGGCCGTGCAGACGTGGCTGGCCAAACAGGAAGGCGTCCAGAAGCCGCTCTCCGCTTTCGAATCCTCTTTGAAAGTGGAAGAAGTGGAAATGAAAAGCAAGAGAAGAAACCCAAAGTTCGAGCCAATTGACCCGGAAGTGGAGAAACGGAATAACCGAGTGCATCAGTTCAAGTTCGTGCAATGAATCTACGTATTCATATGTTTGAAATTAATAACTTTTTTAGTTAGTTTCATAAACACTTTCATGTATTCATCATCATTTACATTCTTAAACATGCGAAGAAACTCTCAAAGAAATGGTTTCCACATTGTTGATGATATTGATCAGCTGACTGCGAATTCTGAAAAGAGAACCTCAATCGGGAATCCCTCTGCAATTGCTCACTTGTCAGTTTCGCCTCTTCCGAGTGCCTCGAGCGCTTCCATTGCGAACACTTTCGTCTCTTGATTCAAGTCTTTGATTGATCTCAGAGTAGATGAAACCTTTTCATTGTCCTCGCCACTCTGAAACTGATCATCTCCTTCTCTTCAGATATTCAAAAGTCTCACGTGACTGGCATATCCTCTCGGCGCGGCGGCAGCTTGCGGAGAATCGAATGCATCCGTCCGGATGACCCCAGTCGCTCGGTACCTTTTTATCACATCCAACATTCTCTTCTTCGGTCCGTAAGCGATCTTCATATCAACAAAATCTTGCTCTTTCAACTCGAAAAACACTTCCAGATCGACATTTTCATGCTTAAACTGCTCTGTGTACCTTCCCAGATCCATCTCCTCCAACAGCTCCGACAGCGTCCTCGGGCCTCTTCCTCCGGACGTCGGGGCCACTTGTTTCGCAGTTTCCGCGTGGTGCTCGTTGATGATTTGCAGTATTTTGTTGTTGTCGCACGCCAATTGGGACGCGTTCTCTCCCTTCATGTTCTTCTGTTCAATGCTGCCGCCCTTGTCCAGAAGAGCCTGGAAAGTGACCTCGTGGCCGGCCATCGCGGCCTCGTGCACTGCCGTCGTTCCCAGAGAATCCGGCGCGTTCGGATCGCATCCAGCGAGGAGAAGGGCATCGACAACCTAGAAGCAGACACCGTTCGTACAAACTCCAAGAGCGATTACCGCGTTCTGACAGCAGCTGGCCGCGTAGTGAATCGCCTGTCTCTTCTCCTTATCGTGAGCTTTAGGATTGGCTCCTCTCTCCAGCAATAACCGAACTACCTGCAAACGAACTTACACAATATAGGAAAGACGATTGTTTTGATTGTCTTCAAAGATATAGTCATTTGAAAATCTAGATAACGTTCGGATCGAATACGGTTGAAACGACGCACGCACTCTTTTTGGTGCGAATGTCTTTGTCGATCAGGTTTGTAGACCTTACGAATCGTGATGTTTTTAAAAAAGGAAACTCACATTAAGGTTTCCGCAAGCGGAGGCCATCATCAGAGCAGTCTGACCTCGAGCGTTCGGGTCATCGGTCTGAAACAGTCAGTCAGTCACTTACTTTCCTTCCTTTTCCCGTCGCTCACCTTCGCTCCGTTATCCAGCAGGAATGCGGTGACACTGTTGTGTCCCAAGTAGGCAGCGTACAAAAGAGGCGTCCATCCCGACTGGTTCTTCATCACGATCGTGTTCGGATTTATCTTCATGAGCTGCCGAAGCATCTGCTCGTCGCCGATGCTCGCCGCCGTGCACGCATCCATCAGAAATCGGTTGTCGTGATGGATGATCGGCATCGGTTTGGCGAGAATGTCAGCGAGCAACGGAGTGTTCACGGAACGGCTCGAGGGCACGTAGGTGATTCCGGGACGTTCTTGCGAGAAACGGACTCGGACCGACATTCTGGAAACATGCATTTGAAGGGCTCGAAAAACAGTGGATGTTCTGTGTCAAGATTCATTTTTCTAATTCACACAGTGGAAAAACGTTTGATAATAAAAGAAGAAGACGTCGAGAAAAGAAGAGGAGGAAAATGATGATCGTCGGACTAATCGATATGATATAAACCAGTTTCGGACGGGAGAAAGAGAGAAATAAAGAAACAAGGAATGATTCATTTATTCGTTCACACTCTCCCAACTTGGAATTCATTCTTGTTCCATGACTTTTTCAGTTGTTCAAAGTACACGTCGCTGTGTTTGCTCGTCTCGAAGTCCATCACTTCTCCGAAAGTGTTCTTCAGTCTTTTCGAACGATCGCAAACGCTCCTCACTTTCGTTGCTTTTCTGACGCCGACCTTAAAGTTCTTGTTACGTGCCAAACTACATACACCTTTCGTACTTTTACGAGAATCAGATCCAGTTCGTTCTGCCATGCTTCGCTCATTTTGACCGACAAATACGGCGCCACAATGCATAGACTAGAATGGATCAGAAGAGTTGGACGGAGGGCAAAGCGACTACTTACAGAGTGAAACTGAGATCGAACAAGACGCAGAGCACATTTCGATGGAACGGAGATGAGTCATAGTTGCTGATGAGGGCAACGCCTGTGCAGCTGACCGTGAAGAAGGCGAGCACGAAAAGATATGTGGAGTAGAACTGGAACTTGTTTTTGTTTAAAGATCTAAGATCTGATCCGATCCGAACCGACCTTGTACATCCGAATGTTCTCCGATATTTGATAGCGTTCTCCCAGCGAATACACATGTTTGGTCACCCGATTCTTGTGGTAATAGTCTCGATTCACGCGATAGTTAAACAAGGAAACGATGTAGCAGAATATGTTGAGAAAAAAATGAGCTGTGACATAGACAAGTATGAGGTCAGCTGGAAAATGTGTAATATCGGGTTCAAGTCAGGAAACTATAGTCTTGCGGACAACTTAAACTCACTGGAATGGAAGACGTACGAAGAGAAAACGGACAAAGAATACAAGAGAATGATGATCAGGAAACCGATGCACGGCCGCTGTTTCTTCTCGTAATCCTTTATGAAGTACGTGGCAAAGATGCGTTCCAACATAACGGCTGTAAGGGAAAACAATGCTGAAAAAAAACGAGTTGGGGGTTTGAACAGATCAATGAAATTATTTACGAGGAGTAATGGAAGCGGTTCGAATGTAGTCGATTGTGAGAGCCAAAGGGTCTCCCTCTTCTGAAATGTTCCGTCAGTTGTGCTCTATTCTCGGATGTTCTTACCCTGATTCCATCCAAGTATGATTAGCACTTTATCCGCAATAAAGAGCCCCGAACTTATCGGACAAGACACATAAATCGCCTGATGAACCCTTTGCACGTTCGTTTTGTGATATTTCACTCGAAAGGTAATGAACATATTGAAAAAATAGTATAATATCCTGAAATCACCTTTTCTCACAATTTGATCAAATCTGAGAATGGAACACATACGAAAACACGTTCAGACAGATGAGGAGTACGAAGATAGCAACGAAATAGAGGAAGGAACCGTCAAAACGGGCGGCCTTCTCGTCGAATTCCATGATTGAGAGCATCGGAGACGTCTCGTGGAGCATCGAAAAAAAGAAAGGAGGAGCCGGTAATTAGTTATGTTACGCATCGTTGGCGCCGACCGAAAAAGATATAGAAAAGGAAAGAGAAAGGAGTACGTGACGAGATGAAAAACATTCGGAGGAGGAGGATGATCAAGGAGCACGGGGCCAAAAGATATCGGAACTCGGTAGAGCTGTTGAACTCGACGAATGTGCGGGGAAGTGACGAGGTGCTGCTGATGTCGATTGAGCAGAAGTTGTGGAGGAGGTGATGAATGTGGGGGCGTTGGTCAGAAGACAGTCAAATGTCTCAGAGTTTTGCAATGGAGCGAGATCTTTTGTGATGCCGATCTTTTGAAATGAAGGCGTGGACGGAATGAGTTGGGTATCTGTCGAAAGGAGCACGTGTGCAAGTCAGAAGGGATGGAAAGATTTCTGAGGCCCGAGCATTTGACACAGTTGCAATAATCCGATCGGACTCAATCTTTGCAGGTTTCTTGGAATGGGATTGAAGTACCTTTCGACCATTCGTCCTTCCCTCTTACTGAGTTGTATCTTTTCTCTTACCTTACTAAATAAACGAATGAACAATTCAAAAAAAAGTATCTCCTGTCCAAGATATTTAATTCAAAGTCCGTTCAGCTCAATCGAATTATCTGGTTCGGAGATATACTCGTTTAGGCAGAAAAGGCCGCATTTTTTTCCCAAAATCCCGGCCCTTTCGACCGCTCATCCACTCTGCAAAGTTTGGGTCCAATGTTCTTCTTTCAAAAGTTCAGGCATCAAAAACCCTGGGCCGTCCTTTTGCTTATCCCTGTACGTCATTAATGTTGGCTTATTATTAAGGTAACAGTGGTTGTCAGAGTTGAGCGGAAATAGAATTTTGAAATCCGGAAGACGGCACACGGCACACGGAAGAAAAATTGTTTACAGAAGACGGCAGACGGAAGACGGAACAAAAAATCACGGAAGACGGAAGACGGAAGACGGCAGACGGAATTCTGCTCAACAGTGGTGGTTGTTTTATGAAAAAGAAAGGAATAGTCGGAAAACATATCCTATTACCAGCGAGTTAACAAAAGATCAGACCAAATTAATTCGTCGGATTTTCATCATCATTTTCTGGGCCCTTTTCCATCAATACTTTACCGAATATTAAAACAAGCATTGTTCTTCAAATTAGTATACCAATAACAAGTTCCATTAAGGCTCGGAAGGCTTAGTCGTATTCCACGAATTGACCAATTGACTGAAGTACACATCCGTTTGCACATTCTTCCCGCCCACGTTCATCCGTTCGCCGAGCGTCGTCTTCAACTGCAAACTGGGTTTTGCGGACGTAGTACTCGAGCACTGCACTTCGGAATTGTGCTGAAACAAAGCATCAAAAGAGATGTCCTTTATTAGCTTGCACTCACGAGCTTCATGCACTTTTTGAATTCGAGTTGCCACGTGGAATTATACTTGTAATGAACGTAAGGAGCGTAGAGAATGAAGACAAGAAAAAGTGCGTCGAAGGTGACGACGAAGACGTTCTTTTGAGAGGAAGTGAACGGAAAACTGCAGAGAAGAAGGAGGAAAGAGCAGACGGTGGCGAAGAGAGCGACGGTGAGAGAGAAGATGTGGAAGAGCTGGAAGAAGTGAAATGGTGTCTAGTCTCGCAATGACTAACTTGTTGTCTCGTCTCAATGGGCTCAGACAACTCCAATTATTACTCACCTTGGCAAACTGAATATTCTCTGAGATCTGATACCTTTCCGTCAGAGAATATGTGCAAATCTTGCGAAGTGAGCACTTGTAGTAGTATTGGTTCAGTTTGTAGTTGATTATGTTCACCTACAAAACAGTTGAATAAGAGAATTCAAGGGCGGGGAAACATACAATGTAGCTGAAGATATTACAGAAAACAAGCGCCAGGAGCGGGTAGAATGTAGCAGAATCTGAACGAATTCTGATGATGTTAAACAGTCTGACATCACTTACAATGAAGGCAGAGGACGACGGAAACGATGGAAATTAGATATGTGAGGAAGCCCATCGTGTAGCCGATGTAGGATCGCTCCTTTTCCTCGTAATCACGGTGGAAGTACGTGGCACACAAACGTTCAATTGCGTAGGCGGGCAGACAGATGAACACTGGAATGGATAAAGACATAGGATGAAGAAGAAAGTAAAAGAGCAAGAAGAGCTTACCGACAAATATGGTGACTAATCGGACGAACTGAAGGACTTGGAAAGTTGTTGTGGAAGTGTCGAAGCCTGAAAGATCAAGAGAATCTACAGACTTCATAAAGTACTCACCTCCGTCGAACTCCCAGATTATCATAAGCTTTTGAACAATGCACGCGGCGTGATTGAATGGACAAGTTAAGTAAATGAACTGATGAATCCGTCGGATATTGTTCATTTTTGTCCGAGTACGGTAGTCGATGCACACGTTCATTAAGTAGTACAATATCCTGAATCTTTATTCATGACTTTCAGGCAGGAATTAGTTGAATAATTGCACTTACCCGATAAAGTTAATAGTGATCATCAGTTTGAATACAAGGCAAAACATGTCGAAGGATCCGTTTTGGACGGCCGTTTCCTTGTCGAAAATGAGCAGCACGTTGAGCATATTCTGATGAAATGGGAATGAGCAGAATACGAAAAGAATCTTTTTGGGCTGATTTCCGCTCTCGGTAATGATGTTTTCAGTCTGAAAGCAGTGGGGTAAGGATTTGGAGGGAAAAGGTAAAGATGAAGTGGGTTGATGGATGGAGGATTAGGATGAAAGCGAGCAAAAGATGAAAAAAAAAGTGAAAGTTCCAACTGAATGAGAAGCAGAGGAAGAAGAAGAAGAAGAAGAAGAAGGGAATGAATGAAAACAGCGAATCCATTCTTCTGCTCACGGCTTCTTCTGATTCCGAACAGAATAACATAAGAAAGTTCTGATTCCAATGAGAGTAATCGAGGGGAACACGGCGAAGAATGAAAAAAGAGAGAACGATCTGAATACGAGGAAAGATGCGTTGGGTCAGAAGCGCGGAGCTTGTAATCTTAGGCACGTTCTCGCCGTTTCGTCTGAAAAACTCGGAGAAATGAGTTCAGATATTTCATGTGCTCAGAATTGAATTAGCTTTTCGGAGAAGAAGAACTTTTGACTGTTCTTTGTCATACTATGATATCACTGTGCTTATCTTCAAAGCAGAAAACCGAAACGGACAATAGTTTATTTATTTGAACAAAAACCGGGCAGAGGTTTCAAAAGACTTGTAAACATATATTATGCTAATCTGGAGGTTCCCTTGGGCAAATTCCACGAGGATTGCAATTGATCGAAGTAAGTGTCCGACTGCCTTTTAATCTCAATGTTCATCTCGACTCCGAACGTGTTTCGCAGACGGATGCCGTTCGGATCGTTGAAAGATTCGGTCACATTGATTCGTTTTGTTCGTAGACGGTCTGTTAACTGAAAATGAGTCGAATGGCTCCAGAAGGAAACGGAGAAAAGACTCCTACTCGATTGAATATCCGTCGGAACTCTTGATGCCAACGAGGGTTGAATTTGTAAATGATGTATGGAGTGAATATTGTATAACTGAAGAGGAAACACTAGACAACGGGCCTTCGGACGTTACTGAACTCACACACTGTAGCTGAGTTCGAAGAGAGTGATGAAAAGATTACGGTAGCAAAGCTCGATGTCAAAACTGGCGGCGAGCATCAGAAGAGGACAAAGGACGGTGAAGAAGAAGATGCTGGAGGCGAAGCGGTTGAAGAACTGGAAAAAGAGATGAGGAAACAGTACTCATAGGAACATACAAACGAGAAATGAATGTTATCAGAGATCTGATATCTCTCTGCCAAAGAGTAAGTTCCATCGAAGCTCTGTTGACACCTTTTGTAGTACTTTCTATTCAGTTTGTAGTTTAGTACGTTCCCCTGAAATGTTTTCGCTTTCGGTCGTTTGATCTTCAGTCAAACTGACCACACAACTTGTAGTACTGAGAAGGAGTAGAAATATTGTGTGATAAAGACTCGTGGCAACTGAAATGAAAACATGTTTTCTCCCTTATCCCCCACACTCACCCAAAGCTAACGAGTAGGCCAGAAGACCGCTGATTGTGTAAAGACCGATTCCAATGGATATTCCAATCCACCAACGGTTTTTCTTTTCGTAGTCCTTCAGAAGACACGTGGCAAAAAACCGTTCGATCACGAACGCCATCAAACAAATCAGGCCTGAAAGAGTGGGATTTCTCCGACAGAAGGGAAGGGTCCTAACCGGGGAACACTGTGGACGTTCTCAAATGGTGCAGCATTTGGAATGTCTCGTTGTCGAAGGCATATCCGGCTGGCTCTCCGATCAAGATCATCACTTTTTGAACGATCAGAACGACCGAACCGATCGGGCACGTTATGTAGATGAACTGGTGGATCTTGACGACGTTCGTGTCGAACTTTCCGATTCTGATGTCGATCCACACATTCAGCAGATAGTAGAGAATTCTGAGAAAAGAAACTATATTGTTTTCCTTGAGCACAACTACGAATTGGCCCATGACGTTGACAATAAATTCTGGGAATGGCTTCAAATGGCTTCTTGTTCAAATTCGGATAGATTACTCACGCAATGATATTTACGACGATGACAATGACGAATCCGAAGTGAAAGTACTCGAGGGTCCCATCATGCACGGCGGCGGTGTAGTTGAAAGAGAGAATCATCTCTGGAATAAAGGCGAATACTTTCTTATTTCTTTTTCCGCGAAACGGCTTTGACAGATGAGCAACTTCGCTTTTTTTGCTCTTCGAAGAGATGAGCGAAGGTGGGTAAAATGAGAAGGAAACGAGAAAGAGAGAACGAGGCAATAGAGCCAATTTGAAGAACGGGATAACAGAAAATACAAAATGGAGGCAAGGAGAAAAGACAAATAAATGGACGGTTGGGAAGTGAAAAGTTAGAGAATGCACTTTTCACCAAAAGAGGATTCCTTTGAAGTCTACACTCCGAGTATTTCTTCCGTTGAGTTCAGACGAGAAACGAAAGAATTCACGTGGTATCAGTTACTCATACGTTCTGACTGAAAGTCTCTTTTTTCTTTGTACTATCTTCTTGAAAATCTGATACTGGCGAACGATATAAATGTTCTTAAAGTCGAGAAAATGAGTGATGTGATCAGTCACGTTTCACAAGGACTTATCTGAATTAGATGGCACGTCACTTCAATGGAATTTTCTTAATCCTGTTTGGAAATGGAGCACATCATGAAAAGCAGAGGACTGATAAACTTTTAAAGCAACATAAAATGACTTCTATTCGATTTGGCACTGCTCCAGAGATCATTTTTTGTGCTCATTCGCAGAACGTATCGGGGCAATCGTCTTCTTCATAATTTCCTTCATTCACATCAAACAAGATAACATACTATGAACCGGAGAAGACAAAAAAGAAAAGAATTGGATGGGTTCAGTCGTTCGAGCGGAAAGATAACACGATAATAGGAAACTTTTGATTTGTGCAGAGTCTATGTAGACAGACCACGTGGAACGGAGGATCGAGTGACTGAGAACGGGGTTTCATTGGATCGGATTGAAGACTTCAGTCCTGAGGGATGGAAAGCGAAAAAAGAACGTTCCGAGAAGACGTCAAGAGTGGAAGCCCTTCTGTTTGCAGAAAACGAGAAGAATTTGTGAAGTTGACAAGAAAATATGTACATTTATTGCTTTTCGTCGAAAGATGATCAATAAAATTATCAGATCGAAACATTCGCACATTTCCGCAAGAGAAAGTTTTCACTAATTTGGGGAAATGATTCAGTTTTCAAAAGATTAAAAGATCTTCTCTTTGAAATGTGCGATTCTATAAATAAAACGACTAGAAGACGTGCAAAGTGAGAAAGGAAGAATGATGCAGTGAATGGAGAAAGGAAAAGTGAAATGTGTCAGATTCAGGAAGAGGATTCATTTGAAAAGAAACTAGAGAAAAGGGTGGGCATGGTAATTACTCGAGACTCAACATCTCGTCGTCCTCCTCTTCCTCCAGATTCGTCGGCGGAGCAGCACAATATTTGAGGGGGATCACAAATACCTGCAAGTGAGCAAAATCAGACACAAAATGGGATGAACGGAAGGGCAATGTACGAGTTCGCTAAGAGTGAGGGCACTCACTGTGATGTCGTCATAACTGGCATGGCCTCCGCTGTTCATCGCCCATCTCTTGAGGTTGCCCGCCGCTTGCTGGCCACGTGCGGCTGCCACAAGATCCTGTGCCGCCTGAGTGTACCTCGAGACGTCGGACGCTTCCGTCGAGCCGAGAGTGCTCCGAACGATGAGCCCCGCGTCCTCGTTGCTCAGAACATCCCAGAGTCCGTCGGATGCGACGATGACGACGTCTCTGTCGGTGAGAGTGTTCATGTCCCTCAGATTGGTGACGGTCACCTCCGGAACGGCCGAAAGGAACGGTTTTATGCTGATCCGCTCGTCGACCGTCAACAGATGATGGTCTCCGAATCCGCGAGACACTCCGATCGTGTTCAGAAGACGTCGTTTTCGGGAGTTTTCACTGATCAACGGGGACCGCAGATCGCATTCTTTCACCGTTTTCACAGCCCATCCGTCCATAAACCAGTCTCTGAAATCATGCGATTGCGAGGCATTCCTTGTCAACTTTACCTGTACAAAACTCTTGACTTTAGGTCCCTTCTCGTCAGTGTTCTCGAGTACTCCAACCTCGAAAATGAGTTTCCGATCAGTTCCGGATTACGGTAAGCAAGTTCCTGAAGTCTTTTCCGTTCGGAGCCTGGATTCAGATCTCGCGATAACGGTTTCGTTCCATCGGAAGTAACTAGAACTGCTCGACAGTCTCCAGCATTGGCTGAATATGTTCGGATTATAAAATGGCCAGTGTCCTCTTGAGAGCTACCGTACCTACGTACAATTTTCCCAGAAAAACAAGCACCGAGATGACCGCACATCCTCCGGGAAGCCTCCAAACTTGTTTGTCCTGTGAGATCTGTTCGTCCATTTCGAGAAACGCCGTCTCGAGAGCTCCTTTCACCAGATGCTCACTACGAATGCGACTCTCTTCCTCACACATCTTTATCAAATTAACTAGTCCAACCTTTTTTTTCGAGGACTGTACCTTGCTCATACTGTAAGATGATTCCGAACGATGTTTTCCAAAGTTCAGATTCTCCTGTCGGTCCAGACTGAGAAGAGTGTCGAGCACTTCGCAGAGCCGAGACTTCACGTGCTCGTGCAGACATTTACTCGCCACGACGGCCACAGCTGAGCCTGCGTGGCCATCGAACAGACTAAAGAAAGCGGCGTCGGCTCGCGGAGCAAACAGAGAAAGCTTCTCCTGAACGGAAAAAGGCTCCGGATGGATTTAATAACACGAATATGCTCACACTGTCGTCGGTTCCAGGAGTCAGCATCGGGTCATCATCCAATTCGTGGCTCACTCCGTTCGTCACCGTCCCTTCCATTTTCGCTCCAATCGATCCATTCGTATCCGTTCCTTGTTGCGTTAACACCAGCATTTTGGCAGTTGCCTGGTCCTCATTCTGTACTGTTTTACCTGAATTCCCTCTTTTTTTATAACCTGTTCGTTGAATTTAGATTTGTGTACCCGCATTGATGACTTCTGCATAACCGACATAAAGAGGCATTCGCTGAGGGAATCGAGGACAGAGGACGGGACGGACCGAGTGGTCGGAGGACAGCGCGATCTCTTCGTCGGAGAAAAAGAGAAACTCCGGACGGCTGTACGGATATCTCTGTTTCTCTATTAGTGCTGGAAACTGACATTTGTCCGCCTGGCTGGATAACCGAGAAATCTTACATGGAATGAAGCCACCGATGAACGCTCCGTCGCTCACGTCCATCACTTTTCCGATTTTTTGAGGGTTATTGGGAGCAGACGTCGTCGGCGGATCGGAAGAAGACGTCCGACCGACGACAGACATCACCCGTGCTGCGATATCCATCTTAAAGTTCAGAAGATGCTAGACTCTGTGCATTTTCGCGACTACTAGTAATAAAGACTGAGTTAAAGGGAGAGAGGATGTGCAAATGACACGCTTTCGAGTGGGGATGTTCTGTTTTAAGCTTCCTTTTCGTCGTTAGCTCTTATTGATTCTCCGTTGTTTGAGCCGCGGCACGCGAAGGCGCTCTGTCTCTTCGTGTGTCGATTTACGGCAGGAAGTAGAGAAGACACACGCAAAACGAATGTTACCGTAATCTCCGCACGTGTCGAGACCCGCTGCTTTTCAGTGGTTTTATAATTTCTTTTCCTACTCTTTTTTTGCAATTTTTTCGGATTTTCCGTGTTTTAAAGCTTGTAAAATGTGTATTAAAAATTCGGAAAATTAATTCTGAAGCGATCAAGTCCAAAAACCAACAAAAAATTATATTTTTTGCGGAATTCGGTTCATTTTCGCCTCTGTTCATGTTCCTTCTGAATTTTCTCGCTCTCAAATGTCGTTGCTACTTTCACACTTTTAAAAGTCTGTTTTTTAGGTAAAAATGTCCCTCCGCGTCACCTACAGACGTCGCTTGTCGTACAACACCACCTCCAACAAGAAGCGTCTTGTTAAGACCCCAGGAGGACGTCTCGTTGTCCAGTACATCAAGAAGAGGGGACAGATCCCGAAGTGCAGAGACACCGGAGTCAAGCTCCACGGAGTAAGTCCCCCCACAAAAACGGATTAAATTGTTTTAATTCGCTGAAGATAGTTTTCTCACGATCAGATTCTGTAAACTTGTATTCATCATGATTTCAATTCCAGCTCACCCCAGCCCGCCCAATTGGTCTGCGCCTGCTCAAGAGAAACGAGCGCACCGTCACAAGAGCCTACGGAGGATGCTTGTCCCCGAACGCCGTCAAGGAGCGCATCACCCGTGCTTTCCTCGTCGAGGAGCAGAAGATCGTCAACAAGGTCATCAAGCGCCAGAAGGACTAAGCTCGTTCGTTTGTTGTTTTCAATAAATTGTTATGAAAGAAGTTTTTTGCCAGGCAAAAATAGTACACGAGAATGAGTGAGTTAATAGATAGTAGTTATATACAGAAAAGTAGTAGTTTTAAAGTGAGCTGTATCCGCTGCTTGAAGACTCTTTTCCAGGAATTTTCGAGTATTTCTGTTTCTTTTCACGTTTAGACTTCTGAAAAACTGAACAAATTTCGTGAACTGAGTCGAATTATACGATGAGTGCGTTCCTGACGACGTCATCATGCTGGTCAGGAGCGATCTTCGAGAGATTGGTGTCATTCATTTTGTCCAAAGGCAAAAGCACTTCTTCCAGTATGTCTAGCCATTGCGCTTGCTTGAACAATTCGTCGTGATCAAACTCGCGAGGACAAATCCCATTCTGAAACCGAGGTTGATGTCAAACTTCGACTAAAAAAACCTCAGTGACGTGTAAACAGAATGGAATCTCGACCGAAGTGTTCCAGTCCCCACGAAGTTGAACCTTAGAAGCGAGACGCATAGTGGATTGTGACCCTGCTTGCGAAATGAGGCACGGATGTTTATCCAGCTTGTTCCGTCTTAAATACAACGTTTCATGGTTAGAATATAATGTCTTACGATATCAGAATGTCGAGTCTCAAAAGGGTTGATTTCATCTCCTGTATGAAAAATATGTTGGAAGTGGCAGCTTGGGAGAAGCAAAAGGCCGGAGAGTGAACCGGAGCAGAAAAGAAGTTCTCGACGGCCAGGAAAGGAGCCACGTGCGGGAAGTCGTCATGTCTGCAGATTGGGGCGATGTGACGGAATTGTGAAAGATCAGTCTTCCCGGAAGAGTACGCACCGGCACGAATCACTGAGTTTCCATCGACCTCCACTGAATTCAACCCGTTGCATAGCTGGATTGCAAAGTGATCGAATAACGCATTATTCATTGATCACTTTTTCGCTCTTAGAGGTGGAGTACGTGGAGCACGCGAAAATTATTGTAAGAGCACTTTATTGCAAGATGAAATCCCGTGATGAATGGAAATATGTAAAGTTCACAAAGCACCGTTTAATTGATACAGTCGGGAAGAATTATCAAAGTAGAGGATGGACCGGGGCAGGAAAAACGTGAATGAAAAAGAAACATGACACAAGAAAATCATATTATCATCAAAGTGTTTGGTTTCTGGGAAAGACGCGGCAGTTCAGATTGGTGTCCCAGTGCTCAAAAATGTTCCGTACGGCCGGACGCTCGGACTTCTCGCGAGGAAGCACTTGAAGGTCAGGAACGCCATCGCAAGTGCATTTTCGGTTTACACTCGTGGAGCACTCGATATGCTGGAAGTGGCCGCATCTGAATAAAATTACTAAAAAAGAGCGTTTCAAACTCAATCGGACCGGAAAGTGTATCCACTTTTGTTCATCATTTCTCCACAAGTGATACACTTCGGATGGTACATTGTCGGCGCTTTCTGACTCACTTCCGATTGCAATTTTCGAGCTTTTTCAAAGTTTTCTTTTCTCTGAAATAAAAGTTTTCTAAAAATAAGTAAAATTGTAAATCTTTGGTTACAATTTGATAGAGCAACTCCTGGTACAGATCGATTTCGTACTCGGACATCATTTCCAGTATTAGGTCAGCGCTTTCTCTGAAAAAGATAATTTAACGGAAACGAATTCGGAGAAGAAAACGTTTATTCTAGAAATTGATTATGTGAAAAAACCATGCACCAAAAAGCACCCATTTTCATTCAGTGTACCAGTTCGCTCACGTGATTGTGGATTCGACGAAGGACGGACTTTCGAACAGCTGGCTCATCAGCTGGTCCGCGTACTTGGCTTCCGTCGCCAGAATTTGTCGGCACATCGACCGAAGATTCTCGTCAATCTGTTTCTGTTTTTCCGTGTCCTCTCCTGTCTGTGCCGCCCGTTGCGAGACGAGTCGGAACACTCGCATCATCCATTCGCTCACTTCGTTCTGCGAATGACGCGAACAGAACTTCATCGTCTCGTCGAGCCATTCCACTGAAAAGTGCACAAAATCATCGAAAAACCGAGCATCCTCTTACTCAATTTCTCATCTTCCTCTCCGTTGTACCTCTCCAGTTGCTCGAATAACAGATCGAATGCTCTCTCCAAATGCTTTCTCGCTTCCAGAAGTCGTACAACCGTTCGAGTGCAGTTCTCGTGGGTGACTGCGAGATTTAAGCAGAAGTCTGTCCGAGCTGCGAATGGGAGCCAGAAAGGGAACAGAGACATGAGCTGGACATCCGCGAGCTCAGGATCTTCGGAAGAAGGCATCCAGCTGGGCCATCTCTTGCAGATTCCCTCGAATACAATGCCGAACAACGACTCGTCAAGGTCTTCGTCGTTGCAGAATGTCGCACGGTTTGCACTCTTTCTGGAATCTTCCCAATAAACACAATGCAAATTCTCACTTTACCACCTCAATTGAGCTATTCCCGTGAGGACAGGGAACACGAGTTTCCTCTCTTCCTCCTGCGTTTTAGCCATCGTTTGAAGGATTTCTTCGAAGTGATCGAGAATGAGATTTGCACAAAGCCATCCGTCTAGACGATAGAGTGTCTAGAATTAAGGAGATCTATAGAAGACACATTAACTTGACAGTATTTCACCTCCATGATACTCATCAGATACTTTCTAAATTCGGTTGATTCTTGCTCCGTCAATTCAGCTTCCTTCAAGATTCCTCCGATTGCCGCGTACACTTCTTTGTTTTCCGAATCCAAGTAGCAGTTGATTAGTTCTTCGAACTTTCTATCGCTCAGATAAAGGAAACTGAGGATGGAAGGGCGCATCGGAGACTGTGCGGCTCGCGTGATTCGCCGTTTGTCGTCCAGTGTCACGTGGAACAGTGCATTGAGAATTGCGTCTTCAGTGCCAGCTTGCAGCCACGGAGACATCCGCAGAAGACAGATAACTGCGTCCTGCACGTATTCGGTGGGCGGGGCAATCAAAGCCCGTTCCGACAGTTGGACGACCAACGCGAGGAAGTGAATGAGAGACTGCTCGCATTTCATGTTGATGCACGTTTGACCGATCTAAACGTGCTCATTAGAGTGTGCTGGTTCCCCTTTCTTACCGTATCTGTGAATCGCTGCAATCTGTTATCCATCTGGAATAACTCCGCATCTGCACACGTGCTCACTACGTTCAGAAACTGTTGGGAGTCGTACAGCAAGAGCATTTTCAAGTACGGATATTGTTCATCGGCGTCTCCTCCGTCTTTTCCCTTGAATGAACTGATGCATCGATAGGCCTCCAGCGGCACTCTCTTCCTATGCTCTTCATCCAGTGCCCCGAACGGGTAGGCCATTCCTGCAAGGCAGCAGTTCAGGTACACCAGAACCTTGTTGCCCAGTATCTGTTCGCTGTCCGAAAACATTTCTCGATCGGCAAATGAACGCATTTCTGCGAGCATATCCTAAAAAAACAAAGTTCAGTTGAATAATAACGTCTCTGAATATTATGCCTCGAGAGGGGTGATATAGTCGTTGAGAGCCTTGTTATTCACATAAATTATTCCATCGTATATCGCATTCTGTTTGCAGATCGACATGACCTTGTGCAGATCGAGCGTGTGAATCGGGAACCTGACGACGGCCGCCTGGAACTGCGAGAAGTGTCCTTCGGCAGCCAGATGTTGCAGATATTCATTGACGAGAGGAGGGGGCGGGTCGATGAGCGCTCCGTCGAGAATGTACTCATCGAGGTTCTCCAGGAAGACGGTCTTGGAAAGAGGGTCCATGGAGAGCCGATCCCAGCAAGAATCGTAGAGAAAGTCGAGAAGTTTTCCCACAATGCACACTCTGAGCAGCACTTTCAAGTACTTTTTGTAGTGCGTCACCAGATCCGAAAGGGCTCCGACTGTTACTCCGGCGACCGTTTCTGTCAGCAGATTCTGTGCTCTTTCCGCCAGAAGACTATGCGCATCCTTCTTGAACATTTCACTGGCTCGCACTTTCTCCCGGCAGACATCCAGAAGATAGAGCGAAGCAGAAATATCATCCTTCCGTTCCTTGTACCTCTCCAACTGTTCCCATTCGTGCACCTTCTCCAGGAACTTCAGTCCATCGTGAGCCAGCACAATGAGCCGTTCGGAAGTGGAAGTGGCAGATGTGACCGACTGATAACACGCGTGTTCGGCCAACATCTTCACTGCTTCGCTGACTTTTCCGCCGGTCGCCGATCCTTTGAGAATGGGAGTGGAAAAAACGAGTTGCAGATCGTCGACGTCTTGTTTTTTTGTCGTTCCCTTTTCCGGGTCGATCTGCCAAACGCCTCCCGTCGCATCGATTCCAGCAATTATATGAGTGCTCATCCAGTGGAGATACACAAGGGGAGTCGGAAGATCGAACTGCCGAAGCACTGTTGCTCTTTTCTGGAAAATTAATGTAAGAAATTGAAAGCTCTTCAAAGTTGGAAAAAACTAACATGTTTTGTGTAAAAGTTGTTGGCGTGAATTCTCAGGACTGCCAGTTTGTGTCCTCGATTCACGCACACTTTGAAGTCTTTCAGAGACGTCGAATAGAGCGAAGTGAGAGGAGAATTGACGGCCGCTTCGGATTTCGGTCTTCCGAGCCAATAGGAAACAGTGGGCGGGAATCGATACTCGAATTTGATGGGGAACACTCCGAGAACCTGTCCACGGGGCTTCAGGACATAGAGAAGAAGTCTATGGACAGAGAGAAGGGCGATGACGTCTCCAGGCAACATCTTCATCGAAATGACTTCTCCATTGCATCCGGACACGTGGCACCGTAGTCTGTCACTTTTTTTTTGAAGCCACGGTTTGCTGATGGTGCACTCGTAGAAACTGCCCCCGTTGTCGATCGTCAGAAGTGTGTGGTTGTCCTTCGTGTAGAGCACCTGCACAATTCCCTGTCCAGACTGTCCGCCCTCTTCAACCATATGGTACAGTTTGTTGTCAATCGTCATGATCTTGACTGCTCCCTTTTGCATTCCAATTGCCAGAAACTTTCCGTCGAGCGAGAAAGTCACGCAACTGGCGCCACCCATCGATTCGTCGCCTCGGTGGAACTGATTGAGATTTCCGTTCAAATCGAACAGGAGCAGCTGTCCCTTGCTCGTCACCACGGCAATCCATCCGTTTCTCTCGGCCACAGCGATAGCTCGACCCGTCCGTTTCTCATTCGAAAGAATCTGATGCGAGATAACTTCTGAAAAAGGGAATGGGCAGGGGAACGGAGTAGAACATTAACTGACGATGTGGCTGTACAACGAATGCAGAGTCGAGTTTGTAAGTGAGCGGAAGTCCGTCAGAAGTGGCAACAGACTCGGCCAAGTTGGAAACGGATCCGAATTCAGTGTCGACTACGTAGGGCTCATCGAGAAACGGCTCAGAGAGATGCTCCGTCTGAAACGGGGATTCTTAGCAGTCAGATGGGATTTGCTCGCTCACATCATTGAGCGCATCCTCCAACGAGAACGTCGGCGCATTGTTGAAGTCGCCCAGATCAAGCCAGTCCTCTTTCTCAAGGGATCCGGATCCGGCTGTGCTCATCCACTTGCTGCAACCGAAAATGTTCAAGTGTTTCGGGATCATTCGATACATTATCCCATTGGATCTCAACCATTTTCCATCATTTCTCCGTCAATTTTCACGAATAAACCATAATAATTTATTCAACAAGAATTGATCAGAAAAAAAAGAATATTAAAATAAAACAGAAGATTCCTGAAGAGAACAATAAAATCACCCAGTAGTTTACAATGAAAAGGGAAAGAAGCATAGCAATGTTTAGCCCGCCGGGAAAGGATAACTGACATAAGAGCAGAAAAAAGCATATCACAAGTTTTTTGGTGTTTAGTTGGCACTTTGGTAGACGAAAAGGGTTAGTAGAAAGTGAAAATGAAAAATGATTAGTGTTCACATGATGATGTCTTTCGAAGGCACATTCACAGATATCACCTTGTGAGGTAGAACACTAGCTTCATTCATGTACAACTCGTCTTTCACAACCTGAAAGTAGTTGTTTAGAGGCAGAATCACGAGAATAACAGTCCTACCACGTCATCTCCGAGTACACAGTTATTCTCCATACGAATCCAGCTTCCAACGCGACATTGCCGACCGATGATGCTTGTGGAAACATACGTGTAATTCCCGATTGTCTGAAAAAGAAAGAACTTTAGGAGAGAAAGGCACGCAAACTTTGTACCGAATCAGAAAGGATGGTCGCGTGCTGGATACGGGCGCCTCCTTCGATCCTCACGCGTGGCCCGATGACGGCGTCCGGTCCGATGACACAGCCCTCTCCGACAATAGCCGTTGGATCGACTGCAAACGGGCGGAATGTCTGATTGCTGCTAATTATGTCGCTCACCTAGCACATTTCCTCTGATCTTCGCCGTTTCATGAATGTTGGATCCCGTCTCCAGCTCTTCTGCTTTCGTGGTCCGTACATGATTCAGGAACAGTGACATTCCTTTGAGGAAATCTTTCGGCTGTCCGACATCCATCCAGAATCCGGGGAGAACGTAGGCGTACAGATCTCCGGAGGTTGCCATTTCCGGAAAGATTTCTTTCTCGATACTCGTTGGTTTCAGTGGGATGCGATCGAGAATTGCTGAGTTGAAAATGTAGAGTCCGGCGTTGATTTTGTTGCCGACGTATTCTTGTGGCTTCTCCACGAAGTCATCAATTTTTCCGTTGGCTTCGTCAAACACGACGACTCCGTATTTTGAAGGCTCCTCAACTTTCGTCACCGCGATTGTTCCCTCACGACCGTGCTTTTTGTGGAATTCAATCATCTGTTTGAAGGGGAAATCGCAGATGACATCGCTGTTGAGCACAAAAAACGGAGCGTCGCCTTCTAGATGCTTTCTGGCCAACGCGAGCGGACCGGCGGTTCCTAGTGGCTCCTCTTCAAGGGAGAAAATGAGTTTGACTCCAACTCGATCCGCATGCACCGTCATCTCCTGCTCCAACTGCTCCGCACGGTAACTGACTGCCAGCACAACAGTATCCACCCCAGCCGCGGCGAGCGCCTCCAATTGATGCAACATCATCGGTTTGTTGGCGAACTCCACGAGCGGCTTCGGCTGTGTGAGAGTGAGCGGCCTGAGCCGAGTGCCGTATCCGCCGACAAGAATGAGAGCCTTCATCGAAGAAAGAGGTGGTGGATTGGCCTGGAAGAATAGAAAATGAAAACAGGACAAAAACGAAAACGAAACGAGACGAGGAGAGCAGAGCGAAACGTGTGCAGTACTGATAGTATGTATACAACTGGAGAGTGAGAAGAGGACCGACGTGGCGCTTTTTGGTTGGTTGGCTGGTCTGCTTTGAATAAATAAACCATTCGTTTTGCCATGTGGACTACAGACATGATCGATGGAAAGGATACACTGATATAGGTCATTCCGCGCAGCGTTTATCGTGGATCTACAGGAAGGAAAGTTCAGGCGATCAACACGTTTAGTTCAAAAACTTGAGATCGTTTTCGTTTACATGTGGGTATACCTTTCTTCTCTCCTAAGCTTTTCCCATGTTTCGACAATGGAATCAGGAATGTTTTCAACAACAACGAAAGGCAGAGAACATGCAAAAACGATCAACTTGATGGCCGAGAAACTGCGCTCTAAAAAATTCCACGTAGCGCGCGGCACTGTTGCTCCGGAAATGTCAGTAGAGCGCATTTTTAATACGCAACAAAGTTGAGTCAAAAAGAAAATTTCATTAAAAAGATTTTATGAATAAAGTGATGAAAAAACAACCAACAAATGAATTAAAACTAATTCCACATCGAACAGATGTTCTCGGCCGTGTACTCCTCTCGGACAATTCGGTTTTCGGCCACTGTCATCAAAATCAACACGAAGCTTCACGAAAATGACTGAATGTGACGACTACGCCCGAATAATATCGTTCAACAACGATGAAAGTGAGCTAAAAATATATCAAGTTAGTAAAAAAAACTCAAATCTTTGTTCTTTTTCTTCAATTGCCTTTCGCAAACTCAGTTCGATTCAGGAAATTCTGACAGATGTCGGTGGAGTGATATGGGACAGCGCGCTGATGACAATACATTACTTCTTCAAAAATCCAAAGCTTTTCGAAGGCAAGAAAGTGAATTAACATGTCTGTATGGCTTAGATATTGATTTTTACAGGTTCTTGAGCTAGGAAGTGGAACTGGCGTGTGTGGAATCGCGTTGGCCGCTCTCGGAGCGGAAGTGATTCTCACTGATCTTCCCGAACGAATTCTATTACTTGAAAAAAACGTGGAAGCGAATCGGAAGCTGGTGAATGATCGTGTCAAGGTTCAAGTGCTCGACTGGAAGACGGACGATATCCCGGATGGCCTAGATTTGGTCCTCGCAGTCGATTGTGTCTACTACAATAGTACAATCACTCCGTTGATTGATCTTCTTAAAAACTGTGATGCAAAACAAATAATTGTCGTGAGCGAAGAGCGGGACATCGGAGAGGCTTCGGATGCGCAGAAGACGTTCTTCAAACAAGTCGAGGAATTCTTCCGATTCTCACCGATTTCTCAGCGAGAACTCGATGCGGATTACTGCGCAGACGACATAATCATTGGCCAACTGATAAGAAGAGTTTAGCGAGCGAGACACGTTGCTTTATTTATTTGTTTTTGATAAACATTCGAACTTCTTTATCATGTTCTAGTCGTGTCAATCATATGGTCGCCGTCCTGATATGCCAAGTACCGTCTCATTGCAGTTTCCCTTTGTTTCCTTGTCCTCAATTGTACAGTTTTTAATTCATTTTTCAGAAATGGCTCCCCCGCACCCGAGAGATCCATCTACTGCTGCCAATTATGAGCAGGTTTCCTTTCCCATCCTGCCTTGTTTCACACAAACTGTCGATTTAGGTGACTGTCTCGCATTACGCTCTGAAATGGAAAGTTGACTTCGAAAAGAAGCACATCCTCGGAGCAGTTAGCGCTACTCTTGACGTGAAGAATGTCACCGAAAAGATTGTTCTGGATACCCGTGATCTGACGATCCATTCAGTTGCTCTGACGCTCAATGGAGAACAGAAAAAGGCGGGATTCGTGCTGGAAGATAATGAAGCACTCGGCCAGAAACTGGTGATCTCTACGGTTCCTCTGAAGTCTGGGGACAAGCCACTGCTCGAGATTGGTTACGAATCCAGCAACAATGCGGCGGCTCTTCAATTTTTGACCGCTGAGCAGACTACTGATAGAGTGGTGAGAATTCTGAAATGAAAAAAAACAGTGTGATAAGGAGAACGATAAACTTCAGGCCCCGTATCTCTTCTCGCAATGCCAGGCCATCAACGCTCGCTCGATCGTCCCTTGCATGGACACTCCTTCCGTCAAGAGCACGTACGAGGCGGAAGTGTGTGTTCCCGTCGGATTGACGTGTCTCATGTCGGCTATCGGACAGGGATCGAAGCCGTCCGAGTGCGGCAAACGGACTATCTTCCAATTCAAACAACCGGTCGCCATCCCTTCCTACCTTCTCGCGGTCGTCGTTGGTCACCTACAACAGAAGGTTATCAGCGAAAGATGCTCTGTTTGGGCCGAACCCTCGCAAGCTGAAGCTGCTCTCTACGAATTCGAAGAAACTGAGAAGATTCTGAAGGTGGCCGAGGAAGTGGCCGGGCCTTACGTCTGGGGAAGATACGACATGGTCGTTCTGCCGGCGACGTTTCCGTTCGGAGGAATGGAGAATCCCTGCCTCACTTTCATCACTCCGACTCTTTTGGCCGGCGATCGCAGTCTCGTGAATGTGGTCGCCCACGAGATCTCTCACAGCTGGACGGGAAATCTGGTAACCAACTTCTCCTGGGAGCATTTCTGGCTCAACGAAGGATTCACTGTCTTCCTGGAGCGGAAGATTCACGGCCGAATGTACGGAGAGCTAGAGAGACAGTTCGAGAGTGAAAGCGGATACGAAGAAGCGCTTGTCCGCACTGTCAACGACGTCTTCGGGCCAGATCACGAGTATACGAAGCTAGTGCAGAATCTTGGAACCGCCGATCCGGACGAGGCGTTTTCGTCTGTTCCGTACGAGAAAGGATCTGCTCTTCTGTTCACAATCGAACAGGCATTGGGGGATAACGGCCGTTTCGAACAGTTTTTGAGGGATTACATTCAGAAGTACGCATACAAAACAGTTTCGACGGAGGAGTGGAAAGAATATCTCTACGACACATTCACTGATAAGAAGGCCATTCTGGATAGCATCGACTGGACTCTGTGGCTGCACAAGGCGGGACTTCCTCCGAAGCCAAAGTACGATTCGACTCTGATGCAGGCGTGCAAGGCACTCGCTTCCAAATGGACAACAGAAGGAGCGGAGGCGCCGACGGACGGGGAACAGTTCGCAAAGATGTCGAACTCGCAGAAGTTGGCAGTCATTGATGCGATCCGCGTGAATAAAAAGACGTTCGGAGATCGGATGCCCTCTTTGACGGCCACTTACAAATTGGATCAGGCCAAAAACGCGGAGCTCAAGTTCTCGTGGCTCATGCTGGGTCTCGAAACAAAATGGACTCCGATTGTGGAAGCCAGTCTGGCGTTCGCATTGGTTATGGGTAGAATGAAGTATTGCAAACCAATCTACAGGTGAGATAGATGTCAGTTTAAAGATGACGAAGTGGAGATTTCAGATCGCTTTTCGAATGGAGTGCGACCCGTGAAAGAGCCATTTCGCAGTTCAAGACCAACATTCCGAACATGCATCCGATTACCGTCAAAGCTATCCAAAGCCTTCTAAAGTAGATTAAACTGTTGTATATGCTTCCTTCGAATGATACGCATAATATTGTCGTGTTTCTTGTACACTTTTTTGTTAAATAAAAATGTTTATTATTAAAAACTATCTCTAAATATCCTACAGAGATCACCCGTTTCACTTGTTCTCCCGCAACTTTCGGAGATCGTAGTCCGCCCAATCGTATTTGCATTTGTATGGCATAAACCGTTCCGGGACGCCTTTCAACCTTAATAACCGCATCTCCTTCCACTTCTCGTAATCTTTCTGGGAGTCTCTGCAAAGAATAATTTCGTATTTTGTATGAATCAAGATAAACTAACCGAACACTGAGAACAACAGAACAGGGAATGGATACCATACTGAGAACGTATGCGAGTTTCGCCCGTCCGGTCACTCCGTAGACGAACATGTTGGTGAGCACAAAGTTGGTGAACATCGAGATACCTGTCTGTGTGAAACCAGGATCCGGATTCTGAAGTGCTTCGATAATTAATTAATTGGAAAGATGGACATTAAGCTAACCTTGAAAAGCCCGAATAGTTTTGAATTTTGAAGAGGCGGGTTTTCGTCGTCTTCTATTGTGGCACTCATTTTCTGCAGAGAATAATTATAAGTAAAGTTTAACAATTACGTATCAAGGCAAATGAAAGAGAAACATTTTTGAAGAGGAAAGAAACTTGTTTTGTTTAAAAACTTGTTGAAAACAATGAGAGCCAGAACATTTTTTAGAATGAGACGCAAGCAGCACATCGTACGACAGAATGCACAAACTCAATGTAAAAAAAAACTGGTTTCTGGATTTTCAAAAAATCAACGTTTTTTTGTAAATAATCTTCCAATTTCAATTCGTTTAAAATGTTTATTGCGTTTGTGCACGGAACCGTGCTTCTCTTATCTGTCTTGTTGTCGTGCTTTTAAAACTTCTACGGTCTTGAAGCAAACGCATTGATAATTTCGATTGATCTTTTCTCCAACTCAGTCAGCTAGATTTTGCATCTTTAACGCTCTACTTGTTCTTTTTCTTCATTCGATTGTCCCCTGCTTCTCACGACAATACCTTGCATGCCTTCTAAATACATAGACATTTCATCGTTCCCTTCACCTGACTCATGCCTCTCCCCCGATTTATAAAGCGCTTCAATCGAACGAGAAAACCTCCCAGGCAACCATGTCGACGTCTTCTTCCTACTATTTCAAGTTCGCCGCCGTCTTTTGCGTGTACGTGGCGTACGTGCTCTTCCGACGTCTTCCAATCGCATTTCTGCCTCAAATACGAACGGAGATTCAATTGTCCAATGATGGAATCGGTAGGTTCAATGAAACCGCCAAAACGCGCATGTAGAAAACTCCGGAATCTGCTGTTCTCTATTCCTAATATTGTTATTCTTTGTGCCTCCTCCTTATCATTGATCTCTTCTTGTTATTTTCGTCTCTTCTTGTCACGCTCCTCGCTGGTTGATTGTTCTTTGGTGAAGCTTGCTTCTTTTCTGGTCTGCTACGAATGCTAACTCAACGATGGTCGGCTATCATCCGGAGGCGATAAATGAGCCGCTCACCTCCGCGGAGTACAGCGAGGCGGGACTCGCAAGCGGCATCGTCACTCGCATGATCATCCAGCCGTTGGATGTGCTCAAGATCCGATTCCAATTGCAGGAGGAGCCGATTCGCGGGAGAAAGTCCGGCAAGTACAAGGTTTTTCGGCGAGTACTCGTGTACCTTCTTCACTTTTCAATTTCCAGGGAGTCCTGCAGTCGGTGTTCCTGATCACTCGAGAAGAAGGTGGAAATGCCTTCTGGAAGGGACACATACCTGCTCAAGGGCTGTCTGCGATGTACGGCCTCGTGCAGTTTTCCTCGTTCGAGTGGCTCTCGCGTCATGCGGGAAGACTTGTCCCATCAGAAGATCCTGCAGTACGATCGTCTTCTGATTTTATCTGTGGAGCCCTCAGTGGATGTCTCGCGATGACAGCCGTCAGTCAATGACTCTGAACAATCCTCCCACATCGAATGGTTTGCAGGCAATGCCGTTGGATGTGATCAGGACACGATTAGTTGCTCAGAAGTCGGGACACGCAGTCTACACGGGCACAACGCACGCAATAAAACACATTTGGGAGAAAGAAGGAATCCCCGGTTACTTCCGTGGCTGGGTACCCAGTGTCGTTCAAATCGCCCCGTTCACCGGAATGCAGTTCGCTCTCTACAACTGTTTCATGGATCTGTGGCCTTTCACGGAGCACGACTCCACTGGAGCACTTTTCAGTGGAGCCATGGCCGGAACGGTCTCTAAAACGGTGAGCTATTACTTTCATAAACAAGATCGGGTTACAATTTCCGTGTTCAGGTGCTCTACCCACTTGATATGGTCCGACACCGTCTTCAAATGAACGGTTTCGAACGTTCGGGATTTGGAAAGACGAGCAATTACAGTCAAGGACTGTTCAAAACCATAATGATGGTTGTGCGGAACGAGAGTTGGTATGGCCTTTTCAAAGGACTCTGGCCGAGTCAGATCAAAGCGGCGGCCAACTCGGGCTGCGCTTTCCTCTTCTATGAAATGTTCTGCGATCTCATTCGACGAAACAAGCATTCGAATGATTAGGTGAGCGCACAAGAAGTACGTACTCGCCGAGGAATGAAATTGTTTTGCAGGAATCCGTTGCCTAGCAGCAGCTTTCGAAATCTCCAAGTAGGTTAGACTAGGCTACATTTCTCCTTCTTCTCCCTCTCTTCTCACGAAATATCTCCTCTGTTTTGTTAGTTTTCCAAGTTTACTATGTCAAATTTTGTGCCTTTGACATCGTGCTACAGGTTGTATCTATGAATGTATTCGGTTTCAGATTGCCTTTAAACTTCGCTCCCCGTTTTTTTCTTTGTGGTAATAAAAATGAGATTCTTATCCGGGATTTCTAGATGCGCGTCTTGCGAGTTTTCACAATCACAAAACGGGAAAATCCCCGCCCATTATAGGTCGAATCGTATCGATCCATGCAGCCGCGTTCACTGTCAGTAAGCTCATTTTCGGCACCGCTGCCGACAAAACATGCAACTCGCGGCTGCTCATCGGAGGAGTTCTCATCTGCTCGACTGCTTCCATGTGTCTAGGTACAAACTGGAAATACTGTACTTATGGGATAAACAGTTTGCAGCCTTCTCGAGTGCAGTCTGGCAGATTGAAGTAGTGATGGCAATGATTGGCGGAGTGCAGGGAGCCGCTTGGGTGCCAGCCACGAAACTAGTCGCCACAGTAAACCCTTTCCCTTTGAAAAGTTCCTCTGACGTGGTTCTTTCAGTGGTTCGACGACTCTTCCTTCGCGACGATGTTCTCTTTGCTCGGCTGCGGAAGCACTCTTGCGGGCATGATCCTCCCGCTTTTCAAGAACTTATACTGGCGAACCGTTGAGCTGAACTCTGGTCTTTTCATGTTTATTTTTGCTTTGATCTGCAAGAAATGGATAATCACGGAGAGCGGACTTCAGATGGAGGGGAAAGCGATGAAAAGGACCGAACTGGAAGCATCACACGGAGTCAAAACAATTGTGAAAAGTTCAGTTATCTGGCACATCGCTCTGGTTTACTTCTTTTCCATGGAAATGCGGACCATCTGCGAGACGTGGGTGCCGTTGTATCTAAACGAAAACAAGGTGTCTGTCGATGGATTCCAGTTCCTTTACGAACTCGGAGGACTAACGGGGACCATAGTCAGCGGGATGTTACTCGATAACCTCTCCGAGAGAATGGGAGTGGATCAGTCGAGGAGACTGCTCGGAATCATCTTCTCGACTGCAATGATGTCGCTGGCGATCGCAGTGTTCAACTACGAGCAGTTCTCCTCTCCTCTCGGCTTCGTCACCGGATTCTTCGTGAACGGATCCATCAACGTGTGGTGTCTGATCGGATCTCAGTCGGGAACTAGGAACGTCGCAGGCACAGTCTCCGCATTCATCAGTTTCATTGCTTCCAGTGAGTCAAACATCCAATCCCTTCAACTTCTCCTCATTTCAGTGGGTTCCATCTTCGCCGGCAGTCCACTCGCCCACCTCATCGCCGTCTTCTCCTTCCCGGTTTTCACAGTCCTCTTCATCGCCCAAATTCTCTTCGTTCTTTCGATTTCCAGCCTTCGGATCCCGTTGAGAATGGATTCGATTACTACTGAAAAGAAGACTGAATGACCTTTTTCCTGTGTCATTTCACTTTTCGTGCTCATACTTTCCACCTTGCCATAAAGTCTACTGCACTCTTTTCAGTACCTCTGATTCAATTGGTCGCATTCCACTAACTATGTAGCTTCGGACTTTTCTGTGTAGTGGCTAAGCAACCAATCGTTACATTCATTCAGACATGTTGACGGAACTGGCGTTCAGCCTATTCGCCGCTTGGATAGTCATTTTCAGTCAGGCTCTTCACAAAATCGAAGAAGGACACGTTGGAGTCTACTACCGGGTGCGACGCCTTCTTTCTCAGTTGTCCACAACTGGAAAGTATCTTTTTCAGGGAGGAGCTCTTCTGAAAACGGTAACTCAACCCGGTTACCACATGCATATTCCCTTTCTGACGACCGTCAAATCAGTGCAAGTTACCCTTCAAACCGACGAAGCGACCAATGTTCCGTGCGGAACTTCCGGAGGAGTCATGATCTATTTCGACCGCATCGAAGTCGTCAATATCTTGGCGCAAGAAAGCGGTGAGAAAAACGGATACACTTCGAAATGCTCATTGTTCTTCAGTTTATGCAATTGTCAAGAATTACACTGTCGACTACGACCGACCGCTCATTTTCAACAAAGTGCACCACGAAGTCAATCAGTTCTGCAGCATCCATACCCTTCAGGAAGTCTACATTGATCTCTTCGGTACCTTTCGATGTCTTTTTACTTTGAGCCCCAATTTCTCCGCTTGTTTCCAGATAAAATTGACGAGGAAATCAAGAGTGCGCTCCAGGAAGATCTCGTGAAAATGGCCCCTGGCCTCTTCGTGCAGGCCGTTCGAGTCACAAAACCAAAGATTCCGGAGGCGATTCGACTGAATTACGAAAAGATGGAAGCGGAGAAAACGAAGCTGCTCGTGGCACATGAAACTCAGAAAGTCGTGGAGAAACTGGCAGAAACAGAGAGAAAGAAGGCTGTGATTGAGGCGGAAAAGAGTGCGCAAGTGGCACTGATCCACCAAAAGCAGCTGATTGCCGAGAAGGAAACACAGAAACTGTTGAATCAATTGGAAGCGGAGAGCCATTTGAGTAAGAGCAAAATTCAGTGATCATCAGAGAAACGATCCCTTTCAGCCAGCGAGAAATCAAAGGCCGACGCAGAGTTTTATAGAGCCAAGAAGCAAGCAGACTCCAACAAACTCTTGCTCACCAAGTAAAGGAATGTACTTAATTTTCTGACAGTTTGAGTTGTTTCAGGGAGTTCCTGGAGCTTCAGCAGATCCAGGCCGTCGCCTCGAACAACAAGATCTACTACGGAGACAGCATCCCGAAAGCGTTCGTATTCGGGAACAGCCAGAAAGTCGAATAATTCCTATTTATGCCGAGTTCCTATTTTCCTTCGTCTTGCCCACCTGCCCTGCTCTGTTTCTGCTCGTTATACTTTGTTCTCTTCTCCATTTTCATTCCATAAATGCACCTTCCCCCTCTCTGTCAAGAATAAGATAGAAATCACAAGAAGAGGTTAGTGTGACGTGTTCGCAGAAGTGTTTTTCCATCCGCCGAACCGTCATTTCTCACTTTCGATTTTTTCGATTTTCTGTGAATTTCCCCAAAAACTACTCGGTTGTACTCGATTATCATGAAAAGAATAAGTGATTGTTGTGGTAGGTCAAGCGGAGAATCCGTCCGAAAACGGATCTTCTGAAGACGTTTCGCCGCCCGGGAAGCAGCACATTTTGACGAGTAATATGAGCAATCGCGGAAGTCTGAACGAGAGTCTCATTATGGATCACGAGTGGGGTTCTACGCTAGTTTCCAAATCAGTAAGAATTACAGTCAGATCTCGGCTGATTACGACTTTGTCACCAAAGCTTTGTTGGTTCAGAAGAGATCTTCGAAAAATGATAACTTGGTGGGGAGAAACGTCTAAATTCAACCTGAATCCAAGAGTTCAGAACACTTCACGGATCATCACTTCTTGCCAGAAGTCTTCCGTTTCCTTGTCCTATTTCTTCGAGGAGTATGGTAACATTCCGCTGCCTATCTGGATGACTGCCGCTCTCATTCGTGGTACACTTGAAAAGCCGAAGTTAAACAGAAATATTGTATTTTCAGACATGGCAAAAGCCTTGCTGCAACTGCACAACAACCAAGTGGTTCACGGAGCGGTGACGCCGGAAAATATCCACTTCATGAAAGAGAAACCTTGGATCTGCCTACTGACGAGCAGAGCGCACGCTCGCAAAATCAATCCGCACAAAATGTAGGCTTTTCTTGCCTTTTTTGGTCGAACGCGGCTGACTCACTTTTTCAAAACATATAGTTTGAACTCGAAACTTTTCGCGCGTTTTTAATAGAGCGCAACTGCTGACCACACGAAAAAGCCGCGGTTTTCTTTGTTGTTTTCGAAATCCAGATGTGTCCGCGTTTTCCAGAATGAAGTCCCGCGCCGAAGACATTGCGCAGCTCGGTCACGTCCTTTTCCGTTGTCTGACCGGATGGGAGGTCGGGACTGTCGATTTGACTGGCCGCCCGTTCGAAATCCCCGAAAACGGTCTCGTTTTGGCGTCGAAAATGATGGCTCGCAAATTCAGCGAACCCGTCCAGTACATCATGACCCATCCGTTTGTCGTCGAAAACTGCAAATTGCGAACTGCTCGTTTCTTGAAGTTGACTTCTCTTCAATAAATTCGCCCGTTCTCACCGTTCCTCCTTTTTTTGAATGAAGTAAATTTCAGAGATGGCAGATGAAGAAAGACCGACCGAGGTGAAACCGGCAGAAGAAGGTGCGTCAGAAGCAAGACCGACTGAAGATAAACTGGACGAAAAAGTGCCGGGAGAAACAATAATACCGTTTTCATTTGAAAAACTGTTTGAAATAGAGGTCATGGAGCCGGAGGTTATCCCAGTGAGACGAGTAGAATACTCCGAAAAACGATGGTTGCTCCTTACCGCCGTCGCCCTTCTCAACTTCTCGAGCACCTTCTCATGGATCATGTTCTCTACGGTTTCCAACTACGTGGACTCGTTTTACGGCCATGAATCGGCTGTTTGGTGAGTTCGCAAGCTCTTAATGAAACACTCGCTCATCTGTTATTTTCAGGTTCTCACTAATCTTCATGGGTGTCAGCATTCCGATGGGTCTTGCTGCCATTACGATTGGCTCAGGATGTGGGATGGGAACTGCAATAAATGTGGCCGCTGCCTGCAACGTTATCGGTGCTATAATCCGGATTCTGTCGGTGATCGAGTTTATCAGTTTTCGCTTCGGGCTCTGTCTTTTCGGACAGCTAATTGCCGCGATGGCATATCCTTTCATGATGTTTCTGCCGGCAAAACTGTCCGCCGAATGGTTCCCACCTCCTCAACGAGCCATGGCCACTACAATCGGACTCATGTCGAGCCCACTGGCCGTAATGCTTGCAAATCTGCTGGTCCCTGTTATTGTAACGTCTCCAAAAGATGTGATAATCTTGAATATCTCGGTCGGAGTATTGTGTGCTTTTGTCGCAATTCTCTCTGGTGTGAGTCTCCCTACACCCGCGTTTTGTGAAAACATGAATTTCCATTTCAGTACGCAACTTCAGAAATGAAGAACTGGATTCATAGACCGGTGAGTCCTCTGGTCGTGCTCACCTGCACGCAAAGTCTACACGAGTGTTTATCCAACATGCCCTACGTGCTTCTTATGATTATTCTCGGTGGAGGGATCGGAATGTTCAACTGTCTGTACACGATGATGTCCGTGATCCTCTGTCCTGCTGGATACACAAAAATCGTCGCATCAGCGTGTGCAACTCTCATGATCACGTTTGGTGTCGTAGGATCAGCCATCGCCGGATACGTGCTTGGAGTGACCCGAATGTATAAGGAAATTCTCTACGTCACTTTGGGTTGTGCCGTCCTTTTCGGTCTCATCTTCCTCCAACTGACACGTGTTCCCGGGATTCCAGTGCTGCTCTTCTTTTTCAGTGGACTTTTCGGACTCGCTGGCCTTGCATCCTACCCGGTCGGGTTGGAGCTGGCTGCCGAATGCGCCTACCCGGTTCTTTCGGAGTACTACTCCGGATTCATCATTCTCTCCGGACAGGCATTCAGTGTGCTCTTCGTTTTCATTGTAAAATATTACGCAATCAGTCTGGACTCCGCCGAAATCGTATCCGGACCGCAAGTGTGTCAATTAGGTGCGGAAGATCCTATCAATTTGCCCAAAGACTACTCTGCTTCATTCATTGTGGGTTAAACACCTCAGTCACGTTTTCTAACCGGCTCTCATTATTCAGATAATTTCTTTGATTGCCGTCGCACTTGTCGCTCTGCTCCCTTGCATTCATCCCAAGTACAAACGAATGGAGGAGGAGATGAGCAACGGTGAGCAGGTAGAAGAGAACGACAAAAAGGCGTTGAAGAGCAACTTCTTCTCTTGTATTCGATCGGATTCCCCTGAGCCCGAAGTAGTTGTTCCCCAAGAAGTGATTGCACCTCAGCAACAACCCGCCGAAGGGTCAGTCCAAGAGCTCTGCGACTAAGAGCCGCCGGCAGTTGTTCGTAAATCAATTGTTCAGTCTAAAATTTTATTATTTTGATATTTATTAATTGATGTTCCTATTTAATAAAATTATAACAGGTGAACGCTTACCCAAAATAAAAAGCACCCGAGCTATGTTAAATTGGCACAAATATCTGTATAAATAGGTCTGACGAGTTCCATTCCGTGCGCCGATAAATGATTTATGGCTGTGAAGTAGCTGAAACCTTTTTCGTCGAAAAACTCGAAGCGGCGAGTGGCGTTATTGTAGAGAAGCGACTGATAATCGATGAGTTCGCACTTGGCTCCGCACTCTTTCACGACCGCTTCCGTCCGGAAACGAGCCAGCTGCCACGTGGGGTCCGGGTCCACCAGTGTCTTCTGAAATGCACGATTCGGAAGGATGTCATCGAACGACTCTCTCACGTGGATCTCTTCCAGTTTCCTGTTCTTCTTCAGATCTTTCGCGATCGTTCCCACATAATATCGATTGGTTCGCGGGAACGCGTCAAGAACGAACAGCTTCTTTTTGATGTGCGGAACGAATTTGTTAATCTGACTGCGCATCTGCTGATACGTGGAATCCGTCTCCAAATCGGTGACGTTGTTCACGAACGGAACTCCCGTGGCAAAGTATCGAGTGATGAGGAAGGCGTAGTCCGGCTTCGCACTCGTCAGAAAGTCAACAAAGTCCACCAGATGTCTCTTGCAGTGCTCTTCGTTCGAGAGAGCAGCCAACGGCTCACAACCTGAGCGATTTCAAATAGAAAAGAGAAAAAGAGCAGTTCTCATACCGTATTCGGAATACATTGTGACGTTGTAAGCCCGATATCTGCACTCTTGAAGGAACATTTTATGGTGATTCTCAGTCAAACTGTTTCCGAATATCACCAACTTGAAGTCTTTTCCCTTTTCCTCAAAGTCACACCACACTTTCCCGGGCGTTCGTTTCACACATCCAGGCTCCCGGAGTCCTCCTAAATCAGTAGCACTCCAGTGATTGTTTAGACGGTCGGCGTCATCTGAAATCAGTTGCAGACGAAAAAGAAAAAATGGAGGGGAAACCTACCGAATGTCATGTTCGGAAGAACCCCGTCAAGCCTCGTGAAATTGCGCATTACGGGGGAGAACTTCTCGTGGATCACATCTTTGTGGATGAGTACGAGGTTGGAGAAGAAGAGCATAACGACCAGAATGGAAATGCTCGTGTTGGAAAGTTTGAGGTACCATCTGAAAATTGTTTGAATTGGTGCCGCCTGTAGAGTCGAACTTACTTCTCGAAAGTCTCATAGATCAGAACTGCCAAAAGTACAGATATCAGTAAACTTGCCATTAAAACTGAAATCGAATTATAAATAGAGAATGGAACAAAAGTGTACTATTTACCTATCTGATTGCCAGGGAAACTCAACTTAGCGTAGGCGTACATTGGCCAGTGAATCAGGTAAAGTGAATAGGAAATATCACCAATGTAAGTGAGAAATCGGTTGCTGAGATATGCGTCTCCTATCGAGAGAAGCATTAGAAAACCGGTGAAAACAGTGAAAAAGGGTCTGAGGAGGAACGGATAGAGAGCAATGGGATACGTGAGAATGTAGGCCAACGGAATGAGGAAGAAGTATTTGGAGAATGGACCCAAATTCATTGTATCCTTCGCGGATCTTTCCTTTTCCTTTCCTTCCTCTTCTTCTTCTTTGTCGCTCTCTTCGAGTCCATCGCTTTCTTCCAGAAGTTTTACCTTCCCATTACCTGATTCCAGAAGTTCATATGGCACATTGTTCACTGTTGGAATCTTGGAAGACGTGAGATATATGACCATTCCGATGAGAAACTGCCATATTCTCGCGAAGACACTGTTGAATGCGACAGTTGAAGACGATGAGAAATAGAAGAAAAGGGAAGCAAGACCTGCAAAGTTCATGTTTAAGGAACAGGAAAATGAAGGAAACTCACCGAGAATAAAATAATAGCCGTATTTGAGGGCGGGAGAGAACCTATTGCCAACGAGAAAGATGGCAGGAACAATGAAGTAGAACTGTATTTCGACCGAAAGGGACCATGTGTGAGTGAAGAGATCGATAGCCAGTTGCAGCTGAAAATAGTTGAGTGGGAGGGAATAAGGGCGGAAGGAAACCTTTTCGAAGTAGTCCTCCTCGCCAGTGTGTGGCCGATTCGAGACGAATAACAAGGCCTTCGTGGCGGACGACTGATTCTGGAGCACCGCAGAATCGGGGAACACCGTGTAGAGGGCGACGACGGTGAGCAGGAGGATGAGCAGATAAAGGGGCAGGATGCGTTTGAAGCGACGGGAGTAGAAGTGCACGAGCACGGAACACGGCGGCTTCTTCTCTGTTTTGGTGAGCAACATGCACATGAGGAAGCCGGAGAGCACGAAGAATCTGGAAGAGAACGGAAGGTCTGCTGGGGAACTGAGAGACTCACTGATCGACTCCGAGGTAGCCGTTCGGAAAGAGGTGCGGGTAGAAGTGGAAACCGAGCACCGAAAGGATCGCCAGTCCTCGGATTCCCTGCAGGTCCTGCCGTTTCGATGGAGGCGAGGACATGCCTGGAAAGAACTTGAAACCGTGATGTCTGGATGTCATAAGCAAAATGGGTTTCGAAGCGCCTCAAAACGCCTTTTCTGCCAGCCTAATTGAAATAGGAGCAAATTACCATAGTGCAATAGGGAAAATGAAGCAAACAAAAGGAGGAAAATTAGAAAAACCAGAAAAGATAGGAAATTCTTTTATCGATGGCTCCGACTGAGAAGAAAGGACATCATTCCGGGGAGAAAGGACTAAATTTGCATAACAAGAGCGTGTGCCCGCACAAAAAACATTGCTGATTCTTCAATAGCTTGCAATCGTACACGTTTGGACAAGAAACCTTGATAAGAGTTTGCTGCGGAACAAAAAAGTAATTAAAAAGCGATGCACAGAAACCGAAAACCGGGTAGAGGTGGCCGAAACGAGGGAGAAGACTGCAGCAAAAAAATGTAGGACCGCATGATTTCTATAGTTTCCAGATACAGCCAAAATCTATGAAAAAGGAGAACGTGGTCATCTAGGCCAAGTTCAGTATCTGAAAAAGATCAAATTGTCGTTTTTGTCATTTTCAAACTTGGGTAATTAAGCCTTCATTAGGGAAAAGAAAACAAAGAGTCAAAGTTTAAAAAAATTGTGTTTGGGAAGATGAAATTGATGACTCAGACAACGCGTTTCGATGTATCGGCGGTTCACGGGCCCACTCAGCCAGGAAAATAAACTATAGTTTCTGAATGAGCCCGTGAATCGCCGATACACCGAGTCTGCGGGCCCGTTATTTATACTGATTTTTCAGGAATCTCACTGAAAAAGAACGGAAAGAGGTCACAAATTCCGTTTGAGAACGACAACAGATGCCTTAAATTATTGCTGCTGAATAAAGATACTTCTCAGGGAATCATTTCTCTCCAGAATTTCACAGATAACCTTATGTTCATCTCTGTGCAGGATTCCCGATTCAGATCGTTTTCAGACAATTTCAACGCAAACAATGCCACCAAGTCGGAAAGAATTGAATCGAAGAGACTCGTTCTGTTCTTCGCATTCAGCAGCGCCATCTCGTCGTTGTCGCTCTAGATATCAACATAACGAAAATGTTCAGTCCAAAATTTTTTCGAAAAAAGAAAGTCATGTTTTTGAGGAGTATAGCTAGAGATTGCAGTGTTTCTAAGAACTAAAAATCTAGCATAGTGTAACACATTCCGATGAGATTTTTCCCGAAACTGTCAAGTTTGTTAACCCCCATTCCAGTCGGAAATAGAAGTAAATCACAGGAAGAGAGAACAGAAGTCGTGAATACGCCTAGTTCCAGAGCCGTTTATTCACCCGTTATACATTAAAACAAAAAGTTAACTGGAGATATAAAAATCATGATAGATTTGCACAAATCTTGGTGTAAATTGGCCGAACTAATTCGATTCCATGGGCAGAGAGATGATTGGGAGAGGTGAAGTAGGAGAATCCACGTTCATCGAAGTACTGGAGCATCTTCGTCGAATTGTTCCAGAAGAGCGGCAGATAATCGATCAGTTCGCACTTTCCATTGCACTCTTTGATGAGAGCGGCATGTCGGAGCCTTCCTCTCTCGTACCCATCTGGGACCAGCAACTTCTTCTGCAATCCAACTTTCTGCTTTTTCGTGATTTTTCTCCCACTTACACTGATCTCTTCTATACTCTTCCCTTGCTTCAAATCAACAGCGACTTTCGAAATGTACCCTGCGTTGGCTCTCGGGAATGAATCCAATATGAACAGTTTCTTTTTGATGTGCGGAATGAACTTATTGAGTTGACTCCGCATTTCCAGGTACGTCCGATCCTTTTCCAAGTCCGTGTTGTTATTGTCGAAAGGATCCCCTACGGCAAAGAATCTGGGATGAGAGGATGATGAAAGTGAGAAGATACAAAAGAATGGTTGGAAACCTTGTGAACATGAATGCGTAATCAGGTTCAGCGCTCTCAATGAACTCGACGAATTCAGGCAGTTTTGCCGCGCAACCCTTGTCATTCGGCTGGACGGCCAATGGTTCGCATCCTGAAAACCAAAGAATATTGAAATTTGAGTGTGAATCGCTAGAAGACGTACCCCTCTCCGAATCAGTCGTGATATTATATGTTCGGTGTCTGCACTCTTGAATTAGCATCTTGTGATGATTTTCCGTATAACTGTTACCGAACATTGCGATTTTGAACTCATTTCCTTTCTCCTGAATAACTGTAAGTTCGTCGGATTCAAATGTGTCTTGCGCGCACTTCGTAATCACACCAATTCGTGTGTTTTGGTGATCTCTTGATGCATCCGGGCTCAATCATTTCCTCCAAATCGTACTTGTTCCATCGATCATTCATTCGGATCGCGTCGTCTGAAAACTGCCTTTATTTTGGAAAAGTGTCAACACGAACCAAACGTCATGTTCGCAGTGACGCCATCTAGTCTCGAATACTTCGAAGTGGAAACTTTCTCGGTGATGAGTGCGTCCTGAATGACGTCTTTGTTGATGAGTGCCATGTTGGCAATGAAGAGAACGAGGATCAAAACACCGACTGACGTACTGGACAACTTCAGATACCACCTGGATAAACGTAATGTCACTCTACCTTTTAACCTAAAAGTATCTCACTTTTCAAATGTTTCGAACACAATAACGGCTACTAGCACAGAGGTGAGAAGGCTGGCAGATAGGGCTGAAACGAGGGTTGTGAGGAGGATATATTCGGAAACAGGCTCACCGAATTGGTTATCAGGGAACGTTAACTTTACGAATGCGTAGATCGGCCAGTGCACCAAGTAAAGAGAGTAAGAAATGTCTCCGATGTAGGTGAGAGCACGATAACTGAGGAAGGGATCGTCGATGGAAAGGAGCATCAGAATGCCGGTGAACACTGTGAACAGAGGCCTGAACGACGGATTCTGTCGAATCCAGACCGTTGCAGTCTTACCGAACAAGAGAGGGAAACATCTCGATCGGATAAGTGATAACGAACGCCATCGGCAGGAGGAAACAGTGTTTGGAGAAGGGACCGAGGGAAGTGGAAGGCGGGGACGGCGAAGGGATTCGCTCTTCTATCGCCTCCCCCTCCTCTTCCTCCTCCGAGAATCCGTCTTTGTCGATCAGACAGACTGCATCGCTTTCTCCGTTCTCAACTGATTCCAAACGTTTGTAAGAGGCGCTCGCAGTCGAATGGACGGGAGAAGGGGCACACATGTAAATGAGCATGCCGATGAGGAACTGCCATATCCTTGCAAGCGTACTGTTGAATGACATTTCTGGGGGTAATGAGAGGTAGAAGGCCAGAGAGATCAAGCCTGGAATGAGAGAGGGAGAGTGAGTGAGAGCAGGGAAGAGGAAACTCACCGAGAATGAAATAATAGCCGTATTTGAAGGCGGGAGAGAGCATATTGCCAACGAGGAAGATGGCAGGAACAATAAAGTAGAACTGTATTTCGACCGAAAGGGACCATGTGTGAGTGAAGAGATCGATAGCCAGTTGCAGCTGAAAATAGTTGAGTGGGAGGGAATAAGGGCGAAAGGAAACCTTCTCGAAGTAGTCCTCCTCGCCAGTGTGTGGCCGATTCGAGACGAATAACAAGGCCTTCGTGGCGGACGACTGATTCTGGAGCACCGCAGAATCGGGGAACACCGTGTAGAGGGCGACGACGGTGAGCAGGAGGATGAGCAGATAAAGGGGCAGGATGCGTTTGAAGCGACGGGAGTAGAAGTGCACGAGCACGGAACACGGCGGCTTCTTCTCTGTTTTGGTGAGCAACATGCACATGAGGAAGCCGGAGAGCACGAAGAATCTGGAAGAGAACGGAAGGTCTGCTGGGGAACTGAGAGACTCACTGATCGACTCCGAGGTAGCCGTTCGGAAAGAGGTGCGGGTAGAAGTGGAAACCGAGCACCGAAAGGATCGCCAGTCCTCGGATTCCCTGCAGGTCCTGCCGTTTCGATGGAGGCGAGGACATGCCTGGAAAGAACTTGAAACCGTGATGTTTGGATGTCATAAGCGAAATAGGTTTTGTTATTTTATTCTATGTGGATCTCATTTTTAAAATGAATTGAATAAACAAGCATCCTATTTGTGATTTGTAATAAGAAGAAAGACTCACTTCAGAGATACGATTATGTCCTTATCTTCAGAGTTTCTTCAGAATTTATGTGTTTCAACGGGTTCTTAATTAGCATGCGGGTAGTTTCTTTTCAGTTTCGCATCTGGAATAGACACATGTTTTCCGTACATTCAAATAAGAAAAGAAGCAGCAGAAAGTGTCAATTCGAACAGTAAAAATAGATTAAAAAAAGTGGTTATCTACAGCAAACAAGAGTCCGAAAGTCTAGTCTCTGAAACGGAGAGGAAGAGGGAAGAGAGTCTTGTGCTGAATTGCAACCAATTCCCTCTAAAATAGCACCACTTTTCTTCTATTCTTGTTGTGTCCGTAGAGACGACTCTTTGAGGAAGCTCGGACTTCAATTTAGAGTTTATAAAGAACTGACGAGTATCACCAAAGTGAACTCTCGATTATGAGAACGCTCAGTAACCACGTCAAAAGGTCACGTAAATAGAAAACATCTCTCTCCCTTTAAAGTTCAAAGTTCTTTTTTGGAGACTTCTTCTTGGCACGGTCTTGATTTTCACCATCTCCCGAATCTTCACCGATTCCTTACTCGCGTGCACCGATCCCACGACCAAAGCTTGACCGTTCACTTCCCTCGAATTCGGACAGAATCTGACAAAATGTCCTTTTTCGTTGCACCCGAAACACCTAGCGTTCTTAGCGGAACAACTCCCTCGATTGTGCCTCCAGCCGCACCTGTCACACCTCTTCGAGCGACTTTTCGAGCTGGACTTCGACGTTGTCGCACTTCCGCTGGCAGCCGCTGTCCCCGACTGGACACCATTGTCCCTCGGTTTCGCTCTCACCACGTTGACCTCGAAGTTGTCGCGGGACGCCACCGATCGCCTTCGCATCGGCCTTGATTGTCAGAAATCTCGTCACTTGCTCTTCCAGTTGCACCAGCGTCGTATCCGGCTTAGTCTCAGGAATTTGTAGAGCTCTGACTCTCACCTCAGTTTCGTCGGGCATCAGTCCCAGCGTCCACACCAGGCAACAAATCTGCACATCCGTAAATTTGCCAAACTGCAACCTCACAAATCCCGTGTACTCACTCAACGTACCTCCGGAATACGACATTCGCAAGAACTCGAAACGTTCTTGGAACACTGACTTCGTGGCAGTGAAACACGTCTTCAGCGCTTTGACGGTTTCGTTCCAAGATAGCTCGTTCACCTTCTTCGGCAGCACACGATTCGCGAACCGGTTGTACTCCATCTCGCCCAGAGCGCCAATGAGAAGTCGTCGCCGGGTCGCCTCGTTCAGATCCGCACCTTCTTCCGTCAGCATCTCTCTGTACCGATCGTACCAGTGACTGAAGGTGATCCCATTCTCCGGGTCATACTCGAATCTTTTCAGTAGTGCCGTGATCGAGTCTATCTCTTCTGAGTTCTTTTCTCTTCCACCGATGCTCCTCCTCCCTTGCCAGTCAGCCGTTCGAGCAGCTTCTTGAACTGTTCTTCGCTCATCATGATTCTCCGCAGTCAGATCGTTGGTTTCCTGATCGCCAGTTGTTGTGTCCATAGGGACGACTCTTTGAGGAAGCTCAGACTTCTATTTAGAGAGTTTATAAAGAACTGACGAGTATCACCAAAGTGAACTCTCGATTATGAGAACACTCAGTAACCACGTCAAAAGGTCACGTAAATACACAACAATTCTCATCGACACTTTTTCCCTTTTTTAATCTCACCCATTTTTTGGTTTCTGCAATGCGATTGAATCGGCTGAACTTTGGATTTCAGTTGGAGAACAACACGAAACCGGATGGAAGTGTTCAGTGGAAAACAAACGAGAGTTCCGATCGATTTATGGTCATTTCTGCTATCAGAAGCGTCAGAGCAGCAAACACCGGATGGACACACTCATGTTAACACGGGCGAACATGAGGCTATCAGTGATCACTAGGAATATTTCCCAGATCTAATTTTTTTTTCTATCCTATACTCTAAAATTGGGGCAAACGGGAGCGTTTAGACCATCCATCTGACAAACGGGCGATCTGATTGTCAGAAATTTAAAAAAGCCGAAAACGTTTATCAAATACAGAAAAGGCCGTAGACTTTACATTGGAAAGAGAGGGGAGAATACATAGAATACTGCGTCGATTCGACGATTAGCGGTTTCCTCTCAGGGTGCGGTTGCCTCCCTGGAAAGCCTTCGTTGGCAGCAGCTTCTGGTTGGCTTCCCGCTCGCGGAGCTCCTTCTCCAAAACGTCGACCCGTTTGTAGTCGTATCGGACGAACGATACACGGCCTGAAAATGATAATTATGGACTTTTGATATGAGAAAAAAATGGCAATTTTCGTACCTGGTTTGTAGTCCTCGTTTACGACGACGGGCGGAATGGCCGGCAAGTCGTTGGCCAGCGCGGCCGCATCGCTGGTGCTTGCTCCGTTCGCTTCGGAGCACAACGACACGGACGAGGCGGGCTTCTTCTTTCCGTCGAGACGACGTCCCGTTCCTCCGAATACTGTCGACGTGGCACTGGATGCGCCTCCATTGTTTCCGACGCTTTGACCGTTTCCAGTGAACGCGGACGCAGGTGGAGCAGGCGGCTTCACGTTGACGGCCGTGCTCGCTTGTCTCGGTTGTTCCACGTATCCTTCCGGGGCATCGAAGTCCAGGTTGACGTCGCATTCGATGATGCACACCGAGTTGGCCGGCTTCACGTCAACGACAAGGAACTCGAGGGTCTGGCCGGCGTAGGAGGTAGGAATACGGTCGTTCTTCGTGAGACACGCGTACTTTCGCAGCTCAACTTCGAGCACAGCTCTGAAAAAATAAGGTTTTCAATTCTGCAATAAAGGTCAGGTTTACTTTGGATTCGTGATGTTCAGGAACTCCAAAGACATCGGCTTGAGCTTGGCGAAGGTGGCCTTCGGAAGAGTGGCCGATTCAATTCTGACGCTGTCTCCGTCGGTCAGTCCCAGCTGCTCCATTATCCATTGCGGCAGGATCGCCTGTCCTTCCGGAGCGGAGAACTCGAGCACTCCGCAGTGGGTAACTCCCTCCGTGGCCATGTTGGTCAGCTGAAAACTTCCATGTCATGAGCGTAATCCATTCATTTCGGTACTTTGAAAAGCATCGGGTACTGGATGTTCAATCTGAGCAGAAGGTCAAGCGCCGATCCCGGCAGCAGGATCTTTCCTCCGTAGTTTATTTCGGTGGTCCTGCTTTGAGTGGCATTCGGAAGGAAAACGGCCGAGTAGACCTGCAAATTGACCTGATACTGATAGTCTCCAGATGATTTGGACGATGAAATCGAAATGGCGAGGAGTGTTTCGACGCCCTCCGAACAAGTTGGCGAACATTTCCGGAAAGGAAGAAATGAGAAATGCTCACCACGAAGTTCTGGTCGTATCGACCTCCGAGCATTTGCCCCGTGCCCATCGGGAACCCCATTCCTTGAAGCCACGCTTGCATTCTTCTTTCTGCAATATTTTCGATTAATCAATGCCTCTTTTTGGTGAACGTAGATAATTACGGTAGTACGAAACCTAAGTGTGCATTGATTGAGAAGGAATTGGAATAACGGTGCGCCATCATTTATTATTGGAAACTTTAAAAGGTACGGCAGAAAGAATAGATCAGAGACAGAAGAAACAATGAACAAAATGAGAAACTGGTTGAATGATGATATTGTAGACACTGTTGCAACAAACGCGCTCCACCGCAAAGCGTCGCGTGCGGTGGAGAGAGTTAGTTTTACAATGCGGAGACGCGGAGAAAACGTAGAAAGGGAGAACCGTCACAAACGCTAAACCACTAGAAAGAACGGGGCAGAATGAGGGGAAAATTGGGATAAGACTTCGAGAGAAATGCAAGAAAAGGATGAAGTACTCAACAACACAATAACAACTGAAAGTGGGATGAAGAAATATTGATTATATTAATTAAGGAACAAGAAAAGAGAATACAATGAGCAGGTGAAGGAAAGGAAATTCATCAGACTAAAGTAAAGAAACAGAACAGAAACATTGATAAATTAAATAATGAAAAAGGAAACCGATCAGACGTCGAAAGGCTCGTCGAGGTCTTGGTCGATTCCGGTGCCGTAGTAGCGGTCGCCGAAGTTGCCCATTCCGGGAATCAGATAGCAGTTCTCCGTCATCTGATGATCCATTGCCGTCGTTATGAGCTTCACCTGAAGAAACACCAGTTAGAGTCCATAGGAATTTAATTCTACAATACCTTCGGGAAGGCGTAGGCGAGAGCGTGAGCTCCCTGTTGTCCCATTAGTAAAGAAGCGACGAATATGTCCTCTTCCTTAACGTCGTGATCCAGAAGCACTCGGATTGCCATCATCGCCGCACTCCCTGAGCATACATCCTGGTTATCCCCGTTCTTTTTAGTTATTCTCACCTGTTGTGACTGTCGCATCCATGATGATCACTTTGTACCTGGTGATGTGAGGCGGAAGTCGGATGTAATGCAACTCCGGATCGAAAGTCGACTCATTTGTCTGAATCAGAATCTTCCCGATGACGCAATCCTTGATGATTGAACGAAGAGCATTTTCCATGCATTCGCCAGCTCGCATGATCGGAAGACCGCAGATTTGAGCGTCCTTTCGTTTCCCCATCGTTCTGAAAGTTTATCAACGAATGACTAATAATTCCTTATTCTGAATTTCCCTACTTCCTCCCTCCTGCCAATTCGATCTCCATATCTTTGTACGGCATGTGATTCATGCATTCTTCGATGAGAATCCGCATCAAACGATCAGAATAGAAGATGTGATTATCCCGACTCGTCTCTCGGTCACGGACAAACGTGACCAGACCCTTGACTTGCGGAGTTTCGTTCAAAATGAACAGATTCTCTGGCAAACAGTCGGGGAGATCGTCGCGCACCAGATCGTGTCTATCACGATTGTTCTGGTTTCGATCGTAGCCACGTTCGACGAGCTGAGCCATTACGTTCTGCACGATCATGTCAATGGCGACGTCGTTCTCTCCGCCACGTGGAACGATGAGATCGGCCGAGTCCATGCACGGTGCAATGTACTTGTCGAACGCTGGCTGCAACTCGAATGGCTACTAGACGCAACAATAGTCATGGAGTTCTCACTTTTACGAACGTAAAGTACTGCTCCATGACGCCGTCGATGTCACGTCCACGATCGTTAACATCGCGCATTATACGACGGGCGAGTCGCAGATCTCCGTCAGTGTCGACGAACACTTTCATGTCCATCAGATCCTTGATTCGCTCCTCGTGGAACGCCAGAATCCCTTCGAAGATCAGAACGTCGGCACCATACATCATCTGAGAAGGCAAACAGTGCGTCTCTTTTTGCATCATTGTGACAAACCTTGGGATTCGGGTCTCTCGAGTGCGTGTTGAAATCGTAGACAGGAACTTCAACGCTTTTTCCCTCGCGGAGTCTTTTCAGAACTTCGTAAAGCAGATCGAAATCAAATGCTTTGGGCTCGTCGAAGTTGTACCTCGACTCGTTGGCTTCCTTGATCTCATCCGGAGTCAGAACCTTGTAAAAGCTGTCCATCGACAAAATAGTGACCCAGGGTATTCCGAGTCTTTCGACGATTTTCTCGGCAACAGTCGTTTTCCCACTCGCCGATCCTCCGCACACTCCAATCACGAATGGATGTTTCAGCGACTTTCCCTTCTTGTCGTACCATGGCGGACGTCCCTTCGTATATATCTTCTGAAAAAGAACAAAATTCATCTGAAAATGAGTGTTCGTGTACCTTTCCGGTCTTCGTAGTAAGCAAATGATGTTCGGCACGCCCTCCACTCATCGTTCTCCTTCTTGTCCGACATCCGGCCCTTGGAGACGAGTCTTCCGAATCGCCACTCTGGTTGACCATTTCGTTGACCGACGAACCTGAAATAGAACGATGAGGTTCAGAGGGCGGAACCGGATGCTAAAAAGTCATCTATTTCTCTTTTCACACTAATTCGGTCTCGACAGGACGGCCTTTGCGCGATTGCAATCTAGAAATAACAGCCATCAATCTTTGCGAGCCTTTTAGAAACGGAGCGAGATTTGATTCATAGTGACACAATCACCGCATTTACAGTGTTCTCTCTCTCGCTGCTTGCAAAAGGAACTGGTTGACCGACAAACGGCCGCCAGCCATATCAGCGGTGATGATTCTGAACTTTTGAGCCGGAAACAGTCCGATTTAAAAGAAACAACCACGTCTGTAAAATGGAAGCGGAGAGGGGACAACTCGCAAAGTGGCACACAGTATTTGAACACATGTATGTATCCAAATATCTCGTTTACTCACCAGACGAATGACTGTACGTGGGACACTCCTCAATCTTCACACTTTTTCGGCCATCCCCTTTTGAAGCAGTCACGTCGGCAACTCGCTTCTCTGTGACCATCCTGAAAGAAACGATGGTCGAGAAGAACGGGAATGTAAGGAATTTCAAGGCAAATACGAAAAGGTTAATGTTTACTGCGAGGGCAGGTTATTTTTCTTGTTCCGGGTGACATAAAAATTTAGGCCAATACTTCTGATTTCTGGGCCGATTCTTCGGTCTTTGTGAGACCAACGAGGGTTCAGACTAGTTCGGCGAATTTTTATGACATGGCAACAATTTAGAATATACGAAAAAGTACGCAAAAAGCACTGATAAGCACGACTGATATGGGCGAGAAGCTGGCCGCGACACCGAGCACTGTGTACTTGGCCGCCGGCGTGTTTGCAGAGTGTTATTCGAAATTATTGGCGCGAAAACAAAATTGATACGGTAGATCAGCCAGGATTGTTTTTTTTTCGAATTTTTGCGAGTTTTCAGCAATGTCAGGGAAACGAAAATCTCTAAAAAAAAATATTTTTTTATTGAAAAAAATAATTTTTAAAAAGTTTAAAAATATAATAAAATGTGACTTGACACTGAAACTTATCAATTTAGAGGCAAGAAAAAATGTCGAAAATGCGCGAGACCGGTCAAAAACGGCCTTGTCTGCCTGCCCTGCCTTCTCGTGCCGACCGATCCGATGGTCGAAGATTCGGTCGGTGGGGCACGCGACACGCGGCGAGGGACGGGCGAGAGACGGAGGGCCGCCGAAGAAACGGGGAGAGGAAGAAGCTGGGCGAGAGAGTGCCGGACGCAGACGGGCGACACGCTAGCCGATCAAAAAATAGAAAGTGCACGGAGAGGGACGACGCGGCGGGTCCTCAAATTGAAAGAAAGGGGGAGCCGTGGGACGGGGCACTCTCTGCGTTTCCTCCGATCGAATGATCTCTGGCCTATCGAGAGGTGTCAGCCACCGATGAACTTTTTGTATTTTAAATCTCGGTTTTTAGGGAACAACCAAGAGGACAGTGGAACTTTGAGTTCGGATCAGAAAGGGTACAAACACAGATGTATTGGCATTATCTCTATATTCAGAAACAGGGACCAGCGTTTTGTGACCGTCACGACCTCGGATTTCGAAATAACAAAATGTTTGAAAGCGGGGACTTGTTTTCGCCCTCCGGCTATTTTCGGCGATCGAACCAAAGCGCAATACTGACCGGAGCAGGGCTCCGAATGATGCAAAAAGTCTTCAGCGCGCTCGTTTCTCGCTGTCTCTGGATACTGTCCTTTTCACTCTCAATCAACGTGCACTTTTCGAAAACAAACAGGATGATGTGTGCCGAATGATCGTTGAAAAAGGAAGGAACGGAAATAGAGAGAGAGGGGGAACAAACATCCCCGCGGGGCTCGTACCATCCTGTGCAGTTCGAGGTGCTCTCTGGAAAAAAAAACGCTGAAAGCAGTGATCTGCCGGACAATCAGCTGATAAACATTTCCACAAACAATCGTGTGTTCTCCGTCAACAACTGGGCAGCGAAGGGAGCGTTTTCAGGTGTTTTCTGTTTTCATTTCTATTTTCAGGCAATGAATCAGCTGGAGCACATGATGATGACGATGTTGAGAGTTTGATTTTCTTGCGAGAAAACAGACGGGAGATCAAAAGGGATTCTAAACAAATCTGCAAGAATTCTGGAGCCAGATGATCACGGGGTCTGCTCGGTTCGCTCCGAAACTTCGAACTTTGGTTGAACTGCTCTTCGTGATTCTCACACGCATTTCGCTTTTCATCTGCAGGAAAAGTACTAATTCTTGTGAATGACTAAGTTCTTCAACGACTTCTTTTCCCTTTTCCTTCGTCTCCTTTAATGAATGAACCCTTTGGCCGGAAATCCGGGACAGAAGAATGATTATCCGTCAATTTCTCCTTCAATATCTATTCTGTTATTATCATTTTCATTGAGATGAGAACTTGGAAATAAAAACATCTAAAGTAGGGATCTCTTCGGAACTGTACGAGGGCGAATCATACGTACACAGACGGCAAGTCAGTCAGCAAAACGCAGATGTCCTTCGGAAGAAGCTCAACTTTCAGCTAGAGAAATATCTTTTGTTGATAAACTTTCAATGAATTGAGCAAAGCCATCATGAGGAATCATGATGATTTGTATTTCTAGACTTTTTCATGATCGCCTTGGAAGGATATGAGTAACAGTTCAACGTAAGATGAAAAGTTATACGGAACGAAACGCTCTCAACTTGATATTACTATATCATTCTTTCTATGGCAACTATATCAGTAGTACTGTAACACAAAATGACTGGGTCGGAAAGCTCAGGCAAAAGCGCAGCCATGTTTAGAGCAGAAAGCAGAGAGAATGGTTTTTCGCAAAGTTACTGTTGTTTGGCTTAAATTTCTATATCTCCAGATTAGATAATCCTACAGGTCTGAAACTTGGAATCGATTTGAAAGTTTGAAGTTGGATACTCCAAACCAAGGCTGATAATCGTGCAAAGTATCTGAATATTGCAAGTGCACCAAAAGTTAAGGCCATAACGATATAACCCAAAGAAATCGCTCAATGGATGTGCCTACAGCTACAGTTTCTTTCGATCGTACCGGAATGTCTGGAATCTTTGCCCCTCCCTCTCCCTCTCTCTCTCTCCCATCCGATCTTCTATAAATCTCTCAAATTGTTGCTCTCAAAAGTGACAAATTTGAAAACAAAGTGGCTCGTTTTCCTGGCTGCCCGCCACAAATCCCCGGTCGGAAATATCTCGCTCTTTCTCATTTTCATCTTCTTCCTCTTCTTCTTCTTCCTTTCCCTCCTCAATCTTGATCATCGCCTTATCCCCCTTCAGCTCACAGTTGTTCGCCGCATTTTTTATCATTTTCTGCCCGTATCTCTTTCGCCGCCTCTTCCCCCCCACAACAACTTTTTATTCTTGTTGGCTGCCGTCCAAAAGCTGCTCAAAGAGCACACCATAAACTCTCAGGCATGTATGCGTTTTTGGTGCCAAGAAAATGAAGAAGAAGAAGAAGAAGAAGGCGAAGAGGGCAGAAGGACATGAATTTTCAATAAACAATTTGTTTGTCCTCGCCATATTCTCTGGTGTTTCTGACACGATTACGAGTGGCTGAGAGGTCATATGTCGAAAAGATGACACCTTCCGGACCCGTCAACTTGTCGCCTTCCCACAGAGTTCCCATTCCTAACTCCTGACTCACTTCTTCTCTCTCTCTCTATCTCTCAGTCTCTCTCTCTCTCTCTCTCCGTGACGTGGCATACCGGAACAGCTCCATCCGTCTCTTTATTTTCTCTCTTTACGAGGTGCTTCATTTCCAATCACATGGCAACTTTATTGTGTTTTTGTGATAGATTGCTTCCCACCACTTGGTCCCCGTCTTTGATCTAAACTTTTGCGTGTGAGAGAAACAGAAACATTCGACTAATCTGAAATGGTTCTGAATGTCTGATGAGCCTGGATCCCAGGAGATTCCGAAGAACTCTGATCAGGCAAGAAGTTCGGAAGGCCGAGGTGTTTTCACCGATTTACGATCGTTTTATTGATCCTTTGCACCTTGGAAATTACACTGAAAAGTGACGGAACGGCTAAACAGAGGGCCACTGAGAGAGATTCCTTTGGACGCATGTGACTGTTTCAGCCGGCCCGGGCTTTCTGAAGCATGAAGTTTAGGTCTACTTGCAAGATTCCGGTCTTGCTCCAGTTCGGCAGGCTTTTTAGACTTAGACTTGGACGTGTATTGGGTCAGTTTCAGTGGGATGCAAAGTTTGGCAGCAGTCTTGAGAGAGAGCCCGAAGTTCAGGCCTCTAGGCCTGTACCTTCCCTCCGAACTGCAGTCTCCTTCTTCCCAATTAGTGTGCTCCGTCTCCTGTTTCTCCGAACATGCCCACTCCGAATGCTCTTTCCCTCCTCTCCTTCGGTCACATATCTGTGTCTGCCCGGCATTCCGGCTCCCTTTGATTTCTCCGTGTCCATTGTTATTTGGGCCGCTGGCATTGAGTGACTGCCCCCTCCTTTTCCATAATTGCCTTTTGTTCTTCGACATCACTTACCTGCCTGCTCCCCTATCATGCTTCGCCCCCTTTTTAGTATGCATCCCCCACTTTTCCCCCCACTCGTTTTTCTTTTTTACACGTAACTTTTCCCGCAGGTAATTTATTCATTCCCTTCTTTCCAATTCGATCTCTTTCTCTTTTTAAAGACACGCGATCTTTCCGTCTTCCATCATCGCTCCAAAGTACATTTCGATGCATATTTGCGGCGGTGGCGGGGTCTTTGTTTTCTGAATTCACCGACGACAATTGTCAGTTTGCAAACGAAAAAGTGAGAACACGGATTGGGTTTCAGACGAAACCGCGAGCTGGAGAAGAGAACGAAGAAGTTGAAAACTAAAACTAGAAATCTCTGTTTCCCCCGCATTTCAATTCTCTCGAAACATTCGAGCTCCGGTAAAGTGAAAAAGCATAAGCAGATTCATAGCATCTCGATTCTTTATTATTTAATCAAAAATGCTTCCTAGCTTCCGCGCTTTCGAGTACCTAAAACTACAATTCAAGCGAGCACAATCCCTCCTCCACAAACAAATCTACCGTAGCCCCATGACGTGGCACATTCATCTGCAATGCATTTATGGCAAACGACTTCTTTTTCTTCTTCTTCCTCTTCGCTTCTCATCCGTCACTTACGAGTACAATCTTGGCTCCGTCGCGCCCATTTTCCTTCGGAATCTGTCCGAATGTGACGTGCCTATCAGGCGCCTTTCAAGTGTTTTTCGGTGGGGGCTCTGTTCAAACACGCCCCGCCCCCACACAAACTAATATCGTCCTTGCTAGATTCGTCCCGCTTCGGGCGGCCTCCAGAATCACCCAATTTGTCGTGTGTCACCCGGCCGTTTCCCCCTTTCTTCCCTTTCCGTTTTTCCCTTTTCATCTCTGATATGCACTCGGTCAAAGGCCTCTTCTTTCTCTCTAAAAAAGAAAGTTTCGTTTTCTTTTCTTCTCGAGTTCTTTCTTTTATCGAACGCGCGACGGCGTCACAAATCGGATAAACGAGGCGGGACTGCGAAGAAGCCAGAAATTGCCCCGAAGGGCTTTTTGTCGCCGCCACTAAGAGAGCCTCTCACTCCCACCCCTTATTTTTGTGTTTCTCTCTTTTTTCTGCTCAAAGTTCTCCGCAGTTCGTCGTTCCTCGTTCATATCAACATCCGACGCGCTGTTTTTGCCATCAATGCGGCCTAATGAGTATTGTATGATCCTTTCGCGAAATTCTGAGTCTTCTGATTCCGCTTTGCTTTTGGACCTTCAAGTACGTACAACTAAGAAAAAACTCCCGTTTTGTTGGCCGGCTCGCGCTAGTCTGTCACCTTCCTCCAAACCAAATTATTCAAGAAAGATGAGGAGATGATGTGGATGCGAAGACGGAAGAGGAAGCGAAAGCGAGCAACTCGGATCATGCATCATTCATTCTGCCGCCCAAGACGAGTTCTGCGATCACAGAGAGATGACGCGGCGGAGTTAGTAGTTGCTCGGCCGGCTTCTCCTCTTATGCTGCGTGCGTTCTTTTACTCCGACATCATCACTCATCCCCGACTCGCAAAACAATCATTTCGGGCGGAACGGAACGACAACTGGAGAATCGTCAAATTGGAGCCAATTTTCAGAAGAAAACTGTAAAGTCAAGTCCCATTCGGCCTCATCAAGTGCATTCGGGTCCTTGCCGCTTGTTTTTCAGCTTACCTGAAAACAAAACGTTTTTTGTACACCTTCTGGAAGGCACATGAATTATGACCAGCTTTTCCAGCTTTTTCTTCTGTTTTGTTCTCGTCTGAATCTCCTCCTCCTTTTCTTTTTCTTGTTCTTTTTGGTCCAAATCACAGAGTGTTCCTTCGTTGTCCTCGTCAATCTTGTCTCTGATTCCAGTCCGATGGCTTCGTGCACCCGAATTTCCATGAATTTCCAATCGGCCTGGCAAGTGAAAAAAAACATTTCACTGAATTCTTGAAACGTTGTTTTATTCGCCTCGCAAATTTCTACAGCAAAGAACCGGTTTCCCTCGCCTCTTTCGTCGCCGATTTTCTTTACCTTTTCATTGGTATCTTTGACTACCAGAACTTCCTTTCTCTTCTTCTTCTTCTTGGAGAATTAAAAAGTATTCCAGAAGAGTTTCATCAGTTGAAAATGCTGTTGTAGCCGGAGAAAGAGGATGACTATCTCGTACACTTTGGACGTTTCGCAGACGAATTTGCAGAGCTTCTTCAGTCTTCTGCTCAGATGGAGAGGCAGTGTTTGGAAGGTGAGTCCGCGAATATTCCCATTTCGAATCGAATTGTCCGATTGTTGAACTTCTCCCTCATCCCTTTGCATATCTCTTCAAGTTGCATGAATCTAATTATTGCTCTCTTGCTCTGTCGCCACCAAAACACACCCACTCACTTGTGACGTGGCAGGAAAGCCAAGAAAACCATCAATTATCTGTCGTCACAGAAAACCTTTTTGGGATAAAGTTCCGGAGTCTGAGGCAGAGAATTTCAGGCGGTGTTCGGTCAGCTAGCCGTTTGGACTTCTGTCTTTCTACTCATCAGCTGTATATATCGATATGTTCTACCGCCAGCACAACAAGAGTAAACGGATAATAATAATAGAGGGAGACCGAAGATAAATGGAAGAATTTCAGTGTGTTCGAACAGTTGGTCCGTTACTTTGACAACAAGTTGGACGCCAACATCCCGCTCACCTTCCTCCTCGGCTTCTTCGTTTCGTTCGTCGTCGGAAGATGGGGATCCATTCTGAACGGCATAGGATGGATTGACGAGTCAGTTCTTCTTCTTCTTCCTCTCTCTCTCTCTCTCTCTCTCTCTCTCTGAGCCTCTCATTATGCTCCCTTTTCAGTGCCTCTCTTCTGTTTGCCACGTATATCCGTGGAGCGGACGAGGAAACACGTGTCATCCGTCGGAATCTGGTCCGTTATCTGGTGCTCTCGCAGGCGCTCGTGCTCCGGGACATCTCGATGCAAGTCAGGAAACGGTTTCCCACAATGGACACTCTGGCCGCTTCGGGACTCATGACTCACGAGGAGATGGACATTCTCGACCACATCAAGGATCCGTACAGCAGATATTGGACGTCCATCCAATGGAGTCTCAACCTGGTGTACGAGTGCCAGAAGAAGGGAAAAGTCGAGAGTTTCTACCTGATGAACAAGATTGTCGATGAAATCGGCAAGTTCCGACACGGCCTCGCCTCCCTTCTCAAGTACGACTGGGTGCCGGTGCCGTTGGTGTATCCGCAGGTGATCTTCCTGGCGGTCCGCATCTACTTCATGATCTGCCTTATCGGTCGTCAGTTCATTGTCACTGGATCGAATCCGTCTGGAGTAAAACGCCTCGCGTTCCTCCTTCCTCAACTGAAATCCCGTTCTTCAGATCGATTTGTGGCTCCCCATCACCACGATGGTCCAGTTTCTTGTGTACATGGGCTGGATGAAAGTGGCCGAAGCGCTTCTGAATCCGTTGGGAGAGGACGACGACGATCTGGAGTGCAACTATATAATTGACAAGAATCTGATTGTGAGTTGGAAGGAAAAGAAGAAAGAGGATTGATATTAAGTTCGAGTTTGCATGAGATGTTAGCCAAAAACACAACAATAGCAGAACTTTATTAGAAACTAAAAAGTGTTGTGCTGGTGGTAAAAGATAGAAGAGAGAAAGAGCATGGCCTTTTCGGGGTGATATTGTGCACATCTTCAAACTCTCCAGCACTTCACTGATTCTCCTGATCTCAGCTCATTTTTCAATTCTGTAACTCTATTGTATTTTCGTTTTCCCTTTGTTTTAGACTGGTTTGTCAATTGTGGACACCATGTGGAAGCACGATGATGTGAGTTTTTGTGGTGCACGTCTTCTTCACTTCAGTTCCAGATTCCCTGCCTCTTTTTCAGCCGTATCTCTTTCTAAGCAACACTTTCAGACGGGTTATTCAATGGTTGAGGAGCATATGGCAAAGACGCCGTCGCAGAAAAAAGACGAATTCTGGGGAATCGACAAGATTGCGCCGTTGTATTCGATGGAATCGGCCGAGAGATCTGTGCATCCTTTGGTCGGAAGTGCCAGCAAAATCAAGTGGGTTACGGTCGAAATGCCACGTGGCAACACGAGAATTTCAGTTTGGTGAAGAACAAAAAGGAGATAGTGATGACTCCGCACAAGAACAAACTGAGCGAACTGGATCCGTCCGAGCAGGTATCCAAGTTACCGATCATCCCTATTTTCGAACATTCTAATTCAGAAGACGTACCTCCGTCGCGTGAACGTCTCCGATCACAACGCGAAACACGCAAAGCAGCGGAGCATAGAAAGGGCCAACTCGCCGGATAAATGTCTGAGCAAAGTGAGATCGAGATCAAAGTGAGTGGGCAGAGCGAAGATTACGGTAGTTGGTAGAACTAAGAATCACATCATCGAAAAAACCACTCGCAAGCTAACAAGTTCACCGATTTAGATCCGAGTTACAGTACATTCAATTCTATGAAAAGTAAGTGATCGCATGTCATCCGAACACGTCGATTTGTCGTTTTTAAATGGTTTTCTCTCTCTCGCTGCAGTTTTTGTCCAGTTTTGTACTTCTTAGCGCGTTTCTTTTGACGAAATGTATAATATTGGTAGTAAAATGAGCTTCTTTTCAGCGGGAAGTTCAGAACATCAGCGAATGGATCGCAAAACGGAGTGGATCTATGGACGAGAGCAGGTGAGCGAAACGGACTGAAAACGGGAGAGATGGGACGGGATGATGTGGCAAGAGTTGATTGCCACGTCATCTTTCCCCCTCTCTTTCCCTCTTGCTCCTGCTCCGATTCTTCCACTTCTCTGCAATTCAATCCAGATTCCCTCGACGATTCTTCTCACGATTCTTGCTCTCATTCAGGTTCCATAATCTGAAAATGCCCCATTCCCATTCACTTTCCCTCTTTCAATCCCTCTGGTGAGTGCATTCCCTCTCTCCCTTCTTCTTCTTCGTCTTTTCCCCGGCTGTCTCTTTCTCTCTGCATCCACGTGGCTTCTACCGTACTCCTTTCCATTCTCTAATCCCTCTCTTGTTCCAGTGGTCTTTCCCTAAAAGCATGACGAGTGCAGTTCTCTTTGTCCCTTTTCCTTTTCTCATCTGAATCCTCTTTTCAGGCGACGTCGAAATGAACGTCTCCAGTTCGAATCCGAATCAAGTGCATCCGCACACCATCACCGTTTTCCCGCCCGATGAACACGCAACTTCCCATCATTGACTGCCCGCCCGATTCCCTCCCCGACAATTCCATTGTTTCTGTGATACATTTCCCATTGTTCCGGTTCCCTTTGGCCCTATTCTCCCAATGTACGCTCCTCTCCAGAAGCAGCCGGAAAGATCGAAACGAGTATGTGCATAGTCGAATAAACAATTCATTATTTCTTCTTCTTATCGGCTCCGAAAATGTCCTGGTTGAGTCCGGCGAGAGTCTGATAGTTCGGATCGAGAGTGCCCGCCTTCGCCCCCACATTCGTCGGGGCTCTCGGTCCTCCTGCTCCTCCGCCGGCGGCGCCCTTCTCCTTGAAGATGTCCGCATTGTTCAATCCTGCCAATGTCTGGTAGTTCGGATCGTTCGTTCCCGCCTTTCCTCCCTGCGCTGGCGGTTTCGGAGGGGCCCCCGCTCCTTCGTTCCCTTTCTCTTTGAAAATGTCCGCATTGTTGAGTCCGGCCAGTGTCTGAATACTCCTAATCTATTCCTTCTTCATTTGCTTCCAAACCTGATAATTGGGGTCATTCGTGCCCGCTTTGCCCCCCATTGCCGGTGGTTTCGGGGGAGCTGCTCCACCTGCTCCGCCAGCTCCGAAAACGGCGTCATTGTTCAGTCCGGCGAGTGTCTGATAGTTCGGATCTTGCGTTCCGACCATTCCGGGGTTTGTTCCTGCCGGCGGCGCCTTTGGTCCAGCTGTAATTTAACGGAATCACGTTTGCTGGAAAAGAGGGATCTCACCTGGAAATGCTCCCGTCCCGCCTGGTCCGAACACGGCGTCATTGTTCAACCCGGCGAGAGTCTGGTAGTTCGGATCTTGCGTTCCGGCCACGGCGGCCATGTTCTTTGGAGGCTTCGGAGCCTGTCCGTTCTTGGCTGCTGCTGCCGCTGCGGCCGCCGCCGCTTTCTTCTTCTTCGCGGATCGCTTCTTCTTCTCTCTTCGCTTCCGTCTTTTCTTCTCCGATTCGTCCGATTCTTCCTCTTCCTCGTCCGAATCTTCCGCGTCGCTGTCCGCTTTCTTTCGCTTCTTCTTTCCGCCGCATTGAACGAAAGCGAGAAGAATGGAGAGAGGAAAAGATAGATGGAGGACCCAAGGCTGAAAACAGAGTTATTCAGAAAATAAAAACTCGTGGAGCGCCTCCAGAAAACAGAGTAATTCTGTGAGCATTTGCGATGAAATCATTCTGGTGTCCTAGACTGTACCGCCAGTTTCACAAAAATGAGAAATAAATTCAATTCCTTGAAATAATGAAAGTATTATTTGTCATGTTCGTAATTGGTCAGAATGCCACGAGTTATGTAAGAATCAGTGGCACGTTCATTCACTTTTCCGGATCATCACGAGTAAGATACCGTTCTGAGAAGTGGGACGGCAAAAACAAGAAAGAAATAAATATTGCTATCTGAGAAACCAAAAAAAAGAAAAAATCCTAATAAACGGGGAAAGGGGGAAATGACAAACAATAGAACGCTTTGGTATGTATCACTTTATCATTTTTGAGGGGTTCGAAATTAAAGGAGAAGGCAGGGACCCAACGGAGGAGGAAAGAAAGGGGAGAAAAGAACATCACATGTGTGGTACTAGACGGGAAATATTAAGTTGATGATGATGAACCCATATCCGATCGATTAGAGCAAAAAGAATGGAGAAGAAGAAACCAAAGCGCGTTAAAATGTGTGTGGGAATAAGGGACAAAAGACATGGAAAACAGTTGGGGACAAAAGGAATGGATGCGTCACGCGGATCAACGGACAAGGGTGGCTTGGGGTGGCGGTAATGACTAGTTGCCACTGATCTCTCGCTTCAAATGCTGCAAGAACTCGACGTACGAATGCGTCGATTCGGATCGATCATCGACGAGCCGCCGAACGAACACGTCGCGGAGAGGAGAGTGCTCTCTGCAAAACGACAAAATGAGGGGGATAGTTGAGGAAGAACCTACTTGATTGTGATAATTGGCCCTAGGTAAAAACGGAACTGAGTGACTTTCTTGAAGAATGCGTGCACCCTTCTTGAGACATCGTTGTCTCGTTCCAAAAGCGAATACTGAAAGATACTGTTCGTGAAGAAGTGCTTCAGCTTCCGCTCACCTCATCAATATCGTTGTAAATAGATGTTCCGAAGACATTTACAAGGAATGCCGGATCGGCGGCTGACGAAATGTAGACAAATGCGATCGTTCCCGTAATCATCATGTAGACACCGTCACGAGAAATATGTTCGAATGAGAGCGGCAGTGTGATCGGATCCTGATCTTCGGGCATCGTCGCCAGTTCATTAAGCCGATAAAGACGAGGATAAATGTCTGCCAGGATCTGCTCCAACGGACTAAACCGGAGCATCAGCATAGCGCCAGTGCGTTCGTCGAGACGAATGCCACGAGTTGAGGCGAACGCAGGCTGAAATAGTCAGGTTAACATGAGTTAACTCAAAGAGTCTCACGTGTTTAAGCAAGGCGAGTACGTAGCTCGCAAACAATCGGAGATGTCCACTGCGAGGAACGAGCATGCCGCTCCCTCTCGAGACGGCTTTCTGGTACGATCCGACGCTGTCGATCACTGCGTTGACGAGTGCCTCGCGCGAATCAGTGAGGGCGCTTCCAGTCATTGATCGTTCCACTCCAATCTTTGCGAGGTACGAGACTGTCGCCTTCAGATCGAAGTTATTGTACAGCTGCAGCAGGTCCCCAGTCGTCGGCAAACACATCGTGTGCACCCGTATGCGACGGTCTCCTTTGCTGGACGTGTAAAGAAGAGCCGACTGGAAGCACACGTATCCCGGCAATTTCTCCTCGATTGTCACTTGAGCAGCGAGAGCAGAATCTGGGTTCACGTTGGCAAGTGCGAGAAGATCCGGAGAGCGGACAAAGAAATTTCCGTAGAATCCGGTGAGAGCGAGTCCTCGGGACGTCCGTATGCGAAGAACTGCTTCAAATCCGAGCTTTCTGGTCAAATATCTCGTGAGTACTTTCTCGAATCTTTTCACTTGATGTATGTCGTTTCGAGCATTGTAGTTGGGGAAATGATAGACGCATCCTGTCGAAAACTTGGCAACTTCCGCTGAAAACTTTAAGATTACAAAGAACGGCAGGTTAATCACTTACAAAGAGTTGCCAAATCGGCATACTGAGTATTGAACATGAACAAGTCAAGACAGATCTGAGTACCGGTGCACTCGAGAGACAAAGCCTTGTAAAAGTCCGTGGCAGGTCCAAGATTCTGGCCTCCTTCCGTCGCCTCTTCTCTGCTTTTCAATGCTCCAAGTCCCAAATTGGGTAAGTTGACTTGGAAAATCGATATTCTTCCTCCGATCTCTTGAATCATGGATTGCACCAACTTCAGTGCAGATCCGAGACAGTTTCCATTCGAGGTGGGTTCGATTTGCGAGTACAACTCTGGCAATTGCTTGATGAACGTCCGAATGATATCTTTGAAGGTTTTGAGAGGGACCAAAAGAGAGGTGACGGATGGAAGGAACGCGTCGTCGATGTCGTCCACGATCAGTTCACTTGGGTACCGTTTGTTGTTGGAAAACGAGAAGAAGTGAAGGCATTGATCGACCGCGATGAAGCACACTTGGGCCCGATCGTCGCCCGGCATTTGATCGAGATTGATGATGAGTTGCTCGGAGAATGTATGCAAGTATCCGGATTGGATGGCGGCGGCACTGATGTCCAGGATGAAGACGTACACAGCAGGTTGAGGTGGGCGGAGCTGAATTTTACGCTGATATGATGAGAAAAAAGCAGGAAAAGGAGGGTCTTACCATGTATTCGGCCGGTGCTATGAACTCGACAGTGGCGTTTTGAATCTCCGGACGGTTGCGCGGATCTCCGAACGCTTTTGTCACTGGATCCCAGCAGAAATCATCGGGCACTGAAAAATAGGAAGAATTGGAAGGAGAACGCACAGGCAACAACTCACAATCATTATTTCTGTTGCAGAGATTGCACTTCCAGTGACGATGATCAGGCAAGTAAACGTACGGATTGATGTACGTGCGACAGTATCGGCAACGAACAATATTTGAAGTTTGAATAATGTTCAGGTTCTTAACATCTCGGAACGGGTGAAGAGTGATGGCGAACGGAAGACGACTTTTCTTTAAAAGATCTTCAGTTTGAGGAACTTGAGCAAGCGTAGAGCGGAATATGCTGAATGCAAACGGAGAAAAATAAAAATTAAGCATTAGGTTCCCACTTCGGATCGACGTGAGCGGACGGATTGGCCACTTGCTGCGGAATTTGCACTTCAATGTCCTCGAATCCTAGTTGTTGAACGTCTCTCTGCGTAAGGAGATCGATGATATCATTCCGGAATCCCTGTGGCTGGCCACCGGGAGCTCCACCCATGTTCTGAAATGACAAATGAATTACTTTCCATTTTCTGTTGCAATTTCTGGCTTGCAGTGCACGCTTTGCACCCGACATTTAGAAAAAGTACTGACCATCTGTCCGAACTGCTGGTTCATCTGTTGCATTTGCGCCTGCGGCATCTGCGGTTGTCCATACTGCACCTGCTGTGGCGGTTGTTGTTGCTGAAAGGACGGTTGCGGCTGATAGGCTGGTTGAGGCTGCTGTGCCGGAGGAAATCCAGCATGTGGCGGCGCGTGAGGGTGTGGAGTCATCTGCTGTTGATAGGACGGCGCCGGAGCCGGCAGGGCGGCTGGAAATGGTGCCGGACGTGCGGAAGCCAGCACTGAAGGAATTGGAGACTGTTGAGATGTCGGAGCGGTCGTTCCCGGAAACGACGGTGCACTCGGTGGCAGATGCTGAAAAACCGAAATGATTTCAGTAACTCCTCTCTTAAAATCTCACGTTTGCGACTGAATTGATCATCGAGGGTGGCGGAGCAGGGTGTCCGTTCATAACCGGTTGAGGAGCGGGTGAGAAGGAAGGTGGTTGTTGAGGAAACCCGGAAGGAGCCGAAAAGGCAGAAGGCGGGGCTTGAAAACCGGGATGCGCGTGATTATATTGATAGTTCGGTCCGCCATTTGGAATTTGGGCAGGAGCTACATGAACCTGAAAAAATTGAAGTTTTTCTCAAACAATAATTCCATAAAATTTCTTACTGGGTCATGCGAAGTTGTGGCCGCCGGGAAAGGAATTCGAGCTGCCGCATAATTGGAGTTTCTGAAGCTGCATATTCATTTTATACATTTCGAACATAAAAAAATCACTTACACATTATTAGGAGCAGCTGCGGTTGGCTGAGCAAACTGACTGAATTGCTGGACATGCTGGTATGGTTGCTGGCCGTACGCCTGCGGAAAGCCACCATTTCCGGGCGGTTTTGGTATGCTCGACATTCGTCGAATGTTCTGTAACCCGCTGCAAAAAATTAAGTTAAAAATCACATTGATCTCGGTTTTTTAACACAGAAACGACGTGGAAATCAAGAAAAAACGATTATGCGATGACGAAGCATAATTAAATAGTATACAGTAGGTGATGAAACTGTGCGGACACAGTCACGCCAAGGTGCACACAAAAATTTCAGACCTGAATTTTTTGAAAAAAAACCGCTAAAATTGAGGGCATCGCTGAGCAAACAATATCGTTCTCTGGCGCAAAAACCATCGGCCCTTGTTCCGATAAATTTCTCACATTTTCAGCCACTCAACATTGGCCAAGATGAAAAAAATAGTAGACTTGGCTGCGCGCGAAAAATATGTAATTATTTTGGAAAACACATGACAATTTCCATAGAAGGCGCCCCCGCGATGCACACAGACACTCGCCGACTCTCGCTCTCAATTCTTTCTCTTTGCCTCGCTGGAATTCTTTTTCATTCAATTCTCACGCGTCGCCGGTTTCTGCTGCGACGTGGCTTTTCCTCGACTCTTGTGCGCGCTGAAATCGATAAAACAGCGTTTCGCTCTCCGTTTCTGTCGTTTATTTTACTGCTCCCTCGCTCTCCGTTTTCACGTAATCCGTCATGAAAGTGATTCAGAGTAGAGACATAAAAAGAACAGTTACTGTACAAAGAAGGAAAAGAAGACCGGGAGGGAGGAACTCCTATGAGCATCGCGAGACCAAGATGAACAACGCCTATCAGTTGCAAAATTTCAACAGTGTCCAACACCAATTCTACTAGTAAGTGGTCGGCGAAGCAAGTGCCAACTCGACACGTTACGAGCGCCAAAAATCGATAATAAGAAGTTGGGCCAAAGGGATAACTGGTTCTTGAGAAGAGCAATAACCTAAATGGACTTTTTATCAATTCAGAAGATTTTTCAGTGAAATGGTCCCGTTTTCAAGGCAATAGTGCGGTTGGCAGACAACGTTGAATGTATACCGTAGTTAGATACGCAGGCAGCGGCGCGTTCGTTCGCCCTCCGCCAGACCCCTTGCGACCTCTGCAGATAGACCGTTCTTGGCCCGTTTTCTTTCTCTTTTCCGGCACTCTCTCAGTTTCCTTGCATTTTCAGTCTTACGGATACTTCAGGCGGATGATCCGTAGCTGAATGGTCAGAAGCTGAACAAGGTATTTCTTAACTTCAACTATCAGCCCATTTCAGTCAAATTCCATTTTCAGTATAAATGCCAATCGATCGGTTTATATAATATCATCTAAGACACTAAAACTGTGAGGAAAAAATTTTATTCAAATGCCCATTCTCTGAAGTTAAAATTTCCAGGCTGAAAATGACGATAAGAGTTAAAAAATAGCTGCCTGGAGCGAAAGAACCTTTCTATATGTGAGTAGGATACTAATTTTAATTCTTAGTGATTAGGGTAGATAGAATCCACGTAGACCCGTTGCAATAATCATCGGTCACTTGACTATCGATTTTTTCGCAGCCCACCATCTGGCGTGTAGGTCATCACAAACCCCTCAAAGAGCAACCCCCAGTCGTGTACAATCGTTTTTCTTCATTTCAATTATTATTCTTGAACCTTGTAAATCACAAGTTGTAATTTGAAAGTTGTCGAACTCACACAACTGAAAAATGACTGTAAAACTTTAATACCTCAAACGAAAATATTGAAATTTTGTATAAATGCAAGTAAACTGAGAGCCAAGCTAAAAGACGAGAAAAAGGAGCCAAAGTTCAGCACCGTTTATTGAAAATTGTCAATTTTCAGTGAGGTGATGACAACTGGTGGCGCTGGTGGCGAGATGTCGTCGGAATACAAAGATAAGCAGGGCGGTGGTGCCGGACAGCCGCTCACCAAGTCAGAAAACAACGACGGGAAGAAGACGTTAACGAACGGAATGAGCCGAGTTCATCGGATACTGACAGACGAGGAAATGGCGAACGGGAGGACGATGCGGTGGACCGAACTCGAGATTCACGGTGCGGAATTGGGAAGTTCCTGGTTCTCACACAATTAATTCAATTTCAGGCCGAGTAAAGAACCTTTCGCCGTCGCTGTGGAAGTTAACACATCTTTCGGCCTTGTTTTTGAACCACAACCAACTTTCACGGTTGCCGCCCGAGATTGCGCAGGTGAGTACTGAAAATCTGGAACCAATGTGATTTCTAGTTTGCTCCACTCGAATAAAATATTAGCGGCGCTTTTCTGTTGTACATTATAAATGACCTATCAGTATTCTAATTGTGTTTCAGTTGACGCAACTGACGATGCTCGACATCTCTCACAACAAGCTGCGCTCCCTTCCGGTGGAACTTGGCGACATGATCTCGCTGTGCCATCTCTACCTGAACAACAACCAGCTCCGTGTGTTACCCTACGAACTAGGAAAGCTCTTCCGAGTACAAACGTTAGGCCTCCAAGGCAACCCCTTATCACCGGAAATAAGCAAGATCTACCACGAAGCGGGCGGAGCGCAGAAGATATTGCAGTTCCTGCTTGACCATCTGACAAGTGAGTTTTCTTTCTGATCTGAATGCTTCTCAGAATCGAACTGCGTTTTCCATCCCTGGAGAGAAATGGAAAAAAGTAAACCTCTCGGGGAACTGCACATCCATCAATCATGCACGAGGGAAGGCCTTTTCAGGACTGCCGAGAGCAGTTCCGATATTTCCTCGCTGAGATTCTCTTCCGACCTAGAATATGTGATTTGTGTTGACGTATGCGTCCAGAATGACATTCTCAACTTTCGCTCTTCCGAATGACGTAATCGTCGTCTTCGTAATCGTTTTCTTCTGCATTTCCTCACTTCATTAGTCACTATCATTCGTCGTTTTCCCACCGTCACTTTCTTTTACCTTCCAAATGGAAAGCCAAAAAACTTTTTACCACCATGGCAGGGTGTTTATGATCGTAATCGAATCACCAGAAGACTCAAGACTGCGACGTTGTAAACCGAGACAGGTGAAATGTTCCACTGATTCAAATATTATTGCCGCATTGGCGAGCGAAAAAACAGTTTTTGAAACGGGTTCTCAACAAGTTCCATACTAAACCAACATTACACATTAAATTTTTGGAAACCAGACAAAAACTAGCGAAGAAAGGAATAATACTAATAAAGTTACACTCGCAAAGGAATCACCTGACCTCGTCTTCTTCGTGGCTCTTTCTCGTCTATTTTTAGTATTCTAATGGTTTTGTGAAATTCTACTTCCTCTTTTCTCATCGACTTCGTCTCTTGACCTAATGGACAAAGTCGTTTGGACAGGGAGCCTCGAGCAAGAAAACGACACCAGCCAGGACAGATGACTTCCGGTGGGGCAGTGCGTGCAAAGATTTCAAGCACACTATGCCTTTCACGCTGATTAACTCTGAAAGTTAAAGTGTAGGAATGCTGTGGCTTTTCGTGAAGGACACTAGATGAAGTAGTACAGTAGAAGTCCTTGACTGCCTACTCGTTTAGAATGTACTCAAGGCAGACATGTACTCGTTAGCGCAACCGAAACTGCTGATTGGCGGTTGTCGCCAATAACAGGTTGAATATGAAGTTGACCTTTTCCAAAGTGTGTTCTTTATTCGCTCATCCCGTATCTTGGTACACTTAAGCACATTCGACCGAAAGTAACGCACGAATCTCGAGAGATCATAGCTAATGTGCCGGTGTCCATCCAGTGTCCATTCTATATGATTTTGTAAAAAACGAAGCGGTGCGCAAGAGTGAAAGGAAGCGCATAGGCGCAGAAGTGGTGGCGTAGACCACACCGCCATACGTACACGGTTTTTTGGTTAGTGTGTCTGTGTCTCGTCGGTCCATTCAGTCCTTCCTTCCTATGATCATCTGTTCTTCTGGCGTCGTCAATGTCTTCATCGTCTTACTCTCCCTATTCTTCCACGGAGGGCTTCTGCCGTTCGTGTCGGAGGACTGAGGCTCCGCCCTCTTTCGGAAGGGTGTCTTCCCTCGGAGGATTGTGTGTACGCCCTCCTTCGTGTGTTTGTGTGTCTGCAGCAACCGGCGCTGGCGGCACATTGCATGAGTTTGAAACGGGAACCAGGCTCCGCCCTCGACTAGCTGCCCATTTTGAAATAGAGGTCTTCATATTTTCTGGTCCTTCTTCTTCTTCTTCTTTACGTTCCACATATTCCGCCTGCTTCTTCCTCCGTTTACTTCATATTTTACCCTTGTTATCTTTACCTTTCCACTGCCTTCTCAGTTCTTTCATCAAGTTTATTCGAGAATGAAGTGCTGAATTATGACCGACATCGGAGAAGGCGAATCGCCATCGAGACGAAACTCGAGCGGCAAACGATTTGTCCGGAGAGCGAGGCGATGGGCTGAGTTGCAGCAGAAGCGACAAGGCCGTCGGAACTGTGAAGAGTCGGAAAGTCAGCCGATGCAGTCGGACCTACTCCAACTTCATCATTATAATCATGCCGTCTTTCATCAACATTCTCATCATCGGGGCGGAGTCAAAGAGTACAATTATCGTCCACCAGAACCTCCTCATGTCTACGATTACGTTGAAATGGCGGCACTCGGAAGTGGAGTGATGATTGTCGACGAGGATCACAACTATGAACTGCTGACGCACGAAGAGTCGAGACAGAAGCAGAACCTGGGTCACACTCGGAGTTTCCCAATTACAATACTTCAATCAAGGCGGCATCACCTTCACGTTCCCTCCGGATATACCATTGCACACGGGTTAAGCAGACATCAACCTTGCCAACGAACAATTTCTGACGCTTCAAGTTATAACCAGCTGAACTACCGCAATCTTCATGCTTCATTCAAACCGTCTTGGTATGATTCACAGCAGCCATCGCCAGCTTCTTTGTTGGAATCAGCCGACAGTGCTCTAACACTGATTACCAACGATCTCTCGATGACGAGTATCTCGGAAGCGTCAACGACGTCGCCGAGTTCGATCTCCAACAACTCCGAGGAGGGAACCTCTCCTCAAATAGCCAAGTTGTCCACCTCACTTCCAAAAGCGTCGAGCTTTTTTCATCCTAATCTTTCGATGCCACTGTACATTCCTTCAAATTTTCCAGGTGAGTATAATTTGTTCCCATGTTTCTGCTGGAACTGGTAGCGTCTAGTGTTCGTTCCTTTCGGAGGCCAGTCACTCAGTTCAACGGCGTATTTGCCTCAAAAAACGTGTAAACATCACAACTTTTTGTTCTTGTCAGCACCTTTTCTTGTGTGCCCTGTTGCGATGAAGTTTGTTTAGTGCTTCTGCATATCTGCTCGAGAACTGACTTCTCTTCCTCACCAGTCCCTCCTAATCTTCTTTTATTTCTCTGTTTCTTCGCACACAGTTTTCGCCGATCGCTATCGTAAACATGTTCTATTTTCACTTATCTATTTCGAATGGCGGTTTTTAATGAGTGGCTGAAAGCATGAAACAAGTTGACCACCGAAGAACTTTTCCGCTCCGCCCGAAATGTCCGAAATGGGATTGAGCCAACATGAGAAGAGCGAGAACTGCTAGCAAGCAAACAGCGGACACCGCAGCGATTTTTGGCGTCTTCTAACTGAGATTTTCGAGATGTTCTTCTCCTTCTCTCTCTCTCTCTCGGCTTCATTTTCATCTGTCCAACGGTATCTCTGCGCATCTTTGGCATTGAAAAGTTCGATCGTGCGGCGGTGATTACGCCATACTTTGACGTAAAAGCGACAGACGAAAAAGGAGAAGCCGAAAGGAGAAGAAGAAAAAAAAAGGGCGAACGTGTATACATTTGTAGCATAATGGCAGAAGAGAGACGGATGGCGGCAGAGCGCGTGGACGACGGTGACGGTAGTCGTGGCAGAAGCAGTGGCATCGGGGGGAAGTGTGTGTGTTAACAAGTTTTTGTCGCCACTTTCGGACGGTGTCATCCCTTCTCATCTTCGGTGTACATACGGGTGATGTGTTGGCAGTTAGGGGAGATGTCAGAGATTCGAAGAGGATTAGGACCGACTGTTTTGGTATTTGATATGCGAACAAGCCAGGAAGTGATTGCATATCACGACCAGGTGATTCGCGAGGAGACAAGCTGTTTTCTGTGATCCTTCAGCTTATTTTTAGGGAACACACTTCTTGGATTTGGTCTAGATTTTGTGTTCTGATGTCCCTTGTCCAATTCACTGATCTTCATAGACTTCACAGCTTATGTTTTCGATTATCCCACAATTTCCAGTTAAAAAATATTTGGAAAATGAGTGGATTTGGGTGCTAATGGATCCGGGCGGTCGCCCAGATAGACAGCTATGTTTGAAGCATCGAAACAATGAAAAAACGTGTTATTTACAAATGATCCTCTCGGAGTGTTCTCGCAGAGAGCACACTGTGTTGACGACGGCGAGAAGAGTGTTTTGGGACTGGGGGAGAGCGTGTTGGTTGCCCTCCGGTGCACGATATGTTTGCACACGGTTTCGGGCGCAAATTGATCGTTCGAACATGGCGCCTGTCTGGGATGTCCATGCAATCAAACACAGAGCCTACAATAGACCGGTGGGAAATCGAAAAATGCTTTTCGTTTTCCTTAGTCCCCCTCAATCTTGAACCATTGACTTGAGGAAAGTGATTTTAGGAACAAAACAGAAGACAATACGTCTTTCGAGAGCGACGCATTTCGTTTCCCTCCTAGTTTCCCCGCGCTCTTCCGTGTTTTGCGGTTAGTTGATTTGGCCGCGAGAACTGAAAATGAGAAAGAAGAAGAGAGGGACGGCAAGAAGTGCACTTGACACATTTCGATGTTGGATGTCCCTTTTCCCGCGAACAATGGGCCGGTGACAGCACAGATGGTAGAATGAATGGATTAACGGATGCGGGAATTCATAAGGGGACTGGACCAACTTCAGAATTTATCACGGCTAACTTCTGGAAATTGACAAATTAACGCATTCAGCAGTAAACTTCCGATGGCGTTCAGTGTCTGTCTGAAAGAGAACAACCGTCAGAATGACTTGTGACCTAGAAACACTGATTTCCTCCTAATGTCTCGCGGAATCCGCTCAACTAGTCGTAATGTTTTTTGAGCGGTCATGAATAAGTTGTTCGTCTTCTTGCGTACGCGCACGAGCGTTTAGGCGCACAGACGACGTCGAGTCCTCTAATATTTGTTTCAATGGGAAAAATAGACGGGGGAATAACCAGAAGACGTTCGTGCTGTTGTCGTGCGTGACAAAAAACGAAAGCGCCGAAAATAGTTAGGATGCGCGACATAAAAAGTTCGATTCTGGTAACAAACTTGACACCAATCACAAGGAATCTATCAGAATATTATTTTAATTTTTTCAGTTAACACTCTTCCGCCGCCGGAGCGCAACTGGGTAATGATTCGACATGCGGATCCGGAACGGCCAATTGGTGAGTTTTTGGGAAAAAGAGAAGATTAGAAGGAGTTCTACTCCGGAACCTCGGTGGGATTATCCCGTCGGGCGGAATACTTGAAACAAACATCACAGAGGTCATGAATCGGTTCTGGTTTGTTCCGAGAAAGAGAGAGAGAGAGCAAGTAAACAATCCTATTTTCGGAAGCGCCAATTGATTAGTGTAATTTGAATGGAAGCGCAGCGTTCTGAAAGTTAACGACGCGACTTTTGAATTGAAGCACTTATGCTCATTTCAATTCAGATGATTGCAAAGTCATTGCAAAGTACTCATTCTAGTTTTAATGTTTCTATTTCAGCCACGTTCACAGTACTCTGCTACAACGTTCTGTGCGACAAGTACGCGACTGTCAACCAGTATTCGTACTGTCCATCATGGGCACTCAACTGGGAATACCGAAAGAACTCGATCCTCAAGGAAATACGAACCTACGAGGCCGACATCATCACTCTGCAAGAGGTCGAAACGGAGCAGTTCCGGACCATGTTCCTGCCGGAGCTCAAACAGCTCGGCTACACCGGAATATTCGCATCCAAGACGCGTGCGAAGACGATGACCGAAGAGGAACGGAAGTACGTTGACGGATGTGCCATTTTCTGGAAAGTGGACAAGTTCGACATGGACAAGCACAGCACATTCGAGTTCACTTCGTTGGCGATGAAGAAGGCGTCGTGTAGTGAGAACATGCTGAACAGAGTGATGCCGAAGGACAACATCGCCCTGTGCGCAGTACTCAGGATCAAGGAGAATGTTTATGCGAACCGTGAGTGCGCAAATGCAGATGTGTTCTAATGTTTGGGAAGATTTGATTACAGGACGAATGACGATCCCAGCAAATGACAACGTTGTCGGAAACCCGCTGGTCGTTTGCACTGCGCACATTCACTGGGACCCCGAGTTCTGCGACGTGAAACTCGTTCAGACGATGATGCTGGCGAACGAAGTGACACGAGTTCTGGAGGACGTCTCCAAGAAGTACAATATCACGCAACAACAAGTGCCAGTACTCATATGCGGAGATTTGAACTCTTTGCCCGATTCCGGAGTATTCGAATATTTGTCACGTGGACAGATCAGCCGGCGGCACATGGATCTGAAGGCGTTCCGCGAGGACACTTCACTCGAGAAGTTCACAAACTCAACCGACAAGAACGTGCTCAGTCATCCGCTGAGGCTCGACTCGGCCTGTGATACGACTTCCATACCGTTCACCAACTACACGCTCGACTTCAAGGGAATGATCGACTACATCTTCGCGACACCGCAATCGCTGGCCCGACTCGGAATCCTGGGACCGTTTGATACGGCGTGGATTGGAAATAACAAGATCATTGGTGAGTTGACTGTGAAAAACACTCTTGCAACTAATTACCTTTTCTAGGATTCCCACATCCACACGTTCCGTCCGATCACATCCCAATCATGGCTCAGTACGCCATCATACCGACGACACACCAAAGACAGCCCCCGCCCCCACAGCAACCGGGCCAGTCGTCGGCCGGAGTCATCGGCGGCGGGTATCCGGCGTCACCGGCCCAGAACTCTCTGTTCAGATGATCGTCACCCTCGTGTACAACTCGACCCTTTCCCCCATTTTCTTACTGCTCCCTTTCATCCCATTCTGTCGCATACCTCATCCGTTTATCAACACTTTGTCCCCAACCACCCCCGCTCTTGTGTCTCTGTCCCTCTCAAAACTTACGTATAGTCGTTGATGATAACTCGTTTGAATTGTGATATCTTTGAAGTATGTTTCATCCGCATTTTCATCTTTTTCTGTTTCCTACGAGTTTTCTCTCTCTCCCTCTTTCTCTCTCTTTCTCTCTCTCTCTCTCTCTCTTTCCACATCTTTGTTCGCCTTCAGACGACCTACTTGTAGTTGCTTTCTTAAGTTTCTTGCGCTTCTGATCAGTTTTATTGAGTATATTTTGGTAGCCCATGGGGTGTCTTGCTTCTTTTTATACTATGTTCCTTTCATTATTCCCATTCCCTTATCTTCGTCTCTAATTGAAAGAGCTGCGAGCAGCTCGCCTATCCCTCTAGATTTTCCCCTGGGTTTTCCTTTTTCATTTTCTCGATTCGTGACTCGTATACTGAAGGGTTTCACGGCGAAAAGGTCTCGCGACGATCGGTTACGGTATCTGAGTGAAGGAGTTGAAAAACTCGGAATGGGAGAGTCTAGGAGTGAAAGCGTCGACGAACTGACGACGTGGAAGCAGAAGCCGGAGGTATACGAGTGCGCTGCTCGCTGGTCGAGTCCGTCCGTCCTTCTAACTTCTCCTCTCGTTGTGTATTTCACCGTCTGCTACAGTACCCCATGTATAGTTCGTATCTGGCCTTCGCATTCTATTCTTCTCCCCATTTCTCACGTTTTCCCTTCCACACTCGTCAAAGTTGCGTGTTTCTGCTTTGAGTTCTTTGTTATCGGTCTCGGATTTTAACCCGCTTCTATCCTATCCCATTTTCTCAGAATATTCCGTAATCACAGTCATCTATTATCATCATTATTCCCATAAATTTTCTAAACGAAAATAGTCGTTTCCCTCATTCGAATAAATGTTTTCGTGATCTTTAAAACATTTCTCATCTGTTTGCAAAAAGTATTGATTGGTTAATTTCACATGCCAAAAACTATTTACAAGACCGACAAGAATATTCGGGATATGAATTATCTAGTGAAAAAAGAAAGACAAAGCAAAAGCTATCCCGCAGAAAATTCGAAACCCGTAGAAATAAGTACGCAAACACAGATACGCCAAAATGCAGAAAACTTAGACTATATATAAGAACAGCTAGGACGTTTTATCCGACGGCACGCAATGTTGTTCAGATTTCAATGAATTTTTTGTTGTTTTTATTGAATCTCTGTATCTTTCAGGCATGGCTCCAATTAGGAAAGAGAAGCCAGGAGGCGTTAAACGGTTCTCATTGGCCGCCACGGATGTGACTCCGGCGCTAGGAGTAGAAGAGAAGATGAGCTGGAGAGAGTACAAGAAAATGAAGCAACAGACGGGTGGTGGGCAGATTCAGAAGCTCAAGAAAAAGAAACCGAAAATTTCTGACGAAGAAGAGAAGGAAAGGAAGCCGATGAAACTGTCGAAGAAACAGCAGGAAAGACATGACACCGGTGAGCGACTATTTAGACAAAATAGCCAAAACAATCTGAGAATTGCAGGTGCCGATGTCATTGATCCATCTGCGATGCGGTCGAAGTTACAACAGGAGAAAATGAAACGGACCAAGCAAAAGTTCGAGAAAAGAATTGAGGCGACCGCCAAAGCTGAGAAGAATTTAGTTGAAAATGTACAAAATTTGGGCGATTATCTCCTAAAACATGATTTTTTCAGACTGGTTTCGTGGCTCCAGAGGATGACGATCACTCGTTGACATACGCGATCCGTCAGAAGGACATCGTCGAAGCTGTCGATCTGGCCGCTGCGACAAAGCACTTCGAGCTCAAGTTGCCGAATTTCGGACCGTACCACATTGATTATACTGACAACGGGAGACATTTGGTGATCGGAGGACGGAAAGGCCACTTGGCATCGATTGATTGGCAGACAAAGCATCTGCATTGCGAGCAGAATGTCATGGAAAAGATTTCCGATGTCAAGTACGAAAAACCGTGTGATTTCTCGAGAAATTTTTTTTTCAGATTCCTGCACACTGAGAACTTCATCGCGGTAGCACAGAAGAACTACACTTATGTGTACGATAACATGGGAACGGAACTGCATTGTCTGAAGACGATGTACGACACGGCTCGTCTCGAGTTCCTCCCCCATCACTTCCTGCTCGTCGGGTCCTCCCGCAACTCGTTCCTCAACTATGTGGACGTTTCCGTCGGAAAACAAATTGCTTCGTTTGCCACCAAATCGGGAACTCTGGATGTAATGTGTCAGAATCCAGCCAACGCAATCATTCACACTGGGCACACGAACGGAACCGTCTCGCTGTGGTCGCCCAATTCGAAAGAACCCCTTGTCAAAGTGCTCACTCATCTGAGTGCAGTCAAAGGAATCGCCGTCGACGATCAGGGAAATTACATGGCGACGACGGGTCTCGACAGGAAGTGCCGTATCTGGGATGTTCGAATGTTCCGCCAATTGCACGCCTACTCTCTTCCGTTCGGCGTCGCCAATGTGGCCATTTCACAGAAGCTTGACGTGGCTTGTGCGGTAGGAAACCACGTGCAAGTGTTCCGTGGAATGCACAACGGAACCTGCAAAGAACCGTATTTGGTGCACAATTGCGGAGGCGTCGTCACTGATTTGCGGTTTGTTCCATGGGAAGACGTGCTGGGAATCGGGCACGGACATGGTTTCACGAGTATGTTGGTCCCGGGAGCCGGAGACCCGAACGTCGACACGCTGCGATCGAATCCGTACGAAACAAAGTCGCAGCGAAAAGAACGCGAGATCAAGCAACTGCTCGACAAAGTAGGCTCTTTTAGTAGGCCCAACAAACTATTCCTCTTAATAATATTATTTTTCTCAGATCCAACCGGAACTTATCAGCCTCGACCCCGACGATATCAACAAGGTCAACGAGGGCCTTCTGGAGCTGGAGGAAGAGGAACGGAAAAAGATTCTTTACATCCGTCCGATGTCAGTTCAGTACACTCCACGTCACAAGATGCGAAGCAAGAAGAGTGGATGGAAAATGGAGGCGCGCAAGAACATCGTCAAGGACCAGATCCGAGTTGAGAGAAATATGGAGAAGCACGCGGTCGAAAGAGAAGTGTTCGAGGCGCCCGAGCAGGAACATCCCAAGAAAAAACACATTTTGGATCGGCTCAAATAGTACAGTCAGTTGTTTAATTGTTGATTTTGAAATTGTTGGTACCCTTTCATATTGTTGTTCTTTTCAATAATAAAGCAAATAATCAGTGAGGTTAGGTTTATTCTCAGTTCCAGTTTAACTTTCTCAAGCGGCCGTCAACTTCACGATGATCTCTCCTTGCTGAGCTCCGGCTTTGAACGGCGCTTGCGGATCCGTCTCCTCGGGTGGCACTTCCGCGTACTGCACCACAATCTTGTCCTCTTTGGCGGGGCCCGCGAGACGGTTGATCTCGAGCGTTGCCTTGCCCTTCGCGTCCAGGAATCCGTAGACGGGACGCACGCGGTAGTGCTCGTTGTTCGACGATTTAACTTTGAACGCGAGTCGCGAGTCCGTCTCCGAGACGACGTTGTGGGTCGAGTTGCCGCCGGACGCGGGGAAGTTTCCGAGCGGAGGTTCGATGTTGATCATTTCCGAACAACGACTTCTTTCCTCGACTTTTCTTTTTGTTAGGAGTACTGATTCGAGTTCTCTCTCCGGACTTTCCGATGGCTTTTCGATAAAGGAAAACGAGGGGTTCACGGGAAAAGCACAAAGTGCTAATTGAAAAAGAGATAACAAAAATGGGTTTATTCGAGTGACTGTAATTGAAAGGTATTTGAAAGTTCATTTAAAATTCAAAAAAAAGGGAGCAGTTGCGCAAAAAGTTCCGTCACTTCGTCGTCCTAGGAGTTCCACTCGTCCTCATCATCTTCCTCCTGGAGCTCTCCGTCCGATTCTTCTTCGACCTCTTCTTCGTCCTCATCATCCTCTTCCACGTCTTCTTCTTCTTCTTCTCCCTTTCTAGATTCCAAACACCCATTCACCAATTGGTTCACCTGTTCCTCCGCCTTTTTCAATTGCTTCCGAACCATACATTCCGTTTCAGCGAGAAGAGTTTTCACACGCTCAATCCTAGAATGAGATCATTACAACCTGCGAATACGTTGAAACAAACTCACTTTTCCTCGGTGAACGGCATTTTCTGGGACAACTCTTTTTCAATGCGCTCTTGTTCCTCGAACATCTTCGTTTGTTCCGTCCGTTCCCGTCCAGCATCCATTTCGTTTTCCTTTCTTTCCAACTCTTTCTTCATCACCGCCACGTTCCTCTCCGATTCGGCCAGCTCGTCGCCTCTCCGTTCGAGCTCAACTTTCACAGCCGCCAGCTCCTTTCTCTGCTCCAGAAACTTTTTTTCCAAGAGCTGGTAATCCTTGTTGCGAGTTTCGAGCATCTGTTCAACAGAGACGGACTCGATCGATGACATTCTCGTAGAGGCCTTTCTAAAAATCAATAATACAATAGAAGAGCAAAGCCAAAAAGAAAAGAAGACGACCGTCGTGAGCAGGCGGTCTGAGCACGAATGACTCAGTTTGCAGTGGGGATGTAGGCGTGCCGAATGGGCGGTCCTTCCTATATCTCACTCTTATCTTTCCCTCGGGAATCAACAGTTCGCAGGTGTCCTCAACTGACATTAGCCCATCGAAAAGAAACTTTTCGATAAGGGAAAACGAGGGGTTCACAGAAAAACAGTGTATGCTAACGAGATCTTCAAAAAAGGTGTTTATTCAAAAGGTGACAGTAACAGAAAGTGATCATTTACGCATTGTCAAGTTATTCGTAGAAATGGAATCAGAATCTAAAGAAGCGAGAGATAAGCGAGAGAATGTCTTCATTCTCCGATTCCTGGTTATCAGCCTCTCCTTCTTCCTCTTCGTTGTACCATTCGTAAGATGCGGCGAGCTCGTCCTCATCAGCATCCTCTTCCTTGTTTCCTTCTTCGTCCTCTCGGTAAGACTCTACCTGTTCCATCAGACCCTTCGGATCGTCCGATTCCTCTTCCACTTCATCCTCGCCTTCATCCTCATCAGACTCCTCGACCTCTTCCTCATCATCGTACTCCTCGACCTCTTCCTCATCATCGTACTCCTCGACCTCTTCTTCATCATCGTACTCCTCTTCAGTCTCGTCTTCCTCATCGGATTCCTCCACGACGTCATCATTTTCTTCCGCGGCATCCGTCTCCTCCTCTTTGCTCTCGTCCAAGACGTCATGTTCTTCTGATTTCAGATCCTCTACCCCTTCATCCTCGTCAGATTCCTCGTCAGATTCCTCATCCGATTCCTCATCCGATTCCTCGACCTCTTCCTTATCCGATTCCTCGACCTCTTCCTTATCCGATTCCTCGACCTCTTCCTCATCATCGTACTCCTCTTCATTCTCGTCCTCATCGGATTCCTCCACCACGTCATCATTTTCTTCCGCGGCATCCGTCTCCTCTTCTTTGCTCTCGTCCAAGACGTCATGTTTCTCTGATTTCAGATCCTCTACCCCTTCATCCTCGTCAGATTCCTCATCCAATTCCTCATCAGATTCCTCATCCGATTCCTCATTCGATTCGTCGTCGGATTCCTTCACCTCTTTTTCATCGTCCTCTTTTCTCAAATCGTGAATGCACCTTGCCAACTGCTTCTCCGCCTTCTTCAACTGGTTCTGACCCATCTGATTCATTTCATCGGTGAGATGTTTCAGCATCAGAAGCCTAGAATAAATACATTAAAATCTTAAAGAAAAAGAAAAAAACTGACTGATCATCTTTGATGTGCGTCTTGAGAGCCATTGGTGCCGTAAATTTCCGTTGAGTATCCAACTCGTTTCCCAATCTGATAATCTCTTCCGCCAGCTTCGCCTCGTTCCGCTTCGACTCGGCGAGCTCCTCTTCCTTCAGTTTCAGGGCTCTTTTCAGTTCCGCCAGCTCGTTTCCTTGCTCGAATAACGGACGCATGAGCATTTCGCAGAAGCGGTTACTCTCTGCGATGAGCTCTTGAACGTTGGTCGACATAGTTGTTGAATGCGTGTTTTCTGTAAGTGGATAATAGAGGAATGTTGGAGGAATGAAAGAAAAGAAAGAAAGACGACCATCTTGAGCAGACGGTCTGAGCACGAATGACTCAGTTTGCAGTGGGGATGTAGGCGTGCCGAATGGGCGGTCCTTCCTATATCTCACTCCCATCTTTCCTCCCGGCAATCAACCGTTCGCAGATGTTCTCGAAGGAGAGATAATTGGAGGATTAGTGCTTGCTCCTTTGTAATTTCACCGCGGATACTCATCTAGACATCTCAATTAGACGGACTCGATAGCTCATCTCAATTAGAGCAATTATAAAATGATTACTGAATGACAGTTGGCACGTGCACGAGTAAAGACTGTGGTAGCTTTTATGTACAAAACGGTGATAACATCAGCAGAATTGGACAGTGTAAGATGACGGTTTGGTGCAAGTGAGCATCGTCGCGTTGTCGTAAGCGTAGGTGAACGCCGTCGGACACGCGTCTTTGAATATCTTCGTAGTCGCAGTCATCGGACATTTATCAGGACTCGCGTAGGCTCCGCGACAGCACTCCTCGTCAGTTTTGTATCCGAGACAGCCCGATTTGCAACCGACAGTGTTTCCGGAACTGCTCTTCACGGAAAGAGCCGCTGGACAGGCTGTGTTCACATCGGTCACGCATCCCCCGGCTCTCTTGCACCCGTATCCGTCGATGAGCATCGGGAGATTGTAGCCGTCGAGCAGAGAGACGTCGTAGAAATCCTGACCGCCCCACGCTTTCAGATTGAATTCAGCCACGGAGGCAGGCGGAGTCCCCTTCCGACCATTACACTGCTCAGCATTCTGGAAGAGATCTTTCTTGGAGAAAGACAGTTACAAGAGGGGAATCTACTCACGAGACACGTTCCCGTCTCGCAGTTAAAGTTGCCATCGCATCCAGTTCTCGCCCAGATCCTGCCATTCTTCCACGCGTCGTCCACATTCAGATTCCTTGCCGTCCACGCGTCCAATCGAAATCCTCCTCCTTCCGGATTTCCAGGTCCCAAAACTGCGGGCCAAATAGTAAATGGGCAGTTGTTGTAGACGACTATTATACGATTCTCGATTCCTGTGAGTGCCAGGAGCAGAAGAAATAGTGCGGATTTCATCTGGAAACGAACAGTCCGAATGAGTATTTCTCTTCGTTTTCCTTACATTTCAGTCGTCCAGTCTCTTTGCGGGAAGCTTTTTCCCAGCTGATTCCGTCCTTTTATACCACTTCCCTTCTTATCGTTGAAGTCGAGTTCGCTCCGTCCGTTTGTCACGGTATTTTGTGATCTTGGCCTCGACCCGGAATACCTTCTCTGCAGAAACTCCAACGTTTTCTGTACCCGCATTATTATTTTTGATGGATTCTTTCGGAAACTGAACTGATTACAGATGACACAGCGGTTCGTTATCAGTTAAGAGTTCGGAATGGAAGAGGATGAGGAGAGGATTTGGGTTTCGACAGAGAAAGGAACAAAGAAAGTGTCACCGGAAAACCTGATTAAACTGGTGAGGAGCACGTGGTCGGAGAGAGGAGAGTCTAGTTTGGGAACTGATAAACTTGTTGGTCTGATTGATACATCAATGAATTTATGTTTACGGCACAGGAATGAAACAGATTTGGAAGCATTGGACATCTCTTTGTGCGACTATTCCACAAGAACACTTTCTAACTGAAAGATGTTTTCTGTGAATGAATCCACTTTCAATGACCATCTTCGAAGTGATCCTTCTTCCAACTGTTCCCTCAATGATTCAGCCGAACTTCCTCCAACTGCGTGCTCACTCAAATGTTCATCGAAACAATCGGTGTACCCAGTGGACCTTCCGTCTTTCAGTTTTCATTTCGTTGCCATTTCAAAATGTAATCTCTCCGGAACGTCACGTTTCTTATCACTCACGAGCCGCCGCCGAAACCACAAATCAGATAATGCAACTCCACGAAAGTGCAGCTGAAAGTGGGCGGAGTCTTTCGGAGTTACAGCCGACGTGCAATTTGTTTGGGAAATTGGGAGAAATTGGACTGAATGGACTTCTAGACAAGGAAACTCCAGTAGACAAGATCGCAATTCAAAGGTTCATTGGAAGAGCAGCCAGGAAATTGGAATAAGCTGAATAAATCCTGGAAAGGATTGAGAGAAGCCTTCCGGTTCCTGTCCAATCTAGAAAATTGAGAGAAGGTTTGAACGTGGCTGAAACCTCTGGAAAGTAACACGTTTTCTGGTAATCCCAATAACAGAAAACAGCCGGATACTCACAGTTCCAAGGTGCAAGAACATTGATTCTCTCTTCTTTTCCGTACCGTAGTATACTCTTTCCCGCGCCAATAATTCCCTCTCGAGGTACCCCAACTCCACCCCAAGATCAGCACCGTTTTCGGAGGGTCGGATACCGCATGAAATACTGTATGGAATGAAGAGAATTAGAGATAATCATTTGATAACGTATCGGGAATTCGGAACTCCGAAGTTTCTATTTAAAGGCGAGCAGTTCAGAAGAATAGTCACAATTCAGTCTTCATTTCAATTCCATTCATTCAACCTCTCACTTTCAGTAATGGCCTTCGTCAAGCTCACCCTCGCCCTCCTTCTGCTGGCCGTCGCCGCCGAATCCCGCACCATCACCGTCTACAACAAGTGCCCGTTCACCATTTGGCCAGGAATCCTCGGCCCCGGAGACCCGGCTGGAGGAGGCTTCAAGCTCGACGCCGGACAGTCGAGAAACATTGACGTTGACGATGCATGGACTGCCGGACGTGTCTGGGCCAGAACTGGATGCGACAGCAACTACAACTGCGAGACCGGATTCTGCAAGGTGAGAAAGACCAGAGGCCCACTTCTTTTATTTACGCCCTTTGCTTCCAGAACTCTGAGCAGTGCAGCGGAGCCGGAGGAGTCCCGCCAGCATCCCTCGCCGAGTTCACCCTGAAAGCCTGGGGAGGACAAGACTTCTACGACGTCTCGCTCGTCGACGGATACAATGTCCCAGTCCTGATTGATGTGCACGGTGGATCCGGATGCAGCCGTGCCGGAGGATGTGTGAAGGACATCAACTCCGAATGCCCAGCCGCCCTCGCCGTCAAGAACTCAGCCGGAAACACCGTCGCCTGCAAGTCTGGATGCCTCGGATACAACACTGACGAGGAGTGCTGCCGCGGAGCCTACGGAACCCCAGACAAGTGCCACCGCTCCGCCACCGCCCAGATGTTCAAGGATGCGTGCCCGACTGCCTACTCGTACGCCTACGACGACGGATCGTCCACTTTCACGTGCCAGGCCACCGCCACCTACACTGTCCAATTCTGCTAAATACTTGTTGTTTCATTACAATAAATATGTACAGATTCAATTTAATATCACACGATTAAATGTCAAAAAAGGAGCGGAAGTTGCAAATGAGCGCATGATTGTTATCACCATAAACCTCTTTCCTGTGGAAGTTGAACGAACTTTTGAAACAAACACTTTTTAGTTTTGGAAAACAAGGATGATGATATATGGGACCTTCTAAAGTGTTTGAGTCCGAATATAATCTCCGCCGTTTCCAGGATTTATCAGTGTATGATTAGGCTATTACGAAGTTCACCGGGTCCATTGTCTGCTCTCTTGTCGCCAGACGTTCCTAGAGTTCAACAGATCTGAAAATACCAATGCGATCACTCTTCTGATGTTCGATCGTCTGAAATTCATTTCCGTGTCCATTCTTCTTCCTACCGATTCTTCAATCTTCCGGAAAAGTTCTGTCCGTCCTCGTGGAATTATCTCTTCCGATAACAGCTCCGCCCACTCTACTTTGGTCCTTGGCCACCAGCACCGTTCTACCAGAATTCATCACGAATTCCGGGGGTGACGGTACATAAAACATGGACGGAATAGTGTGGAAAAAAGAGAGAGGGAGTGTTAGAGAAGATTGCCGATAATTAACGAATCAGGGAATGAAGCGGGGGGAGGGGGGGAATGTCAATTCGATACTGATAAGACGGCGGGCGGATTGTGCAAGTGAGCCCACGAAACTTGGTATAAAAAGGCAGACAGATCGAGGGAAAGGCATCAGTCCCCTTCCAGGTTCCCTCTCCTCAACACTTGCATTTTCAGTGATGGCCTTCGTCAAGCTCACCCTCGCCCTCCTTCTGCTGGCCGTCGCCGCCGAATCCCGCACCATCACCATCTACAACAAGTGCCCGTTCACCATCTGGCCAGGAATCCTCGGCCCCGGAAACCCGTCCGGAGGAGGCTTCAAGCTCGACGCCGGACAATCGAGAAACATTGGTGTTGACGACGCCTGGACTGCCGGACGTGTCTGGGCCAGAACTGGATGCGACAGCAACTACAACTGCGAGACCGGATTCTGCAAGGTAACTTTCTCAGGAAAACCAATTCTATTTGACAACATTCAGAACTCTGAGCAGTGCAACGGAGCCGGAGGAGTCCCGCCAGCATCCCTCGCCGAGTTCACCCTGAAGGCCTGGGGAGGACAAGACTTCTACGACGTCTCGCTCGTCGACGGATACAATGTCCCAGTACTGATTGATGTTCACGGTGGATCCGGATGCAAGCGCGCCGGAGGATGCGTGAAGGACATCAACTCCGAGTGCCCAGCTGCTCTCGCCGTCAAGGGACACAGCGGAAAGACCGTCGCCTGCAAGTCCGGATGCCTCGGATACAACACCGACCAGGAGTGTTGCCGCGGAGCCTACGGAACCCCAGACAAGTGCCACCGCTCCGCCACCGCCCAGATGTTCAAGGATGCGTGCCCGACTGCCTACTCGTACGCCTACGACGACGGATCGTCCACTTTCACGTGCCAGGCCACCGCCACCTACACTGTCCAATTCTGCTAAATTTCTATCGTACACCTGTAATAAACATGTAAAGCTTTCCAATGTTTGTGGTCGAATACTCCGAAACACAAAAGTTGGGCTCCGATTAGGTTTCACAAATGACCCTTATCAATTGGGAAGAAAGGGAAAACGGCGGAATGTGCACCAAGAATCATGTTAGGGCCAACTGGGGAAGAAGCTTCTGGATCGCTTATATGTGATCTGTGAATAGGAAGCTCCCAACAAGGTCATTCGACTTCCTAACCCATGCTGATACATAATCCAAGACATCAACAAGGCTCACTTTTTTCAATCTATTCCATTTCGCATTTCCATATGCCATGTGCCCTTTCCGACGATCAGAAACCCTCCCATTTCCGTCGGTTTATTTACAAGCCAGTCTAGTTTTTGAACCTTTTTGCATCACGATTTGTAACTGATTTCACCTACAGTACCACCTCGTTTTATTTGTTTGTTCTTGCCGATAAAACAAGGAGAGTGGAGTCACTTATCAACATAATTCATTCACAATCGGAGAGAAAGAGAAAGAGCATTATCGAATTGAAATGAGCTCATCGATACATTTCGGCCTTGAGCATGACTGCGAAGAAGCAAATCGGGAATGCGGCGAGGGCGAAAAGACGGTCCCAGATGTCGACTGGACGGGGAATCGAGAAGAACGGAGAGCCGCCACGGCCTTCCTGTGAACAGTCGTCGTCGGTCTTCGGAGGCGGAGGCGGAGGGGTCTCTTCTGACGGCGGAGTGGTCCCGGCTGCTGCAGGGGACGGAGTTGTCGGTACCTGTTCCAGGGAGACGATCGGAGCTGCAGTTTCTGTATCGAAACCGCCAGACATGAGGTGATCCCAGAATCCGACAGGCGAAGATCCTCCGCTCTCCTCGCTCTCCTCCTTCTTCGAGTCCTTCGATTTGGTCTTCGTTGTTTTTGTGGAGTCTGTCGGAAGGTTTGTGAACATGGCGTCGATGTCCGCGTCCGCCAACAAAGATTGCGATTCTCCGTCGTAGTAATCCTCGCCCTTCTCCTTCTTCTTCTTCTCTTTCTCCTTCTCTCTCTCGACTTCCCTCCCAGATCCATGGTCTTCGGGCGAATCGTCTCCGGGGGAGTCGCCATGATGATCGGCGAGACAGTAGGAGACCAGAAGGAAGATCACAATGACGAAGACGACCTCTCTCACCACGATCATCTGAAATGAATCGTCTAGAGTTGAGGGAAAACGGGAAGTTTGTTGACGGCACGAGCTTGAAAAAGTGAGCCGGAAAGCCCCCAATTTCCCCTCGTAGCCATGGAGCCGTGGGCAAGCAAGAGGGCGGGGCTTAAAGTGATTATCCCGTGAGGACGTGCAGCTTCAGATTAATGTTTTTTGAGGTGCACGGGTGGATTCATTGAAGGAAACAAAGGCACGAAATGGAAATAATACGTGGAAAGTTCACTTGAACTGTCAAAACAGATCCCATATTGGGTGTTGTTAAAGGAGAAACAAGAAGAACGTTTGGCGGTGAGAGCTAGAAGTCACAAGACTGCGCGCTCCGAATGATCTCGAGCACTCTCGTTGTCGGAGCAACTCACATTGTGATTATTTTGCCGAATAATTCTCACCAATGAGAAAACACAAGATTGCTTGTTAGTCACTGAGTCGTGATATTTTGGCCCAAATTGGTGGCTTGGCGAGATCAGGGAAACAATGGCGCCGAGGGATACTGAGAAAATGTTGATGAACTTCAAGGCAAAGAGGTTGGGTGATCGAAAGGAGGGACATTTTATGTAAAAACAGAAAGCAGGTTCAGATTCACGTTTTCTTCTTCGTCGGCTTCGATTTCTTCGGTGCGGCGGCTGATTTCCTTTTCTTCTGGGTCCCTTTCGATCCTTTCGGTTTCGTGCTCTTTTTCTTTGTCCCTTTCGTTCCTTTCTTCGTCTTCATCTTCTTCTTTTTCGGATCCCCACTGCCTTTCGACGTGCCGCTCTTTCCAGTGCTCGATCCTTTCGAAGCAGAGCTCGATGCCACGTCACCATCCTCTTCTTCTTCTTCTTCTTCTTCTCCCTCTTCTTCCACTTTTTCCGTTTCCTTCTTCGTCTCCACTTCAGTTTCATTTGTGGTTGTTGTCGTCGTCGTCGTTGTCGTTCCCTTTTTTCCTTCCTCGCTCGATTTAGCCTTTTCAGTCGATCTGAATTATTCCGTTATTATCTGACACTTCAGAACAGAAACGTACGTTTTCGTGGCATTCAGATTCTGAAGTTCCGGATTCTGAAGAAGGATCATGATCGTCGACCGGTTACCCTTTGCCTTGTTCTCAATCAATTGCCGCTCGTCGATCACTCCCTGTTTCTCTAGAATCTTCGCAACTTTCTCCTGAAATATCCCGAATGAAACGGCACTTTCTTCCCAGATTCTGCCCGAAAACCTTTGCCATTTCATCTGTTTTGAACACATTTTCCGCCAGGAACTCTTCCATTCTGTCCACTTCCATCTCCTTATTTTCTTGATTTCGATTGCCCAGAAGACATCCCATCGAGACTGTGGCCACTGCGAACACTCCACAAACGAACAGATAATTGAGGAGTCCGTTGAGCAGAACTTTCTGACAAACCAGGCACGTCTTCCGGGTTCTCTTTCTTTAATCGCTCACCGACATTGGGACCACCTGGAGTGTTACCGACGCCTTCAACTGTCCGTTCGCCAAGCACTCAAAATGTCCGCTGTCTTCTTCTCCAATCGGCCAAATTCCTGAAGACAAACACTCCGGAACTTCCCGATTCTGCAGCCAAATACCCAGTTTGCCTTCCCTCGAAACAGAGACTCTCCAGTCGAACCAGCTCGGTTTCATCCTTTTCCCATTTACGAACCATTCGACGAATTCTGGCTGCAATCCTTTCTTAACTCTTCTCTGCACGTCCCCGTTTATCAACCTCTTCTCCTTTCTTTCTATTCTTCTCTCGGTTTTCTTCGTCGCATTTCAGTGTAACCATCGATCCACTGACGAGTTCCATTTCGGGCCGGCTCACAGGACTCCAGTCGATCTCGTGCATCTTATTGCTCCCTTCAGAATTCTTCCCGTTTTTTATCGAGAAATCTCGACTCACCGACGACTGCCCTCACGACACTTTCTTTATTCTGGTGTGAAAACAGACTTCTGTCCTCTTTTGACACCGGTTTCCTTTTTCGTTTGAAAAATAAACTTTTTGGCGGCTTTGCAGTCGTCGTTCTGAATTTTTGCTGAGCCGCCGATAGCTTCCCACTCTTACGTTTTCCTCTCAGCTTTCGACTCGTGGGGACATCTCCCCTGAGATATTTTTTCTTCCAGGTCTTGTCTTGAAATGAAATCACAATCCACGTCATATTTTAACCATTTTCGGAACTTTGCCATTTTCAAAGACCTCAGCCGCACATCCTTGTCCTATTTCCAATTAAACGGATTCAGACTTCGTGTCTCCTTACCGATATATTTGATGCGCTATTTTCAAGGTCCGCATCGTCCGGATCCAGCAAAACGAATTTTCTCGCTTCATAAACTACCAGTAACCAAACGCTTATCAACACGACTCTTCTCATTCTGTAAATGGTCGGTACACGTGTATTCGGCTGAAAAACACGTTCACGTGATCAGAAACCGACTCTTTCAATCTGTATTTTCTCACTTCTGTTCCAAATTCAGTGCGAAACTCTTAAAGAAAAATGAGACAAACGGGTTAACCCCAACATATTTATGTCGGAATAACAACAACAATTATTTACGAACGTGGTCTCTCCTTCTTTCCCTTGAACAGGGCGATGAGGGAGGTGTTAGCAACCTTGACGATCTTGAAACGAACTCCGGGAATATCTCCGACGGCGTGTCCGGAACGTCCGAAACCAGACACGAGAACCTCGTCGTTTTCCTGGAAAATTAAAGTAAATGAAATAATTCAAATCATGGTGAAAATTTTGAATTCAGTTTTCATTGTCAGAAACGGAGGTGAAACAGACGAGCATAAGGCAAGCACCGTTTGCATAAGTTCCTATTTTATTTTCGAGTTATCCTAGCACCAAAAAGATACCTATTCTTAAAGGTGACTCTGGACCTCGCACATCATTAACAGATATTATCGCTGCTCATAATTAAATACTCACTTCGACAAAGTTGAGGCAACCGTCATTTGGAACGAAGGCGGTGATCTTCTTTCCGTTCTTGATGAGCTGAACACGAACACACTTGCGGATAGCAGAGTTCGGCTGCTTGGCCTCGACACCGCTGAAAACAGATAATTTATTACTAATCGGCGAAAATCTTAAGAATTGCATTTGAAGTCCATTCAGATTTGGATACTTGGTGCGCATCCTGCTACGTGTAAAAACGAACTCACATCTTCTCGAGAACGATTCCCTTAGCGTGGGACGCCCCTCCGAACGGGTTGGACTTCCAGCGAGTTCCGATGTGAGCCTTCTTGTATCTCTTGTCGTTCCATCGTTGCTCTTGACGATGGGTCTTGAGCTTGCGAGCCGTGCAGAGTCCCTTCGGCTTTCCCATATTACCTAGAAACCGAAATTCAGAAAAATCAGAAACATAAAAAATTCGAGAACAAAGACGAAAAGCTGAATTGAAGAAGAGTTAACGTACATAAAACATACACGTTACTTTTTACCTAGTTCAATCGTGAACAAAAAAGCTGAAACTCGCCATTTTTACCAAAAAATTGAAAAAATTTTTAGGATTCTCGCGAAAAAGTAGAGAGAACTGGGCATTTCGTGACACAGCTGAACTGAGTGTTACCGTACCACCTCGGCCCTGCACATCTTACCACTTATACTTGTGGCCGTGGACTAGAAAAACAGCAGATGTCGGCCATGTTTTTGGCTTGCCAACTTGCAAAAAAATTATTTTTTGGCAGAAAAAGCAATTTACAATCATTTAAAACCATGCTTACAAAGCTGTTTATGTCTGAACAGATTATGTCTCTTCTTCTCAAGTCTCTTTTCAGTGTATTCTTGTAATTTTGATATGGATCATCAAGGCCCTTTTTAAGAATGACTTCTCAATTGGTCATCTTCGCTGCACATTTGATTCTCTTCGTGTTGGTATGGCTTGTCGCTGCCACAAACACAGTCCCAGTGCTCTCCTATCTTCCAGAATGTTTGCACACGTTTGTATATTATGTAAGTTTCAACTCTCGTACTGAAAATAAATTGGATTCTGTTCCAGGCGCCTATCTACGCTGTTTTAACTCTTGGAGTAAGTTAATTTCTGTTAAAAAGACGGTTTTTATTCATCTTTGTTCCAGATTTACGCAGTTTTTAATGTTGTCTCCGGAGTGGCCACTTTCAACGACTGTTCAGCAGCAAAAGAAGAGCTGTTAAGAGAGATCAAAGAGGCGAGAGAGGAACTGAAGCAGAAGAAAATCATTGAGTAGCTCTCAAAGTTAAGAAAGTCTGGCGTTTTATGGGTGGCCTGTGATATTTGCTTTATGTGCATAGATAAACAAGTTATTCTGAAAAAAAAATCAATCAAATAGCGAAAATAATTTATTTTCGAACAATCAAAATTAGAGTGAAAACAGTGAGCAGGGTGGTGCACGAAAGACTAGCGAAGGAAATGTTGAAACAAAGAAGAAAAATGCGCAGTACACAAATAAATAATTAAATAAATACAAGAGCGAAAACACAACAGAAAATTGATAAAGCACTGTCTGAAAGGGGGATGGTGGACTCGAGAAGCGGCTTTCAATGGGACAAAAGGAAGAATGAGCGGATCGGGATCTAATCTGAGAGTACTTGAAAGACGCAAAAGTAATGGGCGCGGTGACCGGTAAGACATGGCGTATTTTACACAGAAAAAACGGAGAGATTGTGAGTTAAAATGGATAGCTTCCTAAGGCAACGAGGCGTCTCAACTCGCTATCAAACGGCACAAAGTTGCGGTTTTCCGAGTTGAAAATGTAAATGGAATCGGTGGGAATATCCATTATTCCGAGCCGTTGCAGATTCGTCTTCACCAGTTTGAATGTACCTGCGAAAGTGGAAATCGCTCGTCGGCAACAAAAGAATACTCTCACCTGTCTTCTCGACGTCTTCGCAGATGCGAATGAATTGTGGAATGGCGTAGCTCGTGAGCGACGAAGAAAGTCGTGCTCCCACCCTCTGCACGAACTGCCCCTCGTCTTCTTCTTCTGCTTTCGCTCGGACCACAGAAGCCATTCCGGCCCTTCCTTCTCTTTTCGGAACTTCCACCCCGTACACCGTGGCGTCGGAGAGTCCGTTGATCGGATGGAGGATGGCCTCCACCTCGGTCGTCGAGACATTTTCTCCTTTCCAGCGGAACGTGTCTCCCGTACGATCCTTGAAATACACGTACCCGAGACGATCCCAATGGAGCAGATCTCCCGTCAGGAAGCAGCTGTCTCCTCTCGCAAAAACATCGCGGATTATCTTTTTGTTCGTCTCTTTCTTGTTCAGATATCCCTCGAACTGAAGCAGCGGGTTGTTCTTTCTGATCGTCGAAACCATTGCTCCCGATTCTCCTGGATTGCACGCAATGCACAGTCCGTCGGCCGTTCGGATCGCTTCGCCAGTGACGTCGTCCACTTTTATCAGTCTGACTGGATGCATTTTCTTGGTGAGTGGGGAGATCGGAAGAAATCCGCATGCGCCCACGTGCCCGTCGATGTTCACTGAAAAAAGGGACGGATTAAGTGACGGATTCATCAAGCACTAACCGAGAGAAGAAGTCCCTTCCGTTGACCCATAGAGTTCTCCGATTCGGACTCGGAATCTATCGACAAAAGGCTGCCAGATCTCCGCGCGGAGTCCGTTTCCGACCAAAAGACGCATGTTGTGTCTGGACTCCTCCTCGACAACCGGCTGGGCCAGAAGATACCGGCAGATCTCTCCGATGTACTGCGAGACCGTGCAGTTGTATTTGACGCAGTCTTTCCAGAAGTTGCTCGCCGAGAACTTCTTTCTGATCACGCACGACGATCCGCCGAGAAGAGCCTGTCCGACTCCGAGGATGCCGGCGGCAGTGTGGTAAATGGGCATGGAGACGTACATCCGATCGGACGGACGGATTCCGAACGACTTGGCGGCTCCGACGGCGATCGAGTAATATCGAAAGTGCTTCATAACGGCGGCCTTTGGCATTCCAGTGGTCCCACTCGTGTAGATGAAACAGAGAATGCTTTTGAAGTCGACAGTGTCCAAATTCTCTGGCTCTTCGGTTCCCTGCACTTCAAGCTTCTTCCTGAGATTCTGGAATTCCGAGTTCTTTTTTGGTTCTCCCATTGCGTACACGTCAATTCCAGCCACATCCAGAAGTTTCTCTTCGATCGAATCAATCAGCACTGAAATTCTTCCCCACGTCTTCTTGTATCTTTCCGATGATCTCACCATTCTGCAGTGTCGCACTCGTGATGATCGCCTTCGTCTTGCTGGCCGTGATGCAGTGCACGAGCTGTTCCCTCTTCAGATTCGAGTTGATCCACGCGGTGACCACTCCGATCTTGGCCAGTCCCATCCAGGCGGCCACGAATTCCACCGAGTTCTCCATGTACAACGCCACGACGTCACCAGAACGGTAGCCCAGTCCCTGAAAGCCGATTAATTGATTGACTTGAGATGGTCGGAAGGAGCAGACCTGGAAGTAGTTGGCATATCTGTTGCAGTGGGCGTTGAACTCTCCGAACGTCTCCGTCGTGTTCGTTTCGATGTCAATCATGGCCGGTTTCGTTGAATGTCTGGAAAAATATTCGTTTGAGGGAGGGAGGAGAACTGTGCGAATGCTCACTTCTTGACGATGTTCAGAAAGAGCTCGTGGATTCCTTTATTCTGACGCAACCTCAGCCACAAGTCAATTTTGACCTCGATGATGAGTGCCAATCCTCTGAAACGTGGCAAGAAAACGAAGGGCTTGCCGAAAAGGCACCGAACTCACGTCAGATCTCTGTTGAGTGTCAGATAACTTCTGTAAATGAAATCTCCGTGGGCGATGGCAATGTAGAGAGCTATGAGTGCGGCTAAGACAACGCCAATCGGAAACCACTGCGAAATGACGCCGACGGTGAGGAGCATCGCAGTCACCAGCTCATCCAGCCCTATTTTGGGGAGCAAGCTGTAATAAGAACAGTTTTTGTGTTGTCGAACATCCTTCTGTTTTTGTGATGTCTTTTCCTTCGCCCGCAAATTACCCATTATCCCCTGCGAATCGATCGATAATTCTTTGTTAGTCAGCGGGCTTCTGAATGCGAATAACTGGGGCTACAATGCGTATAACTGACGTCACGCCATCGCTTTTGCCTCCGCTGCCAAATGCATTCGTCCGATGGTCATCGCCTCGGAAACAGGTCCGAGACGCAGACAAACGGACGGAGAAGGACAAGTTTCGACGACGGAATCGAGGTGTCATTTACGGTGGAGAAGGAGGGAAAGTGCCGAAACTTGGTGGCGGGAGACGTCGGAATGGCACCAATCGAAGGCAGTTACGGGATTAGCGATTAGGCCGAAACACGGGCGACGTGTCTTCTGGAGACTGTATCCAATGGGAACGAATGGGAATCCGAATAGTTCTGGGAACATCCGGGGCTGCCAGCGGTGCTGTTCCGACGGCATTCACATTCTCATCTCCATCTATCTCTCCTCATTTTCCATTTCGAAAATCACCTCGGCGCCGGTCCCTGTGCTGTTTGATGCCTTATCGCCTGCCCCGTCCAAAGTATGCGGCAAAACGGCAACATGGGAGGCCAGTGGCCGTACTGTCCACATTTCTAGATGCAAGTGCGCCCTATTGCGAAACACTAACCTGGCAGGTTTCTCGAGAATGTCCGTCGGCAGAGGCCTCGGTCTCCGCCAGTTCGGAGCTCGATCGGTCATTTTGGAGGGGAAGGGAGGAGGAGAAAAACGACGAGAAAAGTGGCGGGACCGGAGTGGACTCTCTGCGGTTGGAATCGGATGGATCTGAAAGGGAATTGGGATCAGTGAAACAGGCGGCAGATTGAAATGATTCGAATTGGTACACATAGACAACGGAGGGCGGCGGAAAGAAACAAAAACAGAGAAAAGACGGCATGCATGGGGACGATGGACCGGTATCTAGGGGCCAGCAGACGACGCTGATATATAGAAGAAGAAGAATATGACGGATGAGAGGAAGAAGAAGAAAAAGAAGAAGCTGAAGGAGGCGAAGAGAGGGCAAAGAGGCGAAGAAGAAGAAGAAGAAGAAGAAGAAGGAGGAGGAGAAGAAGAAGGAGGACTGTAATAATGAAGGGAAGAAATCAGACAGTGTGGGAAGCCGAGGAAACAAATCACAATTAAATACAAAGGAATTTCGTATGAAGTCTTCAAGTTTTTCTGCCTCCTGACACAATGGATTTGTGATGATAAAAAGGTCGAAAACCAGTTGATAACCTTTTTGTTTATCCTTTATCAACCGTCAAAACATGGAAACTTGTTAGCGAGGCGAAAGTTTAGGAATGAAGGAAAATAAAAGGAGGTGGGGGGGGGGGGGACGATTTGCATATGAGGGCAGTGGGTTGAAAGTGACAACGATCATGCAAATCTCATCACCTCTTTCTTTTTCGATTTCTTGAGAAGAAGAAGAAGAAGAAGAAGAAGAAGAAGGAGAAGGAGACAATTCAAAAGGATTTGGGAGGAAGGACAATGGACGGATTGGGAGCAGAACGGACGAGGAATGGGAAAGTGACGGCTTCCAGAATCGGCGAGTGGGAGATGGTGGGTAGACATCAATATCAGTTGGAAATCAAATCATCACGAGGGGCATTATCTTCCACTTCCAACAAAAAACACATTTTCATCCCCCCCACTACAGTACTCCCTCCCGACCTGATTCTAGGTCAACGTGACGGGAGAAACCAGTATGAAGAGAGAAAAGTACAAATGGGAATGGGATGAAATGGGGCGGATGCAGATGAAACCTCATAACTTTTGATCCGGCCGTTCTTGTTCGACCGTCTTCTCAGAAGCGAGAGGGAGAGAGAGAGAGCATGTGGAACAAGGAGGGTTCAGAGAATTAGTAGGTCAATGGGAAAGCATTCTAAAGTCATTTAAGGGGAGGGAAAAGATGAGGAATGATACATTTGAGTGAGATGATATGATTGGGGCGAAACGTGTTTGGGAAAGGGAGAAGAAACTGGTAACTGATTGCATAAGGAGGCTTCTGAAAGTATGCGAAAAGGAGGCGGATGATAAGGTTAGCAGCTAGTGATGATAAGATGGAACAAGTGAAAGGACCGACAGGTTTCGGAGGCGAAAGTCAGAGAGAGAAAGAGAGAGACAGAGAGAGAGAGACAGAGAGAGAGAGAGAGAAAGAGAGAGAGAGAGAGAGAGCGAGAGAGAGAGAGAGAGAGAGAGAGGGAGAGAACGGAGGATGAATATATGGAAGAGATGGCCAATTTTCAGAATTGGCTGTAGTTTGATGGAACTGATGGTTCGATAAAATGTGTACAAGCGGAGGACTCAGAAGAATCTTTAGTCCAGGATCAAAAAGAAGAAGCTGCCGAACGACAATGACGAAATGAGAGTGTAAACTTGCGCTCATTCCATTTCTCCCTAAAGCAAAGATCGAATCCAGTCTACAGTAGGACGGCTTATCATCATTTATTCGGTTCCTTCTCTGGCCTTTGTATCACCTAATCATATTGTTTATTCTCTCTCTTTCTCTCTCCATTAAATAAAACATGTTCAAGTTTCATTCTTTTTCTGCAAAAGACCTGTTCGTGAACTGATTTCCGATTCCGGGCCCTTTGCAGCAAAGAAAAGAAGAATACGTACGTAAGTTGGACGAGTGACTCAATCGACGACGGATTAAAGAAGTTGCAGACACAAATTCGTGCGGAACACGTTTGCCACGTTTGCGGAACGGACGAGATGTCTATCATGAGACATGAGAAGCTTAAAAGAATACGGCTAACAAAACAGTCTTTCGCACCTTTCCTGGCAGATTATCGACACCGATAACAGGGACTTTTTTGGCATCAGATTCGGATTTTAACTGTAACTCGAGAGATCTCTAGTGTGATGGCGTCCGGTTTGAAGACGTAAAACGGAAAAAGAAACAGAAGTAACAAGTGGGAAGTATTCATGAAAAGCGGTGGAAACATTTGAATGAGAGGGGGAGGGCGCCGGGGCTAACCAGCCGTCCGGCCTTACTCGGCCAAACCCGTTTTGTCTGTTTCCCGATCGGCCGCCCAAGCCGAAGCCGAAGCCAATGCTGCTGCTGCTTCTTCTGTCCAGGATGAAGACATTTCGGAGATGTTCGCGATTGTAAGCGATGTGAGAAATTCGCTGAGGGACCCGCTTTCACTGGCGGCTAGCGCGCATGCTATCGATAGCATTTGACCTGATAAGGAGGGGATCCAGGTTCAATGAACTGCCACCTCGCGGTTTTCGATTTACACGTAGATCAAGATCTGTTTCGACGTCTATATGATAACAAACATTGCAATTGACGTTTTTGAACACACAATGGAAGCATAGCATGCTATAGCATCTGTAAAACCTGAAAGGAATCTGAAAATATAAATTTTTTTGTATATTTCGATATACGAGCAAGCCGGATACATCATTTTATGTCATTTGATGTTGACAAACCACAGCAAGCAATAATTTTTCAAACACCCGCTGCCAGAAAAGCATGCGGTGGAGCGCACTTGCCTCAGCACAACGAGACCTTCGCTGCGATTAATTGTATGCGCCTTTAATCGATAATCCAATTTGTGACTCACTTCGTTAGAAAAATACCTTCATTTCAGCAAAATGGCATACAAAATGGAAGCCAGGCAGCTAAAAATAGCAGAGAAGCTTATTATATTGAATGACAGAGCTGCCGGGATGCTGACTAGGATCTACAATATCAAAAAATCAAGTGGTGGTGAGTGTTTCCTTATGAAATCGTAAATTGTGGGCGTTTACAGATTCAAAAGTAAAGCCACACTTCTTGAGTGATAAAAAGATGGAAGGAGCTATAAAACATATCGTCAGAAAGTTTCCGGTTGTGGATTGCAGGTCGAACTCCGTAAGTTTCAATTTCACAATCTCAACTGAGAAACATTTTTCAGTCAACGTTCGAGCATGTCCAAGGGCTTCAGGGCGAAATAATAAAGTCTCTTTCGCTCTATTATTATACTTTCGCAGATCTTCTTGAACTGAAAGACAGTATCATAGGACTTTTGACCGCAATGGACGCATGCCAGTGCCAGTTGGATATCGTGAGTCTTTCACTTTCTGGAACTTTTTTTTTGATAGTTCTTTCAGACGTTGAACTACGATTTAACAACAGGATATTTGAATCTAGTCGTCCATCTCATCACAATGATGATTCTTCTGTCGAGAATTGAAGATCGGAAAGCTGTTCTCGGCCTGTTCAATGCGGCTTATGACCTTCAGCACGGCCAGAGTGAATCCTCATTTCCGAGGCTTGGACAAATGATTCTCGATTACGAAAATCCGCTAAAGAAGTTACACGAAGACTTATCGCCTTTGAACAGACTCATATTCTCCGCTCTCTGCTCTGTGAACTCTGTTTATCAGCGAAGAAACAAGACTGCCGATATGTGGAGGGCGTCGAACATGTTCTCGTTGACTGCCGCTCCTGCACAGCTCCTCTATGCTGCCCAAACAGACACAGTTTGTGACAAGTGATAGAGCTAGGTGGAAACAGACTTTCATTTCAGATTGCCTGTGAATATCTCTCCCTTGATGTCATCGATCGGTGGATTGTTTGTGAGTCGTCTTCAGAACTGGAATCCGAATAACATCTATAATTCAGTTTGCGGGACCGTGTGTCATTCGACGCTTCTCAATGACACAAACATCTTCCACATGTGGCAATTGGCACTTCAGATGAACATGTGTCTCCGTCTTTTCCGCGATGAGACTTTCATTGTTCATCAGGAGATTCAGACCTTTTTCGAGTCGTCAAAGGAGAAAAGCAAGAAAGTTCATGACGTGAAAGAGTGTTTGAACGTCGCTTCCCTCACTTCGTAAGCCTCCAAATCTCTGAGTGCCCCATTATTTTCTTCATTTTCAGTGTTGCCGTACATGCAGACCGTCGTCGTTTCCTCCGAAGTTCGCTTCGAGATCTTTCTCTTCTTCTTCGCGACCAGCCGGGTTTACTCGGCCCGAAGGTGCTCTACGTGTGGATGGCTCTCGGAGCAGGAAGAGACGAAGTTCTCTGGCTGCTACGACATCAGGTTGAAGTGCCGGCAATCAGTAAAAAGGGGAGCAAACTGGCGGACGAGCTCGTGGATCGACAGCTTCCTGAACTGCTCTTCTACATGCTCGAATTGCGAGATCTCGTCTACAAACATTCCGGAGTGATTAATCGGTATTATATGCAGGTAAGGAATCAATGTTACGTCTTTAGAAAGTTATTCCGTCTTTCAGTATGTAACTAGTTACGATTCAATTGTGGCGACAGAGATGGTGAGCCACGCGAACGGGCTTTTGGAAGAGGAAGGAATGCTTTTGTCGGACTTCGCCAATTCCATCGGTAATCTAAATTCGGACACGTGCTTCCGAGGTCTCCGGCTCGATTGGTACCGCTTCCAAGCATGGACTTCTGTCTCGCGCAGTCACTTCCAACTCTCCAAGAATCGAGAATTCGCCGTCATGATGAACACGGCCGTCTTTCATTTGAAAATGATCGATATGCAAGAAGACATGCTCCGAGAGACCAGCGACCTTTCCATCTACTGTTTCTATCCGAAACTCGCCGAAAAACACTGGCTCAACTGCCTCCAACTCCCTGCTCAAGCTCGTTACGTTCTCAGCTTCGCCCGACTGGCCGGTCATTTTACGAGTGCACTTCATGATATGTGCCCCGAAGAAAAGACATTCATCACGGAAAAGGCTCTGGCTCAGTGCAATTCAGTTCTCGAGGAGACGTGTAAACAAGTATCGTTTGTGCTCGAAAGAGTGGCGGAACACGAGTTCGGACTAGCTTATCAGATGACTCCGAGTGCCGTTGCCGTGAGAGTTGTGGCCGAGGTGGTCCAGCAGAAGTGGTCCGGAAAGGCAGCAGCAGCCGCCGCCGCAGCCGCCAAAGACTATTTCATTGCGGGAGAAGAGAGTTATCGAGTCGACCGACAGGCACTCACTATGCCAGACAAGTTGCAGACCACACTGTGTATGTTCTTAAAATATCCCTTAGAATACCTTTCTCCGTTTTTTCAGTGGAGTTGTGTGCTGGTCTTGGAGCACATCGTCAAATCCTGGTGGCCAATCACATTTTCGCTCCGCGCACCTACTTGTCGCAAGCCCTTGAAGCCAAGTTTGTCGACCTGCTGCACGCGATGATGTGGGAAGGACAGCCCCAAGCGAGCAATCCGAAAAGGCCCAGTGACATGCTTCTGGCTCTTCAGGCTTATATGACAGTTCTTCAGAATCTGGACACTGCCAGTTAGTCCTTGCAGTTCTTTTCCCACTCCTAAAGCCCATTGTTTGCAGTTTCCGTCGACATCAGCAATCTAATGCAGTCGATTCTCCTGCAACAAACCCAATCGACCGATGCAAAAGGAAAGGACACAATAACTGCGCTCTACACGAAATGGTACCTCGAGGTGCTCCTCCGTCGTGCTTCCTCCGGTCACATGGTGTGGAGTGAGCATCTTCGGACGATGCTGGCTGCCGGTCAGGATCAGCTTTCATTCCTTCCCGATCATTATTCGGATCCTCAAGAACTCAGAGCTCTCGTGCAAATAATTGGCCCTTACGGAATCAAACTAATGTCGGAGAGGCTAATTTGGCACGTGGCCAGTCAAATCAGTGAAATGGGAAAAATCGTGAGCACGTACAAAGAACCTCTCCAAGTCGCACGATCCAATTTCGATAACACGGAAAGAATGAAGGAAGTGCTGAATCTGTTGACTGCGGAACCCAAAGACAAGAAAGCGGCGAACGCGACGTGTCCGGCAGATGCGATCCTGCAGCGAACGATCATCATCGGACAGATCTGTGCTTTCCGAGACGCCCTCCTCGAAGCTCTTCGTCACGTCGTCGAATCGAAACTACCGTTTCTGCAAACATCGTTTGAATCTCTCTACAACAATTTGGATGACGTCGGAAAAGTCAGAATTGGAGAGATGTCGGCTGCGATGGGGGTGAAAGGACTCGTCGACATGTCTCTGGTCAATGCGATCCGGGCTCAGAATCCGAACGTTCATCCTGGAGAGCACTACAATAACAGCTGTCTTCTGCTGGTAGCCATCGCAATTTGCATTCCCCGCATCGGAATGTCCGATCTCTCTTCCTACAAGCCAAGCATTCAAGGTTAGTCCTCAAAATAAATCAGCCCCGGCATGTACCATTCAATTTCAGCCAGTTTGAACAACAGTCACTGCGTCCCAGCAGCCGTCAACACAATCGGATCTGCTCTCTTCCATCTCCACGAGCAAAATGATATTCAAGAGAGAATGAAGGAGTTCTTGGCGGTAAGATCCTTGCTCCAAAACGAACGAAATCACCCCTTTTCCAGCTGGCTTCCTCCGGAATTCTCCGAACAATTCACGAGCGAGACGGCAGTCGTCAGGTTCCAGACGACATTCTCCGCGCGCACACAACTCTCTACATCATCCTCGAGCAAATGGTGCGCAAGAATCGGTGGCTCTCGATAGACGTGCTCGAGGCATGCTTCCCCTACAATCTCGTCCGTACCGCCTATCAGCAATGCTACGAAGCAGACGCCCAATAGATACCCGAATGTAAAATAATTTCCCCTTCTCTTCACACCCATCCTGTGCCTAATTATTTCTTCTCATCATTTGCAACCCACTTCTCGACGGGTTACCTTCTCCCCCAAACCGCCTTTTCACCATTTATTCCGTGCATTCTTCGTGTGAATTATTTTTACTCATTGCCACGTGGCTTTAATTTATAACAGTTTGACGCCATAATAAAACACTTTTATCCCGTTCCGAGCACATTTCGAAAAATGGAGGAGAGCAAGGGGATCCGAGAAACGAATCGGATCGATTATGTTATCTCTTGGATAGGTGAGTCTGTTTTTCGGTCGGCAGCCGGCACCCGCTCCCTTTCAGTGTTTGTCTATGCGTCGATCGTCACCTTCATCGTCTCTCCGATCCTTCTTATCTTCGTCTTCTACTCCCTCCTTCCGTTCGTTTTCGTCTCCGCCGACTTCCGTAAATTCATGCTCAAATGGCTCGCCCGAGCATCGAACCTCCAGTTTCTCACGTGCGTCCGATGGAGTGGAATCAAAGGTATGTCCGAGATTTCTGCGCATTCCAACCGACGGTTCCAGTCATGATGTCGGGCGATAACCTGGGTCGTCTGGCCGACTGCCGGGCCCTCATGCTCCCCAATCACCTCGGGCTTTTCGACCATTTCATCTTCATGACGGCCGCCGATTCGTTCGGAGTTAACGCGGTCGGCCGTTGGCTTTTCGTCATCTACAACATGTGGCAGTACTTTCCGTTGGGATGGCTCTGGAGCAGCTATGGAAACTACTTCATCGATTCGGTGCCGCCCCACAAACGGGAGGAGACTCTCCGCAACCTACGACAGCACTTCGACCGTATCTACCACAACCTGGACCTCCGCTGGGTGTGTCTCTATCCGGAGGGCTCGCGGCTCTTCCTCATCCAGAAGCGCAACGCGGAATACGAACGGAAGAAGGGCCTTCCACACCTGACGCACTGTGCTTACCCCCGTCTCGGAGCCGCGCTGAGTGCGATCAAACAGCTCGGACCGGACGAGTCGGACCCGTCGAAGGCGAACAACGGAAAAGGACCGCCGCTGCAGTACCTGGTGGATGTGACTCTTGGATATCCGGATGGGAACGTCCTTCCGCTGCACGAGACCTTCCTGTCGGCGTGGAGGGACAACGGCGGCAAGCCGTACGCCATCCACTATGAGATCTTCGAGATGGATCCGAAATGGAAGGAGGAAGAGGAGCTGCGCAAGTTTCTTTTCGATCGTTATCAGAAAAAAGTAAGAAAGTGACAAAATCAGAAGGGAAGAATGAAAACTTTCAGGATAAGCTGCTGGATGCCTACTACAAGACGGGCCATTTCTCCCCGGACGCGAAGGAAGTTCCGCTCCCTTCGGACGCCCTCATCATCTCTTTTCAATTGATTCAGTTGGCTCTCTTTGTCATTCTCACCAAATGCTCGTTTTCCTTCATTTATTAGATATGAACATGAATAAAATTAAAGTACGAACTAATGTATCTTTATTGCAATTGGACGGAGTACCCTTGAACGAACAAACTACAAAAAGATCGATGTTACAGAGATTGCCAGACAGATTTTGGTTTTCTTCGAAAAATAAAATTTTAAGGTTCACATGCTCGTCTCTCGGTACGGTTTGTGGCCATCGGAAGACGTCGAAGGAGTGTCATCGTCGCCGATCATCGAAGAAGAGGCTTCGGAGCCGGCGGCCGAGCTCTTCCGTTCCGCGTCGATCTTCTTCCATTCTCCGGCCAATCGACGTCTGAAAACGGAACGGTTCTTTCGAGGTTTCGGACCAGAAACGACATGCAGCAGCGGCGAGTGTTCGTGCAGAAAAGAAGCGTGATTGCAAGTGCGCTCCACTGATAACTGAGGGAAAGTGCCACGTCACAAAAGAGAGAAGCGAGAATAATTGGGCGGAGAGACAAGAAAACCTACTCGTTGTCATCGTACCAGAAACACTCGAACTGATCGATGAAGTTTAGAATTTTGGATCTGTTAGACGGACCGGTTAGCACTGAGTGCGGGGACGTTCGCGGGCTCACCTCAAGTCCTCGTTGTACATGGTCTTCGAGAGCTCTCCCTTGATGATGTGCGCCTCGTCTCGCATCAGCTGCTTCTCCCTTTTGATCTCCTCGAGCAGCTTCTTAATCGTCTCCATGTTCTCCTCGTCGTTGTCCATTCGCATTATGTCCTGAACCGAAGAATTGTGAAATCTTTCGAAAAGTATGCTCACCTCCAATTCGTTCACTTTCTTTCTCAGCGAATGTGTCATTTTCCGAAGGTGATCATAGCGCTTATCGAGGTAAGTGAGTCGCTCTTGGAACTACAATACTTGCATTAACCCCTTAGAATCTCCACACTTCCACATGTCACCCAACTACAGTATACCTGTTGTGTGTTAACACGAATATTAGCCTTGCAGAAGGACGGTTTTCCGCGTATTAACGCGTGGATCTCATTTTCTTCGGTGGGCGCGTACTGGACGACTTCGTGAGTGTAGGACATGCTCCAAACGGACAAAATGTTCGAGTGTGATGGAAAAGACGAAAAATAGAAGAGATAAAGGAGCGAATCAATCGAATTCCCGGACAAGTGACATTCGATTACAACGTGGCAACACGGCACGAATGAGACAACTAAAGTGCACAAAACGATAGGGCCGAGAAACGTATTTCCGGAAGGTTCTGCGGCATGTTTCCGGGATGAAGGACCGCCTACGCACCCGAAAGTTCAATAGGAACTGAGCAAGACAGTTTTGAATCGAAAATGAAGTCGAAACGAGAAAACCATATGAAAAGTGTCGAAATTGAAAATAAGGGGATTTATGCAAAATGGGCGAGAGGAATAGAGTTTTGGGCGAGAATGGGGTGCCAATTTGTTTCTTTTCAACGCCTTCTTCTCCTCCTTCTTCTCCTTCTATCCATGTTTTGATGTATCATGTTTTTCCAGTCGATCTTGTCCTTCGAGAAAGACGCACAGGAAACGATTTTGAGCAAGGATGGGCACAGAAAAAGGAATCGGAAAGGGGGGAAAGGGGGAGAAAGGAACAAGATCGGACTGAAATGTTTGGAAGATTCTTTTTCTTGAAAACGGGCTTAGCGCCCCTTGTGTAAACTCACTGAAATGGGCGTTTTCAGAAAAGAAGTGGACCGAATAGGGAGAAGGAAAAGGATTAGCGAATTAATAAGATCGATTGTACTTCCGAAGAATAAGGAACGAGAAAGGGAACCAGTCCGAGAAACGGTTCCTCGACAGACTCGGAGGTCTTCAAGAATGGTATCCATTCTGAAGCCCATCCAGAAGATTTTCAGTGACCCGCCCACCGCAAAAGTAAACAAAAACTGCTGTCCGGGGCCGAAAAGAGATCTCGACGACGTCGTTTGCTCGCCGAGCACATCCGTGTCGATTTGTGATTAGCATACGCGACGGGCGGGAACACGCTCTCCGAGAAGACACAATGCTTTCTTTTCTTCTCGAACAGTGTCACATCCGACTCCCCGGGGCTCCATTTCTCATTCTCTATTTTTGAGAATGTCAACCAAAGGAGGGAGGGAATCCGCAAAACAGAACAGCGACACAGAAACGCAGCGACAGTGGTTCGCCGTGTACACACGCTTCCGCTGCCACCAAATACGATAGAAGTAGTGTTTTGGCGGTGTCGAATTTCATTTGTTCGGAAAAACAAAAATATAAAAAAAGCGATAGGTCCCACCGAGATTTGAACTCGGGTCGCAGGATTCAGAGTCCTGAGTGCTAACCGCTACACCATGGAACCGGCGAAGTTGAATAGCCGCAAGTGCAATGAGAAGAGAGATGGTGGCAGCAGGTTGCAGCGAATGTTGTGTGCGGAACTTTGCGGGAACGGATAATAGCGGCAAGAACAGTGCTCGAGAATGGAGCCAAATGGACGGGAAAAATAAACAATTCGAGTGATGGAGACCATGAGTCAAAGCTAAACTTGAATGTTTATGAAACATAAGAATGGACACGAGCATATTTTTGGTATCTAGAACATACACGTGTCCTAATAGCTATTACTAGTTCACTAGTGAAGATTAACCCAAATGTAGCTTCGAAAATCAAACGTGGCTCGTTTGCAAATAAGCTTCCAAAAACGATAGGTTCCACCGAGATTTGAACTCGGGTCGCAGGATTCAAAGTCCTGAGTGCTAACCGCTACACCATGGAACCGACGAGCGCACGGGTGCTAGAGGCCTACAGGTGATCGCTGTCCTCAGCGAACAGAGCGGACGGCGGACGGCGGACAAACAAGAGAGCGCGCACACCGAATGGGAATACTGACGCGCGGAAAATGATTGATGAGTGGGTTTGTTAATTTGGTGTGACATGTGGAATGCACGAAGAGCTTCAAAAAAAGGACTTACCTCTGGCATTTCGAAGACGAGTTTGGTGGTTTCGTTTTGTGTCAGCAGATGAGATTTTTCATTCGAAAGCTGATAGAATTCTGAAAGGAAGAAGTTGTGAGAATGAATTGAGAAAAGACGAGGAGGAGAAGCAAGAATGAGTTTATGAAAACAATGGGAGGTCGGTGTCTCTGTGAGATTTTCTCAAGTTTGTTTGCAAGAAGTCAGGCGGTCCATCGGATCACCGTTAACTTTTTGGTGGCCACGGAGAAAGGGAGACGAAGAGAAGGAAGGTCTCTCCAGGAAATGGGCCCAATCATCGTCAGTTGTTCGTCTCAAATTGAGGCGAAACATGCGGGCGTCGAGAAAAAACGACAAATTATGAGAGCGCCGTCATCATCATTGTTTATAGCCTCAGACACTCTTCGTGATCAGAAAACGAGAAGCCGGAAGGTGCTAATGACAAGTGGGATTGAATGCAAAAATGTTTCGACCACGGCAGGATTCGAACCTGCAATCTTCTGCTCCGTAGGCAGACGCGTTATCCATTGCGCCACGCGGCCACATTTTCCAAGAGAACCCAAGTGCCTAAATGTTGGGGCGAACGACAGATTGATGGGTGAGTGAGTGTGAGAACAATCGTCACATTTAGCAGAGTTTGACGGAAAGATAATCTAATTTTAGATTCTCAAGAGTCATTAGAGTGGGAAAATCGGTTGGCGAGCTTCTGCAAAAGCGAAAGAGCGGAAGGAGCCGCTAATTTGCTCGCGAAAATAAACGGAATACGAGATGGGCGGGTAAAACATCTGGTGGAAACCTGGGCGTACGCTGAGATTACACACTCTCTTGTAAATGTGAAACGTGAAATTTCATCTCGACACTATATTTTTCAGTGTAATCCGGTGTAAACAAATAAAGGGAAAAGGAAAGTAATATAGGAAAAAAGAGGGATGGCACTAGGAGACAACGAAATTACATGGCAACGTGGTCCGTAGGCGGCGCAAGAAAACAAATAAAGTGAATCGACTGAAGAAAAAAAAAGAAAAAGGTGTGGCTAGATGCATGCGAGAAAATAGACCCAAGCATCGAATTTCATGTCATGTCATGTCATCTACATGGCCCATTTCCGGCGGTTCTTCTCAAAAAGACGATAAAACGATTCGCAGTCAGCAGGATTCGAACCTACGCGGGCAGAGCCCAATTGATTTCGAGTCAATCTCCTTAACCACACAGGTGAATCGCGAAAAGTGTGGAATTGGTTCGCAATTTATCCCGGATTTTTTCTCCAGGTACACGCGATGAAGCGAATTGTTGATTAATAACTGACAAATCGCGAACGGGCATTGTATAATTGACAAATCCTGCGCAAATCACCCATTGTATAACAAGCCAATTTTTCACAAATCGCACTTGAGACGAGATAATTTTATTAAACGAAAAAAGTAACAAAATAACAGAATGCAATGTTAGAGACAAAAGAAGAAGTGAAAGAAAAAATCGAAAAAAAATGAATTGAGTAGAAAATCACGTAACAGTCGGCGATTACTTCTGCGACTCCGTCCTCATGCTGAATGCGTTCATATTTTCTTTCCTTTTCAAAACGCCATCGTTTTCTTCCCACACACTATTCGAAGACGAACATTGACTGAAATTGAATGATTGATTTTCTTTGTATCCTTCTGAATCTCACCGTCCAACGACCACGTTGTTCGTTTTTGCGAGGAATAGGCCGTCTGACACTGTTCGAACTCTGCGCCCGGCACACTCGAATCACTTTTTTAAATCTTGGTCGGCACTAATAACTTCCAGTTATTCTTCTCTTTTTCCAAATTCGTTCGCATTATCTGAAATCTTTTTTCTGATGCAATTGAATCAAAAATCCATTTTCTCACCTGCGGCTGTCTGTTTCTGGAAGTATTAGTCGTGGCAATGAACCATAACGAATTGAAATGCGAAACCTGTATGCTCTACTTTGGTTTAATTACAAAAAAGCATGCGAAATTGCAATAAAAACCAACGAAAATATGAAAAAATCACAAATATTTGAATTCAAAAGCGAAACTCAGAGTGACCAGCCCGTTCGCCGATTTGTCGATTGTGCACCCTCGTTCGCGAACTTGTCAATAATTCACTAATTATACATCAATCGCGAACAAGCGCGATTTCTTTATTATACACTGTGTTGTGCGCCAATCTGCTTCTCATCCCGTTCGCGATTTGTTGATAATTTGTCTACAATTGGCTCAATTGTATAATTGATCAACCGCGTTTCACCTGTGCACTCGGACATGACTGCACGATTTGAACGCGGCGACAGGGGCACACAGGAGAGCGGGTTGAACCGGTCGGAAAGATACATGGGAAGTAGACAAAAACAAAAGGAGGACGTGGGAAAAGAAAAAGGATTTCGGAAATTCAAAAATCAAATTTCCGCGCCGCCCGTCATGCGGCACCGAGGGAAATTTGTCAAAGTTGGCGAAAAGAAGCGCTCCGGGACACATGGGAATCTATCAAAATTTGCGTATTTGCCTTCCGGGGCTCCAGATTGAGCTGACAAAGATGGAGAAGAAAAAAGTTGGAAAAAACTTGAACAAGGACTCTTTATAGGGAATCTTGTGGGGTACAGTAATCCTGAACTCTTTCTTTAACCTTTTTTGCAGAATGGAAATGAAAGGGGTTCGTCTGCGTCATCAGCTTCCATTTCGGACCTAATTCGTTGAATGCCATTTGAAAACTGAATGCACCAACAGATTCAATTATTCCGTTTGCACTCATCGAGTTTACATTCATAATGAGCCCATTCAGCTCTTTTTCTTTACCTCGGAACTCTTTTGGGAAAGGGCGGAGTCGAACGACCTGCGAAAAGGAAAAAAAAGAAGAATCTGGGTCCCAGTTAACCGCTAATCGCCCAAACAAATCCAATTTCCCTGTTTCCCGGCTCCCGCGGCCGCACTTGCCGCCAATACAATGCCACGTCGCGGCGAGCGAGAGAGTGTGGATGGAGCAGAGACGCAGGCGACGCGGTGATAAGCGATCAATGGATCGGTTCGTGCTTGTTTACCTGTTGTTTATGGTTTGTGCGATACCGTTTATTGCGCTCGTGCATACTTTGATGTTGAGTGCACTCGCTCCAGAGTACTTCTTTCAAATTTTACATTACCATTTCAGTCCTCGAAGCTCTCTTCCTCTTCCATTTTCCCATGCTCGGCTCTCACTTTAATTTGGTCCATCTCCCGAACACTCTCCTTCGTTTCCCCAATAATGGCTCCGTGGGGCACGAGAGAGAGAGAGAGAGAGGGAATACGGATTTATGTGCCGCGCATCCGGTTGTTTCCAGTCAAAATAGCCGAGTGAAAGAAGAGGAAAGGGAAGAGGATATTCGTAGGAAACGAGATGGAAATGGAACTGCAAAGGCTACTGTAGTCATATTGAACTCTGTTTCGCTTTCAGATGCCGTTCCCGCTGCTCATCTTCTTTTGTCTACTGCTTCACACTACACACGCATCGAGAATTGTCTTTTTGAATATGTTCAACTCGAAGAGCCACGCACTCACAATGCTTCCATTGGCAGAAAGGTGAGTAGAGAGAAGAAGAGACAGAGAGATCACGCAATCGTACTTGATGACGTGGCACAAGTGGGGGAGAGAAGGTGTCAAGAATCGGCGGCGAAAAAGGCTTTGAAATTCGGGGCAAATTCGTTTCCGCTTCACGCACTCAGCCGTGAAATACGATCGGAGCACCGGGGGCAAAGGGGACGAGGCGACAAATTCGGGAGTGAAGCTCTTCCCGAAAAGAATGCGAAACGGAAGAGGAAGGAAGAGAAAAAAAAAAGAAGAAGAAGAAGAAGAAGCGGATGCACCTCAGACGACATTTGAAATGGATGAGATTCTGGAGTCATTCCTCAAGAGAAAAGAAGAAAAAGCAGGCGGATATGAGCGATGTGCCCGAGCAGCGGCACTGACGCCAATCACAATCAATTCCGAAAACAAGAAGAAGAGCAGAAAAGTTAGAGACAAAAGGACGGAGCTTGTCACGTGGATGGGGCTTTTGGGAGTTGTGGCACTTCCGGTTAAACTGGGATCAATGGTCTAAAGAGATCATTTTAAAACTGTAAACCTCATTGGACCTAAGGCTTTTTTGAATGCTGAGAAGATAGTTCTCATTTGAATAATCATTCGAAAAGGGTTTTCAGCTTGCATAAGAACACTAGTTTTGAGAAATGGAATGTCTGATTATGACGCCAAAACTCGCTTCTCGTTTACAGAAACGTGAACAAACTTGCAACAACTTAGTGACCACTGAACTCTGGTCACTTCGAAGAGATTTGAGTCGGAAAAAAGAGACAAATCTCACTGAAACACGGCGAAAAGAGGCGGGCGCATATTCTCGTGGTCGGGCCTCCCATCTCAGCACTAAACGACTCATAAAATGGGTCGAAATCGGTGGGGATGGCAGCAAGTGATGCGTTGCCGCAAGTCGGAAGGCTTATAAAAAGTTTGATTGGTTGGTGCTCGCATGCTCCGCTCCGAGCCGTGACTGACGTCAAAAATCTTCCGAATCGCTCGCGTTCCCTCGGGACGGAGAGAAGCGGCGGCGCTCGAGACGACTCTTCTCACACTTTGTTTACCACCGAACACAAAATGAACGAAAGAATGACTGCGAACGCATGTGACCACTACGCACTAACTGATATGGAACTTTAGTAATCACTTTGTAGATTCGAATTCTGAAAACCTCTCCTTTTTGCAGGCTGGCAGCTGATGGACACGACGTCTCGATGTACACGATATGTGCGCACAGCATGAAGATTCAATCTTCAAAAGTGAACGTCCTCGAATCCATTGCAAAAATGAGCGACATCACCGGAGAGACGGCGCCCGACACGAATGGAGTCAGCAGAATATTCTGGAACTTGGAAATGACACCGTACTTCGGAGCATGCGTCTATGAAATGGCGTTTCATTATCTGGAGAGTGGCAGGGATGGTAAGAACTAGAGGCTTCTTGTTGAAGAAATGAGAACATATGTATTCTCAGAGCAATTGGAGCATATATTGTCGACTCCTTTCGATTTGGCAGTGGTCGATGAGACCTATACAGCTCTCCAAGGATCAATCGCTCTGAAATTGAGGGAGAAGTTCGGCACGAAGATGATTGCGTTTGCGACAACAGGTAAACAGAATGCAATGATGATACTTTATTGGAATGTTCGAAAGAGACGGCCTTAAACAACTTTCGAGACTCTTCTTCTGTATCCGCTGGACTCCGGCTTGTTCTCGACGGCTCCGGTTCTGGCTGGGCATGGGCAGTAGGCGGCATCGGCTCCTGGCTGTCCGACGGCTCCGGCTGGTCCAGCTTCTCCGTCGGATCCTGGCTGTCCTGGCTGTCCGTCTGGTCCAGCTGGTCCAGCTGGTCCAGCTTGTCCTGGGGCTCCGGCGGCTCCGTCTTGACCGGCGTTTCCGGCTGGTCCCTGTGGTCCTGGGGCTCCTGGGGCTCCTGGAAGTCCAGTTCCGCGCTGTCCGTCCTTTCCTGGTGCTCCTGGTGCTCCTGGTGCTCCTGGGGCTCCATCAGCTCCGGCATCTCCTTGTGGTCCTGCTGGTCCAGCTGGTCCTGGCTGTCCGGCGGATCCCGCTTGTCCTGGCTGTCCGTCTGGTCCTGGGGCTCCTGGAGCTCCGTCAGGTCCGGCTGGTCCTGGCTCTCCGGCTGGGCATTTGATGCATCCGGTCTCTCCTTCGTGCGTGATGAGCGAGATTCCGTTGACTCCGGCCTTTCCGGCCTCTCCTGGGTGTCCGTCATCTCCTGGCGCTCCTGGGGCTCCTGGTGGTCCTGGTGGTCCAGCTGGGCAGTTGTTTGGCTGAGCTCCGCAGTTGCATTGACTGGCTTGACGCTTTTCACGTCCGAAGATGGCGCGGAGGTTGCTCTGGTTGTCGAGGGACGGGCGGGTCACTGGGATCATGTCTTGCCAGGCGTTGTTGGCGAAGACCTGGAAGAGGGGAATTTGATTGGAATAGGATCGGAGTACTGTACCTTGAACTCGTCCATGTCGTCCATAACATTGTCGTACAAGTCGTTGATATCCTTGAAGATGGCTCCGACAGTGAAGAGGCAAGCCACGATGGCGAGTCCGGAGAAGGCGGAAGCGATGGTGACGACGTACTTGACACTCATTTCAGACGAGATGAGATGACTGATTTCAGAAGTCTCCGCCGCTTCTTTTATACTCAGACAAGCCGCCGTTTCTTTGTCTGTCCGATCAGTCCGACGCCGCCCGCCCACCGACGCGGGTTAGCAAGTTCTGTTGCGCAATTCGGAGGGAGGAAAGGTCGAAAAAAGTGGTAGAAGAGGAAGGAAGGGAGGAACAGAGAGAGAGAGAGAGAGAGAGAGATTGTGGATGTGTAACAGGCGTCACAGATGGATGGATGGCTGAATGAGATGAAGATTAGTGGATCAGAAATGGGTTCGAGTTGGGTGGCAGGGAAGCGGTGGAATAAGGGAAATCCGTGGATAAATGGCTCTTTCACTTGTCCAGTTTTGAAGACTTGCCGGCCTCTTGTCCACTTCCATCGAAATTCGCATGTGAATATCTGCGGTTTTGGTTTGATTCCAATTGCATTTCCAATCAAATCCATAAACCCTGCCACGTCACACCTGCGACGCACTTCCGAATCACCGTTTCATTACTCATTCCGCTCGCTTCCATCTCCGTTACTTTCACTTATCACCGTGCCTCATCTCCTTTTTCAATTCCTTCATACACAAAAAGACGCAGGTAGAGCGACCTTGTAAACTGTACCTATCGCGGGCTTTACACCTCCCGTTTTGGCGTGTAAAAGCCGCCCGAATACCTACTTCATTGTTTGTGTGACAAGGTCAAATTGGCCGTTATTTGCATGTCACCGAAGGAGGCTTTCAGAATTGATGCCGGTGGCGGCGAATATGCGCGGATTCGGCAGGAATCCGGTGACTGTTCCCAAGTGAGAAATTAACGGAAATTCAACGGAAAACCAAACTGATTTCAGTACTTTTCTGTTGTCTTGGGAGGTTTATGACGGCAACGAGAACGGCTATTGGACGAGGGTTCGCAAGATTTACGAGTATTTTGTCGATCAGGTAATGAATGAAACGGAGATTCTGGGGTATGCAACATGAGCATTCCAGATATACAGTGGACCGCTCGCCAGTTTTTACAGCCTAGAGTCTGGAAAACTGCTCGAGTTGGAAGGTTCTACGAAGAGCAAAGCATTCGAGAGCTTTCTGCTGACCGTCAATGATTTCCCGGATACGTTCAGTTTCAACTCTCCACGTGGAAACGACCTGATTCCGGTAGGAGAGCACTGCACAAACGGAAGTGCTCTCCCGTACGAATTCCGCGAATTTGTGGAGGATCCGGTGTCGAAGGGTACCATTTACGTGGCTTTCGGCTCCTATATCAATTTGGACGACGGTCCTCCGGGCACTGTCGACGAATTTATGAAGGCGCTCAATCACTTTGAAGACTATCGAATCATATGGAGTCACAAGGGAAATGTCGGTGGCTTCGAACTTCAGCTGAACGTTTTTTCTTCTTTTATTTCCAGGTCACCGGTGCGAGATGTCACGTCAAAGTGGTCAAATGGGCGCCGCAAAAAGAGCTTCTTTCGCACGAGAACACGAAAGTTTTCTTCACACACGGCGGCCTGAAAAGTGCAAAAGAGGGAGTGTGCTCGGGAGTTCCGATGCTCTTTTTGCCGTTTTTCGGAGACCAACCGAGAAACGCGCATCGGTTCGTGACGCACGGAATCGCAGAAGCACTCTACAAACGCTCAGTGACCGCCGAGGAAATTGTGGAGAAGTTGCAGAAGCTTTTGGTGAACCCGAAATATAAGAAGAATGTGGAAAAGGTGGGGGAACGGTCAGACCGTCAGCCACAAACATCCGGCTCTCTTTTGACTACCGTACTCTTTGATCGTTCACGATTACCGGCAGCCCAGATGTCGACAGTATCTAGTCTGCTCCTTCCAATCACACCTTCTTCTTTCAGATCAGATCTTTTTACTCGGATGCTCCGCTCGACGCCCTCGATCTCGGAGCATTTCACATTTCACGCGTTCTCCGTCGTACCGAATCTCAACTCGTTCGTTTCAAACGTCGTTCCATCTCGATGACCCACATACAGTATCTCAATCTTGACCTTCTTAGCACTATTTTAACCGTGCTCTACCTGGTTTATAAAGCATAAAATATGATTTCATGATCTCCGTCAGAAAAAGTATGAAAAGCGTGCAAGTTTGTGTGAAAACTAACTGATTAGTGGGAGGTGGAAGGTCGAAATGGCGGCATGTGGGTGAATAGTCCGATCCGGCACAGAAGAGTCTTCCATTTTCATGATCTACTACTGTCAAACATTTCATCAGTCATCGTTTTCAGCACTTTCTTTCAGATGACCATTTCGACGAGTTCCTGGCAAATAAGACAGTTGACGATGTCGTAAACTGTGAGAGATTTCATGAATGTTGAGCAATGTTTGATTTTCAGTAGCACACAAGTATCAGAGAGCAAAGTATCTCAATCAACAGGAACAACTTGCGGATGCCTCCCAAGAACAGCTCGTGTAAAGCGAATTGGTAGGACAGTCTTCGAAGCCGAACGACGGGCCAGAATACTGTATTGCAATGGATTTGACGGCCGACGAGACACGTGGACAGTACAATTATCTGCCATGCGAGAGCAAAGTTATCAACTCGCTTTGTGCTATGAATGTTTGAAATCATGAACCAACTGAAGGGCACTAGCAAATAGCAACAATATTTATTTTTGTATCGTTTGAAATAGGCGCCTACGAACGCGGTTGGGTGCGAGCATGAAACTGACTACAACTATTCCATGTTTTGAATTTGCATAAGATCTTAAAAACAACGTCTCCACAAACACGTGAATCCTGCATGGCGTGACCGGTTCGTCGAACACTTTGGTCACTAGGTTCAGATTACGGCAAACCGACATTTGCATAAGAGTTTCGCTCATCGATCAACGATTAAACCAAAGAAATTGTAGAGGAGTGATAGCGCTTATCCATCCGGTCTTGTAGTTGTTTTCTAGATGTTCTCTGTGGCACAGAGCCTCATTTGCAATTGATTCTGCTTCTGACACTTCTACGCGATCAACCATATGAACAGAACAATCAAGCGGCGAGATAACATGATTCTCAAATATTGGACTTCCACCAGCTCTCCGCCGATCTAAGATCCTACTCAAGTGGTCAGGTTCAAATTGTGCACTGGTCGTCCGAAGTCTATCGATGTCATCAATGCCCTCCACCCTTTTGCCTCTTTCTCTTTCCAGATTATTTTCCAGTTTTCAGCACGGCTTTGCATAACACACGCCGCAAAAGAGTATAAAAAGGGAACAGTGCAAAATGTGCCAGTGTCTGACTGAATGTTCTCTTCCGAGATGCTCACTTATATAATTCTGTTGAGTGTCTCTTTGGCTTCTTTATCTGCCGTCGGCGTGAATCCGTGTGCTTCCACGTGGCATTATTATAATGAGACCGGATGTTGTTACAAGGTAAAACAGGGAGAGAATGCAAACAACGAATCCATGTATCCAGACTACATCTGACATCGGAACATGGTTCCAAGGGTCTGGAATGTGCTCTAACCTGCAGGCTGGAGCCCAGTTGGCCTCTCTTCGCAGTGAGGATGAATCAGTCTGGGTCGCGATGAAGTACAAGAATGGGCTCGACGGAATCCATGCGTGGACAGGTCTCTCTCAAACTGTAAGTGCTTCTGAATTCCTTCGTTTTTTTCAAAGATTATTTCAGCAAGTTGCAAACAACTGGACCTTCACCGACGGTTCCAAGCCGTGGTCCTGGTTCTTCACCCCTTTCTTCCTGCTCCACAATCATACGAGCTGTGTGGAAATTGTCGACAACTGGCTGGTGGACCTGTTTGAAAATACGGGGAAAACACAACCGACTTTTTGTTTTCACTATCTGAAGTCGTTGTGCAAGTACTGTCCGGCGCCCGTCCTGACTACACCTAAGCTCGCCACCACCACTACCGTCACTACAATCAAATCGAACACTTCCACTCCGCTTCTCTCGGCCACTGCACCCACCACACTGCCTTCGCATACTGTGAAACTAGAGAAAGAATCGATTGCTCATCCAAGAAGCAATCGATTCGGTGAGCAAGAAACGACGATTTCTACCATCTTCACAGCTCGCCCGTCTTCGAATGCAACAACTGCAACGCCACTGAAACCAACTGCTACGGCCGCTTCTATCAGAGTTCCAACCGCAAGAGATATTCCGTTGAAGGTGAATGCCACAACTGTTGCTCCAATAACTCGCAAGTCGACTTCTGGGCCAGTGACAACTACAGTGCGCCCGACGTCCGCAACGTCCACTTCACACACAGTCTCGTCTAGCAGAATCCCAGAGAAAGCAGTGCCTGCTCGAAATGCTCAAGTGGAAGCCACTTCGACTGCCATCCAAAAGACTGACGCAGTTCCAAAGACAACTGCTGCGCCGGCACAATCTTCTTCGAAGAGGAACCCGGAGAACAGAGTAGCCACACCAACGAACACTTCGGAGATCGTTCCGTCAACAACTGCAACTGGAAGAACTGGAATCCGTCAAAATAGCACAACGACACACTCCTCCTCGGTGCTTCTGTCCCATCCTCCGACCATGCTTTCTTCTGCCATTATCCCAACTAGTTCTTTGAATAATTCGACAGTCGCTGTTCATCCGTCGACGTCACCAGCCCATAGAGTTCAGTTCCAACTGACTCATAATACAACTGTGGCTCCACCAACACACAATGCCACATCGACTACTCAGAAGTCATCCGACAGTATAGGAAAATGTGCATAGACAACGAGGAACTTGTTAATGTCGTGTTTTGCTCGTCGTTGTCGGATGTAGTAAATTTTTGTACATAAATAGTAAACTTTTTTTTCTTTTTTTATAAGATGGTACAAAATAATTTAAAAAATTCCGACTAGACATTAGAGGGCTTTCTCTCAAGTTGCTCCCTCATGAATGCACCGATAGTTTCCTTGTGTTTCGACATGGACGGCACGAGATGACCTCCTTCGTGCACAATCCGAAGCGCCGGAACGTCGAATCGATCCGCCAATTTCTCGCTTTTAGGTCTCGCCACGATCTCATCGGCGTCTCCAAATACATGAAGAGATGGAATATCCTTAATTTGAAGAGTTGTCAAGTGTTCGTGTTTGCTCGAAAGGCTCAGGAATCCGGAAAAGAAAACGGCGAATCGGATGCCCGGCAGGTTGATTTCTCCAGCTTGCGCCTTCGCAATGAGCAAATGGACCATTGAAGCGCCCTGACTGAATCCCAGCAGCCCATCGAACGGCCCGTTCTCCTCGATGAATTTGACGACGGCGGCGACGGACTCTTCGAATCCGACGGCCACTTCGCTGGTCTCTCTCGACGAGAAACTCATTGCTTCTTCGTTCGAAAACCACCAAGCACGACTCGTTTCCGCGTCTGAAACCGATTGATCAGGTCGAAAATGGCAAGAATAACTCGTACGCTCATCGACAGCCACCGAATGGATTCCGTTGACAAACTCGAAATCAGCTAGCGATTTGACAAGTTTCCGGGTGGATCCGGTCTTCTGACGGAAGGATTGATCGCATTGACGGTAACCGTGGAGGCAAAGGATACGGAGCTTCGGCTGGGCGTACATTCTGAAGCGGTTCTGTATAAATGGAATACATCGGTTGAAGGTAATCATAGCGATAATCACATAGGAGGTCAAAAACAAATTATTCAGAGCAAAAAAATAAACAATTTTTATCAAACAATCCAGAAAAAGAACGAAAACAATGTGAAATACTAATAATCTTTCCTAGTTGTCATTTTTTGGCTTCACCCATTTCGGCGGGTTTCTCCGTCTCTCCCTCTCCGCTGCCGGCTTCTCCTCTTCTTTCACATTCCCAAGTACTCGCGCACTCTCGCTCAGCAACCGATAGTCCATTCCGTAGTCGGCTTCTCTGAACAGTCGGTCCATTTCTTGCTCCATCAGAAGACTCTTGTCCCCGATGAACTTCACTTCGGGACACGTCACTCCGATCATTTCGCCGACTCGTCGTCTGATCTGATGTCTCATTTTTTCAAGAGTCTCCGTAACTTCCAAATCGCTCTCTCCTCGACACATCCAGCTGACGGTCACTTGCGAGAACGATCGATCGACGCGTACTCGACTGATCTGCAGCTGCAGCTGTCCGAGTGTCTCGTCCGTCGCCATCACTTCTCCGATGCGCTCCTCCATGATTCTGCTCAGTTGATTCATTTTCTTGTCGTCCAGACGTCGTTGTCGCGAGCCGAGGGAGACGAGCAGGAGACGGTCCTCTAGGCCCGTGTCGATTCCGAATCGGACGCCCATCTCTTTCTGGAAATTCTTGCCCAGAGCCTTGTCGTATCTCCACTCGAACCTCGGCAGAACTGCGTTCCCGCATCCTCGTCCGGTTTTCCGATTCACATAATTCCGAGGACCTTTAAGTGCCGCAGAACTGCTGCAGATCCATCTGATTCCACTTCTGAACATCTGAAATTTACTGTTGAAGTCTCACTCAACTTCGAAAATGCCAGAATGCGTTCGAAGGATATTTCAGGGGTTTAGCCATTCTCAGCGATTTAATGCGAAACACACCAAAACAATTTTTTATCAAATAATGAAGAACGTATAGAACACCTTACAAGAGGATGATACATGTTAAGCGATGAGATAGTCTGGTTGGTGATGGGACCGAAAAAGATGAACTATCAGGAACGGTTGAATGAAACGAAAATCGGAAACTATTTAATACAGACGGGATTATGAGGAATACATCATCGAATCTTGAGAGGTGTTAAAAGCGACCCTGGAAGGAGCAGAGGTCGGGGTATGGGGAATCGGATGGGATAAATACGGGGGATGATAAAAATGAGAGATGCGACTCTCTGAGGATCATGCTACGGAAAAAGGATTGTTTATACAGACAAAGGAGAGCGACGAATTATTCAGAGTCCATTTCCTCTCCCTCTTCAATTGATCCGAGCTCAACGTTGGAAGGTCCGGCACGACCGCGTCCTCTCCGCGCGGATGTTTTCGGACGGGGCGGCAAAAGAGCTGCGAACACCGGGGTGTCCTCTTCGACTGTCCCCTCAATCGCATCCGGATCCTGAGTTCTCTGCCAGAACTCGGGCTGATCTCCGATTTTACCAAGATGCAGACCGCTTGGCAGAGAATCCGCCTGATTGAGGATCATGAAATCGGACATCCACGAGCGTTTCGAGCGATCTTGAACTATTTTGAGATTCTGAAAAATAAACGTTCATTTCTTTCCATAAAGTTTCCCAACTCACATTCTCATTTGCCACGTGCAGAATGAAACTGACGATCGAGGACGGCTTCACACGTTCGCCCATTTTGGGAGGCATCGAGAGCGCTAGCGAGAGGAGAGTGTGCACTCCGTTTATCTTGACTTTCCGATTCTCCGTGTTGGCCGTTCCGTACTGGGACTTACGCGGCTGGTCGGGATCCGGTGCGGTTGGCGCGGTGTCCAGATACTCCGGTGCTTCTTTTAACGCCGCCAGAATGTCGGTGACTCCATGCGTCACCTTTTTCGGAGAGTACGAGAATACTGCTGCTAGTGTCTGGTCTGCTGCACCCTCGGATGAGAGCGGGGAAGATGAGGTCGCATTCTTGTCGCTGGTACTCGGCTCGCCGCGAATCGTTCGGCTATGTTGGCGCAGCGTTTGATTGGTGAGGGACAGCTGCTCGAGGGCGTACTGAATGCACGGCATCGAAAGCGTGTCGTTGTTCAGAATCTCAGTCAGGCACTTTTTGTGCTTTGCCGCGTCCAAATTTCTCGATTGAATCGCATGACGGTCGAACGACTGAAATTAATCGGTTTTTGACCTTTTCTTACTTTACGGCAACTTACATCGTCGAACTCATCGTCCGAATCTCCGTACTCTCCTGGATCTCTGCGCGTGAACATGTCCGATTGCAAGCGGTACAATGTGCTGCTGAACTGGGCCAGTTTTTTCTGAAATTATCATTGCTCATCTGATTCCGACTATCCTCGCTCACCTGATTCTCAGCTCCCATCTTCGAAGCGGCCAACTCCTGCGCATATCTCGGATTGTATCTGTCGTAATCGTCGTCCTGAAATCAAGCGTATTAATATTAAATTGAAACGAGTCTCGTACGAAGTTGTCGGCGTGCATGTCATTTTCGTCGTTGTTGTACATCGGAGCATCTTCGTCGTCGTGAACTTCTGAGAATTGGGGAACGGTGTCCGGATTTCTAAAAAAAAGTAGTTTAGGTTGTTCACACGATGAAAGCCCACTCCATGCATCTGAATCCGTTGAAAGTGAGCAGCCAACTGAGGAAATCGGCGTCTTTGTTCCCTTTGTTGTCTTCCATGTAGAACTCTTCCTCTTCCGTTCTTCGATTCGTGACTCTCTCCAGCTTCACTCTACCGAACGACTTTTGGAACACGAGGGATCTGATTGGCGGCGGCACTTGAGAATCTATTTTGGCGAACAGACTGCTCGTGGTGAAGGTGCTCAGATCTAGTGCCACGTGCGGCTTGTGCTCCTGTCCAAGAGTCTTCATGTAGATCTGCGACTCGGAGAGGAACGTGTTCCGTTCATCGGCAATCTTATGGCACTTGGCGTCGGTCCCCTCGCGCTCCCGCTCTTCGTCCGGGATGTCACGGAAGTAGTGCACGTACTCGTCGATAGTCGCCTTCTTTCCCTTCGCCTTCTTCTCCCTCTTCTTCCTCTGCAGTACTGCGGCTTTCTCCTGATCGGCGATCTCTGGTGGCACCCAATGAGCGTTGTCGACCTTACCGATATTTCGGATCTCTTCGCGCATCTCAGCCGACGGACCGACTAATTGCTCTTGGGCAGCGCCGGTCATGAGCTCCGGGACTTCATCTGCGCCGAGCGCAATGTCCTCAAAGTTGCGTTGGAGCACATGCTCGTTGATTTCGTCCTCGTCTCTTCTGAAATAGGGGATTAAGGATCATAGGCAATGAGAGGGGTACTTACTCATCCAAAGGAGCAGCAAAAAGAATGTCAGCCATTTGGCCGTCGTCGTGTCGGTTCGCCATATCGGCTCCGTCGTCCTCATCGGCGGGAGCGGCAAGATGATCGTCGAACTCGACGTGGAAGTCATCGGCGTCGATGTCGTTATCCCCAATCAAATCATATTCTTGCCTCTCGTTTCTTTCGTTGATCTTCTGGATTTCTCTCTGAATCTCTTCTAATGGTATCTCTTCTTCTTCGCCTTCTTCTCCTGCCATTTTCATCACATCGAGCTCTTCTCCTTCCATTTGGATGTCATGGAATCTATCGGCAGGATAATTATTCATGTATTCCTCCGATTTCATCAAGAAGAAGTTCTTTCCAAAGTCCGGAACGAGATTTCTGCTCGAGTCCCGCTCGTTGTACGCGGTCTCGTCGAGCTCCGCACGCGCGTCCCGATTGACGTACATCTTGACGACGTCGTAATTCGTCCAGGCGTCGGTTCCCTTGATCCATCCTTCGATTCCGGCCTGAGCGACGTTCCGAGTCTCCGCAGTCAGCTCTTCCTCGCAGTCCTGTCCCCATTCCTCGGCACGCAATCCATTCTTCCACACTTTTGCTTCGATCATTTCCGAGATTTTGTAAACGTTGAGTTTCTCATCGAGCATTTTAGTCAACTTGTCCATATCCATGGGATCCATTGGAACTCGTCCGATCAATGATTCTTCGAGGGCAAGCTGAAAAACAACTCATAGATTTCGATGAGAAAAGACTTTTCATTTCAACTTACGTCTTCGAATCTCGGCGGAACGTACTCATCGTTATTGGCTCTTCCACGAGCTGAGAGTGTCTGGTTCAGATTCGGAGCGTCGGTAGCTATGGTCGTGTCGGCATCTCCCGTAGTCAAAGGCAATCCCTGATGGCCTGGAAGCATCGACATATCGGATCCAAGAACGGTGGCATCTGCGGAAACAGCTGCAGCGGCGGCGGCGGCAGCTTCACTATTGAGTCTGTTGAGATTCATCTCAGCGAACGTTAGATTGGCGAGATCTCTTTCCCGGGAAGCCTCCGCCAGCGGCAGTGCGGATTTCTTCACTTCTTTCGACATGATCTTGTATCTTCCGATGACGGGACGATCCTTGACTTCAAGCATCAAATAGTTGTCAAGTACTGCTGGCTTTTTGGCCAAAGCGTTTCCTAGCAAAGCTCTCGTGTTGTTCACGAGTGAGACATTCACGTCCTGAGTAAAATAGCGGTCGTCTTCCTGCCGATCATGAATACGTGGATGAAGTACAAGAGTGCGTCCGCTGGGCGAGTGAACACCGTAATAATTCAGAGAATGGAATGAGGTTGCCGTGTTGTCGATGGCGCCTTTGGTCGCCTTTTGGAACGTGGGATTCGTCTTCAACCAATCGACACTGGCGTCTTTGAGATCGTTCGCGGCTTCGCAGGAAACGTGGAATCTAGACGCGTCCTGCTCCATGTGGTCTCTGAAATTGTTGAAGCGCTCCGCGACAAGACCTTTGATAATGTCCTCTGCACAAATATTTGACTGTGTGAAAAGGTCCACGTCCCTCGAGTTGGCTTTCATATCGATCACTGGCTCTCCGGCAGTTCCCTCGTCATCGGCAGGCATATCGAGATTGGCCATATCGCGACGCAACCTCTCGAGGTAATCATTATCGTCGAGCGACTCCAGATAATCGACCATTCCGCTCATGCCATCAGAAACTGAAAATACTCGTTTCATGAGAAATCGGAGACTGCACGATGCTTACTGGCTAGCTTTTTCTTGGCTTTCCTACTCTCGACGGTCAACTTCAGGCTGTCCGAACCATCACGCATTTGCTCTCCTGAAATTTGTAAACTTTGAACGTTTCATAAGGTTTAGTTTTTACCCTGTGAAAGAGCTTGATCCAACATTCTGACGTCATGGTGGAGGCGATCGACACGAAATGCGATGACTGTCTGAGCACTATCCAGCACGGTTGCCATCTCCTGGAGAGAGGCTTTCGCATCAATCATTTGCTGAATTCCGTACATTTCGAGCGGACTTTTGTACTCAAAACAGTTCAGCGCTCCAACTTTCTTCTTATTAACAATGTCATCCACATGTGTGTTAATCTGCTTCATCACGGCATCTTGTGCAACCGTACGCTCTTGTGACGGTCGATTTCCGCGAAGTCTCCGAACCGGTGTGGATCCAGAATACGCCAATCCGTCGTCATCATCGTCGACGTCTACACGAGCTGCCGTTCTCTGAGAAACGCAACATCCCCACAAACTTTTATTTTAAAAAAACTCACTTTTCTTCTGCCGGTTACATTACTGGATGATGGTCCATCCATTGCAGCTGCAAATATACTAATTACTATGGTGAATGCAATCGAAAAAGAAAATTGCGATTGATTCAACAGAGACCTAATTTAAAAAGGCGCGCTGCTAAAGTAGAAACGGGTGTAAACAGCGAAGTGTCGGAGCCGTTTCTCGCTGCCTGCGCTCTCCTCTGTCTCCTGCCTCTCTTTCTCAATGAGCCGCGGATACAAATTGCCGACGACGCAAAAAGAGTATTGAATACTCAAATAGATATACTTAAAGCCGGACATTGATGTACAGTAATGAAGAAAAAAGAAACCTGTTAATTTTGTAAAGAGGAAGCAACAAAGATAATTGAATTTGCAAAACAGAGAAATAATAACTTTAGAAAGTACGCGTTTGTGAGAATTAACAAGTACAATTTTTCAATTTAATTCAATGAAAAAACATTTTTTCGATTGAAACTCTTCACTGATACCGTAAGACTTAAAGGGAGAGAATTGTCGTACGAACGAAGTGTTGCATTCGCTGCGAGACCTGCCAATATTTGAATCGCGCACCGCTAAATAAGCCCCGTATCGACTGGGTACGAAGTCCATCTGTCTTCTCCGTAATAAGCACCTGTGGACAGAGTTGCCATGGCATCCTCCGCGCACTTCCCTCTCATCCCACGTGAATCCCCGCCGCCCTTTTATGGAAAACAACAAAGAATGCGCTGGAGAGAAGCGAGACGTAGAGAAGGAACACTGTTGGTCTGCGTCTGCTCACGAAGCCTCCGGACGGACGGACACTCGTGTGCTACTCTCAAGTTTTTCGTCGCCGAAAACAACAAATAAGCAGCGGCGGTGGCGGGCGATGGAGCAGCAACCGCGACGCGAGAGAGCCCGCTTCCCGATTTGGGTTAGAGCACCAGAAGCCCCATTCTATCAGAAAGCCTTTTGTCATCCCCTTTCTCTCTGAAACTCTTCTAGGCTAGCACCTCATCTGCATTCCATTCCATTTCGCTTGGTCGACTGCCCAGCAGCCGGAAGTCATCACATGATCCTGCAGAGCTCCATATTATGGGAGAGAAAGCGTTTCCCACAAGAATGAGAATGAAAGAAAACATTTGCCCACGAACTTGACACATTGAGACGAGAAAATAAATTTCCGGATGTTTTCTTGAGCTGTTTTTAAACATTACATTTGTGCTTTAAAAAATTTCCGAAAGATTATACTCATTCTGAAACGCTGAAAGTGAAACTTTGAAGAGTTTTGAAAGAGATCCAATACTCATGAGTGTGCTCTTCTCGACTCCGCTCTCTCGCTAATCCCAGCTAATCCTCCGTTTGAATACTGTTCTTCATCATTCGGACCGCAATTATCCGCCGCTTTACGGCTGTTTTCTCACTCAAAACAACTCATTTCTTTCGCCGTCATGTCTAACCGCTCGTCCGCGTTCCGACGGAATCGTCCGTTTCCCTACTTCTTCGTTTTCTCCATTCGTTTCTTCTTCACCCGTTTCAAAAAGTATGTCACTTTTTGTCTTCTTGTCCAAACATTCACAAGGCGCCACGGATATTCTCAAGGTGATTTGTCAAATCGCTGTGATCTGATCACGCCGTTTTCCTTATCTTCCCGATCTTAATCTCGTCAGCTGTTCTGTCTAAGGCGGCTAATAGGGTTATTCAGGGTGTGAAAAAAACGATTTTTTCCGTTTTTTTCCGCTTTTTTACGTCAAAAAACCCAATTCAGCTATGTAAAAAAAACGAAAAACAACCGGAAAAAAACCCTGAATAGCCCCCTAAGGCATTAGCCATCCTTCGACAGGTGCTCGCGATCCGGTAATACTCATTAATTATTCAGTTTTTCGGTTCCATTAGTGCTTAAATTATGAATGGAAATTCTAAGAAAGGGTACATCTGTTCGCAGCTTAACCATGCTTGTTACTGCGAAAAACTCTGTCCAACATCTGTCATTTTATTCACTTAATTCGTCCGAAGTACACAAACACATTGGTTTCTGGCCCTTAAGGGGAACAATTGTTGAAAATGGAATTTGTTTTTGTCCCAAAACAAGGCATTCGTCGTCACGTCAAATCCCATTTCCTGGCACATTTCCTTTTTTATTCAACGCATTCTCTTTTTCATTTGAAATTGGAAGCTCAGGGTGTCATGAGGTTTTGGGTTAAGCCTACCATCAAATGCAAGCTTTTGATCTACAGTCTTTTTTTGCAGGAGTAACACAAAAACAAGTTTGATCTCAAATTTTTTAACGTGTTTTGCAAAGAGTGCATCAGACATCTCTGACACATGTTGCCCTGGCCTAATGTCCTTTACTCTTGTTTCGACAAAAAATTTCCTTCGTTGATTAGTTATCCGTGTTCTGAGCGAGTGCCAAGGTCGTCCGTCCGATCCCCTCCGAAGGGGCCGTACGCCCTTCTGCGTCTCTCGCATTGACCGCCATTCTTACCTGTATCGACCCGATTCGCATCGCCCATCTCGGTATTTTGTAAAAGTATTTTTTGATTCGCCACTCCAATTGACCCTCTCCTCCATCTGAGTCTCTTCTGTTCAGCCAACTGAGACCAGTACTGAAGCTCCTTCGGCCAATGTCAACACGAAGTATTGCTGTCCGAATTCGGCACAATACTCTGTTAATTATTCATAGAAAAGTCGTCAGTTTCTTGCTGTCAACATTGTCCAATTTCACCTGCTCACTTCTTTTTTCGTGTGAGACTCCCTAAAAACTTTGCGCAAAATAAATCAAGCTTTAAAAAATTGAAAGATGAAATAGTTTTGAGCCTCGCAGACTTGCTCACCAAAACGTGTTACACATAAATAATTGGATTCTAACTCTTGGTAAAGCGTTCGTAGCGAGACCGCAAAGTTTGACAGAAAATTGGAAATGTTTCGAATAGCTGACTTCCAACGGCGGCGTCTTCCGGTTCTTCTGCTCTATATATTTGTTGTCCTCCTCCCACCAGACCTCCTGTTTTCCTCGGGTTCGCCTGATTGCTGTCCTTTTCAAAGTTCCTTTGTTGTTTTCTTCTCTCACCGTTCTTCTTACTCTCGCGCACTATTTCCATCTTTTCCACACTGTACAAAAACAGTGATACACACGCCTCCTTCTTCCTTTTTCTTCTTTCACCCACTTCTTATTTCAGTTGACAGTGCCATGTGGAGGTGGCGTTTAGCCGTCCTCTTCTCTGCGCTTCTGGCTTCAGCCGGAGCAGACGGTGAATCGACGACAACGACAGCAGCCGCAACGACAACGAAGAAAGGAGCAGAAGGACCGCATCTGACGACTGACGACGAAGGATTCCTCACCGTCATCCAGGGATTCGCCACTCAACTGCAATGCGTGCTGAACACGTGCTCCAACGACGTCGTCTGGTACAAAGACGGCACGCAAATCTCACAAGGAGCTCAATTTCTGAACACGACTTCCGAGCGAGCGTACAAGTTCCAGCACTCGATTGAGGTCGACTACGAGAAGGGATGCACGGGAGAGTGCGACGATTCGAATCCGTGCGGCGACGGATCTTCTTGCGTCGACAATCAGTGCTGCTCGTGTCGACGCGAAGAGTTCACCCTCGTGCTCCGCAATCTCACTTTCGACGAGTCCGGCAGATACCGTTGCCAGCTCGGAAACAAGTCGGAACTTCTTGAGTTCCAGGTTGAAGTACTCGGTAACAAATCGTGTTTTTCCATATTTTATTCCGATCACTTTCAGAATCCGGCCTGAAAGGCGGTTTCCACGAGAACATCTCGTACGATCATTCGGAGTGTTGCCAGGAAAAGGGAATCTCTCCGCTGTGTCGTGGAATGTGCAAGCCATCTGAAATGGATCAGCATCACTTCGATCCGACCAGTTGCAAGACGGACGACTACAAGCACTTCCTCTCGTGCGCCACAGAAGGCGGCACCCGCTCACACGTCCATTGCTGCAAGACCCAACTCGTGCCCAGCTTCTGCTACGATTTCTGCTCGGGCGACTTCCAGATGCTGCGCCGTTCTCACCGTCTGTGTCTCTACTATCTGCCGGAGATCTTTTCGTGTCTCGATCGTGCTTACCGTATGTTATCGAACGAGAAAGGGGGCGTGTCTCGTGGTGGTGGAGCCCCGCATCTTTCTGCTTTTATGATTGACAAGCCCGTTCGTGGATAGATCCCCTTCGCCCCGTTGTTGTACATTTCTCTGTTTATGTTCCTCTTTGTTATGCATGTCGATAGCTTGTCCCTGCCAATAAAAGTCCCTGCATGTTCAATCCTTTCTCCATAGTTGTCCAGTGAATACGAACGGATTCTGTCGGCTTACGAGAAACAGAACTTGAAATTGGACACTTTCGCTGAAGGCTCTGAAAACGGCTATCAGATTCTCAGCATCCATTCCGGTCTGTGTCTCGTAATTCGACAACAGTTCCGCCCACGAAACACTCCTCTTTGTCCTAACCTTAGTTAAATATCATGCTCTTCATTCCAGTGCCCTATCCGGATCCTCCTCAATCGATCGAAGTGAATGCAGTGGAGCACGACAAGCTGTCCGTTTGTTGGCAGGAACCCGAAAAGCACGAATCGAACAAAATGTTCCCGATTCTCGATTACGCCGTTTACTTCAAGGAAATTCCCAATTTCCCTCTGCTCGGCGGCGATATGTAAGCAATACTCCGAGCTCCGAGAGTCTACTCCATTTTCAGGGGTCTTCCACTGCTCACCGGCGACTATTCGGATATTGGTGACATTCAGGAGGACGAGTACCAACAGGAAGAGGAAGAAGGAGATGAAGTGGTCAAAGATGCGCCCGCTCCACGTGGCAAACGAGACGTCGACTTCGAATCGGACGGCATCAAAGTGCAAGTGCGCGAGAAGCGATCGACGATGGTCATTGTGACCCGCGACGATGTGACCAACTCGACGACTATTCGAGAGTTCGCTTTCCGGAACGTCAACACGACGGAGAAGTGTATCACTCTGTCGGATCTCAGGTCTGCCACTCGGTACATTGTTTACGTGACGGCGAGAAACGAGTACGGTACCAGTGTGCCGTCTGTTCGAAACATCGCCTCCACAAATGTGCACATGGTCAAGAACAATGAGAGCTTGCCTGATTCAATGAGTGAGTTAGAAGAGCGAAAAAATAAACTGTTCCCTTTTTACAGAGTGTTGTTCTGCCGCCAATGTCTCCACCTTCTGCGCGACGAAGATGTGCAACGTGGCCGAGGATCCGACCTCGTTCTCCACGATCACAATTGCCACGACTTGCCGTGCCGAGTGGCCACGCGTATCCCCGTGCATTGCCGACGGTCGCAACCACACGGAATGTTGTCTTCGGAAGGGCGTCCAACACGATTGCCTCGAGATTTGCTCGGGAAGTACAAAAGAGCTCGGAGTGCACTCAGTGCTCTGCCTGAACCTAGATCTGCAAGCCATCTATCAGTGCATCCGCCAGGGATACGAGACTCATCCATCTCCTCCTTGCAACGTGACCATCTCGGACCTGACTGCTCACAGTGTGACTGTCCACTGGACGGAACCCGATTCGAATGCTCATCTCGTCGAAAATTACACTCTGTTCATCCGGAAAAATGAACACGGAGAACCAGTGCGAACTGTACAGAATGTGAAATCCCCGCACACGGAGCTGGCCCTGGATCCCGATTCTGAATACGTTCTGACCCTGCAGTCGCATTCCTCCAACGGAACGTCCCTTCCCTCCACTGCCAAACTGTTCTCGACCCTCCCGACGACTCGTCCTCCACTCTGTACCATCGGAGAACCCATCTACATGAACGATGGTCGTGTCATGATCTGCGACACTGTGAATCCGTGCCCGAATGGATTCCGGTGCACTGGCGCCGGTTCCGATCTCTCGTATTGCTGTCCGCATGATGGAACCCACTCGTCCGAAGAGTTCTCGCAATGCTGCAAAGATCAGAAGATGCCGGAGAACTGCATGTCCAGCTGCCACTACAATACCACTCTTGGAGAAGAATGCAAAGATAATCTAAACATTTGGGTTCAGTGCGCTTCCGAAGGGCACGATCATCTGAGATGCTGCCTGCGAGAGGAGGTGTCGAAACCGTGCCAGCAGGCATGCATGCACCCGTTCACAGTGTCCACTGGTGAATGCTTCGAAGAAGTGTCCAAGTACCGTACTTGCTTCACTGGTGCTCATTTGGCTCTGCCTGCAGCCGTCAGGAATCTCGAAGTCACGTCAATCACGAAAGATTCGGCAACAATTTCGTGGGAAGATCTGGAGGCGAATATTATAGTGTTCCGAGTGCAACTGTTCGAAAGAAACGGACCTCTCCTGAAGACGGTCAACAGTTCTGCTGATATTTACCGTTTCTCGGATCTCGAACCACAGAAGGACTACTCGGTTCGCGTGACTGCCATCAATCTTCAAGGAGAAGGACCGCCATCGTGGAACGTCACTTTCACAACGAAACCTGCTCAAGTGTACGATGCTGATCGTCCTGTGGCGCCCGAAGGACTTCGTGTGGCCTGGAACTCTGGTCCACGTGTCAACGTGACATGGAATCGTGTAGCTATCCGCCGGAATGACGACCCGGTCACTAAACCGATCGAGTACACTCTCTATTATCTCGACACTGAACAGAGCTCGACATGGACCACGCTGAAGAGCAACAACACGTGGGTTGTGATGAGAGATCTCCGGAAAGACGCCCTTTTTTACGTGTACGTGACTGCGAAGGAAGAGAATCGGACAAGTCGCAGCTCTTCGATCATCACAATTCTGGCACAAAAGGATTCCCTCGGACTTCCCGAACCACAAATCACAATCGAACCGGACCACAAGGACGGAGTATTTTCTCCCGGAGACAAGATGACCATAAATTGTTCCCTTCCCAATATCAAACAGAAGCATCTCAATATCGATTTGACTGTCGGCCCACAAGTTGTGCAAAATGATCACGGTGCGATGTGGGTTATTCTTGAGACAGAAGCCGACGAGTCAATGGACACGGCGACGTGCGCAGTGTCCGATACGGACGGACGACAACACGTGGCAATGAAGCATCTTGTGCTCGAGAGACACGCAACTCTGACGATGAGAAGAGACAAGATCCGAGTACTGGATGATCAGTCTGTCGAGATTGAGTGCATCTACCGAGGAGGCGGTCGTGATCCAAAGATTTCCTTCGAAAAAGACGGGAAGAAGGCAACACGTGGATTCTTGAATGTCAAGAAGACCGAAGCAGGATACGTGGCCAAGTGGCATGTGAGTTGACAATCAATCGCTCCAAATCTTACTTTGTTTTATATTCAGATTCGAAACGTGAAGCAGAACGACGCCGGCTTCTACAAGTGTATCGTGACTTCTGGAGATCAGCCACCTATGGAAGCCAGTTCCGAAGTAATCTTCTCGACGGAAACGCTCCCCGTCAATCCGAAACTCATTCTCCAATGCTGCGAAGACGAGGGAATCACCGGAGACTGTCTCCAAGCGTGCAACATCGGACGTGTCGCTTTATCTGCGAAAGAGCAGAACTGCACTCGCTTCGCCGCCTCTCTTCTCAAATGCGCCAATGATATCCGAGACCATTCCGACTGCTGCATCGCCAGCGGAGTCTCACCGAAGTGTCTGCCGTTGTGCTCTGGCGACAGCTTCTCTAGTGACGTGGATTGCGCCGATCACGCCGTTTCGATCATGTCTTGTTACGTGAAGAGCCACGAGCACGCACCGACGGCAGTAACGAACATTCGAGTGAAGGCCAAGGAGGGCAAAGGAACTGTCAGCGTCGAATGGGATTACCCGCCCACTAGGGATTACAAATATTTCGCCGTTTATTATCGAAAGGCACACGATAGCAGTGAGGATGACTGGCACAAAATGAAGACGTTGCAGCAGAACGTACGTTGATTGATCCCGTTTACGAGTTGTTAATGCTTGCATGTTGCAGATTGAGCTCGAAGTGGATCCTTCGGAAGACTATGAGATCGGAATTCTAGCAGCCAATGCTCTCGGTCACAGTCGTCTAACGTACGCAGCAATCCCGAAGGATTCCGAAGGACGCCGTGCTTCTCCTTCGAAGGGATCTTCGTCGGCATTCTGGATCCTCGTCATCCTTACCGTCTGTGGTGTTCTGATTGCTGGAATGGCTGTTCTCGCGAAGAGAAGAGAGTTGCCGTACCCGTTCGGAAAGCTGATGCGACGACGAAACGACCTCAACCAGCCGACAGTGGCATTCGAGAATCCAGCATACGGAGAGCCTTGGACCGGTGAGACCGTTCGTTCGGTCTTTATAATTGCATTTTATTTTATTTGCAGGTGCTGAAGTAGAAATCCGAGGGCTTGGAGCGAATTCCGCAGCTGGAGAGGCTTCAGCAACGCAATCCGAGTGGCAAAGTGCGAATCTCGAAGCAAACAACGCCGCGACAGACAACAGCCACGAGTACCGAAACGGCATGCGATACGCCAAACTCGAAACCTAATCATGATTAAACTCACCCCCTTTTCTCATTTTCATCAAACTAATCTTCCCTTCGTGTTATCATAAGTTATCTGTCATCCATTCAAACCCCTGTTCATTTTCTTTGCTTAGTCGCCTTCATTCTCCTTTGTGTATTTGTGATTCAGTTTGCGAGTTATGACTAGTTGCGGGTCATTTTTCCCCCTCATTTTCCAGCTTATTTCTCCTTCTCTTCTCTCTTTTAATTCTTCATCAAAATGAAAACATATTTATGTGACATTAATTGGAATCTAGTAGAAAGTCGGCTCGTTAAGTGTGATTTCTCCTCGAAGGACAGTCACCGAAGGACCATTCAGAATCACTCGACCGTCCTGCAGACGAACACGAAACTGGGCGCCACGAGTCGGGAAAGCCTGAAAGAACACACATTCTCTCTTAGGGATGCAGAACAGGCGATTTTAGGCGCATGCGCCTGTTTTTTCAAGCGCCTGTTTTTCAACGCAGAAAAGCAGGCGCCTGTTCTGCATCCCTGTTCCCTCTAAAACGAATCGGTATTTTCCAACCTGTAGAGCGTACAAATCGTTTTTCCCGGTCATCTTCGCCCAGAACGGTCCCATGACGCACTGCGCCGATCCCGTGGCCGGATCCTCATTGATCCCGACCCACGGAGCGAAGTAACGGCACGCAAAGTCGTACGGTTCATCGTAAGAGTCTGTGAATCCTTGCATCAACGCATTCTCCGGTTTCAACGTGACGGCGAGTCCTCTGACGAACGATCCGTCGTGGATTTCCAGCATTTTCGCGGCGTCGATTTTGATGGCTTCAAGCTCGAATTTAGTCGTTTTCGGATCGACAACGACGACAAGTTTACGAGCTTTCGCAGAATAAACAATGTATTCGATGACCATCTGGAATGGGAGTTCGAATTGATTCTCGGCGAAACGAAACAAAATACTCACCTCTGTTGGCACGACAGATTTGACGACATCGAAGAGGTACGACGGAGCCTTGAACTGAAAACCGAAAACTTTTAGGAAAGCCATTCTTCGAACTCTTCAAACAAACCTCTGAGAAAAGACCGTGAAGTGGGTTGACGGCGTGGTTGAACTTGATCGACGTCAAATCATACTCGGGAAAATTCATTTCCACATTCCCCTTCTCGTCCCTTTTCACAATCAACACACCCGATTGCGTGTCGAATTTGATCTCCTTGTTCGCATTTTCGATTTCGTTAAACAGAACGTGGGAGGTGGCGAGAGTGGCGTGTCCGCAGAGGGGAACTTCGGTCTTCGGAGTGAACCATCTCAGCGAGAACTGAGAACATTGCTTGAAATCGGACGAACCGATCGGGACAGGAAACGCCGTTTCGGACAGATTGAACTCGGCGGCGATTTTCAGATATTCTTCGTCTTTCAGGATCTTAAAAAGTTGATGAAACTGATGAATAATGGAGATGGAGCACCTGAGGAATCAAACAGACGGCGGCCGGGTTTCCGGCAAAACGTTTTTTGGTGAAAGCATCGACAATGTAGGATGGATAACGTTCGGACATTGGGAAGGAAAACTGGATTCAACTGATGGAATGTTAAAATTGACGGAAACGTTTTAAGGTTTGCAGAGAGAGAGAGAGAGAGAGAGAAACGAAGCGAAATGGGTGGAGGAAAGATGAAGGACATGGGGTCAATAGTTGGTCTTGGGAGGGGAATCATGTGAAAAAGAGACTGACAGAACAAGAAAATACGGAGAGAGAAAGGCGGTATTTGTGACCCGAAGATGCTACTTCGATCACAAATGGACAGTGAAAGGGGAAACAACAGGTACGGGTGTACGTGGTCGATACTTTATCACTGATTAAAGAGCTAAACTCACATCAGAATGCTTTGAAAAGAATGGCAACTGGAGGACTTGCCGTTCAAGAATATCTTGGCTTCCGGGCTGAAGAAGGGGCTTTTGGTGACTGTCAGAACGAGAACGACAGATTGTGAGGAATAGATGATCGGGGAGACGGCAGTGTCGCAGCGTGCGTATTCGATTTCGAACAAAGCAATCGCCATTGTGTTCCGCTCATGTACAGACTGCCGGCCATTGTCAGAAAAGATAAGTCATCTGTGTCCAAATGCGTTCTCTGCTATGCAAATGGGCAATTTGGCGCGCACGATTGTCGACGATTATTTTCGAGCCAAACGACGGGCAAAACAAGTCTGGCATTAGAGTTGTAAAAGAAATTGAAGGTTTGAGGCATCTTTTCGAATCAAAGTTCAGCCGAAATCAAGAAAAAAAAAGAGATTTTTAGCAAGAAGTGATTCATACCCCCATTTCACGTAGACTCTCGGTTCTGTCTTCGTGCAGAACAGCAGCAACAACATCCGAGATAACCTATTAGAAAGTGCACAAATCGGAGTGTGTGACCATGGGAATCTTACTCGTAATAGCTCTTCTATAATTCTAGATCACAAAAAAGTTCGGAAGAGGATCCAGCACCGGGAAAAGAGCGACTGTGCGTGTGTTAATGCCGGCAAGTGATCCCAGGTGAACTGCGCAGACGAAGAGAACAGTGAAAGGAAGATGGAGCAGGAACACAGGAATGGTGTTCTGTATCACGAGAGCGTAGAACAACTGCCTTTGCATGTTTCTCTTTTTATCCGAATAATGGGACACTTCAATGAACGAACAGATCTTTTTGCACAACTTTATTCCAGCCAAAAAAAAATCCGAGAATTAGAAATTCATGCGAATGTCGCGGGAAGACCGCACACCCACGTAGTCATGCAGATAGTACCCGCCGAGTTGCAAGCGGCCAAACATCTGAATGACAAGGAACTGTATGTGCGGGAGTCTGTGCTATCAGCCTACACGTTGTTGGTAGTGTATCCCTCCGTCGTTGTCTCGCTCTGTCCAACCAGCAATGAGAGACAGTTGTGACGGGTTCCTCGGTCGACGACACTGTCTGGTTGACCCGACACAAAAGTGTACTGACTGAACGAAGAAAGGTACGTATCGGTGAACGCGAAAGCCAACAGTCCGGCGCATGCAGTTGTGTCCTCTGCACCAGAGAAGTTGCAGGTGCCCAGACGGACTCCGTCCATCCAGAAACCCGTGTACTCATACGTTGTCATCGTGCCACTCAAGCTCTTCGAGCTGGCTGGAAAATTTTTTATTTCTCATGAGCAATATCTAGATCTGACCGATCATGAAGGCAGCTTCTTCTGCGGTCTGAATACCGGACATCGCTGCTCCTATCCCAGAGCAATTGGTAGAAGCAGAGTCTCTGGTTATTGTGGTACTTTCTCCAAACATCTTGACGCACCATTGCCCGAGAGGACGGTAGAACTTTGTCCACGTGTCATCAAGACATGTCTTGTTCTCTGAAAATGAATCTTTTATCTTGTTTTCACAAGCGCTCACCGTAAGATATCGTCCAAACACCGTTGTAGTAGGTCACATTGTATTCATCGTTCGTCTCCTGAGATGTTAAATATACCTTATGCATTCAACTGAGTACCCACAGTTCTTGTGTACTCTTCCGACTCCATATCAGACGGGCATCCGTCAGTCGGAGCATCCACTTTTATCGCTGTCTTTACTCCGTTCGCCTTGTCCGATTGAGCTACCGTGTTCACCAAAAACATGTCACACAACATACAAGAGTTGTCATTTCCGTAAGCCAGCTGAATCTCAAATCAGAATGACCATAGTGCAAAGTCTACGTACCATGCACGTTGTAGAGTTCGTACAAGTGGTTACACAAGCGTCGAATGAAGAGGAAGTCGTGTTCACACATCCATCTGTTCCGTCAGTTGGGTACCCCCAAAATATGAAGACGTCAGTGGTACAATCCTGAATATTCGTGAGTACGGAAAAGAACTGTGATTGTTGCTCAACTCACAATTATGAGGAAAAGGGATAATAAGGAAGGCAGACGAAGCATTGAAAGTGATGGAGTGTGACCGAAAACGGCTAACGAAACAGAAAAGGAGACAATGGAAACGGGCAATAGTGCGTGTCCGATCGGGGCACTAAGGGAACCCGAACGAGAAGTCAGCGGCGATCCGACGGCTCGCATTTGTATGCGTCGAAGTTGTTTTGTCAGTCTCCGAAGTAGCCATAACCCTTAGAAAAATACAAAACTGGAAAGAACAAAATTGGAGTTTTAGCTACATTCATTCAACCGAATTTCGTCGTTTTTTCGGACCGTCCTCCCTCCGTTAATCCAAATGGCCGAGTACGTATATTGGGGAGGAGGCTTCCTATCAACTTCTCAGCTTCAGCTGAACAAACGTTTTGATTGACAATTGGAAAGAAAAACACAAACTCAAAAAGTAACTCCGTCCGTCGATTCATTGAATTCCGGTTAGACTTGAATTTCCGGCGAGAATGCATTAATTTCCAGCAGCGTATCATCAACTCGGAGAGGCCACTGCGAATATCTGAAAACGGAGTATTCGACAGTGACATAGAGCAGAAAAACTTTGAATCAGTACAGCCCGAGAGCTGTTATCCGGGCACGTCTTTAGGTACGAGATTGTCCGGTTACTAGCGGAGTAACGAATACTTTCATCCCGTTTCTCAAATTCAAACTCACAGTCCTAGTGTAACTATTGGATTGCATAGTTTCAGGGCATCCACCAGCGAAATCGTCCACTCTGATTGCAGTTTTCACTCCGTCCGTCTGGTCCGATTGAGAAATCTCATTGGCTGTGTAAAGAGCACACGAGTACACGAGCAGGAGGTGTCATTTCCGAGCACTAACTGAAAGCAGGTCGTGCTGCTGACTTGTGAAGCTATGAAAACTGAAACTGACCATGCATGAATTTAAACTTAGACAGGAAGTCAAGCAAGAATCGAACGAATCGACAGTTGACAGAGTGCACACCGACCAGAACACGAACGTATTCAGATAATTGCTCTAAAGATCATCACTTGATTTTACGTATCGTATTTGTATTGTCACTTACAGCTATAAAGAACAGGGAGAACAGGAAGAATGCCAATTTGGGACACATTCTTCTTTGCTCACAAAAAAGTGAATGAATCGGAGTAAAACACAGAGAAAAAGAAGTGTAAAAATTCATTTTTCGTAGACGGAGGTGCCCGGGAAACGGCCCCGTCCACTCATATACATGAGAATGATGAGACTAAATTCGAGGCATGTTCCTGGAGAGAAATTTTATGAATATCTGGGAGAAGTCAAGTTGCGGCAGCTCCACACAGATAAGTAGTTGCGCAGACGGTGCTGTTCGAATTGCACGCATAACCACATCTGAATTGGAATGTCTTACAAAAATGAACAAATTGTCTCCGCAACTGACACAGCGTCCCCAATCATTCCTTGCCAAGCACTTTGCGACTGGGCCATGTAGAGTTGGATGCAATTTCTGCGAATTCCCCGATCGACGACACTGTCTGGGAATCCGGGCGCGAAGTTTAGCATGCTGTAGGAGGTCATGTAGGGATCATTGAAGACGAATGACTGAAAAAGAAACAATCAGATTGATTAACAGTTTGTTAATTCTTTCTCACTCCCAAACCGGCACAACTCGCAACAGTCGTTTCGGCATTGGCTGTGTTGCAACTGTTCGGACGGACTCCAGCTATCCACATGGCAGTGTACAAGTATTGAGAGAGATTTCCAGAAAGGCTCTCAGATTGAGCTGAAAACGGTTATTAAGAATACTCATGAAATTGACTAGAAACCAATTATGAAATCCATTTCGTCTTGTGACTGAATACCAGCAAGAGATGCATTGTACGCAGTACATTGTGTCACCGAAGAGTCCCGATCGATAAGAGCAGACGATCCCAACACCTTATTATATTGCATGCTAAGAATATTCTGAGAAGATCATGAACACAGTACCTTCAGACAAAACTGTCCAGCTGGTCTATAAAACTTGGTCCACGTGCTATCGATGCATGACTTGTTTTCTGTGAAATCGCTAAATTTAAACCTGTCACCTTCGAGTCTTACCGTAAGTTATTTGCCAGTATCCGTTAGAATACGAGACATTATAGGAGTTGTTGTTGGCCTGAATTGAATGAAACAGTTTGGGGAACTTCAAATGCCTTACAATGCCGGAGTATGTCTCTGATTGCATTTTGGTCGGACAGCCATCAGTCGGATCGCTTAGCTTTATTGCAGTTTTCACTCCGTTTGCTTTGTCCGATTGAGCGATTGTGGAAACTGTGAACATGCACAACATGCAATAGTCATCGTTTCCGTATGCTAACTGAAACCTTTTCGATTTGGAATTTTACATTTTTCGGGCAGTTACCATGTAAAGAGAAGAGTTCGTGCAGGCCGTGACACATGCATCAAACGAATCAGAAGTCGTGTTCATACATCCGTCAATTCCATCGGTCGGATAACCCCAGAAGATGAAGATGTCAGCAGTACAGCTCTGCAGTAAAATATTATTTATCAATGCGTTTCAGTGAACTTACAATATTGATTATGGCCAAAAATGAAAGCGCTGCATACATCTTGTTCGTCGTAGACGCAATGTTCAGACGAATAAATTGCCGAAAATATGCGAATAATTGTTTCAATGGGCCCCGTACGAAAACGAAGTCTCTGCTTTCTTTTCTCTTCCGGGGATGTTTTGCGAGCCCATTAAAAAGTCGTGTTCTCGTTCAAAGATTAACAAAACTCGCTCATTGAGGATCCAGAACTCAAAGTATTCTCGGAGCAAACCAGTGTGTGTGTGTGTGTTGACGGCGAGTTTATTTACTGGAACACCGAGTTATGAACTTGCCGCCCTTCCGGATGAATGTCTGATTCATCTGATGAAACAGAGTCTCGTCTGGAAAAAAAAAACTAATTTCATTTTAGAGATATGACGTTTTATGAACACTTTTTAATCTTCAGATACTTCAGTACATCAGGCACAACTCTACATCTTTCCGATTCGGACACTAAGGGAATGTTCCGAACTAATCCCGAGGGGTCTTTGAATTGTTTTCTGCCACCAGAATGCGTAATTCCAAAAGTCAAAGTGGATCTTTGGATGCAATTACAGCCTCCCGCTCCGTCTGCTCGACGCCTTCGCGTGTGTTCCGACGACTTCTTCTTGTTGATTCATTCATTCATTGCCGTGCCTCTCTAAGCGGGTTCATCGTCTCCACGGACCGCCCGAGTTCCGTTCAAAATACGCCCCGAAGCAGCGAAATCACATGCTCACACGAGGCCGTCCGTCTTGCTCTCGTATCCTTTGTTGACCCAAGTTGGTGGGGCTGAAAAAGAAAAACGGAAAAACAGTTTCTGGACGACTTCCGGGGGCGTCTCCTCGCTCTCCTTCTTCTCAATCGCTTCCCCCTTTCTCGCAGATTCCTTTCCTTTCTTTTTCAATTGAGATGGAAAGCACGACAATTTAATTTCTGAAACATTCTCTCCGACACTTTTCTTTTTATCCAATCCAATTCCCCTTTTTCTTCTTCCTTTTCCCTTCTGAATCCAAAAGAGCACGTGCCTTCCGGACCATCATCCGAGAGCATCTGAGAGTAGATTGAGCTCTAAAGGAGTTTGTGCTCTCTCTCTCTCTCTCTCTGTTTATTCCGCCCACAGAGTGGTGTTTTGTTTCTTCTCCGTGCACGACGATAAATAACCCGAGAGCGTGAGGAGGTTGCAAAGATGCTGAATGGAAAAGAAACGAAAGAAACTCCCTTTCTCTCGCCTCCATTTTCTGTAGAATCGCCAATGGAAAGCCTTCGGAATGACCCACTTCTGATAGAATTCGTCCGTCGCCGTCTGACTCAGGAGCTCTCTCCGGGGAGATGAAAAGAAGCGCCAAAGTGGCGATAACGAGATTTGTGACAAAATAAGAATGAAATGAGAACTTTTTCTGTAAATATTTTCCACGATCTCTTTCAACATTTCCTTCCGGATTTCTGATCTTTTCCCTCTGAAACTTTCCGAATCTCCGTTCGCTTTCCGCGTCATTTCCGCAATAAATGAGCGGGATTTGGGATTAAATAAGGAGCGGCTAAGAAGATTCTGACCGAGAAAAAAGGAGGAGAAAAGATCCAATCGAGAATCGAATATGAACACTTCTTGCTCGTGTTTTCGTCGCCGGCGGGCACACGTTGCAATCCGGAAGGGGCGCCTCTTTTTGGCTTTGATTGATGCACGAACACGACATGTCGTCTGAGTGAGCGTCTCATTTGGAGTTGGAAACTCATTCAGACTGATCACAAATTATTCTCTTCGGAGACTCAAGTTGTTTTGTACTTGCAGTCTGAGTACAATTTAGCTATTGCTTCACCTGAAATGTCTTCCGTGCAAGCCCCGTCCACTTTCTTTTTTCCCACTTGTGAATGACCGGAAACCATGGTCCCAACTCTCCCAAATACTCCCCGATTTCCGCTCAATCGCATATCCTTCTTCTCCCAATTCCGTCTACATCTTGACCCTTCCACCGTAATTCTCTGTTTTGCCCCTCTTTCCCTAATGCCCTTTTCGAGTGTCGTCCCATTTGTTTATCGAAAGATGCTGGAAGTTGGTTGGAAGGGACTGAGCCACCAGAAAGGAACGACGCAAAATTAATTTCCCGCCGAATTTCCATGAAGGCCATGGACTTCTTGTTTGCATATGTTTGACAACGTTTTTGTGGACAACAGATTTCGCTTTTTTTGCTGAGAGTGGGTGAATTTAGAAATTGAGACTGAGAAGTATACAAATCTCCAGCTGAATCTCCAGATGGTTCTACCCGTTCCTTCTGAATTTGTGTTCGATCCATCATCCGAATTCCCTTCATTCCCTCCCACTACAGAGTTCTGTCACGAATCGTTGTAAAGTTAGCGTTTCTGCCGTCAGGATCGCCGGCTGTCTCATGTCAAAACTGAGTGAGTCTTTTCGTTTTGACACTTCCAAGTGCAGAGACTAACCGATCACGCAGCCGAACAAGACGTTTGTGAAGTTTTCCCCCGATAACCCTCCCCTAATGCATCACTCCAACCAGGTCATCCCAAAGAGACTCTTGCTCATTGATTTTCTCACTCATCGTTTACATTTTCTGCCGACAAGTTCCAGAGACCTTTTTTAGAACGTGTAAGCACCAATTATGAGCACAAACTGAAAATATGTCTGTGCAATGTTCAGTTGGAACGAACCAAAGAAGTTCGAGACACGCAATATTCGGTTTTCCTCATTGTCATCGTCATTGTCATTTTGCATGAGGAAAACTCGGAAAAAAGTGTTGAAAGCGTCCATAATAATATTGGGTTCTTCTTCGTTTTCGTCTCCTTTTGTTCACGCCTTCTTGATCGTCTTCAGACGTCCCTCCCTCGCTCTCCCAAATTTATGCCTGAATTGATTCGATTTTTGGAGTTTCGGCTCCTATTTGCTGGAAGAGCCGGCCGCTCAGTTCCTTCTTCTTCTCGGTTTACGCTCTCCAGACACGGCACGTCATCTTCCGAGTATTCGTTGCCCTCCGTGCCAATTAAATAGTCTATTAATGGCAAGTTTACGCATTCTTTGACCGACTCCCTTATACGGATGAACTCTTTTAGCATTTGTTCGATTTCGATTCTGACGACAAAATTGTGGTGGTCACGATGTTTGATTCCGGAAAAGAGGGGCTGTAATTAGGTGGCTGACAACTAGGGTCTGTCGCAAAAACTTGCTAGTTTTCTACTTTCATCTGGAACAATTCTCGTGTTGTATTCCAATCAGAAAGTTAATTAGAAATGAGACATCACGTTGGATTCCAATTCCATGAGTATAAATATAATTCGTTGACCGTCGTGGCCAAAGTCCTCGTCCCATTCCCATCTTTGCTCATTTTCTTTGTTGCACTGCAAATTGCCGCAACTTCCCCTCGACAATGTCTCGAAACGTTGCGCATTACGATGGATTCTTGATGCTTGATCGTTTCCCTTTTTGGACTTGTCCCCCTATTCCCACCTACCGAATTTGAAAAGAACGAAAACAATGAAAGCTTGCCAGTTTTTACTGCGCTACTGTGCCTTCCAGAAATTTCGGTTCTTGGCCGTTACAGACAATTCGGACATTGGTTTCCGGTCGTTTCCGCTCATAATTCGGCCACTTTCGGCACGTCACGTTGTTCCGTGTGTAGTCCTCATTATCCCTTCGTTTCTCCATTTCCCAAAATCCACTGTCTTGCCCGAATCTCCCCATCGCTTTCCACGTAATTCCAACGGGTAATTGGCGCAATTTGCACCTCGTCGCCGCCTTTTCGCCGTTATCCGCGTGCTCAGACAGATGAAGGACCAAGGTCAATGGCCGAGTCTCGGCCGTTTTCATTTACTTCCTCTTCTTCATGTTATGATCGTGACTGGATCGAATTTCAAAGGAAACACGCTTGGTTATGATAGCCTGAAAATCGGACGATATATTCTGAATGTTCCTGTCTGGTTCTCACAGATTTTGGCGGTTTACGGGGGGATTGAGATGATAGCATTGAAAAAAAAACATGATTTAGAGATCGTTTTTGGAGGAAGACTCTGCTGATGAGAATTCGGATCTTTGCATCTTTCTTTAATTTCGTTTCGCAAAAGAATGGGATCTTCCGACCTCCAGAACCCGTCCATAAACTACAAACTCTCGATTGTGTTCCGGTCTGAAACCGGAAGTATCTATTGAACCTTTGCTCCTCCGCTGCCGGCTCCTCCCAAAACATTTCCGCTTCTGTTTTACTCTTTCGTCCTTGCCAGCTCCCAAAATAAAAGATTCTCACGGCCGTGTGCATCATCACTCCGACTTCTTCGTCTACGTATTCTGAGAGTGTCGGAGACGTGACTCTCTGCAGCCGAAAAGGTGTGAATACGATCAAATTGTGTGTTCCGCCCCTCTTCGAACCCTAGTTCCGTGTCCCTTTCTCTTTTTTTTTTCGTCAATTTTTCGTCACTCGTATAGATTTTCGAATTTATCATTTTTGAAGTGAAAAGAAGTGCAAATGTTGCTCTTTTCTGTTAAAAGTGCATTCACAATCGCCTACTATAAAAACAGATTTTCGTGGCGAGACCCAATGATTTTGAGTCTTTTGATTTCTTTGCAACACATGTTATTCGGCAAGAAAACGACGAACAAAACATCTGTTTTCATGATGAGATACAACGGAAATCCTATCCTATTTTTATTGAAATATATGTTCGCTGGCATTTCATTTTCAAAACGCATTCCAAATGAGTAATAATACTCAAGTTTGGAAAGACGAATTGTTTCTCGGATTGGGGGAAAAAACAAAGATTAGAAAGATCAGAACGGGGCTTACCGGATGACAAATCTACGAGATCCACAAACATTTCTTTTCAAATTTCTAGCTCACACTCTTGTTGAACTTTTCGGATTTGCAGATCAAATCACATCAAATCCCTTCCATATTTCAACAGAACTTCGGTACATTCCTTTGTTCCATCCATTCCCTGATAGGATACCGTTCCCTTTGTACCCTTTCTCCACAATTCTATGCCAAACTGTACTTCCTTCTTCGCCCTTTTCCTTCAAAATACAATAAGTTTTCTTGTAAGTGTTCTTTATTATTTGTGTCCCATTTGAGTGATATTCGAACAAGAAAACAGAGTGTTTATGTTGTCACTCTGACATATTAAACGGCTTCTGTTTGATTCGAATTCCGGTGTGATTCTCGATTCCCTCTTCCCTTTTATTCATTCTCATTTCTTTGGTCTACTGTATCGAAGTCTTTTCAAAACGTTTCCGTTTGTCGCTTTTATTCATTTGATCAAACTGCAAACTATTCATAAATCAGGTTGGATGAGTCAAGAAAATGAACCGAATATATTTAGGTGGGAGGAAATGTGGAAATGGAAGCCAGCTGAAAGTGAATTTCCTTTTGCAAGCAAATAAATCAAGTCTGAAAATCGCCCCGTTCGTACCGGCCTTCGTCACTATTCAGTCTTTCATCTCAAAAAAAAAGTCTGCACACATTTCTTTGCAATTCGTTTGAACTGTGTGCAAAACGTGCTTCCCCGATTCAATCAGTCCGTCGGGCATTTCGGTGCACACGAGCAAAGGTCCTTTTCCCTCCGCCCATGCATACTTTAATGGTGAATAAGAGTCCGCCCCACTCCTCCATCGTCTCCTTCTGATTTTCAATTCCGAATTCTCACGTTCTTCTTATTCATTTTTCTGCTCATTATTGTACTTTGTCATAACAAGATTTCCAGAAGATTCCCCACTCGCCCTTACAATGATTCTTCTTTCGTTGACGCTTAGCGTCGTCAACTGCTTCGTCGTCATCGGAAATCTACTGGTTTTCTACGTAATTCTCACCAAAAAGTCACTGCAAACGTCCACAAACCGTCTAGTGTTATCGCTCACAATCAGCGACTTGCTCCTCGGAATTCTCATCCTTCCCTTCGCCATCATTCAGGTATTCCGTGCTCTGCAGCTACAATAACCGCATAATTCTTTCTTTCCAGGAGCACACGAGCGAGTGGCTGTTCGGCCACGTCGGCTGCCGTCTCTGGCTTTCCGTCGACGTCTTCCTCTCGACAGCTTCCATCTACAACCTGCTCGCCATCTCGTTCGACAGGTACATGGCCGTCCGGCAGCCCATCAAGTATCCAATCATCTCCTCCACCAAGTACGTTTCCCCTCCGGTCCCTTCCCCGCAATACCCTTTCCGTCCCTCAGGGTTGTCCGTCTCATGACGTTCCTTGTCTGGTTCTGTTCTCTGCTTTTGGCAGCTGTACTCTTCATCCTGGAGACGCTGAGTTCCCACGATTATCAGTCATCGAAAGAGTGCCAACCGACCACTCTCCCTTCAATGTACATCATTTTCTCGGCGATGGCGTCGTTCATTGTTCCGGCGTTCGTGATGATCATTCTGAATGTTCGGATATTCCAAACGGTCCTTCACACTTCGAGGACAATGACAGTCAAATCGAAGAACGGATCATTGAGAGTACATCGGAGGAAAGAGCCGATTGTTCCCGTCAAGGTTCGTTTCGAACAAAAGTTTATTGAACTATGACCTCTATTGCAGAAGCTGGAGAGATATGAGACTCGGACGAGCCAAGAGGACGAGGTCGTGGGAACGCCGTCAAAAGACGAAAGAGCCAGCGACACGGTGCCGGTCGTGGCCGCCGTCGTCGAGAAGCACAAGCACTCGGTGGACGCTCCCGCCATCCGCACATTTCTCACGCACACTGTGGTTTTCGGAGTGTTGGAAGCGAAGAAGACGAACATCATCAACCACATCACACAGTGAGTTCTTTTTCGAGGGGGAATGGGAAGACGGAAGCGTATTGAAGATGGTGGCTGAGGAGTACGGTCTGTTCGATGCAAAGGTAAGTGAGAATCGCAGTCAAACTATCGCGTACTCTTGTTGTAACTCAATCCGTTTGCAGTTTCTCTATCAAAATTCATGTATATTTTCATTCAAATGCCATTTTTTCCAGAAAGAAAGTGATGCGTCGATCTCTGCGTACGGAAATGAGGGTCGCCCGCACGACAGGGATCGTCGTCGCCGCGTTCATCGTCTGCTGGATCCCGTTCACGACCATCTACGTGCTGCAGGCGTACTCTGTGTGCACGGTGGCCGCTGGATGCATCCCTACTTCGCTGTTCACCATCGCCTTTTGGCTCGGCTACTCCAACTCGGCCGTCAATCCCATTCTCTACGCGGCCTTCTCCCGCGACTTCCGAATCGCTCTCAAGAGGTTGTTCTTCCAGAAGCCCAAGTTTTGAATGTTTTTTTTTCCCATTTTGTTTCTATTTTAGTTCCATTTCGTTCACTTGTTTCCCCTCTAAAATGCCAATTTTTACTCGCCATTCGGGTGATTTCCACGAGTTTTATGGATCTCATAAGTATCAAATGGACTTTATATTGGTAGCCGAAAATTGAATAAATATTACAATTACATACATGAAGACAAATGGTAATTCTGTGCATAGAATCAGTTTTTGAACCCGTACTGGTACTCGAGAAACTGTTTTTCTTCTTCGTTATCCTGCTGATGGCTGATTTCGATTTCCTGCAAAAGAAAGTGATCGATGATTCTCCGATTCCGGAACTGATTTCTCGATTAAAAGTGCGTTCCGCATCAAAACTTTCGTTGCAAAGCGTTTTTTCCGTAAAGTGCAAAAATGGCTCACCTTCCTGCGCACGGCGAATTTCTCTTGTCTGTTCTTGTTTCCGCAGCAGAAAGTGAGGCAAATGGTAAAGAGTCCGATGCCGAGCACGCCGAGCACTGCGATGAACCACGCGGCGCTGCGCAACGAATCCTCTTTCAGCCGATTCGCGTAGTCCCGGTTGAGAGTTTTGATGGGCAGGAAGATAGATTCGCTCTGACGGGGACCATCTTTGGCGATCCCTTGGATGAAATACTTCTGGTCTTCTTTCAAGTCTGCAACATTCAAAGTTTATCAGTGAAAGTGAAGAGAGACAGACTTCTGAGGAGAATCTCGGTGTTCGGCAGATAGATTATCTCCGATTGGTGCCACGTATTCGACCCTTCCGCAGTGTAATTCACAAATAACGCTGCTCCCGGCATCTTCCACACACTGTGGTTGTTCGGAAGCCATTCGACGACGAACTGCTCCAAGGAAATGTTTTTGATCCGAAAGAGTGGTGCATCGGGGACTGAAATAGTATCATTTCATTTGATATGCCTTCGGAGAGTCACTCACTTCTGGCCGGCCACGTCCTCACCGGTCTCAGTGTGATCGGACCCTCTCCCGCCCGAGTTTCCGCCCAAACAGAGACTTTGTATCCAGTGTCCGGCTCACTTTTTTCGTGCAAATAATGTCTTTGTCGGTGGATGACATATGTCTCTTCGGTCTCATCTGAATTCATTCAGTTGGAAGACGATTGGAAGAGGAAGTGGAGCACGGAGATCGAAAGACCAAGAACTCTATTTTCAATCTCAAACTATGAACTCGTAATCTTAGAGCTCTTCACAGAAAATAAGGCTTCATTCTCAGGAAATCGGACTCACTTTTTTCGTTTTGAAACGAGATGAAATAACCGCGAATTCGGCCGTTCGGCTGCAGCGGGGGATCCCATTGGAGCAAAATGGCCGTGGATCCGACTGAGTACACCCTCAGATTATGCACTTTTCCGGGAGCTGAACAGCAGAATCAGGAGTGCAATGAAGGGATCTTCGGGGCACTTACGTCCTTCTGGCATGGCAAACGAGACAGGATCACTCGGAGCACTCCGCAATCGTTTGTTTCGCGTTCGGATGTGAGCACTGTAGTTGGTGACTGCGTGGAAAGAGTTGATTATCTGAAAGTATGGATGACGTGGCTTCCCAATTAACTATTGAAGATGACTTTGTATGTGGAATTGGCTGGAATCTTGATGGAATATTTCCTTATTGTGTTTTCAGCCTTCCAATATTCGATTTCGTATCCCATAAAGTGTCCGTTCACCGTGTTCGCATCCACTGCATTCCACGTGAAATTTATCGTGGTGAAGTTTATTTGAGTATCTATTCTGAAGTCACGAGGAGGCTCATCCGGCACGTCTTCTCCGGACCATCCGTGCTGAATCTCAGGCTCCACAATACTTGGTCCCACTGAATTGACCGCTTGCACTTGTATCAGATACTTCCGGAACGTTGGTTGATCTCGAACTATTGTATAATTCTGAAAACTCTTCAATTCATCGGCTACTTTAACAGATCGCTTACCGCCAAAGAGTCTTCGACCAGGAACTCAGTCCATCCATGAACGGGCTCATCCAGTTTGTACCTCACGAGATATTGCATGTTCGGCGCATTCCAATAGTATCTGTCCATTGGTTTCCAGGAAATGACCAGGTTGTCCGGTTCGGTTCCCTCTCCTTTCACTGCAGTCGGATTGGTGTACGGGAAGGACGGACGGGTCTGGCAGGTCAGCCAGTCCTCCTTCGGCTGTCCGTCTATTTTCATGTCCGATCTTCCGTGAGAATTGACTGCCACCACTCGGAACGTGTAATTCACCCACGGAGTCAGAGTGATATCCACTTCAAAGTGCTCTTTATTCACGTTCACTTCCTCGTTTATCACTTCCCATTCGTTCTGAAATCGAGCATTCAATCAATCAGTGCACAACTAACAGACCTTTTTGAAATCTGTGAACATTTCCACAATATACTTTTTGATAGAATCTCCGTGATCCGAAGCGGGAACCCATTTGATCGTCGCCTTCCGTTCCGAGCATTGCGCGGCTTCGACCACCGGATGGGCGGGCACGTCCTTCACGATCAACTGCATCGAGGCCAGTTTCACGTCGACGTCGGTGATGGCCGCGCAGTCGATGATCCCGGAGTGCCGTCCTCGAATGGATCGGAAACGGAGACGGTCCGGCAGGATTCTGAAATTCTCTTGTCTTCTTTTTCTGCATTTTCATTTCAATCCCTACTCATAATACTGCGACTCGGTGAGCACTTTCCCATTGATTGTCCACTGATATTTGATGGGAAGACGAGGATCGGCGACGGCTTCGCAGAACACTTCGGCAGTCTCTCCGGCCTCCAGAACAAGACGCTTCGGAGTGGGGATTCGGACAAAGTAGGTGGGCTCTGAAATGAAAATGTATCTTTCTTTCCGTTTTTCATTGCAAGGTATTTTTGTGATCAGAGAACGAAAGAAAAGAACATTATGTACACTGTGAATCAGCATTCAAACAGACCTCCAAAAATAGGAAGATAAGCATTTTTTTGATAAGCTCCGTCGACAACATTGTAACCAATAACAATAACAAAAAGAAGGGGTGTGAAGAAAAACTCACTGAAGACTTGAAGACGATTCGTGGCTCTGTTGATGCCGTACTTGTTGCTCACATTACAGTAGTACAGTCCCTCGTCGGCACTGTTCACATCGAAGATCAGGAAAGTGTGATTGGGGAAGAGCTGGAAAGAGAGGATGATGATCAGATGTTTTGAATGGGAGAAAGTGCAAAAAGGGAGGAGGGACGCTTTTGAAATATTTGTGCAGATGAGTGGATGGAATGATAGCACTACAATGCAATAACAGTCAACAATTGGAATAAGAAACGAGAGCAGAAAGTCAGTCACTGATGAACACTTGTTACACTATGCGGAGGGCTGGTGAGTTGCAGGTTCCAAGTTCTTCAGCAAGAAGAATCCTTCCCTTTCCAAAGCTCTCGATTCTTTTCAGACCCACTACTAATCTTTCTGACCTTTCTGGTCCTGATCTACGAAGCATTCGCCCTGCCGGTCATCTCGGACACTTCCCCAGACGAACCGATTGTGATCCCTCCCCGCGAACCATTCAGTCAGATCGTTTACGTGAATGATCTGCCGCCCGGACAAACTGTCACTTATGATTTTGTGAAAGGCGCCAGTGTAGGTCTGCTTTTGAGGAGCAAAAAACTCAATGCTGATATTTTCAGGTGTATGTGTCGTCTTCGAAAGATGAAGGCGCCGAGCTGTACGAAGAGAATATTCACATTCACGTCCCGGATGTTGAAGGAGTTTCCCGGCAAGTGTACGGAAAGACCATGAGACAATGAGAAAGGGTTTTCAGAAAGATGACAGAAGCGGGAAAGGAGGTTAACAGTGAAACTGGCGTCAAGAGGGCAGCCTTCGGTCCCACCTACAACCGCATTTCCATCTCGAACAGAAACACGGAAAAGGCAGAACTGAAGAACCCGGGAATAATTTATTTCTTGCTCGTTTCTGATGGAACTCATTGTTTGTTAACATTCCAGGGTCAAGTACCAATCCAATGTTTTCAGTGAGCACGGTCTACGAAAGCACCTCCGAACGCCGTAACATTTACGTCAAATCGGAGCACATCGACACCCGCTACATCACCGTTCTCAATCCCACCGGAGCCATCAAGATCACTGACATTCATCGAATTGACGGAGTAAAGGCAGTACTTTTGATCCCGCTTACTTTCCATTTTTCAGTTGACCACTCTCACAGTGACTGCCGGAGGAGTGGAAGAGACCGAGAACTTGAACTACACTATTCATAACATCGGGTGGGCTCATTTATCAGTTTGAGATGAACTCGTTATTCTTTCAGAAAGGACGACTCGCAAAGTAAAGCTCCACTTGTTGTAGTGGAACCAGTTGTCACTTTCCGTAAACAGTTCTCCATCTTCCCCAGTGACTTCGAGTTCACCGTTAAGGCTGTCGACTGTAACATATTCCGCACTCTGGTTCCATTGAAATGTTATTTCTGTCAGCTCCGACCGGAGACGTTGTCATTCCAATGAACTGGTCAGACTGGTCGGTCGGAATGTCGTCGAACTACATGCTAAGGAACGAGACGAACTCTTTCAAGTACATCTTCAATGCTTCCCTGGAGAACTCTCAGTTCGATGTGCAGGTGTGATTTTGCTTCTTCGAGCGAAACTCAGACAAACAGTTCAGATGTTTGGTGAGCTGGACGCCAGCAGTTCCCTCAGTCTCTCTTACGATGGATACGATGGCGCCGGAACGGAAATCCTTTCGAAAAGACATCTGGAGAGACTTGACAAGAACACGAAAGGACAGACTTTGACTGTCGAATACAAGCGAGGGGAAACGGATACGACGAAGGGAGTGCTCGTCAGAGTGCACTGTTCACGTGAGTACGGAGTGACATTCTAAAGGGAAGGACCCATTTCAGAATACTCTTCGCTCCCTCTGATCTACACAGTCTTCTCAGCGGTCGGACTACGTTACCTGTTTCTCTAACTTCACTTACTTTCTCCTGTTCACTATAATCTTGTACTTTTTCTCTCAATTGTCAATGTTTTGTGCATAAGCTACGTCAATCACCTTGTTCTTTCCTTCCACGATCTGAAGTGGCCTGTCATCTGCGTCCACCCATCTGACGACTGCTTCTGGAGCAGCATCCACGTCACAGTCGAGAGTTACTGTAGAGTGAAGAACCACTTTCCAGTGCCGAGCGGCTGGCATTCGGAAAAACGGGGCGTGGGCTGAAAGGAGCGGCGAATGAGCAGAACGTGAGTGAATGCGGGAGAGCATACCTCTGACATGAACGAAGGCGTTGGCGAACACGTATCCGAGAGGATTGCTCGCATTGCACTGATAGACTCCGGTGTCTAAGTCGTGATTCAGATTTCGAACTCTCAGAATCCTTCCGTGGTCGAGCAGAATTCTTCTGGAGTCCTCTGCCAGCTCGTGAAGGAACCGTCCGTTCATGCTCCAAGTGATGATCGGAGTCGGCTGTCCTCCCGCCATGCACTCCAGCTCTCCCGTACTGTCTTCTGGCAGAGAGATGTCTCTGGGAGGATCGAATTCCCAAAACGGAGCAGCTGAAAATAAGGTTCACCTAGAATAAGTGAGCATTTTTAACTCACCCATTACTCGGACATTGACCGTGTGAACCAGATGACGTCCACGACATTCATAGACCCCTGCGTCATCCGGATGAACGTTCTCAACTATTAGAGATCTTCCGAAGTCACTTTCCTGCGAAGTCAGATCTTTCAATCGAGACTTTGGAAGTTCGCCATCGACTTTCGACCAGAAAATGGTCGGTAGAGGTCTCCCTCCAAAGATGCACTGAAGTTTCAGCTGTCCGCCAGCCCTCACCGTCACTTCACTCGGACTCACGGACATCTTCTTGACCGGATGGCCCTTGTCTGCAAGTAATCCGTCTCTTCCATTAGAATTCCCTCGCAAACCTTGACTCGGCTCCACATCCAGTTGTATTCTGTCTCCTGACCTGTATTCCCCTCTGAGAACTGGCGACGTGGCAGCGCATTCGTATATCAGATTGCTCTTTCCGTCCGAGAGTTCCACAGATGAAAAGTGAAGTTTTCCTTCGTTATCGACTGTTATGTGACGGCTTCTGATGGTTTCAATCACAGAAGTGTCTTCCAGTGATCTGAATCTGAATTAGTGGTGAGTAGGAAATAAGTGAGCTCACCTGTAGAGCCACAAAATTTTGGGAGAAGGTGTGCCACGTGGCGGTGTGCAGTTTAGAGTCAAAGACTCTCCTTCTTTTACTTTCAGCACTTGAATGTCCCGTTTTGGAAAGTGCTCCAACGCTGAAACCATTGAATTGTTCACAGAAAACGGAAGGCACCCCCTAATTCCCGTTCTATTCACCCGAGTCAACATGTGGTCTCTATTAAATCTGGCATCGAATAATTAGCACCTACACAGTCGAAAAGGGAGGCAAAGACCACTCGAGTGCTCACTGAGCCGACCCAAACAAACACATTACTGGCGGGCAATCAGTCTAACGAGATCATAACAAACTCACATCCCATTCTCAGATGCATTTTATTCGAGAGCGCCGTTCCGAAGATGTTCGAGGCAAAACATTGATAGTAACTGCAAAACATGTCAAAATAGAGACGGATCTCCTGTTTCCTTTCGGTTGATTACCCTTCATGGTTCGCTTGCGGCTTCGTGAACACAATCGTGCCGGAGCCCTTTTCCTTTTCCCACAGAACATCGTCAGAGTCGATGAGGAACGGCTCGCCGTCTTTCAACCAAGCATAACTGAAATGTGAGAATGTGAAGTGCTGAAGAAGGGCCGGGCCACCCACCTGTCAGTATTCTCGTCTGCTTCGCATCGGAGGGTCAGCCTGTTCTTGAGATCTTCATCGTCCAAATGATACCAAACCTCTTCCTCGGATTGTTTGAGCAGTTTAGGTGGACCTGGCATCTTATGATACTTTTCAAATTGGAATTGCTTGAAAATCGGCTCACCTATACTGCTTTTCTGTGCCGCGAGCACATGTGCAACAAGAAAGAAATTGACAGTCACTAGACGCATTATTTTTTCTTTCGGCAGCTAATCTAGTAAAAGACGTCTCAGGACGTTCATGATAAGTAGGATCTGAAAGAATCGGAGAGTAATATTGCAAATGGTGGAGTGGGGCGGAGTCTGAGAGGATGGATGCGAGATGATTATGGAGTGTCCGGGAGAGAATGTCAATGAGATGCAAATCATCGACAGAAATTGGACCCCGTGTGTTCGGAAAGAGCCGTCTGTTCTAGCACTCGCATTCAAAAAAGGTGAGTGGAAATGGAAAAGAGAACATCTGAGAGCAAAACAAGACTCTGTTGACTGCCTCCGGTTTGCAGCCAAAAGCAGACACAGCAAGTACACAGTAAACAGACAAACTCGGAGACTTGCATTCATTTTTTGGTCCCAGAAATCGGGGCGCATCCAACTGCACAAAGTCTCCGACGTCGGACAATCGAGCCAATCAGGAAGTGAGAGAGCGTACCGATGCGAGAGACGCAGACACTGTCTACAGGAAGACGATGACTGGAGATGGCGGGAGGAAACATTGTGAGAAGAGGGCGGAGGACGCGGAGAAGACACTTTCATCTGCTATTCTAGTTCCGACTGCTGGACAATGAAACTATTTTTGAGAAAGAGAGAGAGAGACAAAGAGGTTTGGATAAAAACAGGTGTTAGTGGCACTAGAAGCTTCTAGAAAAACATCTGGATTGAAAGCGGGCTGTGTTCCAAGTACGGTAGAAAGGCCCTGGGTTGTTAACTCTCAATTCCATCACTTCCAATTAGTTATAATCACTTTCTTGCTCACATTTCCTTCTATTGTCGTTCTGCTCCGAAACAGTGCGAAACTGGACGGAAGGAAGGAAGGCGCGAATGTTGCAAGAATTCCCTTCTCTTCTTCTTCTCTTTCACTCTCCGACGTCATCAAGAATGACTCGGCAATTCTTGAAGACTCGCCATCAATCGGAAGTACAATTCACTGTTTGCGCGGCCATTCCCACTTCCTCTCCTCCGATTCCATCCGTCTATCCTTCGTCCAACTTCTCCTTTCTCTTCAGTTACAAGCGGGGACCATTCTCCCCGATTGGTCCGTCTCACTCGTAAAAAGTGCCTCTACTGGGCGGCTCATTATTCTTCTTTTTGTGCCCTCCCAACTGGCACTAAACTGCTAGTAATTACTCGACGAATGAATGGGAAAGGGTGAGAAACGGAAGGAGGATGAGCCGGCGGAAAAGGGCATAAAACCGGTTTGAAATTGAAAAGGAAGGGAATCGACGGAAAAGGCGGCAAAAATCGGACAGAGCAATTAGAGCTCGGGATTAGGTCAGCGGGAAATGAGTCATGAAAGAAGAGGAGCTGACGGTCAAGGGTACGAAAAAGATTCCGGCTTCAGAAAACATGAAGTAGAGTGATGATGTACATGAATAATCTGCTACAGTATCTCCAGAAAATGCGTGGAAAAGCATCAAAAATGCGCGGAGAAACATAGTAAACATGGGCGGTGCCTGTGATGGATGGACCGGCCGGAGAAGAAGGACGCATTGATAATTCCACGCGAAAATGGACGATGTCTCCAAGAAATTGAGTTAGAGACCGCCGGGGTATAAGGACGCGGAAGGCATGCCAAGGGACCCTTCGATTCGATTAACCGACTCCTTTGCACTCATAACAACAACATGGAATCGAAGCGTTGGCACCTTCGGACCGAGTCTCTGGGGACGGTTACAGAGGTTTTGAAATCGGCGACTAATCTAAGATGCTGATTCAATTAGGCAATCTTACTCATCAGAGAAGTATCTGACATGTCAATAGTACAAAGTTCATAAAGAAATAGGGCAACAGTTGCGAGCACATCCTTCAGAAATTCCATTAGAAGGGAGCGCTCTGGAGGGTTCCATGGGGAGCCCTTCAGTCCCAAAATGGTGTTCCCCGACGAATGACTCTTGATTTTTCGGCCCCTCAGCATAAGATTCTATCACTTTTCCTCCCGCATCCATGACGAATAAATCAAAAGAAACAACGAGGACACATGTGGAATGAGGGGCTCAATCACTCGAAAGAAAAGACTCGCAGCTCGGCTCGGCGAGCAAAAATAAAAATGCAATCAAAGCGTTTCAAACTAAAACCTTTTTGCAATTTTACTCGCGGAAAGATGCGCGTCGGCGACAAATTTCTCGCGCACGCGCACATTTTCCGAAACGAAGGAGAGTTTGAAGTGAGGTTCATGGGCGAAAAAGTAAAAATGGGGAAGCGGGATTCAGATGAAGTACACGGAGAAGAACGGGGGGAATGGGAACGGGAAATGTGGAATGACTTCTTGCTCACACCTTTTCACTCATAAAACTTCGAGCGACGAGCATCGCTTGCGGCGCCTTTGATTCTCATTTAATGGAAAAACGGTAAACATAAATACCAATTCTCGGTCAGAAAAGCGAAGAAATTGAGTGTTTCATGCAACTGATTTCTCTCATTTGTCACTTCGTAACGTTCTGGTGGCACCCTGGTTTCTACCAAAAAACATATCCCTCTGGGCACTCGGAAGAGTGTAAAGTTTACACGGAACAACATTCGTGCGGTTATCAGTTGACCCGTTGGACCGCCGATCAGAAACGAAACCCGGGCATCGGGTTTCACTTTCGTTTTTCAGGGAGCAATAGTACAAAACTGGACAATAGTAAACATTTGTAAAGCCGCGTCCAAAGTTTAATAAAAGCCAGAAATCTCGCTGATTTTGCTGTCCAAAGTCGGTCGAAATTCCCTTGAAAAAAACGGGGGAAACTGAATTAATTTTACCGTACACCATTAAATTACGGTATATTTTTGAAAAATTTCAAATTTCTTGAGAATATTTAAAAATATTCAAATTTCTTGGGTAAACTTTTTCAAATTTGGACGCGGCATAAACATGGAATCTGGAAATCTCATTTATTCGGCTACCGTACCTGCTAAATTCTCTTTGAACAATTCAATTCCCCCCTGTGCGAGCCTCCGTGAACTCTTTGTCTGCCCCAGAATTTCCTGGTCAACCTTCTCCGAATCTCCACGTTATGGGTATTTCGCAAACGACTCGACTACTCGAATCAAACTCTCAGCGTCAATCTAGTAATGAGCAACGCTCTCGCCAAGGTGTCCACTCTGTTCGATTGCTCTTTCCTCACAAATGTGTTCAGAAAAAGCTCGCATCGTCGAGTAGATCGTCGAAAAACACGAAGACTCGATCGAAGACTCGCAGATCGAAAAAGTCGGAGAAGAAGAAGGACACCGGCTTCTTCGGCTGCTGCGCCAAGAAACGCAAGGTGCGACGATCGTCGAAAAAGCGTTCGGCGGCCAGAAAGAGAACGGCGAAGAAGTCGTCGACTGCGGCAAAGAAGAACGGGAAGAGCCAAAAGTCTCCGATATCTCAGAAGTCTCAGAAGTCTCAGAAGTCCCAGAAATCGCAAAAGAAATCGGCCAAAGAAGGTCTGTCAGTCTCCGCTCGATTCCAATCTTAAGCAACCAGTTGCAGGCGCCGCTCTGATTCTCCCTCCCGGTGGATCCCTCCAGAAACCCATAAAGCCTCCTCAGGCGGAAAACTCCAAAAAGCCCGGCGTCCTGGTTGCTCCCGTGCCTATTAATCAGTCGGCGCCGTCTCTGCAACCTCCGTCCACGACGCCGGCCGCCAGTGTGGAAATCCAAACAGAACAGACGAACGGCTCGCTCGCTCCGCCTTCCCGTGAGCCCCTGAGTTACTCCCAGGAGCCATCGACTCCTCCGAAAGAGCAGCAGCTTGCTCCGAAAGGCCTTTTCGATGAGGGGAAGAAGCCGGAGATGGACACCGAGGCGACGGAGGACGGGGAATCGGCCGGAGGACGGAAGGGCGTCGCGTACCCTTCGCACAAGTTCTTCATGACTCAGTAGGATCGGAATGGGCGTCGGCCGGATTCAATGCGTTCCCTTGCAGATACGTGAAGGATCAGTGCAGTGTTCGTCGTTGGGTCTACGAGGATTCGGTGCCGTTAACGATGGAATCCAACATGAAGCACATGCTGAAAGTGGCCAGTTCCCGTATCGCTCATTGCCAAAACGATAAGGAAAGACGGGGAGATATGCTGAGGGACCTCGACGAATTGTCCGAGATTCTCGAAAGGGGACCGAAGGAGTGATAACCTGAATTGAATGTGTTTGAATGAAAAGTTTTCTGTATTGTACTTCAATACCACTTTGAATCATTTTATTCCGAGAAACTTCAGAGGAACCGTCCGAAGTTTCAAAAACAAGGATGATAGCAATTGGAAGGAGGCATGTGGGGATAATCGGTTAATGAATAAATTATTCTTAATAGTTTTTGCTTCATTGGGCTGGGCGGGGGGAAGGAAGGGGGCGGTAAAATGCACGAGTATGAAGATGTTGGGGAAAGGAGGGGTGTCTAGGAGCTAAACAATCCAAGGAAAAGGATGGAGGGACAATAAAGCTGCTTTACCCGCGGTATTAAAAACTACTTGAAATAACGGAAACCAGATGGTCCGCCACCATTTTTGATTCGAAAAACCTGGGAATGGCGTGTGGGACATGGAAACAGGCGGGAAGAGGCATTAGACAAGAAGTCATGGAATACAGGAGAAATAATGGAATAACCACATCAACAATGTACAGATAGAACGAGTTGGAAGAGGGAAGAATTATTATATTGGAGGAATGGGTCGACTGTTGAGGGAGAAAAGTGAAGAACAGCACTGGGAATGTTCAGGAAAAGGGAGGAAATAGAAAGTGATGGGGAGGAAGCACTAGGCACAAATGGCACGGAGAGGTGGGATCGGATAGATGAGGGAAAGCATTTGAAGAAGAACGGGGGGCGTCTACACTTCACACAATCACGGTTGACGGCTTCTAGCTCTAAAAATTGAACCATTCCAGTACAGAACGAAAACTATGAATCTACCTTGTCACCATCTTATGCTCCGCGTTTTCGTCGTCGACCTGAGTCAACGGGGGGATTCCCGCAGTGGCAGAAGTGACAGATCCTCGCTTCTTCTTGGTCGCCGTCGTGTAGTCTTCGTCGAGTTCCGCGGTTCCTCGCTTCTTGCGTCTCGTAGCACGAACTTTTTTCGGCGAAACTGCAGCTTCAGAGGCGACTGGTTCCGGAGTGGCCGATTCACTGCGATTCGTACCCTGAAACGCGTTGAGGTTCGAAAAGTTTACTTCACATGCTATCATGCCTCGCTAGAAGCAGCGTCATCTTCTCTTTCAATTGGAACCACTGGTTGCAAATCCTCCGGCTTCTTTTCCGTTTCCTCATTCGTCTCATCCTCGTCTTCAGTCTTTTTGTCATGCTCATCTTTCTTAAAATTTGACATTTTGAATACTTCGTGAAGGGTTGAACCACTTACGTCTTCAGCTACCTCGCTGTCCTCATTCGATGCCTTTCTTTTGCTGTTTTTGGTCGTCGGAGCACCTGGTGCTTTGCGAGGTCTTCCTCTCTTCGGAGTCTCTACTTTGGGCACCAAATCCTTGTCTCCTTCGTTGCTGACTCCAATTGTTCCGAGTTCTTCGAACACTGGTCCTCCGTTGTTGAGATCCATTGACGGAGTTGGAGTCGTTCCAAAGTCCTTCGAGCTGTTCGAATGATCGTCCAGGTTCAGAAGAGTTGTCTCGCTGCTTCCGAACTCGGCTCCATTCATGGCGTACGACGAATTCGACGACTTATCATCGGTCGATTGACGGAGAAGAGTGTTGGAATAAGAGCGTCTTGGAGAGTACTCGGCGATAGTCAGTCCCGCAGTTCCAGCCCCCAATGACTTTTCGTCCTCGAAAACTGTCGACAACTTCGAGAGAAGTTCTTCCCTTTCGGCACGCTCAGAAGGCTGAAAAAAACACAGTTGATGACCGATTGAACGTGGAACTGCTCACAGTCAGATTGACAAGATTCTTGTCGGTGCATCTAGTGAATACTTCCTCGTCGACAGCCATATCGACACATTTGCGGACAGTTGCCAAGGAGATTCCCATCATTTGCGATGTCCATTGGTCGGGCTTGGAGAACGGAGAACTTGCTAACGGATGACGTGCAGGAAGTCTGAAAAATAAATAGGGTTTATACGTATCTTCGGGTGTATTCAGTTAGCATAATGCATGTGAGTGTTTATAGATTCCCTCGTACGTGCTCCGAGCGCCGTTAGTGCCGACGGAGTGTATTTGTATATGTGGACATAATCAAGCGCTTTCCGTCTCGTACATTCAGGCCCAGCGAGAACCGCTTCCCTCACGTTTTCTTTTCGAGAAGAAACAAAGCGCCGGAGAATATTATGCATAGCACCGTCTCTCGTTAACCGTGAGAACTGCGTGCACTATCCCATAACCGCCATACTGTAGCTTGAGAAAGCTAGCGGCATTTGGCGGCATCTTCAAATGCTCGCCCCTTCTTTTCTGCAATCGTTTCCTTCCATCGCCATCCCTAATCATCGTCATCATCTAAAAACTCCGATAGGACGTCCGACAACGACTACGGCAGTCGAAGACGTTGACGACGATGAGCCATCGGGGAGAGGGAAACACACGATGGAGAGAGGCTCAGGAGAGGGAAACGCAGACAGCCCGGGGACACTGAAACCAATCGGGCGGCACGAGAGGCGCTTCTCGAGAGAGCTCAAAGAAAGTGGAGTGTGCGCGAGAACCGATGGGCTTCGGCGGACACGCCAAGACGATGAAGGCCGGCTGACGACGACAAATGCAGCTCGTTTGTGCTCGCGGAGCACATACATACTCACTCGTGCGCCCGCATGCACACAGACCAGAGCTCGACGAGCCGTGCTCAAGACGCGCGGGCAACGCCAACGATTCGCCACATGACTGCCCCCGGATGACTACTGCACGTCGGCATTCTGGAGCACTGATGGGGAAGGGTCCCAAATGAAGGCCAAGGAGATGTCTCACCTCTTGATAAACTCTCTTTGGAAATGACAGACACGCGATATGAGCATTCGGGACTGCTCGCAGAGATGCGGCCGACATGGTTTCCGTCCGGCGTCCTTCTTTGCTTTAGACTGAACGACATCAAGCAATGGGAAATCGGCCATGTCAGGGAAGACTGATGCATCCACGTCTTCACTATTGTTATTGTAGCGAGGAGAGCTCTGGAAAAAGCAGCTGATAACATAGCTTTATTCAAATAAAATTCTCACCAATTCGTTCTGCTTCTTTCTCCGATGTCCTCCTCCGTTTCCTGCGGACCCTTCATTCGAGTTTCTCGGTTTCGAAAAATTGAAAATCGGAGCGTTGCCATTAGCTGTTTGCGGAGCTGGCATTTGTGGAGTTCCGTAATTCATCGAAGGAGGAGTTCCTACAAACAGTTTTTATATAATTGGTGCTATTCAGATCGTTTACTCACCAGTTAGTGGCGACTGCGTGTTGTAGTACGGCTGTTGCTGTTGCCCGTGCATACCAGGTGCCATCATCGGTGCTTGCGGCTGCATGTGATGATGGGGTGGAACGGGTGGTTGCTGATAGTACGGATTAGAAGGAGGAACCACTCCTGGAGGTCCGTTCTGATGAACCATTGGTGGAGGTCCTTGAGGTGCATAAAGGGACTGAGCACGTGGTTGGTAGGCATTCAGATTTGTCATCTGTGGGTACGGCTGGTTCCTGCAAACGATTGAGTTTATATATGTCTCTATTCCTCTTGTATTTAACTAAAAAACGGAAATCAGATTTTGACTGTCATTCCGACATTCCTACAGTAGAAACGCATTTTGTTTTTTTCTCATGTCTCCGGAACTATCAGCCATCCATCTCCCTTCCACAGTGCCCTTTTCATCCTTCTTTCCACTCCCCAAGAGTCTTCCCATCTTCACAAGAGAAGCCCCCAATGGACATACATATTGCCGTCTCCTCTTCTTGTCAGGACCCTCAGGCACTTTAGACGCAGCAGAGAGTCCCTATCGAAACAAGCGAATAGAGAAGAGAACGAGGGCGAAAAAGAGAGAGAGGTTTCTCGTTTCCCTCTTACTTTGACTGGCTCTTTCTGTGTAGAGCCCTGCCACACACAGCCTCCCGCACGTCCGTCCGTCCGTCCGCCTCAACAACCGCAATTGCTCCAGCCGCCCATTCAGTCATGCATTGCCTGCGCCTCCATACTATTTCCGGAGGCTTCTCTTCTCTCTGGGTATCCTCACTCTCTGTCTGCCCCTCATTCAAGGGGAGCGCAACGGCCCGTTTCCCGCGTTTCCTACATGGTATTCAGAGTGATGGCGACGGCGGTGATGGGTGAATTGCGCACAGCAGAAACACGCAACCACACGCACCTTTTGATTCAATTAGCAGCGACGGCAGCTGACGAGCCGGAGAATGGAACAACACAGATGGAATTAGTTACTGGTCAGATAGGTGCGGGAAACAAATTGGATACGCTCGCTCGGCTTACGAGCATCGATTCTGTTACGCTGTTTCCGATTTGCACAGTGACGTGGCATCAATAGAAACTTCAACGCCCCGCTGATCGAATACACTATCGCGTTGTCGTCGTACTATGCAGTTACCAACAAGTATAGTCGATCGAAAACCGAAACAAGTTTGCGAGAGCGTGCTGCGGCGACGATGACGACGACGACAACGGCGGCGCGCGGGATTCAATAATCGCTCGGTTCCGACAGCGGGGATCAGCCTCAGTCCCCGTCCGACCAGTTGCCATAATAATGATCCGCTTCTACTTGTACTGCGCATGTGTTCCTTCTCCCCGTTTTAGCAGCGGTCTTTATAATGTGTCGTCGTGCAGAAGCACAAGCAATAAACTGCCGCACCGGCGGTGCACTTAATTTCGTCCGATTTTCGACCTAACCGAATCAGCATATTCCCGCTTCTCCCCCGTTATGCATAAACGACTTACCACGATGAGGTTGGCGAGGAGTTGTGCGCTTGCTGATTATCCAGGTTCATGATTTGTCGGGTCTCCTCTTCGTGTGGGCGCATACTCATACCGTACGGCTGAAAATTAAAAAAAGGGATTCAGTTACATTCAATATAGCGTTCTTGAACTTACTGAAGCGAAACCGGGCGGAGGAGTGCTCCGAGCAAGATGTTGCTGAGCCGGTGGCTGATAGAACTGCATCGTCTTAGACGATTGTTGTGCAGACTGTGGCTGGGTCCCGAGAGTACTATAGGCGAGAACAAACGAAGGCTGATACTCTGAAATCAAGAATGTGAAATTAGTGGATTTATTCAGACGTTATGATAGCATGGAAACGCAGAAAAAGAGCAAGAAAAGTACGATGGGGGCAGTCGCATTCTCTTTTCTTTCCTCATCCCATACACACAGCCGAGTGTGGCGGGAGGAGTGAATGTGATGGGTGTGCGTGTGCGTGTTCTCGAGAAAGAGTCCCGGGTCTGAAAGACGTCTGCAGGGGGCGATCGCGCGCCCTCCTCTTGCCCGTCCGTCCGATCGACGATGCCGGAAAAATATAGAAGGGCACGGAAAGCAAGGTAGAATAGAAATATTGTAAAGGAACTGGAGGAGAAGACACCGGGAACACGGTCTGAGAAAATGTATGGTAAGAGGCGAAGGCGAGAGAGCATAACGGAAGTGAAGGGCGTGGCGCAGCGGCCGATGCTGTATATGTTGACCGTCTTCAAAGAAATATCAAAGAAAAAGAGGTGATGATGGAGAGATGATAAACGGTCATCATCTCTCACCGGCAGCAGCAGCATGGTAACGACTTCTCACTTTCACTTTTTGGAAACGTCGAGAAGGAATGGAAAAGACGCCAAGCGTGAACACCGATCATCTTCCATCCGTCTCTGTCTTCTCGAGTTGTGTTCATGACAAAGCGCTCGTCAGATGGGACTGCGGGATCGCTTCCCTTCGGAATACTTTACATCCCACTCCCTCCCTCAGTGTGTGCTCTCGTCTGGAGAGAGAGTGAGAGCTGGAGACTCAGACGAGGGACGGGAAACGCTGCTTGGACGGGCGTGAGCTTGACAACACGCATGATGATGGGAAAGAGTCGTCGGAAGGGAAGCGAAGCAGGGACTGACTGAATGATGGACTGGACGGGGACGGACGGAAGGAAAGGGAGCGGCGGAGACGGGGTGATGTAATGGATGACAATAGAATCACTCGAATCACTAATCGTTCGCCGTTTTATGATGTGGCAAACTGGCGTGTAATTAGAAATTACGGGAATAGGCGGGCCAGGCAAATAGAGCAATAATAATATGAGCTTGCTAGGGGCGACTTAATGGGTTGCGGATAAATTCTTGATTTCTTGATTTAATGAGATGGGTGATGCATGAATGGAAGGAATACTGTACCTTTCTTATGAAGAGAGGACATTTAAAAGTGAGCAGAAGTATTTTGAAGACTGAAGTCGTAGGTGTGATGTGAAGTGGAGAAGCGAAGTCAAGTGGAAACGGGGGAATGTGGGAGCTACCCATTCACGTATATTGGATGGAAATTCGTTGATGATGTGGCACTTAGTCATCGTCTCACGAACTGCGGAAGACTACAAATTGGATGGAACGGAAGGACGGCAATGACTCATTGCTCCAACTCGGGAAATAGCAATTATCAAACCGTATGAAAGAGTGATCTAGTGCAAACTGCCACAACTAAAGCGGGAATCGAAATTGACACCAAACCAATAAAGGGAGGGGATGAATGTAAATAGTGGATATGGCTGCCACTGCTTCTGCCACAACTGATGCCATTTTGCGATGTCTGTCGGGAGGATCTGTCAATGCGAGTGCGAAACGGATGACATACAGCCCATCCTCTCGCTATACCAGCAGACGCACGGGACTGGGAAGGGAATGGGGAGGACGAATGTGGGAGGGAAACAGAGGGACAGACGGGGGGTAAAAGTGGAATAGAGGGAGTGAAAACGAGGGAAAGCGGCGGGAGGGGAAGTGGTGGCGGTGGCGGCGACGACGCTGACAACGACGACGAGTGCGGTGGCCTCCGGGGGCGAAATAGACGGGCGATGAAAGGGAAAAGGGGCACACACGCACACGAGAAAGGAGAGAGGTCCCTCTTCGTTTTCCTCTCCGACTAGTCAGGGGCGACGGCGGCAGCAGCAGCAACGGAAAAGTGGCGACGACCGAGCGACCGACCGACGATGGCAATGAACGGAATGGAGGAGGCCAGCGCCGACAGGGGTCAGATCGATACGACCCAAGACAAGACGACGAAGGAGAAGAAGGAGACAAGAAGTATTCGTGGGACCGAAAGCCGACCGGACGAGTGGGCGGTGCCAGAGAGAGGAGCCATGTAGTGACTACGGTTCCCGCAGTTGCAAAGAGAACGAGACGCAGAAGGGGAGAGTCGGCGGCAGGTGTATACGGGCGACAAGACGCCACATTGTTTTTGTTTGCCTGTACCGCTTTTTTGCTGGTTTAGAGGGAAAGTGATAGTGGGAGAAAGCGGCAGATGGCCGGTAGGGGAACGGACGGAAACTCCTGTCAACAAGCTGAAGACGGGGATGTATTTAAGCTAAGAACGGACGCTCATGGTCAAGCATACAAGCTGAATCTGTCTCGCAACGAAAGCTGGTAACCTTGATTAATTAACAGGCTATCGCATCCCACCCCATGTTGTCTGTTTCCCCGCATCTCTTACTTTTCAATTATTCGAGCGCGTACACGTTTCTAGAGCGCAACCTGAAAGAAAATGCCATTTCACAACACTCTATTTAACGTTCTTGCCACGTCTATGTTTGCGAATTGAAGCTAAATTTTCTGAAGTCGGGCTCGAGTACAACAGGAGCGATAAATTGGCATTTTTGACGTCCCAGCAGGAATGGGAATGTTTTAAAATTTTTTGTTACATCCGTAGCCATCTTGACGAAAAATTGCAAAATAAACCTTGAAAGATATGTTTCTTGACAGGTTGCATCAACAGCGCCTCCAGTTCACTCTTCGGATACTTCGTGACAGCGGAAGACGTCGTCGAATCGGCGGCGCCTCTATCTGCCACTTCTCCTTCAGCTGCCTCTTCGTCCCGTCTCTGCAATCTTCGTTCCTCCTCTGCGTCTTAGCGTCATTCTCACCGTCTCCGTCACATTCTCGCCTTCGTGAGTCTCTGCTGCGTGTTCTTTCCCCACTTCTTTGTTTTCCGTCTCTTCGACCACAGCCAGCTTCTCCCCATTCTCGTGTCCTTCCATACTGACGTCTATAACGTCTCCGTCTTCACTGTTCGCCACTGCCTCTTCGTTTGGACTCTGTCGTCCGTCCTGCAAAAACTTTCCACAGTAATCCTCGTATGAGAGAAGAGAGAGAGGAGAAGCGGGACAAGAAAGAGCCGCCCGGATGACTACAACTATAAAAGGGAAGCGGGGATGGCTATAATTCCAGATTAGGAAACGACGAAATCTTTAACGACAACGTGACCTACGATAGAAAGGCAACAACGGGGAAACTATGACTCAAAAATTTCACCACTGTTTTATTGAAAACGGGGTCAACGTGATTTGTTTACTGAATTAATGCTGTCTACAAGAACCCATAAGCTCGAAGCATTTTACGTTTTTTTGTTAATTGTATTGTTTACCTGAGAATCATTGTGCTCATCTGCGCTGTTCTCATCGACTGCTCCGTCGAGCACGTTTTCTGGAAGCTCGAAGCACCGATTCTGGTGATTTCGGATGAATGCCGAAGTGGTGGTTGTTGCGGTGGTCGACGTTTGCGAAGTACTGCATCCTCCAGAAGACGACGAAAAAACGGCGGTCGAAGAAGAAGTTGCTGCAAAATCGTTGTGGGAAAAAATCAGAGAGAAATGCAGAAAAGGAAAGAATTTTTTCGTTGAGTCGAAAGAGAAGCCGTCTTTTCTTTCGACAATTTCGCATTTCACACCTGCCCCGTTAGGCTGCAGATAAACTCTTTCGTGAGGTGAATCAGGCAACAATGTGCGTTTTGAGAAGAGTGGATGTGAGAAGAGAGACAGAAATCCGAGATGGAAAATAAGATGGAAAAGGCAAATGGAAATGGGAAAGAAAACTGGATTTTATACGGCCATAAAACTGACTAATGGCTGACTTTCGTGCTTGTTTTCCATCTTTTTTTTCGATTTCTAAATCTTTTTCCTTGTTGGAAAAAGTGCAGAATGGATTTTGAAAAAAGAAAATTAAAGGTCACTTTTTCAAATAACAGAGGGGTTTTGTCAGCTAAATATATTTGGTTTCATAAATTGAGCATTACTTTGAAATTATTCTGAGCAACTAGAACAGCTAGAACAGAACTCGCTTCTACTAGGAGGCGTGCGCTTCAGGAATTGGCAACCTTCAATTTTCCATCAAAATTCCAAATGCAAACCTTCTTGAAATACTCAGTCGATTGGTTCGTTCTCAAGCGAACAAGGTTGTTCACACGAGAAAGACTGGCGAAAAAGTGAAGGCGAGCAAAGAAAGAGTGGAAAAAAAGAAGAAAAATGAGCAAAACTGGCGAGCCAAAACGCTTGTTTGCTTCAAGTCTCATTTTATTGAGCACTCAAGAGCTCACATTTCGTGCACAATTTTTTTTCTGACTGAATTTTTCATTCGATATTTTTCTTTTCGCCCCAATTTCCAGTCGCTTCCCGTTATTTTTGTCTGCCTCCAGAAGAATACGATTTCTTTCCAATTCATATGGATGCCTCGTTTCCATGACTACACTTGCACATCTCTGTGTACGAATGCGAAAAGCCGCCGGAAGCCCATGAGCTCGAGAGCCGGCAGAGAGAAACCGATTTGCATACGGAGATTGGGGCTCATGGAGCGTCCATTCATCGTCAAGAGAGACACGCGCGACGGGCGGCGAATGGGCGGACGAATGAAATGAGAGTTGGAGCAGGGAACGTTACGGAGATGTTCAGGGACTTTCCGAAAGGAACACTTCGACTACGAATTTACCTTTTTTCTCATAACTTGACGATTGATGTAGTTGATTGTTCTCGCTTTTCCTGAAACCATTGAAATTCAATGATTGAATTATCAAACATGTCAAATACTGCCTACATCAGTATTCCCGGTGGGTGTTGTTCGTCTCCATTGTTTTCAGTCTGAAAATGGTTTAGACGTTTCATTTTCTGTAATTATTATAGCTAACACTCATTCCGTCAGCTCTCTGATATGGCTGAGCATATCCGAATGGATAGCTTGGAATGTAGGCGAAAGTTACGGGAGCTGCCGCGAACATCTGGGTCGTCGAGGGACGCTGGAGAGCATTGGCGAGAGCACTCTGCGCCGTCTTAGGCTTCCGAACCATCGACATGAACGGCTGAAATTCAAGTGATTCCTGTCTGAAATTCAATTTTCAGTGTTACTTGATGATACGTCGAGGAGACGGCGAATCCTTGGGCGCTGGCATAGCCTGGAACGTGGAAAAATTGGGAGATGAAGAAAGAAGTGGAAAAAAGGAGTGATGTGAAAACGAATGGAAAGATAGAATGACTATGGAAGGGAGAGGAAGGGGTGAAAAAAGAAGAATAATAAGTTCTTTTCCTCTGAAAGACCGATGAAAATTCTCTCGCTTTTCTGATTAAATGTGACTGGATGCAAGAGAAAATAGTGGAGGAAAGACAAACACGGGAAAAGAAGAGTGAGAAAGAGCGAGTGGGATTTGAGGCAATTATCATATTTTCCGAAATTTTTGCCAACCAATGGGCATGTTTTACGTTTTGTTAGTGAGAAAGAAAAGTTTACTGGATGTGTTTAAAAGGTTCTTTGAATTTGTACACTTCGAAAGATTTCAGTGAGTTGTTCTTTTTTCAGGCCGAATATACAATTCAGCAGAATTGAAATGAAAAGAGTCATTTCCTTTCGGGTTGCTGTCACAGAATAAAGGAAGCGAATGGTGACTAATTCCATTGAGTCACGCAAACACTTTTTTGTTTCTGCCTAAAGACCATTTGTTCAATGAATTTTTGCGGTCGAACAGAAGTGCCAGAGCGGTGAAAATGCGGACTTTTCGAAAGAGAAACATTGGTTTTCAACAAATTAGAAGGAAAAATTCGATAGTCCCCCGTTTGTTTCGATGAAGAGAACATTTTCTGCGTATCGAGCTTGTCAGAAGCGTCTTCTTCACTCCGTCGGCTTCTGACCGCACTCAAAAACAGAGAAAAAGAGGAGGAAAAATACACTGAAATATGAGCGACGGAAAGGGAAAAGAGCGACGAATTTTGAGAAATTAGGCAGCCAGCTCGTGTTTATAAAACTGGCATTTTCAAAGGGAATTGGATAGAATTCACACAGAGCGTGCTTTATAGCGGTAGTACGAAATCGGTTTCTCGGTCAAAAAAATAAACTAAAAATTCGTGAAACGCGGAGTGATGACTTACCTGGATAGTAGAGAACCTGCTGCTGAGGTTTCGAGAGATCTGCAAACTTATCCACTATCATCGAGAGTTTAACAAGTTCAGATTTACCGGTGAAAGTAGGATTGTAAGCGGGGGTGACGAACACTCTTTTCTCGGGCGGAGCAGAACATCCCGCTTCTAGGGCACGTTGGATGGCTTCGGCATTCTGAAAAAGATAAATTCATTCCGTTTCAATCTTTTCCTAACCTTGAGTGGCTGTTCTATCTCTCTCACACTCTCCTGAGAATCTCCGAGTATGTCAACTTCCGGCTCGAACAGCTCCTCCGTCTCTTCCTGCAGTTCTTCTTCTCGTTCCACGTGGATTTCTTGCCCCCTCAATGCTCCGTCGTCTCCTTTCCCTTCGTCTGTGCCAGTAATCGCCTGTTGAGCTTCATTCGCGACGGAATCACTGAAGACAAGTTTATTGGAAAAGAAACGAACGAAAGACGTACTTTTGGGTCAGAAGCCAGTTGTCGTGCATTACTTCTGATAGATTTATGTCCGGCTCCATTTTGCGAAGAGAAAATAATTATTTTAAGAGGTTCTGACACCGAAACTTTCGAAACTTTACGTTGAACGAGGGAAAATTCCGAAAAGTACAGCAAAACTCGGGCAAAACGTGGAATCGTTGTGTCAGAGGTCACCGTAGTTTAAAGGCGCATGGGTCTGGCCCAGCGCAGTAAAACTTTTCCAATTCGAAAATTGCTTCGACGTTTTGCGAATATAAAAAGGATAAATCTGGAAAGTTATGACAATTTATTGTCAAAATGAGTGTACATGGGCCGCAGTAGCCAAGAAGCGATAAAACCGGGATTCAAGAATGAGTAGTACAAGAAAAGAGCGTCTTCGACTAGAACAAATTGATAAACCATTAGTAGATTGGTGACATGAGTTGATTGATTTCAGAGTAGTGCGCGACTTCACTGCAAAGCGTGGACGATAGTCGCATTGCGCTCACAGATGGAGTAGAGCAGGTACGTGCACGGATAGAAGAAGGTGTACGAGGCAGTCTCGACAGTCGACGGCGATTTGTAGCTGGCTGCGCAGTTGGCGAACTGGGTCCATCCGTTGACGAGCGGCTTGTAGGGCTTGACGAGCCAGTTGCTGAAAGAAGACGGTAAAAAGATAAAAGTGAGGCTAGAACTCACATCTTGGACGGGTTGATGGCTCCTTCCGTTTGCCATCTTGGCAGCTGCTCGTTCTTCTCGTAGTGCGAGAATCTGATCAGTCCGATCCACGAGAAGTAAGCGTCCTTGGCGTGAGCACGGATGGTATCCCACTCCTCCAGCGAGTTGGCCACAAACAGCGTCGACTGCTTCTCGAAGCACTTTCTCTCTGCCTTCGCGAATCCGAGCAATTCCGTCTCGATAAAGTAGCACGAATCGGCGAAACGAAGCCATTTGTCCGGGCACTGCTCAGTTTGGTTGATGAGGGCGGTTGGCTGACGGGCAGGCAGAGGAACGTCCTCGAATGCTGTCGTTCCGAGATCCTTGTAGTCCCAGTTGAAGAACTTGGCTGAAAATGGGAAGTTTTTAGAGGAGAAACGAATTCTGGCAACTTATGAAAATTTAGATGCGACTGGATTCTATTTTACATAGAAGAGCAGCCCGAACTTACGTCTGTGATGTGGTTGTTCTTCGGAATCCAGCAGCAGAGTGGGCGTTTCTCCGCTCGCGTCCGTGGCATCGTTAGTGGCCGGGGCGCCCGTGACGGCAGCGAAGATGACTCCCGAAAGGACGAGTGCAGTGATGGTGAGGAAATGCATTGCGAAAAGTGAACTCGGCGAGAATGAACGATTTTGGTCCTTTTATAGGCGTCGCCGGCAGTTTTCTTGGTTTTGAATTCAATTTTTCGCGCGGGTACGCAGCGAAAGTAGGTCAAAAAGTATCGTTTCCTCGAAAGCGCATGTATGCGTTTTTGAACAAAACAGGTTTGGTTTCGTGTAAAATCCTTCTAAAACAGCAAAGAAAAACGTTGAAAATCACAGTTTCATTAAAAATAAGTTCGATTCAAAAACGTCCGAAGCATCTGCCACCAGTAACCGTCGTCACGCAGTAAACATTCTCGATTTCTCTGAAACTATTCGATGAGAGAACATATCGGCCGAATGAGCTCACGTCTCCGTTCCGCCCGTCGGAGTGTAGTGCCACGTGCCACTGGTGCATGTCAGTGTAGCGCTTTCCTCGGTTGTCACGACGTCAGTATTTTACTGAAAACTTGAAAAACTGAACACGGACTGAAATCAGCGTTACCGCAAATACGGCAGTGACTCCTCCGGTGATTTGAGGTTCACAGAGAACAGTGGCGGTGTCTCCGGAATATGTGATCGTGGGGTCTGTTTCGAAGTTGGTCGGGTTAGGAATCTCATAAACTGTCACGTCAGTGCACGATGTAGTCTGAAAAAGAACTTCTTGAATAATACCCCTAGGGAACAAATAGTCACCGCTGTGACTGCATTTCTAGTTGAATTGATTTTTTTAAACGTTTTATTTTTTAACGTGGAATGATTAGAGTAGAGAGAGAGGAGAATGGATGAGGGGGAGATGAGGGGAATAAATGGGGAATCTTCAGCTACTTGCCCGCGCAAACGGAAAGAGATGATCATTTCACAGATGTCTGTGCCGGATTCATTTTAGATAAGACTCTGTGAGTAAAAAAGTTGTGTCTTAGTTTCGTCTTAGATTTTGTCTTAGATTTTGGAGTCTTCCATCGGTAAACATGACTCCGTCTAGTACGTGTAGAGTTTAAGTGTAGGAAGAAGTCATCAGGATTGATGTCGACTTTGTTAGCTAACAATTTGATTAAAAACTTCTTATCTAAATGTGATCGGCGAGTTTCAAGTGATTCGAGGTTAAATTGACGACGTTCGCTGGCGTTTATGTAGTTTGGCGAATCTCGAGGTACGAAAGCTCCCATTTTCGGTAACCAGAGTTTACAAGAGAAGTTACTCTGAACCTGTTCTATTGCTCTTATCGTAGATTTTTTTAGAAGGACATGTGACTATAGTGCCGTATTCAAGTATGGGCCGTACGAATGTTTTGAATAAAAGAGTCATCAGGCGTGTGTTTGGAGAGTAAAAAACTTCAAAGTTTTCATTTGGATTTCATTTGGGGTTAGTGTATTGTTCGGTTTGATTTTGACGAGCTGCTTCAAAATATCATCGTAATTTACCCAGGGAATGCCCTGATTTGATTGGTATCCGGGGGGGAAACTTGAGACTGGGAGGTTCTGATGATGGAGGTATTGCGCTTGGAAGTTATCGGCTAGAACCTTACATTTGTCCGATGCAGTAGGAAGACCCGACTTCATGATAAATTTAGGATAAGAGAGTTTTTCTTTTTTCAATATGAATTTCGAGAGTTGAGAAAATTTGCTGCAGCCCTTGATTTTGAGAAGATTGAGCTCTAGATTTTTTTGTATTTAGTGTGCGAGTCTGCGAATTCTGGAGAAAGTACGATTCTCGTGAATCTGTGCACGGATAGTTGGAGAGCTCATTTTTTGGTTTTTGAAGTCCGAGGTCTTTATTCCTCTTTCGCTAAATCTAAAGACCATTCAACTCCAGTGCGGATTGTTCGAACTCTCTGATGATCAATGCGCGCGTCATCATACTTCTCTCCACTTTTTTCGTCTATTCGAGGCTGGGAAAAAGAAGGGACAGACGGGCTTGTGGGCCAAAAAACTCATTCGATTAGGGTACCGACAAAACATTCAACAGAGAATGGAATCGGGAAGAATCTCGAGAATCTTCGGCTAGAGCCGGGTTGTTTGAGATGTTCGCAATCCGATTACAAGTCCGTTTACCGTTTTATTCGGTTTTTGTTTTTATTTGTTCCCACACACACACACGCGCTTACAAAACCGATTAGAATACTCGCAATCGAAAAAATTTATCCTCGGTTAGTCATCGAGAAATGTCTGAAAAGATTTTTGAGCAGTGGAAGAAGAAGAAGAAGAAGAAGAAGAAGCTTGTGACTCCCTCTCGGAGCTCTGAGCCAGAAGCACTTGAAGTGGGGGAAAGAGGAAATGTAATTTGAATGAAAATGAACATGAACCCGTCGGAAACTGTGCTCTGATTCAACAAGAGTTCTTCAAGGCACTTTCAAGTTTTGCACTTGAGCAACGAATAAGGAAATGGCGCTCTGGTGCTCACGTTGCAGCCGCTCTTCCATGCGTTCGAAATCATAGGCCAGTGGTCAAACAAAACGACTTGCTTGAGAGCCCAAAGTATTTGCACAACGTACGAATACTAATCACCCTGCAACCGAGGCTTTGTTTCGTGCTGTTTCGTCAGAGCACATGACAAAAAACAACGAAAACGTTTTTGTTACAAGGACATGAAAGGGACAATCTATGATGTACAGTCAACAAGCCGGTCCCTCAGATGCTTCCCAAAAGTGCATCTTTCTTCTTCTTCTTTTTCTTCTTCTCTCTCTTTATGTTTTCTGCTGTAGAACTGCGCTATGCTCTCATTATTATGCTTATCAAAAGTCTTTGGGAGAGCAGGCGGGTGGGGCCAAACTTGTCTCCGAGAAGGGCTTCCCCGTATTTTTATAAGTGTCGACAGAAGAGTTCAATTCGATCGCATAAATGTTATACCTCTTCTTCCCCATCGCTTTTTGGCTTACGATAGGCTCTTTCTGGCTCACGGTAGACAGTTCCATCTTCAGAACATTGCTGAATGTCAACTGAAACAAACTATCAAAGTGGGTCTCCTTTTTGTACAGAACGTGACCTCGATGGAAGTGGCCATCGGCTACCGTACCTCTGCTTCGGCAGTTTTGGTGTCAAGGGATCGGATTCAGGAGGAACATCTGTTGGATAACTATGATTTTGAGTTACTGGAACATTTCGGGGTTATTTAAGGCTAATGTTATACAGGTTCATTTCCGAGTTTGACGAATGCGAGGAGGTTTTGGCGGCCGGCAAAACGGTGGATCTTCTGGAGAATCAGAAGGTCGACGTGATCTTCGGGCCGACTTGCAACCGTCCGGGACTCGCCGCCTCCGCCCTGGCCACTTACTACAATATCCCGATATTTGAGTGGGGTCTGACGACGTCGAAAGATCTGACGGACAGCACCAGATTCCCAACGACGGTGCCGTTCTCCGTCAATTCGTATAGTCTGGCTCTGGCGATTCGAGCAACGATGAAGCAGTTCGAATGGAGTCAGTTTGTGTACATGTACTCGAACGATGGGGACGAGGAGAAATGTGAATCGCTGAAAGATGATATCCAGGTACGGTAACTCCCGTATAATAGCATCAAAGTCTCTCAGGAAGTGGTCTCGATATACGGCGAAATCACATTGGCATACACTTATAAAATGGCGTCAAAGAGTCTGGACGACATGAGAACTGCGGTGAAGGCGGTGAAACAGAAAGGAAGGGGTGAGCAATATCTGAAGATCTGTAATCAAAAAGAAAGTGTACGAATACTCATTGTAGTGATTGTGACGTGTGTGGCTTCTGGCAACGGATCCAAGAAGACGGTGATGCAAGCGACGGCGCTGGAGAACGCGAACAGCAGCGAGTACACGTACATCATGGCGGAGACAAACTCGCGAGGATTCAGTGAGCAGCACTTCAAGATCGGAGAGAGATTCTTTTCTGTTTGCAGTCGTTGACGATTATGGAGGAGAATGGCACTACCTCTGGCAAGGATCTTCGTACTCGGAGGACGGGATGTCAGAGGAAGAGTCCAGACAGTCCATGGTCAACTTGCTCTTTTTAGTCGACGTGAGTACCGAGTGCAATTCAAACCAATGAAATTACACTGCCCCGCTTACAGAATATGGGAATGAACGAGGAAGTGACTGCTCAGTACTTGAACTTCTCCCAGCGGGTCATAGAAATGATGAAAGATCCGCCGTTCAACTGTGTCGCCGATTGTGCCGATGCCAAGTATTTCTCGGTGAGCCAAGTTGGGCTGCAATACTATAAAGGACTTCTTTTCAGGTGGCCAAGTACGCCGGTCAACTCGCCGACGCCTTCTACGCCTACGCAGTCGCCCTCAACCGTTCTCTGACCGTCAATCCTCTCAGTCTTCGCAACGGCACATTTATCATCAACAATATTGGAATGACATTCGAAGGCGTCGGCGGCGGCAATGTGGTCGTCGATCCGGACTCGGCCCGTCGTTCTATGATCTATTTGATCGGACTGAACTCGTCGCTGCTTCCGGTCACTTATGCGCGGCTCTCAATCAACAACCAATCCACTGAGTTTGAGCCCTACTACACGGACGAGTCGACGGTGTGGAACGGCGGAGAACGTCCGACGGACGAGCCTACGTGCGGATTCACCGGCAGTCAGTGCCCGGCCAACTTCATCCGGGATTACCTCGTCTACACCATCATCATAGCCTTCCTTCTCATTCTTACAATTTGTGCAGCTATTGCGGGTATTTTCAATGCGATACGGTATGATTGTAAAAAAAAAGTTTAAAAAAAGAGTGGATAAAGAAAGCGGGAGAGCTTTTCAGAATGAAGCACAAGGAAATTGAGCGTCAGGATATGATGTGGCACGTCGAGTTTGCCGATCTTCTGGTGATCAACAGAAAAGTGGGTTTAAATTCACTGTGGTAAAGCAAGCGTACCAATTGTTTTGTTTTGAGTCAAAGTCCGAAATGAGCCAACGTTCGTTCGCCAGTGGTCCGTCGACCTCAACCAAACTGACAATCGAGAGCCGAACAGAGACGACTCGATTCATTTTCTACAGCTATCGGGTGAGAAATGTGCGCAGTGTTTTCGTTTTTAACAAGAAAATTACAACAAATTCAGGGTGGAATAGTTGCGGCCAATAAGCACGAAGTAAGAGTACAGTTGAGCATCGAGGATAAGGCGCAGTTGAGACAGATGCGATTATTGGACCACGACAACTTGAACAAGTTCATCGGACTCTGTCTGAACGGTCCTCAGCTCTTGTCCCTTTGGCGCTTCTGCTCACGTGGCTCCCTTGCCGACGTCATCAGCAAGAGCTCCATGCAGATGGACAGCTTCTTCATGTTCTCTCTGATTCAGGACGTCTCCAACGGTCTCGGCTACATTCACAGCTCTTTCCTCGGGTGCCATGGCAACCTCACTTCTCGGAGCTGTCTGATTGATGATAGATGGCAAGTTAAGATATCTGATGTGGGTCTTGCCACGATCAGACATTTCGACAAGACAAGCATGAGGGGACTGTTGTGGACTGCCCCCGAACTGCTGAGAAATGAAATGACGGCGAGGACAAAAGAGGGCGACATCTACAGTTTCGCTATTATTTGCTCGGAAATAGTGACCCGCTCCTCAGCTTTCAACTTTGAAAATCGAAAGGAAAACGCGGAAGAGTTGATCTATCAGCTCAAAAAGGGAGGATTCGATGCGGTGCGGCCAGCTCTAGCAGTCGATGAGGCACTGGATGTTCATCCGGCACTAGTAGGAACTTCGAATGGAACTTTGAAGAAATCTTTACTTTCAGCTTCATCTAATCAGAGATTGTTGGACTGAAAAACCATCGGAACGGCCGACGATCGAGCAAGTGAAGAGTCTGTTGAGAAGTATGAGTGACGGGAGGAAGGGAAATCTGATGGACCATGTCTTCAACATGTTGGAGTATTACGCGTCCACTCTCGAAAATGAGGTATCCCAAAGAACCAAGGAATTGGTGGAGGAGAAGAAGAAGTCAGATGTACTCTTGTACAGGATGCTGCCGAAGTGAGTTAGTTCTCAAAGTTCTCGAACAATCAAGATTTAAAGAACTGTTGCGGAGAAGCTAAAAGCCGGTACATCTGTGGAGCCGGAGACTTTCGAGCAAGTCACAATATTCTTCTCCGACGTCGTTCAGTTCACAGTCCTGGCAAGCAAGTGCACTCCTCTGCAAGTGGTCCAGCTGCTCAATGACTTGTATACCGCGTTTGACAGTATAATTGAGCAACACGATGTTTATAAGGTTAGGAAACTGCAAATTGAGGACATGCACATAGGACTTCAGATTGAAGCATTGAAGGAATTCAGCAAGAGCAAAAAACAAAGTTCAGGTGGAAACGATTGGCGATGGATATCTTTGTGTCTCTGGGCTGCCGCATCGAAACGGAAATGAGCACATCCGACACATTGCCCGAATGGCTCTCGGCTTCCTTTCCAGTCTGCAGTACTTTAGAGTCCAACATCTTCCAGCGGAACGGATCAATTTGAGAATTGGTATCAACTGCGGTGAGAGCCCAGTGTCTAGCTCGTTTTGATTTTATTCATTTCAGGATCGGTGGTGGCTGGAGTCGTCGGATTGACAATGCCCAGATATTGTCTGTTCGGAGATGCGGTCAACACGGCCAGTCGGATGGAGAGCAACGGAAAACGTGAGCGACTTTGTGACTATTACGACAATGCTTCACACTTCAGCTGGTCGAATCCACATTTCGGCAGAAGCGAATCGAATGCTAACGCAAGTCGTCGGTGGATTCCGAACCGAATCACGCGGAGAAGTGATAATCAAGGGAAAAGGAGTGATGGGCACATTCTGGCTGCTCAGTGAAGAGGACGTTCCTCAAGTGAAGCCATCTCTCAGAAAGGTTACATCTGAAGCCAAAGACAAATCCTCGATTGCCAGAAGTATCACCCCGATCGATAAAAGAATCCACTCGGAATCGGAAAACTTGTGATTGCGATGTGATATATTAGTAAATCTGATCTGACAAAGTAGTTTGGTTTTGATGTGTCTGAATAAAATGCTCGCCGCTCAGAAGCGCCTAATCCCGAGACCAGGCGTTATTAAAAAGATTGAGAGGTTTCCTCCTTCTCGCCTGGCCCACTTTTGTTTTGTTATTCATATCGTCTTCCCCAATGATTCGCCTATTTCTCCTGCTCCCATTGGTTCTCGCACAGTACACACGGACGATCCAAGTAGGATTGATGTTCTCGAAGGACGTCTCGACCACCATGCGGTCCATCGGCTACCGTACTTCCGCTTCTGCCGTTTTGGTGGCCAGGGATCGAATACGATCGGAACATTTGTTGGACAGCTACGATTTCAAGTGAGTAAATCGGCGCAAAAGTGGAGAGTCTGATGAATTACAGCTTCACCGTCAAATTCGACGAGTGCTCCGAGAGCCAGGCAGCCGGAAAAGCCGTCGAGCTCATCACCACCGACAACGTTGATGTGATCGTCGGTCCGACATGCAACCGAGCGGGCGTGGCAGTCGCTGGATTGGCAGCATTCTACAACATTCCAGTATTCCAATGGGGTCTCACCACGACTGCCGACATCGGAAACTTCACAAGATACCCGACTACGGTCACGCTTTCGTTGGATACTCACAGGTGATTTTCATCCTCCAACGCATCAATCAATAAAACTGTCTTTTTCTAAGCATGGCACTCGCAGTGAGACAAGTTCTGCAAACGTTCGATTGGGAGGAATTCGTGTTCATTTACTCAAATGATGGAGACGAAGAAAAGTGTGCGGCCATGAAAGACGATATGGAAGTGAGTGAATATGAGTACAGTAGAGTAAAGTGTTTGCATGTGCTTGCAGAAAATGTCAGTGGAGAACGCTGACATCACCTTGGCCTACATGTACCAAATTCAAACTGTCACGCTGGATTCGTTGAACAAAGCACTGAAGGAGATTGCGAAGAGGGGAAGAAGTACGGTAGTTTGGCATCTGAATTCCATCACTCACAGCTTCTGTTTTCCAGTTGTGGTCACGTGTTTCGCCGGCGGAAAAGGCTTCAAAAAGGCATTCGTGGCTTCTACGCTGCTCGCCGGAATGGCAACAAATGAATACGTTTACATATTTGCCGATCCGCAGTCCCGAGGCTTTTGTGGGTGATCTTCTGTGGCTCTGGAGTTTAGGAGTACAGATTCAGATGTGGATGAGACTGAAGGAGGTATGCATTACTCTTGGGAGGACACCGATGGCTCTTTGGTGACTGGTCTGAGTAGTGAGGATATTCGAGCTGCCTATGGAAGGATACTCTACATTTGTGATGTACGGACTTAAAGAGTTTCAAAGAATATTGACAAGTTTTCAGAATATGGGCGAACCTGCGACCCCCACAGAACAGTTCTCAAACTTCACAAGTCAAGTGATCAGACGAATGTCCGAGCAGCCATTCAATTGTGTTCAGGATTGCGCCAACTCAACTTACAAAGTGGTTAGACAAATTACGATTATCCATCTACCGTACCACTTCCAGGCCGCCACGTACAGTGGTCAACTTTTCGACGCGTTCTATTCATACGCCGTCGCTCTGAACACGTCGATGGCAATGGATCCGACGACGACGAACCTGAAGAATGGCTCTTTGATTTTGAGTAACATTGCGATGACGTTCACAGGCGTGGGCGGGGGCTCTGTGACATTGGATGACACCGGCAGTAGGGTTGTTCAAGTCTACATGTATGCCATGAACACTTCAATGTTACCGTACCTCGCAGCCGCGCTTCTCGTCAATGGCACGAATGTTGTGAGTGATCTTTCTGGCAAGACGCCTTTACTTGCTCTCCTTTCCAGACATACACACCCTACTACACAAACGAATCAGTTCTCTGGAAAGGCGGTTCGAAGCCGCTATCTAAGCCGGTCTGCGGATTCACAGGCCTCGAATGCCCGCCTGACTTTGTCAAGGACTATCTCGTGTACGTTATCATCGCAGCTATTGTAGTGACTGCGGCAATGTTTGCTGGATGTGCGGGACTTTTATATACTGTTCAGTGAGTTCGGAATGTTGAAGTAGCACTTCTATTTAAGAGTTCTGGATTTCAGTATGAAAAAGAAAGAGATGGAGCGTCAAGATCTGCTCTGGCAAGTTGCGTTCATCGAACTCCAACAAGTGCAGTCCAAGTCGAAGGCCGAAGCGAGTTTGCATTCGTTCGCCAGCGGACCGTCCACCTCGACCAAACTGACTATTGAGAGTCGCTCCGAAACCACCAACTTCATATTCTACTATCACCAGCAGGACATCGTCGCCGCTATGAAACACGACGTCATTTTGTTCTTCGATCAGGAACAAAAGGCCGAGTTCAGACAGATGAGAAACTTCGACAACGACAACTTGAACAAGTTCATCGGTCTCTGTCTGGACGGTCCTCAGCTCTTGTCCCTTTGGCGCTTCTGCTCACGTGGCTCCCTTGCCGACGTCATCAGCAAGAGCTCCATGCAGATGGACAGCTTCTTCATGTTCTCTCTGATTCGGGACATCTCCAACGGCCTCGCCTTCATTCATAACTCTTTCCTCAAGCACCACGGACATCTAACTTCCCGTTGCTGTCTGATTGACGACCGATGGCAGATCAAAATATCCGGTTATGGGCTGAAATCGGTTAGAACTTTCGACAATCCTAAGAAGGACGATCTTCTGTGGACCTCGCCGGAGCACTTGAGAAGTGAGAGCAGGGAACGGAGCCCGGAAGGAGACATCTACAGTTTTGGAATCATTTGCGCTGAAATTCTCACTAGAAGTTCGGCGTTTGATTTGGAAAACCGAAAGGAGAAGCCAGACGTCATCATTTATCAGGTGAAGAAAGGAGGTCACAATCCGATGAGACCATCTCTGGAAACCGGCGAAACTGTGGAGATCAACCCGGCACTGGTAAACTCTTCTCGTCTTTCAATCGTTAGTCTATTTCCTTCTTTGAGCTGCATCTTGTGAGGGACATGTGGACAGAGCGGCCATCAGAACGACCGACGATCGAGCAAGTTAGAAATCACTTGAACGGAATGAGGGACGGAAGAAAGGCGAATCTGATGGACCACGTCTTCAACATGCTGGAGACGTACGCGTCGACACTGGAGGAAGAGGTGTCGGACCGAACGAAAGAGCTTGTGGAAGAGAAGAAGAAGTCAGACGTGCTGTTGTACAGAATGTTGCCAAAGTGAGTTTAAGTTGAATCGAGAACAGGCTGGATAGTTCGATTTTCAGAATGGTAGCTGAGAAACTGAAGTTGGGACAAGCCGTGGAGCCGGAGACTTTCGAGCAAGTCACAATATTCTTCTCCGACGTCGTCCAGTTCACCACTCTGGCAAGCAAGTGCACTCCTCTGCAAGTGGTCACTCTTCTCAACGATCTCTACACTGTATTCGATAGCATCATTGAGCAGAATGATGTGTACAAGGTCTCGAGAATCCGGTTCGAATCGGACAAACTATGAATGTTTCAGGTGGAAACGATTGGCGATGGATATCTTTGTGTCTCTGGGCTGCCGCATCGAAACGGAAATGAGCACATCCGACACATTGCCCGAATGGCTCTCGGCTTCCTTTCCAGTCTGCAGTACTTTAGAGTCCAACATCTTCCAGCGGAACGGATCAATTTGAGAATCGGTATCAACTGCGGTGAGAGCCCAGTGTCTAGCTCGTTTTGATTTTATTCATTTCAGGATCGGTGGTGGCTGGAGTCGTCGGATTGACAATGCCCAGATATTGTCTGTTCGGAGATGCGGTCAACACGGCCAGTCGGATGGAGAGCAACGGAAAACGTACTTCGACCTATTCCTCTTAATCCACAATTCCCCAATAATTTTCAGCCGGCCAAATTCACGTTACCGCAGAAGCGAACAAAATGCTGACGCTAGTGGTTGGCGGATTCCGAACCGAATCGCGCGGAGAAGTGATAATCAAGGGAAAAGGAGTGATGGAGACATTTTGGCTGCTTGGCGAAGAGGCCGGAATCAGTGTGTCCGCACAGGCTCCGAAAATGAAACCGGTACTAGGGATGACTGTAGGGCGGTAAAATTGTGTTGTTGCAGGAAGCAAGAGCGCCGTCCGAGCGAAGCATTTCGCCTATCATTGAAAAGCAGTCTGAGAAAGATGACAAAGAATCGATGAGGGGACTATACACCGAGTTTAAGGGCCAGAATAATGTGAATGTCTAATAAAGTATTTACAATTCTTAATATGTGATTTCACGGTGTTGAGCGGAACCTACCGTACTCTCTCCCTTCCCTTTAAAGATTTCTGATGGCTATACCACTCAACCCAAATTGAGAGCTGAAAGAGGATAGACCATAAAACGAAGCCACTTCAATTTACTCTCTCTCTCTCTCTCTCTCTCTCACTCCATCCGGCCACCATCACACACTCAATCGGATGGAGTTTTCAGTTTTAGTTTTCATTTTCGCATCAACCTCCAAACACACTGTCACCCCCATGTCAGCCGTTTTATCTATCCCTGTGCTCATACGGAGCATCAACTTGGTGTGAGTGTCGGTCGATTTCAAACGCTCAAAGAAAGGAATGAGAAGCGGGCCGCGCCATCTTATCCTCCTCTTCCGCACTCGCGTTTTGTAAATGGATAGGACTTTGAATAGAGTTGACGAAGGCTCGGCTGCAGTGTGAAGTAGATCATAAATTGCCGAGAGGGTGAAAACTGAACATGTCGGCGGAAGAAAAAGGGCAAGGACAGCTTGATGGCCAAAGCCCACGAACACTTTTATCGAGCTTCCATTAATCACTTTCTTCGGCTCCGGCTGTTTTTCGAATATTACAGGATGTTGTTTATTTGAACAACCAACTTTTGGACTTTTGGCACCCTTTTACGAAAATGTTACTCCGAAAGTGTTCTTTTTGGTTTTTTCAGCAAACTGTGATGTTGATTTGACACTGATCCTAGGCAAACAACTTCCAGATTATCGATAGTCATTCATTTTCAAAACAATCTATGTCAGCTGCCGGTAGAGATGCAAAACAGTTGTCAAGTTAATAATTGAATCATTGTCTACATTTTATCAGTTCAACACTTTTTTGTTATCTCAACAGACCGTGAGATACATCGTTTTGAACTTCTTCTTCCTCTTCTTCTTCTTCTTCCCATGTCTCTCTCCACAATAGTGATGTGTTCTGTCGCCGTGCTCACTGATGTCGTAGTCGTCCTCTTCCAACTGATTAATCCTCCTTCCACGGCTATTTATTCAATTCTCCGTCTCAGTCGCCCAATCAACTCGCTCTCCTTCTCCTGAATAAAGAGAAAACAAAACAAATGTTCGAATCTCACGCACCACGGATTCTCCTTGCCCGCCCTTTCTTCATTTCTCCTTCAGGCATCTTCTGGAAGCTTCTAGTTGCCATGCAAGCGAGAGCCGTTTCGATCAGGAAGAGGAGAAGAGCAGGAATGGGGACGGCAGTCATTTCCGAACGTTTCGGATTCCAACTATTCGTACATGTCGTCTCACAAAACATCAACCCAATAAATCACTTTCCCTTTGTGAACACAAATTCAACTTGAAGGTGCAAAAACGCCGAATCCAATGGAATTGTATGCGAATTAGGGTTGACACATTTCAACCGAACTTTGTCCCTCCAGAATGACGTGGCATTTTGACACTTTCCGTCTGTCACCTGACTTTCTTCGCTGATAACCACCGCTCCCCTCCAAAAGAGAATGAGTTCAGTCTGACAGCCGGTGTCACTGATAAGCCGGCGATAAGAGAGAAGTGAAGTGTCCCAGAATCATGCATTTTTTGTATTCGCTCCCACAATTCTTGCATAATGATCAACGAATCGACGGAAACCGAACGACACCAAGCGGAGGAGCAGAAGAACGAAAAGAGGATCGAGGAGAGAACTCACGAAGAGGTGAGTGATATTACGAAACGGTCCCTCCGATCTCATGTAATCGATTTCAGCTGGAAGCGGCGAGGAAGGCACAAATCGAACGGAATAATGAGTGGATCGAGAAGATGTCGCCGGTGGTCAAGTACAAGGTAACTCCCGATTCCGTTTAAGATCAGCACATCAGACATTCCAGATTCAGGAGTACATCCGGAAGCAGAGAGCAAAGAAGATGCAGAGGAGGAAGTTCTCTCTGGCCTGCGGGCTGAATAAGAAGGCAGAACCCACGTCGTCTTACTCCCGATACAGACGCCGTACGAAGAGAGTCACCTCGGAAGCAGGAGCGGGATCGAAGAAGGCCCAAGTGACGGCTGGGCCTTCGTATTCGGTTGCCAGAATACTCGGAGAAGCAGAGCCAGTTCCAATTGTGAGGCCAGTGGCGATCAGAAGGAAATCGGCGCCCGTTCAGAAGATGGACATGAGGGATCTGGACGATTTGGGATAACGTTTCGAATTTATTCTGAAATATTGTGTTGGCTGGAACAAATAAACATTCTCAACTTTGCTTGCATATGAAACCAGTCTCAGGGATTCAGAAGATCAAACGAGTTCGGTCGTTCCGAAACCAAAACTACACTCAACTTTTGATCGGAAAGTCTCACTTTCTTTTTGTGTCTCATTTGATTTCCATCGGTACACCTCGAAAAAAACGAACCCGTCATCTCGTTTTCTTCTCTCCGACTCTCCCAATTAGTCGTGATCCGACCTTCTTTCGTTCGTTCTCTCGTTCCACTTCTTCCTTCCCCCTGGGTGCCAGAAAAAGCACACAATTACACGTGCTTGTGTTTGATTAGATCCCCATAATTTGATCACTTTCCCGTTTCGTTTTTTGCGAGATGCGCTCTTGATTTCTATAAAAGTCGCCGTGCAAACCCTCCGAAGCCTATCATTTTCGTTCGTTTCGTTTTCATTCCGTCCTCTTCCTCTTCTTCTTCGTCTTCAGAATTTGTTTCCGAAGACTTCGAGAATGCGAGTTCTTCTTCTTTTCCTGCCATTTCTCCCAAAGTTCACTAACCCTTGCCTGCCAACTCGCTCGACGGTAAGCCGCTTTCGGATTCTGCTCGCAAGATACGGTGCTCACTTTCAGACGCCTATAGTCTGTGCTTGCTCCACTGATGAAGTGGCTCTTCTGAATAATATCAACGGAGCTCCGGGCTCTGATAACAGCATCCAGCCGGTCGGCACAGTGTAAGTCATCCGTCCCTACAGTAACCTACCGTACCTTCGTATTCAGAGCTCAAACAGACTCCAATAACTGTCCGACAATCTACACGGTCACTTGCGAATCGACCACCGGAGGCACCGTTTACATGGAGTTCCAGGACTCTCTGAGTGCCGCCATTCAAACGACAAGTCTTAATCTGACGTGCACTGACGGAAACTGGCTGTATTCAGATGCCACCAACGGAGTGACGTGCGTTTGAATCACTTTGGAATCCAATCTGGGAAAGCCTGCTTTCAGATTGGTAGTTTCGGTGCAATGTCAACAAACTTAAAAAGAGGAGAAGAGGGAATGGAATACCGGTTCGAAGGTGGCAATTCGAGTTTATTATTGCTCACCTCCATGTTAAAATTCAAATAATAAAGTACAGTAATAAACGTGTGAAAGCCAGAGCAATCCGTCTCGCATTTCGAATGACAAGCAATTTGCACAGAAATGATGAATCACTTATTGTTTCTGCTCTTTCTCCTCCCTCATTGCTCGCCGGGCGCTCGCCCGTTTCTCCACCGAAAAAAACGATGAATAATCAGAGAGACTTAGGCCGACAGACGGACCCCTTTCTCTCCGCAAATTTCGTTTTTCTGTGTGTGTAATCCGACGGACGCAGAGGAGAATCACTGCGAATCATCATCACCCGTGTCTTCCTCTTCACTGAATCACTCATTATTCGGTTTGCAGCGGAATATGGATCCCTCCTCCATCGATTTGGATCCTATCGTAGTCAAGTGAGATTGGGCAGAATGTTTATCCGTATATGCATTTCTATTTTCAGACATTTGCAAACGAAAAAAGTAGAGGAACGAATCGAAGACCTAAATAATCAAATTTGGATCGCAGATGACTCGGTCGGCTACCGACTCGTCACTGTGATCGACGAAGGCCTTTCCGACTGTCTGGTCGGGTTTCGAGACGAACAAGGATTCTTCGAGAAGGTCCGTTCCTTTTGTGAAGTCTCTTTTTCCTCCCCCTGCACGTGCTGCTCTCCTCCAAATTTACGACCGTTTCCTCCGCTTCCTCTGCTCGTAACTCCCGTCGTTTTCTCGTACCAATGTTATCATTACCTGTGCTCCCAGACGTCCATTCGTTCGGGTCATCCCCCTCGACTTCTCAAGTTTCGTAAAAAAGCGGCAAATTTTCACACACAGCCTCCTCAATGTTGTAATTTTGCGCCTTTGCTGTGCAGGGGAGCTGCTCTCGAAAATGACCGGCCGGCGGGAGGTCATTTCCACAAATTATGTCACAATTTACGGGAATGACGTTCGGAAGGAAGCGAAAACAAATTTTGAATGCGAAAAAGCGGGAAGGGATTTCTGGCACCGAGCCAATGATCAGCAGCTGACGACCGAGAATCAAGCAATAAGATTTACATGTGTAGAGAAGGGAGCAAAGGGAAAACGGAGAGAATTGATGGGGACCAGTTGCGGTCGCACAAAAAGATGAATAATTCCAGAGAAGAGTCGAGAAAACGAACTGCGAAGTGCCGAGTCTGAACAATTATTCGGATGATTTGTGCACACTGACACAGCCGAATGCAGCAACCGTACTACACGCCCTGAAGATACGGTACACGTCGAATGTCATCCACGTGAGTCGGAGGATCCTTGAGATAATTATAGGGCAACCGTACTCTTTGTAGACGTACTGTGGACTGTTCTGTGTTGTCATCAATCCGTGGCGAAACATTCCCATTTACTCTGATGAAGTGAAACAGTTGTACCAGCACCGGAATGATCTGCCCCCGCACGTCTACTCGGTCGCTCAGAATGCCTATCACGGAATTCTGAAGGGAGGAAGGAACCAGTCGATTCTCATCACGTAAGAGCCGAAATGGGAGTGACAAAGATGAGTGAAGGCACTTTTCAGAGGAGAATCAGGTGCTGGAAAGACGGAGAATACGAAAAAGATCATCGACTTCATCCTCAGCTCGAGTGGCTCCAACAACACGATCGGAGAGTGCGTCGTGACGAGTGGGGTCCTTCTGGAGGCGATGGGAAACGCGAGGACCACCCACAACAGCAACAGTTCCAGATTTGTGCGTTTCGGATGAAACTACTCACCCTTGAAACAATTATTTCAGGGTAAATTCATCAGAATCGAGTTTGACGAGAACTCAAAACTTATTGGAGCTAAAATTGAGTGCTGTGAGTTGCACCGATTCGGAAGACCGTTCTGACAGCGATTTCAGATCTACTGGAAAAGTCGCGAGTGGTTTCCCAGTGCGACGGAGACCGGAACTTCCACATATTCTACCAGATGCTGTCCAATTACTTCGATGGTCCGCACAAAAGCTTTCTGAAACTTTCAAAGCGAGTGGACGAGTACAAGTATCTGCGGGACGACGATCCGTCCATTAATGACGCCGAAACTGCGCGGATGACCGACGAGGCGTTCTCGAAGATCGGATTGAGCGAGGAAGAGAAAGTGTGGATATTCCAGATACTTTCCGCCGTTTTATGGATTGGTGACATCAAGTTTGGCGAGAGAAGCGGATTGGACGTGTCTTACGTGGAAAGCATGCAAGGTGAGGACTACGGTAGTTTGGTTTGTTCGAGAAGCTTCTCGCTCACTGACCTGTAAATATTATCAGTTAGAAACCACTTGTTATTTCTATCTTTTCCCTCGGATTGACACCTGTCCCATCGAATGTTTTCAACTTTTCTTGCGTCTTTCTCTTTTTCCTCACTTTCCCCCCACTACGAAACGTCAGGGGATACTTTTAATTGATGGTCGAACGACGATTCGTTACACATTTCTCTCGTCACTCAGAGGGTTTACGAGCACAAAAAGTAGGCAGAAAAGAAGATAGAAACAGTGGTGAAACTGATGGATTAGTTGCAATGAACGCATACCAAAAAATCGAAAGCGGGGGTTTTATAGAAGTGGACAACATCGCCGAGCTGTTGGAGATGAAGAGCTCCAAACTGGTGGACGCACTCACTCAGCCGACGATCAAGGTGCACGACAAGTTGATCAGGAAGAATCAGAATCTGGCAAAGGTACGCAATGAGAAAGGCCCGTCGGAACTGCTCCTTTCAGACTTTGAGCTCTGCTTCCGCAATGGCCAAAGTGCTCTACGAACGATTATTCGGATGGATTGTGAAGAGGTGCAACGACGCGTTTTCAGTGGACGACACTGCGAAAAGTCAGTGATCATTTAGTTCTGCCGTCCTGATAACTGATGAATACTCAGATTGTCGCGAGAGTCGTTTCATCGCCGTTCTGGACATTGCTGGCTTCGAAATCATTGAGAAGAACTCATTCGAACAGTTCTGCATCAATTACACTAATGAAAAACTGCAACAGTTCTTCAACCATTTCATGTTCGTCAAAGAGCAAAGCGACTATTTGGAGGAGGGAATCAAATGGACTCAAGTGAACTTCGCCAATCACCTTCAGCCGACCATTGACCTCATCGAGAAGGTAACTCTTATTCATTGAATGAAAGAAAATGATCATTGCATTTCAGCCAATGGGAGTTCTTTCGTTCCTCGAAGAAGAGTGCGTTGTTCCGAATGGATCCGAGAAATCATTGCTCGAGAAGCTGTGCTCCAACCTTTCCGGAGATTCCAGTTTCCAGAAATCAAAGCAAACTCAGAAGTGGGCTGCTTTGAACTTCTAGTCCTCATTTTGATTTCAGATGCTCGACAGTCCGTCACTTTGCAGTTCAGCACTACGCCGGAGAAGTCCACTACAATATCGATGGTTGGTTGGATAAGAACAGGGACAATGTGGAGACATCGGTACTTGACATCCTCTCGCAATCCACGCATCCACTGCTCAAATTGCTTTTCCCACCTGGTAAGATAATTGTGACAGAATGTGCCGAGTATCATTGTCTTGCAGTTGCTGCCAACAGTCTGAAGACCAGAAGAGGAACCATAACCAACTCGACTGTTTCTTTCTTGTACAAGGTGAATAATTATTGTGTCAAAAGTAGGAAAACAAGGAGTTCAGAATCAACTGCAAAGTCTTCTGGAGACTCTCAACACTTCTTCCGCACATTTCATCCGATGCGTCGTTCCCAACTACGAAAAACTTCCAGGAAAGATTGATGCTCCGCTCGTTCTTGCTCAACTCAAGTGAGTACCTAACTTGTGGGTCTGAGAAAAGCCGGAGCACACTTTTCAGGTGCAACGGAGTGCTCGAAGGCATTCGAATCTGCAGAGAAGGGTATCCGTCGCGTCTTGCTCACTCCGAATTCATCGAAAGATATTCTCTTCTGATGAGAAACAAGCAGAAGGGTTGTAGGGCAAGTGAAAAGGAAACGTGTGCGTTGATCTGCCAAGATGCGGATGTTCGGAAAGAACGGTTCGCAGTGGGAAAAACGAAAGTGTTCTGCAAAGTCGGAGTCATTTCGGAGGTTAGAATTGGTCCGAAGTTCTTACAGATAAGAGAATGGTTTCAGCTGGAACGAAAGCGAAATGAGCACATCTCCTCGTTCATTGTGCTCATTCAAGCCAACATCAGATATCAGAACATTCAGAAGGATCTGGTGGTGCGAAGGAAAAAGGCGGAAGCGATTGAGATAATTCAAGAGAACGTTCGACAGTTTGCTCAGTTGTCTCAATGGCCGTGGTATCGAATTCATCACTTGGCACGTGGTCTGATTCCGAAGAACAGGGACAAGGAGAGAATTGAGGAGTTGGAGAAGGAGAGGATGAAGTTGGAACAGGAGATCGGAGCGATGGAGAGCAAGAATGAGGAGACGTTGGCGGAGAATTTGAAGTTGAGCATGGTAAGAAAACAGGGAAGAGAAGAATGAAAATCGATGTTGTTTCAGCTGTTGGAGCGAGAGAAGTCGGAAAAGGTGAAAGCACAGAAGGAAAAGGAAGAGGTCGAACGGAAAGGGAGAGAGGTTTTGGACGAGAACTCCACAAACCACATCATAATATTTTGTAGAAACTGCTTGAGAAAGAGCGTGAATTCCGGAAGACGATGGAGGAAATGGAACAGAATGAGGAGATTTTCAGCGTTTTGGAGAAGAAGTACAACGAGCAACACAAGAAAGTGATGGTAAGGAATCGGAAAAAAAGGAAGAAAATAAGAGAATTTCAGAAAATGAACGACGTCCTCCGAGAGTACGAACGCAGAATCGAGCAGTTGAACATGGAAAAGGACGATTTGGAAGCGGAGAATCTGAAAGTGAGTGTTTATGGAACTAGTACTGAACGCCAAGTTGTTTGCAGCTGAAAGAAGCGCAGTCGCGTCAAGATGAGCATTACGCAGGGCTCGAGAAGGAAGTGATGGAGAAGACGACGATGATAGACGAACTGCAGAACCAAGTGCAACGGCTTCTCGATGAAAACAACGAACAGAAGATCACAATTGCAAAGTAATTCAACGGGAAAATACGAATCTAGCTGCCCATTTCAGATTGGAGACTGCATTGGAGGACGAGAAAGCGAGGCAAGGCCGGCAGAACAACACAATCGGAGACATGCAGAGACTGGTTTCGGAACTGAACGTACGGAAAACCAATGAATGTGTAAATTATGAAAGTGTTTCAGGAAAAAATTGCTCGCCTGGATAATGTGGCCCTAAACGAGCGGAATGCGACGAGAAAGATCGAAAGGGAAAAGGACAAGTTGAACGAGGAGCTGACGACGGCGAAGGATGTGATTCAGAAGCAGGCGAAGAAGATTGACGAGCTGAAGGATGAGTGCAGAAGACGTGGGAATGAGGTCAGCCGGTTGGAGAGGAAGCTGGAGGACAAGGAAGCGATGATGGCGGATTGTGTGAAGGAACTGAAGGACAGTCACAAGGAGAGGCTCAAGGAAATGGAGCAGAAGGTGGACGAGGTCAAAAGGAAGAACTCAAAGTCAGGAACTCAGATGATTTAAGGGTAAACATTTCCGATTTTCAGGTTGGAAAATGAGAACTCGACTCAGAAGAGTCAGATCGAGACTTTCCAGAGGGAGTCGAGTGTCGACTCAGACTACGGACGGTCCAGTTCCGGAAGGCTCTCGACCATCGGAAGACAGTATTCTCTCACTTCTATGGGCTCGTTCTCGTCGATCAGAACGGTCGGTCTTCGCCGAAAAGACTCCGAATCCGACATGACTTCGTCGATGTACTCGTTGAGAGGACGGAGGGATTCCACTTACGATATGAGTGCCTCGACGATGTCGTCCGTCGGATTGCAAAGATCTCCATCGACTTCACAAGTGATGGAGAAGGAGCGGAGGATTATGGAATTGGAAAAGTGAGTGATCAAGGGATGGGGTGGTGGAGATAATGGAGATAATGGAAGAGATTTTCAGAGAAAAAGCAGCGATTAACACGGACTTGCAGTTGGTCAAAAGGGAGTTGGATGTCTACAAGTCACAGTTGTCAGCTGTTGAATCAGTGAGTAAGCCAACAGTATCCATCAAGTTAATATTGTTCACAGGAGAAAGAGTCCCTTCAAACTACAGTCAGAAAACAGACAAGTCAGCTGCAGGAGACCACTCGACAGTTCAATTCCGCGCAGAAGAACGCTGACAATTTGGCTCTCCGCTTGAAAAAAGCACTGGCAGATTGTGACGAGTGGAAGAGAAAGCACGAAGAAGGCATTCAGGAGAGTAAGACGGAGATATTGGCGGAGCGGAAGAGGGCGATGGAAAGGGCGGAAGCGTCGGAGAAGGAGACGGAGTTGAAGCAGTCACGGATGGCGACGATCGAGAGTGCGAAGACGGCGTTGAGTGGAGAGTTGTCACGGAATCAGGCAGAGTTGGACAGATGCCGACAGATCATTGTGCAGTTGGAAGAGAACATCAGAAGCCAGGTGAGAGACAGAGAATAGGAAGGGGAAGTAATGAAGTGTTGATGCAGGAGACGTTGGGCAGCAGCTTCGAGAGACATCAAAGCAATCTGAACTTTGAAATCGAGAACTTGCGGGATGAGAACTGCGCTCTGAAGGCCAAGATTCGAAGGCAATACAAGCAGATCGAATTGCTGACACGTGAGTATATGGACTGTGATCTGTTGATTAAATGCCGATTCTCAGAACAAGATGAGACCAACGATGAGTTGAATCACTTTGAGAACAAGATCGAGAAGTTACTTTGAGAATTCTGAATAATATTTGTTGTTTTTCCCCTATTTTATTGTAGATATTCACTTGTAGTCTCCTCGAATCACCGGTGTTCTAATCAATTCCGTTCGTGATGTTATTTTGAATAAACCTGGTTTCTAGTTTTTTAGTAATTAAAATGCATCATTACAATTGATTATGTGGATATGAAAAAGGAGGGAGTAATACTTGCAAATTATAAAAAACCGTTGTCAATGTCCGAGAAAATTTTCTGGACGACCAGCTGGAGAGTACAAGTTTCGGTGAGGAGGGAGATCAATGAGATGGGCTGGTGTTCGAATCGATGGGATAAGGCGCACCCGCGATGAATGATAACAATAAAAAGAAAGATAATACAAAAGTCAGAGGGGAATGAGTTATTCAATCTGCATCAGGACGTGGATCTTCCAGTCGTTGGGCTTCGAGACGTCGACCCGGATAAACTCTTCGCTCTTCCACTGGTCGACAATCTGCTGGGTCAGCGGTACGTTGATCTTCGCTGAGATGCTCATCTTCAGAGCTCGGGAGCACTCCTGCTTGAAGTGAAGTTGCAGCGCAGCACGAATCGCGGCCTGGAAGACATTCATTTCACACTTTATCATTCGGAATATCTCTACTCACCTCAGTTCTCTCTTTCACTTGCACAAATTGGAACAAGTCGTCGTCCTTCGTGTAATTGGCCACCAGAAGGACCAGTTCGTCTTTGGAGACCGACGGAAAGACGACTGGCAGCTCATTGTTCTTAGCCATCAACTCTTTGCGGAGTTCCGTTTCTTGCATCAGGAACTTAGTGATCGCCAGTTCCATCTCTCGGACCTCAGCTTCCGGCAAACGGTGAAAGTTGTCAGGGATCCGCAGAATGACTGGCTTTCTGCCATCCAATTGACCCGTGACCGTCTCTTGACCGAAGTTCAGAAAGTTCATTGGTGAAGTGGACGCTCCCAACTTCGGAAGAAAGTTCTCCTCGTCCAGGTCGGAAGGCGAGGTGAGCGAAGACGGAGTGTTACTGCCAGACATGCGGATCTGGAAATAACGAGTATGAGGAGAAGCACTTTCGATTGTTGAAACTAACCGGAGTCACGGGCATCAAGAATCCACATTTGACCTTCAAGAAGTCGATGTTGTAGTTGGACAAGTCCTCGGTGCTAGGGGCCGGGTGATTGTGACTTTGCACTCTGTGAATCACTTTGTTCGAATCGACCGGAGTGTGAATACGAGCCGGGCACGTGTTCTTTCGCTCGCAACGGAAGAAGCGCTTCTTGCAGTCGTACGAGTATTTGTCGAAGATGTAAAGGTGTCCCTCGAAGAAAAAACGCTCACGATTTCCGCGCGAACGGTACGGCTTGTACGATTTAACTCCGTAAAGACAGCTATGTGGCAGAGCGCTCTTCATTTTGCCGATAATCACGTCTTTCACCGTCTGAAAAGACACATTTGAAACACGGAAATTAAAAGCCGAAAGAGACCGAGAGAATGCGAAAGGCGCCCCAAACGAGTCAAAAGATAAGAAAATGGCAAACTCACAATGTCTCCTTCGCTTTCGCTGCTCGTGTGCGACACTGGAGACACCGACGTTCTGTTGACTTCGACCTTCACGGGCTTCTGACGTACGAGCGAGTCGAGAATCGCCTGCTGCTCCAATTGCGCTTTCTCCTGCGCTTCTCTCAGGATTTTCTGCTGCTGTTCCATCTGCTTCTTGGCTTCGATATGCTTCTGATAGTGCTCGTGCATCACTTTCAGCAAGACCACTTGATTTCCGTTCAGGCCGGCCACGTAGGTTTTCGCCCAGCTCAAATCCGGCCGAATCTGGGGATCTGTCTGTTCTCCGTTCATTCTGAAAACGGCGAGGTTTTTGAAAAGAAAAAGAATATGCAAGAAGAGAAGAGGAAAAAAGAGAAGAGGAAAGAATGCGAGGAGTTCTGTGCGACGGAGGGGAAAATTCTGCATAAATGACTGCACTAATGGGAGGCAGTCGGGACGGTCGGAAGGGCGCCCATATTAGGGGTTATAATTGGAAGTGCGAAGACAGCGAGAACCCCCAAAAAGAGGACGATCGAATGGTAGAGCAGCGGGGAGGGGGAGGCAGGACGCGCTGGACAAAATGGCGGGGGTCCCCGTGCGCAGAAAGAGAGGAGGGCGGTGTGCGGTCAAAAAGGGCGGGGCCTGGTGGCTCCCTTTCGTCTGTGCATCCGCGTCTCTCCGTTTCGAACGCTCTCTCGTGTTGACAAATTTTTGATGGACGGTTATGCGAAAGAAAGGATGAACGGCGGGCAAGATTATAGTAAAAGAACGCATGATTACAAAGCTTTGAAAGCGACAGGACGGCGTCGGCGCCAGTGTGCTACAGTAACCAAGCTTGAGAAAACAACAAAAACAGACGAGCATTCCTGTGAAAAGGGAGCCAATAAAAGATAAGAGAACATGGTGTGTCTTGAGATCTCAAGAACCTTTCAGATCGGCTCGCCAGATGACCTCGCGCCGCCAGTTCCGCCGAGAGTCCACTGGAAGCGAAGAGATGCAGAGAGTTCACCTGGCAGAATGCAACACACATCTGTTTGCACTGGAGACTACAGAATGAGAGGCAAGGGGATGGTGGTGGGCGTCCGGACGGCAGATGACACAGTTATGACTGTGGAAGGAACCGAAAGGAGCGATAAATATGAGTGGGAGGACAGAGAGAGAGAGAGAAGAGAAGAGAGAAGAGGAGCACGCCTAGAACAAAGAGACGGATCTTTCAGTTAATTCGTCTGGTTGTGAGACAAATTGTTATATCGGGCTCAGCGGAAGTCAATTATGGACTATGTGCCAAGTTGGGACAAATTGGAAGAGCAGCTGGAGGGCTATTCGAGGTGACAATGAGACTAGCGCGAGAGGATCGGCAGTAGAAAACAGATGCCCGGGTGTTGGGGGACCAAGCGCTTGTGATCGGAGTCAACTATTTGGGCAGGTTCTACCAGAAAAGTCCAACTGTCTCCCTCCCAACTTTCCTCACTTGTTTTCTTCCGGATCTTTCTACTCTTCATTAAACTGACGATAACTTCGCTATTTACCGTAACCGGAACAGCTTCTGCCTAGGCTTCTAATCGAGAAATGTGAACGTTGGGATCATCCGGACGATTGCATAAGCCTTCCCGTTGAGATGACGTCATCCCTTCATTCTTTGTCTCTCTCCCCATCACATTGCTCTCCCACCCGCGGCCTCTTCACCAGTTCGCAGGGTCCCTTCTTCTTCTTCCCGGGCGCTCTCCGTTTTTTCCGTCTGCATCTCTGCCCATCCTCCTCCTTCCCACTGTTTCGTGCACTCCGAACGTCGTCCCGAGAGGGGTCTGTCCTTTACTCTGGCGGAGGGGCTCGAGAGCATGCTGTTAGCATGCAATGTCTGCGCCCTCCACGGCCTTTCTGCTGTATTCAGGGGCCAGAGGTGTTCGTCCTTCCCGTTCTGGGGGACAACACTTTGACTGTGATGATGATGGATGGAGCGGCGATGAGAAAAAGGATGTGGGGCGAGCGGCACTGTAGACATCGGAAGACTTCGTTGACTCTGGAGCCTATGGGCAACTGGAAGAATTGTGATACTTCTTAACACCGGGCAATCAGCTTCAGACTCATGATTTTCGAAGCCCGTGGCGCCGTGCCTCATTGTCCGTTACTAGTTCCGTCCCACTTCTGCTCCACTCTGATGAAATCAAGTGACTCAGACATTTATTGATAGAAAGAAAGGAGGAAAACGCCTTATATAGGGCTCGATCGGCCGCGAGAGTTAAGGAAACGGAGAAAAAAGCCAATTGGCATAATTGTGGGGCTCTGAGTGGGGGGCCGAATCATGGTGATAAATAAATATATATATATATATATCAAACGCTCTCTGTTCGACACACTCCCTCCAAAACTGTTGGTTCCAATGTTATCTATCTACTAAACTTGGCAAGAACCCAAGTGCCAACATTGACGGCCCCTTGCTGTGGCCTTTGGCACTCGAGACACCACGGAATTATGAGAGAGCGGAGACGAGAAAAGGGCGAGGAACGGACCAGCCAATGACCGCATACTCTGATCTCTCTTTCTCTCTCGCCCTCTCGCAGCTTTACCGCTCGCTGCTTTCCTCGTTCATTGTATTTTCAGCAGGAGCATGTCTAATCGGGATGGGCTTCATCCGTTCTTCCGGTCTTTGCTCAGCCCGGATCCTGTTCCATCGAGAGGTACCCCGAGAGTTATCTACGACAGAAGTATGCGGACGCCCACATCTGAGCCCATCTATAATCCGTGGTCTGATGTAAGTCGGGGAGCAGATCAGCGGGAACCCGAACCGAGTGTGGTCATTCAGATAACAGCCGGATTCGACAGACAGTCCAGATTTATGCAACAAATGACGTCGAGTGAAAGGACCAGCAGGAGGGTCCTTCCGCCGCCGCCACGGTCCAGACAAAGCCAATTGATAAGGGTGCAGCCTCCGGTTAACTAGTTCTTGAACTGTCCACCTCGTGATTTCAGAATTCCCTTCTGAACCCACTCTTCCCTTTGGACCCTCCTTCTCCGATTGAATCGGAGCAAGTGACTCCAGCCCATTCGCCCCGCAACTCGCCATCTCCTTCCCGATCTCCGGTTCGGAATCTTAAACATTACAATCCGATTCCTCCACCGAACTCGCCAGTTGAAGGAGTTCCGAAGAATCAGAGTAGGAGGTGTGAGGACGCTATTAACATGGGATTCGGGTTTGCTGAGTCGTGGATCGACACGTTAAAACCGTCGAGAGCAGAGGCTGAGGAGAGAATCGAGTTGCCGATGATCTACTGGCCCGTCAAGCGGAAAACGTTGGTTATGCTGGTTGCCCATAAGAATGTGGATGAGACTCTTTTCCACAATATCGAAGTGCCATTTGTGACTGAGGTACCTAACAGCTTTGCTCTTTCTTTCGTGAATCCAATGTATTCAGAAGAAAATGAAAGAAGCGCTCTCCGAGAAGTTCAAACTGATTGTTCCGGTCCATCGGATCAGACTGAGGATCTCCGAAGTGGCCGAAGTTCCGCTGACACAGGACATGATCGACCGATTCGAGCCCGTCGAATACTTCCGATTAAACACCACTTGCCCCAACAAATGGCTCCTCCATCAAATTGTCAATTATCGTTTGTACAGAACTTGAATTGAAACTTTGGCCCTCCGGTGGAGCTGATAAATATGGTTTTCCAGTTCTCTTTTTTAATAAACGAGTTGTCAGTTGCTTTCGTGTACATCTTGTACCGTCTATCTCCCTTCCCAGTCTCTTTGCAATTACCTTTGACATAGCAGAAGGCGTTCGCACCCAGCATGATGAGACGCAAAGATTACCTACGTGGCAAGGCAGAGATAGTCAATAAAGAAGAGGGCATTGTCTACCGTTTACGAGGGACAGAGCTCCGTCACGTCGTCATAGACACTACTCGATCTTCGTCGTGACTTTGTTGGTATGTCCGTTCAATCTATGTTTCGCGGTTCTTTCTTTCCGTCTCATGTTCAAATGCTGGCGCCAGAGTATCCAGTTCTGGCGCCGACCGGGCGCCATTTGACCTACTCCCCACGGGACCACGGAATCAGTCGTGACCTCCGTCCTCATCAGAATTAAGTATACAGCTCCCTCTTTTCTCGTCCATCACCCATAAAAAGCGTGTGTTCGCTCTGTTAATCCGCCACCCTCCTCAGCGTCGTTTCGATTCACGTACAGTAATCCGTCGCCACCATCTGTCCTCGTTCTCGCCCGTTCTCTCCGATCTTCCTCCCGCCCTGCTCCCGTTGGTTCTTCTCGTCCTCCCAGCGAACGCCTCACTGTCTCTCCGCGCGGAAGGCCCCTCGTCCGTATGGTGTAAACAGAGCGAGGGGACCACTCTCGTCGGCGACCACCCCAAATTCTGCCTTTCGCGTTCGCTGTTCGCGAGCGGCTGACCCCGTGGGAAGAGAGTGCGCGAATCGCAGAGACTCAGAGAAAGGGGGGACGGGACCTCCCCGCCACGCCCCTTTGCGATTGGCCCCCGCGCGCACCGCAATCTAGAAACCGCGACGTCGCCATTCATTCCTCCTCGAACACTCCTCATTTGCCATTCCACTTCTCTTGCTCCGCCACTTTTTACCGTAGCCTCAATCGATCATTTCAGAATGGCGTCTTCGTGTTCTTCCCCTTCGCCCCCGTCGAGTCTCAAAGCTCCCACTCTTGCCGATGCTCAAATCAAAGAGGAGGAAGATGAAGTGGAAGTCGGCGACAATCATCCGTCCTCTTCGGCCGCCACGGCCAACGTGCTCCCGGGCAACGGAATCGACATGAGCAGTGTCTTCCAGGTAATTTCTCACCTCCAAATCACCCGTGCACATATTCCCTTTAGCTCCAGAACAACGCCGCTTTCCAGGCTCTTCTCGGAGCCGGCGCCATCGGACTAGGAAACAATCCGAATGTGACCATCTCAACTCTCTTCGGAAACCCAAAACTGACAGCGATGAAAAGGGAGATCAAGACGGAAAGCGTCGATGGAGATTCTCCAAAAAAGACACGAGTCAAAGTTTTCGCCAACGGGTACTTCATGACGTTCGACAAAGTGTCGTCGTGTCAGAAGAAGCATTTCTGGCGGTGCGAATACAAGAACACGTGCAAGGCGCGGATGCACACGGACATTCTCAGCGAGATGGTCCGCTCGACCGCCTCATGCGCTACTCCAGTCAGCGTCCCCACTCAGATTCTTCAATTTATCCACGATCACAATCACAATCCCCCAACAGACGATGAAATCAGACTCTACGGGCTCGACCCAACGACCATCGAAAAGAATCAAGTGTACATCGTTGGAAACACTGCCGATCCGAACCAACGACGGAAGATCAGAAAGCAACAAGCCGATGCGGAAGCGGCGATCAAGAGAATTGAGCAACAGCAGCAGGAGGAGATCCAACGTCACCAGACGGCGGCGGCGATCGCAGCGGCTCAAGCGGCCGTTGCGCAAGCGACTGGAAGACAGCCGAGTCCCGCAGCTTCCGTTGCCGCTGCCGCCAGCCTTCTGCAGGCTGTCAACTGCCCGACGTCTTCGGCAACCGCCACGTCTCATGCGATGCTTCTGGCTCAGCTACCATTCGCGAAGAAGGAAATCACGCAGATGGCACCACCGCCGTACATATCTCCGAATCTAGTAAGTTATATTTGCTCCCAAGTTCTTCGCAACAATAAAATTCAGCCGTTGCAGACTTCGACTCCAACCTCGTCAGCGCAGAACCTTCTCGCGATGAGCTCTGGAGCCATTGCTCCACTTGTCATTCCTCAGGAATCGTCGTTCGATGCTTCTGGTCTCCTTCGTCAAGGGCCGACGAAGAGAAAGATCAGAGAGACTGCCAACGAAGACGAAGAATTGAGACGCGATCCGATGTTCGAGCCGACGTTTGAAATTGCCAGGAAACTGCGGAAGTTGTGGAAGGGCGAGCCGAGTCGCTACCCGAGAACTTGCACCGCGCCGACCCGCCACTTCGAGTTCTACCTCTCGAAGAACGACGGAACCGACGAGCACCTGTACATGCAGATGCGGATCGAGCAACGCGATGAAACGCATCTGAAGGAGGCGCTGCAGGAGTTCTGCGGACAGCAGTGCATCGGAATGCTTCTGTTCGGAATCTCTCCGAAGATCAGCGTGATGTTCAATCAGCCGATGCTCTGCAACTGGGACAACCATCAGTTCTTCCTGCTCGACATTTCGAACCCCAGCCGCTGGCGACTGATGTACGTCGACGACAAGGCCGTCTAAACTCGGACTGGATAACAGTCGCAGAAAAATATTGCTAATTTCTCATTCTCTCCCCTCATCTCACTTTTTCCTCATCTATCAATGACATCACAGCGAAACGAGTTCTCCATTGTAAACTTTTTTATCCAGACGCAGTACTTTTTCATGTCCCATATGTCTTTCAAATTGTAACATTTCTGTGACATGTCTCCGCTAATTTCACACTATCTTTTCTGTATATTCACGGATCGTAATAAAGAAGAAAGTTGCGTTAACTGTAAAGTGATAAGCGTTCCTGATTGGGGGGATAAAAGGAAATCACAGTTGGAGAGAACGGAAGTGAGAATGGATTTGAAGAAGAAACTGGTGGATTCCGAAGAGGATGAACTGCGCAAAGTGGCTTTCGTGGCCACTGTCGTCAGGTAATCAATCACTATTTCGCCCCAACCCGAGAACGGTTTCTTTTCAGTTCTGCCGCTGGAATCATGTGCATCATTCTGATTCCCGGACTGTACACCTATCTGCAGTTCATTCAGAGCTCTGTTCAAAGTGACGTTAGTTTTTGCTGCTTGTCAGTTTCTGTAATATTCCAAGACTGAAGGTTGGCTTCTGTGTCGACGGCGCGAAGAATCTTGAGAACATGTACAAGTCGACTGCTGATTCGAAGCTGACTAAAAGACAAGCGGGCTACGGAGGTGGGAGACTAGGCTGACATCTCGGTACATTCTATTACAGGATCTTCCGCACCTTCTCGTTACTCTGGAAACCGCCCGTCTCATACTCCATACGACGCGGACGCCGTGTCTTCTTCTTCTTCCTCCTCATCCGAAACTTGCTGCAGCTGTGGAATCGGATTGGCTGGCTCACCAGGAATCCCTGGACGTCCGGGACGTGATGGAGAAGACGGCCACGCTGGAAGACCTGGACAAGACGGAAGAGATCTCGATGGACCGTCGGCTGACGGTGCTGAATTCGAAATTGATTGTCCGGCTGGACCACCAGGACCTCCAGGAAACCCAGGACCGCGAGGAAATCCTGGGCGGTCTGGGTTGGACGGAGTTGCCGGCAGGAATGGAAGATGCGGAAGACCAGGAGAGCAGGGAGAACGTGGACAGAACGGAGAAGATGGGCGTCCAGGAAGAAGAGGAGACGATGGACAGCCTGGAGAAGTTAGAGACGTTCCTGCTCCAGCAGGGCAACCAGGTTCTCGAGGAGGAGTCGGATCAGCTGGACCAGCAGGACCGAGAGGAAACGACGGACGGCCTGGAAACAAGGGACAAGCAGGTTCAATCGGAGAGCCCGGATTCGACGGAGCACCAGGAGGACCAGGAGCCGATGGAGAGCCAGGAGCGCAGGGGCCATTGGGAGAGAAGGGCGGATGCTCGCACTGCCCACCGCCGAGAACTGCTCCCGGATACTGAAATATTTCTCATATTGATATTTGTAAATAATGAATTAACTAGATTGCATTTTCTAAACGAACACCGCACTTGAAAAGTTGTCGAAATTCATTTTCAACGTTCAATTTTGAGAGAGCAAAAGGCGCAGAAGAGACGCAGACTGAAAAACAACGACACTTCGCACGAGCGCTCGCGAGCCGTGTCTTTCACGAGAAAAAGCGGAATCCCTTTCATTTTTTCTGCGTTTCAGCTGTTGCAAATAAATTCTAAGCACATTTTTTTAAATATTAATCTATCTCTATAAAAATGTGATTGAATTCGTAAGACTGCTTTTCACTAAAAGAGCGCTCTCACGTGCTTAAGTTGCATCATTATGGGAACTAAATGGAAAAAAGTGTTTCATTTAAAAAACATTAGAAGCATTTTTATACGTGTAAAAGTGCAAATTTTGTTACGTTCAAAAATTTTTGTTTTCTTATTCTTATTCACTCTTGGCGCGCCGAAAACAAGTAGGTGACCACAGTCACGTAGCAGACGGAGAAAAGTGTAAACACACCTCTCAATTGTCATCATTTTCGGGTCGCCTTGGATCAATCTCGTTCATTTTCTTCCATTTTTCTTTTAAATCTCGCCTAGTCTCTCTTTTATATATGAGTCTTCTTGCAGAATGGTCAACAAGCGCACTGTCACCGAGCTCGGTCTCTTCGCCGGTCTTATTGTGTGTGAGTTGTTTTGAAACGGTGAGAGAAGAAAATAAATGTTCTTCTTCAGCTATGCACGTCGCCTACTACACCATCCAGAATAATCCGTCGCTCGTTGCTCCGCATCAGGTCTGTTTTCATTCGAGTCTGTCCAGAAATTAGAAGAGTTTACATGTTGCGCGCTGATTGAAATCCTGTCGAAACAAATCGCTTTTAGGCTATTCTGCGGATGATGTTCCGTTTTCTTCACGCTTTTTTGCAACGCCGTCTGCTGATAAATAATGACCGTATACCGCAATCCGATGTGAAAAAACCTGAACCTTTTCAATTCAGCATTAAATTTATGCGCGGTGCGACGCGATTGTTAGTGTGCGGCAACAATATACGCAATTTATCGCCATTCCCAATTGGTTCTTGCGTTCGAAAGCCAACATTTCCTGAAACACTCGTTTTTTCCTCCCCCTTCTCTTCTCAAATATCATATTTTCAGAGACAAGAGCTGTTCTACGTGAGATGGCTAAAGGAGAAGATTCCGGCACTGCGGCCGTACGGAGTGAGTGACGACCAGCCACCAAAAACCGACTAATAATGGAACGATAATGTCCATGTCCCCTTCTGTAATTATCACCGAACACCCACTTTTTCTGTTCCTATCATTAATCAGTCGTCTAGCAGTTCTCTGTTAATTTCCCCTCAAAAGTAGTAGATAAACCTGACCTCCGTGAATCTTTTGTTCAAAGGTTTTCGGCTTACGAAACCGGTCGGGTGGCGCAGACGCGCGTTTTCATCGTTTTCGTTCGTCAATCCTGGGGGATTTCAATAACAGTTTGGCGGCTAATCGGCCACGGAAAGGGCATCCTCTCGAAACGATTTGCGCTTTCGGATGTGGGAGGGAAAAGCGAAGAGAGAAAGGGACGGACGAATGCCAATCGGACGGATGATTCGAGCGAAGAAAGGGGAAGAAGACGAGTTTCGGGGATAAGAAGAAGAAGGGAGAGGAGGGGAAGGAGAAGAAGAAGCTGGGATCGTACGGACGAAGATCCATCTCACAGATATCTTCTCTCGCAACTTTGCAATTTTACTTCTACTTTTCATCCTTTCCCTTTTTTACGGTTACGTCCCGGACGTCCAGGGATCCCTCTGCGAGAACTTTTGACTGAAAACTCTAGAAAAACTGAAATCTGCTAGTCTTTAGTGAGACTAAAAAACAAAGCAATCAATAATGAAGGTCCGATCGAACTGTATCGCAAGGCAAACACAGAAACATAAAAAGAAGAAGAAGCAATAATCAGTGGATCCCTTCCGAAGCCTCTTTCCCTTCTTGTTTCCCACTGATTTCTTGTTCTTCTTCTCCCCTTTCTTCGCCCATTTCTCATCAATCTCATTAAGTCTGGTCACCGTTTTTTTCTCAATCAAGCCGTCAAAAATGGGTGGGACTTTGTAGTGGAAATGAGGTCTTTCAAGCTTTTTCATAAGTTCGGATTTGCTACATTGAGTTTTTCGGATTCTTTATAAAGTCTCTACCTCCCGGTGCCCTTTCTCTCTCGTCTTGTTCCCCTCTGTGACTCACTCGCATCAGATGCTTGTGGCTGTTTCCTTTCACGCCATAAACGTCTTCAACAAAATGCTGCTGCTTCTTCTGCTGCCAATCCCATATCCATCGGGGATCCAGTTCTTCCCGTCCTCTTCATCCCTTCGGAGTTTCATTCCTTATCTCTGCGTGTCTTCCTCTCTCCCATTCTCTCTCTCTCGCTTTCCATTGATACAGTTGATGGAGTGTGAAGGCCCCCTCTCGCGTGTCCTTTTTTCCTACAGGATTGACCTATTCTTATTCCACTTTTCTTTTTCATATTTCTAGCCCCCTTTCTCCTCCTCGGTGATAGGCCCAGTTAATGAATAAAAAAGGAGGCTAGAAGAGGAAACAGGATTGGATAATCATAAAAATGTTTTGCAACATCAGCCTTCCGAAGTTTCTAGTTTCGTGTCAGGTATCGGGGAACACATCTTCGAAGCATTCTTTGCGAAGTGAGAACGCGAATTCCATCTTTATGACTTTTTTCTTTCTCAACAATCCTTCGAAAAAGTTGCAAATTGTCGCGAATACCGTAATCCCTATTCCAGAAGTAAACCTAATCCGCTCTCCGAGGATGTCTTCTCCGACGAACGTCGAGAAGGGAATCCGTCGGCGGCTGCCCCCGCCGCTCAATCGGATGGGACTCTTCGAACCGTACATCAAAGACGGAAAGAAGATCACTGAGATCGTCAGGTACCCAATCAAATTTTTCAAATGCATCCCAACCTTAAACAACTTTAGATTGAACCCAGTAGAAGTGTTCCTCGCCGGCTTCATCCCTCCGATGTTCGGCTCGATCTCCGCCATCGCCATCGCCCTCATCTTCCACAACGACGAAATCAGCAACTACAACTGGCAGTGCGGAGTGAGTCATATTAGATACCCAATCAGTCCGAATCGTGATTTCTTCCAGCGCGCCCGTCTTCCTTCCCTCTCCAGAATCATCAATTTGCCCGTGGAACGGACGTTCTGGCAACTGTTCCTGTTGTTCCACGTGCCCATCCGAGTCGTCGAGTTGATCACTGGATGTAAGCTTTCATTGAAATGCCTGCCACGTCACAATTAATATGTTCAGTCTCTCGATATAAACGAATGAGAAATGTGAACTATAAGCGTGTGTGGCTCTACGAACTCAGCCGATATCTCTACTTTGTCATTGGTCTCATGGAACTGATCTTCCTGTCCGGTCTCTCGATTATCGGAGAAAGAGAGAACATTCGTAAGTGGGAATAGAATTGGAAACGACATCTGAAAGTGCTTCAGAAGTGCACGTCATCTTCTTCTACGTGTTCGGAATCTGCGGAATCGTCCACATGATTGCCAACATCTTCTGTCACGCCCACTCTCTCTATTATCTGAATCCATACGTGAGTGCCCCACTCTCTAACTCTTCTCATCTTCCCATTTGAAGGGCCGTCTTTCCTACAACCTCAAGATCCTTTTCACTACTCTCTACGTCTTCTCCACTCCCGTCCTAGTGATCTCTTTCGTCCTTTACTGGCGACAATGCATCACTTGGGGTCAGTTTCGCCCCTTTTTTCTCCGTTCCAATCCATCCGTTCGTTCAGCCTACGACGTCTTCGCCCTTTGCGAGTACAGTGGAGTCTTCCTGAACATCTGCTTCCACGGATGTGCATTCTTCGATATCCGATACAAAGTCACTTTCAGGCAAGACTTTCAAGTTATTTCAGAGTTCTCACAACCGTTTTCAGTGTTCGGAAGATCGAGGATGTCGTTCAAAACGAGCCGAGCAAGCAGCCGATCGAGGCGCTTCCTGAGAAGCACTAGAGAAAACCGATTTGTGAGAAAACCGTGCGTGTGCAATCCAATTCCAGTCTTTCATCAACTGTACATTTTTGAGTAGTCAATACATACATATTTATTGCCAAATGAACAAGTAATTTATTGTGAATGGAAAGACTTTTTGAGGAGACTCTTCTAGCGATCATCTACGATTCCCAATCGTTCCTTCATTCGTTCAGTCTTTCCATCGCATACACTTGCTGGATAAGGCTTTTGGCTCTCTCGATCAGCGGCTCTTTTTCTGTTTTGTTCTTCACACTCATCACTTTTCCGCACAGGGAAACCATGGCGAAAGGGACAAAGACTTCGTACGCCCGCTGGATTATATCCACTGTGAACGGGCAGTCGCCGTCGTAATATCTGAAGAATGAGACGTGGCAGAGTGGGAATGAACTACTCACCTCGCCAGATGAAAATGGTATCCTTCGAGAAGAGAACTCGTGTTGTCCACTCGTTCCTTCGCATTCAGATTCCAGCAGATTATCTTGGCGACGTCTTCTGCGAAGCATCCGGAATGCCCTTCGGTCCAATCGATCAGCGACAGAATCCTCTGCTCTTTTCCCTCCATTTTCGTGAAAACGTTGCTCGCGTACGGCTCTCCGTGCACCAGAACCTTTGGAATTTCCAGCAGTTCTGTGGTTTCGGTGGCCGTCGAATGGAGGTATTCATCGGAGAAATACTTTCCAATGTGCTGAATTCGATCAAGAATGGATGCTATCAGAACAAATGGAAGTTTACCACAAATCTCGAGTGATCCACGTCTTGTCTTTCAAAAAAGTTCATGGTCTCATCAAAGTTTCCGATTGTGTGAGCATAGTAAGAGGGCGGAAGATCGGCGACGAGAGTGCTCCAGGAGGTGTGTTTCAGGGAGATCGAATGAAGGTATGCAATCTGTTTCAGAAGATCGCGGACCACTTCCAACTGAAATATCGTTTAGAGATTCAGAAGATTTGTGATCTTCTCTCTTCTGCTCAAAGCACAAACTCAGAGCACTTCCTCGTTTGCTTCTTCTTCTTCCTTTCCTCTTCCTCACCGTTAATCCCTTCACTGGATCCTGTTCTTGTCCTTTTTCGGAAACGTCCTCCATCACGACGACTCCGCTGCCTTCCTTCGAGTGCTTTTTGATGTGAATGATGTTCGGCGCCACCAATTTCGGAAATTTCTGTGTCCATTCGTACACATTACACTCTCTGAAACATTTTGTAAAAAAGAGATCGAGCATTAGAAGTCGGACACCTTTTGAACATGATATAATGGTACTTTCCCTCCTCGTCGTCTCTCTGATCTTTGGCAACTGGCGTTTTGAGCACGACGCTCCTCGGAAGATCGTCGTCGTCCCATCCGAATGTCACCCGGACCACGGACGAAGTGGCATAGTCAACTATAGAAGGATTTAAGGACGAATAAAGAACAGTTGGAGCACTTACGATCCCAGCTCGGTCTGTTCAGTCTCTCTATGATCCATTGCGGATCCTCTGGAATCGTTTTGTTCAACTTGTCGGCGATTCTTTGGAGAAGCCATTGCAGGGTCACATCCGTTGCGTACAAGTAGTCCACGTTCTCTTCGTGTCCATCAGAACGGTCACTAAAAAGCGGTGGGGTTCTGAAGCATTCAGTCTTCTACGAACTGACCTGAGAGCGTCCGAACTGACATCGTCTCCAAACTCGTTCGGAATCTGAAGACTGATAATGGACGGCCGGTAGCTGGTCGGAATCTTTGGATCCGACGGCACTTCAGAAGGCGGCGACGGGTCCACAATCTCTGCCGGAGCCACTTCGGCCGCCGACGATGATCCGCAGCCCATCGGTGAATTCAGAAGACGTGGAGTAGGAAATGAAAAATGGAAGCAGTTGTTTTTGGGTGCTACTTCGTTTTTCTTCTTCCGCACGATTTCCGAGAATACGGGCGAAAATCAACAAAAGCTCAAAGCCATTAGAAGTCGAGAATCGAAGGGACAATGGAGCCAAAAGAGCCCCGGGCACGTGAAAGAAATGGAAAGTCGAGTTCTCGCGCCCGGCTCTTTTTTATTCGAATGGCTGGGTTGAAGGGGACCGGAGGAAAACAAAACCGAAAAGAATGACGACAACTGCGTTTTACGTTTTCACGTCAGAAGGGCACCGCGCGGTTGACCTGGAAAGTGTGAAAAGAATCACAATAAAGGGGGGGGGGCTAGTGGGCCGGAAAATTAGAGAAAGAAGTTGGTCGCCCAGCGAGATTTATGAGATTTTCCACTTCTGAATGAGCACGTAACCACTCATGCTCACGCATGAATTGGGGGAATATGCAAGACAAGGTTTATTATAATGGCAATTATTAAATATTTACAATGACAATTTCTTAAAGTGAGCAGTTTGTATCTCATACTCATAAAAGGTTAAGGCAAAAACAAATACAGGATAGAGGTTGAGTATCAATCGGACCAAGGCAGTGATTTTGTGTCGTCGCACCGAATGACTAGTCGAACTTGCCCATCTTGGCCGAGGTTCTTCCCTTGTTGCGTAGTTTGTACGAAGCGGACGACGACGACAACGACGACGACGCTGAAACGGATTCATTTGACACTGTCCTTCTATTCTGTCCAACTCACGAGTCTCCGTGGCCTTTCTCTTCTGTCCTCTGCTGGTCCCTTGCTCTTCCGGCTCCTCCATTTCGGTCTCCGAGGTTTCGGCCGTCTGATTCTTTGCCTTTCCAGCTCCCGTTGATCTTTCTCTGCTCAAGTACGCTTCCCATCGCTTCATGAACTTGTCTTTCTTCAGATCTTTGTAAGTCTGCATCTCAATGTCAACCATGAAAATGACTCCGCGCTTTCCTAAACGATTCCGAACATTATCAACTGAACAGTCTCTCCGAGTACTCACCTTGCAGCAGGAAGTGATCGGCTTCCTCGTTGGTCATGTATCTCGTTCCTTCGGGAAGCTCACGCGGCTCCTCAGTTTTCTCTTCTTCTTCTTCTTCTTCTTCCGTCGCTGGAAATTGCTCTGGCTCCACCGGCTCTTCTGCCTTTTCCCCTTCAGGCACCGTCGGCACCTCTGGAACCTCTGGATCCTTTGGCACCTCAGGCACCGACACTTCTGTGGTCACTGGCTGCGGCGCCTCCGTCTTCTTGGCGTTCAATTCTCTCTTCTTCCGTTCGGCCTTTCTCTCTTCCAATGACGGTCTGACCGGGGTCTTTCTCGCGGAAACGAACTGAACCACCTCGCGGTTGTCCTCATCGGATGATTCATTATTGAGAGTCTCTCTCATTCCCTTGATCCACACACTGCTTAGATCGCTCACTCTCAGGGTCGGCAGGCCATTGAACTCGAGTTTTAGGATCGGGTCGCCGGCTGAAATAGTTAATAATCAGAATCAATTCGCTGGAGCTTCGGGAGTGGCTTACCGAGCACAAAATCCGTCGCTTCCTTGACGTCCATCCGACGCGGTCCTTTTTTGGCCTTCGTGTTGTTTCGGGGCGGTTTGGCGGTTCCTGGCGCCATTCTGAGCGAACTGGAATGTAAATGTAGAGATAATCTATGGAAATTCACTAAAGCAGTACTCAAAGTTGAAGGAGCAAGGAGCAGAAAGTTCATTGCACAAGAAAGTTGAGTCAAAGTGAAAAAAGATTTTGAAAACATTATCGCAAAAAACAAGAAAACAAGCAAATCGATGACCGTGCAAGAAAATCGGACACGGAAGGAAAGGGCGAGAGGAGTGGAGACGGAGAAGAGAGTCAGAGAGAGAGAGAGAGTGGGATGGGATGGGGGGGGGGGACTGCCTGCGCATCTAACTATTTGAACGGCTCCAGTTTGGCGGAAACACAAGTCTACTTTTGGAAGAGAGAAAGGGAAAGGGAAATGCTGAACTGTGGTAATGTCACTGTACCGCAATCCCACGTGAAAACTCGGCCGCGGCCGCGAGCTTTTCCAGTTTCGCGCTGAGTTTACGTGCACTCCATGGATCGCCAATTTTAGGAGAAAACAATAGATGAATGGTTCAGGAGATTGAAGAAAAACTTTGAATTTCAGATGCCTTCCCAACACACTGACGTGGTCATAAACCTCAATCACTCTTCGATTCTCATCCAGAAGACGTCATCATCATCGTAATCACCGTATCCGTTCCGCCAGTTTAACTCCAATCTTCCAAGTCGACCAAATCTCTCTCTCTCTCTTCATGTCCTGCTTCTATTAATTACGCAATTCGGTTCGATGTCCTTACGGTGTCCGGTCTTATCCACCTTCTGAATCTTTCGTCCATTCATTCATTTTCTCGACATGCACCTCCTTTTTCTCCTTCTTTCAACCTTTCTTCTAGTCGATTCTCTCGACAATATCTTGCTGCCGTTCGAAAGATTCCAATATGATTTGGAACAGTTCACCCCGGTGGTCAGCCAGGAAGTCGAATTCGCAGAGCTCTCTGGGCTCACTGACGATCAGGCGTTCGAGCAGTTAAAATCATTCTTCCCGACCCTCCAATTGAGAATTCAGCAACTCAGAAATGTGAGTTACAAAGAAGCCATTTCCTTTTTTTTTCATCGCACTTCCATCTTTTCAGTTGGGCGTGCAGGCGGATGAAAATCGCCGGAAGTACAAAGAGTTGGCGGATGAGATGTGCGGACAGGGACACAATTTCGGATATCTGAAAGTTGATCACAAACTGAGAAACATTTTGGAAGTGATCACGTCGCAGAAAGTCACTGTTAAAGTACGTAACTGGTAATTTCTCTGACCACAGATATTCTTTAGAACAATCTGAAAATGCTGACCGCGATACGGGACGATCTCATCGATTGGGGAAGGTCTTCGAAGGCGCCGTGTCGCAGACAATTATGAGGATGAGCAAGTCATAATAACCATCCGTGTATTTATTTGTTATTTGAACAGAAAACAAAACAATAAAGTGTATGCTTTCTCTTTTCCAACGTGCTCACTGCCAATTTCCGAGAGAAACGAGGGAAAACGGAGACGACGAGGGACAGAGAGCGTCCGTTTCCATGGCGATTCTCTCGTGATTCGTCGAGTCGGTGCACCTCCGAGCGCGCCCGTTTCCCTCGCTTTCATTCATTTGCCACTCCAAACGGCTATAGATTTGTAGTCGGATGCGTTCGCGTTCCCATGGATGTTTTCCCATAACTTTGCGTTGTTTGTTTTCAACTGATTTCGCTCATTCAATGAGATATTGGTGCCGTAGAAGTGTCGCGCTCTACCGCAGGGCTCGTATAAAATAAAATCAGTTTTAAATTCAAAAAGCTCGCTGTCGCGACATTGCCCCGAATTTCAGTGAATATAATTCAATCGAGAAGAATGGGAGAGGAGGAGACAAAGGAGTTTGCAAAGGCGGCAGTCGCTCCGGAAATGATCGACGACAATGAGGAGGAAGAGATCGACGACAAAGTGATCAAGGTGAGAATCTGATGACGTCGCGTGCTATTGTCCATTCCATTGCTCCCCAAGGATATCATCATTCACAAAAACAATGATCTTCAGATAGTTGTGATGGGCGACGGAGCAAGTGGAAAGACGTCGATCTGCCAGAGATTTGCGAAGGAATCTTTCGACAAATCCTATCATCAAGTACTATTCCCTCTGATTCCATCTCATTTCATTCTATTTCAGACTCTTGGCTTGGACTTTTTCTCGCGTAGAATCATGCTTCCACCGGAGTTGCAGGTGCTTGTGCAGGTGAGGCGAAACGGCAAATTATTGGAAATAGACTCCACTTGAAGGTATGGGACATCGGGGGTCAAAGTATTGCGGGCGAGATGATCGACAAGTACTTGATGGGCGCCAACATCGTCCTCCTCGTCTATGACGTCACCAATTCAAAGTCGTTTGAGAATGCCGCCGACTGGCTTGAAGTGATCAAGAAGAACACGAAGGGAAGCGAGAAGGTCGGTCAATTGTTCATTGAAGTTTCGAGGGAATCGTCGAATCTTGAAATGTTTTCAGCCGGTCAAATTAGTGTTTATGGGCAATAAGACGGATCTGGAGGAGAGACGGGTGGTGTCCGTGGACGCGCACAAACAGTTCGCCAGCTCACACAACATGATGCCGTGCTACGTGTCCGCCAAGACCGGAGATACTGTCTTTTTGACGTTCAGGTATGCGAAAGGATAATTGGATCGAAATAAGAGTGAATTTCAGACAAGCGGTGGCCGAAGTGCTCCACGTCGGATTGACGAGGGCAGAAGTGGAGGCAGACATTGCGATCGTTCAGGGAGCTGTTGTGGAGGCGTCGAGGGCCAATCCGAAGGTGAGCATGGAAACTGAGAAGTGAAGATTCAGTTGTAGATGTTTTCAGGCCGCAGACTCACAGAATACTCGTCGTTCGGATCAGAGCAAGAGCACTTCAGTTTGCTCCATTTCGTAATTCACCCCGCTTCCCTTTTTCCCTCACTAATTTGTTCGTCATGCCAACCGATCTCTCTCTTTTTCTCTCTCTCTCTCTCTCGCTCCTATATTTTTTCTATGTAATTCCTCTGTGAAGTTTGTGTGATTATTCGACATAAAACCCGAAAAACAAACACAAAAACGAGAAGGATCAATAGTTTTTTAAAGAACAGAGAAGCGAAACGGAAGCGGAGATCGGAAATTGCGCAAATCTACAGTAGTCTGGAAACTCAGATCTTGTCGGCCAACTGGGCTTGCGATGGATGCGCCACAGAGTTCTTCTGTCGATCGGCGGCGGTCCGTCGCGCGACGATCACGAATCCGGTGGTGCCGAGGAAGAGGAAGACGGTGAGCACGCAGAGCCACGTGTAGATGGTCATGTACGGGGTGAGCAGGAGCACAACCACCGAGGAGCCGCTCTGAAATCAGAATGGGGATTAGGATTGAGGATTAGGATGAAGGACGAACCTGGTAGAGTTTAGAGAGCGAGAAGACCTGCATTCGGCAGTCAGGGACCGCTACTTGGCAGATCACCGCACGGGCCATTGTGACGCAAAAGTCGGAGAAGCCGATGAGGAATCCGATGATGAAGACCAGGTAGCGACTGAAATCAGAGGCGTGCGAGTTTTCAGATTGAATCCTACACGGTCCCTCATAGAAAATCTCTTTTATCTGATATCCAAAATGGACTTCTGTTTTGTACTTTCGACCAGGTTCATTTCACCGCGCTAATCGACTAATCACAATGACAACATTATCACTCGGTCCCTCTTATCACATTAATCCTTCCCAGCGCCACCGTACACCCGTAGTACAAACATGTGATCTCTTTTTCCTTGCTACTGTGTTGGAAAACCGCCGTGAAAGAAAAGCAAAGAAACAAGTCACTCCCTATCAATTTCGACGGCAATCACATGAGAAATGGGCCACCATGGAATGATAACAGATTCTGACAAAAAGAGAAACAAATGGCCGTACCTTGGAGTCAGGAAGAGTGGCGCCGCGGTGGTCGGGCCGAAGGTGGCTAGATTGGGAATGGAGAGGACGGCGAGCACGATGATGATCGAGTAGCTGACGAAGTTCGTGGCGGCCGTCACGTACAGTCCGTAGTCCCCGGCTCTCTTGATCAACGGACGGAGGAAGATGCCTCCTGGAAAGGTAGTCTTTCGAGATCACTACGATCAAATGAAACTAAGTTGATAACGTCTTCTTCAATGTACCGTAACCGTTTCACTTATCAGTCTGAATTGACCGTCTACTCCCCAGTTCCCCCGTGTTTATCTTTTTTTGAACTTGAAGACTGATTAATCACCAACGAGAGATTAAGTGTCTGATAAGGTGATCAATCAAAACGTTCTCTCCTTTTCTGCGGTTTTCGGTTCATTTGATACGGTACTCATTGCATTTTTGCAAAGAAGCACGTGGAGAACACGCGGAGTACCGATTCTAACGGAAAATAGGTCAGACAAACTAACCGATGGCTTCTGCCAAACCCATCGAGACGGAGTAAATTCCGATGATGTAGATGTCGGTTTTGAATGTGTAGGTGAAGGAGAGAGTCGTCGGATAGACTGTCATCAGGAAGGAAACGGCGAATCCTTGGAAGAAGAAGAACGGCATCAGAATCAGAAGATTCTTGGATTTGAATGCTTTGAGAAGTTGCTCTGAACCGGAATGTGAGAGTTAGAAATCGGAGAAAAAATGCTCACTGATTTGGTTGGCGAAAGAGGGCACGACAGTCGACGACTTGGAGGCGATGGAGTCGTACTGTTTGGTGGGAAGAGCGGCGAATACGATGATAGAGAAGATGTTGAGGATGAACATTGTTCCGTAGATGAATCTGAAACAGTATATTTCTGATAGTCTCTTCTCTTTCTCCGTGTAGTGTACCTGATCTGCAGATCGGTGTATTCGATTCCATTTCCGTTGGGAGTGTGCAGAATGAAGCACAGGACGATGAGGGCAATTCCTCCGAAGAACATGCTCGCGTGTCCGACGGCGGTCTCGATTCCCGTGTTCGACTCGATCGTCCGACGGGACGAGTGCTCCGACAAGTACTGACCTTCTCCGTTGTTGTAGACTGAAAGTATCTGAATGAGCAAGGCTCGTTTATCACTGAATCACTCACAGGAATATCCGATTCCCATGAGGGCTTGGGTCAGGTAGAAGTAGTACTTGTTCAGCTGGAAGAATCCGAGGTAGTAGACGGCGAAGAGCGTCGAGGCAAGGGTCAGGAACCATTTGCTCGGCACGAAATGCTGGAGGGACGGCGTGATGAGCGTGCAAAGTGCGAACGCCGACAGATGGAATGCAGCACTGGAATCGTTGTTGTTAGGGAGTTTTCATTGAGAAGGGATGTGCCAACCCATAGTATCCGGCATAGGCTGAGATGGTATCCGGGGACTTCTGATGGATTGAATGGATGACCGATTCTCCGATGAACTGCTGGAGGGAATATCCGGTGTAGAGGAAGAGCGTTCCGAGACCCAGAAGGTACGTACAAAGGAGTTCATGACGTCTGGGGGTCAGTTCCATCCAAAACCTGAAACTATGAAAGGATTGGAAAACGCTGTGAAGAAGAGAAGAGAGCGGCTTACTGTACGAGTTAACGTACCTCTTGGGTTTGGCAGAGTTCTCCTCGAGAACGTACGGAACATTGGATGATTCCATTTTTCAGCCGAAAGAAAGGAATACTATTCGTCTGTGTCCCAGAGACCATCGACTGACCCTAAGGTACGAAATGTTGATATCACATCTTTCTTTTTGCTAGATTCGGAGGCAAGCTCCGCCCTGTTTTGGGCGATGGCGGGGAAAGGCCTTGAAAAAACAGAAAGAGCGACGAAAGGGACGGTTCGATACGTTTGATCTCAGATCTTTGGCAATAAAGTTCAGATTGCAGATGCTACTAGATGACTTTGCCTCGAAATACTAGTCAAGGCAGCCACAACAATAACGTCTTGGCGATTGGAATTGGAAAGAATGAGAAGACCAGTGGATGTTTGGGTGGATCTTAAAATAATAAAATTGACATCATCCGTTCTTTCTCTCCCGTTCTATCTCTCTTATTGTTGACTATTATCCGGCCACTCTCTAGTCATAAAATATTGTAATCGGGGTCCATTTGTTTCGTTTCGAAGTGATGTTCATGACAAAATTGATCATCGAGAGACTGTCACTGATAAAAATTTCCTTCGCGTTGAGAAGAAGTTTAAGCTTTCGTCAGATTTCTTTCATACACTGACATCACTCGACGAATAGCTAGCATTCTCGGGGAATTGAGGAGAATGAAGGAAGTGACGTGGCAATGAAAAAGAGAGAAAAAGCGACGAATGATCGAAAGGGACCACTGGAAGGGATGTACGCAGAATGCACTCAGCAGACAGTGAATATTATGACCGTAGAATGCACCTATCGACCTGGTCGGTACCGATAAAGGGGCGGAGCAAGAGCGGGAACATCGAGAATGATTAGAGCTTTTGGGTGCACAAATAGAGTTGAGCGATAGGAACAGAAAACAATTTTCTGAAAAGGGTTTCGTTAGGATCTTCGGATCTTCTGAAGAATCTCGAAAACCACCACGGTACCTCAATACCGTTCATTTAAGACAATGTATCTGAGTCGCTATCCAATCCAATAGTTGCCAACTAATAAATTGTTCATTAAACATTTTTTTACTCTTTATTAGTTGGACACTTTCTGATATTCTTACCGAGAGTTAAGATGTAGAGTTTTGATTGGACGGTATTGTGATGCCTACTTGAGTACCTGTTTCCCCCGGAAAACTAACTAAAACAAGATGAGCAAGAGAAAGAGATCACCTTTGAATGCGTTCCATCGTCATTTCGGGCGTCGTCGTCGTCGTGGTCGTTCCGATCGAATGAGACTCCTTTCCTCCACCTCTCCTTTACTTTCGTTCCCTCTTTTCTCAAATCTGTCTCAAAAGTACCCGATGAACAGGGCGGAGTCCATCTCTTCAGTCTCTCTAATTTGACACCGTAACCATCGGAACCGCGAGAATGATGAAATGGTGCAACACGAGCGAACTTGGTCCCTCGTGGCTGCCAATTACGAAGGTGCTAATTGTGGCTCTCCGCACTCTAATTGTCGACAGACAGGTCATCTTTTGTCCGCGCCTTCTCCCATTGTCGCATTCGCTTCGTCGACGCTTGCAACCGAACACTGTTTGCAGTTCATTCGTGTTGGTCAGCCGAAATCGACTGATAAGGAATGTGTCATCGCGAATTTGCATCAAACTGTCGGCGTCTCTCGCTTCGCCGTGCTCTTTCCTCTCGTTTTTGCTGCATTCCCGATGGACGGTCACAGCGGCAAAGGTTCTCGAGTCGGGAGAGAACGCTCACGAAACGGTCAGGTGCCATTCGGACGGAAAACCGATCGAAATGCACGTGAAATCTGATGGAGCAGGTTCAACAGACCAAGTGGTATTTAAAAAGGTGCCATTTGGACGGAAAACCGATCGAAATACTTATATGTGAAATCTAATGTAGCAGGCTCAACAGACCAAGTAGTATTTAAAATCGATTATTATCAAATTATTTTTGAAAAAAACTTACAAAACTGGTAAAACGTAGAAGGAATGAAACGGATTGATTATGCCATGCAAGATACCGTTACAAACGAGGTTCAGAAAAATAACTGACAAGATAACAAGATACAGAAAATGGAGATGGAAGAGTGACTCTATCTACTTCTTCTCGACGTCTTCATCGTCGTTCTTGCTGATGAGATCCTTCATTTCCTGCTCGTTCGCCTTTTCGTCCGTCTTCGCGGCGGCAGTTCCAGCCTTGTCCAGACTGCAGTTCTTGGTCTCCTGGAGCAGGAAATAGGCGGCGACGATGTTGGTGATTCCAAGAGTCATCGAGATCATGTGCACTCCTGGCTCGTAGACAGTCTTCAGGCCACTCTGCAAATTTAAGGATTAAGACACGTTTAGGTGATTCGATTAGTCCTACCAGCATGGAGGCTCCGATGTTGGCGAATCGTCCGACGATGGAGCAGGAGGCGGTTGACGTGGCACGGACATCGGTTGGCATCAGTTCGGAAGCACACAGATAGCACGGCTCCCAGACGATGGAGGTGAACACGAAGGCGGCCAGATAGACGGCAGTGTAGTACCACTGTCCCTTCTCTCCGGCGAACAGGAAAGCGATGACGCATCCGAAGAAGACGACAGCAAGAGATTGAGAGCAGAGAAGGACGAAACGACGGCCCATCCATGGAAGGTATCCATCGGCAAAGCCCATGATCTCAAACGAACACATTGCGGGAAACATTGGGAAGAGTGAGGAACTTACGATTCTGACAACGGAAAGGAGAATTCCGGAGAGGAACTGTCCGACCCAGAAGTTTTTGGTCATGTCTCCTCCGCACAAATCAGTGAGATAGGCGGTCATTCCGGTAACGAACCACCTAAAACCATTAACTTTCTTTTAAAAGTGACCCAGAAATTCTTACATGAGCCAGAGAATGAGAATGTTCTTGCGGAGCTGTGGATCGGCGAACACGGTGCAAATGTTGACGGCCTTCTCGGGTGGAGCATTTTCGTCGGCCTTGGGCGGTGGCGGCATTGGCTCGAACTCGATTCCGGCAATGGCGGCGATCCGTTTGCGACTCTCCTCGGCCTCTGCATACCGTCCCTTCTTCCGAAGCCAAATGTGCGATTCGGGAAGAATGAAGTAGACAATCGCGAGAGTGATCAGGGAGATGACGGCGGAGACGTGCGAGGAAAGACGCCATTCGCCGGTGAACAGAGCGACGAGGGTGAGCATTATACGAGCATTCGCCTGAAAATGTGCTTATCTTGTCTTGCAAATGTTCCCGGAACTTACCCAGTTACTGAAAGTTCTGAGCTTGAATCTTTGATGTGGCGAGACGAGTTCCGAGAAGTACGCCCATCCGACAATCATTGTTCCTGCGATTCCGATTCCGGTGAGAGCACGGAAGAAATAGAAAGCGGCGATGGAATGGAAAGTGGCGGAAAGGGAAAGGGAAGGAATTCCGATGAGCATCGAGATAATGAACGTCTTCTTCCGGCCAATCTGATCGGCCACGTATCCCAGAATGATGTTTCCGATGAGCACTCCGACGTACTGCACGAATGCGGGCCGGAAGTCCTTCCATCCAGGTTTGCAGTAGATTTCGAATTCCATGGCGGCGGATGTATAGTACTTGTGCGACTTTTCCGTGTGACAGTCGGAAAGAGCGGTTCCGGTGAGATTTGCACACAGATTCGGGAAGTTGTCGTACTGCAGACACTTGCTTTTCGGCACATCATAGCACACTTTGCCTGCAAAATGGCGTCCGGGTTCGTTACTTTTGTTGAGAATCATTTACCTTGAGGAGTATCGGAACAGGCGGTTTTCGGCGTGTAATTGAGGAAGATCGGGAAGAGCTGTTGAATGGAGAAGAAGTGACACATTTGGTATGAGATCAGAATGAGCACATCGACCCGGTATAAACCGGGCGGAACGATGTGCATCTTGGCGGTGGTTAGTGGTAAGTTTAACTGAAACGCTAAATGTTTTTGTGTGTGGGTGTGGTTATCAAAACGAATAAGTGAAGGGCAAAACAACGAAGAGACTGGCCACGCTGTATCAATAAAAAGCAGAGAGAACGAAGAGAAATGATCGTAATTTATGGAGTCTTTGGTTCGAAATAATTGGTTCACTCGTGCAGAAACTGCGAGAGAATTGGAGATTGGAGAATTTTTGGTTCAGCGGACCGCATGGATGGCTGGTAATCTATATTATAGAACGTAGTGTGATCTGGGAGTGCAAATCACAGATGAAAGTCTTCTGAAACTTCTAACTGTCGAGTTTGCTCCTCCCTGTCCTGAATATGATGCAAATAACTGCCGAGTCACACGACAGAAGCACTAAACCAAAAATCGGTATGACGAACACTTCAGAGATAAGAGAAAAACGTGGGAGAGGCGGGCAGGAGCGCAGTGAAAACGGGAAAAGAAACGGAGGAAAACCTGGCGGCCCGACAATTGCGTCATTTTTTCTTTCAAATGCGGCATCTGTCAGGGTCAAGCTCGTGTTACTTACACTCTGGACTGCGATTTCCGTTTTCTCTCGCTTTTCAAAAAATGGGTGCAAACAGAGAAAACGCGCATTTCGGTGTGGGAAGCACGAGGTAATAAAGAAGCAAAAATGAACGGGAAGAGCCGTAGTAACCAGTGGGAGCGTTTGTGTCTCCGACGATAACAAGTGCTCTCTCGCCTCGAATGGCCTTCTGGCAGTGTCTGCGCTCTCTTTCGATCCCACGCACTATCGTCTGCTCGGTTCGTCGCGCGGTTTCGAACGAGCAGCCAGCGGACGGATGAAGGGAGGGAGGAGGCGTCACAAAGAGGAATACGTGCAAAAGGCGAGAAAGAGAGAGAGAGAAGGGCGGGAAATCAAAAATCAAAAGAAAGAAAAAATAAGGATATTTGAGAATTCTCCGTTTTTCCGATTCGATTCGATTCGCAAATCGTGCAATTGTTGCAAGAAATTCCACGGCGAGACTGTGAAAAGTGGCTCAAATTTTCGAAATCTTCGCGAAACTTCTTTTTGCAAAAAATGCTCCCGGTAAATTGTTTTCAGCGCGGAGTTTAAAATTGCAAACATTACAACGCGCTGCAATGTTAAAATTTAATGGGGCTATTGCATGAGCGTATGTTTGTTTTTCGTTTTTTACATCGCTGAATTCGGTTTTTTTAAACAAAACAGAACATTTTTTCACACCCTGAATAACCCCACTAGCGTTTTTTTACGTTATGAAAAACTCGAATCGGGGATGCAAAAACGCTCAAAAATGAAAAAAATTATGGCCAAAAAAAAGTTCAGCTTGCATTCACTTCTTGAAGTACTGTAGCCAATTCAAAGGAGCAGGGGTGAACGTAAGGCGATTTTGCAATTTTTTATTATCACAAACAAATACGTTCGGCGTCCAAATGTAATCGAAGCACATTGAAAACCAAATCAAATTGTTCGTTGTAAATATTTGGTAAACTACATTATTTTTCATTAGCGCAGAAGAGAAACTCGAGTGGACATGTACGAAAACAATGCAGTTTTCAGTGTGTCTGTCCCCTGAGACAGGCACGAATTTCAGCAGCCGAAGGATTTTGGGAAGCCAAAAGGATAATCCTTTATCACGTTCAGTGTACTTTAGACTAAAGTGTTTAGTAATGTTAATCTGCGTTTTTCTGCACTGTGCTCTCAACTGAAAACATTGGATTCTGCACGTTTTATGGCGAGAATCGAGGAGCCGAAGGCTTCAGAAATAGCCAGTGACTATGGCAAAACAACTTGTGCTCAAACAATCCGATGACGTTATAATGCCCGAAACTCTTTCAAAAAAGGACTCGGAACGATTCACGAGTGGTCTCAATTTGACCAGTGTACTTATGGGTTTTCAAGGTCGTGTCGGTCAAAAAAACGCAATTTTCCGATTAAAAATGGCCTTGCCTTGGTTTTTAAATCGTTTTGAGTGTAGTGCAACTGTACATGAAAATTTATTGGCAATAATAATATTTTCGGAAGAAAAAGAAAAAGGGAAAGAGAGAAAAGAAAGGAAATGAGTGGCAGGAGAGACTTAAGCGAAGATTAGAAGTGCTCTTTTCAGAATGTTTTGTACCAGCCATTCCGATATTCGCCTCTTTCGAACCACGCAATGTACCCGCAGGATGCCTTTCCGCGCAGGTTCCACATCCGCAGCTCATCGCAGTTTTCGCCTTCTGAATTGAAAAATGGACAATAGATCTGGTTCCACCGCAATCACGCACACGTGGTATTGAGAACGACGGCGTTGAATTTGCGCTACGTTGCCAAAAACATTGTCAAGGTGCCAGGACAGGGAAAAGATTGAAACTCCGTATCAGCCCAACGCCACTGTCGCTTTCGACACCACGTGACGAAAAATCCAGTAGAGCGATTTTCAGAATGCAATCGTTCATTGTTGTGTATTGTTTTCATAACATGTCATACAACTGTTATCACGTGGAACACTATCAGTCGAATAACCTACCGATGAACGAGGAATTGTGCGCTTTAAAGAGGGGATGGTTCACCGAACATTCCAGTTTTCCGCACTTTCCCTGCTCGGGATCGAACCTGCAGTAAAAGTTGAACGCGTCCTCGGAGCCCATCCATCTGCCGGACCACGAACAGTCAACTGGGTCACTCCTCAATCGGATTTCTGTTCAAACGAATCAAAAGTTCACTCACTTGCAGCAGAACTTTTTGGTCATTTGAAAGGAGAACAGTTTCATGCACGGTTCCCCGAAGCTAGAATCGGGGATGCAAGCGGTCCCGTCGGCACATCTTCCCGAGTGTTGGCGGATGAAATCAAAGTCGGAAGGGCATGTTTGATAGCAAAAAGGGGCGGTTCCGAACCATTGGCAGCCGGATTTGTGGGAAGAATCATCGTCGGACGAGGAGATTCTGAAGGCTCGACGGTCACAGGACCGCCCGATTCGGACTCACTTTCTCAGTTGTTTTCGTTGTAAATGCTCATCAAACCCGAAATTCTGAGCAAGAATTGAGATGAAAAGTGTGAAAATGACAAGAATCATGAGGCGAGAGAGTTGTTTAATTGACGGGAAGATTCGTCGGTTCGCGGCGACAGATCTTTTCGAAAAGTGTCAATAAAAGGCCGATCGCCGAGTGAGGACAGCGCTCTTTTTGGGTGCCAGATCATGTTGTTCGGATGGATGCAACACTTGAAACCGGAGAGCTCGTTTTGGCGTTGAAAAAGTGAGAAACGGAGTAAGAATAAGATGTTTATTTCGTCCTCATCACGATTTTCAAATAGAATTTGGACTTGGAGCGATAAAGAAAAAGAAGAATGAAGGACAAAAGAGAGGACTCGTATTCGAAAGAAACGAAGGAGACACGTGCATTTTCAGCTGAGAAATTTCATTGTTCGCACTGGCTGAAAGTCTGATAATCTTCCGATGCGTTGATGACGAAATGATGGAACTTTTACAGAGAAAATTAGATTAAAATATGTGTTTGGGGATGCGGAAATCGGAATAATAATGATAATAATAATAGCGATTGGGAAAGAGAAGCGAGAGAGTAGTAATCTGAACTTTTTGAAAGAAATCGGCGGGAAATTTGGATTTTGGGGGATGTGGTTCCAGGCTACACGAAAAGAATCAGCGAAAACCCGTCAGAATACAAATCGACATAAATTACACGCTAGTTTTTTTTTTTGAAAAAAATGGGGGTAAAGACATTTTTAAAGGAGAGGATGGGTGGGGGGACGGCGAGGCCATTAGAAAGAAGAAGATGAGAATAGGAACGAGAGGAGAGACGGTTTATTATGACGGAATCCAGAAAGGACGACGAGGAGTGCAGAAAATGACGGGGCGATACTCATTCTATTAGGCCGGCGGAATCTGTTGCTGAGAAGCAGCCGGAGGAGGTGGCGCCTGGTGAGATGAGGGCACTGGAGGTGGTGGAAGAGAGGCTCCGGACGTAGGATGATGATGGTGATGGTGACCGGAGGATGAGTGGTGGTGCTGGTGGTGATGACGTGGCGGAGGAGCCGATTGATTGTCCCGGAGTCGGGAGGAAGCCGAGACGCCGCTTGATTTGGTCGATGATTGAGACATTGTCATCCGGGTCGCCAACGCGTCTGCAGTTCCGCCCGTCTTTGTTACCTGGAATCTGGTGGAGATTTAGCAAGGACGAATATGAAAACGATGGATGCCATCTTAAAGGTACTGATTGCCCGAAGCTTACCTCAACGTTGGGCGGAGGACTAGCCGGCAACGATAACGAAGCGGTCGTCATCGCAGTCGGATGGGAAGAGATGGTCGTGTCCGCGTCGTCCGCATCGCCGTCGACCATATCCGGATGGACCGAAGTGGCACGAGACACGCGCAGTTTGGAACGGAGACGTTCGATCTCGACGCGCTGTTTCTCGAGAAGCTTGTGTTGTTCCATTCGGTGACTGAAAAAATAAAGTAGTCCATATGTCTAAATGATAAGAAACGCACCGAACAATCATTTGAATCACCTCCGGATCCTCTCCTTCCAAGTCCATTTGACTCTGAAACCAGAATGATAAAGGAGTGCTCTCCTGCGGGTGAATCTGCGAATAAAACCCATGGAACCTTTTTCATGACCTCTCTCTCTCTCTCTCCCTCTCTCTCTTTTCCGTCAACATATGCAGGGGACAGAGTGTAAAAAGAAGCGATCAAATATGATCGTAAAGTCAGAAGAAACTAAACAAAAACGAAATTTTGATGTGATCGGGCGGGCGAAACATAGTGGATGCTAAGAAAGAAAACGAATATTACTTGGTTTGGAAGAGACGGAATGGGATTGTACAGCCCATTTATGCTGTTTTAAATCGTTCGTCATATGACTTTCTCACAGTTTTTCGCCTTGAAAAGAATGTCGCTGAGAATGCACATATATTCTCACAGCCATCTATTTTACATATCAACATTCGATGCCTAGATTTTGTGAAACTAACAAGGGCAGGAATCTACACAAATGCAAGTGAAACTCAATAAAAAGCTTCCAATGCAAGTGCTCGAGCAACCGAATATCTAGAAAACGAGGAATACCTTCAGATCGTAATCGTATTCGGACACCGGCAAAGGACTGTGCGACGGCGGAGTTCCGATGCTGAACGAGGTGCCTCCGCCCCCGCCACTCCGTTCATTTGTGCAGTTCGGCGTCATCGGAGCAGCCGTTTCATCGCGAGACGAAGGTGCGTTCGGCTGCCTCAGATGGGTTCCGAGCGTCGAAGATAACGCAGTCTCCAGATTCTCGAATGTCGCCAACTTTGTTCCAGTTGTGTTCCGAGTCATGCGAGGTTCCAGCTCTGTTTTGGACGAGGTCATCGACTGGGCACAATCCTGATCCATACTCATCGTCATCGCCAACGGAATCGATTCTGGAGCAGAGGATACTGTGGCTGTGAGTGTTGTATCTGCTGGCGGCACGTCTTCGATAATAGTCGTTGAATGCGATTCATCGAGAAGAGAAGACGTGGAAGCTTCCGGGTTAGGCGGTGAGACGAGCGTTTGCTAAACCGAGAGAACCAAATTAATCAGAGGTTAGAGAAAGGAAATCAGAACTCAGATGTCAAACAATACTCTGTCAGGCTATTATTACGTTTAAATGCAAAATTCTGAATCAGAATTACTCACCGTTGGCGCGTCAGTCAAGTCCAGATCCGGTGGCATTGGAGTCGTTTCCCTTCCGTCCGTGTGGATCACTTTTCCGAGAGCTTCAGCCAATCCCTTTAAGGTATCGATCGGAATCTCGTCTTTGCCATCCTTTCCGTCGGTCGTATCTTCTCCGTTGTCTTCTCTCCTATCCTGCTCTATTTTGAGTGCTTCCAGGCGCTCGTGCAGCCCGGCCAGTCCGCTTTCAGCGTCGAGACGGTTCGGTGACTGTGGCACACTTGCGTTTGGAATGATTGCGGCGGCGTGCGCTGCAGCAATGACACCGGGAGCTTGTCCGACGGAAGCAGGCACAGTCTGACTGACTAGTGGAACCGTTTGAGGTGTCATAGAAGTGTGCGACTCGACAACGGTTGAAGGAGAAGCCGAATGAGACACTCCACTGACCTGTAATCAGAAAAATACAATGTTTGATGGAGAACGGAAACGAATTACTTTTCTCAGCTCGCTTTCCAACTGTGTGAGCACATCAGGTTGCTGGTTAATAACCAGTGGCTCCGCAATCGGAACTGACGCGGAAGTGGGAAGCTGAACAGGACTCTCCGATACAAGTGTAGCCGTTGAAGCGGTCGAGGAGGGCGGTTGGGTGTCGACAGTGACATTTGTCAACGGAATCGGCTGAGGAATCACTTCCAAATTGAGTGAAGCAGTCGACACAACTGGAGGAATACTTGTAACCGGCCCAGGCGCCGACGGAACAGTGATGGAAGGCTCCGGATGAGGTGTCGAGATGGAGGAAGAGATGCCGGACTCAGCCTGCGAGACCGGCTGGACTGTGAACCGACGACCCGCGACACTTGTTGTCGATTGGATCGACGACATGTTTGAGTGAGTTGTGGCACTAGGTGACGAGTTTGATGACAGTGAGTGAGAAATTGGCGACGGAGTGGCCAGATGAGTGGAAATGGTCGAAGTAACAGGCGGGACGAAGACGGAGAAATTCGTAGATTCGGATGCAGGTGGCGGAACTGACGTGATGGCTGGGGTGATTGAAGCGGCCGAAACGACAGTGGTCGGAGTGGCAGCAATCGGATCCGCTGACTTCGTGACTTGGAAGCGAGAGGGCTTCGCAGGCTGCGGGGCTGGAGTTGCTGGCTGCTCCGTTTGGTTGATGTTCGTGGCCACCACGATCTCGGCCGGACGAGGAATCGACTGAATACTCTCAGCATTCGACTCCTGCGATACCTTGCGGACATTCTGCAACTCAGACAGGGATAAACGGGAAAATCCGACAGGAGAGACTTACAGTGACTTGCACATTGTTCGGCTCTTGCGATACTTCCCTTCCGACCGCTGGCGGCGTCTTTTCAATTTCGATTCTTGGCTTCGGAAAGGCAGTTGAATCCTTCGGCATGACAGCTGTGATCGTCGGCGGCTCAGTGCTGTTCGGATCGAGCACGGTGGCGAGCTTCGTGCCGACACCCTTTTTCGAATCCGTGTTCACCAGCTGGATAACCTCTCCCAATTGTGCCTCGACAATGTGCACGTGAATTTTGAGCAAGCAATCTTCAGCCAGCAGCTTAGTCGCAATCGTGTTTGGTTTATCCGTTCCCGGAGCGAATTGGAATGTCACCGACTTGTGTGACGTATCGAGACGGCACGAGACAAGGGCGAAATTGCGGGATTCGTCGCATCCGAGGATCTCCATCATCACCTTCTTCTTGTTGGTCTTCCGTTTTTCCTCTTTGTTATCCGCACAACTTGTTCCATCGGCGGAATTCGTCGTAGGAGTCGGCGTCGGAGTGACTGGTGTGACAGTTGATGCATTCCCGTCCGACGTGGCAGAAGCAAGAGGTGTTGGAGTTGGTGAAGCGATTGAAGCGGGAGCAGTTGGTTGAAGGCCAGTCGAATCGGTCGAGATGGTTCGAGGGACGGTGTTCTGAGCCAATGTTGGCGTTTGCAGGTCCGTTTCCGTTTTGACTGTCACTGATGCTGGTGGTTCCTGAAAAAATTATTTTTTGGAGATAACAAGACGAAAAAGCGTACCAATGTTGTCTCCACGTTGACTGTAACACCAGCTCCGGAACCTGATGCTTGTGGAGCAGTAGAATTCTGAACTGGAGCTGGCTGTGGATTCTGAACGGGAATGGTGGTTGTGGAGACAACTTCGGCTGGTTTCGGAACGTTTATCACCGTGGTGGGTGCCGGAGAAACAGCTGCAGCAGTCGTCGGGGACAGCACAGCCGGAGCCGTCGGTTGGGCTGTGGTCGGTGACATGACTGGAATGGCAGAGATCATGGTGACTGGAGTTGTGGTAGATGCGGGATTCTGTTGCGTTGACGGCGATTCGGTGGATGTTGGAATTGTCATCGACTGTTGGGCAAGACTGTGAGGAGTGGCCGGAGTCGGTGGAACACTTGGAGCTCCAGCAGAAGCCGCCGGAGCGGGTGCTCCAGAAGTGTTGATGGGAGCAACCGGGGCTTGCGACTGTGGGACGGCTGTAGGATTGGCAGCAGCTGCAGCGGCCTCCTTCTCGATTCTTTCCTTCTCTAGCCGTTCCTTCTCCTTCTGCTCAGCTCGTAACCGCAACTCCTCCTTGATTTCCGCTTCTTCTCGAATCCTCTCCTCCTCCTCTTTGGCTCGTTTGATCTCCAGAAGTCGATGATCCCTGTCCCTTCGGAACGCGTCAACCTTATCCTTTATCAGTTTTGTGATCATCCGTGTGTCCTCATCCGGAATGTGCTGTTGCTCAATCATCTGCTGAACCACTTCATCCGGACTGTCCGTCTCGATGTCGAATGCGAACTGGAGTCCCTCGTTCTCCTTGAATCGGTACTGTTTCCGTTTCTTCTCGTCGTAAACCCTCAACTGCATCTGGATTTCCACGTTCAGATCATTCAGATCGGCATCTCGGTTCTTGATTTCCACCCGAATACCAATGAGGTCTTCTGGAGTGAAGAAGTCGTCGACGAGCAGCTGTTTGACAGTGCTTCTTTCCTCCCTCCTCACTCTGATACACCGATCAATGATCTCTCGGATCTCCGGATACTGTGCAGGAATGCGGGAGAAGCATTCCGGCTTCACTCCCGATATAACTTTTCTGTAGATCGTAGCCGGATTCATGCATTCCGAATATGGATACTCTCCAGTGACCATTTCCAGTAGACACATTCCGAACGCGTACACATCGACGCTCTCATCGTACATCTCCTCGTACATTTCTGGAGCCATGAACTCTGGAGTTCCGATGACCGACTTGGCGAATGACTTGTTCTTGAGCGTCGCCAATCCGAGATCTCCGATTTTCACAGAGCCCGTCGTTCCGGTGATGAAGATGTTATCACACTTGAGATCACGATGGATGACGGGAGGATTGCGCGTGTGCAGGAACGACAGACCTTTCAGAATCTGCCGACACCACGACTTCAATACCTGAAACTCCACAAGGCGGTTATGACCATCTCGTTGTAGTTTTCACTCGCTCTCTTACCTTGATGTTGATGCGTTTGAATCGTTTCAGGTACATTTTCAGCGTGCCTGACGTCATCAGTTCGGTGACCAGCACAATGTATTTCCGTTTTCCGCACAAATCGGCGCTCTCCCAGTAATCGTAAAACCGCACAATATTCGGATGCTGTAGGTCTTTCAGCATCTCTGCTTCTTCTCGAAACCTTTGCCGTTCCGTCTGAATCCATTTCGGATTGTTTCATTTTAGAAAGCGGTCACCCACCTTGTTCAGTTTGCTCTCCTGCAGTTCGCACCACGCGACAGCTACTCCCGTTTCTGTATCCAACCCGCGAAATACAGTTTTGAACGAACCGCGACCCAGTTCTTCGTCGAATTTCAGAAAACGTCCGTCTGAAGAAAACGATTTTTTCGAGATCCCAGCCCGTATTCCTACTTTTACTCTTGTCAATCGGCTTTTCCTGCGCATCAAAGTCATCCTCGACGTCGATTTTCCTTGCCGCCTTCTCCTCTTCTTCCCGTTTCTCCTGCTCTTTCCGCGCCCTTTCTTCCTCGCTGACCGCTTTATCTTCGTCTCCTGTTAGCGTACGAGGTCCTTCGGCGACCATCGATTCCGTGAGAGTCCGTACCTGGGACAGTATTCCGCCGCGCGGCCCTTTGTCTTTCTCCGATTGATCATTCGATGTGTTCGGAGGAACTTTGTTTGTTAACCTGAAATTAGGAATAAGTTCTCATTTCCATCTTCAGAAAGTCAACTTTTGTTTTCGGTCCTCTATTCCTCTGTATTTCAAGAACACAGAATACAATGCGAGTATTCTGTGCGCCCAAACCATTCATCGGAATGAAAGAGAGGGAGAAAAGAACGTGAATCGGATCATGAAAACAGCCGTATTCGCTCACCTAGACCTGTCGAAAATACTGTGTTGCGGACTGGATACTGCATTCTGCAACACTGCTGCAGCCACGTTGATCGGACTCGCCGAATGGCCGGAAGGCGACGCCGAAGAACCGGCGTTCGTGGCGTTAGAGCAAGAAGAGGCGGCGGTCGTGGAGATGAGCAACGGAGGAAGTGTTCCGTTGGTTCCGATCGCCTGTGGTATCCGTGACGCGTGGTGGTGTTGTGGAGATGCGTGCGATATTGTGGCCGACGCTGTCGTAGTGGCAGCTGCGGCCATCGGGGAGGATGAATTGACGAGCGACGTAGAGGGAGAAGCCGTCGACAACTCGGAATTCAGGCTGTGAGAGGCATTCGTGGCGATAGAAGACGGATCTTCCTGCCTCCGAGGTTTTGTGCCCCACTGAAAAAGATAATGATTGGAGAAGCGAGAAGGAATGTGGACCCACTTTCATAGGTCTTGTCCGTCGCCAATCTTGTTGAACGGCTTCGAGTCGTGACCGTTCCTCTCCTGATAACCAGTGAGACCCCATTCTGAAAACATAAAATAGCAGAATGAATAATTATAAATGTTGAAAACAGCTAATATACCTTTTCCGCTCATTCCTAGTCTGTAATTGTCTACTAGCTAGCAAAAATTCATTAGAAACTGGGAACTCCATTTTTTGAAAAGTCAACGGAATAGGTCAGTTCGGAAAAACTGAGTGGGACGAATGACGGAATTTGAGAGGAAATTGAGAGAAACTGATTGAAATTCAAATAGAATTCACGAAAGCCCCGGAAAGAGAACTGTCCACAACGCCTCTTCGTCTCTTTTCGTCCCCTCTTTGTATACCGTTTCGGATGCTCACATGACTGATTCGACGGAGGGAAAGCACGGAAACTTACGTGGGATGCTCTTGTGTTGGGTGCAGTTCATCGACTTTTTTGATCCGATTCACTAACCGACGTCGTGTTCCTGCAAAACTTTATATTCAGCACTTTCAGTAAATTACTATTTTTCTTAATAGGTCCACCCCTTCTCCATCTCCCTGTTCTCTCTCTCGCTCGCGCTCTCTCTCTCTCTTTGAAAGAAACAGTTCAAATATTCGCCTGCTTCATAATCCTCTCGACGCACTCTCTCAGTCCCCTTGAACAGAATCATTGCGTGGGCTGACCTTTCCCCCTAACAAACTCACCAAAAGTTGCAGTGGATGATGACGTAGCAGAGCTGGAAGAGCTGGGTGGCGCCGGCGGACGGCCACTGTTCGTAATAGACTGAAATGGAATTGAAATGATTTATTTGTAAAGAATGAACAAATTTTATTGAATGACTCAAAGAGCAGTTTCAAACGCCTCGTAACTCGGAATATCTCCGTCGGCTGGTACCGTAATCTGCCCGTAATCCGTTAGCTATTTTCGTCTTTCTTCAAAACATCGCCACCGAACTACCGAACCAAAAAACAGAGATCGCACGTGGTGGTCAGCATGTTACGAAAGAAGCGAACATTTCGAAAAGTGACCAATTTACCGTTGAGGGTGTGGAAAATAAGAAGCAGGACTGAAACGAGTCGAATGAAAGACACATCGTCTGGAGAGACGGACGGGCAGACGGACGGATGGAAGAAGAAGAAGACGAGGACGAAGCAGAAGAAAAAGTCGTCTTCGGTTGCCTTCGTCTTTTTTCCTGCTTATTGCCACGTGCTGCCGCCGCCCCTATCACTGACGATTCGATCGACGACGGCGAGAAATCAAAGTGAAGGGGAAGAGATGCAGATACAGAGGGAGAACAAAACAACACTAACTACTATCACTTTCTTTTCACTCTAAAAATACCAATACCACCCATAAAAGTAGGTGTTTCTTTCGAACGATTGTAGTTGCACTGAATCGATAAAGGACAGGGGAATGTTTTGTGAAAATATGAGTACGGTAGATGGGAGGGAACGTGCTCACCACTGTAACCGACGGACTTCTCACAATTATCAAACTTTTCGGATGTCGTTTAGAATGATACAGAGTAGACATGTCCGGTTGAGGCATTCACCACGAAAACCAAGCTTTCACAAAAGTTTTGAGCGGGCTTTATACCCCGGTCCTCCATGTTTTGTTTCTCGTTCCTCCACAAGAAAAAGATTGGAAAATTCTTTTCTTCGTGTCCCGCTGCGATCAGAATGGCCAGTCGAAAAAAGCGTTTTTGTCGATGTGGGATGTCGGTGAGATCAAAGCAAATCGGAAGGTTTTTTGGCAACATTTCAGCCGTGATAAGGACGAAATTGATAAAACAAACAGAAAAAAGAACAGAAAGGACAAAGTTTGAAAGTATGGGAATGTGATTCGATTCCGTCTCTGACACGTTTGCAGACTGAGGGAAACCGATAGGGATCTCCGACAATTGGATATGGGACACAGAATATGAGGAGGATTGATTGATTCCAGAACCTTCGGATGTTCGCAAAGAGGAAAACTCGTCAGGTTTCAGATCAATTCTGATGACTCGAATGTAGTTTATCCAAAATGTGTATTCATTCATTGCCGAACGATCGGATGACCGTCGAACACGAATACCGTGGAATGAAGCGGATCAACCGGTTCCCTCCAGCCGCACTCAAAGTACTGTTACCAGATTTCGTTCGTTCGCAACAATTTTTTGAAACAAATTTTGCAAAAAATATTTTAAAAACTCACGTCAGGCATCTTGTGTGTTTCTGAACTTCTCGTCGTGGAGTCCTATCCTCTTCTCCTTTTCACTCGGAAGAACGGAAAGGTCAGGAGAGAAGGTTGAGAAGTAGATTGATTCTGGAGGTGTGTGAGTGTTTGTGTAGACTAGCAATTCAATGATATCTGCATTTCAGTCTCCGGAATTCAAGCGAAGAGCCCGGCGGGTAATCGGTCTGAAATACAATATTTTTATAAGCAATCGAACACTTTTTGTGGCAAAAGAGCGACGTTAATATAAACATGAATGGAGAGATAGTGCAACGTTTTAGAAGGGTAGGGAAGGTGCGAGGAAACTATTGAAATCAGGTTCCCGAAAGTTCAACGACTGATTTTCACAATCAAATTACGAAATATTCGGGAAGAGTGATTCATTTGAAATGATAACACGTCGTTCGCATTGTTAACGGTTCTACTTGCGGGAGATGAAGAGCATAACTCGTGGGAGGTCCGACCGAACTCTTGCAACCTAAGGACTTGATGCTAAAAACTGAGAAAGTTAGGAAAGTCACGTTTCAGTGACACTCAAGGGAAATTGGTTCGTCTTCTGTCAAGTTTCTAAGAATCATCGGAGTAATTAACTCAGAAAGGTTTAGAAAAAAGGCGCAGAGAGAGAGAGAGAGAGCAAATGTCCGTCTTTTCATTGGATTTGCATCGGAAATGAATTGGCCAATGAATGGCACTTCTCGTCCTTGACCAGCCCAGTCCGTCTCAATTTCTACGTCTCTCTTCGCTGATAACTGATATCAATCTCTTCTGCAACACATACTACAAAGGAAAATGAGATAGCGAAGACGCTAGACAGCCTCTTTTCGTGAGCACGTCATAGTTCGTCCAGAATTAGATCAAGAGAATAAGAAGGAACTGCATGCATTCAGCAGATTAGCAGTAAATACCTCTCGCGTTTCTAAAACACTCGAGCGCCGAAATTTCGAAACGGTGGGCAATTTATCAATGAGAACATCGCACTGATAACACTTGCAAGTTTTTGAAGCCAAGGGAAGACAATAGGAAGACAGCTCATTTTCCGAAAGCTATGACTTTTGAACCATTAAATGCCCTCCTCCGCACCGGAATTCCGACTATAAAACTTGCGAATATGGAGGTGGGAAGTGACGTCAATGCGAACAGAAAGCAAAAAAAGAGCTGGAGAATACAAACGCACAACGGCGCCGGGACAATCTGGAGCCACGAGGAGCACTTGACTGCCACTCAGTAGCTGATCGTTCAATCATCCAATGTTTCTCTGACTCATCACCAAGGTTTTGATTGGCAATCACTTGAGTGGGTTCAAACGAGACAAGAGGCAGTTCAAAATGTCACACCACGAGATTCTTTTTGACGGAAACTACTGTCAAGTGGTTTGCAATGATCAGTGGAATAAATATGCAAAAACAGAGTTACGAAGATCCCCGGAAAGTTTCTTTTGCTGCAGCACGTTCTTATCAGAGAAAATGAGCACAACGAGTTCAACAACTGGAAAACGAAGGAGAGAACGACTAAACTTCAGGTTTAGACTATAAAACAAGCATGTGGTTTCTCGAGTCAGCACAAAAATGAAAGGGAGAACGAACTCGTGTGTGAGGAGTGTGTGTCAATGATACTTACTCGTTCTCGCCCCCCATGTTATCACTTCCCTTATCATCAGATCATAACCACCACGTCTCTTTCCTTTTCTTCTTCTTGTGACCGTTTTCACGTGATCAATCCTTCTCTTGACACAGAAGAAAATACGACGAAACTGTTTACCTCTGGCTTCTTCTTCTCCTTTATATTCGATGAATGGTCATCTTAACCCGCACAGCACAAAAAAGAGAAAAAGGAAGCACAAATGCGTATACGATCGAAAAACTTCACGAATCTCTCACAAAACTAGGTCAGAAGAACAATTTACAGGCGTTTTCCGAGCGGACAAGTGAAAATGATGAAGGAAAATACCATAATTTGAAGACGAAGATTAATTTCGAACCGAAAGTGAACCTGTGGCCGTTCGCAGGTGTTCCGTTGGAAAAGTACGTGCGTTTTCAAGTTTTCAAAAGGTTGAATGCACTATTTAGACAAAGAAGAATAACAAAAAGTTTCAACGAACAACAAAAACACCTGGGAACATTACTATTATAGCAAAAATGCTAATTTTACACCTTCGGCGACACCTCTTTGAAACTGCGAATCATTCGAATGTGAAATGCAAAGACGCGTTTGAATGGGAACATTTCGGGGTTGAATTTCAAATTGCGAAATCCGCAACAAACACGCGCTGTTCGATGAGAGTTTTAAAAAATCATGGAGATCCTACAAATTCGGTCTATAATTGACAAACGCTTCGCCGAAAAATCAAAGATTTCGAAAAACCAGGAAGAAGATGCTCGAAAAGTTTACCTTAGTTTTCACACTCTCAACAAGAAGTCCTTGAGAATCGGGCAGCGAAAAACTAGGATACAAGTGTTCTTCGGACCGGAACGGACGAGAGAAGCTCGAGAAAAGAAGGATAAGCGGTACAAAAAGAGAGAAGGACGTTCCAGAAATAGGTAAGAAGAGGCGAAATCGGTGTGTCTGCGTCTCGGAGTGTCTCGTCTCTGCGCTCAATTCTCACGCTCTATTGGGACTGTTTTAGGAGCTCATAACGGCACTTGAATATGTCGGAAACGAGCAGAAAAAGGTGTGGAGACTTTCGGATTGAAAGGGCACGAAAACAGGCGAGGGGCCTGTGAATTGGCGGAGATGACTGGCTGCTCAGGGGCTCCGGCTGCTGCTCTTCATCGCTTCGTTTCGTTCGTTTTCTCGCGGGCTAGAGGGCGAGAGAGCGGAGAGGGCGCCAGACAGGTCAGACGGAATCTCTGCGCCCTCTCACTCTCTCGCCTTTCTCTCTTTTCTTCTTTCTCTTCTCGAAGGAGGAGGAGGAGGAGGACGTCGACTGCTGCTGCTGCGGCTGCTGAGGCTACCACTGAGGCCTTTCCGTCACTTTCTGCGTCTTCATCCCCGCACCCAGTCTCTCGTTCGGAAGAAGGCATTGTAACGCACGGAGATACGCAGAGTCTCGGCTAAAGAGCGATGGTTCGAGTGGGAGCGCCGTCTATCGCTGTCGGTTTTTTGCGTGTGCTTGCGCTTTGCAACATGTGAATTGAGTATTTAGTTTGTCAAAGCTTTTTTCGCTCTTCTTCTCGCGAGCACTAGCCTAAAAAATTGTAGACGGAACGTGCAAAGTAATGGGGTTTGTGCAAAATAGCAACTTCTTATGCGTTTTTTGATGCAGAAAAACACTCACATCGGCTCGGGGACTTCTCGATTAGAGCTAAAATAATTTAAAATGCAGAACAAAAATTAAAAGCGAAACAATGTCGTCTGATAAAATGCCGACGGTGCAAGGCCACACTGTCACGTCAAAACGCACATTGCGGATTTCAAAATTTCAATCTGTAGTTCGACTGAACAATTCTGCAGATTTTGCAGAAGTTTGCAGCAGATGGAGCCAATGGACTCATCGTCAAGTAATAGATTTTACGCAAGAGAAAAGAGCACGGGAAGAGAAGGGAAACCGAGACACGGCCCATTTTTTATTGGCCCATATCTTTCGGCCGTCTCTCGGACACTGGACATTTCGAAATCGGAAGAAGAGAAAAACGGAGTGAAAATGAGATATTGGGAAGAGGCTGGAGACTAGTCCGGGGAATGCTTGAAAAAAAACACTTGCAGAATCGTCATTTTATGACGTAGATCTCGAAATTGTTCTATTCTGAAAATTCAAAAATAAACTGCCATAAACAATAGTCCTTCATTGTTTCACGAGTGCGTAAATGCCTATCTTCAAAAGGTGTCCTCCCCGCGGATTATGAAAATTTATGCCGTTTTAATGGAATGTTTTAAAAAGAGCACGTGCGTATGGTCACACTCCAAAAAGAGAATCAGCAAAAGTCAAAGTTCTGGAAACCGAAGTATCGAGTGACGAGGTGCCCGCCCGAATATTTACGGCTGTTTTCGACCGCCAAAAAGGATCAAAGTGAGAGTGATGTCATCCGAACATTTCGTCGTTTTACGACACCTCGCCTTCCTTCTAAACCTGTCTTTTTTCAGTTATTTCGGTAAGTACTCGGCCGATTGGTTCACGTGATATTCAGATTGGAGGAAACTGAACACTGATTCCGAGGGGACCGGATGAGTTCAGAAAACTGAAAATCAGAAGAAAGGACCTTGTTTTCGTGCATATTCTGTCTCTTCAACAACCTGGTATTTATTATGTTCTTGTCAACTTTTGGGGAATTTAATCGGAGCTGCATCAGTATATTTTCTAGCGCATTCGTGGACCGAATTCCAGCTGAATCACCTTGATGATTCGATATTTTTGTTTCTGAAAACAATAGGAATGTTTCGCAATGATTCACACTGTCAAATGTACAATATGAATAGAAAAATTGAAGAGAAAAGCAGAATAAAAGGGTTTTTGGAGACGTCTGTTGCTCACTTTTTCCATTAAAATGATCAAGATTGTTCTCTTCCTCTCCGTACTTTTCATTCCTAATTTGGATGCTCTATTGGGCCCCACAACTTTGGAATCCGGTTGGGATGAGCAGTGCACGAAGGATATGTTGGAGATGCACGGTTGTATGTTCGACAAGACGGTATGTTTTACGTAAGCCGGGAGTTTAAGCACTTGAGAACTCCAGCACATGTACGCAGAACGCTACGATGAAAGGAACGAAGGGAATAAAGTCCTGTTGGAACCATTCTTCAAGGCTATGGCGAACGCCTCTGCCACGTGCTTCAAGTCGTCCAATTGCACAATGTACCTCATGCATACCTACTATTTTGACATTTCCGTATTCATTGGACAGAAGACGTACGGAAACGCCTTCGAGTGTCTCAACAATGTGAGTTCTCCAATCGACGAATAAACAGACGGATGAACTTCAGACGGATATGGAAAAAGTGTGGAACAATTGCACGCGTACTCTGATCGCCAGATACCAGCCCGATTTCAGTTTCCGGGCCTACAAGAAGCATATTTCGTACTGTGTTGCCAGGGAACAACTGAAGTGTTCCTTGCAGGATAAGCGAGACTTTCTGGCTTTGACTCACGCTCAGGTGGATCGGGACCACCTTTTTGCAGACCTTGAGAAATATGGAAATAAGGCATTTGTATTCAATCCAGAGAAGTACGAATACCTTCTCGACGACGAATAATTGTTTGGTCGGATTGGTAATACTCGAAGAATTTCAATAAAAACGTTACCAAGTGACCCAGTGCCGCCCTGACCAAGCACACGCAGCGGAGGTTTTATAAACACACTTTGCGCTGTTTTCTCTCTTGACGCCGGTGGCCTTGTGGTTAGTACGTGAGGCCGCGGCCTGGCTGGTTCGATTCTCTGTGAATGACGACAATATGTTAGGGACATCTGTACTCTCCGTGAAGATTTAACGATAGTAGTACTGACACAGCTCTTTTGATTTTCTGGGGAACAGTTGAAGTAAAAAGAGATCTTTATTATAACCTTTATCACCGACATGTTACACCTGTTACACATTATCCATTTCCATAGCTCATTGCATGTTGAGCTTCTCCAACATCTCCTCCATCTTCGTCATTTTCTTTCAGATTTCTTCCGACTCCTTCATCCAGTTCGACCACAGTTCGTGCGCTTCTTCATCCCTTTCCGCCATCATCTTCTGCACATTTTCCACACTGAGACATCCGTCCACTATGAGCATCCTCGACTCTTTTCTGCTTTTCTGGTCCGTCTGTCGCGTGTTCAGTGTCCTCGTCAGCTCTCCGTTCTTGATTAGGCTTTCATCCAATGCCTTCTCTTGACTCATTTTCATTTTGAGCTCGCCTCTGACCTTCACGAGGGCCACCTCCTTCTCATCCATTTGCTCGCGGTACTCCCGAATGTCCATCAGCAACGCGTCGATCCATTCGTCCGGGTTTTTGATCTTCTTGGTGCGCAAGTGCCTGTTCTCTCTCTCAATATTGATGGAATTCCGTCGTTCCTTCTTCAACTTTCTCGTCATCTCCGCCACCCTCTTCTCCGCTCTTTCCATTTTCTCCTTCAGTTGCTCATTCTCCAGCTTCAAAGCCTCATTGGCAAGGCTTTTTGGCTGTGGATTGTACTCAGCAACATCAGATTGAATGGTCAGCAGCCGAATATGTCGATCTTTCAAGCGGTTTTCCTTTTCCAACAACTCAATTCTCTGATTGGCCATGTTGAGCATTTGAACGAGCTCACTTTGAGACATCATTTCAGGATCGGGTGGGAAGTATTTGATGGAGAGAAAAGTCAGAGAAGAAAGTGCGTAAAGCGATCGAACAAAGAGCGAGAAGAAAGAAAAAAGCGCTAGCAAACTCTCAGAAGACGGAATGGAGCCGAAAATCAATCGTCTACAGTTAGGGGACGATCCACTGCGTTTGAATACGCACGACTACTGGGACCGGAGGGGTACTCACCAACTATTGTCGCACTCAGCTGTTAATCTCGAAACGAACAATAAGGTACGTAAAGTTGTGGTCTCTGGGAAGAATGGATATACCGTAAATACTTGTATAAGGAGGACATGCCCAGCTATTTTCCAGTCTACCAAAAAATAGTTTCCGAAAATTGACTAAAAAATGAGTTAGCTCTTGTTGGCTACCGGGTGCCCTTCTAATACAATATTTACGGTATTACTGGATCGCAAAGAAGGGATAGAATATCAAGTGACCCACTTGATACGGGCTGATAAGGGATGTACCTAGGGGAACGGTACTGATGATCGCATCCAATAGTCCCTTCTAGTCCCCAAGAAAGTGCTGAAAACATGGCAACAAACATCACCTTTGACCCACCCCCTCGTCATGAACATTTCGGTTTCCAATCTTTGCGGTGAGCACGAATCTCTCTGGTTTCACTTCCCATCTGGGGGGCTTCCCCCACTTTTTCAAAGAGACGCAGTCGGCTCGAGTCTAGCACATTCGCTATACTTTTACAATATTTGCGTTGTTCTCTGACTTACATCGAATTAGCCACCGAATATTTTGTTCTGGTCTTGCACTCCGCCCACTCATTACGCTCAGACCTTATTTGTTCATTAAAGAACGCAGACATTCACAGTCGTCATTTTGAGTCACATTCACTACGGAGACTACAATAACTCTTCAAACCAATTCACGAAGATAATCGACCCGAATTGCATGCATTCATTCGGAAAATGTCAAAAATAACTGCTCAGCAGGTCAGTTTGAGTTATTTTGTCTGAAATTTGCCTACTTTTCAGCCCTCTTTGTCTTCTCATATTCCGTGCTCGATCTGTACTTCTTTCGCTCATGGAACTCATTTCGGAGCTCAAAGTTGCCGAGCTTGTGCCGCCTTTTTCCGGAGAACGATAGTGAAACAACTGAAATATCGGTGTAGAACCGGGAAACACAACTGTGAAGCGGAACATTTCATGTAAGAAAGGAGCCTCTGAAGTTTTCAAACACATTTAAATGTATTCATTGCAGATTTCGATGCCGTTCTTGTCGGTATTCAAGGTGTGTCACCGTCGGAATGATTCCGGCCAGTGAGTTCGAACTGATTGGTCCCTCCCTACGAGAATTTGAATGATTCAGATGTTCAGCTGAACCGTGAATCGCCGTGGGCGTCAGTTCGGGAGAAACCTGCTCTGCCGAAGGAAATTGCATTGTTCGAACGGCCAGGATGGAGAATGTTGCAGAAGGAGACTCCGGTTTACGATCTCTCGGTATTTATGAATGAAATCAGGATGGTATTCAGGCAGGTACTCAGAATATCGCCACTTCCGGCACAAGCAAGCGTCCAAGTTGATTTCAGTTCAAAACGCCGTCGGATCTTTCGTACGAACAGGGAAACACACTTTCCCGTTTGGAATGGGCCCTACGCCATCATCGGAAGAAATGGAATGATCGACCGATGACGGTCAGAAGTCTAAACGGAATAGGTGATTTGGTGGGCATCTTGTTGGGATGGATGAAAGGTTCGGCGGAATGGGTGATGCACGCGGAAGGCTTCCGGAAGCTCCCCGTAAAGGAAAAGTTTGGAGTGCTTCTGGGCACGTGGCAAGTCTGGACTCATCTGGAGAGACTGCAGTTGAGCATTGAAGTGCTCGGAGAAAGAGCAATCACAGAGAGAGTAAGCCAATTTCATGTAGTTCCGAAGAAAGATTGCATATTTCCAGTTATTAATTGGGAGGGGGGAGGAGGCGATTGACATGCGGCTTCTGGAATTGGACATTTCCCCGATTTCGAAGTGTTCTCTCGAACAGTTACTACCGATCTTCACTCCGTTTTTCGATAGAATATTCGACGACGTCGGCAAGCAGTTATTGGAGTTGCGGCCGTCTTCCCTCGAGGTCACTTTCATGCTCTGTTATGTCGGATGGACGATCACAGGTAAGACGGTACCCTTGCGATCTTCTTCCCAATTCGAATGATCTTCAGAAAAACTTCAGCGAGTGAAAGACAAGTCGGCGACGGATTTGTTCATCAACTCGATAACCGACGAGCTGCACGAGCATTACACCGAGCGCCACGGGACGAGCAATTACGCGGCACGCCTCATCAGAATGACGAATATCGTGAACAAGCTGGAAGTCATCTTCCGAGATCGACGGAAACTTCTCGAGATTGCAAAGCTCTTCGACGTTTTCAAGACAAACATCAGTGAACCGTGTATATTTGAATGATTAATAATTTATTTCGTTTTCTGAATGCACCAATAACCATAGACGTATTACAGATCAAGCACATCAGAATAATCAAAAAAGCATGGTTCGCATATTTTTGTTTTGAAAACATCAAACAGCTTTGCGCGGTCCATAGCCTTCCTCCGTTCTTCTTTGTGCACTTTGTGGAAACGATAAAGGTCAAAAATAAGAATTCAGAATACGACTAACTTCCAACGCATTCACAACTGCCATCAAAAGTCTTCCCGCATTGTTGTTGGTCCCTCTTTTCTCCACATAAAACTCGTGCAAATCATTCAAAACTCTTTCCATAAATCGATCTGCCGCAGATGAAATATTCTCATTTGAGACAGAAGTTGTTTCATGCAAAAAATGGCTGGATAATACAAACATTCATTCACTCCCAATCGTAGGGATACTCGTTCGATTTGGTGTTGGCCATCGCCTTCTCGAGCAGCTCGTAAATGGCAGTGTACTCGGGCGCATCGAAGAACTTTCCCTTGTCGAGAATAGGAAATACCTGGAGATATTCCCTGGGACATCCGCCGAACAGACACCTCGGACGCGTCGTCTTGCACTCCTTCTTGAACAGTCCGACGTCGTCCGTCTCGGTCAAATTGCGCCACGGAAGACGTCCCGAAGTCATCTCGACGACCATGTACAGCCAGCTCTCGATGTCGTCCTTGCGGCACTGCTCCCTCTGAATGTGACACGCGAGGGGCGCGTACTTGACGGTGCCGCGGAAGCCAGCACGGGTCCGCGGGTTGCGGAGAGTGCCGTCCTCGCGGGCGAACTTGCGCGCCATCCCGAAGTCGAGCATGTAGACCTGCAATCGGAGTGTGCACGTGGAGAGCAGTGGCTGCGAACCTTGCGGAGCTCGTGCATCTCCTTCCGTCCGATCGTGTAGTTGCCCGGTTTGATGTCTCTGTGCAGGAATCCGATGTTGTGCAGGTCCTCGATGGCCTCCAAAGACTGTCTGGCGATCGAAATGGCGGTGCCCATCGAGAACTTGTTGAACTGGGCGGCCTTGCGCAGGTCCTGCAGACTCTTCCCCACCAGAGTCATCACCATGTAGTTGAACTTTCCGGGCAAGTTGCCGCGGTCGGCGAGCTCGAGGAAGTGTCTGCCGACGATCTTCTGTTTCTTGACCTCCAGAAGAACGGCCACTTCCATCTTGAGCAAGCCCAGCGGATCCGCCTCCGCTTCCACCTTCAGCGCGTACTCCTGGTCGTTCTTTCCCTTCTCCTTGACCAAATAAACTGCTCCAAAAGCGCCTTCGCCGAGTTTTTTCAATATTGTCCATTTTCCGCATTCACTACCAACTGAAACGCACAGTTTCTCGTGTGAGTTGCTCGCGGAGCTCACCTGGCAACTGGACAAGCTCACAGACTGTAGCCATGTTTTCGAATTGATACGTCGATCACAGTTGGAACTCTTTCAAACAATGGAATTATTGCTTCTTTGCTTTCTAATCGTTTGATCGTTTTCTTTGACGGTCAGGACAGAAGTTCACGCAGAAAACCCTTCTTCCCGAGCAAAGCATTTCTCTGTTAGGCTTCTTCTCTAATTTCAAACAAAATAACTCATTCAGAAATACAACATTTATAGAGGGTCTCTGCCCTAAATCATCACGTCCACAATAACACAGAATGTGCGGTAGCTCATTTACTTGGCCACCAGTTTGACGGTGATCTGTCCTCCGGTCGGTTTTCCTGTTTTGAACGACTTCGCGAGGTCCTTCTCGTCTCCAGCGAACTGAAAACGGCAGTTCGATACGAGTACAGTAGGCCTAATGTAACCCACCACACTGTTCACAATCACAAGCTTTCCCTCCTTGGCCGGCGCCTTGTTGTGGGTCACTGCCACGTCAGCACTCTTTCCGGGCTCGATGGTGCCGAAAACTGGATTCACTCTGAAAGAATCGGACGGGAAATAAGCGGTGGGGACGATCTTTTACAGGTAGGTGGTGGTGTCCGAGATCTTGATTTTGTACATGACCTTCTTGTCGTGAGTGTTCTTGAGCGTCAGCTTCTTCTGCTCAGTCTGATCCGCCTTAAAGTCGAGATCGCCAGCAGGTTCAATGGTAACTGGAATGAGAGATTACTGTGGGATTACTGTAGAGTTGTCAAACTGTGGGGGGCCGGCTCTCCGGGTTTCTTCTCTTCCTCCTTCGGCTTTTCATCCTTCTTTTCCTCTTTCTTTTCCTCTTTCTTTTCCTCTTTCTTTTCATCTTTTTCTTCCTTTTTCTCATCTTTTTTCTCGTCCTTCTTGGCCGCATCCGTCTTGGAATCGTCCTTCTTCTCCTCTTCCTTTTTCTCTTCCTCCTTCGGCTTCTCTTCCTTAATAATATTCTAGAATCGCACCTAAAGTTCGCCCTCCGATTTTACCTCATCCTTTTTTTCATCCTTCTTTTCGTCTTTCTTCGCAGCGTCTCCCTTCGATTCTTCTTTTTTTTCATCCTTCTTATCGTCCTTCTTCGCAGCGTCCTTCTTAGATTCTTCCTTCTTCGCAGCGTCTTTCTTCGAATCTTCCTTCTTCGCAGCGTCTTTCTTCGAATCTTCCTTCTTCGCAGCGTCTTTCTTCGAATCTTCCTTCTTGTCACCCTCCTTCTTGTCTTCTTCTTTCTTTTCCTCGTCCTTGGGCTTTTCCTCCTTTTTCTCTTCTTCTTTCTTCTCCGCCTTCTTCTCCTCATCCTTCATCTCACTTTTTTTCGACTTTTCCTTCTCCACCTTCTTCTCCTCCGGCGCCTTCATCTTGCTGTCAGGTTTCGGTGGAGCAGGAGGGGCCGACTGTAATCATCCGTTTATTTCCAGCCCATTCTCATCCGTGTCACTCACATTCGGAGGAGCTGCCGCAGCCGCCGGCTTCTTTGCCTTCTTTCCGCCGCATCCGAGCACCCAGAAGGCCGAGGAGATGAAGATTCCGATGAAGACAGGAACTCCGATGATCATATTCCTGGCAGGCAAACTATCGATTGTTTCCTTGAACTGAAAAGCTCACTCGATGATTGAAGAATGCTCCAGAACGGTTGGAAGTTCACGTCACAGTTTTGAAGTTCAAACGGTCGGTTCACGATTAAATCTGAGTTCACTTTTCTTTTTAAAAAGCTAATAAACATGTTGATTTCCACGTCTTTCCAGTATAATTGGATCTATTCATGGTCTCGTCGTCCCCGATTAATACCCATCCAAATCCGCTCTCCTCGGCTCAGAACTCTGCGAGGTCTGCGTCTTCTCGTCCTACTCATCCCTCCTGCTCTCATTGAATTCCGCCCGTCGTTCCTGACTTTTCGTCATCTTCTTCTTCATCTTTTTCATCTTCTTCCTCTCGATTCTCTTCCGAATCAATATCCATTCTCATCCTTTTGGAGGTAAACATACTATTGGTCTGTAGGGCTTCCCGTTCGGGCTTCCATCGGATTTAGATGAGTGAGCAGCAGACGCAGAAGAGGAGGATGTCGAAGAAACCGGCGGAGGACGAGATGCTCCAGCAGCACTTCGAGCACGAGAATCAGTATGAGAAGTGGAGGGCCGCCAAGCCGAGATTGGAGTGAGTTCACTGCTTGGCCACGTGGGGTACAACTCGGTTGCTTCAGGTACGATTTCGCGGTCGACGAGTCCGGCTACATCTACTGGATCTGGACGTTCATCGTCGTCTGCGGCTGTCTCTACAACATCATCGCTCTTTCTGTGCTCGCATTCGAAAACATTCGTCTAGTTTACACTGAAAAGTTCATTCCGATCAACATCGCGTTTGACTTGGTTTTCTTTCTCGACCTCGTAATTAGGTCAATGTTAGGCGAGTCTAGAAGCTTTTCGAACTCTATCTTAACAAGGGTTTTTTTTTAGCATTTCACGAAGAGGGAGTGCTGGTCACTGACTTAGCAGAAACACGAAAAAACTATTTCAGCAGGCAATATCTTCCTCTTTTTTTGAAAGCTGAAATGTTGTTTTTTTTAGTTTCCATTTCGCACTCGACTTGCTGGCAATAGTCCCTTTTGACTATCTGCTAATCAGAAAGACTTCCTCTGCTTTCTGCCGCTTTAATCGTTTTCTGAAAATGTACAGAATTGCCAATTTCATCGCTCAGTCTTATGGAAAACTGACACAGGTTTGATTAACTTGGAAGATGGAAGGGAGGGCGTCAATTTCAGGTGACAATATCCCTTTCGAAGATAATCACCGCTTGCTTCCTGCTCTTCCATGTGAATGCGTGCGTATTCTACATCATCTCAGTGAACAGTGACACGTCTTCTTGGGACGGAGTCAATGCGACTTTCGACGACGATGAGTACCTCCCGTGGCCGTACACTCCGGAGAAGATAACGAGTGAGTTGGTGGCAGGAATTACTGGTGGCCAAATCCTTTCTTCAGATGCTTACTTTGTGGGATGCGAAGGACGCCCAGACTGTTACAATTCAAACTTTTATTACGACGAGGAACGGGAAGATCGTCTCGTGGAACTGTATCACTTTTGGAGACTGAATAACAGGTACGTACTCCCTCTCAATTCCCCTTCTCAAGTGTAACTAATTTCTCAGAACGGCTATCTATACCTTTTCCAAGTTCACAAAGGAGTACACTCTTTCGATGTACTGGAGTGCAATGACCATGACGACACTGGGGGAGCAGCCGGCTCCGAACACTTCCCTCCAGAATGCGTTCGAAATTGTGAACACTCTCGCAGGACTTCTTCTTTTCGCCGTCATCATGGGAAGCATCGGAGACCTTGTGGCGAATGCGAACAAAGTGAAAACGTACTGGCAGACTCTGATGGACGGCCTCAAACAGTACATGACTTACAGGTGACCGAAAGTTGGAAAAGTAAAACATCTAAGAGTAGAGAGATTGTAGAAGTCTGAATGAAAATCTGCAATCGAAAGTGTTGAAGTATTGTGAGTATGAGATGGGCGAGGAGACCATTCTGAAGGAGCATGAAGTGAGGGACGAGCTGCCCACAAAGCTCTACGGCCACGTCACCACCTCCATCATCGGCGTCTCGCTTCAGAAGTCACCGCTGTTCAAAGTACGTGCGGAAACATTTAAAAGAGCTAGAATTCTCTACATTACAGGCATCTGAACGGAGCTTCCTAACTGATATCTCAGAGCTTCTCGAGCCGCATTACTTCTGCCCGGGCGACGTCGTTATCGAGAAGGGACAAATGTGCGACGTGAGTTTCGTCTCCTCCGTTTCCCTTTCGTCACCTCCAAACTTCAGTCCATGTTCATTATCGTCTGCGGCCAAATGGTTGAAGTAACGGATGAATCAGAAATAGATCATTGCGAAGGAGAAGTGAGAGTTTCCAATTACTTCCCCATACCTTCTGAAGTCTTCCAGGTACTTGGAGACGTCAACTTGATCTGGTTCAACAATCATCTGAATCACAACCGACACAAGCATAACTATGTGTCCAGTGCTTTCTCGCAGATCCACGTGCTCAGCAGAAATGATTTCTATAGAGTTTTGCGGTCTTACGACCCCAAACTGAAGAGGAGACTGTGCAGTGTTGGTCAGTTTTCGTCGGTTCTGTGAGCAATTCCCGATTGAGAGAGTTTACAGCGTTCCAACTGCAGAAAGAGCGCGGCGAATTGGACGACAATAAGCGTAGTCTGGTGGAAATTGAAGATATGGAGTCAGAACTGAAAAGATTGGCCATAAACACTCTCGAAGTCGACGATAAAATGGCTGTTCTTGAGGAGAAATTCGTGGTGAGTAGCGCGTGCGCTCTCGTCTCTTATATGCATTGGTCAAGCGGCGGCGAGTGATGCCCGCGTGGCGCAGGTGGTATAGAGGGGTCGGACGGCAAACACGCCGTCGCTGGCTCGATTCCCCGCCAGTGTCGATGATTATACACTTTCTACTGTTCACGTACCGACTGTTCAGTGGCGGATACATCCTTCAATGAGACTTTTTTGTTTTTTTTTCAGCACTTCTCAATGTTAGCCAAAAGAAGACTGTTCAAATCCGAGGTAAAGATGTGCAACCTTCTAAGAATCGCCCGCCGAAGAACAAGGAGAGTCTAGAAGAAAATTGGTGTCAAGAAGGGGAGTCGGAAAGAAAGAAGACCGATCATCACTGAACCGGTTGTGTCGCAATCGAGAGAAGAGTGGGAAAAAGAGAAGAAAAAGAAGAAGAAGAAGAAGGGAGACTTCGCATTTTTCTTCGCTGATTTTTTTCGCGGTCATTTGTCGTTCTGTTTGCCAAAGCGGCAGGTGCGGTTCAATTTCCTCTTTTTTGTGGCCATTTGCAAAATGAAATGCCACGTTTCACTGCTTTCGCTTCTTCTGCTTCACTTGGCCGCAGCGGATTACTGTGGATCCGATCAGATTGCTTATGGAATGGAGGTGAGGATTACTGTACCCTCTCTCTCGTTTCACGTGGATTCTTCAGGTCCATTACAGCGGAGTCATCCGATTATTGTGCTCGAAACCAAACTGCTTTGACAAAAACTATTCAGTAAGTGTTTGAATACAAAAACGTTGCAAAAGTTAACAATATTCAGGACTGTCCAGAAAGAGCCGAACGTCAGAAAGGATGTCAAGAAGCGAATCAGTGGATCGGGGGATTCGAGAGGAACGTCGAAGGCGACCTGTACACGATGTGTTGCGAGTACGAGAACCTCGAGAAATACTCAAAAGTCCGCTATTCCGACGTGAGTTTTCCCTTTCCGCAACCGACTGAAAACACAGAGAATAAATGCAGGTGCGAATCCGTCGCGGAGAGTTTTTTGAAGGCGAAGAGAAGGAGAATAAGGACGGCGACGTCGTGAAGTTCGATGTAATCAAGGACATTCGAATGCACAAAGACGCCGAGGGGTTTGTTTTTGTCGAAAGTTTCTCTATAAGGAAGGATGAAAAACAAGAATTATCTTGCCAGTGATATGATTAATTTTCCGCCTTTTCTGCGCATTATCGTGATAATCGTTTTCGCGGCGAGACCCATTCTTTTCCAGAATATCCTACTACAACTTGACAGTGCTCTCGTTCAATTGTGAGGCGATTCCGGAAACGAAACCGAATTGGTACCAGAAAAGTCAGTGGCCGTACTTCGAATACGCGAAAGTTTAGTCTCGAATCGTTAATCAACTAACTGGGTCATCTAATTATCGGATGTTGTTCTTGCGAAGATGTTAACTCAAGTGATAACGGGAAATCAGAAAAGAACGGGTACTTTTTTTGTGCCTGATTTGTTTGTCAATTTAGAATGAATTGTTTGTTTTCGGCCGTGAATTTTTCACAAAAAGTTATGAAAAACATGGACACGAAAGTTTCCACGCGATTTATATGCTCCCGAAAATGATTTATTTCCTCAAATTGAACACAACCACTTGGACGGACGAGTCGGTGATTAATTGGAAACAATGGCCGCAGCGAGCAGTCAGTTTCCCTCATGACTCCGTCTCGAAACGGCGCGCAGATGATTCAGGCAAAGAGCAAGTTTCGGTGGCTTTTGCCCCGACGAGAGTGAACGTGGACAAGTATTTGGAGCGGCTTATGAACATCGGAAAGCTCGGAAGCGGCTTCACGAGCACCATCGACGAGAACGAGATATCCGATCTGATCGGCGAGTGCCTGCAGGTGTTCCAGAAGCAGGCCATGATGATCGAGTGCTCGCCGCCCGTCTCGATCGTCGGAGACATCCACGGACAGTTCGGCGACGTCATGCGCATCTTCAACACGATCGGATTCCCTCCGGACGTCAACTACCTCTTTCTGGGCGATTATGTGGATCGCGGACAGTTCAGCATCGAGACAATTCTGTTCCTGATGTGTGTCAAGGCGAGTTGTCTGTCCCGGTGCTCCAGAGACTGTTGATTTCAGATGAAGTATCCGGAAAACTTCATTCTGCTCCGTGGAAATCACGAAACAAAGTTGATCAATCGCATCTACGGATTCTACGATGATCTCAACAAACGATTCGGATCTCCGAGACTCTACGACGACTTTACGGTATTCTTCGGAAACAGCCACTGACTCCAGAAGCCCTCGAATCTTTGCAGAAAATGTTCGAAATGATGCCCTTGACTGGGCTCGTCGGAAAACGAATTCTCTGCATGCACGGCGGGCTCTCCAACGACCTGATCAATGCTCCGAAGCTCGACATTCTCAACACGTTCGCCCGTCCTATGCACGATCCGCCCAATCCGTCGTTGGCCATCGACGTCCTCTGGGCCGATCCGGACGTCAACACGAAGGGATTCAAGGGGAACATCAGAGGATGCAGCTGTACTTTCGGCCCGGACGTCGTCGCGCAGGCGTGCGAGAAGTTCCAGCTGGATCTGATTGTCCGCGCGCACCAAGTCGTCCAGGATGGTTACGAATTCTTTGCCAATCGGAAGCTCGTCACTCTATTCTCTGCTCCGCACTACTGCGGACAATTTGACAATGCGGGTGCCGTCATGCAAGTCACTAAGGATATGGTCTGCTCTTTCAAGGTTCATTTTGTGCTCATTCTGCTTTTTGCAATTTTGGTTGTTTCAGATTCTTCGTCCAGAGTTCCCAAATGTAAAGATCGCTCCGAGTGGCCAGAAGTCGACCACGACCATCCTCATGACGCCGACGTGAACTTCTCAGAAGCAGAATGAAACCTTTCGTATCTTCTCGTTTTCCCCTTCGCCACTTCTCATTTTCTCTCCCATGATACTCTGTTTTTGTGGCCCAGACGTTCCCTAAGCACACAAAAACAATCATCCATCACTTGTTGTTCGCAGCCCATCAGCAGTCCCCTCAGGCCCCACTTCCCCCCGTCATTCTCTGCTCTCTTGCTCGGCGCCTTCAAATGGCTCATCAAACTCGCCGTTCGGTGTCTTTTTCGGAAAACCAGATGGCACTTGCACATTTCTCCGGCAGATGGGCTCCTTGGGATTGGGAACATTCAAAGTTTTGCGTATTGCTCTTCTTGTTGTTCTGAAGGGCTTCCCAATAATTCTGTTTTTGCCTTTCGTCTCCTTCCTCTTCCACCTGGAACGTACTATCATTAACTTCCGCCTCCTTAGTTCCATCATTATGTTTAGCCCCTTCTAACTCCAGAATAATCTTTCCGTTTCACACGTTTCCGCTCAATGACGAGCTATCTAATTGGGACATGCACTTTCCGAAAAGAGCGGAGCAAAAAAGAAAAAAAAGGTAAAAATAGGGGTGGAATGAAAGTGAGTCCCGAGAAGCGACCAGAGATTCACCGGAATTACGTCGATTTCTCGTACCTTTTAACGCTTTTCCCGTTTGAGACCAAAATAAGACGTCCCGAAATTTAGGGGTCTAAGAGTAGAGAGGAGTGAAAAAGGGATGTGGAGAAGAAGAAGAAGAAGAAGAAGAAGCAATTGCACTCTGATAATCTCGTGCTCTGCTTCCTCCCGGAACTTCCCGTTTGCATTGGAGGTGGCCTCGATCCGCCTCGATTAGCCCCACAAACAGCTTCCGCCATAACTCCTTTTCTGTCCGTATACCGGTGACTCACTATAGATACTTCTTCGAACTTCGAGCCCAACCGAACTTTTTCAATGCCTCACATGAATGAGCACGTCTTCCGCTTCAATGGCTGCTCTTTCCCTCTCTTTCTCGCTCTCTCATCACTCTCTTATCAGCGGCTAATTACGAGTCCTTCACATGCGCCGCCCGTTTCCTAATCCTGGTCCCCCCATTGGGAGCTTATTTACGAGCCGACTACACTTCCTGTGTGTCTACGGCAAAGAGAGACGTCTTTAGAAGGCTATTTTCGAATGTTCGTAATGTTCATGAACTTTCTCTTCTTCTTCTTTTCCTTCTTTTCTCTTTCCCGACTTTTCCATCTTCTTTTTTGTCGTTCAACTTCATTCGACTCACCTACCGTACTTCTCCTTCTTCGTCACTCTGTACAGATCTGTAATACGGCGGTTTTCTCTCGTCAAACATTGCTCCGTGATGCTCTGATATACATAGCTCCCCGTGGATAATCCGTGTGTGACGTCAATTCGTCGCAAAAATCCTTGTAGGGCTTTGCCTACGAGGCGGTCTCCACGGCGAATCCGTCGATTGCCAAACTTGCCGTCGCTCCCAGCAAATCAGTGCTCGGATTATGATTTATGTAGGACAAAACGAATAGAGAAAAGAAGTTGCCCCGTCTTTTTTTTTGTTGGTTTTTTCGTGTCCGATTTATTAGAATAACTCTGTAAAGTCCTCGAGTTGCAGGTTGTTCAGACGCACGTCAGTAAGAGATCCGAAGCAAGTTTGCCCGGAAAAGAAGAAGAAGAAGAAGAAGAAGAAGAAGCCTTCCAAGAAGATGCGTCACCTCGATGAATCCCTGCCAAAACTGGGCACGTTTCCCTATCTGCGCGGAACAAATCCGCGCGGCCTCTATGGCAACGAATCGCTGACTAACACGATGCGTTTGCAGTTTCACTACCAACGTCTTCTCATGGTCCCTTGATCCTAAAAGTACTGAAGGTCTTCTTAAAATCACGTGTACTTATATTCTCTGGAGACGTGAGGACAGTCATCACGAAATCTCCCTTTCGTCGCGTGCATCCAGTAGCTCATTAGAACACTCTTCACACATTTCTCTCCCGTCACCATACCCATACACTCCTAAAAGATCACACTTTCCATATCCGGCTCACTCCCTCTCTCTCTCTCTCTCTCGCCATCGCATCTCTCATTTTTCGATTGACGTCGCCATCGGAAACCACTCATTTCCCATCCGTTTTCGAATCCTTTTGCCCCTTTTCCCCATCTTTCCATTTTTATCATTTCCAGAGACTCTTCCCTGCATGGATGGGCTGTCATCCATCGAAGAGTCAGTTCCAGCAGGATGCTCATTCGGACCTTTTCCGACCGCCGGCTCCGATTCCCGTCGAGATCGGCTCTGCCATTCAGCACCAGTTGCGGAAGAGCTCCAATTCGATCGTATTCATTTTCGGTGAGCTTTCCTTTATCGACTTTTGCCGAGAATCAAATCGGATGACGATCCGGTAATTCGATTATCGGATAGGGGGTCTTGAGCAATTGCATTCATTCCCGGAAGATTTTGGTATCTAATCAAATCAAAACAGAATTGAGCATGTTCAGGAGGACCGGCCTCTCAGAAAGGGATCATCATCCAGGAACTGACGAGCACATTCAATTTCATGCTGATCACTGTCGAGGACATTGTATTCCAGTACTTGCCGAATAGGGTGAACAGCATCGGATTGGAGATCAGAGAGATTCAGGAGGCGTTGAAGGTTTGCCCAACTCATTCGCGTATTATCATGAAAAGTATTCACAGAAAGACGAAGGAATTCTGACCATCGACTGGATTCTGGAGATGATCTCGGGACGGATGGCCGGCGCGACGCTCAACGAGAGATTCGTGATTGGTGAGTCCGAAAGACCGCCAATTTCCGTCCGTTTCGGTTGCTCCGGAAATGCTGATAATTGGTTGCAGATATCGTTCCGGCCGTCTCGTCTATTCTGAGAGCCGACGGCTACAAAGCACGGAGTCACGACCGACAATTGAACGAATTCGAGATGAGACATCCGATCGCATTCGCAATCGACGTAAATGTGAAGGACGAGCAGTCCGTGCTCAGAGGGAACGAGGTGAACGGTGAGTCGGAGAAGGAAAAGGATCGGAGAGAACGGAGAGATTTCAGGGAGGGACGAGGACAGCAGGAAGGTGAATCCCGAACTGAGCAACATGTTGAGGACGCCGGACGACATCGATCGAGGCAAATTGGAGGTGAGAAAGAAGACACGGCGACCATGTATACTTTCTTTTTTGCAGAAGCGGATAGCCGAGTATCACACGTGCGCCGAGCCGTTTCTCCAGTACTTCCGCAAGTCGCATCGGGTCGCTCGCATGACTTTGACGAGCGAGGCGTTCCCGAATGTGGTGAACACGACACGCGAAACCATGCTGAAATTGGGCTTCACAATGTCTCGGAGGAACGATAATATCATCTGTTTCACCACTGGTAATCAAGGAGTTCATAGCAGGGAAAGAGACGGTTTCATTCAGATACGAATCACGAGGGCATCGATTTGACCTACTACAAATTGAAACTTGTGAACGCCGGAGAACTGAGCAAGGCGAGCGATAACTTGGTAAGCACTTACACAAAATTTAGAAGAATTCCACACTTACAGAGTGCTCAAATCGCGGCGGTCTACCGTTACGTCTCCACTCATTCGGCGCACGACGACAACTTTCTGGTGATTGTCCCTCAGAACATAAAAAATGTGCAGAACACAGGGGTAAGTGAAGCGGGAAAAGAGAATGAAGACGTTGTTTTTGTTGTTGCAGAAAGAGAAACGGACGGGATTCATGGAGAAGCGGAAGGACGTCTATTTGGACGAGTTCATCAAGAACAAGCAGCACGACAAACCGCCCAAGTTTCGGTATTGTCTATTTATTCCGGCAAAATTCTCATTAAATTTTCAGACCCCGAATCGCTGTGAATTTCATCTCTTCTCCCCGCCAATCTTTCATTTTCTTCGAGCCATTTCCGTCGAATTTCGCACAGAGCATCGCTGGAATTTACCAGAAACTGGCGAGTATTTCTCATCAGTCTTCTGAATCCCTTTTCGATGGTTTTGCAGAAAGATAAGGAGCATTCGAAGGACAGCTGACGGGTTGGCGTCGAGTTGTCCTCCGCGAGCCGTGAGCCAAGGGAACGCCGCAGCGACTCTTCTTCGATCCGCGCGTCGCCGTCCGATCTGTCCGTGCCCGTTCGGGAGGCGCGTTCCGTGTCCGCCCAGCCGAGGCAACCGAACTTCCGAGCGAGAGGACGCGTCGGAGTGACTCCCAACTCACTGTTTCCCTGAACTCTCGACGCCTTTTTCTTTTTCTTCTTCCCAATTGCAGAGTGCCTTTCATTCGTCACTTGTAGTAGACACAAGCATCAATTTTTGTTCCGTTTATTTCAAATGCAATCCAATTCAACGCATTCAATAAAACTTTCTTTACATTTTCCTTTTGTCGCTTATTCGGTACAAAAGATGATAATGGAAGGAAGAGAAACGAGAGAAACCCCTAGAATACAGAAAAAGAACACCGCAAAAGCTAAAATAAATTACTTTCATAAGTTAGATTCATTTCAGGAAACAGGGGGATACGAGAAAGAAAATTGAATAAATTATGTGGTTTTTAAGGCATAAAAAGGATCAGGGGATGAAAAGGGAAATTGTGGGGAATAGTTGGCATGGGGATTTACGGGAAAAGGAACGGACCAGTAGGAATAAAAATCACAAAAAAGTGCGCCGAAACACTATAAATTACACACAGAACAATTCCAGTCTCCCAAGAGTTACACAATTTCCCATCGAATGTTAGAGAGTGACCGACACCAATTGAGGTTTGTTAATCAGAAAAGAACACGTCAAAAATGGGATTTAACTATCGATCGATCTGCTCCCAGGCATTCAGCAAAAAATGATGCACGGATGGGATGAAACAAGAAGCAGTGGGGGGTAAATTACATGCACAACCAGCCCTTTCATTATTTCTTTTCTTGTTGCGCAGATCGATCGACCACCAGTCAATCTTCCTCGTCCAAGTTCAGATCATCCATGTTCAGGTCGCCGCCTTCTGCGTCTCCAAAGTCTTCATCAGACCACTGCGTATCGTCCTGCTGAAAATATACATTGATCTTCGTTGATTTGATCAGTTACTTACTTCTTGAACAGGGGCCGATTGTTGTGACGGTGCAGAAACGAGATCAGGTGCAGCAGACCCCCGTGGCGGAACAATATCCGGACGGTTCGTCTCCGAGACGACATCAGGCGTCTTCGAAGTTCCGAAGCTCTCTTCCTCATTTTGATCGTCGTTCTGAAACTTATCAGGTACAGGATGAACTTTTTATAATAGTCTTACCGCTGGAATATGAACTTCATCTTCCTCTTCTCCGCATTCTTGCTCTTCTTCCGAATCAGGTTGTGGTGGCGGAGCTTGACGGACAGGAGAAGGCTTACGAACGGGAGAAGGCACGGGAACAGGAGAGGGCACACGAACAGGCGACAGGTGATGAGCAACTGCTGGTGGAGTTTTTAGCTGTTCAGTAGACCGTGGAGCATTTCGGAGCACAGCTTGTCCTTCGTCGGTGAATGAAACGACACCAGAAGCAAGAGCCTCTTCGAGTTCTTCTTGAATATTGCGATTGGCAGCAGATGGGACACGAACCGAAGCGGGAACGGGAATTTTTGAGATCTCACGGACGAATGATTCTGCCTTTAGAGACTCGGCGAATCCAGGGAACAAGTTCTCATATTTGATCGGGTCAGCGAGAGACTCTCCGAGCTTCTTGCTGCTCTTCTCACTGTTGCGAGATGCCTTCGCTTTCCACAACTCGAGAACTCGTGGCACTTGCGATGGAGCACGTGTGCGAGCTAGGAAGGCTGCTTCCGGAAGGCGGTCCGTGGCGATAAGAGACTCGAGACACTTGTCGACATCGCCGAGCAGAAGGTTGCTCAAAAAGCTGATATTGTGGCTCTCAGCGGCGGCTGAGTCGTCAGCAAGCTTCTGCAGAAGTGGGGCTGATCCAGCACACGTGGCAAGGAGCATCAGTCCTCCAAAGTCGCGGGCTCTTCCGAGACACTCTCCGGCAAGAAGAAGCTCGGATTTAAGCGTGGCGGCATTGCTGAGAGCCTTCCATTTCTCTTCGGAATCGGATTGGAGAGCCAGTTCGTAGGCAGTCTTCAAGTCTCCAAGACCGACGGACAGTTCGAATCTGAAAAGAAAACTATGAGTAAAAACACTTTCAACAGATAAATTACTTGTGATCAGGATCTTGAGAGACGGCCAGTGCCTGCTTTTTGAACCCTTGCTTCTCAAGGAAATGGGCGACTCGAGTCCTCTGTTCTTTCGGAATAGTCGTTAAGACCTTGTCGGCAGTATCGAAATCGCGTCGCATGACGGCAGTTTGGTACTCGAGAACCGACAGGAGCAGCTTGTACGAAATAACATTGAGGTCCTTGTCGACGGCGTACACGCGAGATTCCTTCGCCATGTATCCAAGCTAGATTAAGATTTGCGTTCATTCAAGGATTGTGCAGACAACTCACCAAATAAAGAGGCCTATCAACATGAGCGATGGTGACGATTTCTCCTCCCACGTAGTAATTGATTCGGTTCAGTGCAGTGGTGAAAATAAAGCAGTCACCGATCCAGAATCCAGTCTTCACTGCTTCCGCCTGTTCTCCGATCACTTCGAACGCATCTTCAATGCCGTCTTCTGTCACTTCAGTCGCACTGGCAACAGCTTCAGCGTTGTACTTGAGAATGTAAAACGACTCGTCACCGCAGATCGCAACCATCTCTCCGTTATCACTCCAGTAGATGTTTTTCGACGTGATCTCGATGCGTCGGACGAGAAGAGCAGTCTCCCAGTCGAAGAAGCACAGAGAGTTGTTCGATCTGAATAGGAATAGATGAAAACGAACAAACGCTTGGAAAATATCACCTCAATGCAAGGAGAGGTCCTCCAGAAATGCCTTCGAGCACCATATCCGATCTGATCGCCTTGTAATCCTTGAAATTCTTCTTGATCTTCACATTGGTTGCCGATTCGCGGACGGCGAAAACGTTCGGATCAATCGCCCAAACGAACTCGAGTCCCTGTCCGAAGTCTTTGTTTCTCAATGCCATCGCAGTGTACACGATGTACTCTCCATCTCCACAAGCAACGACGAATCTTCCATTCGAAGAGTGAGCGAGAGTTTGTGGGTAGATCTCAGAGGAACCAAGGTCCTTGACGTTGAGCGGGAGTCTTTCCCCATCTACAAACATCTATGGTTTAGTGGAAAATAATGAAGGTAGTACCTTGAATGGCTTCGGATTCCTCGGCGGAAATGGTCTTCAGATTTGCCTGTTGAATTTCCGAGTGTTTTGCCCACAGAATCTTTCCGGATGAATCCATGCTGACGGCCGGCTCTTCGCGTCCAAGTTTCAATGTGACGGATCCTTCGTCGTATCCGATAGCAACAGTGTTGGCTCCTTTCTGTGCTTGAATGCACCAAACACGTTCCAAGCCGTAGTTGAGAGTGGTTTCAAGTCTGCAAAACGGTTTTATTAAAGTGTTTAGGCGAAACAATAGTTACCTGTAGGTGTTAGCGTGCCACAATCTCACGGTCGAGTCTTCAGATCCCGTGATAATGAGTGGAAGCTCTGGGTGGAAGCAGACGGAAGACACATTTTGAGCATGTCCATCCAGAGTCTGGACGCACGTTTTGTTCTGAAAAACACATTTTCCTCATTTTTACGAACAAACGCGTTTATTCACCTGGTAATCCCAGATCTTGACCAAATGATCGTCCGCTCCAGAAATTATGTATGGTTTCTCTCCTCCGTGATAATAGTCAACACAGTTAACTCCTTTCTCGTGGCCTTCCAAAGTGAAATTCGGTACATTGGATCCGAACTGCCAAACTTTGACAGTTTTATCGAGAGAAGCGGTGGCGAATGTGTTGTTGTCTTTCGGGTTGATGGCGATCTGCATCACGTAATGAGTGTGTCCCTCGAACGACTGCTTCATAGCCCATTTGTTGTCCCAATCCCACAACTTGACGAGCATATCATCAGAAGAGGAGATGACGTACGGAAGAGTCGGATGGACGACGAGAGATCGGAGGTAGTCGGAGTGCGCTTCGAACTGATGGACCCTTTCGAGAGTGTTGTAATTGAACACACGGATATGCATGTCATCGGATCCAGTCACGACCCAACTCTTGCGAGCTACGAACTTCGCTACACGGACGGGAACATCGCACACCTGCTACTTTCGGTTATGCAAGAGTGTTCAGAAATGTCAAAGAATTACCTCGAACGACTTCACAAGAGTCTGAGTCTCGTAGTTCCAGATATGGACATTTCCATTGTAAAGGGCAGCCAAAAGCCACGTCTCTGTTGGGTGCAAGTCGACACACTTGACCCTGTCCGAACGGGCCAATAGTTTTCTTTTTACATCAAGTCGAAGAGGCATATTCTGCTGTTCCTGCAAGATAGTTCAATTAGACGGTCATAATTCGATAAAATACTTTAAAAAAAAGCTTTAAAATGAAGGGAACCCCGGCAAAGACGAGAAAAAAAAGTCGGCTAACAGAAATGCAGTTTTCTGAGTAAAGTTGGCATTTCTGTCGACATTCGTCAAACTACGAGATAGAGAAAGTCTTCAGCTTCGATAATTTATAAATTTCCAGCAAATCGGGTCAAAATCCATTGAGAAACGTCGGCAAAACGATAGATCACTTTAAAAACAGAGGCGCATCTATCGCCAACTCAGAAACGTACCAATCGCGCCGAGACCCGCCGACAAAACGACGTGCGCCTTTAACTTTATCGTCTGCGTCTCTTCAAAACACACAGTGTTTCAGGCGAACGGTGGCTGCTTCGTGGCAAATTTCATGGATAACATCGCCGATTTTGCAGAAATCTAGCGAATAGCTTCGGAAAAATTTCCGACAAAAGCTGAAATCTCGAAAGTCGATAAAAATTCGATAAAATCCTTAAATTTATCTATAAATTTTCGAATAGCGCAAATTTCTGAGCTAAATTGTATTTTTACAAGCTTTTTTCGAGTGAGGATAAGTATTTATCTTGAAAAAGATTGGAGATTGTTTTTCCCGAAGGAAATCGAAAGGGCAAAAACATAGAAATGATGACGTGGATTAAGGCTATTGCGAAATCTAATGAAGATACGGAATCCGATCAAAAGAGAAAAGGCCTGAAACGTACCGTGACTTTCTTGGAAAGGGAATTTGAAAGATTGAGAGGCTATTTTATGATGTGGATCTACAGGTTCACGCGCAATTGGGCATACTGATATTTCACTTCAGTAGGGAGGAAACCTCTTTTCAGCCAGTTCGTATACCCCAGATGATCCATCCCTCCAAGCTCTTCGTTTCACTTTAAGAATCCCTGAAAGTTCGTAAACATCTGCATCTCCCTCGTTTTTCTTCCGCTTCGGAATCCCTTTGCCTGAGCGTCAAATAATTACCGAAACATGTTTCGATACTGTTCGTCACTTGGCACCGTCCCCCCGACCGTCCGACGGGTTCATTAGCCGTCGACGGGCTGAGCAATTATCGAGTGAAATGGAGAGAAGAAGCTGCCCGCCGGCCGGCCACTTCGCCTTCTTGACGACTAACAATACACTATCCAGGTCACGAATCCATTCCGGAGACACTTTCCCATTCAACCTTTCCCGAGTGCCGGGGCGGCTAACGCTAGCTGCATTTCATATTCTTCGCACTTTTTTCCTGCCAAATGCTTGTCATTTCTCTCCTCGGTTTTCTGGTTCCCATTTTACAAGGTAAGGCTGATTGTAAATCGGAGAACAACGGGCATTTGGTCATTTGAGCTTTTGCTACTGTAATACTATAGGACTTCGTTCAGCCTCGTCCCGATGTTCCTCTCCAAATGCGACGACCTATCTGCGATCCGAAGGCACGCGTCTCATGGAATTCTCCAAGAAAGTAATGAAAGATGTAACTTTGAACGAGTGCGCGACCGCCTGTTCCGATTCTCTGACTGTGAGTCGTCCCTTTTGAGCATACTCAATCCTTTCCGATTCGATTTCAGACGGACGAGTGTCTCTCGTTCGAGTACGACGCCTCGCTCCTCCAGTGTTCGCATCACTCGGACGACGGACAGCCATTCGGTGCTTCGGTTCTCGCGAAGGCGCCGCAGATGATCTCGTTCTTCCAGCAGATTTGTTTACTCGGTACTTGAAACAAGCAAAAGACCATTAAGTGGTATTTAGTAGCGAAAAACAAGTGTTGAGATTTATAGAAAAACAATATTTACAATGTACACTCAATGAAAGGTTTCAGAAGAAGCAGTGTGCAGTGCTCCGTACTCGTTCGAAAGATTCCCGCAATCCGTTTTGATCGGGCACGCCATGAAAGTGCTCACTGTGGACGGGCTCTCCGATTGCCTTTCCAAGTGCGTTCTGTCTCCGAAACTCTACAACTTCCTTTGCAAATCGGCCATTTACTACTATGAAACTGGGGAATGCATCATGAACCGGGACAGCAAGTTCATCTATCCGAAGCTCTTCAAAACGAACGTCCTTGACACTTTGGTTGATTATTTCGAGAATAATTGTGCGGACGGTGAGAAGAATGACCGAAATCGAACTAAAATTGAAGATTATTGAGTTTCAGTGGCGTGCAGAGCGGAGGAGACTCTACATTGGGTCCGCACCGAAGAATATCTGATCGACGAGGCAAAGGATGTGATTGTGGAGAGCACGGACGCGCAGGAGTGCAATCAACTGTGCCAGGCGAATAAAATCGGACAGGAGAACTTTCCGTGCCGGGCGTTCGCCTACAGTAACTCGAAGCAAGAGTGCCATCTGACGGCCGAGAGCAGTTATGTCGGACACAGTGAGCTCGAGAATCTGATCAGATATGAAGACATTATGCACTTACAGAAGGAGACAAGAAGTTCAATTTGGCACCATTGAACAGTGGAGAATACTTTGAGAAAATCTGTCTGCCAAGTACGTCGTTTTTATGTTCGATTGATGACATTTCGATCAAATTCCAGCGAATCTCCAATGTATTGAGGCCAGTTTCGAACTGGTGGCCAACCGAATGATGACCAGTTCCTACAAAACGATTCCCTCGCTCTCGCAGCACGAGTGCCTCAGTCAGTGCATGAAAGATGGAGCGAGGTGTTCCAGTGCCACGTATTTCTACATGGATGTGAGTTTGAACCAAAAAATGATCTAGCAGCGAGTGGTTTCGATCCACCGACCTCTGGGTTATGGGCCCAGCACGCTTCCACTGCGCCACGCTGCTGACAGGAAAACCGCCCCTTCTCTTTAGTACCTTTTTACTGACTTTTCGCTCATCGCGTTTCACTCACAGTGATTCCTCAGTTCTTAGTGTCCCCTTCAGTGGCTGTTCACTGACTGATTACTGGTTTTCGGCTAATCAGCGTCTGCTCGGTGATCGCTCGGTAATTTCCGAGTGTTTCCGTTTTTCCTGATGAAGACACAGACAAACCGGCGTGGGTGAAATGAGGGCGAGGCGTGGGCAAACGGGCGGGGAGGCCAAAATCAGAAAAAAAATGTTGTGAATGATCGGGTGTAACCATATCAAACAAGAATCCGATTCCTCGTCTGGAACTTCGCAGTCCATCCGAGTTTTTCGCTTAAGATCCTTGGCTGACTATGAACAAAACGATCATGCCGAAAGATGTACCAAACTCACCCTCGCCGACCCGCCGGTTTGCCTGTGGAAATATTCGCTTTTCAGGACGAATGTCAGCTTTCTGATATTTCGCAATTCTCGCGTCCCAACGAGTTTGTGGTCGCCAATTTCACCGATTATTTCGACAAAATATGCGACCCGACCGACCCGAAAGTGCTGGAGAAACCGGAAACTCCGTCGGGGCTCACGGAGAACAGTGTGCACGAGGAGCCCAGTTCCACGGAAAGAAGCATTGCTCAAGGAGCGACGAACTTCGAGGTGGCAACCACTGGGAGCACGGTGGAGTTCGAGGACGACAACCTCATCAAGGACAATCTGGCTATCGAAGCCGTGCACGGAGTGTCCACGAATCAGGGACTGGGAGACAAACGGGAGACGAAAGTGGAAGTGGAAGGTGAGCGAATAAGAGAATGACTGAAAAATGAGGAGGGGGAGGTTCAGAGACAGTCATAGATGATACCGACGAGTTCTCGAGGGAAGTGGACGACTCCGGAGAGGCGCCGACGTCTTCGGAAGCGAGCGAAGGAAAGGTGAAGGCGAGGCTGTCGACCGAGTGCCGAATGTCCGGAATCTCCGTTGCAATCACATTCGCAGCACCCACTTCTGGAACTATTTACATAAAGGTAAATGAACACACTTTTCTTCTGAAAATCCGCGGATTTCCCTTGCAGGATCATTTCTCAAGCTGTCGGCAGTCGTTCTCCAATTCCACCTTTGCCGAACTCCACATCCCGTTCCCCACAGAAGACGATTCAAAGTGCGGCGGAACGGAATCCGAGCCGCACAAGTGGGATTACACTGTTGTCGTCGAGCGGAACGACATGAGGACGCCTTCGTTGATAACCACGAAGGACAAGACTTTCCAGGTCACTTGTGACTTTTCCAAGATTGCCGATGAGAATCAATTGGCCGCTTTGAAGTAAGATTAGGAGGGAAATTGCCGGGATACCATCTGAAAGCAAAGTTCAGACCGAAACTGGAAGGAGACGTGAAGAGCGAGAAGATTCTGATGGAAATAGTGAGGAATGGGCAGGCGGTGACTACAGTACCACTCGGAGCGGAAGTCGGATTACGGTGGACAGGTACGACGATTCATAGATTGATTTCCATCGAGAAAACGTTGAAACTTAGTGATTAATCCGTCTGAAAACTTGGGATTCTTCATCAACGAATGCATAGCCGAACGGGTCGGCGGACAGCCTCCACATCCGGAGCCGTTGAAGATCATCTACCAGGGGTAAGTGCGCTCTGCCGAACTCATCGACTCCATTCCCCTTTTCTCCAGATGCCCTGAGGAGAAGGTGCGGAACCGTCTGTTGCACGACCCAGTGACCAACAAAGACGACGTGTACTCGACGAAGATGAAAGTGTTCCGATTCGACGGCTCCCGCCGAGTCCGCATCAAGTGCTCCATCGATGTGTGCGTCGAAAAATGTCCCCCGGTGAGCCGCTCTTCATTTATTTTTATCACAAACAAGCCCTCACTTCCACCTATTATCGTGTTTTTCTATCCACTCCGGCCACAAAAACATGCGAAATCTCTCGGTTGCCAGCCGAAAGAACGAGCGAATCGACGAGAGTGTCGGCGAGAGAGTGCCCGAGAAGCGGAGAGTCCAGAGAGAAAGAGACGGCGTCGAAGTACTTTCCGAGCTGCAAAAACAGTAAATAGAGAGGTTAAGATGCACGAAATACCTCGAGACTTCCAGCTGTGGAGCTGAGGGAAAGGGCTCGGGCGCCGTCGATCGTGGCGCATTGTAGCAGTTTCTCGGGGGAGAGTCCACAGACACTTCTCGAATTGTTCAGCATCTGAATCACTTTCAGACGTTCTCTCTCAACGATATGATAAATACCTGCTGAGAGAAGCACGCCCATCGCATTTCTTCCAGGAAACAGATGCGATTGTTGCAGTCCGTTCCGAAGCTAATCTTCAGATTCTCATTGATTCTCGGGATTCCGTCGCCGAGATATCCTTCGGTGCACGGGCAAATTGACACATTGGCACCTAGTTTTGCGAACTGAATCATGTTGTTTTGGGGAGTGAAAGTGGCGTGAACAGCTGTGAAGTACTCGTTCAAATGAAGTTCGGAGAGCAGAATGTCACTTGGGCCCTGCAGAGAATCTTCTGGATGTGTGCAGTTAGAAGCACTCACCTGCTTCTGACCCGCCCACTTCTGGCAGTCGAGAATCTCCTTGGGCTGCTCCTCCAGATGAATGTGAAATGGAATGCGTTCCTGACTCGCGTACTCGAAAAGCCGTTTGATGTTTTCGAAAGGAACTGCCCTTGCGGAGTGAGCAGCCACTCCGATCTGCACCCGCGGGTGACTCTGCTCCTTTCTCAGCTGTTCGAGGTTGTGCACAAATTCGTCGTAGGAGGAAATGAATCTCTCTTGGACCGGATGAACCGCCGGACTCTCAAAGCCAGCGCGTTCGTAAAGGGTCTGAAAGCATCTTGTTTCGATGGAAAACAAAACGGTTGAAACCTGAAGAAGGACAATTCTGATGCCAGAATCAATGGCAGCTTGAATCACAGATTGATCGAGGTCGAATCGTTGCTCCGAGTGATGGACGTAATGAAATTCCCCGACGGTTGTGATCCCTGCGTTGAGCATCTCTTTGAACGTCGACAGACAGTACTGCAAGTTCTCGTTTGTGTAGGGTTCTTCTAGGTCTTCGTGGCTACCTCATAGATCTTGTCCTTGGTCACCTCGGCCACCAGTCCGTACATATTGTCCCTCCACTTCCAAAAAGTGTCGGCCGCCGATCTTCCGATCTCGGATCTTCCTCTCAAATGTCTATGGAAAGCGTGAGAGTGCGTATTAACGAATCCCGGAAGGAGCACGTGATTCTTCAGATTCACACTTTCCTCGAACATTTTCTTGTTTATTCCCACTATTCTTCCGTCCTCGTCCACCGATATCGACACGTTCTCCTCGATCTTTCCGTCGATCCACGCATACTTCACGTACACTGTCTTTCCACGGACGTTCATCTGAAAGCATCTGAAACTGTAAAAAGAGGGGGGAAGAGAGAAGGAGAAGAAGAAGAAGAAGAAACGAACGAATGAAGGGAGAGAAGGACGATAGCAGTGTTTGTTTTTGTACACATTCTGCTTGTTTGCGATAAAATCTCCGACTTTTCAGGTGATTTGCGACGAATTGGAAGTGCGAAATGTGGATAGTTACGGACGAAAAAAACGAAGTTCCAGCGTGGAGAAGTGGCTGAGAAAATCGGTGAGTGAGGGGGAGTTGGGAGGCACCGAAACACGAGCGGTTTCAGAACGAGAAGGGACGAATGAAAAGACGTGTCGTCGCCGGAACACTGACGATCACTGATGAGGAAACGGCGAAGCCACGGCCAGGTATGCCGTTAATTACCGGGTTTACGGGTTCGACGCCGAATCGCAGCGTGATGGCCGTTTGATGCCCGTCACGAAGAAACGTGTAATTAGAGAAAGAAGGGGAAGGGAAGGATGTTCTCTTCGTGAGAAAGACAGAATTCATCATCAATCCCTTGAATCTATTGAAAAATGCATTCGAAAAATTGTGAATTTATTGCCCTTCTTCCTTACAAATTCTCTCCCTTTTTGGAAAAGTGTTGACAAGCGGAGCGGTCCGTTAGTTATGTCAGTCCCTGTGGGCCGTCCGCTCGGGTTCCCTCCACTCATCACTCATCACTTCTTCTTCTTCTTCTTCAGAATTCTCCACTTCTTCTTCTTCTTCTTCTTCCCAGCAGTACTGCGTGCAGAAGGATCGCATCGAGTTCGTCGTCATCATCGTCGTTCTTCTCATTCTCCTCCAAATCGCCGTCGCCGTTTTCCTCTACCGAAAGTGTGTCTCTCGCGTGGCAATGGACGCATCGAGCGTGTATTCGGAGGGCAGTTCCACGACGTCCTCTTCCGCATCATCCGCCACGTCATCTGCCTACTCCACGTGTCATCGGAGGGACGAGGCGCCCGTTCTCCCGCAAAGACCCTCCAGATTTGTGGACGGTTCGCCTCAGTTCACGGAAAACCGATATAATAGGTTACATCATTTCACTTGAACTATTATTAATTGTTATGTTTGACATATCTGGTACTTATCAAAGTTCCATTACCATGCAATAGTTTTCAATTACCTAATATATTGTGCAATAGAGCGCACTTTCTTCCTCTACCCATGTGCCTTTCCTCACTTTGACTCAACTTAATTTATGTTCAATTCGAATAAAGATTTCAATTTCCTCTCGTCACTCGACTGAACAGAGTTCCCTTTCCTTTGTGAACTCTGCTTTCTGAAAAGAGAAAGAATAGTCAAGAATTCTGCAGAAATCCATGCGAATCAACATGTTTACGTGGTGTCTGATGCGCTCTATTTCGATCGGCTCCACATGGACGAGCCGAGCAGAGATCTATTGTTTTCACTGTTTTTCGGCCCAGCTGGCACGTTTTTATGAGTGAACGAACTCATCAGATGACTAGGAAGCGGACTGAATAGACGGTGAATAGATCTGACTTTAAGGAACAAAACTAGACATGTCAGGGATAACTAACTTCTCGAGACAGTTTTTCGATTCAGAAAAGAACTCTGAATGGATCAGGAAATCTTGGAAGGTCCGGGAAACATCTATTTTTGATTTTTGTCTTTGCAATCACGTTTCGGTATGTTTTCCATGCTCCTCGTGACTGACCGCTCCGCCGGTGGTCCGTGCTAAACGGAGAGTTCACAATCCGAGCGGGACCATCCAAAACATCACATGCGCGATCTCTCCGTCTCTCGATCCGCCGTTTTCTCTCGTCTTCCGCACTTTCACGTTTTGTTGACTCAATTGTGCTTTTCAGAACAAGAAGTGGAAGGGGCGTAGTCGAGACATGCAAAAACAAAGGGAAAAATGGGGCGGAGTGGGCACAGTCACAGGACTGAACAGTATAAAAAGCGAGGATTTCATGTCAACAAACATGACATCTCTTTTCTTTTGTTTTCTTTTTAAACTTTTTCTACTTCATTCCAGAAGCAACTTTGAAATTCTTCCCAAAGCGAACTCAAGATGATGAGCGTTCCAGTGATGGCCGACGAAGGAACCAAGTGGGATTGGCCGCTCCAGAAGGGAGACGGAGTCGTCAATGTGAGCTCATTCCTTCCTTTTTCAGCGTCCCCTACAACAATCATCTTTTTTTCAGGTGCTCGACGACGACAATCACTTCGAAGTGGGACTCGAGGCCCACCACTTCCTGCCGAAGGAGATTGAGGTGAAGAACATCGGCGAGCTGCTCGAGATCCACATGGAGCACACGGTCAAGACGGACCAGTTCGGCGACGTCTCCCGCAGCATCACGCGCTGCTACAAACTGCCGAAGAACGTCGACATGAAGACGATCAAGAGCAACTTGGACTCGAACGGAATCCTCCACATCCACGCATACAAGATGCACTGATGCATCTTCTCGGAAACTTTCGATTGTAAAAGACTCACTTTCTCTGATGTAAATAAACGAATGTAAAAATGAATGTGTAAAGAAGTGGGAAGAGCATAATAACAATCTGGGAGAGGAATAGAGAGGCAGGAAACGAGGAGTCATGAGAATGTCGTGAATAGTCTTTAGTCTTCAGATATCAGCCCCCGTTTCACGCCGAAAAGTTTGAGGATATGACTGACCCCATCTCGGGACCAGGTAATCCAATCGGTTTGAAACTTGGTCCCATTATATTTCAATCCAAGTCAAAGAAGCCTGTCAAGTTTGATGAAGTCTTAAACCAAAATGAAATGATCTTTGAAGGAAAGTAACTTTCATCGATCACAGACGACTTCGCTGCGAATCTCATGATACCTTCGCACCCGAATATTCTCAGAATGCACGTTCTTATCATATCATTCTTGTCATTTTGTTGTGCTCTTCGACGACGGTCTCCTCCTGATCACACTCTGGTTTCATTACAACGACTCGGTCTTTCGTACTCGGCCGCTACACTCTATTCCTTGGCTTTCGCACGTCCGCTTCTGCCGACTCCGCCCCTTTTCTGCAGCAACGACCGGTTGGTCCCTTCGGAAAACAGCACGTGGATCACATCCGCTCACCCATTCCGTCGGAATCTCTTCCGAATCCACAGACCTCTCGTATTCTTAAACAATGTGCCGGATCCGTGCTCTTCCCGAAATTTCTGCCGTTTCGTGGCATCAAACATCTGGCTCGGTGGCCGTATAAAAGGGCCGTCGGATCAGTAAACAACTCAGATTTCGTCGAAGAAACGCTGATTTCTTTTGTGAAAGCTACTGAGAGATGACTACTGTTCCGGTGAGCTCTGACGCTGGCGCCAGGTGGGACTGGCCGCTCCACAAGGGAGACGGAATCGTCAAGGTTAGTTCGAGAATGACGGGCTCTGGATAAAGTCTCAATTGGAGTATTGTAGGTTCTCGATTACGAAGACCACTTCGAGGTGGGGTTGGAAGCCCAGAACTTCCTTCCGAAGGAGATTGATGTGAAGAACGTCGGCGACTTCCTCGAGATCCACATGTCGCACGATGTCAAGGACGATCAGTTCGGAAACATTACTCGCAGCATCACCAGATGCTACAGACTGCCGAAGGGAACCGACGTGACCACGATCAAGAGCAAGTTGGACGGCAACGGAATCCTCTACATCACCGGTAACAAGAAGAAGTGAACGGACACACCTGAATACTGGTGAAAATTTCGTAGAAACCGCTCTGTCTTTTCTGTGTCACTTGTCTACATTTAATAAATTTCTGCCCCATTCGAAGCCGAATTCTTCTTTTCTGTCCCGCTCTTTCGAGGGGACTCCAAAAATTGGTTGTAATACTCAATGTATGCTCCTTTGCACGGAAATCTTTAGTAAAAGGCGAAAGATTTTCACGGTCAAATGCAGAGGAACCAGAGTTAAAATGACAGAGAGTGGTGGGAAGGTGGTCAGCCGCATGTACCGACGTCTCGCGGGTTCCGCCGCCCGCTATGCAATGCCTCGAGGAGGCGGAGTCTCACCGGAGGAGACGTTTTTCGGCCAGGATCGGAGGTTTTCAGCACAGATTTTCCATCTACAACAGTTTGCAGTCTTTGTATGTCGGGCAGTATAAACACAAACTTTTGTGCCAAATCATCATTGTCTGCTTCTCTCGACTCTCATCAGCACTCCCGTTCTCTCGTCGTTTCTTTCCAAAGTCCACTTCCACTCTCTCCGTTTATTTATCATCAAAAGTGTCGATTACCCTTCTAGAAACCCCACTTTCATTTATCAGCAGCACACATCAAATTGATAAGGACGCTACGAAAGTTCTGTGATGTTTGTGGGCCACGTGACGCCAGCCTATTCGGGGAGAATACAGTCGGTCTACCCGTCTTCCCGATGCAATCGGCAAGGTCGTCCACGCAAAAAGTATCATTCGTCTTCTTTTTCGCGGAATTCGAGATCCTATCCGTTTCGTCAGAAAAGAAAGGTCTCTTTTGCTGTGATTTTTATCATGAATGGCCCGGAGAAGTGCACTTTGATCTAGTGATCGTCACGCCATTCTGCGAAGTTGAATTCCCGAAGCAAACCATTCAAAGTATCCAATTCGTTCTATACAGTACTGTTTTAGTATTCAGTTTTCGTTTAAACTCGGCTACTCACTAACTTAAATGGACCTAATGTAGTCTGGCGTGTCGCATTGACTCGACGCATTGAGCTGTCACGAACGATACAACTTCTTCCGTATTCCCCGTGAAACGTGGCCTCCAACTTACTATTTATTCGAAGTGTGCCGACTTTCGCGTATTGATACGTATCAAGTTAATTCCTGTCACAATTTGTTCAAGTACAAGCTCACGAGGAGAAAGGGTAGTCTGATAAAGAGAATTTGCGGGAAAAGTGGCATGATCAGAGTTCAAATAATCACTCGAAACAGCCCATTTTCGCCTCGTTCTCTTGCCGTTCTCTGCTTCTTCCTCCTTTATAAAAGACTGCAACATTCCCTTTCCGTCGGCCACGCGTCCCGGCTCGCGGAGCACGAGAAAAGAGCACGAAAAGCCGGCAAACGAAAAGAGAAAAAGGAATTCCGACCGCCGACGCAAACTCCTTTCTTTTCTCCTTATTCCTCCTGTTTTGTTCAGTTGTCTACTGGTTTCTCGCGTTGTTTCCAATCAATTTGATGCGAATATCCGTCCGAGTTTCGACCTTGCCCTCCGTTTTCTGTGTCTCTCCCGTCAGAATGTTCTGTGCCCTCCCGCTCTGTTTGCACCGCCCATTCGACGGTGGTCGAGGACGTGTAGCCTAGTCACAGTTCTTTTTCCTCTCTTGCCATTTGTGCCGATGCGTGCGTTTCTGGCTAGTGAGAATGTCCGAGTTTAAAAAATTCCAAATTTTAGTTACCGCGCAGTGATTTGTATGCATTTTCACGTGACTGTGGTTGCGGACCATCACAGTTTTTCTGCCGCACGCCTCTTTTTTCCAAAAAGTTAACGTTACATCGCCATTTCTGCCGCAAAATCTCCAAAATGAGACCGTTTCTCTCGTGCTCCGTGTTCGTCAGACAAGTATTCAGGTCATTTTACACTTCGAATCTCTCGTTTTCGACACAAACACCTGAATACCCAGAACCATGTTGTTTACAGAGGGTTTACTACTACTCACAGGATGGCGGCTCAAAAGATTCATGGAGGAGACATCGTCGAGATGCAGGGTGACGAGATGACCAGGATTATCTGGGACCTTATCAAGGAGAAGCTCATTCTCCCGTACGTCGACCTGAACGTCCACTTCTTCGACCTTGGAATCGAGCACCGTGACGCCACCAACGACCAGGGTAAGTGAACGACAGACAAACCACGCTGTAGTCTTTATCACACAATTATCTCTATTCCAGTCACCATCGATGCCGCTAACGCGACTCTCAAGTACAACGTGGCCGTCAAGTGCGCCACCATCACCCCGGATGAGGCCCGCGTCGAAGAGTTCAAGCTCAAGAAAATGTGGAAGTCGCCGAACGGAACCATCCGTAATATCCTCGGAGGAACCGTCTTCCGCGAGCCAATCATCGTCAAGAACGTGCCACGTCTCGTCAACACCTGGTCCAAGCCAATCATAATCGGCCGTCACGCTCACGCCGACCAGTACAAGGCCACTGACTTCGTCGTTCCAGGACCAGGAAAGCTGGAGATCAAGTTCGTGTCTGCCGACGGAACCGAGACTATCCAGGAGACGGTCTTCGACTTCAAGGGGCCGGGAGTTTCCCTCTCCATGTACAACACCGACGACTCGATCCGTGACTTCGCTCACGCTTCCTTCAAGTACGCTCTCCAGCGCAAGTTCCCACTCTACTTGTCCACCAAGAACACGATCCTGAAGAAGTACGACGGACGCTTCAAGGACATCTTCGCCGAGATCTACCCCGAGTATGAGGCTCAATTCAAGGCCGCCGGAATCTGGTACGAGCACCGTCTCATCGACGATATGGTCGCCCAGGCCATGAAGAGCGACGGAGGATTCGTGTGGGCTTGCAAGAACTACGACGGAGATGTCCAGTCAGACTCTGTCGCTCAGGGCTACGGATCTCTCGGTCTGATGACCTCGGTGTTGGTGTGCCCAGACGGAAAGACGGTCGAAGCTGAGGCCGCCCACGGAACTGTCACCCGTCACTACAGACAGCACCAGAAGGGACAGGAGACCTCCACCAACCCAATCGGTAAATTTAGAACGCATTCAATTCGACCAAGAAATTCTAATTTTCTCTCTTCCAGCTTCGATCTACGCCTGGACCCGCGGATTGTCTCACCGTGCCCAGCTTGACAGCAATGCCGCCCTCGAGCGATTCGCCAACAACCTCGAGGCCACTTGCATCGAGACCATGGAAGCCGGCTTCCTGACGAAGGATCTCGCCATCTGCGTGAAGGGAGGAAACGCCTCCGCCGTCGTCCGCTCCGATTACCTGAACACCTTCGAATTCCTCGACAAGCTGGCCGAGAACCTGGCCAAGAAGCAAGCCCAGTAGGCTGATTCTCAATCTCTCCAATAACTTTCGTTCCGTCAACTGAACTCTAATTTCCTTCTTTTATGTATTCGTATTCTGTATTCGTCAATTTTAAATTTCTGTGATATGATATTTCCATTGCTTCTCTTTTATGTATCTTACCATTAGTATACACATTTTCTTACAACTGAAACGTTTTCCCAATTCAAATTTATTCAGTTTCAATTCACAATGAGAATCACTTCACAGAAATGATAAGTTATTCGGTTTGCTCGTGACAAATGTCCGCGAATTCCGGAGCTCTCAACGTCGCCTTAATCATCTTTTTCAGCATTGCATACCGCGGAACGATCGGAAACATGCGCGTCGCGTCATATTTGTCGTGCAATTCCTGCAATACAGAAGACGTTGAGATGCAATTTTAAAAGGGAGGAACCTTAATGAGACGACGGAGTCCCAAATATTTCTTGGTGAGACGGTACAGTTGGGCGTAGAGCGCCTCGCATTCCTTCACGAGTTCGTCTGACTTCCGAGCTGGAAAAAAGAGAACGATTCCGGGAATTGTGCACTGAGAAAATAGGAAAACCTTTGAGTGAATCGTAAAGTACCGTGTCCACATTCGATTCCGCCGGTTTCCCGATTGTCGACTGCAGAAGCGCTCCGATTCCACGCGTGGGCGGCAGCTGAGTCGGAGTCTCCTCCAGCAGCTCAATTATTCTGAAAGAAATCCGTTCCGTTTCAAGTATCTTAATCATCAGAATCTCTCACTTGACAACGTAACAATTGGCATCTTCGGTGCCCTCCTGCGCCGGTATGTTCAGCAGTTTCCAGTACTGCTTCTCGAGCATCGCCACCTCGCGGACGGACTGACCCAATTTCACGTATCTCATGAGAGCGTTCGCTTCCTTCGACTTCAAATAGTCCTCTTGCAGTTTTTTCAGCGCGTTCTTGAGCCTTCTGCAACAGAAAAAAGTTATTCAGGGGCAAAGGTTGGTTTGGGGAGCAAAACATAATTGGAATGCCTTTGTTGAGGTGCAAAAACGAGTGAAAAGCATTCAACGTTTGTGTTTTGTTTGGTCTCTTGAACAGGAATTCCGAGAAGTTTGGACGAATTCAAAGATATTCCAGGAACTATTATTTTCTTATTAGTCTTTCTTTTGCGGCACATGTCCATGGACATCTCCGGGTGACCAGGAAGCTCAACTTTGCAGTCACTGCTTAAAAACAGGAAGAATAGAAAAAAGCATGTTTCTTCTGTTTTGAATAGGGTTTCTCTCCCGACTCAACTAGCCTATTCCCTCTCCCTGTTAGTACCTGTACGGTTCGAGGATCCTCCATCGAGTGCGGTGCAATCTGTAGGCAGTGGTGATGAGTGTGTCTCGGCTGGTCTCTGCACGGAACATGATTATACGAATGCCACTTTCCTGCCCCTTCCTGCTTCGGAAAGGGGCGGCGCCTGACTCACTTGCCGGGGCGACGAACTGCGGGCCGTCGGAGGCGCCCTCCTTTGTCATCGACATCAGAATGTTGAGCATTACGTCCTGAGAGAAAATGATTGGATGCCCGAACTCGAGAGGTTTTCTGGCCATGTCAAGTGGCCGGCATTCGGCTCCTCCTGACTTTTTTGAGATAAAAATGGTGCAAAGAATGGAAAGTTTGCGGGGGGAAAGTTTCTTTCTCCGAGAAATACACGAGAAATTTATACTCAGCTGAAAATAGGTCATGACGCGTATTTTATGGTGACAAGCGTGTCCGGAAACCATTTTCAAACGAGACATTTCCGGATGTTTACGCCGGAGAGAATATGTGCACTTTTGGTTGTTTTCAGAAACAGAACCGCTTTGCTCCCCGAACAGTTGGAGCCATAAGTCATTTCGAAGATATTTTTCTACCGGAATGACCGCTTGTTCACAACAATGAATTATTGATTTGAACTAAACATGATCCGAGCACGACAGAAATGTTTTCGAAATCCGAGAAGGCCAACACAAAGAGCATTGGACCCGGAGGAATGAGCCAGGCTGGAAGGAATTCTGCTCCGAGCACGTTGCCCCAAAAAAAGTGTGAACTGGCTCGTTTGTCTCTTTCTTTTCCGCCGCCTATCGGGCCTTCAGATCAGTGGCTCCGTGTGCACCAAGGCGAAACTAAAAGGGAAACGAAACCAAGTTTGGCAGGAAAAATGTGCAAAGTGGAGTAAATTTCGGCTCCGCCGACTAGTACCGGACCGCATTTTCAAGTGTTTACCATTCTTCCGTCGACTTTGAGGCTTTTCTTCGAATATTCAGAACAAGAAGAAGAAGAAGAAGAAAACGTCAGGAGGATGAAGAAGTTGGAAGTGGAAGAATGGAGGAGGGAATCAAATCAACGAAATTAAAAGAGGGATTCGGGCGAATACGCGCGAGACGAAAACGACCAAAAGTGGGATTCTGGAGCATCTATCATTTTACGATTTCGATGAAAGATCTCCACATTTCACTTCCCTTTGATAGAGAAACCGAAAAAGGAATCGAGAGCTCGAAATGAGCAGATTTGCAGCTGGATCGGAGGTAAAGAAGCGTGCTTCCTTTCGCCGAATCGACCTTTTGCACCTTCCGGTTTCGCTTTTTTCGCAGTTTTCATTCAAACGTGACTATGAGAAATCAGAGAATTGAAGACGAAGGTTTTGTACGAAAACGTTGACTATTTGGATCTTCTGAGTCATAATCCTTTCTGTTTCAAATCTCGGATTCTGATCTTTTGAAGCACAAGAATCCTTTCGGCAATAAACCATAGCCACGTCAAACTCTTCGAAAAACGGAACGAAGACGAATGCTCTGGCAGCTCCTTATGATTTCGGAATCCCCTGCGGACATTCCATGAACAATCAAACGTACTTTGCTCTTCTCGATTCGCTCCGATCACCTGACGGACCCGATCGTTTACCTTAGGCTTAATCCGCGGCGATAATCCGGTGATAGGGGTAGGCAAACTCATCCAAAAACGGATATTAACAGGAATTCAGGTTGGGTAGAATGACGGAAGAACCTGATCGAAGGGATGCTCATAAAACGACGGAAATGGGCGGTCTTTCCACGTCGGAGCCGGAGTCATAAGCTCTTCTTTGTGACAAGCGAAAGATGAGCGAGAGCCGCTGCTCGGTAATGATGATTCGACGCGTGATTTGCCCTTCGGCGCTTGTTTGCGGTGGGAGCACAGCTCCAGATGACAACACGGATAAATTTAGAATAATGAGGAGGAGAGGGGTGTAGCGGCGGACAAAAAGAAGATAATAGAGACACGGGAGGAAAGAGCCGGAAGGTGTCAGAGATCACGGAGCACAGGTTGGACGAAACACCAGAAGTGCTTCAGAATAAAAGAAAAAGAAAACACTTCATCGACGATGGACTTTGAGGGGGAAGAGAAGGTCTCTGAAACCACTTAAGGTGAGAAAGTCCGCTGAAATGTCAGAGATCGGCCCGGAAAGTTCTTCTCTAACTTTTGCGGACTCTCTTTAAAAGTATCTTTTTCCTGCTCGAAAGTGCAAATTGCGAATCCAGCCGGAAAAGCTCATTAGCAATTGGATAGGCTCAGTCGGATTAGAGACGTCGAGAGCGAAAGATTATTAACGTAGTTTGTATTTTGTCTTCAAATGAATCCGAATTTGGATTCTGGATTCTGGATTCTGAATCTCGAGAACTGAGCCGTGTGGGAGCCAAGAAGCGTCGCGCAAATCGGATTATCCCATCAAAAACGAGTTGATTCGAAAGGAAAAGAACTCAGAGACATTCCAAATCGAATCATCTCGCCTCGTTGGCAATCTGGCGCCAATTAGAGTGCATTCCGAGGAGCGGGAGGCTCCGAAGAAGTGGAAAAAGGGGGAAAACAGAGCGGACCGTGCTAATTGTTTAGAAAATAGAGAATAGTAGCCGAGAGAGAGCGAGGGAATGAGCGGACCGACGGAAAACGGGGCGAAAAAGAATAAATCGGACCCCCGGGGGATGCGGAAAACGGACGGCCCCGGCAGCAGACCTGCGGGAGACGAAAAACAACCAATTTCCCCCATTGTAATCGGCACAAAAAACGCATTTTCCAGTGTGAGATTTTATGAGAGAGCGGGGACACCGAAAAGAACAAAGAAACGCCTATTGTCGGCAATATTCATTCGTCTCGTGAACTTTGATTCGACAGAAGCACTATAAGAATTAGCAGGAAGGGAAGTGCGCTCCAATGCACAAAATAGCTAGAAAGTTGGACAATACTCAGATTTCAAGTCCCTTTGAAGACTTCTATTGTAGGTCCAGAAAATCACTAAACTTCCGGACAGACACTCAGTCTCGCGTGAAATTCAAAATTCGACCTGTTTTGGTGTTCGCAGAAATACGAAATGCCGTCTCTCCTGAAAGTCGGAAAGGAGAGAAATGTGTCATTTCATCTTATTAGGAAGAAGGAGAAGGAGAAGAAAAAGAAGAAGAAGAAGAAGAAGGAGCTGTCGATCCAGTAGTGACTGACAAATGAAATGAGGAAAAAAGGAGGAGAGGATGGGTGAGAAAGCAATAAATAAATTGGAATCGGCCTGACAGGAAGGCTCCCACGAAACACAGAATGCAACTTGTCAAATGCATTCGCGTGTCTAGACGTGCAACAGAAGATCGAGTGCAAGGAATGGAAGAGGAAGAAGAAGAAGAAGGAGATGGAGACGAAGAAGAAGAAGAAGAAGAACGAATGACCGACGACAGATGGAACATTCTGGAAGGACTCTGGAACAGATTCATCAACCAGATGACAGTACCCTAGAATCGTTATTGCCAATTCTCGGATACCCCAAGACTGCCAACCAAAAACATGAACTTACAAAAATGCTGGCCATGGCGGCGTTGGTCGCAATAATAGCAGATAAAGCGTTTTTGGCCGAATTTCGGGGTGCTGCCGTCCCGTCCCAATATTATCCACTTATAATAGGCATTCAAATTATTCCACACAAAAAGGGATATGACGGGGCAGAGAGAGAGAGAGAGAGAGAGAGAGACAGAGAGATACACGAAGAGCAGGAGGAGCAGGAGGAGCCATCGCGTGTACGGACACTCAATTTCCGGGCAGCACTTACCATTATTTGGTTTTACGAAATTTGGTGTGCAAATGTGAAGAAGAAGATCTGAAAATGAAGAGTGTCTTTTGAGGGAAGAAAAGAGAAATTAGAAGAAGAAGAAGAAGAAGAAGAAGGACATATTGTTTGGTATTCATTGCGAAACCGTGACAGAAGACTGACGGATGCCACCCGGGAGAAGTCAAAGTTTGAGGATCAATGGATGGGAGGAAAGTGGAGGCAACGTCTGAATTTCCGAGGGGTACTGTATCTTCGAACTGTTCGGTAGGAGCAATGTAATTGTACTTTTACTATTTACAACTGGTTTCCCTTAATCCAAATACAAATGATTAAAAAGTGCGAAATTAAAAAAAAGACAGGAGGAGAAAATACGAAGCCCCGCATCCTCCAGGATCCGGTTGAATATTCATGAGCCGATTTTACAGCGAGAGACGTTGTTCATAATTTCCCGCAAAGGGTCGGCTAATAAAAGTGAGCAGCACGTCGCAATTCGAACCAACAACACGCGTCTTTCGCTGAAAATAACCTCGAAAAGGGGCGGGGCCAGGACATATAAACGGGCCGGAAAAAGGGCAAGAATTGGGGTCGCTGGTGGTGTCGAAATGCCCGAAATCTCATTTTGACTCGCTTCGCAAATGATATTTCGGGGACAAGGGAGGACATCAAAAAGTTTGGGAAAAGGGGGAAACACTTTTGGGAAAGGACAAAAACGGCGGAGAATTAATCGAATAATCGGGGGGGACTAATTTGATTGTGACTCAAACAAGAGATGAGTATTCGAGGAGGGTCCAAACCGATAGAAGCTGGTTTTGAGGAAGTACAGTACTGAAAATGGTGGAAACGCTGAACGCAACGCAGTTTTATAGGCTGAAAACGTTGCAATTTCAGGCAGATGCGATTTTACGATTGCTGCAAGATCACATGAAACATCAAACCGAAACGATGCATGATCGGGAAACCATACGAATAATCTTGCAGGATTAGAAAAGAATGACACCTGGATTCCGGACTTTGCGGGGAAGATTATCGAACTGATGAGAGTACTCAAAGAAGTGCATAAATCAAGCGTTTATTGCGATAGAAGTGTATCGGCTGGTGGTCGGCTCCTGCTCCTCGTGCTCCACGAACACCGGAATGCGCGACTTCCGATCCGAATCGTAACTGACTTCCATTTTGAGCATGAAGGCGATGAATTGCTCAAACGTCATCACAGTGTACATTTTGTCGACGTCGCTTTTCAGATGATCCAGGTTCGTCTGCAAAATGAATGGAATTGCTGGAAAATGCCAATGTTTTGTTCACCTGTCCGTCGTGTATCACAAAAAGAGGTCCGAGATTGTAATGATGGAAGGGATAGGATCCGATATTGTAGTTTACCTTTTCGGGCATTTCGTCACACCACGTGGCTCCGTGCATTTCCACGAGCTGTCTCAGTTGACCGGCTTCCGGAAAACTGCTGATCGCCACGTGGAATTGCACTCCGGACAGATAGGGAAGCTGCTGTTTGTGCACCCACTGCGCCCATTTCGTGACCGTCTCGTACACTTTCCCCTTGTACTTCACCTTTTCCACTCGGAACTTGTAGTCGTCGCGGAAGTTGGACTTCTTCACGAGACACCCGTTCAGCCACTGCTCTTGCATCAGCATCGTCGGCAAGAAAACGCACATAATGTAGCCGAACTCGTCCGATTCGAACACGCCGTCCTCGTCGGTTTTCACAACGAAATGGGTCACTCCCGCCTTCTGATCGGTAACCTGGAATGAGAGATTGGAAATAAGAAAGGGACATATTTAAAGACTGACGTTTCCTTTGAATGTTTCAGTGAACTTTCTCACTTCTTCCGTCTTGCTCACGTGGCGATCGATTCGAATACGGAAGAGCATTGTGGGAAGGAGATCGGGCACCCCTGAAAGAGACAGTTTTCAGGTGAGATGGGTTGGAGAAGGCTCACTGGGCCTGAATGTTTTGTTCTGATACTTGCGGAATGTCATCTCGATCTCATCCGACGCGTCCGTCTGCATTTCCATCGTACTCCGATCACTGACCGCTCGCGTCGTCGCTCCGCCCTTTTCCCTGTCGCCGATCATCTGCTCCGCCGTTTTATTCTCCAGATTGAACGCATTCCGATCCGCTCCGTTCTTCAGCAGAAGTTTGACTATCTTGGCGTGTCCGTACTTGGTGGCTGCATGGAGTGGAGTGTTTCCGAACGCTGAAATCATCAAGATCATCTCTGGAAAAAGAGAGTTCCCTTACGGTTGTACACATTTATGTAAGCGCCCTTCTTGACCAACGCCTTCACGTGCTCGTAGTTCACTTCTCGGATTGCTTCACACAACGCATTCTTCTCCGATTCCTGATCCAGCCAGTACTGAAGAAAACGTTTAAACGATCAATGGGGAATGAGCTCACCGAGTACCGCCAGTACAATTCGAGAGTTTCCTGCGACGCCCAGTATCTCAAGTAGAGCCGCATCCATTGTTTCCTTCCGTTCGGAGTCAATGAGTAGATGAGGAAGGCGAGAAGGAACAGAAAGACGAAGGATCCGATGACAACGAGAACAATTCGGATGACTTGTCGCCTTTCGAGCTTCGGCTTTCTGCAAATTGGGGGAAAGTTAGAAGAACACAGTATCGGCAGCTTACTCTGTGCTTCTATTCTGATGTTTCTCAGGAGTCGGCAGAGTCGGCAGAGTGGGGAGAACCGTTTTCTTTGTGGAAGAAGTTGGAATGTTCGTAGTTTCCAGAACGATCTCAAGCATTCTTTTGAAGAACTCTTGCAACTGCCTTATCATGTAGGATCCCTTGTGAAGGAACTTGGTATGAGATGCGAAGCTTGTGTCGAGATGTTTGAGCTTCTCGAATGCATCCGCAGCCGCCGATTCGTTATTCTTCCTCAGTTCGCTCAACAAGTCCTCCCAATTCATTTTCACTCCGTGGATTTCGTCAGCTTTGTCGAACACGTTTGCCACGTCTTCAAGATTTCGGAGATTCGTTTCCACGTATTCATCCAGCTCATCAATGCTTTTGACGAGCGCCGAAAACGCTGGTTTGTCGTTGTTCTCCCATTGAATCCACGAACGGCCCGTCGAAGACACATTCAGTTCCAGAATCGCGCCGAACTCCTCGCGCATCTTCCTTATCTCTGCCATATCCGTCAGAACGTGCAGTCCTTCCAGGATGGATTTTGGCAGTGTGTCGCGTGTTTCACAGAACTCCTGCACTCGAAGCACTTCCGCGTTCATCGACACTGTCTCTCCATTTCTCATATCCGTCAGATTCTGAACGATGGCGTGAAGACCGTCTGCACGTGTGTGGGCCTCTTCGAGGAAATGACAGTATGAGACGACGACTTCGATGTCCGTTTGGCTCCTCCCGAACTCTGTCAGTTTGTCAGCCCACTCCAAAACATTGTTTGTTGACCTCACTGCCGGGGTTATTCTAGACAGACAATCGGAGACAAACGCGAATTGGGGTGCATCTACTTGACTGGCGACCGTTTCCAAGACGTCCACTTTAGGGAAACTAACTTTCATTTGCTTATTCTTCAGTTTGATATCATCCACTAGGGTATGTGACAAGAAGTTCCATAAATTGGTGACATTGCGATTTATAACAGCTTTTTCGTTAATCAATTGGAGCATTTTCTGAACTTTTGTTTTGTTCACGTTTTTAGAGATGTTTAGACTCTTGAAGTGAGTCGCTACGATGCTTGCCAATGTCCTTATACCATTTAAAACTTCGTTTCCCTTGACTGACTTTCGAACGAGTCTGGACACATTGATGAGCTCAGTCAGATTGTTGTCGATGAGGTCGATATCGAGAAGAAGTTTATCGAAGAGAGGCCAGTTCAGTGTCTTCGGAATGGGCGGCACATTCATCACACACTTCCCGACGTTTTCCACGTAAGAGCTGTTGAGTGAATAGACTCCGGACCTCTTCCATTTCTCGATTTCTCTCACTAATTCTTCAACTCTCACAAATGATTTTCTCCCTTTCATCTCATAATCCTTCTTCCAGAGTGTCAAAATCCTCCGAACTTCAATGAGCTGTTGCGCGAATTGCTTCAAAGGAAGTGTTCCGTTCTTCAACTTCCCAACTCCTTCTCCGTTTCCGATCATATCCTCCAGCCACTTCCCCTCCAAATCATCGAACATTTCAGTCAGATCGCTCACTCCATTCGGCAGCCCTTCCATCGATTTCGTGTGATTTCGAAGGAACAGTGTCTCTATACTTCGCATCTTTTCCAGGTCGCCGGCTCTGTATTCTGGAAACTTTCCGAGAATATTTCCGTATTTCTGCAGCTCGTACTCCGCCGTTCTCAGGAGGTTCCTCAAAGACTGGATACTTTCAAAACTGTTCCGATTGTGACCAATTGGCGAAAGAGTTCTGAGGGCGTCTTTGACAAGCGCATAATTGCCACGTGCTGCCTCAAATCCTTCGATACGCTGCTTCGTTTCGGTGTAGAATTCTGCCACTTGATTTCGGAATATCATGTAATTCGTGGCACTGAATTCTCTCCAATATTCCGCACACTCCTTCGTATCGTTCGTTATGATAAAGACACATTTTCGGAGATTCTCGAGCAACTTGAATTCGGACAGCTTAATCGTTTTCTCCTGCTCAAACTGTCTCATCTGATCGATATACTTCGAAAGATTCTGATGTTTGATTCCATCTTTCAAATGTTTCAGATCTATTTTAGCGATCACTTCCACATCTTTAAGGGCTCGTCTGACGTCTTCAAACTTCGTACGGACTCCGGATTCTCGAACGGACGTGGAAATGTTCACGATATCCTGCGTAATGTTCTGAGGATGCCTTCTCAGAGACACTAAACTTTTCGTCTCCAAATCAAGGAGTCCGGCGGCGACTTCGTACACATCCGAACGAGAAATATTGGATTGGAGGGCCATTCCGGTAGTGAGACGCGTCAAAACGGACATATTTTTGAGGAACGCCTCCAGGTTTGAAAGTGCTGGTGTGACCGGATCACTTCCTTCGATTCGAAGCAAGGAACAAATGATGAATAATGCTATGATAATCTTGTCATTATGCGACATTTCTCTGAAAATTTCAGTCTGAGCGAACCGGAAAAGGAAGTGCGAACTCACATGTGAACGTATGATTACACTTCAATGGATTTGAATTGAAACGACGATTGTGGAAGGAACATAGAGAAAGGAAGGGCGCCACGTAAATCAGAGAAGTTCATGAACGCTTTTTATCAAATAATTGTCAATCTGCAGTGCATTCTGTGATGGTGCCCGTCGTCGTCGTTGTGTTGTTCTGGTTGACGTTGTTGCCCGTGTTCAACAATGGGATCGGCGGCTTCCTTTCGGGATCGTAGTGCACTTCCATTTTGAGCATGAAAGAGACCAACTGCTCGAACGTCATCAGAGTGAACAGAGCATCGTTCTTCAGATGATCCAAATTGGCCTGGAAAGTTTTGAATGGATGGGTCAAATCGCTCGGTCTCACCGCTCCGTCGTGAATCACAAAGATCGGACCGAAATTGTAGTGGTGGAACGGATGGGATCCCTGATTGAATTCCTCTTTGTCCGGCATCTCTTCATGCCAAACGGCCCCGTGCATCTCCACGACCTGCTTGAGAAGCGCTTCGTCCGGAAGTTCCTTGACGGTCACGTGGATTTGCACCCCGTAAAGATACGGAATCATCTGCTTGTGCACCCACTGAGCCCAACTGAGCACAGTTTCGTACTCGACTCCCCTGTATTTCACCTTCTTCACTCGAAATTTGTAGTCGTCGCGGAAGTTGGACTCCTTCTTGAGACAGGCCGTTATCCACTCCTCTTTCATAAGAATCATCGGCAGAAACACGCACATTATCTGGAAGAAGTCGTCCGATTTGAAGATTCCGTCGTTTCCAGTTCGGAGGATCAGGTGGGTCACACCCTTCTTCTCGTCAGTGACCTGAAAATGTCATTGGAATCGGAAGCGTGTGAGCAGGGCAACTCCTCACGTTTCCCTTGTATTTTGCCGAGAACCGATCAACCGATTCATCCCGCAAATTGGTGTCCAATCGGATCCGGAAGACCATGGTTGGCAGAAGTTCGGGCAAAACTGAAGAGTGAAATCATTGAGAGGCAACTCGGAAACGAACGGATTACTCTGCTTGAATTTTTTGTTCCGATACTTCTTGAACATCTTCGCGATCTCCTCGTGCGATCTCATCTGCGTGTCGCCCGTGCTCGTCGACTCGCTCGTCACTCGCGACATCGTCTGAACGTGGTCGGCGAGCAGCTGCTCCGCCGTTTTGTTCTCAACGTTATACGCATTCCGATCCGCTCCGTTCTTCAGCAGAAGTTTGACTATCTTGGCGTGTCCGTACTTGGTGGCTGCATGGAGTGGAGTGTTTCCGAACGCTGAAATCATCAAGATCATCTCTGGAAAAAGGGAGTTCCCTTACGGTTGTACACATTTATGTAAGCGCCCTTCTTGACCAACGCCTTAACGTGCTCATAGTTGATCTCGTGAATCGCCGCGCACAGACTATTCTTGTTCGATTCTAGATCCAGCCAATACTGAAAGTGTTGGTTTGAAAGGAAATCGGAAGAAAGTGAACTCACCGAGTACCGCCAGTACAACTCGATCGTTGCCTCGGACGCCCAGTATCTCAAGTACAGCCTCTTCCATTTCTTTCGGCCGTTCGGAGTCAGTGAATAGATGAGCACGATCAGGGAGACAATGAAAAGAAGACCGGCGACGATGAGGATCACAATCCAGAGAAGTGGGAAGGCAGCACTCGTCAGTTTCTCAGATCGAATCCTGAAACTGAGAATTGTTTATCTGGCGTAGAATACTTAACTGACTTGTTCTTCTTCTTCTTTTTTTTGATCAACGTCCGATTCGTCATCTTTTGCTCCCCGTGGAGCAGTTCATGGAAGAATCCCTTCAACGCAGTCGCTCCAAGGGACGCCGTCTCGAGACTTCCCGCGTATCTCGCGAAATACATGTCCAGCTCTTTCAGTGATTGGAACGCCTCGATAGCTCTCCGCGTCTTTGCCGTGTTGGTAAGTCTTTCGAATAATCCGGGAAGATCCCTCCATCCGATAATGTCGACTCCCGGAACATCTTCAGCATGCACGAAGATCCTCGCAACGCGCTCCAAGTTCTTCCTCGATCGTCTGGCTACAAACACTTCCATCTCATCCACTTGCTCCAACATCTTCCGAATGGATCCTTTCGACTGCGCCCATCTCACCCCAAACGCACTGTTCGTCGACACTTCAAACTCCAGTGCAATCTCGAAGTCGTCCTTCTTCTTCTGAACTTTCACCATCTCCGATAGCACATTCCAGGCTTCGTGGAATGAAGGCGTCACGTCTTTGATCTTCTCTCCGTATCGGTTCACTTCGAACACGTCCGAACTGTTTTCCGCTGCTCTCCGTCTTCGTTTCCCGATACTTTTCACTGTTTCTTCAACATTCACCAGTAATTGCCGAACGTCTTCGAGGTTTTGAATGTATTCGAGTGTCCGACTGAGTTCCGTTCCTCTCAGTGCTCCCAGCTCACTCACACTCGTTGCTCCTTTCAAAATTGTTTCAATATTTGTGAGGTTCAAGGTAGCATTGATAATGCATCTACTCGGGTTCAGCAGTTCGAGGCCCTTCTTGTATATCTTTTCTCCATCGATTTTCGATAAAAGTGTCATGTAGTGCATTTCTGTTCGATTCGGGAGAGAGCGTTTCAGAAGGGGAACGGATTCAAGCGTAAAATTCAGAAGTCGCTTAATATGTAGATCCCGTTTTATTGGATTCTTGTCGAAAAGAATTTTGAAATCCTGTCGAATGTCCCTGGCTGTCCGTGCTTCTTCTACAAAAGCGAGCCTGTCGTAGAGAGCGCCAATATCATCAATCACATCCTCTTTCCGATTTGCAATGAGCTCGAAAGTACTTATGTAACGATTCAAACTGTGATACACTTGACCCAGATTTTCCATTCTCAAATGCATGTTTTTCAGCAACGAAGCGATTTCAGAGAGACTCTCTGGTTTAGGCAGTCCTTGCAGACACTGCCCGATCCTCTCCACGGTGGATTCCTGCACTTCGGTCACTTCAGACGTCTTCCACTCGTTTATTCTTCGCAACAACTCTTCGATTTTCAGCATCGACACATTGACGGTTTTCTCGTATTTCTCGTCATTGAGCTTCTTCCAAATCTTGAGCACTTCTCCAGTAAATTCCCTCAGCGGCCTCAATCCGTCCACCAACTTTTCGATGCTTTTTCCGTTCGCAACCATACTCTTCATTGAATTCAACTCAAAAGACTCAAACAATCCGCTCAAATCGACCACTCCGTTTGGAAATCCTTGCGTCAATTCGGTCGGATTCTGTTTTGCAATCGGAAGTATCGTTCTGAGTCCTTCCAATTTGTCACTCAGATCGATTGAGGTTGCATTCAGAATGCCCACATACTTCTCCAAATCACTTTTCGCGGAAGACAATAAATCCGGCAGAGCCTTCAGATTCGGATGAGATTCGATCTCGTAGAGGAGATTGGCGACGAAGAAGCCGTCTACGAGCAGCTGGAAGTCATAGACAAACTCGCCCGCTAGGTCAAGATTGGAATCGAGTTCTTTGAGTCGATTCACCATATCATCTTTTGATTTCTTGAAGGCCAGGAATACATCCAGACACTTGAAAAAATCGGTCGTCGCGTTCGGGTAAACGCACATCGGTATGTGTTCTAACGCGGAGAACGGCTCGAGATCATTCCACGTGATCTTCATCAGATCCACCATATCCTTTCGAAAAATTTTAAAGACGTCCTTCTCGGTTCCGTTCTCCACTTGAACCGAATTTCGGAGCAGATCGATAACTCGAAGGTTGCTCTGCATTTCTTCGAAATTGGTCTTCACTTTTGAGTTTCCGATCGAGGCCATAAGATCCGTGAGGTTCTTCACAATCTTCTCCGATGTGACATTCACAAGTTTCCAGTAGTCGTTTTGAGTAATTCGGAGCAATTCGGAGACAATCGGCACGTACTTTTGTTCCGAATTCCTCGCCAATTCTGCCTGAATTGCTATGCCATTCGTCAAACGGACCAGAAGAGATATCTCGTCGACGAAAGAGTCCAGTTGCGAAAACGCTGAAAAACATCAGAGTAATTCCACAAGATTTTCTCTTTTTTCCCCCGCACCTGGTTCATTTGCTTTTTGGGAACGGAAAAGTTGGATGTCGGGGTCATTTGCACGGACTTCGAATAGGAAGCAAATTGAAATCAACGCTATGAATGCCCGCTTATTCTCCTTCATTTCTCTGCAATTTTCGTGTCAATTTTTGAGAATCAAATGAGGGACTTACCTTTTCTTGTAATGTCTGTACGGGAGAGGGATGCGAAATAGTGCAAGAAGTGAACAAGAAGAAGAAAAAAGAGTTTATGTGAATGTCACGGGTGATCGGGGAATAAATACAGACGTGTTGTGCTTTTAAACTGGAAGAGAAGATCGTTTTAAAAAATCAGGAAAATGACGGAAACGACGAAGAGATACGTGTGCTGAGCGGCAGAATCCGGCTGAACTCCTGCTCCGATTCGACCTCCACGCACTTTCGGAGCCGGCGGAGCAACTTCTGAAAGTTCCGGATCCACCGGCTTCTGACTCTCAGCAGCTATCTGAGCCAGCTCTTCGTCGGAAAGTGTTTCATCTGGAAGAACAACACCGTCCAGCGAATCGGAAGCAATGATCGGAACGTTAGGGATCTCGGGGGCGAGAGGCGGCTCGGCGACGATTTCGTTCGAATCGACCTGCTGGTATTGCTCATCGAAAGAATTATCGCCTGAAATTCTGACTGTTTTATATTCTTGTCTCTTGAATTTTGTGCTCACCACCAAACTCGGAAGCTTTGTTCACAACGTTCTCGAGCACACTCTTTCCAAAATCTCGCGCAAGATCCTCCAAGTCCTCGTCAGTCAGTACACTCTCGCCCTGAAAATCATTCTGATATCTCACACCGTCTCCCTCCGTCATTCACCTCTTCACTCCTGTCATCCGAAGTGTCATCGTCCTCATTGTTTCTCGGTATCTCGACCTTTTTGTCCCCGTCGTTTATGCCTCCGGGTAGGATACTGTCCTGCTCATCCGTTGGCTGTCCCCTTACCTCATCATCCTTCCCATTTTCACTTTTTGTCTCGGTGGGTCGCTCGATTACTCCGCTCGGTATAATTACTTCTGTAAGTACTGTTGGAGTAAAAGGTTCGACATTAGAATCGGAGTTGGCAGCGAGCCAAGGACACGCCCCCAAACAGTTTTCGCTGCAACTACCGCGCGCTATTTGGGGGCGTGTCCTTGGCTCGCTGCCAACTGCGATTCTAATATCGAACCTTTTTTCAACAGTAAGTCATGTGAGAGTTGGAATGTTTACCTTTCTTCTCGAGTCCCGTTCTCCTTCTATTATCCGTTTTCTGCCCTACTCCGTTCACTTAATCAATTTTTTTCTATTTCAGAACAATAATCATGTCGTCATCGATCGAGCTTATCGAGCAGCTTCACGCTGAGTTGGCTCTCGCCAAGACGGAGGTCAAGGTCCTCCGCCAAGCCAACCTGGTCAGGGACCAGGAAAACGATCTTCTTTCCCAGAAGATCGACCTGCTCGAAGCAGGAAAGCGTTCCGCGCAGCGGAACCTTTCCTGCGAGATCTCAAAGCTCCGGGTGATGGAGATCACCCAGGAGAACAGCATCTTGAAAAAGAAGCTAGAGGTCAAGGAGACCGAGATGGCGGTCATGGAGGACCGTTTCAAGGAGATGGCGGCGGCGCTCGAGGAGGAAAAGGAGCGGGTTCTGTCTCTGGAGAAGGCGCTCCAGAGCGGAAACCCGCACGAGATGGCCGAGGGACTGGCCACGGAGCTGCTAAGAGCACGGCAAGAGTTGCTCAAGAAGCACGTAGAGTCGACGGAAAAGCTCATGACGGAATTCCGTCAGATCTTGAAGATGGAAAAGGAGAACGAGCAACTGATGCAAGAAAGAGATGCGAGCAGAAAGAGAGAGCAGATAATGAAGAAGCAGTTGGATGAGATGAAGGCGAAACTGGAAATGGCGCAGGACAAGATAACAGAAGCAGAGAACACAGCGATGAAAATGATCAATCTAATCAGGGTCTCTGCTGCCAGGATAAAAGATTTGAGGGCCAGAGAGAGGAAGGCGCTGGAGGAAAAGGAGTGGATAGCCGAGGATCTGAAGGATACGAAAGGACGGACGATGCGGATGCAAAAGGAGATGGAAGACCGGAAGAAGGAGGAGGAAAGGCAGATGGAGAAGCTGAGAAATAGGCTGGAAGAAATCGAGATGAGCTGTAATTGTTTGTTTAGCTGATTGTCTATTTAATACATGTTTTTTTTTCTTTTAACCCATTTCCTTCTGACTCACCCCCAACACTTCCGATTCTTCCGTCGAGATCTTCTCGATCGTCGTCTGGCCTGACATCTTCTTCCGATTCGCCGGAATCTGTGTAATCTGCGGATGGCAGAGATGGCACTTTGGGCAAAGGTTCTGCAATGAATCCCTTCTTTTCTGCAAGATTCTCGAAAGCTACAGTACCTTTCGGTTCATTCTGCACGTCGTCGTACTCATCTCCAGCAGTTTCCGTTCCCGGAAGAAGTTCCGACTTAGTCTGGATTTCATTTGGATATGGGTTGTAGTTGACATCTACAGCGGACGCCGGCTGTTGTATGTCCAAAGAGACCGGTTTAACTGAAAGAATCGACTCATTCATGAAACCTTGCCGGTTTTCTCACTTTTCAGATCTCCGTCCTCATCTTTCTCTTCTACATTGACAGTCAGATAAATGGGCTTCAGAAGGTATTCGTATCCCGGAAGGACTTTTCCGTGCTCATCCACTGGCACCATGATGCTTCCGTCCTTGTCCAAATGTCCAATTCTCGGATCGTTTAGATCTTCCGCTTCTTCCTGAAAGAATGCGTTCGTTTCGAGAATTTGCCAGTATCGTCTTACCTCTCCGATCGGAAGCGGCGGCAGGTCCTCTCCCTTCTCCACATATTTCTCGAACTTCGTGCCGTCCGGCAGTCTCGTTCTCTCTGGCACACTCTCTGAAAACGACAGAATTGGCGCCGGAATGGTATTGAAATGTTGTTTACCTCTGATCACTCGCACCAGTTTCGATTTTTGAACTATCGTACTGTGGGACACTGAAACCGATCTGATCGTTCCAAAAATAAATATATTCAGAAGACCTACCGTCGATTAAAACTGCAAAAAAGAGTGTTGTGGTGACCAGGAGAGTACGAAAATTGAAACGCATTTTATTGATGCGTGAATCGAGTATGCACACGCGCCGTGTTACGGCCGGAAAAAGCGTCGATAAGTGTGCTGCGGCGAGCCGTTATCAGTTTTCAGTGGGAGCTCAGCAAGGAGGAGAATTGGCTTGGAAAGGCGGAGGAACAGGGTCAACATGAGCGAAACGGAGGGAGGATGGCGTCAGGATGGGAGCGTGATGAATCAGCGGAAGTGAAGTGTGCTCCATGTGATGCTATTTTGATAGGTGTGAAGGTTTGAATGAAGATATGGATACGGGGAGAATCAACAAGTTCACAGTGAGTTCGCAGTGAAGTTCGCAGTATACCCTGAAATCCTTCCATTTCCCTTACTATTAGTTGCCGTCCTTCCTCATATCTTCTTCCAAATAGTCATAATAATTCCCTCCCGCCCGTCCTTTATCATCCGAGATCTGGGCCAGCCGAAAGTGTTCCGTTCTCATTTCCCCCGCGCATACATATCGTACTAATATCAGATCTTCCCCGTTCTCATTTATTTCCATTTTGCCAAACTTCCAATTCCAGAATGATCGTTGACAAGTATCGGCTCGGCGCCGGACTCGTCTGTCTCGTCTCCGCCACTTCCGTCTGCTTCACTCTCATCAGTCTCGCTCATCTTTCGTCCAGAATTCAAAGAACAGAGAATGAAATCTTTGCCAAACAGTCTGCTTTCAAGGTTTCTATACACTCCTAATTACATTTTCTGATTGAATCCGAAATTCCAGGCCAAATCGCAAGTGATCTGGGCGGAGCTCATCGAGACCGGAAGATCTCTGCGTATTCCGAGAGACAGCTACGGACCAGAGGAGAAAAAGGGAATACTTCATCAGTGTAGTCGTGAGTTTTGCTCCTGTCAAATCATCATTTGAACTCTTTCATTTTCAGAATGCACCCGTCTCCACTGTCCGCAAGGACCGATCGGAGAGGAAGGATTGCCTGGAAACGACGGGCATCCGGGAACGCCCGGAAAGCCCGGAGTGCCGGGACAAGAAGGAATCGACGTGGACATGGAGCCGCAGGATGAACTGCCGTGCTCGATTTGCCCGGCAGGACCACAGGGACCGCGAGGAGCGCAGGGAGAAAGAGGACTTTCGGGCGGACAGGGCAAAAAGGGACGGTCCGGCAAACCAGGACATCCAGGACAACCGGGAGGAATCGGAGCGAGCGGAGCCAAGGGACCAACGGGCGAGCGTGGAGTGAATGGACGAAAGGGACCACCCGGAGAGAATGTTATTGCGGGAGAGGGAATCAAGGGACCGTCCGGACCGGCTGGAACACCGGGACCCAAGGGACCGCCGGGAAGTCCCGGAAGAACATCAAACATCAGAGGACCGCCCGGAAAACCAGGACAGCAGGGAGGAATCGGGGGGACTGGAAAGGTAGGAAACAAAAGGCAGCGAGAGATTGAGGTGTGCCATTTCAGTTCGGAAAGTACGGAGAGCAGGGAGGGATCGGAGCACCGGGAGAGCCGGGTCTGCCGGCCGCGTACTGTCCGTCCGACTGTGGAGTCAACACGATCCTCTCGCAGCTGGGACACCGTGCTCAGCGGCCAGAATCCATCAACGGAGAGGACAACGGCGCGCCGGCCACTTCCCCGGAAGAGTACCAGCCGGAGGGACCGGCCGAGCAACCGGCACCCGAACCTACTGAGGCCCCACAGAAGGAAGAAGCGGCCGCCGAGGAGTCGTTCGAGGAGTCCTCCTATAGAAACTTCTTCAGTCAGCGTTAATAGATATTTAAATAGAACACAATTGTCCTGTCTGAATGAAATGAAAGTTTTCAACTTTATCAAATGAGTAATTTCAAGAATGAAATAATGAGTGCAAAGAGTAATTGAGGCACAAGCAAGCTCAAAAGCTTGGAAACGAACAGGAAACTGAATTGGCAAATACAGAATCGCAGAAGTTGAGCAGGTTAGCAGGGGCAAAAAATAACAGAATTGTGGAGTTAAGTGAGCAAAAAGAACAAACAGTGGATCCTAGTATTTACAGAATTAATTGGAGGTACATCGAATCGAATTGGCGGATAAATAAGGCACGTTTGGAGAGCGAAAGAAATGAGGAGAAAGCAAAACTAATCTAGAAAAGACTACCTGGAGAAACAGAAACTTCGTCAAAAACCGGAAATGTGACGGAGCCGGATAAATTTACATGGGAAATTGGAATTAAATGAGAGGGGGAGAGCTGACGTTTCGCGGATTCGCTTTTTCATAGTGCCCCGTCAAACCGGGATTCAGGGATCCGTACACGCAGACTGTGTTGTCGTCGTAACCAGCCACAGTGAGAAGTCTGCAATGATTAAGATCCAGATAATTTCAAACCATCTTCGACTTCTTACCTCATCTGATGCATCGTCAGTGAGACAATCTTCGGCGATCTCTCATGAGTCAGCCGACCGCTCAAAGTGGCCGTTGACGATTTTTTTTGTGAAGTGAACAGTCCGAACCCGCCGGTGCTCCTTTCTCTTCGCATTGGGTCGATATCAGCTGGCGGTGAAATCGACGCCATCTGCTTATTCTGAGAGACGTCGTAGATTGCAAGATCTCCTCCAGACGAAGAAGCCAGGATTCTGGAGTCGTCGTGCACAGTCATTTGAGAATGTTGTCCTGGTTTCCATGGAGTCACGATTGATGGAGTTGTCTCCTGAACGAATTGGTTTGAACTGAAATGAGAAGTACTGAAACAAGAACCTTAAACATTCGGAGTTCTAGTTTGTAGATGGATCCGTCGCGGTTTCCAGCAAACATTTCAGTGTCGTATCCTTTCCGATTCACTTTCAAGTACATTATTTCTGGAGAAACTTTATCGAAGTGATTTCCGAGCGCGGGCGCCAGATTCGCTCTCGCAGCCTTCGGACTGGCCATTCTCATATCGAAGTAGTCGACGCGGCCGTCTCCGTATCCGATGCACACCATGTTTCCCTTTTCGTCGAGATTTCCGGACATTGCGGTCGGAAGAGTGTTCTTGTCCAGTCGGATAGCAGGTCCGTTTGATTGCAGACTGCTGTACGAGTACGGCACATCCTGACAAACTTTCTCGCAGTGAGCATCCCAGATACGCACACTCCGTGTGCCCGTGCACAACAACTTTCCGTTCGGTTGATTCCAACTGAAATTAACAGTTTGTAAACTGCGACAATACGCGGTAACTTACTCATACAAACACCTGTTTGTAGTGTCGCTCAGTCTCATTTGGGTCTCAAGAGGAAACGAGGCAGAAACGAGCTCTGGTGGCTTCTCATAATCATCGCACCACCCGTAAAAGTAGGGATCCCAGATGCGAACGACTCCATTCCGACTGCAAGCGATCACCATTTCACGAGACTCTTCGTTGATAAGAATTAATTGCGAAATGGGCGCCGCGCAGAACGGGTTGGAATCGGTCAGATCGAAGCGACGGAAGTTACGGGTGTCCGTGTCCTGCCGGATAATTGTCATCATCCGACCATCGGACGCGTACATACATCTGAAGGAATGGGATTATTTGAATCACACTAACACAACGCATACCTTCTGAGCTTAGAAGTGACAAGAGAACGGGCGGGGTGGGTCAGTTTTACCTGCCAGAGGCAGTGATCGTAGCGGCAAGTTTTGAAGTCTCTTCCCTCGAGATCCGCGCTCTGAACCATTCCTTCCATCGCATGAATCGCCCAATCGCTGATGGTCGTCGTGGTGACCACCACATCTTCCTGATTCTTCTCCTTCTTTCCTTCCTTCTTGTCCTTTTCTCTCTTCGCTTCGTCCTTCTTTCTGTCGTTCGCCTGCATTTCCTTGATCTTTTCTCTGTATCGTTCTGGCATGAATTCGTCTTCATCTTCAATCATTTCCCGATGATCTGCTTTTATCTCATCGAGGGCGATGACGTGAAGAATCGGTTCAACGAACACTTTGCTGCACCACGCGACGAACTGCGTGGAGACTATCGGATTGTCTATCACTTTGCGGAGACTTTTTGAGTCTGGCTGCGCTCCTTGCTTCGGCATGTTCCCGGCGATGTTATTTCTTCGTTTAGGAGTGAACTCTTTCGTGGCCACGTCGATAATTTCCAATCTTCTGAATGGTCCTCGGACGATGGTCTTCCCTGAAGCCGTCGTCGGCGCGATCTCCCTCTCTGCGGTGGCCGATCTTTCTTCTTCTTCTTCCTCGAGCAGTTCTTCTTCTTCTTCACGGTCTTCTTCGTCACTGTCTTCGTAGTTCGAGAACAATTGACTGCTTTGTGTTTCATCGGTGAACGAACTGCCTGGAGAGACTGGGTTTCCTGCAAACCGTACAATTCATTGTTATCTGTCAATGTCTCCATTCACTGACGATTTTGCTGACCGAGTTCTCCGGGACTTCCAACTTGAAACTTGACCTTCGATTCATCTTGCAGCTTTTTCAATTGTCCCTTCGCTTTCCGTCTCTGCTTCTCACTCTGAATCCTCTTCAGTTCGGTGAAATCTATTCCTTTGTTCACAGAACCAGATGCTGGAACTCGATGGAAATATGGTAAGACACTTTTATTCAACGATTATATCGCTTACCTTTCTCAATTTCCAATCTTTCTTGTATCTGTTGTGCCAGCAAGGCGGTTTCTGCAGACGGCCCGACCGGTTTTCTTGGCATCTCGACTAGAGCTTTAGATGTTTTTCGAGCAATCATCTTCTTGTTCAGGTGTTCCATTGTTTGATCGATGCTCGCCTGCATCTCAGGAATTCCGGCTTCAACGCGCTTCACTATTTTCTGGGCCATTCTAGCCACCTGAAAATAAAGCTTAGAAGATGGTTTCGGAAGGTTGCAAACTCTTTCGATGGGATCTAATGAGAGACGGAGCAGTGCGAGCCACGTCCTGGCGACTCCTTCGTTAAACGTCTTCGCTTCCAGGTGCTGGATCTGCGACATCGCCCTCGTCCTGTACTCCCAACTGTTTGCGTGAGAATCATCAGTCCCCTCCCCGCCTCTTTACCTGTATTCGACGTCCGCTGATTCTCTTTCCACATGGTCGGCATCGTGTTCGATCGTGTAAACTTTTCCGGTGTCGTCCTCCATTACAGTTTCCTCGACCGCCGTGGCGAACACACTCGTCGACATCTTCTTCCGATGCATCGTCGGTTGCATGAACTCGTTGATCGGCGGCTGACGGGAATTTTTGCGTATTGAAGGCATTTCGGCGGCGATGTCGAATCCTTCTTCATTTTCGTTTTCAAACGAGTTTCTTCTCTGCGGGAGTTTGAATTTGCATTGACCAGCGAGATCCAGCAACAGCTTGACGAATCTCTTCTCGAAATCGAACACGAACCATTGGAGGGCGACGATGAGCTCTTCTCTGACGAGGACGGAGCTGTCGAACACGCAAGTTATGCACAATTCGTCGGCCAGATTCTCCTCGACTGCAGAAGCGTGCTCATTGGCACGAGACGAGTTCTTCAGCAAACTTCCGATGGCGAACACGGCGGCCGCTCTCACTTCCGGAGACTCGTCAGTCAATTCGGTAAGAACTTTGTCGTGAGCCATCAGCCGAATTCCTTGCCATCTCGCATCATCGTAATCCGACCACAAACGACCCAACCCGATGAGTATCCACAATTTTAAAAGTTTCACAGACCGTGCATCATCGTCACATAACAATTCTATGCACATTGGGAGATAGTTTTTCGTGGTCAGTTCCTTTTGTGCCAATTTGAAATTGTTGGAAGTGAGCTGGGCGAGAACAAACGCGGCGACAGTCTTCTGTTTCGGTTTCACGTCTTGCTCACCGAGCAATGAGAGGAAATATTGGAATCGGAGTATGGTTTTCTTCTCGGCGACGGGCGGATTCGGCTGTTTCATGATGCCCTGCGGTCTCTGCTGCTGCCGAGGCTGCGGATTCGGAGAGTGCTGTCCGCCAGACTCCATTTGTCGTTGTTGAGCGTATTGCAATTGCATGTCCACCGTCTGGTTCTGATTATTCTGGAAGCGCCCGCCCGTTTGAGCCATTTGAATAGCACGTTTCTGAAATGTAACTTTTAGTTGGTACTTTTGGAGTTCATGCTTACATCCATCGTCAACTGCGGAGGTGGTGCTGCCTGTTGATTTGAGAACCCAGCGGGCTGCTTCACGGCAGGAACCGCCGGTTGTTGCGGAGGAGACTGTGCCTGCGAGGCCGATTCGTCGACGCACTCGTTGAATAACTCGATCTGGCAGGACGGATCCACTGCCAGAATCTTCGCCCAAATGAACGCGAGCGAGATTTTGAGGTCACTTATGTTGCTCTGCAGAAGTTTGAGCACGTACGGAAAGATTCCGACGGCGAGCGAGTATCCGATGGCCCAACGTCCGAAATCGAGAAATCTGGCGAGAAGCCGGAGGGCTCTGACACGATGAGCCTGACTGAGAAGCACTTGGAGAACCATCGGGAGCTGGAGAGGGGGCGTTCCTTCGTCGACTCCGTAGTCCAGCCACAGTTCGAAGGCTTGCAGTTGCTCAGTGAAGAACGTGTTGTACTGGAGCGTGTCGTTGAATGTTATCACGTGTTCAAAGTCGATGAGCACTGAAAGATTGAGCCGTTTCGAAGGATTTCTAGAGCGAAAACGCACCGAGGAACGGGAAAACATTGCTTCTCATGATGACGTCGCGTCCACAGAAGAGTGCCTTAGCAGTTTCTTTCACGTACATCAGCTCTCTGACGTAGTCGAGAACCATGTCCATCGTCTGATCCCAGCACCTCCACAAATCGTGATTCTTCGTGTTTTTGAGAGCTGGATGAGAGACAGGGTCTGAAATCAGCGAATTGTTTCGATTCCTTTTTCCGTGAATGCAGTCATCACTCACCAACATTGAACTTTCCCATTACTCTTTGAGCAAGGAGAAAGCTGCGGAACAGCGTCGCCAGGAGAAGATCTTGACGAAACAGCTTCTGGAAGTGCTCCCGATCGATGGAAGTGAACGCGATCGTGTCCGTGATGGCAGTGAATATCCAGTTGAGCTCACCGAGCACTGTTCGTCTCTCCGTCAGACTGCCAGGAATCCTATCGAGAATGTCCTCAGGATACTCATCTCGATGCTCAGATTGGCTGAGATGGAACGCCAGCGACGTGCGGATCGGAGTGGTGAGACAGGAAGTGAAGAGGTCGGCGGGCAGAAGAGGATCAGACATCGGAAGGAACTGATCGGTCGAGCAGGCGGCCAAGTGAATACAGTCCTGAAACGAAGACGATTCTTGCGATCAGACTCGCAGAACAGTACGTTGTATCTTGGATACTTCTCTGGGAATCCCATGGCTTCTGCCTGATCCCAATCGTTCATTTTTGACGAAATCGGCGGCAGATTTCTCTGTTCCTCTTGCCATCGATCAAATCGACTCTGCCAAGATCTGAAAAAGGATCGTGTCTCCTTTTCAATCTGTAAAAAGCCTACAATTTCTGATCTTCGCCGAATCTTTTGTAGTTTTTGACGATTGTTTCGGCGGAATGAGTTTCCCAGATGTAGATTGTGGGGTAGTCGAGCCATCCTTGCAAGTCGAATATCGACAGCGGAATGTACTGAAAACCGTTTTTCACTGGAAGCTTCTCGAAGTGTTCGAGTACGTTTTTTCCTCCTTTATGAATCACATTCGTTTTCGCCGTTTTATTCAAAAACAAACATGAATTCAATGATTTCGCTATCCGTGTTGTTGACATCTTAGGCTACAATATTCCCTCCTCGAATCCCACACTCTCTCGCCTTCTGCTTGGACGCCCCTCCCTCCCAGCTTGCTCACTTTCGCATGCATTTTACTGTTTTTCATCGATTTTGAAAATCGCTCGTATTCTCGAGTGAAAACTGTGTTTGTTCTAATTAGTTTCATCACTTTTTTTTCTTTTCTCTATGTCTACTACAAAGACCGCACATTTTAGGCCCAACTTGTTTCTATTTTTCGTAAACAAACCTGTGTAAAACTTTTGTTGAACACCCAAATCTCTCCGTTGTCAGTGGGTCGCGGGACTCCGTGTCCGTTGTAATGGAACAGAACCCGATCGTTTCCACTTATTCTTCTCAGGTTCGTCGTCACTTTTCTGACGTCATCTATTGGCGGATCCGTACAAATTTTATAGCGAGTCCTAGAACTGAACTGTGTTTTCATCCCGCTCCCCCATAATTTCCGCTTACTTTGACTTCGGCTGCCATTTCTCGTATGCTTTTTGCGTTGCCGATCCGATCTCTGTGGCCGCCTTATGGGCGCCACACTTGTACGGATCGACCCAAGAGATGAGACGGGCGGGCGCTTCCTTGCGAGGAGGAGCATCCGGCGGATCGACTCCCAGGTGGAGACACATAATGATGGCAACAGAGGCGGTGCGAAGACGGTCGCTTCCTTTCCGTCGGTTTACACTGAAATTTAAGTGACCGTTATTTTTCACTGACTATTCCTGTTTTTTTGTTAGTAAACATCTAAAAAGCTCATTTATCCTCGACTTTTGCGCTGGGATCTCAGAAAAAGAGTGTGAAATGCGGCGATCGCAGTCACGTTCGTTTTATTAGGGTTTTCGGATGTGAATGGGTATTTAACACCCAATCGTTTCGATCTTTAACGCTGTTTTCTTTCAACACACAGTTAGTGAGTCAGTTGCGGTTTTTTACGTACATATCAGTTTTTTAGTTCGATTTTTAATGTGTTAACTTTAGCTATACTTTGTTTTACTTTTGCACTAATTATACAACACAATCGTCCTTTTTCACCTGCTTTTTTCAAAATTCCGAGTAATCTTGACGGAGTACATCGTTTTTGGGCGCTTCAACGAAGTAGAACTCGCATGGAATAGAACTGTTATGATTTGGAACTCGCAGTTGCATCTTAACGTTGCGAGTTCCAAATCGTAACAGTTCCATTCCGTGCGAGTTCTACTTCGTTGTAGCGCCCATTTTCGGTTGAAATGATGAATAATTGCCACTTTCCCTACCATTCTTCAATGCAATCCCACTCGTCCTCCATACTTCCAGCAATATCTTCGACGTGTCGTGGCTCTTGTAAATATAATGTGACTCTTTTTACATTTCTCTGCAAATATTTGAATATGCCACGTAGTTGCATCATTTTTTCCAACCTGAGCATGCCACATCTGAATTGTGAGTCGTTCATCGAAGGATTCGTAGGTTAGAGTTCGATTCTCCTCCATTATTATGTGTCTGAAACAGTGTTGCCCTTAGTCATGTGACTTTCAATTCTTTAAAAATTTCGACGAGAAATCGGAGAAAATTTAGGAATTTTTGAGGAAATTTACACTAAACAAACAAATCAAATGTGCGAATAGGCAAATTTTTATCGCTGAAAAAGTGCAGCAATGAAGTTTTGCGAATAGAAAGCATAGCGCCCCGTCGTGTTGCCAGCAAGTGCGCTCCATTGCACTCTTGATTCCCGTCTCGGCGCCACGTCCAAATCGAGTATTTGAAGAGACGAAAACTCAGTTTTCGGCGTTTTTGAAACGAAATGAAACCTGAAAGTGAGAAAAGACAGCCAAAGATTCAGTCATTTATTATTTTCGTCACGTACAGAATCTGAAAAAGTTAACAAGAAACGGAGAACTCAAAATGGGAAGAAAACGATAGGAAACCCGAGGAGAGAAAAGGGTGAAAAGGGAGGGATGAAACCAAGAATACATTGAAATAATAAAAAACAAAACGGAAACTGAAACATATTGTGACCGACAGGAGGGCGAGCAGTGAGAAAGAGACGCAGAGGGTGAGGGGAAGAAAAACTCGTGGTACACCAGATAGGAAAGGGCGAAAATACTTTGGATTGTTGTCGTGTTCGGTTTTTCAGTGAGAGAAAAAGTGAAAAATAAATAAAACATTATATATGAGCGTTCGTTTAACACCTGGATTATTTGACAGTAAAACTCCACAGTTATTCTTGCTTCTTTTTGCTCATTCGCGTCCATTCGATGAGTGTCGCCGGGGAACGGAACAGGAAGATCAACTTGGCGAACAGGTCCTGCAACGATTGGATACGGTAGGAACGAGCTGCTTTTTTCATCGCTTACCTGTTCTAACATAAAGTCTTTGGCTTCTCTGACAAGATAGATGTCGAGACAGATCTTGAGCAGATGGTCGGCGTTCGGCAGTTCGGTGAACATCACCGTGCTCGGAGACGTCGTGAATACTCCGCGGACGATTCCTCTTCCGATGAAGATGACGACGGAGAGGTACATCGCAATGACTCCGCCCTTGAATACCTTCGCCAGAATCGACGGGAACGCTCTGTCGACGAATGCCACCACTTGGAGGTATTCCCTGTGTTCCGAGTAGGTCGTTTGTTCAGTTGGCACCCAGATCGAGTTCGTGTCGTTTCCTGGATGACTGGATCCCACCAGCCAGATTTTCGCGCTCTGTCCTGCTCCTTGATTGAGACCAAGAGAAAGAGAGTCGAACCAAGCCTGCGACAGTTGAGTCGGTGTCATTCCAGTCGTGTTAAACGCGTTCTTTCCATCATAAATTATCGAATTTCCGATGGAAGTAGGAAGAATCAGCTCTCCTTGATTGGGCACTTGGATGTAGGCGGGGATCGAATTCACAATCGGGAACGTGGCGTTTAATGTGCCATTCAGTGCGTCTCGGATTGTCTGACGGACCGTCTCGTCTTGAGCGATGGGGACCAGCCACGACTTGGCGTGCTTAAGTGCCGTGTTCTCGTTCGGATCATATGGACGCGTGAACTCCAGGGAAACTTCGAAGTTGACTGATGTGTTCGTCGTTTTCAACTTGTCCCTGAATAAATATGACTTTCAACTATAACCATTCTATTTGAAACTCACATCATAGCCAGTCTCGAATCCTCCGAAATTGGCCAGTATACTTCAGATTCCGGCCGGAAGCGGACGATGAGAATGTCCTCGTACGTATACCCTTTGAGATAGGAAACAGACATTCGCGAGCGGACGATCGAATCAGTATCTTTTGCTCTGTACCTTTCTGTTAGAGCCGAATTGAGCACCGCCAATTGGTTGATCGATATCAGCGAGAGTTCCTTGTTGTCGTGATTTCTTCCTTGCGCCTCCATCTCGTAGAGTGGTGGATATCCTTCGATAGACACTCGGAGAGTCACCTTCTCCGGCATGCTGATCGTACCGATTTGGTTGAGAAGCGACCAGAGAAGCAGCGGAGAGAATATGAAGACGACGACGCCGAAGATGATCGGGAAGCCCATGAAGTATTTGACAATCTTTCCTTTCGCAACTCCTCGCGGCGCCGGATAAGCTGCTTCGAATTGACGGGCGCATTTGATGTTGAAAATGTGCGCGTAGAAGTTTTCCATGTTGAAGAAGTCGAAGAGCGGCATGGAAGTGTCAGTCCACGTCCAGTCGATGGCAGTTCTCAACTCGAACAAGAACGGGATGTTCATGAAGCTGAAATCGAAAGGTATTTGTTTGATTAGAAAGAAATCAATTGCAACTCACACTTTGAACGCGATCATATTGGTCATGCCGTACGAGTGAGTCAAGAGATTTCCGATGCACAGTTCCGGGTATCCGTTGCGAATTTGCCAAGCCGACACGAGGAAGTAGCACGATTTGATGACGTAAAGCGCCTGAGCCACGTGGTTCGTGATTGCAGAGCGGCGAGTCATGTTGGGAAGAACGAGGAAGACCCAGATGTGGAGGAACGAAATGAGGAACATCTGGTAGATGAGCTTGCCGACGACAGACTTGCGCAGATAGAGAGCACGATCGACGATGATGGCAAATGTCATTCCGACGAGCATAACGACCAGTGTGACCGGAATGCGGGACGCCTTCACGTCATCGAGCACGTTTCCAGATCCACCGTCTCCGAACGACGAGTAGCCGAACGTCATGATGAGGAAGCAGATGACGTCGATTCCGAACATAATCGGGTACAGATCACGAATGTATCGGAACTTCGGGTGGAACAGCTGATGAATGAATCGACCGATCGGTCCACTGGGCTTCTCCGGTGGAATCGGGACTATGTCTTCGATTGTTTCTTCCGTTATCGCATTCGGATCAGATGGGACGACGACTGAAATTAGCGAACGTTGGAACGAGAGATTAGAGGTACGACTCACTCTCTCCGCTGGTTCCCGCTTGCGATGTGCTCTCCGAAGCAGTCACTACTACCTTTGGTTCTTTCTTCTTTGGCGATCCTGCATCAGATCCACCTGGTGAACGGGATTCAGACGATTCCTCCTTAAAAAGATGAATGTTGGAGATGATGGGATGGGTAGGGTTTGGTTACCTTTAGGAAAGTGTCGGTGAGATTTGCATCCTTCCACAATCCGAGTTTTCTGAGCATGTACCGATGGAAGAAGAGCGCGAACAAGAGAATGATATCCCAAAGAGCGAATCGGTCCTTTTTGGACACTCCGAACAGTTTGTCCATCGACATCGGATCCATTTCATGTTGCGAAATGTATTCCGTTTTGTTGAATGGAAGGAAGGCAAACTGGCAAACGAATTTGACAATGATAACCAGTTCGGTGTACGTGATCATCGTGACCCAGAAGAATTTGGACGGGCGTGGATTCGAGAGGTTGCCCCAGAAGAGGGACATCAACGGAAGTGGGAGGGTGATGAGACCACCCGTCATCACTTGAGTCATGATGGCAAAGAAGTAGCAGAGGATGTCGGTGTGCGCTCCGACGCAGTTGACGACGGCGTTCATGAGTCGAGTGGCCGACGACTTCTGCTGCCAGTCCACACTCACCGCCGTCTCCATTTTCTCGACGTCAGTCTCAGAGTGCACGAGTTGAAGGCTCGGAAGGTCGACGTCCGTTCGTATTTCGGTCAATTTCCGGGAAGTGTTCGACAGAGACTCCGAGTGTCCGTCCTTAAGCTTCTGCTTTTCCTTGCTCAAAACGTATCCGACGTATCGGTGCTCGCGGCACAGTTTGTTCAGTGTAACACTGCACAGATCCAAAGCGGATGCGATCATCTTTTGAATAAGCTTCACAGTCGACTCCACCTTTGAATCCTTTTCATCTTCGCGGGCGTCCGTCTCGTCTTTTCCTCCCACATTCCGCACTTCCGGTTCGGAGACTGCTACGAGAGCACGGTCGTCCGCGTCTTTGATGGTGTCGCCCTTCTTCACTTGCTTCACAGTCTTCGCCATATCCAAGTCGTGAACTGTCGCCGCGTGTATTATCTGCCCAGGATCCAATCTGTCGTACGCAGTTGCCTTCGGGTCCATCTCAGGCACAAAGCTCTCGACCGGCTCGACAAGACCGTCGTTCTCCGGATCATCTTTGAACATGTAATAGTCACCCGCTCGTTTCGCTGAAAAAAGGAAGGGATTGTGATTGGGAAAGCAAATTGAAAAGGCAATCATGCTCGGTTTTCACTGAGTTTTCATACCGATTAGATCAAGAAACTGAGCCAAATTCGGATATTACTCTTGTCAGTGATGTTGGATGAGTGTTTTAGTGAATGAACGAAACAGAAAAGAAAACTAAACGAAGACTGATTCGGATGAATTTGGACGAAAAGCGAAAGAGTCGGTTAGGAGAACCCAACAAAAGACGACGGTGGGAAGGGAGTGTGAGTGGAAGCGGATGAGAAAACCAAGGAGAATCCGGATGATTATGAGTACAAAGGGGGGAAATGAAGGCGGCCACTGAGAGAAAGAGTAAAGAAAAGCACTGGGAAGAAAACGCTCCGTTTGTTTGTAAACCAACCCGTCCGTTCTGAGGGTGTACTTTCTGAGGAACACTCTTCCGCCTCTTCCTCGGTTATTTGCGATGAGATTCGCAAGTCATAGTAAGGGAACGGATCGTCCTCGTCGAGACGCATACTTCCTGTCGTTGGAAACAGTCAGAAAAGGAAAAAGAGGAAAAAAAGAGGACATTATGATGATAAAACAGTTATACCCCCAAAAGACAGACAAAAAGTGGGTGAGATGGACTAGAAGTCAAAAAGAAAGAAAGAAGCGAAAAGACTACACAACAGCTAACATTCAAATCAGAATCCGCCAGTTACCGTCCACAAGACACTATGCCCGAAATGACCATCACCGTCAACACTAGACTACATAAAGTACACAAAAATAAAGAAGGATTCTAAACTCTGGAATGCTCTTTATGCCTTTTTGATGGCCGATCCACTGACCTTGTCCGTATGTCTTCGGCTCGATATCTCTCTCAAATGCGCCCAGTTCCAATTGCTTTTGATATCTGAAATGAGGTTGGTTTTACTTAAAATTCTTCGAACCGCTTGCTCACCTCTCGCGAATCATTTCCGTTCTCCTCCGAATATCATTGAACTTTGCCTTCTGCTGCTCGTTCTGCTCCTTCATTTCCTTTTCGATCAACTGATTCTTCAGCACCGCTCCTCTGAAAGTGAACGTTTTTGTGAGAAAACAAACAGACGACCCGAAAAAGAAGACATTTGCTCAAAAACTGTCCAAGTTATTTGAATAGTACGGGAGAAAAGATAGAGTTTCTGATTATATTACCCGAAAATACGCACACGAACTGAAAAGATCAAAGGGGAGAAAAGAACAGAGAAAGAAAAGGAATCTTCGTGAAGATTCGGGTGGGAAGGCAGTAAACTCTTCCACACTTACTCACCTCGACAGACCATCAACACCACTACAATCGGCTTTTATTTAGAAGTGGGAGAACGAAATGGATCACAAAAAGTTGGAAGGAGCAAGCTTACCGTCTCTTCTGAGACTAATATTCATGAACTAACCTGTTCGCCAGAATCACCTCGCTTCGATACTCGACCATGCAGTGTTGGAAGTACCTGCAAGCACAGGATGAGAACGAATAAGCTCTTGATTGCTCACCAGGAATGGAATGCCCTGATCTGGAAGACCAAAAAGGCCAGCGCGATGACGTCGTATCCGATCGCGGCCTCTTTCGTCTCCACAAAACATTGCTTTTCGAAATCGCCCGTTTCCGACAGTGGCCAGCAGAGTCCGTTCACACATGTAACACTGAACAGCTGACGAACAATGCACAGCCAGTTCAGTGATTTCCGATTCTCTTCCTGAACACCACTTCCGAACCAGGTGAGGAAAACGCAACCGAACAGCTGGAAATAGGAAGGATTCGTTTATTCGAGTTGTTCTTTTCTAATACCTGAAGGATGACTTTCATTGTGATCGTGAACAGAGTGTATCCGAGAAGCATGTTCCATTTTTTGAGCGTTGTTTCAAATGATCTCAGCCTGGCATTCATCACGTACAAATTGTTTCCGGACCAAAGAAGGGCCAATGTGAGAATGATATATCCGAGAGCGAATAGAGAAGTTCCGGCGATTCCGGCGGCCAGTGAGGCCATCAGAGTGATCCAGTGACCGTAATGGAACACAAACGACTTCATGTAATCCACGTAGCTCTTCTTCACGTCGATGAAGTCGTACTTTGGATTGTCCGGCTTGATGACGTACTGTCCGTCGCTGTAGATCGAGTCGTTGTCCTCCCCTTCCCTTCGGAACACCGCCAACTGGCAGGAAGCGAGTAGCAGCAGGAAGAAGTCGGCGACCAGATAACTAGCAGGCCATTTGACACCGTACGTGGAGAGTCCGAGCAGAACTGACAGGTTGTGATTGGCGGCTTTCGAGTAGGACGGCAGCCAGTTCGTCCATGGGTACACTGAAAACAGATAACCTCATTTTCAGTCTGATTTCTGGGAGCACTGACCGATGCAGGTGTCTGGTGGTAATCCGACGTATAAAACAAATTGCAAAGGATACAAAATCGACATGTATATGACATAAACGGCCCAGAGGCGACGTACGAACGGCCTGAAAAGGTACACTTCTAATGAGGTTCCTATCATTGAGTAAACCCAAGATCATCCAGCACATCTCAAAAATCATGTTTACTGGAAAAGTTTGAATATTTTGGCAAAAAAGGAACTAAAAACAGGGACATAAATTTGAATTGATATGCTCAAAATCCCGGAAGTTACTCGCAGTCGCTCAAAAAACAAACCTTCTGTTGAGTGCGAACACAACAATCCAAATGCACTGAATGGCGGCCAACGTGTCCATTCGGATCCACACCTCGATTCCCATCATAATCAAACAAATTTCGAGTCCGAACTTGTAGAATCCGTAGTCGACTGCGAATTGGAACGCATGACGGAGTGTTCGATCGTAGTGCGAGTGATGGAAATCAGGGAACACTTTGGCACGCATCGATTCTGGGAGACCACGAGAGGCACGGTAATGCCTTTGACGGTAGATGACGATGGATTGGAAGGCCAGCGCAATGATGGAAAGTATGACACCCTGCAAATAGAACGTTCTCGTTCCCGGAAGACTGTTCACTGCAATTGCTCACCCAGAGCATGTAGAAAGGCGCAGTATCTTTCTCCTTGACCAGTCCGAACCAATCGGACATCGAAATGTTACTGAACGTGCAATTCTCTGCTCCGATTCCTCTGTCGAACTTGGAGAGTTCGGGAACAATGTCCAGTTGATATACCATTTTGGCAAGAGCCACCAAAAAGAGATAGCTGCACATGAGAAGAGAGAAAATGCCGTCGGCGGCCGATGGAAGGCAGATCGCCAGCGAAAGGAGCACGACGAGCGGAATGTACAGGGCATCGATCTGGAAATCATTCTTCTAAAGACTCTCCTTTACGAAGGTTCTCCTACATTTTTGGCAATGAAAATGGCAATGATGATGAAGACAATCTTGGAGACGTGAACTTCGAAGAACCTCCACAACAGCTCAATCGTTTCATTCGCAAGATCGTGCAGTTTTTTGACTAGCGTGTCACCTGAATCATTCAACTTTTCTTCTATTCTCAAACTTTCTCACTGAAAACGATTTGGAATGTGTTCGGAATTTCATTTTTCAAACTTTTTGCACTCGTTAGCTCATTGGGGAATATTTTCCGAGATTTTCCGCTGAAAGGAGCACCGCTCTCGGGAACAAGAAAGTGTCGGCTCGTAAATCGTTCCGTTTTCACCTCACACCGACTTCGTTCCTCTCTTTCTGTTCGTGACAAGACCAATCAACTTTCCCGTCTCAGTCTGCCTTCTCCTTCTACCCGTCTTTTCGGTTTTTCGCAGACATCCCCCGATCAACTGGAAATTCGAGCTGACAAACAGTGTTTTCAGAGTGTTTTCCAGAGAACGAAAAGAAGATTTCAGCTGTTATCAAGAGAAATTCTTCATGACGCCTTGTCGCCAGTTGCCGCTTATATTTTCGCGATTTGCCACAAAACTATGCGGCCGGCGCACAGATCAAAGAGTGTTTTGGCAGAGAACCGAATTGAAAACGCATAAAATTGGGACTGGGAACTGATAAATAACACTTGGTGGCAACAAGATTGAAAATAATTTTTCATCCTTAGAATGTGTCATTTTCAAGTGTCACTTACACTTCTTTCCTTTTTTTTTTGCAAAAGAAGATGAAGGGCAGTGTCCCTTGGCTCATTGTCTAATCAGATTTTTCTAGTTGCTCCGCGAGCTCCCATTGTTGGCTCAAGAGTGTATGAAAAAGGTGTTTGTGGTGGGCTTTGAGCGGAAACAATTGGAAGAGCATAGTTCATAACTTCCTCTTCAACACACCCTCTTTGGAGGTTCTAGAAAAGGCGCCTTTGTCAGCTAAATAACAATCTTTGTGTTCTCAAGATGCAATCTTTCACGAAAATAAGTTTAAATTTCAATAAATTAGAGCAAAAGTCGTCGACGGACACAGAAAAACTAGGGAGGAGTCAGAAGCTCGCGGAAAAAGTGTTTTATTGTGTAATAAAACAGGGCCTACTAGTCATGTTGGTCGCCGAGGATTTGCATTTATTAGGGGGTCTTATGGGTTTAAACTCATGTGAACTTTCAACTATCCCTGTCATTTTTACAGTTCAACTTACTCCACCAATTTCTCAGATACTGCCTGGGCGACTGCCATCCGCCCCTTCCAACAGAATATCCGCTTCCAATCGGCGGTCTCGCCACGATAATTGGCGTCAGATCGTCGTCGTCGTCAATGTACGGCATCGCGTCGTCGCAGATTCCAGAATCTCCACTACTACTCACAATTGACTTTGTTAGCATATTCCGTTCCGCCGGAGACGGAAGGATTCTGTGCAATTGTATCTGCTCCCAGTACTTTTCGAGGTCTTCTTTGTAATAACTTCTTCTGTGGTCCGAACTGCTTGAAGTGGAAAGATAGTGGGAAGTGGAAGGAGCCGAGGATGAGGAAAGTGTTCCTTCTGGGTAATCGTGATGAGGCACAGATGGTAGAGGATCGTCAAAGTGTAGTGGTAACTTCAGAAGTTCATCTCCAGAATCTCCGTTCTGATGAGAGCTCCAACCGTTTTTGGTGGGCGACTCTTTTGCTCCGAACCAGTATTTCGGTAGCCAACTGCTCCGTCGTAGATCTCCTTGGAGCTCCTGCTGTTGACGTTCTACTTCTCTTATCCGGCATTTTTCACGATAATTACGGTACCAGTAGTCAAGAACGTGCACGAATTCACCGTACACCATTTTGAAGCGGAGGAATCAGGATTGAGAAAAGAACAGGAATATTGAGGGCCGAAAGATGATGAGAATCGAAGAATACGGTAGGACTCGGACGCAGTGACTCAGTGGCTACGCTTATAACCAAAGCTTCTCTTGTACATCACTCTCACTTTTAACTGGTGCCTTGTCTCTAGACTATGCTGATGGGGCGGGCTGTTTTGTCTTTGTGTGTCTGCGTGTACGAGAGCCCGAACGAAAGAGTGCAAAGTCATGGAGAGACGGAGAGAAGGGAAGGAAGGGCGGGACTCTTTCAGAAGAGACCGGGTTCAAATTTATATCTCCTTCCTACCGCCGTCTTTTTTCTGTGATGATCATCAAATAAAACGTGAGGCGAAGAGGACGGGAGGAATGAAAGAGGAGAGGTTGCTGGGAGCACCCAATCGACGGCGATTTTATGGAACACACGAGCAGATACGTGAGAATTTGTTGTTGCTTTACTTCTATCCGACTTTCTTCAATGTTAGGACTATCCTTGTTCACACTCCTTGTTTCGTAAAGCCACGATTACCGCATGTTTTCTGTTCTCTAATCCCTTTCTAAATCTTGTGACGTGGCAAACCATCAATCAGAGCGTCTTTCTCCTTCCAAAAGTACCCTATACTTTGCAGTTTCGCTCCACCTCACCACACCCTCGCGTGCTCCTTTTTGTTATGTTTTCAGTGAGTCAGGGAGCTGGTGAAATTCGGCGAACTGTGAGAATTCTTGGAGAGCAAAAAACACAAGCCGAGTGTATCCTTCGGATCTAAAACCACACCCGCCTGCCAATTTTCCATGATTTTCCATCTCTCTCTCTCTCTCTCTCTCTCTCTTTTTATTTCTTTCTCTCTATCTCTCTCAAATGACTAATGATAAAAAGGGCTCCAGTGGCGAGCGCAAAAAGATGCACAATCGGGCGCATTTATCATGCGGGTCCGAGGGCTTGATTACGTCGAAAAAAGTAGAGAGAAAGAGGTTGACCGGCGGAGGGAGGTCACTTGTTATTGTTATTTGTCGGAAAGAAATGTTACAATATTTTTTTTAAGAAACGAGGCAGATGTTTCAGGTGATGGACTTGTGGTCAAAGAAGTTGACAAGGGGACTGCTGATGAACAAGCAGAGCGCTCGAAACGAATTTTTTAGTAACGAAATATATGCAGTTCGAAAGTATTGCTTTTGCGGCAAAAAACGGAGTGCCTGATCGATAAAAGTTTTGTTGGAATCGTGGGAATCGTACAAAAATTCGATCGAGCAGTTTCTTTATTCAAACTATTTCGAGGCTTTCAAGTGCAATTAAATCTTTGAGCTCTCAATGTTCAGAGTTAGCCTTTGTGAACTCTCCCTTGCTGTACTCTGTGCTCAAGACCGTAATCTGTCCTCGTCACTCTTTTCTGCTCACAAATCGGGATTAGAGGGAGTTCCTCGGCTCCTCCCGTTCAAGAGGAAACAGCCGTGTGAACAAGGTGACAAACATTGACTCATTTCGGTGAAAAACAATAGAAAATGAAGTTGAAATGAGCTGATTGAGGTGATGGAAAGGGCTACCGTATTTTCTAGAGAATTTCGGAATGAAATGAGTTCAAAAGGAAGATATAAAACGGAGAAAAAGAAGGAAGGCATGAAAAAGCGACGTAAAGTGATTGATAAACGGACCAAAACAACTTTCTGGATAGTCTCGGATAACATCAACAATAAACTATGGAATAGAGAGGACAAAAGAGATACCAAAACATTTGCAGGCAGTGGGAAAACCACCACAAATGTTTAGATTTGAGCCAATTTTCCGAGCGGCGGCAGGCAGACCGGCACGGCGAGAGCATCGTTCTTGTGCTCTCGGCCACGGAACAAACTATTCATATTTGAGCAGATTTACGGAGGAAGCCTAGTAAAACAAGAGATTGAGATAGAGAGGAATGGAAGTGAAGGAACGTGAATACAGGTCAAAAATAGAAAAACTGTCGACGGACTGTTGTGAACGCGAGGTGAAAGGAGAAGCCGATGAATCATCCGTGACGGCGAAAAAGATGTGATGTGAATTGAGAAAGGAAACATGTCGAGTCAGGCACACAATTCACAACAGAAACAGTAAACCGTATCAAACAATTCGTGTTATAGTAGAGACCGTAATGAGAAAATGTAGATTACGAGTGATAAGTCGGAGGAGGAATGTGTATCCGTGGGAATAAAAGACAGCCAAACAGACAGGCGGCGTCATCATTTCGCTCTGAAGCCGTCCGCGTACAGTCCTCCTCGTTTCTCTCTTTCGCTTCTCCCTTCCGAGATATCTTGTTCACGGACGGACGCGGAAAACCAAGAGGAAGTGATGCAGAATGGGAGAATGGAGAGACGGAGAGCGGAGAGCGAACAGAAGCCGTTGCGGATCAAATTGATCGATTCGGGATCTGAGAAGGTTTGGAACGGTGCCAAATCGGTCGGTAATCATCGGGAGGAACGGTATCAATTGATAAATTCAGGTTAATGAGAGTGATGAAGTCGCGAGGGGTGGTGGCGTCAGAAGGAAACGAAATGTTCTTCGGTGTGTGATTCAACACTTCTTCTTCTTCTTCTTCTTCTTTTACCTCCTTCTCTTCCTTTTTCGGTGTGCTTGCTCGTTGCTTCCAAACATTTCAATTAAGAAGAGAAAGACGTCAGAACATTCTCATTGTGTTTTGAGCTTCAGTTACGGCTTATTAAGCGGAAAAAGAACGGAAACAGTCTTTTGAAATGAGAAAAGTTCGGTGGATTCGGGCAATGACACTTAAAATAGTCAGAAGGGACAATAAACTAGTTGGCATCGATCAATTGGTGGCCATCAACTGATTTCTCTAATTTTGGAGATACACAATACAATTTACATTTTCAGTTTTTAATGTTTTCCAAACACATTCCAAACTTTGAATGAATCGACTAACCTGCCGCATTCGCCCTCTCACTTTCCGACGTCACCGCAGTTTCAGATGTCGTCGGAGCATCATGCTCGGCGCGTCTCGGTGACGTGGCACGGCTCCACGGACCGTGGAAGAACTTGAGCTGAAGCATTGTGACGACGAACAGAGCGATCGGCGCGAAGAGCTGAAGGAAGAGCGAGCCAGCGTTTCCGGTGTCTTGGAAGTTGACGAGTCCGATCGCATCAAACCACTCTTTCGAGAGTCCGAGAGTCGTCTGGGCCCATGTGGCTACCTGAAAGAGGTGATTCAGTATTTTGAGATCACAAAAGGGAGTGGCATAGTCAAGGTCGGAAAACGAAAGGAAAGAAGAGAAATGGATAGGGTGTCATAATCCGTTTCCGCTCGTCTCCCAAGTACATTCAGAAGACAACTTGTAACGCATAGTTTGTCTCGCGAATCGGACAGACTAAGACCCTTTCGAATCATAAACCATGAGAAGTCTCCGAATTATTGAAAAGAAAACTCACTCCAGGGAATTGATAAGTGTAGAGGGCGATGATAACCACAGAAGTGTAGAAGGTGAGGGTCAGCCAGAATCCGTACGCCAATCCACGATACAGACGGAACGAGAACTGAAAAAAAAACAGTTTGCGCAGATGAAATTTGAACTTTTGAAAAACGGAAATCAATTTAGAAAGAGGGGGAGATTGCAGTAACGAGAGGTACAAAAAACAGTAAACTGTCATCGAGAGCGACTGAAACCGGTATCTTTAGACTGAATCTGTGTCATCTTTCTGAGTGCGCACGGCAGAAATAATAACAATAATCAGACAGAGAAAAGGTTATTTATAACGGTTCTTCTCTTGTCTAAAAAAACTGATTTTCTATGTTTTCGGAAAAGCATTGGGGTTTCCCTAAGTTTGTTCAGGTCAAAATAATGGAGAAGGTTGTGTGATTTTGTGTACTGTTTCACTGGTTCTGTTTGGTTGTTCGCTCGAGTCGCATGGCCTGATCTCTGGGTTAAGCGAGTTTTTGAATGAAAAGCGATTGAAATTGCGAAGACTAAAGAGATTACGAAACGCTCCGTCCAAAAGGTGTGAGAATTATTTGAAAAAGGCCGTTTCACGAAGAAAAATAGTACTTTCAACAGCCAGCTTCGCTTGTGGCACTGATCTTTTGGACTGTGCTAAAATGGACAGAAAACTAGTAAGAAAGTTCCATTAAAAGAGGTGTTATAGATCGGGTGCCAACATTTTGCTCCTTCCCAATCGTCTGTTTGTTCTCCATTTTGGCTCCCTGCGGCTCCGCGAGCACAGTTAAAAATACTGACAAACAATGTGTGCGTGAGCCCCCTTCGCAACTTTTTCTTGCCGTGACTCAGCATGTTGTAAGTGAACGTGTCAAGCGAGGTCACAGAACATGGAGGCTACCGTAACCTTACCTTGAGATAACTCAAGTTGAGAGCCCATAACGCGAAGAAGAGGATCGTGTAGAAGGTCGGTTTGAAGTAGGTGGCAACAATCAGAAGAACCAGCGAAACGAGGAAGATGAAGTAAATCGAGATTTTGTACGATAGGTACTCCACGAACTCGGCGAACTTTCTGCTCTTCGGATCCTGAAACTTGAATTATTTTACAAAAGAGTTAAACGTTTTCTGGAAATTTCAGCGCCAAGTTACCTTTCTGGCGTACAAATTTAACGAGTTCTTCGCGAGCACATCATGAACTCTAATACACTTTCCGTGTTTCACGGATACAGTAACTCGGGGTAAACGGGTCAGTTGATCGACGGGAAACTTCATCACATGTCTCAGAATGTTGACCAGTTGAACTGACAACTCGCGCAGCATTTTAGGCAGTTTCAGACAGAAAAAAAGCAAAAAAACCCGAGACAAATCACCAGAGAATGGCCTAAAAAACGGCTCCCCCGGGGACCGGCACCCAGCAAGTGATGATAGATGGCCCGCGGAACGGAAATGCACAAAATATTACCACTTCCTCCTCCTCTTCTTCTTCATCGTCGTCATCGCTTTTCTTTTCTTGACAGTCAGCGAATTTCAGATTCATTTTCGAATCGATTTAGAAAGAGGAAAAGCGACGGAAAGCAGCGAACAGTTTTGAGTGAACAGCCGCCCGAAAACGGCGGAAAGGGACGAAAAAGAGGAGAGGAAGAGGAAGAGGCGGACATCCCTGCGCTTTTATTATTGTTGTTGTTAGGCTGCATGTGCATTCTCCACTTTTCCATAGTTTCTCTTTTTGTGTGTATTTCTGACATGCCACATTTCAATTCTCCAGGCGCTAACCTTGGCAACGGCGACTCCTCCGGCGCCAGTTTTCGACGCTCCGAATGTTCCGTACGAATTGATTCTTCTTTGCCTTTCGAAATCGCTCAACGATTCATAGTACTTTTCTCTGCGAGCCAATCGTAGAAGCAGGAAGATGGGAAGACTGAGAAGAGTCTGGAAATGAGATAGAATGATTGAATAGCAAAAGAGACCCTTATACCGGCACAAGAACAAGTCCATAGAAATACAATTGAGTTGCATATAACATGAATGTTTCGCTCGTTTTTTGTTTCGAAATGAAAGTAAGTGACAAGACCTTTGTCACCGGCAGGTAATCCGACACCCATATCATATGCTGCTCTTTTTTCTGCTCACTGAGCTCAGTAAGCGTGTCGGCTCAGAGATAAAGACAGGTCAGAAATTGCAAAAATTCTCTAGTTGATAGTACCTGCACAGAAAGGACGATGAGGGCGTGAACGGGCACGGATATCCACTCGATTCCCACAAATTCCATCCACTTCGGATCGCCGATCTCTTTATGAATGTCCATGCTCAGCACGTATTGGAGGACCAGAAGGAACTAAAAGATGGGCGGGTTACTTAGAGATTACTGTAGGTTACAGTACCTCGATGTATATGAGAATGATCGGGGCCATGGCAAATGACGACTTTCTCGTGTCGCGGAAGATCCAAAGAATGCAGGTGAGAATGAGAAGAATAAGTCCGAAAATCGAGTGATACAGAAGCGCCCACGTCATCATTGCAGTCAGCGCGATCGAGTACGAATGGAAAATGACAAAAGTGATCACTGCGATCATTCCCTTCGACGTCGCCGATTCTTGCTCTCCGGCAGCTGAAGCTTTCGTGCATTCCGTGATTCGTTTGAGCACTTATCAAATAGACTTACAATTGAAAATGTTGCTTAACTTGTTCCGATCCACCACCTGTGACGTCACCTTCCGCATCGGAATCGAACTACGTCCCTCGCCGTTCCGAGTCGGAGAAACGGAACGACCGCGCTGTTGCTCATCTTCGTTCGAGGAGGAGGCGTTGGAGAGTAACTGAAAGCGACGGTGATGAGAAAATTATGAAACAGAGAAAGGAGGATAGGTGTGAAAGCAGGGAAAGCAGAAATGGACGTGGACAGTGGAGAAAAGAGGAGATAAAACGGGGATAGATTGTGAGATTTTGAATACTTATAAAAGAGCTAGGGAACCGAATAAGAAACTCAGCTTTTTTTCTGTGGCCCTAACGGGGTTATCGGAATTCATTTTTGGACGTTGTGAGCTCGAAATTTGAAACGAAGGACACATTCACACGGACAAACAAAGTGAAACGCCATGAAAGCAGTAAGGGAAATAAAGGGAACATGCGAGAGGATAACTGATTGTGGTAACTCAAGAGTCAACACGCACCAAAGTATTGCCACGTCCCCTGGCGGACGAATTCGGAACCGAAGAGTCTTCGGAAATCGAGATGAGCTGGCCGACGTCGTCCAGATTCGACTCGACAGTGCCAGCGGAGACGAATCGCTGAACCGAAATGCACGTTTCAGTGGCTATTGCTATTCTAGACTAGACTCTACAGGGCATTCTCGTTTAATTTTTAGCCATGACAAAGAAAGAGAGAAAGACGATGGACAATAAAGAAAGGAAGAGAATCCAAGAAAGAGAGAAAGAGAGAGCGATAGAGCGAGAGACACAGAGACAGACACAGACGGCTCGAACTGACTTCTTCGTGCACAGATGAGCCGTATTCGTCGTTGTCAATGTACTGTCGAGAGCCATTCTTCGTGAACTTGTACTGGGCGACCATCAGGTAGTAGAAGACAAGCACGACAATCGGATTCGCGTACAGCGGCCACTTCATCATCAGATCCGAGCTGTCCAGATCCGGAGCCACGAACGGAAAACGCCACCAATCGGGGCACGAGGAGTCCATGAGCACATTCAGACCGAACAGACGGGCGAGAAAAGAGCCCTTCGGAATCCACGTCTGATGAACGATCGGAATCTGGAAGGTGTAGAGAACGAGAAAGTGGACGGCGGAGTAGAAGATCAGCATCTGAAAGGAAACCGTTTGAATGAGTTGACAAGGGGGAATTGATCACCTTCTTGATCCGATTGTAGGTGCCGTGTCTGAGCGGAGTGTAGGTGGCCCACCAGGAAGAAATTAGGAGGAAAGCGGTGAAGTAGACGAGGTTCGAGACCGACGGCTTCACGATTCCCACGTAGGCGGTGAATAGGAATATGACAAAGTTAGTGAGTCTGCGCAACGAATTACTGATCGCACTCCACATAATCGCTGCCATTTTCCGTTGACGTCTCTGCTCGCGGCCACTGCAGATAGAATTCAAGCATTGCAAGCCATAGTAACTTTTGTAAGCACTCACGATTCATTTCTGACGGTGACGACGTCTCCGACAACGTCCAATTGCTCGTCGCGGTGCGAAAGAAGCATGACGACGACGAAATTAATGAGGGCAGCACACAGAGCGATGATTTCGGGAAGAAAAGCTCGTGTGGACTCGAAAGTGCCGGTCGGGTGGAAGCGGACGAGACCGATGCTCCGGAAGAGTGTGGTGTCCCATCGGTCGCAGATGTACGTCGACTCATTCTTGTGTACTACCACTTCTGAGATCTGGTAAGAACCGATTCCTAGTGCAGCTGCTAGGCAGAATAGAAATGTGATAGTAACAAATGCTCCGATTGGTTCTGTAATCAGTTTGGAACACTTTAGTGTTATTTTTACAAAGAACTTACTGGGAAGCGGGTAGTTCTTGTGAATCGGCGGAAGAACTGCACTGAGAAGTGCTAGCAGCACGTAGCCGATCGAAAGGAAACATGGCCGGATGATGGCCGCTGAAAGAAGAATGTCTTAAACGCTTTTTGAATATTTGCGAGAGCATACCGGCTAGCAAAGCTGCCGGGAGCACAAGCTTGACAGTGCACGATTTGAACCACGGGGGAACCGTCATTTTATCATCAGATGGTTTTTGGCTTCCGCTCCGATTTTACCGCATGTGTTTCTGAAAGCTAATTTGAGCATGAAATCAAATTATTTTTCAAAGAGATAAAGGCAGTGTTTGTTGAGATAAAAGCGGCGAGCGAAGTAAGTAAAGACAGCTTTCAAACGGTAAATATTATGTTATCTGTGGAAGATCGGAAGGGCAGCACGATAAACAGTTCTCAAGCAGATTTTTGGTGAAAAAAAGGCTCCAGATTCTTAAATCTCACGCTTATTGTACGATAGTCAGCGAGAACTTGTCTGCGGACTCGGCTGCCGATTTCACGACACTCGCAAAGTAAAAAAAAAATACAGAAATTTTCTCACTCTCATTTTCGAATAAAAAAAGTTTTCGTTTCGATAAATATTTTGATGAGTAATGCGAACGATCGGAAACTGTTTGTTTGGACAGGTGTAGGTGTGCCATCGCAGTACTTTTGGCAAAAAAATGCAATTATTTAGGCGCTGAACTTTTTCACTATCAAAATTTTGTGCATGTGATCGTAGGACTAACTATAAGGAAAAACTGAAAGCAAATAAGCGTAAAGCTTCGACAAATATTGCGAGATTTAGAGAATCCGGAATTTTTAATCAGAAAGCTAAGAAAAAATTAAAGTGCAAAGAGAAAGCGAGGAAGTTTGTTGAGGTTGTTGGACAGCACAACAAATGGTTAACTGCGGCCGCCCGTCGAGCTGTCTTCGTCTCTCCGATCAGCACGCTCCCCGCGACACCAAATGTGGGGACAAGTGTGGCAAATTTGAAAGGAATTCGATGAATCACAGGTAAAAGTTGAGAAATAAATCGATTGCAGTACTGCTATTATGACTGATAAGTCCTATTCGGGTGGGCGTCACGCGCACGCATGATTGTTTGCTGAGCAACTTTCTGCTCTCTCCGCTCCTCCAGTAACGTACCACTGGTAGAATGGCAGAGATAAACGATGAATAACAGGTTTTCCGCTCCGTCTTTTACACTTTTTCCGTCCGAGAGATAGAGTTCAACGGATCAAGCTGAAGAAAAGCGAGGAAAGCGGAAAAAAGAACGGAATCTTCGCTCCAATCGGCCGCTTTTTATGGCTTCGCGGCCTCAAGGACACTGGCTCGTTTCGGCCGATTCGGGGACATTAGCATATCGCACTAGAGGGGGAAAAACGAGCGGTCAGCGCAAAATTCAAAATTGAATTTCTCCGGACAGGCGAATCATCAAAATAATAAACAAACGGAGTATGCTCTTCAAATTTCACTAACCTCCTCTGCGTTGCAGAACGGAAGAAACTAAAGTGACCAGGTATTTATGCTGAGAAAAAGAAGAAACGAAGCAATGTTCGAGTGGACACTCACTCACACGCAAAAAGTATCTGTCTGCAGTGTCTGACTCTCCAACGGAAGAGTCCCTTCGGCTGTTTACTTGTTGTCACTCTTCCCGTCGTCTGAGTCTCTCGCAGTATCTATGCTCTTACTGACCGACCAAAACAACAAAATGGGCGAAAAGCGGAGAGAAGTGTAAGGGTGTAGGCTACGAACGAACATATTAGTTGTCTGAAATGAGATGATCGCACAACAAAAATTGAGATAAGATATCCACGTGACTTCTTAAAAGAATGTATGGCGTGAAGCCAAATCTGAAAGTCAGTTTGATCTGCACAGCGGGCCTAAAACTTTCTACTTCAATTTCTTAATATTTGATCTCATTCCATTTTGTTTTGATGATCTTCCATGATCTTCCATGAATACTCAGAACAATTAATTTCTATATTTTTTGCGGCAACATTTATTAGAAAGAGGAATCAGAGCATTTGCCTTCTTGATTTTTGCCCTTTGAGCGTCCGACAACATCTGTAAATAAATTTTATTGTGAAATAATGTTCGAATAAGTGCTTTTGTGATACCTGGAATGTGAGAATGCTGTTTTTTGAGAAAAAGTACCTCGGTCAAGCGCAGGGTGAGTTCCCGAGACTGAAGTCCCGGGAATTGCCGGGAAAAGTAATGGGAGAACTTCCCGAGAAGCGTCGGTACCGAGAAGTGTGAAGACTTGTCGTTCCCGATAACGGGAAGTCTTCAGTCTTCCCGGTACCAAGATTTCCCGGGAACGACAAGTCTTCACACTTCTCGGGAAAGGAAGTTCTCTCATCACTTTTTCCGGCAATTCGCGCAGTGTGCCTTACCGAAATTTTTTTTACCGAAAGAAGTGAATTTCGGTAAATTTTCGGTAAATTTTCGGTAAATTGTTTCGAAAGTTTACCGAAACTCTTTCGGTAAAAACTGTTTTTTTACCGAAAGAGTTTCGGTAAATTTTTCGGTAAAAACGTTTTTTTACCGAAAGAGTTTCGGTAAATTTACCGGTAAATTTACCGGTAAATCGTTCCTTTCGACAATTACCGAAAGAACAATTTTTGAGAGCGGAGAAAAAAATGTTAAAACATGATTTTGTTTTTCAATTTTTTAATAATTTTTTTAAATAATTTTTTTGTTTTTGTTTTTTTAAATTTTTAAATTTTTTAATTTTTTTAATTTTTTTAATTTTTTTAATTTTTTTATAATGCTATGCAACGAGTTTCGCATTTAATGTGTCCCCAAAGTTCCTCATTCGAAAATAAACTGTTCGTTAAAAGAAAACAGAAAAATTGAGGCGCCGAGCGGTGCCGTCGATACCGAAAAGGCGCGGCACCGGCGTTCTTTTTTTGACAAGGGAAGTGACTGATGTGACCAATTTAGAACATTCTGAACAACATCCCAAACATCAGGAACACGCTGAACAGTCGCCTCAATGTTCCGTTCTCAAAATTGAAAATTGTTTCGAAAAAGTACCCATTTACCGATAAAATTTACCGAAACTTTTACCGATAAAATTTACCGAAACTTTTACCGAAATAGTTTCGGTAAATTTACCGGTAAATTTATCGGTAAATTTTCGGTAAATTTTCGGTAAATTGTTTCGAAAATTTACCGAAACTCTTTCGGTAAAAAAAAGCTTTACCGAAAATTTACCGACAATTTACCGAAATTTTTACCGGTAAATTTACCGGTAAATTTACCGAAACCCTTTCGGTAAGGCACACTGAATTCGCGGGAATTCAGTCTCAGGAGCTCACCCTGGTCAAGCGGCCCCAAATGGCCGAGTTGCCCGCTTATAAAAAGGGGTAGTGGGTCCAATACAAGAAAACACAAGAAACAACGCGAGAGATTATCAAACAAAGGTTTATTGCTTGAGGAGCAACGAAAGAAACGAAGCAACAAAGAAAAGTACAGAAAGAACACCAAAAAGAGTGTCTCTCACAAGCAAACGTACAAAACCAGAACTAAAAACTCAGTATTAAAAATGCCACGCAGCTCAAAGTTCACGCGTGTCCCATAGAGCGTCTTTGCACCCGTTTGTGCGACTTCCTGGAAAGGGTTTGAAGGAACTGCCTTTGGCAACTTCCCCCCCGTGGACAAAAAGCCGGACCCCGGGCCGGCTGAAGTACGAGCACATGGGCGACTGACAGTCTGCTCCCGACACACGTGTTCCTCTGCTACGGACTTACAGAAAGACTACCACATTACCAACTAATACCTAAAGATCCTAGAATGCTAAAAGAACGAAAACAATATGATGATCGCATACGTTATGTCGATCGATTCGCTCTCTTGGCCACCTCCAACTTCCGGCCAACCATCAGTTTCTCCACCGCCGCATTCCTCGGAATGAGTGAATCGAGGTATCCACCCATCATCTCCGCCGAGTCGAACTTCTCCGGGATGACCACAACCATCGGAAGTTGTTTTGGTCCAACGGGCGTCTGCGGATCGACGAACCGTACGTTCGTACTGGTTCGCATCCTCTTTTTCCACCACTCCGTTATCCCTCCGACTTCGTTGAACTTGCATGCCATCCGAATTGGCACCACGATCAGATCCTTAACGTCTTTGGCGATCGACTCGATGATTTCCGCCCGATTCTCGTTCTCGGTGGGATCGACCGTCCATTTCGCCAGCATGACCACCTTCTCGACGCCCTTCCAATCGTATTTCTCCGTCCACGCCACGTCGGCCTTCGCTTTGATGTCGAAGTAAGCCGGCGAATTGAACTTGAGACGAGGTCCGATCACCAGATCTGCTTCGCGCACGACCGTCTTCTTCGGCTCCCGTCTCCCTCCTATCTCCTTCTCCTTCTCCAGCTTTTCCGCAATCGATAGTTGTCCGGTGGCCAGCGTTCCGAGCGATTTGTGCGACACCTTGTCCACAATCACGCGCGACCCTCCGTCACGATCGAATCCATCCCGGTTCCGCTCTCTGCAAGAATTTCCGTTTCCAACGTGATATTCCCTGATTTTATTCAGACGCGCAGCTCGTTTCCCCAGCTTCGCTTCATGCTTCCCGGCTCCAGTCTCCTCTGCTCGCCATTTCAACTTCCGCTCGAACTCCTCGAACAGTTCTTTCACCGGTCGGCAGAATCGTCCTTGCAGCGTCTTGAACAGTGATTTCGCTGGTCCCTTCAGGAATCTGTCCTCCAAGATGGTGATCAGCTCTTCGTCATCCTCCACCACATGATGGTATTTGAGGAGAAAGGCTCGCTTGAACTCTCCCAGGTCGCTGGACCCATCGTACGGCTTCGGTTCCGGTAGCGCCGACGACTTCATCACTCGACTCATACAGTTCACCATGTCCCTCACCTCACCCCTGGACCCCGATCTCCTTCTCCGACACTCCTTTCCGTCTGCGAACTCCCATCCCGCGACCTTTTCGCGCCAGTCCGCGCTTCTGTCTCTCTTCCTCTCCGTACCTCGTCGGCTTCTCCAGCTTCCGGACGTCGATGAGCTCGCGGAGCATCTGGATCGTTGACCTTGCTTCGGTGAGCGCCCCTGAACATTCTGATGACTCCTGTTCTGCAGTTCGTTGAGTTTACCCTGGCTTTCCTGCCATTGCCCCTTCCACTGCTCCACCATCCGATGTTCTGCTCGCCAGGCCTTCTCGCTCCTCTCCAACTTTTTCCCGAGGGCTTCCTTCTCGCCTTCCAGCACTTCGATCGCTTTGCGCAATCGATCCGCCTCCGCTGACGCCACATCCTGTAAAACGCGATTCTTTTTCCTCTGTTTCTCCAGCTCCCTGGCATTTTCAGCGTTTCCCCCTCCGTCACTCCTTCCAATCCGCGCGCTCCCGTCTTCTACCACTTCTCTCAACTGCTCTATGGTTTCGATTTTGCCGGCCTCCATCACTCTCATCACTTCTCGCTGCCACTTATTCTTCCCGATCTCTTCAAATCTCTCCCGAAGTTCTTTGGCAAACGCGTTTATTGGCGCCGTGATGACATCTTTCTGTCGGTCCGTGCACTCCGTCATATCCCGCAGTCTCTTCCTGATTTCCGCTTCTACCGAATCCACGGTACTCACAAATCGCTCAAACCCCCTCGTTCTGCTTCTTCTCTCTTTGAAGCTAACCTCCGGCCATCCCAGCAGCTCTTCCTCTGTCGGCGTTGACCGCTTCTCGCTCTCTTCCTCGTCGACTCGCTTCACCTCCTCGGGATCTTTCGGCTTCACCTCCTCCACTTCCATCCGGTCGCTCGGCTCCGTGTTGTACGTGCTCGGCATTTCCTCTGCAAACTTTCGTTCAAAAGTTTGCGTTTTCCTGTTGCTCTCGCGGATCGTTCAATCGCACGAGGTTATCGATTTTTCGCGTTGATCTCTTCGCGCCTGAGCAATGTTCTTCGAACTATTGCTCGTTGGCACGAAAAAACACGAGCAAACAATAAAAAAAACCGGTTCGGCCCCCAAGTTGCCCGCTTATAAAAAGGGGTAGTGGGTCCAATACAAGAAAACACAAGAAACAACGCGAGAGATTATCAAACAAAGGTTTATTGCTTGAGGAGCAACGAAAGAAACGATTCAACAAAGAAAAGTACAGAAAGAACACCAAAAAGAGTGTCTCTCACAAGCAAACGTACAAAACCAGAACTAAAAACGCAGTCTTAAAAATGCCACGCAGCTCAAAGTTCACGCGTGTCCCATAGAGCGTCTTTGCACCCGTTTGTGCGACTTCCTGGAAAGGGTTTGAAGGAACTGCCTTTGGCAACTGCCGGATTTCTATATCTGATATCATTCAATCCAAGGCTTTCAATGCATTGCCCTTCTCCGTGGAGTCCCAGTCCTAGTAGTGTCCCAGTAGTGAATGTAAAACTTAGCAGTGCTGGAAACGTGGGCCTAAAATACTTCAATGCTTCAAGTCCAAGAAGCTTGCAAAGTTTGGGTCCGATCGGAATATTGTAAATGGGACAAAAGTACAGACACTTCCCAGACTAGTTTTTTATCATCTATTCTCAAGAAGTCCGACCAGGAACCATTGTTTTTCTGAGGGGACCCCTCTTTATTTTAGGGGGCCCATGTTTTTCCTGGATGTTTGAGAGGGACCTTATTTTCTTATTATTTTTTATTATTTTATTTATCTGGGGGGACCCTTGTTTTACACTGGTACCATAGTACATCTGCCTGGCCCTTTTTTAAATTTTTCGCCTCCTCCATCTTTGTGATCGTCACCAAAAGGGGCGTGGTGGCGGTGAAGCACGGCCGAGTGGGCGGGATTTCATTGTCACTTTATAAACCAAGAGTAGTATACAGATTGATTTAGGAGTGATTTTAAAGCACAGGGGGGCGGGGTTTTTCTAGACTCCACCCCCTGTGCTTTACAATCACTCCTAAATCAATCTGAAGAATAAAGATAAGATTCTGACAAAAAAATGGATTGAATGATAAGGATGATTGATTGATTGATAAAAAAAAGTGATTTGATAAATGGGTGATAAAATGATAATGATATGATAAGGTGATAAAGGATTGCTATAGTGATATATACTTAATTGTTGACCCTAACTCTTAACAACGAGAGCTTAAAAAAAGTCACCGTTTTCTAAATCGCTAAGTGCGAAGGACCTCTTTTGAGTATGAATGATTTTTCAACTGTACAAGTCTCAAAAGATGATATCATTGACGTAGTTTTCCCCCAAAATAGACCCTCACGTGTTTAACTCCATCGGTAAATTATGAAATGCAAACGTGATGCTCTTACGTAACCTCCATATTTTAACGTTAATGAAACTATTCTCTTCATTCCTCGCATAATTCTATTCACCTCTGTACACAGCTTTCTCTACATTATGCAAAAAGTACAGGTATAATTTCTACATTTTTTATCCCGTTAAAAAATTAGGAACTCACACTCAGAACCCTGCCTACAATGCGTTCAACACGTCTTTGCTGCTCGGAGTTATGATTGGATTCGCTTTTGCATGTTATACGATTGTCATCTGTATCCCTATTTACGCGGCTCTGAAAAGACAATATGCGATGTTCCGACAATATCAAAATGTGAATATTTGAATCCGAGTACCGTCAGTTTCAAGAATTCCGCAATCCTGGAGTTTGAACCTACGAGTTCAACAAGTTAGCTAACAAAGTGGACATCGATCCCAATGACTTCTTCCTACACTCAAACTCTACACGTACTAGACGGAGTCACGTTTACCGATGGAAGACTCCAAAATCTAAACTAAGACAACTTCTTCACTCACAGAGTCTTATCTAAAATGAATCCGGCACAGGCATCTGTGAAATAATGATCTCTTTCCTTTTGCGCGGGCAAGTAGCTGAAGATTCCCCATTCATAATTATTCTCCCCCTCATCCCCCCTTTCCATTCTCTCTCCACGTTCTTCTCTAATAATTTTCACGTTAAAAACGTAAATAAATAAATAAATAAAACAAGCAAAACAGGTAGTACACGTAATTATTTTTATTATGAAGAAGAGAATAAATGAGTTATTATTATGAAGAATAAAGACTAAAGAAGACAACATTGAACGAACGCAAGACACCTCTGTCCCCGAACGATATAGTAACGTTAAATCAGATCCTCGTGACAGATCAAATAGTGGTGTGGAATACCGTCACAGGAGACAGAATTAATTGCCCTTGGATTCATCCGTAAGTTTTTCTTGAATTGATTAGAAATACCATGTGACTTTGTTATTGCTATTAACAATAAACAAAACTCGAGATTTTTTTCGGAACTTCAGAACTTTAGGAGCGATTTTAAAGCACAGGGGGTGGAGTCTAGAAAAACCCCGCCCCCCTGTGCTTTAAAATCACTCCTAAATCAATCCAGCGTTCATTAACCATCTCTCTCTTTTCCTTCCTCTGACGCTATTGCTATGCAAGAAGTCAGCTCCCTCTCTCTCTCTTCCTTCGAAATGTCGCGGTTTCGAAATGTACTGTCCCACCTGATCAGGCAGAGATTTTCTGGATCCGCTTTTGTTTCTTTTTGAATGATGTTGCGCGGTGTACGCAGATTCCTGTCAACCAAGCTGTCAACCGTTGCCGCCAAGCTCATCGAAAGCACGATCGTTACTGTTTTCCATCCGTTCCATACTTTTATCGATTGACAGTGCTCGTAAATATTTCTGTCAACATCGAATGGAAAATCAGCAAAATCATACATGCTCAGTTTCATAAAAACCAAGACACTTGGTTAGAAGTCCTATTGTATGTGAGCATGTTTCTGGGACTTTCTCGACTCTATCTCTACTAGCTTCTAGATTCCTTCACGTTTGTTCATCTGGATCAGAAGGGAACCTTTTTCTCAAAAAACAACATTCTCACATTCCAGGTATCACAAAAACAAATCATTTTTTATTGAATTAGAAACCAAGGCAACACACCCACTCGCTCTGGTTGGCAAGGAACCTTCCGAATGTGTTGACATGGACACCTTCACTCCAGTTTATTAGATCTCCAGTTCTGAGAAACAGCAAAACTCCTCTGCATTCGACTTTTGTCTCAATTACAAGAATGTGTTTTTGTTTTTATTTTTGCGACCAATAATCTTCTCTATTTTCCTCCGAAATTCGCATGCGGCTCATCGCCCAATTATTGAGCACCATCCTTTCAAATTAGCCATTCTCCCAGAAGAGACATTCGTCACACCGACGTTTTCTGAAAAGAAGAAAAAGAAAGAGAAGGAGGAGGAGGAGGAGAATGCATTTCTGGTGGTTCCGGCTCGATTCTTATCCATTTCCTGTTATAAACGATCGCATGACTTGTTCTCATTTGGAAGACTCGTCTTTTCCCTTATAAATGAGAGCTCCTTCATCTTCCCCAACTTCTATCCCAATCTTCCAGATGCGGTTCCCGTCGAGAATGCTCCTGCCGGCGGTGCTCCTGATGCTCTCGGTCACTGTGTTCGCCGTCGATCCGCTCGACTTCCTGTTCAGCTCAAACATGGCCCAATACCCGAGATACCGCCCGATCGCCGCCACTAGGGCCGACGTGACTCCCGAATTCGGAAAGAGGTTTTGGCTTGGGTCCGCATTCGAGTTCTAGTCTTCCTTGCTCCTACTCCCTGTTCCCCCCTTGTTCCTTCTCTGATATTGTCCATTCAGGGCTCCTCCCGGCTGTGTTTGCACGGAGTTTCTCGGATGTCACGGACCAGGATGCATGCGAAGAATGTACCCGAAAACGGCCTAGATCAGCTCTTTTCTGATCTCCCATTTTATTTTCAATTCCTCGACTCTAACACCAGACGGAGTCGCGCCGATAATAAAATTTGTTAACTTGAAGGCTGAGTTGAGTAATCAAATCGAAAATTGTTCATTTCAAGCAGGAAAGAGTTTACACTAGAAAGACAAGAAAGATCTTTGATATCACAGAAACTAGGGAGCACGGTCTAGATTGCGATTTCTTCAGTCGGCGGCTTCATAGTCGAGGTAGGCACGCTGTGCATCGCCTTTTCATTGAATTTCTTGATTCGAGTGACCACTTCGTCCGTTGTCGGGCCCGAGCTCATCTTCGCCTTGATCAACCAGTTGGTGGCCAGGTAAAGGGACACGTACTGCGACCACGAATCCACGGACATCGGCCGTTGCTCTCGGATTGTGCGCACGATGTCGTTTATCTTAAGAAAGACTATGAACTTAACAACCAAAAGAATCGTCCGTCACCTTCGGCTCTTTTCCTTTTCCCAACTGATCCACGATTACGGCGAGCGAGAGGAGAGCGGCATTCCGTCCGGCTCCGTGCACAGACGCCAGAATAATAGGCGAGCCGGCGTTCTCGTTCTTGGCAATCTGCTGGGCGGCTCTGATTTGCGCGGCGAATCGTTCCGGTCCGGTGAACGGCTTCCAATAGGCGTGCAGGAAGACAGTGCACATGAGAGAATTGGAGCATCCCTCCGGGAGGAGCTCCACGACGAATTGATCCGCTTTCGCTGCGTCCTTTTTCTCCACTTTTCTAGTGTTGATGAAGAATCCGTTTGCGTAGAGCCAAGCGCCTGTTTCCTGCCGGAACAACTTCTCAATGCCCGGGTTCTGGAGCTCATCAGGTCGTGCGATGATGTGAAGGGACTGGCACTGCTCCTGGAACACCATACGCCAGAACTCCTCGACCGCGTCAACGACATCGAGCTTTGGAAGTTGGACTAGGTAGGTCAGAGGAGCAAACTGAAAGATATAGGTGATTACCGAGCACATTAGCAATTTTCTCACATTCGGCACGTTGATTTTGGTCCCGTTGATGTAGTCGTTCTTGCAGAACTGCACGATGACTCGGCTGTCATCGTAGCACTTGTAGTCCTGGTGACGATTGCGTCCGGTGTTCGCCTGCCAGATCTTGCACCTCTCCACGTTCGCCGGCATCTTCTGAATTTCTTCGTACTCGGCCTGCATGTTCACAGATGCCAGACTCTTCGTGAACAGGACCGCCGCCTCCTCCCCCGTCCATTTCTCCTTCTTTTTCGGTTTCTCTTTCTCATCGCACGTAGTTTTGTCCACCGAAACGGTCGATTTGCTCTTTTTCAACGCGGTTCCCATTTCCGTGACGGATTTCTTCTTGTCGAGGTTCACCGACGCCTTGCTCGCAGTTTTCCTCGCCGCCACGACTTTCGACTTCGCAGTTATCGCCGTCCTCTCTTCGGTTGCCGCCGTGTTCTCCGCTTTCTGGTCCCGTCCTTTCCGTTTGACATTGGTGTTCTTAGTGTTTGGTGATTTTTTCGGAGCTTGATTTTTGTTTCTGCAAATTTCGATTCAGCGATCTATGACCGAGTGATATACTTACGCCATTGTATCGCTGTCAGAAGATCGTCTGGATTTGTTCTCCGTAAGTTGGGAATAACAGGATTCCGGAAGGTCATCGTCAGATCAAGTGATAGGCCACGTAATCACGCGATACGTGGCGTCGAATAGAAATCGTTTTTTCAAATTGTATACTCGGTCATTTAGATTACTACTAGATCTACAGACACATAGCTACTCGAAAATATGGGGACAGCATTTTGTTGTGAAAAAAAGTTGATAAAAAGCTGTTCAATGTTTCTGATTTCAATTTTTAAATTCTGAATTCCGACTACGGTTAGCATTCGTCCGCACTCCGTGGTGTTCGCGGGAATTCAATTTCGCACGTTTCAAAAAAATTTTTTTTTTTTTTCTCAGCTCCTCATTCAAATATTCATCATTCATTGTTCAATTTCACTTTTTCTCCAGCTCGATGCAGGCAAACAGGCTCATTCAACTGCCGTACGCCGTCGATATCAATCAGAACAAGTCGATATGCCACGCATGCAAGGGCTTCATCAAGACGGTGAGTTTCCTGAACTGCTCTGATCGAAGTACCATTCCTAATTTGCTTCAGGGAGTCGTTCGGATGACCATTCGTAATACGAAACAGATAGCCACCATGGAAACCGAGAAGTGGATGCACTGTGAATGCTTCTGGAGGAGTTTGAAGAGAGGAGTGGACGACATTAACGGATCTTCTATCGGCGGAATGGATCGGTTGGACTGGAATACTCAAGAAATGATTCGTGAACAGATACGAAGATTCAAGTTCGAGCCCGAAACGTCGCCAACGTTCACAGGAACCCTCGTCGACTTCAAAAATCAGAGAATCGCGAAATCTGCGTCGAACAGAGGGAAATGCAGCAAATGTTTTCAGTTTTTCGAGAAAGATGAACTGAAAATGATGATGAAGATGAAATCCTACCATGCAAGGTGTCATTTCGAATCGATTGACAAGTTTCTGGGCAGATTGGATGATATACCCGGATGGATGGGCCAGGAAGAGAAGTGGAAAGAGAAGACCATTCAGGCGTTCGAGGAAATCCACGGAAAGCGAGAGAAGGATCCGAAATGTGATGAAAATAGCGGAAATCCTTCGAATGAAAGCTACGCTATGTCGGACGGAAATGACGAAGATTTGGCCAACCTGACGTTCACAATCCACGAAATGTCTTTCACTTCTGATGGCTATTCGTCTTCGAAAACCTCGTCACCAGCTGACTCCCAGACATCGTCGAAGCGCTCAGCTGCACCGAATGAGGAAGAGGCGGATACGAAGAGAAGACGGCTCGCCCGAATGGCGAAAATAATGGAGATCCGTCAGAAAAAGATGAGGGACCAGGCCGACCGGATGTTCGCCCTCCGACAGTGCTTCCGGCGCATTTATTTAGTTGAAATCAAGTCTATTTTCGTGGAAAACGACCAAGACGAGTGCGATGACGCCGAGAAAGCAAGAGATCTGCTCGTTGATATGGCTCTTTTCGGAAATCCGATTACGTGTCAGGAGTGTCTTGACGGAAAGATCACCTACAATTCGATAAAGCAGTTGTACGAGTGCAATGGCTACAAGACAGTCTACACAAGATGCCGCTTCACCAGCAAAAACCCTGTCCGCACTCCGTTCGTCATGCCGGCGAGGTTCATCGAAAAATATCAGCTGCAGACGGTGATTTTCAATCAGATGCACGAGCGAATCTATCCGAAACAAGAGGAGATTGTGAACAAAGTTGAAGGCTGTGGCTCTCCGGGCGACGGGAACACGTCGATTCTGGCGGCGGAGGCATTCGAAGCATTCAACTCGCTCCCAACCAGTCAGTGCATTTAGCTAACAAAAACTATATCTGATGTCTTTTTTGTAGATGTAGTCAACCCGGCAACAGCTACCACAACACACATTCTGAAAAATGGAACTCTCGTGGATGCGAAGTGCCCGCACGCTTACAAATCTCATGTGGTCAAACCGTATCAGGCGGCGCTATCGATGACAGACGTCACGGAAAACAAGAACTCGTACTATAAGATTCAACTGTTGAAGGAGGACTCGGCGGAGTGAGTGAGAATTGTGCTCTTCCAGAAAAACAGTAGTCCTTTCAGGCTCTTCCATTTATTCTCCTCGTGGGGACGCGTCGGCACGGATTTCGGTGGACACTACACGGAATCTTTCAATGAAAAAGTGGAGGCGATAAGACGATTCGAGCAGTTGTTCTCTCAGAAAACAAAGAACGAGTGGAAATACCGAAAGTACTTCCGCAAACTGCCTGGACAGTTCAACTACGTCGAAACGGATTTCTCGGAGCTGGAGACGATGGACGCGCATGGAATAGAGCCAGGCTCACGCACGAAATTGCCGATAGGAGTCAAAGAAGTGGTGATGGCTATCTTTGACGTTGAGAAAATGAAAGCCGCGCTCAAAAGTTTCGACATGGACCTTGAGAAGATGCCGTTGGGGCAGCTCTCCAGAAATCAGATCAAAACTGCGTTTGGAGTGCTAACGAAGCTCTCATGGCTCGTGGTGACAGAGAACAATGGACCGGAAATCGTGGACGCCACAAACAAGTTCTACACGCTCATCCCGCACAGCTTCGGAATGAAAAGTCCAGAGCCACTCGACACTCCTTCAAAGATCAAGGTTTTCAAAGATCATTTTCCTGTCTTAATGAAAACGATTGCAGAAGAAGTCCGAAATGCTGACTGCATTGCTCGAGATAAAGTACGCGTACGATCTGGGTACCGACAGACTGCCAAGGTCGCTTATTCAAGTGGATCCAGTCGATATCAACTATGAGAAGCTGAAGTGCGTGATGAGTCCGTTGCCACGTGGATGTCAAGATTGGGAATACATCGAGTCGTACATGAAGAACACCCGAGGATCCACTCATCATTTACGAGTTGATCTCGTCGATGTAGGCTCTCGTTTTTTTTTTAAAGATTCTTCACCTTTTTTTTAAGATCTTGATAGTTAATCGTGCGAACGAATCAGGAAAGTTCCGCAAAGATCTGGGCAACCGCAAACTACTGTGGCACGGATCTGCTCGCATGAACTTCGCTGGAATACTCGGCCACGGACTCCGAATTGCACCTCCCGAAGCTCCCTCCAATGGATACATGTTCGGAAAGGGCGTCTACTTTACCGACATGTTCTCAAAAAGCTTCTTCTATTGCCGAGCGAAGCAGACTAAAGAGGAAGTCTATCTCCTATTGTGTGACGTTGCGCTGGGCACTCCGAGCATCGTGTTTGCAGCGCAAAACTTGAGCGCAGAGAAATTGCCCGCTGGAACGCATTCAGTCCACGGTTGGAATAAACGAGTCATTTGGGTGTAAATCTAGAATTTGCAGCCATCGGACGAGAATGTCCCCACGAAATCGGCACGGTTCTTCACAAGGACGGCTTCGAAATTCCGACAGGACACCGAAAAACTCAACTTCACGGTCAACACGGTGTAAATTTTCATCTTTTGTACAATGAGTGAGCCTTTTTGCATCGTTCTCCGCGCACTCCTTCGCTTCAGGTACATTGTCTATGATGTCGATCAGATTGAATTGAAGTACCTGGTCCGCGTCCGCGTTCACGAAGCGAAACATCTGCAATAATAACAACTCACTCATTTCTGGCATCCTTGTCTACTAACCTATCATTCCCATAACCTTTCACCAAGCTGTGCCATACAACTCTGAATCCCGTGTTTACTCGAATACGTTTCCTATGTCGTACAGACTGTACGGTACAGTAGAAGAAAAAACGTTGAATCGTGAATGTTTTCCAAATCGAAGAAAAGATGACCAAATTTGTCGGTGGGCTACGATGGAGCGAGGAAGAAAAAAAATGAAACACAGGAACAATTTGAAAGTTGATATTTAGTTTATTAAGGAAAAACTGATTAATCATAAGATTTAACAATATAATACCCGATAAGAAAGTAATAATACTCGTAAAAAAATAATTCGACAAGAGCAAAATATCATAAAACCCATAAGAATTAAGAAAGAAACGAGATAAGTTAGATAAATTATGCAAATTATTACTGGTACTGCCCAAATTGAGGGCCATGCTGGGCACTGCGCGGGGGGTCACCGAAACCATTCATTCATTGCCTGCCTGAGTCAATTGTCTATTCGCTCCCGGAACAGCCGCCGCTGGCTGCATCCCGTAGTTTCCTCCTTGATAGTTCTGCAATGGGACATTATTATTTACCTGCTCATACCTGGGAGCATGCTGTCCTTGAACAGGTGCTCCTTGCTGGTTATGAGCAGCATTGCGCGTGGATTCATTGTTCTGCAATGGGACATGAGTGCTTACCTGGTGTGGGACCACGTTCTCCACGTTCTCCACTTGGTTGTTCCACTGTTGGTGCTCCGGGCTGTAGAAGAATTCTCTAAAAAATTGCTCATCTTCGATCTGCTCTTGAACGAGCACTTGTTGCCCATGAGGACCATTGTTCTCGGATGGGTACTGCTGCAACGGAAAATGATCACCCACCTCTTGCGGAACCACCTCCCAGTGTTCCTGCTGCTCCACTGGATACTCATAGATCACCTGATCCTCGGGCACCACCTGATCCTCCTCAATCTGCACCCATTCAACGTTGTCTTCTACCGGATGATTCTGTTCGTATGGGTACATCTGAAACGGAGCATTAGAACTCATCTCCGACGGAGCCTGCTGCTCTTGTTGCACCTGAACATGCTCACTTTCAACAGCACATACCTTCCTTTGCTTTGTCTACGGCTCCGCAGTCCTCTCCCACGGTTTCTTCTGTGCTCTGCTCGGGTTCTCCTCTCTCTTAGCCGCTTTCAACTCTGCCTTCTTCGCCTTAAACTGCTGGCTCTGGAAATGGAATGAATGATTTGGTGGAAGGGAAACTCAAACACTTACATAGTTGGAGACGACCACGAATGATTGACTCTCAAACTGGAAGGTATACGACGTCCCATTTTCAGAAATTATCACAACGGACACGATGTACTTACGGAGCGCGTTCACAAAAACGTGCAACTTCTTGGTGCAGTTGGGCTTGTTTGTGATGAAAAGCGCAGAGAAGTCGCAAGTCTCCCCCAGCCACTCCATTCCCGTCTTCCAGCCGTCCGGATGCTCCACGATCTGCGCGGCCTGCAGATCAGACTGCTCCAAGTAGCAGTGCTCCACCTTGACCATCCTTGACCATCTCGTTGAATTTGTACCTGTAATTTAGTAGTTACAGACTCTTTCATTGAATTCAAAATGAACTTACTTGTATTCGCCGACCTGTTCCACTTTCAACTGCACCTTGTACTTCTGCACCATGTCCAGCTTCTCCAGGCTGTACCGGAGCGTCGGCTGGAGTCGTCGTCCTTCCCCGGCAACTTGCTGCTCCACAGTCGGTCCGTAGGCGGCCCATTCCTCTCTTTGGAACGGAGTGCAGCGTGGGACAGTAACAGAAGACATTTCGATTGTTTTTCTGAAAACATACAAATGAAAAAGGGAAACAAGAGAGAATGCGACAGTAGTACGGTAGATGATGTGGATAAAGAAGAAAACGGAAATGAAGAGCAAGGAGTGGTCACCATTCTGCGAGATGGGTAATAGAGTGAATGACGGTGTGACCCCTTCTTCTGTAAGTGGCGCGGTCTGTAATACCCATGGAAAGTGTTTCCCGAGAGCACAGACACGCCCCGAGTATACCTTCACACGGTGCAGGACACCGATTGTAAACGAATGGACACGTGCGTCGCAGATATCTGCACATTTTAAGATGGTCGCAAAGGGGTCCCTCTTTTCAACTTGCCGATAAACATGACAGTTTTCCCATATGTTACCGAGAATTGAGGACTGGGTTGGAATGAGAATGAGCTTTTGAGGGTTCTAAAAGAATTGGAAACTGCAAACCGGGAAATAAAAATCAACATGAACAGAAGAAGAGCAAAAAAGAAGAGAACAGAAAAGTACAGCAGAGTACATGAATGCTTTGGAACTCCATAAGTACAGGACTATAATTTTTGAAAGGAAGGTACCAGTGATGGGAGCAACATAAGTGAGTCTATTTGATGTTATAGTACAGTAGTCGTCCTACGAATTCAGAAAGACGAGAGGACTCGTGAAATGATCTGCTCTTAATGAATAAAATGAACGGCACCCTATCTCGGAAATAGGAAATTTAATTGCGCGTGATGCCCTACGGTAGGCTGGTCGTATAGGCGCCTAAAAAGACAGGCGCAGGCGCCTAAAATCGCCTGTTAGACCAGCCTACCCTACGGTATTTTCCGTTCTGATTAGTTTTTTAAATCAACTGAAAATCAACTGTCAACTGAAGCAACTGAAGCAGGGTTTGAAGACGTTACATCAATCTAAGTCTTTGTTGAGTGTGATCTAGTACTTGTAGTACTTCATTTTTGCACCACCTCTTCTAAGTAAGATTACTGTAACTTATAGAAGTCAAGGTACCCTATTCATGTTAGTGAGAGTTGTCACTTCCATGAACTACAGTAGTCTTATGAGAAGTTTTACGGAAAAAATAGAAAAAAGAAGTTTTCGGACTCACACGACTTCTTCTAATCCTGAAATTTACTCTCAAACTTGCTGCTTCTGTATGTGGGCCAATAAGTGAAGTGAAGTGAATTCTCACCTTTCTGGCCTCCTTCCCGCACCCATCGAAAGTACTTTCGGCACTTGGAAGAGACGGAGAGCACCCACGCGTGGGTCATTATGAGCACGATGTCTGCGAAGTGCCAAATGAATGAGATGGAGTCCGAGTCGTCGCCCAGTGCGTCTGCAATTTCACTTTTATTAAAGATCGGTAGAATCTCTCACCTTTGACCAGATTTTTGTGGAATATGTTGACAAAGACAAAGGATACTTTAGGATATTCACTTCACTTATTGGCCCACATACAGAAGCAGCAAGTTTGAGAAAACAAGAATCCGTTCAAGAACTTGTCCCAATTCTCCACTAAACACAGCAGAAATCCAAGGAAACGGGCGCTTCGAAACGTCTTTCGATCAGTCGAACTACAGTATGCTGATGGGTAAGCACGCCGTCTTTTCGGTGTTGTGCTCGAAACTTCTGTCTCTATCCGTGCCCCCTTTTGCCTGGTCCTTTCAGTTTCCGCTGCCACCGTTCCCTTTCTCTCGACCAATTTGATGGCATTTTCAGTGGAAATGCCGACGAATCGCCACGAATCGAAACCGGAAATATTCTGATCTCTTTCGCTGTTTTCTTTTCTTTTCGCCCCCTCCACGAAGCCTGATGATGCAAACTTGAATGTGAGACGATTTCCTGTCACGGGTTACCCACAATTTCTTCCCTCTGGTACACATTTCCAACACCGATTCAATTGAAAAAATAAAGTATCCTTTGAAACAGTGATTTCGATAATAAATGTATTCTTGATTTATATTGTGCAACTACACAGCATTACATAACAACAGGGCTCAGTGGTCGGGCCTTCCCGATGTTTCCCAAAAGAAGACATGCTCCGAGTATACCTTCGCACACCGATTGTAAATGGATCAACACGTGCGTTCCCTTTTTAGCTCTCGTCTTCTGTGATCCCGGGAAACACTTGCCACGTTTGTTCTAGACCAAATCCCCGCCCCTTGCAGTCTAAGAAGGAGGTCACACCGCCATTCCATTTATAATCCATCTTGCGGAAGGTGACCGCTTTTTCATTCTCATCGAGATCGATTCTAAGTTTTTCTGTACTCTTTTCCAACTTCTCATTACTCCTCATCTATTCTTACTATTGTATTTCCTTTCATTTCCCAGCACCCTATTTTGGAAACCAGAAGATCGCAAGTTCAGTCGACCTCCGCCTATTCGTTTCTCTGCGTGCAACTCGTGATCGCTCAAATATTGAGTTCCTTTTCCTTTCCTTTCTCTTCTCCAACTTCTCGATCCTTGTCATTCACTTTATGTGTTACAGTATTTACAGTAGTCTGAATCATTCTGAATCTTTACCAAATCTTTCTCCTAGATCGGTATCTGTTTTGTTAATTCCCAGTTCATTTCTAAATGTTCAAAATAGATTCAGAACCCGCAATTTAAAATTTTTTGGATTAAACCCCGGGATTGATATGACTTTAATTTCTCGTAGGAATAATTCTGTGACCCTCTTTGAGTATCGCGCTAACGCAGTTTCGAACTGTACCAAATCAGAACTGCAACCCAAACCCTGTCCGCAATCACTTTTATTTGCACTGCCAATCATTTCTAATTCTGTTTCGAGGGCAGTCCGTTTCCTAATGGGTGGTTCCCACAGAGTCTGGAATCGGCAAGATGAAAAGAGGGAGCAAAAGTGTGTGACATCTGGAACGCGCGTGTTCATCCATTTACAGCCGCTGTCTGCACGTATACCCCATTGCCCTCTGTGCTCCCGGCAAACACTTGCCGCGTGTGTTCCAGACCTAATCCCGGCTCCTTCAAGACTAAGAACAAGGTCACACCGTCATTCCATCTATTCTTCATTTCACGAAAGGTGACCACTTTCTTCTTTCTCACCTAGATCCGTGTTTTGTTTAGCCTTCGTGTGCTCATTCCAGAGAGTTCCTTTTTCTCTCTTCTCTAACTTTTCAATCTTTTTCATCCAATTCTTTCATTTCTTCTCTAAATCGAGTTTCCCCAATCTTCAAAGCTGATCGCCTTGAAACTGCTGTAACTCTCATAACTGTGTGCATTTCTTTCAATTGTGTATTTTGGATATCTTTGAATTCATCATTCTCTCCTGATTCAGAACCCATACATTCCGGTTGTGATTCTATTTTCGATTCTTCTGGAACCACCCGTTTCTAAGCATCTTCTTCAACCCCGCCCGCCACTTCCAAAGCAGTAGTTAGATTCTATATAGCTCATTCGATGATTTCAGCTAGTTTCTTGACAGTTCAATCGAAATTCATCAGTAATTGTTGAGTGAAAATGAGTTCAATTGAATGACATTTCTAAACTTGCGTCTGTAATTCAAAAACTCATTCAACCTTCAGACTTTTTTTGTGCCTCGTGTTAAAAAAACTCTGGGTTTCATAAGTACGTGGGAAAAAAACGCACGGCGAGATGAAAAGAGGGACCGCACCGGACACGAACACAAGCGTGTGACATCTGGAACGCGCGTGTTCATCCATTTACAGCCCATCGCCCTCTGTGCTCCCCGGGAAACACTTGCCGCGTGTGTTTTTAGACCTGAGTCCCGCCCCTCTCAGAAGTAGAAGGAGGTCACACCATCATTCCACCGATTTTTCAATCTCGCGGAAGGTGAGTCACTTTTTTTCTTCCTCACCGAGATCAACTATTTCTATTTTACCTCTCCATGTGCTCAATCATTGAGTTCCTTTTTCCTTTCCCTTCTCTTCTAAACTCTCCTCATCTACCGTATTACTCTTGTTGCATTCTCTCTTATTTCACTTTACCTTTTCTTCTGTCACTCATTCTCTTTTTCCCTTTTTTTCATTTGGATGTTTTTCAGACAAATCATCAGTATGTCTTCTGTTAATGTCCCACACTGCACTCCGTTCCAAGGAGAGGAATGGGCTGCCTACGGGCAGACTGTGGAGCAACAAATTGCCGGGGAAGGACGACGACTCCAGCCGACGCTCCAGTACAGCCTGGAGAAGCTGGACATGGTGCAGAAGTACAAGGTGCAGTTGAAAGTGGAACAGGTCGGCGAATACAAGTAAGTTCATTTTGAATTCAATGAAAGAGTCTGTAACTACTAAATTACAGGTACAAGTTCAACGAGATGGTCAAGGATTGGGTGGAGCACTGCCACTTGGCGCAGTCTGATCTGCAGGCCGCGCAGATCGTCGAGCATCCGGACGGCTGGAAGACGGGAATGGAGTGGCTGGGGGAGACTTGCGACTTCTCCGCGCTCTTCATCACTAACAAGCCCAACTGCACCAAGAAGTTGCACGTGTTTGTGAACGCGCTCCGTAAGTACATTGTGTCCGTTGTGATCATTTCTGAAAATGGGACGTCGTATACCTTCCAGTTTGAGAGTCAAACATTCGTGGTCGTCTCCAACTATGTAAGTGTTTGAGTTTGCCTTCCACCAAATCATTCATTCCATTTCCAGAGCCAGCAATTCAAGGCGAAGAAGGCAGAGTTGAAAGCGGCTAAGAGTGCGGAGAATCCGAGCAGAGCACAGAAGAGACCGTCGGAGAGAACTGCGGAGCCGAAGACAAAGCAAAGAAAGGTATGTGCTGTTGAAAGTGAGCAGGTTCAGGTGCAACAAGAGCAGCAGGCTCCGTCGGAGGTGAGTTCTAATGCTCCGTTTCAGATGAACCCATTCGAACAGAATGATCCGGAAGGAGACAACGTTGAATGGGTGCAGATTGAGGAGGATGAGGTCGTGCCGGAGGATCAGGAAGAAGACAACGTTGAATGGGTGCAGATTGAGGAGGATCAGGTGGTGCCGGAGGATCAGGAAGAAGACAACGTTGTCTGGGTGCAGGTGGACAAGGATGAAGTGGTGCCCGAGGATCAAGAAGGAGACAACGGTATCTGGGTGCAGGTGGACGAGGATGGAGTGGTGCCCGAGGATCAGGAAGGAGACAACGTTACCTGGGTGCAGGTAGACGAGGATGGAGTGGTGCCCGAGGATCAGGTGTTCTATGACTACCTCCCAGTGGAGCAGCAGGAGGTGGGTGATAATGTTCCATTGCAGCAGTACCCATCCGAGAACAATGATTCTCATGGGCAACAAGTACTCATTCAAGAGCAGATCGAAGATGAGCAACTTATGCGGGAATTCTTTTACAGCCCAGAGCAACAGCAATGGAACAACCAAGTGGAGAACGTGGAGAACGTGGTTCCACACCAGGTAAGCACTCAGGTCCCATTGCAGAACTATGAATCCACGGGCAATGCTGCTCATAACCAGCAAGGAGCACGTGTTCAAGGACAGCATGTGCCCAGGTATGAGCAAGTTCGCAATGCCGAGCAGTATCCGCTTCAGCAGCAGCAGCCGCCGCATCAATCGATCACTCATCCTCAAGGAGCGAATGTGATGCCGTCCCAGGTGAGTGCAAATGCACCATTTCAGAACAACTGGCACGTGGAACACCAGTACCAACAACACCATAATGGCTTCCAAGGACAGAACGGAAACGTCGAGAATCAGCGGATGCCGACTTCTCCAGGGACGAATGGCCAATGGAATCCGGAACCGAGGCAGCCACATTATTAATAACTTGTCGAATGTTTGTATTGATTCTAATTTCGGTTAATTTCTGTTCAATAAATTGTCAATATTCAAACTGTTTTGAAACGAACATTTCATCTTGAGCCCATTCGTCGTATTCTCAAGTCAATACTTTCGGGCCCTGGCTTACCAATCTTGTCAAAATCTTCGCAAAGTCCCATATAGTTTCCATTGAAACGTTCATTAAATTAAGTCTACCGAATGAAACCGATAAAAAAAGTAAATAAGCAATCAGGAGAGAGAAAAGAAAAGGATTTGGAGCGAATCTAGTAAAGCGAAATTGATATGAGACATTCTAGAAGGGGATACCGTTCCGCACTCGACTCCTTCCGCTTGTCCGCGCTTCCGCCGGCCGCCGCTTCCGGTTTGTAATCCTTCGCGACTGGCCGTTTCTTGCGGGCTTGTGCTCGTCGAGCCCGTTGATTGTGGGCCTTTAGTTCGAGGATGGCCGACTGAAAAAGATGGTGTTGAGGGGTATTTGTGATGCTTGGGTGGTACCTGTAGTCGCTTGACATATCCGATTTTGTTGATGCCAATCTCGAGAATGTCCGACCGTTCTAAATGCATCAATTCGGATCCTTGAATGTCGTTTTTCCGGAATGTCGATCCGTATTCGGACATTCCGATCGAAGAGAGCCATGCGCACACTTCGTCGCTCGTCCAGTATGGGACTGAAAATGATTTTTAGGGAAGACTCCGACCTGCTTCTCCCGCACTTTCTTTTGTCTCCGACCTCCTATCCTGCGACTTCCTCGCCAGTCCACGCTTCTGTCTGTCTTTCGCCCCGTACCTCGTCGGCTTTCCAGACCTCTTGAAGTTGTCTTGAAGTTGTATTGGGCGAGGGATCGCCCAATAGCGACATCCCTCTCAACCTTTTATGTTGGTAACGAGGCCTAAGGCTCGATTACCAACGACAGACTCCCGTCTGTCAAGTTTTCATGTTCTACTAATGAATTTATTCGGTGTTCGTTCCCACTCAATAGCCAAGAGACGAGAGAACATGTGGCGGCCGGAGACGCACAGACTCTCGCCGAGACTCACGCCGCTGTAGAGACGCAGACGGCGGGGACCTGCGGTAGATCGGGCGCGTCGAGACCCAAAATGGTAGCGACCTGCGCCTTGAAATCGAGTGCAGGTTTTGGGATTCGGAGCGAGGACTCGCTTCTCGGGTTTGGAGACGATCAGTGGCAGACGATCGGTTCGGGAGCTCGTGTCGTCGAGCAGTGGCAGATGCACGCGACAATCTTCCCCTTTTCTCATTACTTTTCTACTTGTTTATCACTAATATTGTTCTCACATGTGAGGCGGCACGGCGATGATTGACTCGGTGTATGAGCGGGAGATGGAGAAGGGTTTTAGCTCCCGAGGTCACACGTGTACACCGTGCGGCTGCAGACGGATTGCGAACACTTCTAGTGAGGAGTTGGAGTTAGAGCCGCGCGTAGCCGTAAGTAACCACTATTCTGTATCCTGTAATTAGAATCCTATCCATTTCTGGAGACATCGCTCGTTCCGTGTGTCGGTTCGTAAATAGGATGTGGAGGTTTTTTAGCCAACGTCTTTTCCTCCGACAATAAACATTGTTCCCCAGAATCTGTGTTATTGAGTATCGGAAAGGCATCCGTTGGAGTTAAAGGACAATATCACGAGTTGAGAAGGGTCCATCAATTCAGGCAACTCGCGAAATGAATCGACTGTGGTTTCCTGTTCAGCAAATCGTCCAGTCTACCCTGGCATCCCAGAAGGTCGGCTTTCGTCTGCTCCGCCGTTTTCCTCTCGGCTTTCACCGCCTTCTCGGCCTTCTCCAAGCGTCTTTGCAACGCCTCCTTCTCCGTTTCCAACCGATCGATGGTCTTGCTCAGTTTGTCCGTCTCCGCGGCCATTTCTGCCTGCAAAATACCATATTATTCTCTCAGTTTCCTGTACTCCGTTGAGTTCTTCGCGCTTCTCCGCCCTTTGCTTTCATCACTTTCCCGCGCCTCCCCACTCGTGACTAATTCTTGCAACTGCTCGACGGTCTCTAACTGCGCCGACTCCATCACTCGCATCACTTCCCGCTGCCACTTGTTCTCCCCGATTTCCTCGAATCGTTTCTGGAGTTCCCGCGAAAACGCGTTCATCGGCTCCGCGATAAAATCTCTCTCCAGGTCTGAGACGTCTGTCATATCCCGCAGTCTCTTTCTCGTCTCTGCCTCTACCGCTTCAACGACTCTGACTACCCGCCCGACCGAACCATCTCGTCCTGTTCCTTCTTTCTTTCCAGCTGACCTCGTTCCAATCCGTCAGCCATTCCTCCGTCCGAGTTCCGCGATCACGCTCGACTCTCCTTCGTCGCCTTCCCTCGGAAGCTTCCACTTCTCCGAATCCGTCGCCACTCCGACCATTTCCTCTTAGTTCGACATCTCTGCTGTAAATGTTTGTTCAAAAGTTTGTTTCTTGAAACTCACGCCGATCTTTGATCTGACGCGAGGCTATCGATTTTCTGCCGCATTCTTCGCGCTTAAGCGATGTTCTTCGAACTATCGACTCTCCGACACGAAAAACCCGTGAGCAAGTCAATAATATAAAAAAAATAAAAAAACCGGTTCGGCCCCCAAGTTGCCCGCTTATAAAAAGGGGTAGTGGGTCCCATACAAGAAAACACAAGAAACAACGCGAGAGATTATCAAACAAAGGTTTACTGCTTGAGGAGCAACGAAAGAAACGAATCAACAAAGAAAAGTACAGAAAGAACACCAAAAAGAGTGTCTCTAACCAGTAAACGTACAAAAGCTTTCCTCACCAAAACCAGCCCTAAAAAATCCGTCTTAAAATTTGCAGCTCAAAGTTCACGCGTGTCCCATAGAGCGTCATTGCACCCGTTCGTGCGACTTCCTCTAAAGGGTTTGAGGGAACTGCCTTTGGCAACTGAAGGCTCCAAGCGGTTCCTTACTGTTATCGGTTTAATTTAATGAACGTTTCAATGGAAACTATATGGGACTTTCCGAGATTTTGACAAGGTTGGTAAGCCAGGATTCGAAAGTATTGACTTGAGAATACGACGAATGGGCTCAAGATGAAATGTTCGTTTCAAAACAGTTTGAATATTGACAATTTATTGAACAGAAATTGACCGAAATTAGAATCAAAATACAAACATATTCGACAAGTTATTAATAATGTGGCTGCCTCGGTTCCGGATTCCATTGGCCATTCGTCCCTGGAGCAGTCGGCATCCGCTGATTCTCGACGTTTCCGTTCTGTCCTTGGAAGCCATTATGGTGTTGTTGGTACTGGTGCTCCACGTGCCAGTTGTTCTGAAATGGTGCATTTGCACTCACCTGGGACGGCATCACATTCGCTCCTTGGAACCACGTTCTCCACGTTCTCCACTTGGTTGTTCCATTGCTGTTGCTCTGGGCTGTAAAAGAATTCCCGCATAAGTTGCTCATCTTCGATCTGCTCTTGAATGAGCACTTGTTGCCCATGAGTACCATTGTTCTCGGATGGGTACTGCTGCAATGGAACATTATCACCCACCTCCTGCTGCTCCACTGGGAGGTAGTCATAGAACACCTGATCCTCGGGCACCTGCACCCAGGTAACGTTGTCTCCTTCCTGATCCTCCGGCATCACCTGATCCTCCTCAATCTGCACCCATTCAACGTTGTCTTCTTCCTGATCCTCCGGCACGACCTCATCCTCCTCAATCTGCACCCATTCAACGTTGTCTCCTTCCGGATCATTCTGTTCGAATGGGTTCATCTGAAACGGAGCATTAGAACTCACCTCCGACGGAGCCTGCTGCTCTTGTTGCACCTGAACCTGCTCACTTTCAACATCACATACCTTTCTTTGCTTTGTCTTCGGCTCCGCAGTTCTCTCCGACGGTCTCTTCTGTGCTCTGTAATGCGCATTTCCGATTGAGCTCTTCTCTCGGAGCAACTCACGAGTCAGCCATTTCTTTTCGCTCGTCTTCGACTTCTTAATTTGAAGTTTGTCTCCAAGAAAAGTGTAAAATGAACTTGATTCTCCGATTTTCGGAGTTTTTATACACCACCGATAAAAAATCCACGTGGATGTCCCAATTCACTTCCGTTTTCACTCTTATCATCCATTTCGCTCTCACTGAGACGAACTTCCTCTATGTTTCCTTTTCATGTGCTCAAATATTGGGCTCCTTTTCCTTTCCTTTCTCTTCTCCAACTTCCCGATCCTTGTCATTCACCTTATGTGTTACAGTATTTACAGTAGTCTGAATCATTCTGAATCTTTACCAAATCTTTCTCCTAGATCGGTATCTGTTTTATTAATTCCCAGTTCATTTCTAAATGTTCAAAAATAGATTCAGAACCCGCAATTTAAATTTAAATTTTTTTCTCTCCTGATTGCTTATTTACTTTTTTTATCAGTTCCATTCGGTAGACTTAATTTAATGAACGTTTCAATGGAAACTATATGGGACTTTGCGAAGATTTTGACAAGATTGGTAAGCCAGGGCCCGAAAGTATTGACTTGAGAATACGACGAATGGGCTCAAGATGAAATGTTCGTTTCAAAACAGTTTGAATATTGACAATTTATTGAACAGAAATTAACCGAAATTAGAATCAATACAAACATTCGACAAGTTATTAATAATGTGGCTGCCTCGGTTCCGGATTCCATTGGCCATTCGTCCCTGGAGCAGTCGGCATCCGCTGATTCTCGACGTTTCCGTTCTGTCCTTGGAAGCCATTATGGTGTTGTTGGTACTGGTGCTCCACGTGCCAGTTGTTCTGAAATGGTGCATTTGCACTCACCTGGGACGGCATCACATTCGCTCCTTGAGGATGAGTGATCGATTGATGCGGCTGCTGAAGCGGATACTGCTCGGCATTGCGAACTTGCTCATACCTGGGCACATGCTGTCCTTGAACACGTGCTCCTTGCTGGTTATGAGCAGCGTTGCGCGTGGATTCATAGTTCTGCAATGGGACCTGAGTGCTTACCTGGTGTGGGACCACGTTCTCCACTTGGTTGTTCCATTGCTGTTGCTCTGGGCTGTAAAAGAATTCCCGCATAAGTTGCTCATCTTCGATCTGCTCTTGAATGAGCACTTGTTGCCCATGATAATCATTGTTCTCGGATGGGTACTGCTGCAATGGAACATTATCACCCACCTCCTGCTGCTCCACTGGGAGGTAGTCATAGAACACCTGATCCTCGGGCACCACTCCATCCTCGTCTACCTGCACCCAGGTAACGTTGTCTCCTTCTTGATCCTCGGGCACCACTTCATCCTCGTCCACCTGCACCCAGACAACGTTGTCTTCTTCCTGATCCTCCGGCACGACCTCATCCTCCTCAATCTGCACCCATTCAACGTTGTCTCCTTCCGGATCATTCTGTTCGAATGGGTTCATCTGAAACGGAGCATTAGAACTCACCTCCGACGGAGCCTGCTGCTCTTGTTGCACCTGAACCTGCTCACTTTCAACATCACATACCTTTCTTTGCTTTGTCTTCGGCTCCGCAGTTCTCTCCGACGGTCTCTTCTGTGCTCTGCTCGGATTCTCCGCACTCTTAGCCGCTTTCAACTCTGCCTTCTTCGCCTTGAATTGCTGGCTCTGGAAATGGAATGAATGATTTGGTGGAAGGCAAACTCAAACACTTACATAGTTGGAGACGACCACGAATGTTTGACTCTCAAACTGGAAGGTATACGACGTCCCATTTTCAGAAATGATCACAACGGACACAATGTACTTACGGAGCGCGTTCACAAAAACGTGCAACTTCTTGGTGCAGTTGGGCTTGTTAGTGATGAAGAGTGCGGAGAAGTCGCAAGTCTCCCCCAGCCACTCCATTCCCGTCTTCCAGCCGTCCGGATGCTCGACGATCTGCGCGGCCTGCAGATCAGACTGCGCCAAGTGGCAGTGCTCCACCCAATCCTTGACCATCTCGTTGAACTTGTACCTGTAATTTAGTAGTTACAGACTCTTTCATTGAATTCAAAATGAACTTACTTGTATTCGCCGACCTGTTCCACTTTCAACTGCACCTTGTACTTCTGCACCATGTCCAGCTTCTCCAGGCTGTACTGGAGCGTCGGCTGGAGTCGTCGTCCTTCCCCGGCAATTTGCTGCTCCACAGTCTGCCCGTAGGCAGCCCATTCCTCTCCTTGGAACGGAGTGCAGTGTGGGACATTAACAGAAGACATACTGATGATTTGTCTGAAAACATCCAAATGAAAAAGGGAAAAGAGAATGAGTGACAGAAGAAAAGGTAAAGTGAAATAAGAGAGAATGCAACAAGAGTAATACGGTAGATGAGGAGAGTTTAGAAGAGAAGGGAAAGGAAAAGGAACTCAATGATTGAGCACATGGAGAGGTAAAATAGAAATAGTTGATCTCGGTGAGGAAGAAAAAGTGACTCACCTTCCGCGAGATTGAAAATCGGTGGAATGATGGTGTGACCTCCTTCTACTTCTGAGAGGGGCGGGACTCAGGTCTAAAACACACGCGGCAAGTGTTTCCCGGGAGCACAGAGGGCGATGGGCTGTAAATGGATGAACACGCGCGTTCCAGATGTCACACGCTTGTGTTCGTGTCCGGTGCGGTCCCTCTTTTCATCTCGCCGTGCGTTTTTTCCCACGTACTTATGAAACCCAGAGTTTTTTAACACGAGGCACAAAAAGTCTGAAGGTTGAATGAGTTTTGAATTACAGACGCAAGTTTAGAAATGTCATTCAATTGAACTCATTTTCACTCAACAATTACTGATGAATTTCGATTGAACTGTCAAGAAACTAGCTGAAATCATCGAATGAGCTATATAGAATCTAACTACTGCTTTGGAAGTGGCGGGCGGGGTTGAAGAAGATGCTTAGAAACGGGTGGTTCCAGAAGAATCGAAAATAGAATCACAACCGGAATGTATGGGTTCTGAATCAGGAGAGAATGATGAATTCAAAGATATCCAAAATACACAATTGAAAGAAATGCACACAGTTATGAGAGTTACAGCAGTTTCAAGGCGATCAGCTTTGAAGATTGGGGAAACTCGATTTAGAGAAGAAATGAAAGAATTGGATGAAAAAGATTGAAAAGTTAGAGAAGAGAGAAAAAGGAACTCTCTGGAATGAGCACACGAAGGCTAAACAAAACACGGATCTAGGTGAGAAAGAAGAAAGTGGTCACCTTCCGTGAAATGAAGAATAGATGGAATGACGGTGTGACCTTGTTCTTAGTCTTGAAGGAGCCGGGATTAGGTCTGGAACACACGCGGCAAGTGTTTGCCGGGAGCACAGAGGGCAATGGGGTATACGTGCAGACAGCGGCTGTAAATGGATGAACACGCGCGTTCCAGATGTCACACACTTTTGCTCCCTCTTTTCATCTTGCCGATTCCAGACTCTGTGGGAACCACCCATTAGGAAACGGACTGCCCTCGAAACAGAATTAGAAATGATTGGCAGTGCAAATAAAAGTGATTGCGGACAGGGTTTGGGTTGCAGTTCTGATTTGGTACAGTTCGAAACTGCGTTAGCGCGATACTCAAAGAGGGTCACAGAATAATTCCTACGAGAAATTAAAGTCATATCAATCCCGGGGTTGAATCGTCGGCATTTCCACTGAAAATGCGATCGAATTGGTCGAGAGAAAGGGAACGGTGGCAGCGGAAACTGAAAGGACCAGGCAAAAGGGGGCACGGATAGAGACAGAAGTTTCGAGCACAACACCGAAAAGACGGCGTGCTTACCCATCAGCATACTGTAGTTCGACTGATCGAAAGACGTTTCGAAGCGCCCGTTTCCTTGAATTTCTGCTGTGTTTAGTGGAGAATTGGGACAAGTTCTTGAACGGATTCTCGTTTTTTGTTTGGTTTTTCAAGGAGCACAGGTGCGAAAGGGTGAGACTACATACGGAAGCGACTTTTTAAAGTTTGAAAGTGTGTAGCAGGGTTTGAAGACGTTACATCAATCTAAGTCTTTGTTGAGTGTGATCTAGTACTTGTAGTACTTCATTTTTGCACCACCTCTTCTAAGTAAGATTACTGTAACTTATAGAAGTCAAGGTACCCTATTCATGTTAGTGAGAGTTGTCACTTCCATGAACTACAGTAGTCTTTAGAGAAGTTTTACGGAAAAAACAGAACAAAGAAGTTTTCGGACTCAGACGACGTCTTCTAATCCTGAAATCTACTCTCAAACTTGCTGCTTCTGTATGTGGGCCAACAAGTGAAGTGAAGTGAATTCTCACCTTTCTGGCCTCCTTCCCGCACCCATCGAAAGTACTTTCGGCACTTGGAAGAGACGGAGAGCACCCACGCGTGGGTCATTATGAGCACGATTTCTGCGAAGTGCCAAATGAATGGCCCACATACAGAAGCAGCAAGTTTGAGAAAACAAGAATCCGTTCAAGAACTTGTCCCAATTCTCCACTAAACACAGCAGAAATCCAAGGAAACGGGCGCTTCGAAACGTCTTTCGATCAGTCGAACTACAGTATGCTGATGGGTAAGCACGCCGTCTTTTCGGTGTTGTGCTCGAAACTTCTGTCTCTATCCGTGCCCCCTTTTGCCTGGTCCTTTCAGTTTCCGCTGCCACCGTTCCCTTTCTCTCGACCAATTCGATCGCATTTTCAGTGGAAATGCCGACGACCAGCACGGCTCCTCGCCACGAATCGAAACCGGACATATTCTGATCTCTTTCGCTGTTTTCTTTTCTTTTCGCCCCCTCCACGAAGCCTGATGATGCAAACTTGAATGTGAGACGATTTCCTGTCACGGGTTACCCACAATTTCTTCCCTCTGGTACACATTTCCCACACCGATTCAATTGAAAAAATAAAGTATCCTTTGAAACAGTGATTTCGATAATAAATGTATTCTTGATTTATATTGTGCAACTACACAGCATTACATAACAACAGGGCTCAGTGGTCGGGCCTTCCCGATGTTTCCCAAAAGAAGACATGCTCCGAGTATACCTTCGCACACCGATTGTAAATGGATCAACACGTGCGTTCCCTTTTTAGCTCTCGTCTTCTGTGATCCCGGGAAACACTTGCCACGTTTGTTCTAGACCAAATCCCCGCCCCTTGCAGTCTAAGAAGGAGGTCACACCGCCATTCCATTTATAATCCATCTTGCGGAAGGTGACCGCTTTTTCATTCTCATCGAGATCGATTCTCAGTTTTTCTGTACTCTTTTCCAACTTCTCATTAATCCTCATCTATTCTTACTATTGTATTTCCTTTCATTTCCCAGCACCCTATTTTGGAAACCAGAAGATCGCAAGTTCAGTCGACCTCCGCCTATTCGTTTCTCTGCGTGCAACTTGTGATCGCTCAAATATTGAGTTCCTTTTCTTTTCCTTTCTCTTCTCCAACTTCTCGATCCTTGTCATTCACTTTATGTGTTACAGTATTTACAGTAGTCTGAATCATTCTGAATCTTTACCAAATCTTTCTCCTAGATCGGTATCTGTTTTGTTAATTCCCAGTTCATTTCTAAATGTTCAAAATAGTGTAATTCAAAACTCATTCAACCTTCAGACTTTTTGTGCCTCGTGTTAACAAACTCTGGGTTTCATAAGTACGTGGGAAAAAACGCACGGCGAGATGAAAAGAGGGACCGCACCGGACACGGACACAAGTGTGTGACATCTGGAACGCGCGTGTTCATCCATTTACAGCCCATCGCCCTCTGTGCTCCCGGGAAACACTTGCCGCGTGTGTTTTAGACCTGAGCCCCGCCCCTCTCAGAAGTAGAAGGAGGTCACACCATCATTCCACCAATTTTCAATCTCGCGGAAGGTGAGTCACTTTTTCTTCCTCACCGAGATCAACTATTTCTATTTTACCTCTCCATGTGCTCAATCATTGAGTTCCTTTTCCTTTCCCTTCTCTTCTAAACTCTCCTCAGCTACCGTATTACTCTTGTTGCATTCTCTCTTATTTCACTTTACTTTTTCTTCTGTCACTCATTCTCTTTTCCCTTTTTCATTTGGATGTTTTCAGACAAATCATCAGTATGTCTTCTGTTAATGTCCCACACTGCACTCCGTTCCAAGGAGAGGAATGGGCTGCCTACGGTCAGACTGTGGAGCAGCAAGTTGCCGGGGAAGGACGACGACTCCAGCCGACGCTCCAGTACAGCCTGGAGAAGCTGGACATGGTGCAGAAGTACAAGGTGCAGTTGAAAGTGGAACAGGTCGGCGAATACAAGTAAGTTCATTTTGAATTCAATGAAAGAGTCTGTAACTACTAAATTACAGGTACAAGTTCAACGAGATGGTCAAGGATTGGGTGGAGCACTGCCACTTGGCGCAGTCTGATCTGCAGGCCGCGCAGATCGTCGAGCATCCGGACGGCTGGAAGACGGGAATGGAGTGGCTGGGGGAGACTTGCGACTTCTCCGCACTCTTCATCACTAACAAGCCCAACTGCACCAAGAAGTTGCACGTTTTTTTGTGAACGCGCTCCGTAAGTACATTGTGTCCGTTGTGATCATTTCTGAAAAATGGGACGTCGTATACCTTCCAGTTTGAGAGTCAAACATTCGTGGTCGTCTCCAACTATGTAAGTGTTTGAGTTTGCCTTCCACCAAATCATTCATTCCATTTCCAGAGCCAGCAATTCAAGGCGAAGAAGGCAGAGTTGAAAGCGGCTAAGAGTGCGGAGAATCCGAGCAGAGCACAGAAGAGACCGTCGGAGAGAACTGCGGAGCCGAAGACAAAGCAAAGAAAGGTATGTGCTGTTGAAAGTGAGCAGGTTCAGGTGCAACAAGAGCAGCAGGCTCCGTCGGAGGTGAGTTCTAATGCTCCGTTTCAGATGAACCCATTCGAACAGAATGATCCGGAAGGAGACAACGTTGAATGGGTGCAGATTGAGGAGGATGAGGTCGTGCCGGAGGATCAGGAAGAAGACAACGTTGTCTGGGTGCAGGTGGACGAGGATGAAGTGGTGCCCGAGGATCAAGAAGGAGACAACGTTACCTGGGTGCAGGTAGACGAGGATGGAGTGGTGCCCGAGGATCAGGTGTTCTATGACTACCTCCCAGTGGAGCAGCAGGAGGTGGGTGATAATGTTCCATTGCAGCAGTACCCATCCGAGAACAATGATTATCATGGGCAACAAGTGCTCATTCAAGAGCAGATCGAAGATGAGCAACTTATGCGGGAATTCTTTTACAGCCCAGAGCAACAGCAATGGAACAACCAAGTGGAGAACGTGGTCCCACACCAGGTAAGCACTCAGGTCCCATTGCAGAACTATGAATCCACGCGCAACGCTGCTCATAACCAGCAAGGAGCACGTGTTCAAGGACAGCATGTGCCCAGGTATGAGCAAGTTCGCAATGCCGAGCAGTATCCGCTTCAGCAGCCGCATCAATCGATCACTCATCCTCAAGGAGCGAATGTGATGCCGTCCCAGGTGAGTGCAAATGCACCATTTCAGAACAACTGGCACGTGGAGCACCAGTACCAACAACACCATAATGGCTTCCAAGGACAGAACGGAAACGTCGAGAATCAGCGGATGCCGACTGCTCCAGGGACGAATGGCCAATGGAATCCGGAACCGAGGCAGCCACATTATTAATAACTTGTCGAATGTTTGTATTGATTCTAATTTCGGTTAATTTCTGTTCAATAAATTGTCAATATTCAAACTGTTTTGAAACGAACATTTCATCTTGAGCCCATTCGTCGTATTCTCAAGTCAATACTTTCGGGCCCTGGCTTACCAATCTTGTCAAAATCTTCGCAAAGTCCCATATAGTTTCCATTGAAACGTTCATTAAATTAAGTCTACCGAATGGAACTGATAAAAAAAAGTAAATAAGCAATCAGGAGAGAGAAAAAAATTTAAATTTAAATTGCGGGTTCTGAATCTATTTTGAACATTTAGAAATGAACTGGGAATTAATAAAACAGATACCGATCTAGGAGAAAGATTTGGTAAAGATTCAGAATGATTCAGACTACTGTAAATACTGTAACACATAAGGTGAATGACAAGGATCGGGAAGTTGGAGAAGAGAAAGGAAAGGAAAAGGAGCCCAATATTTGAGCACATGAAAAGGAAACATAGAGGAAGTTCGTCTCAGTGAGAGCGAAATGGATGATAAGAGTGAAAACGGAAGTGAATTGGGACATCCACGTGGATTTTTTATCGGTGGTGTATAAAAACTCCGAAAATCGGAGAATCAAGTTCATTTTACACTTTTCTTGGAGACAAACTTCAAATTAAGAAGTCGAAGACGAGCGAAAAGAAATGGCTGACTCGTGAGTTGCTCCGAGAGAAGAGCTCAATCGGAAATGCGCATTACAGTCAAGAAAAGAAGGTCAAGAAGCATCACCATCATCACAATAATCACAATAAATCAGTCATTCCGCCGAAAAAGTCAAAGGGGCCGAAGAAGAAGAAGCACGGAAGATCGACCACCAAACTGAGTATGTCGACGTCGAAAGGGAGTGTGAATGTGGCGGAGTCGAGGATGAAAGTGAAGAAGGAAGAGTCCTACGATACGCTTCCCCTCGTGCCTACCATTGCTGCCTCCGACACGGCCGTCAACTTTTGGAGCGAGCAGCCATCGACGCCGACGAAGGCGCCGAAGGGAACGGGGGACGGGATGAGCATGCCGACCGTTGGAGTCTCGGCTCCTCATACCCCTCTCCCTCCGATCACCGTGCCAGTTCCTGTCTCTCCTCCACCTCCGCCGCCGCCCCCGCAGAAGTGGAAGGCGGAGGAAGTGGCGATGAGATATATGGAGAAGCTTGGTAAGGGAATCGGAAAAAAAACTCAAAGATCATAATATATGTTTAGATGCGGCGATGGCCCGTCTCGAGTACGTCGAGGTGGTTTCGTCGACGCAGGTGAATATCGAGAGGGACTGTCAGATCTGGAAGAAGAATCTGCAGAAGAACCAGAATGACGCCTACCCGATCATGGACGCAACACTCGTCAAGATCCCGAATCAGCCGGACGACTACGTGAATCTCTCCGCCATCACGGTCCCCCACTGTCAATATCCGATTCTGATGGGTCAAATACCGAAGAAGGGGTGCGAGGAAGAGTTCTGGAAGGCGACATTCTACGAGGGAGTCGTCATGATGTACGTGCTGATCGGCAAGGACGACGAGAGTTGCGAGTTCTTCCCGACCACCAATGGAGCCTACTGCTACTACGGATGTATGTTCATCAACATCCGAAAGGTTCCGACCCATCGAGTCCCCTTCATAATTCTTGTGTTCAGGTCGAGAAGATGGACGAGGAACGTACCCGGTACACGATCGAAGTGCTTCCGAACGGGCTCTCCAACTCGGTCATGACGAATGTGTACGTGCACACCGGCTGGGAGCCGCACGGCGTGCCCGTCAAGTACGCCAACACGACTCGCTCCGTCGTCGACGTCATGAACTTTTTGAAGACGTCGAATGGGACCGACAAACTGATGATCGTCTCGAGGAACGGAGTGGGAAGGGCCGGCTTCTTCGTCTCGTTGGGAGCCGCCTTCTGCTGTCTGAACGACCAATCGGAGCCGCGCATCGGCGAGATTGTGAAGGCGATTCGGCTACAGAGACCGAATGCGGTGGACAGCATGAAGCAGTACGCGTCCCTTTACCTCTGTCTTCTCTACTACATCAAGAAGAAGAGCACGATCCCGGACGGAATGAAGCAGAAGGTTGAAGACGTGACGAAGGCGTTCGAGGCACTCATCAGAGAGGATCTTTCGATCATGTACTGAATAAACATAGTTTTCGCTGTATATTCGTGTTCATTTCTCAATTTCTTCGTCCCCGATTTTAGAAATTAACAGACGGACAAACAGTTACTTAACAGTTACTTTGTTGTCTTATTTGCATTCAAATAAAATTTTTGCTGGGAATATTTTATTTGGCAAGTCACAAATCAGTTGAAAAGGTTCATTGCGGTCGGGCGCGGAGCAGTGTTCTTCATGAGGGGAGCCGGTGTCTTGTTGCGTTGTTCCCTCTTCAGGTCTCCAATGATTCCCCACATGTCAAAGACGAGACCGTCCGGGAAGTCGAACATCGCCAGTTCCGACTGAGAACACATTATTGCCCACCGGCCGGAGCACTCATTTGCTCACCTGTTTGATCGCCTCGCCGAGCTGCCACAAAGTGTCGCAGTTGGCCGCCGTCTCCCAGATTCGCATCGCGAGCTGGTCGTCCTGCACTCCGAGGTACTGGTCGAACAGTTCGTTCAGCTTTCCGCACATCTCCGCCTGGATCATCTGATCCTGGATGTCCTCCACCGCGAATCCGCCTTCCGACTTGAACCGAATCGTCCCCTTCGCCAATTCGTTCGTCTTCTTCGGCGCCTTCATCGTTCCGATCTCGGCCGTCTTCGGCGAAATGAGCCGGATGTGGCACTGATCGCCACGTCGCACGTTCTTCAGAATGCGAGCCACTTGGTAGTGTCTCCGGCCGAGCACGCGTTCTCCGTTGATCGCCTCGATCAGCTGTCCGATCTGAGTGGCCGGTTTCATCCGATCGAACACCGAGCCGGGAGCGATCATCTTGATGAACGCGTTGCCGAGTCCGTTGTCCGTGATCGTGACTCCGAAGTTCGCGTCGTCCTTGAGCACGCTCAGCTCCGTCGCTTGTCCGCGAACGTGCGCGTAGAGCATGTCCTTGAAGTTGAGCGTTCCGGTGAACATGTTCTTCATATCAGCCTGAAAGTAGAACATTCCGGACTGCTACTCAACTGGGACTGTTACCTTGAAATCATTGACGGTCAGGAAGATGATGTCATCCTTGCTGATCCCGAAACAGTTAGCAATCGACTGGTAGAGCTCGGAGACGTCGGACCACCGATCGATGATTGCGACTGGGGATCCGTGGGCCAGTTGGCACGCGAACTTCAGTTCCTTCGCCGCCGTCACCAACGGATTCGCCACGAGCATGCTGGATGAAGTCTCCGACTCTCCGAAGTCGACGATCGTGGCGAGAACGGCTGGTTGGACGACGGGAGCCTCCAGGACGGGACTGTAGTTTCCGGATCGACGGAAGGCCCCGCGGGATCGGCTGCGGTTGCGTCTGCGGCAGGCAGGTCTTTGTGCTTGTCCTTGCATTGTTGAGAGTGGTTAGTAGAGTCGAGAGGTTAGTCGAGAAGTTAGTCGAGTAAATTCGATTAATGATTCAAAGCGGGGAGAACGGACGAAGTTGATATCAGAAAAGGGCGGAGCCTTGATCGCATCTATTTGGATTAGGGTACCACGTGGGGAGGAATACTCCAACTAGCCTGAATGCACACGCTGAAAATTGGCTTGCGAGAACTATTCTGAAAAGAACAGAATCAATCGGATCTGTCTTTCCTTCGAAATTTTGAATCATTTGCTGAATAAAACAATATATTGAGTGCATATATGTATCGGATAATTTGATTTTGAGTCGTATTTTCTGTGATTCATGCAATTCTCAAGCTAATGTTATGTTTTCCTGCTTATCAATCAACCCCCAAAGCTCGAAATTATCTGGTAACTGTGCAAACGCGCTCTACGGTTACGGGCCAAAGATGAGAGACGGCAGAGACACGCTGCTTTTTGGAATTTTTTTTTTACCTTTATTAGCCACATTTGTCAAACTATCTTTTTTTATCCAGTCGGAAGCTTTCAAGAAAGAATAAACTGAGTTTCAGGGTATGCGTGCGATAGATGACGTCACGGACCAGTTGGCAAAAGATCCTGTACCGAAAGCAGCCGTTTCCCGATAATTATTCCGGCGGGGAAGAGCAGTTTCTCAAAGAGCTACGCAAAAATGGTATTTCTATTCGGTTAAGGAAAAAAAAGGCTAAGAACATGGCTTCAGTTTCCGTCGTCCACTACGACTATAAAAGTGCGGTGTTTGGATGCATGAACTTGCTCGCTCATGTCGACACACTCACAATGTACTTCGTCCTTTTTCTCAACGTAGACAAACAACATTTTGCATTGAAACAACTTAATTGTTCAGATTCTTCATTCAAACTGGTCACTAAACGTTCTATACGTCGTTTTCACACTCCCTGCCATCTTCTATCTCTTTTTCTGTAAATTCTTGGCTCCAAGCGCTGCCGACGGGAAAGAGCACGCGCGAACAATCGTCACTCTGCTATTGTTCGCGTATGCATTCACTCCAGTTATTAGGTATATTCCTGACATTGAAAAATTATAATTAAAAGTTAAAAAGTTGATAGGACACTGACAACATCAATCAGCACGGATACGATCTACGCGACGTCCATAATCACCGCCATTCTCAGCTGCTTTTTCCATGACTACGGAGTCAAGGCACCTGTGTTAGTTTATTTACGGTTCCGCCAATCCGTTCTACTTTCAGAGTTTCGTATCCGACATCCGTGAGCAGCGGCCTGAGCTCTGCAATCTTTCTGCTCTCGCGTCTGGAAGAGGACACTCCGACTTTGCTCCTGCTCGTCGTCGCATTTGCTCTTCACGCCTACGGAGCCGAGTTTCGGAACCGTCTGTTCAGTGTGTATCCGGGCTATTCGGCGGTCGCGTTCAGTCTTCTCGCCACTTCCTCAGTTTATTTCATCTCGTCGTTTTCTATAGAACTGTCCGTTTTATGGGCTCTTATGCACGTCTTCATTCTGTTCATCTGTCCACTTATCCTCGTTTTGAAACAAACCGGTAAATGCACGATTCACGGTCCGTGGGACGAAGCGGTCCCCGTCAAATCTCACTCAAACTGAGATAGTCTTGAAAATTATTCCGAGTATATGCTTATTAAATAAAATTTCCAATTTTTTCTTTATTTTTTTAGTTAAAAAGTTGTTTTTACTTGCTATATGTATTTGAGTGTTCAGGTGGAGAAATGTTGGCCAATGATATCTTTGCAAACACTTTGGCAACGTTTCAGATACACAAAATATCACACACTCTTCCCTTTGTTTATTTATTCATAAAGTAAACGTTTTCTGTCACTCTGACCCGTCACAAAGCCGACCGGAAGCAGCTTCCTCACTTTTCAATGCAAGCGCGCCCTATTGAGAATCCGCCAGGGAAAACTTCTAAAACTGCATCGCTCTCATTTTGCTGACTCACCCGATCAGTATTTGACGATTTGATGGTTTTCATGTGAAAATTGATTCTTTCAGGAAAAATTAAACAAAATGGCGATGCTTTTTGGGTTCGGCCAATCAGCAGAAGTTCAGATCCGACTCACAAATGAGGAGAGCCGAAAGGTGAGATTTCGTCTTTAATTGTCCAATTCCGCTCTTGTTCTTGTATTTTATTGATGTCGATTAAGGTTGTGAAAGCACGCGGCGAAGATGGAAACATGCACGATCATTTTCTGTATTACGACGGAGAGTCGGTGACGGGAAGTGTGCACGTGAACCTGAAGAAGGCGAATCACAAGTTCGAGCATCAAGGAATTCGAATCGAATTCATTGGGCAAATTGGTAAGTATTTACGAACCATTACGCACTTTTCTTGTGTAGAAAACATACCCAACTTGTAATGAAAGCTTTGAATACGAAAGTCTCACCATAAATCGAGAATCAAAAGTGATGCTCCCATGTCTGCCACAGCATGCAGTTCTCCGTAAACATGTGTGCCTTCGTGGCGAGGCCCGCGTCAACATTTTTTGTTTGGCCCGAAAGGGCGAGAGCCCACGAACAACGTTTCGATAACAGTTTCAGAGGTCTACTACGACCGTGGAAACCAACAAGACTTCATCTCGCTCACCCGGGAACTCGCCCGTCCCGGAGAACTCACACAGAACGCGCAGTTTCCGTTCGAGTTCAACAATGTTGAGAAGCCGTTCGAGTCGTACATGGGCACCAATGTCAAGCTGAGGTCGGTTTCATCTCGGAGGAAACCATCCAAGAACAATTTGCTAACTTTTCAGGTACTTCTTGAGAGTTACGGTTATACGTAGGCTGACTGACTTGACGAAAGAGCTCGACCTCATTGTGCACGCTCTGAGCAGCTACCCGGACAATGATAGCTGCATCAAAATGGAGGTCGGAATCGAAGATTGTCTGCACATTGAATTCGAGTACAATAAGAACAAGTATCACTTGCAAGACGTCATCGTCGGCAAAATTTATTTCCTGCTTGTTCGTATCAAGATAAAATACATGGAAATTGCGATTCTGAAGACGGAAGTGGTCGGATCCGGGCCCAATACGTTCAAGGAATCGGAGACTGTCGCCAAGTTCGAGATCATGGACGGGGCGCCGGTTCGCGGAGAATCTATTCCAATTCGGCTGTTCCTCGCTGGATACGAGCTCGCTCCGTCGATGAGAGACGTCGGAAAGAAGTTCTCTGTCAAATACTTCCTGAACTTGGTGCTCGTCGATGAGGAAGACCGCAGATATTTCAAGCAACAGGTATGCTGAATAGCTGAAGCATCTTTCGAATTATCATTTATAGGAAGTGACACTATGGCGTAAGGCCGACAAGGTTCCGCGTCGCAACGGAGCTGAAGAGCTCGAAGAGCCGATGACGAGCATTCCAGGCACTCAAAAGTTCGTGCAGCCGGCCGTCGTCGAGCTTCCGAAACCCGAATCGCCGAGATCAGATCCGAAGAGCGGATCGACAAGTCCCGATGACAATTCGGACTCCTCATAATAATTATTTCTCCCACTTTCCTGGCTCCCACCTGTGAAAGCCCGATTATCCAGATTCAAAAGTTGCCCATTCTGTGATTCACCAATGATGAAATAGCCCCTTCTCTATATTTATTTCTACATTTTATTGCATGCTCGCTCTCTAGAATCAAAATGTTTCTGTGTAAATACATTTCTTAGCCAATACTTCGATGTTCCGTTCCAATTTCCACTTTTCACAGAGATTAATATGAGCCCTATGCAGATAAAGTTCCCTGTCAAACATTTTTAATGATATCGGGATGTTGAGTTGATCATCTCTGATTACTTACTAATTTTTTATGATAATTACCATATTCTGAGTGTTTAAGAAAGATGAACGCCGAGCCCCATGATTTCCGTGATCACAAAGCGCACATGCAATGGACGGTACTTGAAAAGCTCGGAAAGTTTCTGAAAACATTCAAATTTTGCAGAAGGAGCGAGATGCGTACCGCGCGAATGTTCCGCTCATTCCGCAGGATATGTCAGGCGGTTCGCGCAGCCAGTCCGCCACGTCGACAGTCCTCCAGAAGGCCCTCAACAATCCGCTCGTGCCGCTCGGCATGCTCACAACCGTGGGCTGTCTCGTCGGAATGATGGTGGCCTCGTTGCGTCGGAGTTCCCGCGATGCGCAGTACTTCATGCGCGGCCGCGTCGTCGCGCAGGGCTTCACAGTGGCGGCGCTCGTCGGCGGAGCAGTCATGTTCGGCATCGGAGCACCGACGGAAGATGCTCTGCGCGCCCCGGCCAAAGGACAGCCCAACGTCGTCGCATTGACCCCTCCGGTCGCCGCCGCCAATCACTGATTATTTAACCTTTATTTATGTCTTGGAAGTGTGCAATAGAGCATCATTTCCGTCTGTTTCTCTAGATTAGCATTTCGTTGATTTCTGTAAATATTTTTCAGGTTAATCAGCAATTTTATTATTTACACACACAAACTTTGACACGTGGGAATTGAAAAGAAACGTTTGTTTAGGCCACACAGAATCCGACAGAATTGACCAGATGAAAGGAGTGAGCGGGATAAGAAATTATAAGATTTGGCACGCTAGAAAATACTACTATCCTAAAGAATTGAGGAGATAGAATTCCCAGAATTCGAAAGTGAAAGGGCACAGAAGAAGCGTCGGGCGGGAAATAAGGTTATTCAAAAGAAGAGAGGCCCCTTCGGAGGATGCCGTACATTGAATTAATGATGCCCCAGGCGACGAGAGAACGAGTGAAATTGAGGTGAACTCCGAGGTAAAGACCGCGGAGGGAACGATTCCTGAGCCGCCAGACGTCGCGGAACACGTGCAGACCGTTCTCGTACGGAACTCCCATCTGAACGAAAGACGTGTAATTAAATAACTTTGACTTTTCACAAACCTTTGCTTGCATGTGATTTTTGATTACTCCTAACGGAAAGAAGGCCGTGGATATGAATGCTCCGAGCAGAGAACCGGCTATAAAATCGCCAATCCATTGTTGGAGAGAGTTCGGAAGACGCCCCGTCTGCGGCAGTTCTACTACCTGCAATCAAACACAAACATTTCTTTTTTGAATAAATTGAAACTCACTTTCTGTTTTAAAGGATCCCTGAGCGTGAAGAACAGAGTATTGGAGAGAGAGTTTCTCACGAGAATCACAGAGAATCCGCGGTAATATTCCCGGTAGCCGTACTCCTTGAGCCCTCTGAATGCGTGTAAGGTGTTCTTGAACTTGTCGTGGTACTTCGAAGTTTGCAGCAGAACTTGTACCCGTTCCAGCGGGCAGAGCATCGCTTCGCACACTCCAGCTGAAGAAGAATCTTATATAAACTCGGAAATTCATTCGGACTCACAAAGAAAAGCGGCTTGTGCGTGGCAGACGGAGAAGGAGGAGTTGTACGGTGAGCGCGGGCAATTCAATGAGATCTGAGACCGCATTTCTGCCCAATTGCTTCCTGTTTTTATCTTACCTGGAACTCATCGTAGAGTCCGTACATGAGTGCTCTGCTGGTCGTTCGCATGATCAGCGGCGGCATGAGCCCTCTGTACAGCTTGCCGGCGCCTTCCAATTTGATCTGCTTGATGGCATCTTTGACGTGGAATCCGTGCAATTGCTGTCGGAAGATGATCTTGTTCGACGGGTACAAAATGCATGTTTCTATGCATCCGGCTCCCCATCCCGCGATGAAATCCAGATGATTTCGATGCGGAGCCGACTTCCGACTGCTCTCCAGCGTGATGTTTGCGCGGAATTACGGCTTGATTACCTGGAATTTAACCGATTTGACAGAGAAACAAGGAACAAGGATTGGAAGAGAGTTTGAGTGGTAACTTGCTATCCTTTATTTGGCAGTGATATTTAGAAAGAAAGTAGCTGCTTTTTACGCTTCTCAAATATATAAATTTTCAGTAAAACTTGGATGAGGCAAATTTTTGCGAAAAAATTTTTTCAGCATTGTGGCCGTGGCCGAGAAGCCCAACACCCGTGTACTTCTTTTGGAAATTAGCTTTTCAATTCCAGCTTTTGTTTGTTTTCTTTTTTTAACTTTCTAAACAATCCCGCGTCAAATGTTTAAGTTTTTAAGAAACAACTATGTTGCATTTAAAACTAAAATTTGCAACAAAAAAAAGAGATTTGTTCAAGTGTCAGACACCACCACGTGATTTTTCGCGAAATACGTTCAGAACGAATCGAATCGCGGTGCGGCAAACTTTGGTGCGTACAAAATTTTGCCGATTAGACAGAAAAAGAGATAACAGCCGACAATTGCGATTCTAAAAACCCAAAAAAAATTAAATTTCTCATTGCTAGTGTACTCCTCTCGGAGAAGCAGAAACGACTGAAGTACGAGCGACACGCTCTCAGGCTGCGCCTCTCAACAGACTCCCACTCTCTCTTCTTGCCAGTTCAAAGTCTCAGTTGTTTCGTCCCAATCTTCTCGTTTTGACCACCGGAGAACAGTTGCAGGGTAATGTCAACTGCTCCCAAATCGCCACACATTTGGACTGGAAACGCCGACGCAGAGGATCGAGTAGAGTCTCTTATCAAGTCAGAAATCAACTGAGAACAACTGAATAATGATGCAAATTTACAGAAAAACCGGCTGCTGGGAAATTCATTTGAAGGTTTCCGATTGTATGGGAGAGCACAGAGACTGGAGAAAGTGCCAGGACGTTGTGAGTTTCCCTATTCCATTCTCATCAAAATTGTATTGTTTTTTCAGGTTAAAGAGTTCAGAACGTGTGTGCAGAGCGTACAAGTCGGCGAGCCACCGAAAGAAGAGCCAGAGCCCAAGAAAGAGGCGGCGCCAAAGACGGAACCCGAACAGAAAAAGTGATGGATTTCGAATTTGACTTCGATCCATCTGACAATGAAAATGACGATATTACAACTAAAATTAGAACACCAAATTACCCCTCTTTCACCCCAAACGTCCATGACAGATTCTGGTTTCGTAACATTTCAAAGGACAATCAGACGGCCACTGCCATTAAGTGAGAGGAAAACAGCAGGAAGCAGATCTGAAAGTACCTATTTTCAGTGAAATTGAATTGTTGAGAGTCGCTGATGCTTTTGAGAACGGGCATGTCGAGGAGGCGAGAGGGATTCTGACAGAGATTCGGGAGAAAACGAAGAACAATCGGACCCATGAGATAACGCTCATCGACTCGATTCTGCACTGTTTCATCGCGAAGGAAGGAGAGGTTTCAATTAATAAATCGAGCCATTTTTGATGTAAAATATTCAGCTTTCTCCCTCCGAACTGTCCGATTCTCTGCATCTCCTCTCAGTTTACGAATCTATTCTTGTCGATTTCGGCGACCAGCTCCAGTTCTTCCGAACCAAAGCTCTTCTGCTTTCAAAGCTTTCTTCCGATCACAAGTTCAAATCAGAATTCAAGAATACGGTAATTTCAGAAAGCATACGTTTCAGTCGTTCATATTCTCGTTTCAGATGGCTCTCCTCTGCGAGTTGTGCTCTTCGTTCGAAAATTGGCAACTGTTCGAAGAAGGCGAACGGTTTTTGAATGATTCTGAACGATTTGGGATAAAGTTGAAAATGGAGAAGATTTTGAGATACGAAATCGAACACTCGAAGGGATTTGTGAAGGAGAATCTAGAGCGGAAAATGGAGGAAGTGAAGCGAGAAGCTGAGGAATTGGCAGGAGCAATAGAAGAAGAGAAGGTGGGAGCAGAAGAGACGGAAAAGGAGTACAATTTGTAATTTCAGAGAGAAGCCATCCGCGTCTCGTTGAACAGTCAGAAAGACTTCCATCTCGTCGACTCCGCCCATTCTTCCGAGTTCCGTGCTCACGAAAGTCGATCCAAGAACACGCTGATTCCAGTTTCCGATCAACCCACCGTCATCTCCGAGTTCTCCCGTCGTTATCCGTTTTTGTTTTCCGCTTAGATGTTCTTTTTCACTGTTGTTTCTTCGTTGTTCTTTCTAGGGTTTCTGTTAATAAAAGGGTCGTCATTCAGTGGAAGAAACTTCAAAAGCCCAAGTCCCCCTCCTCCTTTTTTATGGCTTCCTTTACGAGTGTGCAGAAAGGGAGAGACTGTCCACGTAATTCGACTTGATAACCCACTCTTTACTTCAGTGATAGCATTCGATTCGATCATATAATTTTGCCACGATGCATGTGTGCACACACACAAATGCCGACGACGCCCTGCCCTTTTTTGACTCATTCCAGTCGTGGAATTGTCATTTTTTCGGGGCAAATGTGTTCCCGGAATCCACTTTTTCCAAACTACCGTCAGTTAATTTGAACATTTGTTATCAGATTAATCAACTTTGCAGAAAACTGATGTTTCCCTTTCAATTCGAATAATCTTAATCGAAAAACTTGTCTTGCAATCGCGCTCTACCGCAATCCCATGTGAAAAGTAGAGCGCGATTGCAAGTTTAGACAGAAATTGATGGAATCTTCTGATGCTCTGCCACACGGAACTTTTTGGAAAGTGTGATTCCGATTTAGAACCGCCCGCCTGATGCAACTGGTACGAATCGGAAGTGGCGCCACTATTACTGGTTCTGGCGGTTCTTATGTGGAAGATTCTAGAGAACTGTAAATTTTGAAACAGTCGTGAAAAGTGTTCGCGATAGAATGACCGTATTCTGCTCCCCTTCCCGTCCTTTTATATAAGGGCGTCGTCTGTCGATTGGTTTCTTGATTCCCGAAGCTTACGGTCACATTTCCCCTCGTCTCCCGAACCTCTTTCTCTCACTCTCACATCGGCTCCGTCATCTCATCATTTCCGTGTTCACCTAATACTAAAGGACTTCTCATCCCCGTATCTTGACATTCGATTCCAGAATGAGAAGTGTGGCAGTCGGTCTCGTTCTTCTGCTCGTCGGCCTCGCCAACTCGCAGATCCTTCAGCCGTACTCGCTCGACAGCCAGTACATTCAGCTGATGAGCGTCGCCGAAAAACCACAGAACTTGGCCATTTCTTCGTGTCTGGACATCCAGTTCAACTACTGTCAGGTACCTTTTCATCCTTCTTTCTCTGCTCAAATGGATCTTCTTTCTTCTTTCAGCACACTTTCAATCAGTTCTTCGGAATGGACGATTCGATCACTTGGCGCAACGGAACGTACATCTACAATACCGTTCAGCAGTACCTCATGATGAACGTCACTGAACTTATCAAGGTTTGCAAGTGAGTCTTTCCGTTTTCTTTGAACACATTCAAATGGACATCTGTTTCATTTCCCCTTCCAGCACGCGCACCCAGTTCTACCAGTGCCTCGGAACTTCTTACTACTCGTGCATTAACCTCTACACCCTTCTCAACAAGCCCAATCCAGACTTTTCCAATAGTAAGCGAGTTGAAAAGCGGGGAAAAGTGTTTAAAAAAACGGTTTCAGCCTTCGACTACGTGCGAACTTTCCGTGGACTCGAGGGAATGTGCGTCGGAGGATTCCCGGGTAACTTGGGCATAAATAGAAGGGCAGGGGAGATATCAAAAAGTGGTCATTTGATAGAATGTACAAAATGTTTTATTGTGCATTTTATTTTTTCAGTTGACTATTATTCGATATTTTCACCGGCAGCTGTTAGAAATTATAAGCACTTAGGATGTTTTCAGAAGTGGTTGCCCAGTGGAATTGCCTTGGAACCTTCCCGACCACTAACGCCTACAATAATTGCATCCAGAACTTCAATCAGACCGTTTCTGCCAACAATTTCTGCCCGTAAGGCTTTCAATCCGGGGAGCAAAAGAATCTTTTGGTTTTTCAGAGCCGTCGACGCGACTGGACAGTGTCTGAATGACGCCTACAATGCTGCTTGCGGAGATGTTGGGGTGAATATCGTGCATTTCCGAGTGCCCCCCCAGAAAAGTGTCTTTCAGGCCGGCTACTTCGGATGCGAAATGTTCCGCATCACTTTCGACAACTCGTGCTGGGGACTGCGTTGTCCAGTGAGCAACTGAGAAGAACTACTCCTCGATTCTCTGTCAATTCTGTTCTCTTCTAAATATTTTAAATGAATAAATCCGATTACCTGTTGTCATATTCTTATCACTGAAAGTACGAAAGTTCGAGACGCAGAGACACTTCAATAATCTCATTTTCTCCTCCTTCTTCTTCTCCTTCTCGCCTAATTTCTCCAGTTTTTTCCATAAATTCCCAATTACAGACGATGTTCTCTAAAAATATTTTCATTCTAGTTGTTCTGTGTGAGTTGGAAGCTTCAGATCCGCAGACACTAAACGTTCGCTTTTCCAGGTGTTTCTCTGGCAAATGCCACGTGTGACACCGACAAATTCATCGTCTGTCAGGACACTTTTTCGAGCAGTTTGGGAATCGATAAGGTCTACAACTGGTAAGGACCAAAGGGAGTATAAGCACAAAGAGGATGGTTTAGGCTGAACCCGCTGGGACTGACTCTTCAGATTCAGGACATCTACATCACCGGAGGAACTGCCGGATTGAGGGGTCTGAACGCAGTTTGCAAGTGATCCAAGTCCAAACTCTTTTCTCTTTTGATATTTTCCCATTCTCAGTGCCTACAATTCGATGGTTCAATGCTTGGCGGACGCCTCCACCTCCACCTTCGAATGCTTCGATATCGGATACCTTCTGACGCACTCCTCGGCTCCGAATCAAGCCTATTCGTACGGATTTCTGATGAGCATGCTGCAGTATCAGTGCGGGGCCGGATTCTATCGTGAGTCAGCCAACGAGAACTTCGAGAATCTTCTTTTCAGTGGCTTCTGATAACTGGCCGTGCATGCAGAGAATCTACGCGGGAAAGAACGCGACGATGTACGGGTGCATCACCGATTTCGTGCTCAATGCTCAGGAAGACCCCAAAAGAGTCCGTCTTTCTCTTTTTCTTATGAATTGTCTTTGCCTTCAGGGATGCAACTACGTTCAAACTGGAATGGATTGCTTCGCGAAAGCTGCGACCTTGCAGGGATGTCCGGATGAGCTCAAGTACTACGGATGCGAGTCGTTCCGTCAATACTCGCTTCCGCAGTTCTCCCGATGCTACAAGCAGTGCCCGATCGACACTCAGTTCCGCGTCTAATTCAAAATTTTGTGAACGTTTATATCGATAAAAAAGTGTCTACTCTCTGGAGCGTCTGTACAATTTCAATTAATAGAAAGGGAAAGGTAACAGGGAGAATGGGAATGTCTGCATTTGACTAATTAGTTTAAGAGTTTCACGAGCGAAATACGTGAAAAGGGAGAGGATATCACATGAAAACAGAGGAGAGTTTCAATATAAAACGGGCGGTTTCGGTTTGAGGACAGCAGTCTACTTGTCGATGAGTCCCTTGGCATCTCCCCATTTCTCGGAAATCCAACGAATCGTCTTCACGTTGATTTGTGGACCGATCAGAGGATTCAGCTGGTGGAGGAACACCTGAAAATGAGTAGAGTTACTGGGATGAACTGAATGTTGGAACTGACCATGATCCAGAACATCCAGCAGCAAACAGCGGTCATGACGATCATCAGTTGGATGATTCCTTTGTTTGGTCCCTTCGGCACGATCCATGGTCCGCCGAATCCGATGATGGCCCAGAAAGCGGATACCGAGACGAGTGGAATGAGAATGCCCATCTGAAGGAAGAAAATGAGTCATAGGGGCAAAGTAGGTGGAAAAAATGCTGGAATAAACAGTATGGAGCACAAAGAGTTTAATTTACGCAATTTAAAATCGTGAACTTCGCCATCTTATCTCATTTTCGCCGAGCAAAGGAAAGTTTCTCATTTTTAGCAAATCACAAAGCTCCGCAACAAAATGAAGAGAATTTTGAGTTCAAATCGAGCGAAACTTGTTCGAATGGGTGAGAGAAGCTTATTTTCAGTGCGGAAATCTGGAAAAAAGAGCCAAAACAGAGAGAAAGACCGGTTGGTTGGGGGCACGGCCGGAGATCAATAAGCGCACGAAACGGAGAGACGCTGCGGCCGAAAATCGATTCTTGTTCTCTCGTCTCTCGCTCGGCCTCCTTCCGCTCGTTTCCCCGTGCATTACTCATTTGTTTTTTGAGTTGAAAAATGATAAAAACGACTGTCGTTCTTGAAATTTCAGCAGTTTAGACCAATTCTGCAAAAGAGTGAAAAGCTGAAAAGTGGTGCGTGTTGGTGCGTTTTGTGCGTCGAGACCAAAAACCGACAGACGCTCCTCTCCGCCGCTCGACTTTTCTTATCTCGAAAATCGATTCGTTTGCGCTTGAAATTGCCATTGACGTGTGAATTTATCAAAATATGTGAATTTTCAGGCAAAATGGGCAAAATCTGTCCGCTGATGGGACCAAAAATGTCGGCCTTCTGGTGAGTTTCCGCTTGAGATTTCGTAATACTCTGGTAAAATTGAAAACTTTCCTCAGCCATTTTCAAACTTTTCGAGGCGCCACTTTAGAAATTCTAAGGAAAGTTTGAGAAAGGCTTGAAAAAGTTTAAGAAAGGCTTGAAAAAGATTAAGAAAGGCTTGAAAAAGTTTAAGAATTTCTTAGAAAAGTTTTGAGCGCTTACGAAAGTTTGAGAAAGGCTTGGAAAAGTTTAAGAAGTTCTTGAAAAGTTTGAGAAATTCTTGGAAAAGTTTTGACCGCTTGAAAAAGTTTAAGAATTTCTTAGAAAAGTTTTTTGTCTTGAGAAAGTTTAGAAAAGTTTGAAAATGGCTGAGGAAAGTTTTCAATTTTACCAGAGTAGTTCGAGCCCGTTTTCAGCATGGTCATGTCCGTCTGGGGCGTCATTTTCCTCGGACTTCTCGGCGTTTTCTTCTACATTCAGGCGGTCACCCTCTTCCCAGATCTTCACTTTTCGGAAGAAGGAAAGGTTCCGACGAGGTTAGTGACGAACAGTGTTCACAACACGAGTTTGAATCAATTTACCTTTGAAAAAATGGTTTCGAATGATGATTTTTCTGATGAGTTCAAGAGAAGTCCATCATAAGATCATTAAAAGACCGATTAAATATCAGTAAGCAAAACCAATTTTCCACTGATCACCCTCGAAATAAAATGCAAAATTTTGCAGTGTGATCGACGCGAAGTACAACGAAAAGGCTACGCAGTGCTGGATCGCAGCCGGTCTGTACGCAGTCACTCTGATCGCCGTCTTCTGGCAGAACAAGTACAACACGACGCAGATCTTCTGATCTTCTTCTTCTTTCCCTCTGTCTGCCCCCGTCGATTCATAATCTGCCTTCGTTGTCGTCGTTTTCCGATCCTCTCACGATCCATAATTGTCCTTGTCCCCCATTTGTTCGCCGTTTCTCTATCAAATCCATAGAGATTCGTACATTCTTCACTTTTCTATTCGTCTTCTGTAGCATAAGAGTCCCCAGCACATTCCACTCTTTTGTATATTCTTCTAACATCGTTTCCCTTTTTAGTGATGAACTTATTTTAATTTGAAACGCTCTCTTTGGAATCAAGATTCATTCGTCGATAGGGATGTGATGAAATAGCGAGTCTAAAGGGGAATGAAACAACGATTTGAAATTGAATGAGATAATTGACGAAAGGGTATCGACGCGTTGATAACAGAGCGATGGCGGTGCGAACGAAGACGATTACTTCTTGCCCGACTTCTTGATTCCTCCTCCGACTGAAAAAGCGCATTGTGAATGAAAAGAACAGAAGAAAATGACATACGGAGTGGTCCGCGCTGTCCGGCCTTTGAAGCCATCTCCTTCAGCTTCTTGGCCTCCTCCTGCTGCTTCTTTTTGAACTCGACGTCTTCCTGCAAACAAGTCATCAGAAACCGCCGCTAAATGATGTTCTGATCTATCCAAGTCAAGAAACTTCGCCGTATAATCAAAGTGCGAAAAAGTAATCTTGCGCAAGTGCAGCACGTGATTTATTATTAGGTTGCCAAGTAACCAGACTACAGAGAGAGACGTGGTTCCGCCCCTTTTCCCTTCCAATCTCACATCGGTAAGTTCCTTGTCATTCTTCTTTGGCGCCTTCAGAGGCTTGGCCTTTCCTCCTTGACGTCCGGACATGTTGAAACGTTGATTGGCTGAAATCGACGCATAGATTGAACCAATTTTCTTTTCTCCGCTGAAAGAGCCCCACAACAATTCATTCTTCTTCAAATGCCTTTACTTCTTCACATTTTCACTTTCTTCGGACATATATGGCTCTGGTTTTTCGACCGGTTCGTTCTGTATCCTCTCATGAAGTACGTGGCTCCAAAGCTCGGAGTACGTTTCATGAATTTGGGATATTGGCCATCAATTGAACCGCAAGACGACAAATTGAATGAGTTTTTGATCGAAAACGATTTGAGTGAATATGGTAATCGAAACATTTTGAGTTGACTATAAATTATAAATTGCAGATGCAGACAAGGCACACGTTTATCTTTACGAGAAAGCATTGTCCTTACACCCAAATTACCCATCTTTTCAAGGTTTAGAAATACTTGAAGTCAGCTGCGGACAAGGAAATTCCATAGACCTTATTCAGAAGTATCCAATTCTAGAATAATGAAAGCACAAAAGGACGAATTTCAGATGGCACGGACCGGCTCGTTGCGTAATTGGTTGCGATAAAGTAATGACGAGAAATGCGAGAAACATTGTTTATGGTGACGCCGCAAATCTCCCTTTCGCTAACGAGTCATTCGACTTTGGTAAGTGGGTTCATCAGAATAATAATATGAAGTATTGTCAGTTCTGAACGTGGAAGCTTCTCATCTCTACGCGAACTTCCCCAAATTTATTTCCGAGTGTTCTCGAGTTTTGAAACCTAATGGCGTTTTCTGTTGGCTGGACGTTAGATATCCGCATGAGGTAAACAAATTCACGGATCAACAGAGAACTATCAAACTTCTCAGGTTGGAAGTGTAAAATTGACCGCAGCTACTGCTGGGCTAAAATTGAAGCGTTGGGAAGATATCACGAAGGAAGTCGTCGTAGGATTGAACCATACGGCTAAAAAATACGACACGATTTTGGAAAGGGTACTTCTAAGTTGTCATTTTAACAAGAACGAATACATTTACAGGCCCCGTTCTTTGTGAAATTATTCAAAACTTCGCTGAGAGCAACATACTGTGCTCCAGGAACTTCGACTTACGAAAGATTACAAAAAGGTCAAAGAGTGTACCTGGCAGCAATGTGGATGAAGAAGGCAAATGAACAATAAGGAGAAAAAAGATAGGGCACTGGGAAAATGACCCAGAAAAAACACAAATTCACTTTGGAAACTGATAAATTCGTAATAAATTAATTCATTCAACCGGAGGTGAAGAAGGAGAGAATCCAAGAGGTGCGCCGTAGACGCATATGCACAAAAATAGAGGGGGAGTGATAGAAAAAATGGGTTAAAATTAAATGATGTACACGTTGCGAGCATGAGTTTAGGCGTTGATGACTCTGGCGAGCTTCTGGATGCGATTGAGAAGGATGTCGCCGTCCTTGATGACCGCCTTGTACAAATGGTTTTTCGAGTCGCGATGATTCACTTCGATCACTCCGTTCACGGCGTCAATCCGGCACTGCAGCTGGCCAGTGGCAATTAGGCGATGCAGTTCACGGTCGATGAAAGCACGGGACACTCCGAAGTCCTTGGCCATCATGTCGATGCGGACAGTCTTGTATGGGGTCAGGAACTGTTCATAGGCGCGGTGACGCATTCCACGCGAGTAGTAGTTGAAGTGCGGTGACAGATAACGGTCGAATTTGAACTGAAACGTGATGCTTTAGGAAACAGCAGTAAAGATTGTTTTCTTACCCGCTCGCTCTCCAAAGCAGCCAATTGAATGAAGAAGCGATCATAGTGGCAGTCATAGTAGGATTCCAGGTACTCGCGCACAGGTATCAGAGTTCCGTTCAATCCTCCTCCCGTCAGCTGTTCCTGAACCTCATTGCAACGGATCACTTTGGTACGCAAGTCGGGTCTTTCCAAAGCAAAGGTTGTAGTGATGACGGTGTACAGGATCAAGTTCTCATAGGTCATCAACTCGTACGATCCGAATGTCGGAACGGCTTCCAGGAAAAGATTGGCGGCTCCAGCGAAATCACGAACAGACATTCGGTAAAGAGCCTCGTAGGAACGCAGACGGTTCTTTCGCTCCCAATCTCCTCCCTGGTCCATCAGCTCCTTGGCCTTGGTGATGTACTTGTTGATGAGATGGTGATCAAGGAAGAACAGTCCGACACGGATCATTGCGAATACCAGATCGATACGGTATCCCATGCCAACAGTTTTGTCGTAGGTGGCTAAATATGCTTTCTGCGCGTTATCCTTGTCTCCAATCTGGCAGTAGTACTCGAACTTGCGAAGCAGTCCCTGGCGAACTTCCGACTCTCCGAGATTTTTCTCAGCGTCTTCAACTTCGGCCTGGATTTCGGTAATCTTTTTCTGATTCGCCGCTTTCATGGAAGCCAGTTGGGTCTGGTCGACGACGATTTTGAAGTCAGCACAGACGAGCTCGTAGAAAGGTGCCATGTCGAATTCTTTGATGGCCTGAAAATAAGTTTCAGCGTCTGCTTGGGAAATTCCACGATACCTCTTGAAGAACGGCGAGTTTTTGAGCTTTGACATCTTTGTCAACTTCTGGGTGATTGAGCATGAATCTCGTCTGCGCCAGATCGAGATCGGGCCATCTTGAGATAACCTTAATGAAATTGATGATTTGGGACGAAAATCGTGATGAAATACCTCTTTATCGAAGTTTCCGTCGTCGACGATTTTCTTGTTCGGTTTCGGGGCCTCTGACATTGAGCTGAAATTAAAAGATCGTAGAAATGTGGAAGAAAATTGGCGAAATTCGAATATTTAGGGACAGACAGTGGGCGGACGGATGATGACAACGCGCGCAATGTGCGGCGCGCTTTTTCGCAATCTTGCCGCACGCTCTTTTCTCATCCTCGATTTATTCGCACCCTCATTCTTTTTAAACGCAATGCTCCAAATCGCTCAGAACTTGTTACAATTTCTCCATTTTCAGCTCGCACAATGGTCGTTGTGTGTTTGAATCGCTCTGAAAAGACGATTCCAATTACTGAGCTCGTTGAAAAAGGTCAAAAGGCACTTTTCGAAACAATTCCAGCATCGTTCCCAGAATGCGAAGGACTCCCGACAGACCTCGATCGTTTCAGTGAGTTTACTCGTACTTTAATCAAGTATTAATTTCATTATTGTTTCAGGACTATTGTACAATGGAAAAACGCAGAGCGATAAGGACTTGGAGAAGTTGACTGACGACGATGTGATCAGAATCGTCGTTGTTCCGGAGTGGAAGCTCAAGGTATTTACACTTTTTTAAATAAGTTTTTTAAAAATCAATTTCAGAAGCCGATCGACGAAGCCCGACGACGTCAAATCGACACTGGCCTCGCAGCCATGGCAGTTCCGTTCAGTAATCCAGAAGAGCGTCGTCTTCGTGGATTCAATGCGGAGTTCTCCCAACCGAATTTCATGGCAAAACTGCTCGCAACCTTCCCATCGGTACTAGATTTCGGCTTTTCTCTTCTGAAATCTTTATCCAGCTTTGCTTCGACGTGCGTTTCATGGCGATTCTCAGTGATTGGTACGTATTCCGCGCATACGTCATCCGAAATGACTTCAAAGACGACGAGGCTCGGAACGCCTTCAAGTACACAAATCCGCACTTCTACGAAGTCGCCAAGCACGTCATCACATCCATCGCGGCTCGTTATGGCTTGAGAATTAGCGATCGTCCAGAAGACGCGGCTGCAATGCGACCAGGACTAGGCAACTTTGTTTCTCATAATGCTCTTCAAAATGTAAAACGGAATGAATGTGATTTGTGTTCAACATTAGTTTCAGGCTCTCCAAGCAGCCCTTGGAAATGCGCTAAACAATGTTCAGATGCCCGGACAGCCACGTCCTGCTCCGGCTCCCGCTAATCCTTTCCAAATTGCTCTCGGAAATGCACTAAATAACGTTCTTGGAGCTCAGGCGGCAGCACAAGCGCCTGCTCCACTAGCAGCTCCAGAGCCAGGTCCAGCGCCAGCTCAACAGGAACCAGAGCCCATGGAGCAAGGATAGTAAGTTTCAAAAGTTCAGAAGCCATGAGGAATAACAATTTCTGTTTCAGTGAGCAACAAGCTGCAACTCTCCGCAGCTTCGGATTCGACAACGAGGAACTCATTCAGTTGGCCCTGGAACAAGCGAACGGAGACGTTCAGTCGGCGATGGAGTTCCTGATTGAAATGAACAATTGACTAGCCCTGCCTCCGTCTTATCAGTATTTATGTCCAACTCATCCAGAATCACAGCGTGATAAATTCTCTCCAAATTCCTTCGCCATCTCCTTTTACCCGTCTATTTCTTCAACATTTCAAATAAACGACAAGCATGACAGTCCGAATAGAAACGATTTGTGGCCGTTTTGGCCCTTTGAATGGTCACTTTTCAAGTGGTCTCTCCTCACTTTTCGGGGCGAAAACCACTTGGCGGATGACGATATCTCTTTCCTCTTCTGATTCAAAAACAAACAAATATATTGGACGCCTTTGAATACACCGTTCATTGGTCGGCTCGTCTGAAAATGTTGAAATTTGAGTTTGAATTCAATTGCCCTTTTTGCGTGGGCGGGTTAGTCATGCTCTCTTTTTGAATGATATCACAAGTTTGTTATTGAATTCTTTGCTTACAAGGGCGTAGCTGGAGATACGGTAGCCCCGAATGTACGTGACTTTGCGTCACCGTGTGCACACCTCCGTTTGGTGCTGATCTCCAGGTTTCCGTCCACTCCCGTCCGCAATTTCCGTTGCATAAAAATGTTACTCTGATGCCTCTGATATTCCCACCACTTTTTGCTCTTTTCTCCGCCGCTGATAACCCCGTGAGAACTGATAAAAACACCCCCGATTCTTGATAAATCAACCCATTTCCTTCCTTTTCCGTATTTTCATTTCGACCTACTTCCGCAACATGCATCTTGTTTATTCGGCTGAAAAAAGCAAGAATAAATGACAAACACTCGAAGTTCGGAAGGTCATTCGCAGACGGTTTAAAGGCGCATACCGTAGTCTTTGGCTCTGTGCGAGATCCAATGATTCCGCAAAGTTTTTAATGTTTACTTCACTTCCGTGGATCTCTGCGACTCACGATAGTCTGCTGGTGAGCACGTGGAAATATCGGTTTCGCCGCACTGTTTACCGTCTACTTTTAATCACAGAAACTGTGATTCTCTGACGGCTTCGCGGTGGCCTAACTTCCCCATTTGCCAATCCTCGGCCGCCCCACCGACCGTAATCCTCGGCCAGCCACACTTCACAGCTGTTGAAGGGAAAAGTGCTGTCCAAAAACATATTTTGGCGGCCTTGTTTTTGCGAGTGACTCGACTCGTCTGTTTGCTCAAGAGACGGGGGATTCCGAGGGGGACGAGAAGAAGTCACAGTTCAGTTTGTCTCGCGGCTTCTCGCGCATGTATCATTCCGCCCCGTTTCCGCGCCCTCTCCGCACCCATTTCTGTCACTTCTTTGCCTTTTTTGCGATTCGAAAACGGGCAAACACGGCATGTGGCGAGGGTTTTTTCGATTTTCAAAGATTTCAATTCCAAGTTGTTGCATGCTTTCTTCGAGATGAAGTCTGTCTTTTTATCTCTCAGTTCCTAACGTTTCATGTCCTCTCAGAGGTTCAGTCCGTTTAAGTTGGCGGCCCAGGCTTTTTGAGGCCTAAACTTTTGACCCAGATTTAAACTTTACTTAAAGTATCTTGGTTTCAAGTTTCATCTGATTTTCTGGTACCGAAATACGTTCAAAGAGCCTTATCGGAATGTCTAGACCGCCCTTTTCCCAGCAATGATTTCATTGAAGCAACTCTAGTTAACCCTACCCGATTCGCTTAATAGGGTCAAATGTCCCAAGGCACTTTGCCCAGGATCTCTTTTGTTTCGCGAACACTGATTAGCAAACAGAAAGAGATAGGCACACACAATCAGACTAGAGCCGAACAATTATCTCCTTTGAAAATAAGATCAGCAGCTCACTCTCTCTCTCTCTCTCGCCCCGTCAAACTTCCAGATTCCCTTCTTCTCCTTGGTAACCACATCCAAACTTTCCCACTCCCACTCCTTCTTCTTCTTCTTCTTCTTCTTCGTCATCTCATTCTAATTCCTCCCACTTTAGCCCATTAGTTTTCCTCTTTTGTGGCCATTCGCCGACCATCTCACTTGTGATATTTGTCCGTCTGTTTGTGGTGCCATTGATTTTGATTTCGGATTGAAAAATAAATAGAGAATTGGAAGTGAGGAGGAAGAAAACGAGATGAAAAGTACAGTTGAAGTTCAAAAAGTAACTTCCGATGCCCAATGATCGATTTCTCGTCTGATCACAAACGATTCTGACTCATTCGCACCTGAAAACAGCAAGGTCGTCAGGCGATTAAAAACGATTCGCCCCTCCCCCGTTTTTCAATGTTTTTGTTTCTTTTTGTTCCACTTTTCCTCACTCGAATCTTCGGATTATCCGCCTGCCTGCCCCACTTTTATGTCAATAAATTCTTGCAGCAATTCCTCAGAAGCGTCTACCAAACTGAAAAAAAACCATGAAAATGAAGAACATGAAGAAGAAGGGTGAGTTTTGTGGGAAACCACGACCGTCCGAGTAATCCTAATTTCCTTATCAATCGTAGTCGCCTCTGCCTTCTCCCCTCCGTGTCCATTTGGTTCACTAGTTTCCCTTGCAGAATCTGCAAACACTTTTATCACAATGTCCACGATTTCGGACAAATTGCCGACGGACCAGAACTATTTCTCGGTGCCCGCGCCGCCCAAACCGACCAAGATTTGCGGATTCTTCGCCGTTCACAAAGGTTGGTTCGAGCTGAAAAATATTGTCGCTGATCGCTTATCGTAAAAAGAGAAAAGGCGGAAAACATAATTGTTGACTTTTTAGTTATCAAACACCTTTTCGGCTTTTGCAAGTCGAGTTATTTATAGAAGGGAAACTTTCAGTGTCCATCGTCGGAATCCTCTTCAATGCCACGTTCCTTCTTGCCTTATACGTGTACGGTCTCATCCGATTGGTGCAAAAAGAGCCCCGGAACTACGTGGAGATCATACGTTAGTTTCTCTCGTTTTATTCAATCTCAAACTGTCCCCATTACAGTAATCTGCACAGCCGTTATCACAATGCTTCTCGTGTTCAGTCTCCTGTTCATAGTCGCCATTTTCCGTGCGAGACCCAAACTCTTGCTGCCGTATATCGTGCTCAACACCATTCTTTTTTTCGCCTATGCAGGTCAGTTAGTTCACTGAGGAATTTCATCGAAATGAAATGAAAACATAATCAGTTGAACAAACATAAATTTTATCGCAATTTTCGATGAACCGACGAACCGGATGACGCGCGAAATTGGGTTCATTTTCGAGTTTGCAGGTGCGGTAATCGGGTCGACCATCACAGTTCCCGACGAAATAAGGGAAGAGGTGATCGGAGAGGACCGCAGTTATATTATAGCGGACATCATTCTGTTACGGTCAGTTTCGGAAGGAAAACTCTGCAATTAGAATGTTTCGGTGTTTAGGGTGGCACTTCTTCTGTGCGGAGCATTCGAGATCTTCTTCATTTACGCATACATCTGGACTTATATTGACGTTCGCCGGTTATATCTCTTCAATCGGCGGTGATTTCGCTTGTGTTTTCTCAGAAAAATGTATTTTTTGGCTTCTACGGGTTTTTTGCTTTGAAATAAATTTTTATGAACATTTTTTTCAGTTGAATAAATAATGGAAATTTTGGAAAAATTAGTTTTTGTGTTCAATTATGGGGCCATTCAGACTGTGAAAAAAATGATTGTTTTCCGTTTTTTTCGTTTTTTTACGTCAAAAAATCCAATTCAGCGATGTAAAAAAACAAAAAAAACGGAAAACAAACATACGCTGAATAGTCCCATTATGCTTTTCTCCGAAAAAAGAAATGCGTTTTAGGCTACAGTAAGACATTCAATGAAAAAGACGCATGTCAGTTTCAGCACACACACGTAAAGTGAGTTCCACCGTAACTTTTACTGTAGTTTTCGTGGTGAGAGTTTTTTCAAGAAACGGAACGAGTTTGTTCGCTTGCGACTTTCATCGAATTTCAGACTTGTTACAAATAGATTTTGACCTGCCAATGATCTTATTCTTTTTCAAACGTTGTCTACAACTCCGCCGCCAAAAAGATGAATTCATGAGCGGCAGACTGTCGTCTTGGCTGCTCTTCTTTCATTTGTTCTTTTCCTTCTGTTCCCCACTCCATGTCGAGCTTTCAGGGTCGTTTGCTGCCGAGCACCCCTTACTAACCTTGCTCACACACTCACTATCGGAAATTTAGCCATGGACACTCAAGAAGAGAAGACCTGCGGAACCAACGAGTTCGAGTCGTTCTCCCACTTTCAACTAGACACTTTCGTTTCAGGCATTGCCAAGAGAAGCGTCCGCCTTCATCGATGTCGACGCGCTCTGCCGACAGTGGATTGTACTCGTCGGCCACGACTACGGCGCCGTCTGATAGCAGCCCGACTGTTACGAGCGGAGCCGAGGGCCAGAGCACGCAGCTAAACACTTTGCTGGCGCAAACCGCCAACCTTATGGCTGTGAACGAGCAGCTCCGCAAGGAGATTGCCGAGTTAGTGAACTCATTTTACACCAATTCGATACAATTATTCAGGAACGAGCACATCCACTCGATGCAGATGCGAGCTCTCGGCACCCTCCCGTCGGCTGGACAGTACAATGCTTCTGCTATGGACCTGAGACGTCGCGGCGAACGTCGCATGCAGAAGCCGGAGTCGTACAAGACTGTCATCTGCCAGGCATGGCTCGAGTCCAAGACGTGCACTTTCGCTGAAAACTGTCGTTTTGCGCACGGAGAGGAGGAGCTCCGTCCTTCGGTGTAAGTTTTCTTTATTTGAAATGAAATAAACGGCCGATTTTTCAGGATTGAGCCCCGCCAGAACCACAAGTACAAAACGAAACTGTGCGACAAGTACACCACGACTGGACTGTGCCCATACGGGAAGCGTTGCTTGTTCATCCATCCGGATCACGGGCCAAACGCCTATATCCGTGCCGACAAGTTGTTCGAGGTTTCTCAGCGTCACGCACTTGCTGATCTTCGTGACCAGATGGAGAATCACATCATGAGCGGTGGTCGCCCCGCTCCTTCGGCTGCTCCGGCTGTCCCCGCCGCCGTCGCCGCCACTGCTCAGCCGGCTGATATGCTCGCCAGACCGACTACTCCTGTGGAGCCGGCGACGAAGATGCCATCAGTGCCACTGGGACCAACTCCGGTCAGCGCCCGTGGACCGAGATACGAGTTGCCGTCGAGAAATGGTGGCGACGCGGACGGTAAGAATCGGAGGTGCTGAACTGAAAACGGCATGAAATTAAGCTGCTGGAAGCCGCCCACATCCGAGCTGGCCACTGGAGCCGTCCTCGTTCTTCTCTCTGGAGCACGGAAGCATGGCGAGTCGCCCAGTCAGTCCGTTCGAGTCGATGCTCATCGGAGCCGCCACCACCGCCGGAGTATTGCCGTTCACTATGATCGGTACGCTTTTTAAGAGTTTCAGTTTTTTTACCAGCACTCTGCTCAGGAAAGCAGTCAACTCCTGGGGGCGTGTCCGGCTACTCGTCCGGTGGATCGACTCCGTATCAGGACGTCGACTCTACCTCGTTCTCTCCGGCCTCCGCAGCCGCCGCCGCCGCTTTCCTCGCTTCCTCGGCTGCCGCTCAATCTGCTCTCCTTCCTGCTTCTGTGGTCGACCCGAAGATGTTCCCGCATCGTGAGGAGTCGTTTTCTCCCATGCCCGGATTCGATCAGCTTGCCGAAGATATGGCCAAGCATCTCGAGTTGTGGTGAATCACCACCATCGCCTCCTCCCTTTTCCCTCGTTTTGTTGTCAAATTCGCCCCCGTCCCTTCCTTTGCTCCCCGTACTAACTAATAATTTTGCGAATTTGTGAATAATAAGCCCCTTGTCTCATAGGCCCAGTTTTTGTGAAAACATTCGCCCCACCCCGAGAATACTGGGATGTTTCATTTATTATATTGGTTATGATTGCATGTCACACTCGCATTCCCCCTCTTTTATGATCTCCCCACTAACCGTCATCTCCATCCAGTAAATAAATTCTATTTGAACGAGATTCTCTTTTTTTGTTCATGTTCTAGTCTTGTTTTCTTCTAAACCCGTACTTTCTTTATAATCAAACTACCGCCCATTTTTTTTTCTCTACATGCGCCAGTACTGGTCCTGACGCTCAACTTGTGCTTGCGCGCTTTTTAGAAGTGTCGCATTCGTAGCCTTCCCCGTCGGCTTGCTCTCTTCTCTCTGATTATTTCCGCGTTTTTCTTGTTTACCTTTTAACAACGTCTTAAAATCCGTGAATAAAAGTTTTCTCAGATCGAAATGGATGAAGAACCGTCAGCGAAGCGCATGAAAAACTCTGACGAGTTTCCGAATCTTCGTTCGGAAGTTGCCGGTCCTGTGAAGGAAAAACTGATGGAACTGGACGCGGTGCAACATCAACTCGACGTGATGAGCGAGAAAGCGGCTGAAGAGATTCTGAAGGTCGAGCAGACTTTCAACAAGAAACGGCTGCCGATCTACGAGAAGCGGAAGCGTCTGACGACCAAAATAGACAACTTCTGGCAGACGGCCTTCCTCAACCATCATCTTCTTTCGACGGCCATTCCGGAGGAGCAGGAAGATCTTCTCGGAGCTCTCCGCGATCTCGAAGTTCAGGAGTTCGACGACCTTCGCAGCGGCTTCAAGATCATAATGACGTTCGATAAGAATCCGTACTTTGAGAATGAGGTTATCACCAAATCTTACCATTTGCAATCCGAGTCGCCGAGTACCGAAATTACCGAGATTGAATGGAAAACTAACAGAAGACCGGTGGCGGTAAGCACTAAGAACTCGTTTGGCATGTACTGAAACTTTTTCAGAAGATGGATGACGGCGACACGTCGATCACGTTCCTTGAATGGCTCACTTACACTGCTCCACCAGACAGTGACGAAATCGCGGAAGTGATCAAGGACGATCTGTACATCAATCCGCTTCAGTACTACGTGATGCCGGACATGCAGGAGCTCGAGGAGGACGACATCGAGGGTTTCCTGGCCGAAGAGCGCGGTATCGAGGAGGGGAATATCAAGAGAGTGAGCGAATTGAATGAGATGATGTAGGACTAATTTAAACATTTTCAGAATAGCCGTCCACTCCGTCAGCTGAACCAGACTGTTGACAATACGATCGCATCCGATGGAGAAGAGCCGACCGAGGTCGACGAGATTATGGAAGATGGAGAAGGAGGGGAGGAGAACGAAGAGGAAGGGGAAGAGGAGGAAGAAGCGGAAGAAGCGGAAGAAGCGGAAGAAGCGGAAGATGAAGAGGAAGAAGCTGGCGGTGACGGCGACGTTGAAGAGGAAGAGGCGCAAGAGGGAGAGGGAGAAGAAGAAGTAGAAGACGTCGAAGAGGTCAAAGAGGTCGAAGAGACCGAAGTGATCGAAGGAGCGGAAAAAGCTGAAGCCGGAGAGGAAGAGACTGCCGAGGTGAAGGAAGAGCCGAAGTCTGAGATCAAGGAAGAGTGATTGCAAAATGTCCGATAATTGTACCTTTATCCCCGTTCTATATTAACTTCAGAACACTTATTATCTATCACTTCCACTTTCCAGTCTTTTTTGTGTGCACATAACTATTTATTTAATGTATTGTATGGTCATATACAGTTGGGAATCAATAATTTGTACCATACTCACTGTTTGTTTCACAAATCCGAATGGTAATGGACCACGAGTTTCCTTTTTCGAATCGTATGCGCTTGGGGGCATTTTGAGCGTTTCAGACGGGAAATGCTGTTGCCGTCCCGTTTTTCCACAGCGGCCACGAAAACGATCGCTTTCCGCTGCTTCAGCATTGATTTTTCGCACGAGAAACCGGCGCCGCACCAATTGGAACACATCACGACGCGGGTCGTTGAGACTGTAATTGAGAATTCTCTGAAAAAGAGGACACGAAGACATTTTGAAGGTTCCGCTGATGTTCCGCCATCGGCTGGATTACACGTTTTACCGGAAGGACGTTTTTTGCGACGATCAGATATTCTCAGTGCAGAAGAAGGGAATCGAACAGCTGATGAGCCATTTCGGAATGATCGGTACGCTCGGACAGGTGAAAAGAGCCGGAAGAATTGGGAGAAAGAGCAGCACGTTCTGTTTCAGTTGTGTCTTCCGCACGTCGAGATGGAAGTGCTGTCGGCGGTTCCGGTGATTGACGAAGGAACGGTCCGATGCCGGTGGAGGGTCAAATACGTGTCATTCGTCCGTCTCATCACGAATCCCCGCCTCTTCCGCTTCGATTATCGGCTCCAGAATCTCAGTTGGTTTGACGGATATTCAGTTTTAACGGTCGATGGAAATGGAAATGTGTACAAGGTCACACTTCAGAAGGTATTTGAACGGGAATCGTCTGAGAAACACTTGAAACTGTTAAGACTCAGCAAGACAAGCAACGAGGTCTTCTGGCGTCGTCGACCGAGAAACTGACGGAGAAGCTGGCTCCAAGTGCTCCCGTCTAACCCTCTCCTTGTTTTTCTTCGTTTAGGTCCCTAATTAGTCTCTTCAAACGCATCAAAACTAACCCGATAGATCTCGGTTCCCCGTTACGATTGTAGTCTTTTCATTCGAGCTGCCAGAACAAAAAATCCTCTTCGGTAATGTATTTAGGGGTGCTTTGTCGTCCCTCTTCTCTGTTTTTGTATAATGTTTCGTTCCGTTTTTTTTCAGAATATATCTATATGTGTGAATCAATAAAAAATTAGCAATTTTATCGCTTTCTCATCAGTTTCAGATAGAAACTTCTATAGAAAGTCAACCACATATGCTCCTACGTCTTCTAACCGTCGGGTTCCCTACGAAGAGTCTGAAGACGAAGACGACGAGCAGAGACCCTCCGAGTTCGAGAAAGTCGAAGAGGACCAGGAAGTTGAAGTGAAAGAAATAATCTCGATGCACTTCAACGGAGACGATCAAGTGGAAGAAGTTAGCCACAACGACTTCCCCGACTTTTCAAATGGATCGAGTTCTGACATCGATGATGAGAGCGAGAACTCGGAGTCAGATGAAGTCGAAGAGACAGAAGACGACAAACCGGAGGAGCCTGAATAAAAATGGGCAAATCGAAGAAGCAACGATCGAAGATAAAGAATTGGAGAAGACGGAGGAGATGTTCTCCGACACCCAAAAGTGTGGTTCTTCGGAAGACGATAAAAAAAGAGGAACGTCCGGTGAAGATCATGAAGGTGGATGGATCAGGAGATGAGGAGAGTCCGGAGGACAGTCAGGAGTTGGAGGAGGGAGAGCTCGTTGAAGAGATCGATTCTTATCAAGAAGCGGTAGATCAGGAGGAGGTCCTAGAAGAAGGAGAGATAGTCGAAGAGCTCGAGCAGAATCCAGAAACGGCTGATCAGGAGGTCCTAGAAGAAGGAGAGCTCGTCGAAGGGCTCGAGAACAATCCATAACCGGTGGATCGAGAGGAGTTCCAAGAAAATGGAGAGATCGTCGAAGAGCTTCTTTAATAAATTCTGCGTGTTGTTTCGGACACGCTCGCCGTTGATTTTTTCAAAGAATTTGTTCAAGTGATCGGACTCGACGCTCGTTTTCTGTTTCGGACTTCCTCTTGTGACAGGGAGAGACAGGAGAGACACGTGCTCTTTTTCCCTGTCTACCACAGTGACGAATCACCGGCGATTTCGTCAGTCGGTTTTTGAAAATTCTGGAACTTGCGCTTTTCGAAAAAATTAAACTGAAAAATCACTTTGCTAATGTCCTAGTTGAGTTTTCTATCCAATTTCGGGCCGAGTAAGTGTTTTATGTTCACAAGGATAAAAAAAACAAACTTAAATTACACATTTACGATATATCACAGAAAACCGCCATGTTTCTTACCTTTCCTGGCTTTTCTCACTTCCCAATTTGCTGTCAAATTTTCGCGTCGGAGTGTGCTTGCACTCACTCGCAATATTGGCCAATTAGTGTAGAGAAAAAACGTCCGCAAACGATCAGGTGCCACAGTGCAAGCGCGCCCCACTGCACAGTGGAAAGTGTCTGTGCTCTCCGCGAGGGACACACTCTCTCGCTTTTTCCGTTCTTCTCACGGTTCACTCACTTGAGCTCTTTCGTTTCGCAATGAACTCTTTCGACGTTTCAGCAAAACTTGAATTGCAGAACCGACCGATGCGATGAGCGAAGGGACGTCAGCGCAAATCGACTCGCTGGACGAGAAGAAAGGTAAGATTTCAGTTGGAAACAGAATTTCAGAACCATCGCTCACTTTCAGATGACTCAGAACTGCTCAACATTCGCATTCCGACACAGACGAAAAAGTCGCAAAAGCGAAAACATATCAAGTGAGTTCTATTATAAAAATCACGTCGAATTTTCAAAGTCGAATTTCAGAACGGATTTCGGTTCGGTCGACCTCGATGAAAGCGTGCTGGAGGCTCAAAGAGCCGAGAAATTGAGATTGGACCGACAGAAGGTCAAGCCGGTACGAAATACACGTTTCATTCCTCATTTCTGTTTCATTCCTCATTCTCAATCTTCTCAAAACCAAGGGCTGCAGCAAATTTTCTCAACTCTCGAAATTAATATTGAAAAAAGAAAAACCCTCTTATCCTAAATTTATCATGAAGTCGGGTCTTCCCACTGCATCGAACTCTGACAAATGTGAGGTTCTAGCCGATAACTTCCAAGCTCAATACCTTCATCATCAGATTCCGGCCAGATTTCTCAAATTTATATCTCCCTTTATAGCCAGTCCTGTGGCACAACTATGTAATCTCTCGATGATGCCAGGTGCCGTTCCCGCTCAGTGGACAAAATCTATAGTGTTTCCCCTTAAGAAAATTACCAATCCGACTCTACCCGTTCATTTTCGTCCTATCAGTTTAACCTCGGTCATCTGCCGCTCTTACGAAAGGTGTCTATTGCGCCATTTACTTCAGCACCTTCAAGAGATACAATTCTGGAGCGATAGCCAGCACGGCTTCCGACCAGGCAGATCCACAACTACATGTGCTTTAGAAGCCATGAATGACTGGACCACACATTTGGAAGAGGGTCAACAGGTGGACGTGATCTATTTCGACTTCTGCAAGGCTTTCGATAGAGTACCGCACTCGCTTCTAATAGAGAAGCTAATGATGCTGAATTTGAACGTGAATCTTATTAATTGGATCAAAGCTTACCTAAATAATCGCAGCTACCAAGTTCGAATAAACAACGCACTCTCATGGGGTACCACAAGGTGGGGTTCTGTCCCCAGTTCTTTTCTGTATTTATGTCAACGAAATTAGCACTCTCTTCAAATCTAGATTTTGCTGACCACTGGAAGAAGACCATTCGAAAAGCAAACATAATGACAGCGAACCTTTTCAAGTTTTTTTACTCCCTAAACACACGCCTGATAACCCTTTTATTCAAAACATTCGTACGGCCCATACTTGAATACGGCACTATTGTCACATGTCCTTCTAAAAAAGCTACGATAAGAGCAATAGAACAGGTTCAGAGTAACTTCTCTCGTCAGCTTTGGTTACGGAAAATAGGAGCTTTCGTACCTCGAGATTCGCCAAACTACATAAACGCCAGTGAACGTCGCCGTCAATTTAACCTCGAATCACTAGAAACTCGCCGATCACATTTAGATAAGAAGTTTTTAATCAAATTGTTAGCTAACAAAGTCGACATCAATCCTGATGACTTTTTCCTACGCTTAAACACTACACGGACTAGACGGAGTCACGTTTACCGATGGAAGACTCCAAAATCGAAGCTAAGACACAACTTTTTTACACACAGAGTCTTATCAAAGATGAATCTGGCACAGGCATCTGTTAAATGATCATCTCTTTCCGTTTGCGCGGGCAAGTAGCTGAAGATTCCCCATTTATTCCCCCAACTCCCCCACATCCCCTCCCCCTTCTTTTTTCTCTCCTCTCTCTCTCTTCTCCACGTTAAAATAAACCTAAATAAATAATAATAATAATAAGATGCCAAAAGAATGATGATGGATTTTGCAGCAGAGTGATCACCTGCAACAGATGGAGTCACTGTTCATGACTGGAAATGGAGCACTCCCCCAACTCGATATATCTCATCAGGATTTCGATTTCGACGACGGTTTCGGGGACAAAGTGTTCGAAGATGACACAGTTAGAAAGCGGTGCCGTTTTGATTGCATTAAATATGTTTCAGAAAAAAGTGAAGATGGAATTCGAGCAGAAACCTACGGCCTATTCGCAGCCGTCCACATCGAGAGGACCCGTTGCCTTTGTGGATTTGACAGAAGATTCAGATGATGATTGTATGATAACAGACGTCAGATCGACCCTCCCGGCTATTGCCCCAGGTACGTCCCGCTCGGTTTTCTGGAAATAATCCTAATTTTAGGCCGCCGGATGAGATGGGCGCAAGCAGAAAAAGACAAAATAGACGCCGACCAAATGGAGCAGCAGCACAGTTTGGAGGCGAAGAGACTGAAGAAAGTGCGGAGTATGAAGGACTTGGAGAGTACTGAGAAGCTCGGCGGACGTCTTCTGGTGAACTCCGGTCATCCGGCTGGAGAGGCTGATGTGTTTGTCATCGCCCGTTTGACGCATATCCTGCAGCCGCATCAGCTCGGAGGAATCCGATTTATGTACGATAATACGATTGAGTCAGTGGAAGAGTACAAGAAGTCGGAAGGATTCGGATGCATTCTGGCACACTCGATGGGTCTCGGAAAGACAATTCAAGTGATCACTTTCTCAGAAATCTTCTTGAGAGCCACGAATGCAAGGAAAGTGCTCATCATTGTTCCGATCAACACAATTCAGAACTGGTATGCGGAGTACGAGAAGTGGATACCGCGGATTTCGGAATGCGGCGATCGGATAAGAGAGTTCGAAGTTTTTCTGCTCGGAGACACTGTGAAGACGTTTGATCAGAGAGTGAATCTGATTGAGAAGTGGGATCAGAAAGGCGGAGTTTTGCTGATTGGATACGACATGTTCCGTCAGCTGATCAAGCTGACGAACCCAAAAAAAGAGAAAAAAGGACGGCCGAAGCTGAATCTTTCGGGAGTGTCTTCCGGTTTTGTGAAGAACTCAGTGGAAGATGCGAAAGACGAACTGGACTTCGAAACAGGATTTACGAATGGAGGAAGGGTTCGCCAGGAAGCCTATGATCGTGAGTTTCTTCAAAGAGTCGGACAGTTGAATGCCGTATCGTTTCAGTTCTTCGTTGTGCTCTTCTGGATCCGGGACCGGAGCTCGTTGTTTGCGACGAAGGTCATAAAATCAAGAACATCACTGCCGAGATCTCATTGACTCTCGGGGCCATCAAAACAAAACGTCGCATCGTTCTGACCGGCTATCCCCTTCAGAATAACTTGATGGAATACTTCTGCATGATTGATTTCGTCCGTCCCAAATTTCTTGGAACTCGGAAGGGATTCATTGAAAAGTTCGAGAAACCGATCAAAAACGGACAGTGCGTCGATTCGACTGAACGAGACGTCAAAATAGCACTGCAAAGGACGCATGTGCTCGTGGAACTCGTCAAGGGATTTGTGCAGCGAAGAACGCATCACCTGCTGAAGCAGATTCTTCCGGAGAGCAAAGAGTACGTGTTGTTGCTCCGAAAGAGCCCGATCCAGCGGATGCTTTATCGTAACTTTGTGCTCTACGCTCGCAACGAACTCGCCCAGAACGACGCCGCCACATTCAACCCGTTGATGGCATTCTCCGCGTGTTCCAAGATCTGGAACCATCCGGATATTCTGTTTCGAGTTGTCGAAAAGATTAAGAATTCGGAATTTCTGGCGGAAGAGAAGAAGAAGGCGGCGGAAGTGAAAGTGATGATGCAGCAGCAGCAACAACAGGGAATGATGATGATGCAGAACGGAATGATCGGACAGAACATGATGTACGGATACGGAGGGCATCAATCCAATGGAATGGCGTATCAGAACGTGAGTTATCGACAACGGTACAGCTCATCGTTTTCTCAGTACTTTTAGGGATCGTGGACAAATGCGCTCCAATCGTTGCCTGCTTCTCCTTTCAATTCGGTCCCTTCCAACCCGTCGACTCCTTCGACTCCTGTGAAAAAGCCGCGTAAAGGCCGACCATCGAGGAAAACGAAGAGCGACGAAGACGACGAAGAAATGGAAAAGGAAACGAGAATGCGATACGATTGGACGTATCAACTGTTCGAGAACTATCAGGAAGGCGTGCTCGAAAACGGTTACAAACTGACGATCGCCATTGAGATCCTCGATGAATCCACGAAGATCGGAGAGAAGATTCTGATCTTCAGCCAAAATCTCGGAGCTCTCGACTTACTGGAAGAGGTTCTCAGGAATCGAAGAATTTTGGGAAAGGACGGAAGGACGATCGTATGGGAGAAGAATCGAAATTATCTTCGATTGGACGGTCAAACAAGCGGCACAGAACGCGAGAAGCTTATCAATCGGTTCAACTCGGAATCCGGACTTCATCTCTTCTTGATCTCTACCCGAGCTGGATCTCTGGGTATCAACCTGGTGTCCGCAAACAGATGTATCATTATAGACGCCTGCTGGAATCCGTGCCACGATGCACAGGCTGTGTGCCGTGTTTATCGATACGGTCAACAGAAGAAGACGTTCGTTTACCGTTTGATCATGGACAATTCGATGGAACGATCCATTTTCAATCGGCAGATCTCAAAGCACGGACTGCAGCAGCGAGTTGTCGACGACGCACAAGTGGATGCGAACATCTCACAGAAAGAACTGGAGACTCTTCTTATGTACGACGAGGCGCTCGACGTGAACCACGAGAAATGGGACACGAAGGAGTGGGAGTTCGGCGATGCCGTGCTGGAAACGATAACGAACAAGATGTCCCAGATGCTCGCAGCGAAGCCGTTCCTCCACGAATCCCTCATAATGGAATCAGAGAAGACGTTGAGTGAAGAGGAGAAGAGAGAGGCGCAGATCTTGTTCGAAAGGGAGAAGCAGCGAGAGAACAACGATCCTCTGGGCGGTCTCAACATGCTCTACAACAATGCGATGCTTCCGATGAATATGCAGCCGTCGACAAGCTACAATCAGCTGAACCAGTGGAACTCTTCTCCGATGCACGTCCAAATGCATCAGAATTACCAGACACCTCCACCGCCACCGTATCCACCGCATATTCCGCCGCCTCCCAATTTGCAACCATCACAATACGCGATGCGTCCCACTCCGATGCCACAATCCCTCCGACTCACACATTATTCCGGTCCCAATTATCAACCCGGTGGACATACGATGACCTCGTACAACAACGGCTTCGGCATGAACAACAACAACAACAACTCGATGGTTCCGCATCAGATGCTTGCTCCTCACGATCCGACTGCTTTCACCGGCTGCTCTCATCTCAAACCAGCCAAATTCAGTGCATCCGGAGCAGTTCAGTTGCTGACCACCGACAGAGGTATAGCAAAGATCATCAAAATGTCCATGTCCATAGGTGCGCGATGTTTGAGAAACGCCAGAACATTTTTCCGCCCTGGCGGTCGGATTGAAATTTCCGAACCAGCGGCAACCATAAGAACCCCTCCCCCCTTCCTGTGGAAAAGGATAAAAAAATTTTCAAAAACCTATGCCCACGTCCCGTTTCAGCGCTTTGTTTCCCACTCGCCGGTCGACGTCTGACACTTCACGCGGTTCCGGCGCACACTGAAATCCAATTGGTTGTCACCAGAAATGGAGCGTTGCTCAAAACGGCCGATGGAACCATCATGGAAGCTCAGAACAGTATCTTCCATGACCGTAAGGAGTAGCTCGATAGTTCTGTTTCTCAAAAAAATTCGTTCTAGACGCTGAAAGTCTGCGAGCAGCCTTCACGACGATGGAGTTCAACAAAGAGCCCGAAGTGATCGATCTGGATTAGATGTTCTTCGACACACTTAAACCCATAAAATGCTTTATCCCTGTACCTGTCCTTTATTTTCCTGTCATATCTGTTCCTTGTCTCTCCTAATCATCTCATTTCCACTTCGTTCGAAGAGATCTCTCTGTCTCTTCATCTCCCTTTCAAACTGCACTTTTGTACTTTTCAACTACTTTTTCTACTTTTAAATACCGTACTTTTAGGTGAACTCTTCTTTTTCTTTCGTTTCATCTTCTCATTTGGTGATTTTATCTGTGGTTTCTTTTGTGTTACTGTCAAATGCGGATTTTTAGAGATTGTTTTTAATAGTTTACCGTTCGAAATTTGTTAATTCAAATAGATTCGGCCGAAGAAGGAGGTGTGGGTCCAGGCGGTGTCTTGGGCTTCGGATGCGTTTCAGAAGGCGGAAGAGAAAGAGGGTCCGGTGGAACATCCGGAGCCGTTGGAGCCTTTTCAGGAACCGGCGAAGCCGACGCGTTCTCAACGGGCGGATCCGGGGTGGGAGTATTGACGGCAGGAGCAGAAGTGGCTGCAATCATTTGAATCAGGATCTCCGATGTCTCCCACTGCTCACCATTTTCTTTCTCGGCGGCCAAACCCAATTTCTGACGGATCGCTTCCAGAGACATTCCCTCTTCTTCGCTGAAAAGAAAACAATGATTCGCGTCTCCGGGACAGGTCCGTTTACTGCAAACTGATGGCCATTCCGTATCCTTGCTGAGTTTTCAGAATGACCGAAAGAGCAGAAGCCTCCTCTTCGGGAACGAACGCTTTCAGGGGAACATTGACTTCTTCGTCCTTTTTGCAGTGTTTCGTCTCGTGCGCAAACATGGAATGCGTGCCGAGGAACGGAGAAATATCCGAGGAATTCGTCGGGAAGTTCGATTGACAAGTGACTGAAAACGAAACGATTCAACGAAGATTCCGATTGCCCCCAGAAGCACCTTTTTTGGCCGGCTCATCGCTCGTCGGCTTGAAACTGCTCGTGATTTCGTGCTTCTTCATCCTCTCCTCATTCATCAAATCGTGCCTTTTCCGTGGTTTCAGAGTGACCACCTGCAGTTTCAGACTCCGACTGATTGTCGCCACGGAGCCGCAATTCGAGGTGGCTCCCGAGTAGTAGGGCGCCGAGAAAATGGTGAGAAGACGTCGGTCAAATTCGAACTCGTGGCCTTTCTGAAGAGTGTCCGATTGATAGGTTCCCTGTTGTCTCAATCTATTCACGAACCCCTTTGACTTCATGAGCCCTGATGATCATATCAATGTCGAGTTTCGTGCAGACCTCCTCGATGGCAGTTTTACCGAAGACACACGAGATGCCTCTCTTCGAGTTGACTCCGCACTCGTCTCCGTCCCGATTCGGATCCGCCCACATCAGATCGACAGCCAGTCCCGTGTCGCATTCCCCATGCATTCTGGCCTTCTGAAAATGATAGGATACTCCTTCTTCGGCCCGTCTAACCCACATTCATGTCAGTCAACGTCGCCCAGCTCTCAATTTTCGGAGAAATTCCGCCGTGCATGCACAGGATCTTCCGGTTGATGCTCGCTGCGATCGGAAGTTCGGAAAACGCCTGAAACGATGGAGCTTCGTGAGAATTGGTAATTTAGAGTTCTGCTGACATCATTGAACGCCTTCCACAACTCGGAATTTCTCTTTCTGAGCATTTCATCTCTGAATCCGTAGACGGCATTCACACGTCGAACTTCGTGGTTTCCTCGCAGCAAGTGCACCTTTTGCGGGTGAAGAATCTTCATGCAAAAGAGCCAAGTGATCACCTGAACCATGAGAGTGCTCCGTGAGAATGAGAAAAAGAAGAGACCTCGAGGGATTTGCTCGCCCGATCCACGTAATCGCCGAGGAACAGAAGCTGCCGATCGGGCGGACGGCCAACCACTTTGACGAATCTGAAGAGGAAGAGAGGATCAGAAAATCAGAGTATAGGAACGAACTGAAGGAGATCTCCAATTTGTCCGTGAACGTCGCCGAACACAATGACTGGAGAGACCACTTCCAGAAGACACGGCAGCGGCTCCAGAAGGTCTTTTGTCTGAAAACTGAGAATTCTGGGGAGAAGCCGTAGGTGACGCCGTCCGAACCGATTTGATAATCTCGTGTAGATCACTGTTGGCGAAGCCCTCGACGGTCCCGTGCTTCTCGATTCGTTCGATCATCTGCCGGGCCAATTCGACCATTCCCATGTTTGCCTCCTCCGTTTCGAACATTTCGAATTTGTTTTTTCCAATCGCGGAAGTTCATAAAATGAACTGCGAAGCGAAAGGACCAACAGTCGTTTTTTTTCAATTTCAAAGTTCACGAGATTCTTTGCGATTTCTTCCGACTTTTTGCCCGCGGAGCACGTGAATCTTCAAAGTGATACCTCCTCCTGACGTGTGATTGTGACGGGAGCAACAGGAGAGAGAGAGAGAGAGCACGGAGAAGTGAGAGACGGAGGAGAATCAGAGAGAGGGAGCTGATCGGGCGGGAACGAGAGACTCAGACAGACATCTGACCTCGGACACTCGGCTCTCTCCGGAGGGTCCGCAGACAAGGCTTCTTTATCATTTTGTATCATTTTCTCGCGCCAGCCAGTCATTTTGTAATCTGATCTCTTTTCCACAGATCGGAGCACAAAGACGATTGATGTGAAACTAAGATTCATTCGTTCCGAACACCTCCAGCTCTTTCTTCCAGATGATTTCAGTTTCGCTCGTGCTTCTGCTGCTGTTTGGAGTCCGTTGCTTCGATTCAGCAGGTGAGCAGCCGGGTGACGTCATCGGAGAGCATGTGACCAATATTACTGTAGCTTTAGGTCAGATAAATGATGACTCGCCGTTATTCATCAACACTTCCATCGATGCGTCGATGAATTTGAACATTTTTGTCGAGAAAAAACCATTCTTCACGGGCTCTGTTACGGTACCTTTTCGTGTTCTTTGCCGGCCCCAGATGAAAGTATTTCTTCAGGGTTACAAGCTCTATTACACAAAAGACGCAAGCCAGACGACGGACGAATACGCGAATTGGAGCCATGAAGAAGTGCTGTCCAACGAGAACTCTTACCTTTTCGTGTTAGACGCGAAGAAGCACGAAGTCGCGGCCGGAGTCGTCTACCGGGTCAGAGCCACCATTTTCTTCAACAACGTCGAGAGCCAGCCGTCGGGAGTGATTGCAATGAACACAAAGCAGGCGGCCGCGAAGGCTCCGTTGATTGTGAACACGAAGATATTGCACAACTCGTCCGTGCTCATTTCCTTCGTGCCCTCCGACGATGTTAATGTTATTGAGGTATTGAGGCCCACGGGGACCGTTTAGCACAAACAAATGGGAACTCCTTTCAGAACTACACTTTGATGTACAAACAAGAGGAAGAGGAGGAGTGGAAATCTCTCAATTTCAAGTCGGACATTGACGGGAAAGTCCTACTCGATGGGCTTGTTCCGAACCATACGTACGCCGTGAAGATGTTCGTGACAGGCGGACCCATCCAGGGAGCTCTTTCCAACTCGGCCACGTTCACCACAAACTCGACGGCTCTCGCATTGGTGAAAACAGATCCAAACGAAGAGTACACGGCCGATCCGCAGACGAACGAACCGCTGAGCATAAAGTGCACTGTGAAGTCGGTGAGCCAAGCGACTGTGCTCTGGAAGGTCAACGGTTCGAGTGATTGCCCCTCCCATCACTTCTGTATTCTCTGATTCAGGCGTCAAAGTATCCGTGGACTCCAGTTTCTACACGGTCGTCACTTCGGTCCACGAGGACTTTATCGAATCGACGATACGAGCAAAGTCGCGGACGAGATCCGCAAAGTTCACTTGCATTGCGACGAATGACGCGGGCGACTCGTCGAAGGATGTGAACGTGAGTTGAGAAGATGAGAAAGAAGAGTGTGATGGATTACTGTAGGTAGTGATAAAGGGACCAGGAAGTCCTCCGTCGGAAATCACTTTGGTAGCCGAGAAAAGAGGATACACAATCGCATGGAAGCCGCCGTCTCATCCGAACGGAGAGATTACGGTACACAACTGAACGTGATTATTCATCGCAAACTTTTCAGAAGTACGTCGTTTACCACACTCTGAACAGAGAGGATCCGTTGTCCGACTGGAGGAAGATTGATTTGGATGGATCGGAAAAGTTCGTGAGAATCATTATGGATACGGAGGAGAGTTTCTACGGGAGGGTCCAAGCAGCCACCGAACTCGGACCCGGCATCATTTCAGACATCGTTGCCATGGAAAGAGACAGTAAGGGAAAAGAGACAAGGAAATTGTGTGAACTCGTGAATTCGTTCAGCTCAACCAATATCAGTGGAGTCCGATTTGAATGGAGTGACGGCCACGACGATGGTGGTGGATCCCCGAGAACAGGTAATTCAGAAAACTCGTCTTCTCCATCCATCTTCTCCGTGCAGCTTTCAATTCAATGCACCGCCCGTGGAAAGCCCCGCCCCTCGATTTCAGTGGCTATCAGCGACCGACGGAACGCGAGTCTCGTGGAAGTCGACGTTTGGAACCGTCTGCAAGCGACTTCTTCTGGCGGCGTCGTCTCCGCCGCACACAACTTCTCTGTGCTCACTTCGAAGTTTGTGCACTGCCGAGCCAAGAACTCCGCCGGAAGCAACTATTCGACAATCGAACTGAACGTGGACAGTGAGTCGGCCTTCAAATGAATCGGAAGAGCTTCCAAGGGTTTGCAGAGCCCGGAGATGCTCCAACTCAACTGCAAGTGCTCAGTGTGAATGCTCTCGATGCGACAGTTGTCTGGCATTCCCCTCAGTTTCCTAATTTGGCAATCACGGTCGGTCTCTTCGTCCACGTGCGCACAGAAAGAGAAAGTTCAGAGCTACATAGTGCTGGTAAGCAAGGACGACAAAGAGGACAAAAGTGCGTGGCTGCAGTACGAGTCGAACGCGAAAGAGACGCAAATCAACAGAATGCTTCTTCCGACGGGCAGTCTCGAGAAATCGACCGACTACTTTGTGTGCGTCCGTGCGAAGAATGCGGCTGGAATCGGGCCGACGAGCAGTCTGGTCTCTTTCAAAACTTTGAACGGAGGCCCCGACAGCCCTCCGTCCAACCTCAAAGTGCTCATAAACGAAGCGAATCAGGTGATTGTAAACTGGGAGACACCCAATTCCACGACGGAAGTTACGGTAAGAGCCTCTGTTCGTCATTGGTCATCTGAGTATTCCATTCCAGGGATATCTGATCTATTACACTCGAGATCTGAGTCTGTCTAATAACGATTACAAGAACTGGCAGTTCGTGGAAATCAACAATGAACTGACCAAATATAAATTCGAACTTTCTGTCGGATTGAAACCAAAAACGTTCTACCGAGTTCGGATATCCGGCAAGAACTCGCACGCCGACGGTCCCGCCAGTGAAGTCGTCGAGTTTGAAACTGCGTATTCTGGTGAGGCGAAGCGGATCTTCTGGACAACTGCCCTATGCGCCCGTTCCTTTCAGAGCTTCCGATTCCAACTGATCTGAAGACACAAGTTCTGGACGATAACACAATTCACATCAGATTCAATGCGGTCAGAGATCCAGACGATCATTCGAAAGCCATCGACGAATACCGCATCGATTTGGCGGCCACCGAAGACGTTCTTCACGCCCAATGGAAGATAATCGAACCGAAGGGCATTAAGATAGACGAGATCAACTCGATGGTAATCGGAAGGGGGATATTCAGAAGAAGTTCCAGAAAACAGTGTCCTTAGGTAGACGTCGAAATCGACGGAGATTCTGTGGAAAAGAACAGGATGTACTGGGTGAAAGTGACGGCGAGACTGGACAATCCGGCGTGGGGAGTGCACTCTTCAAAGCCGAGATGGTTCCGAACGGGACACGGAAGTGAGTTGTGGTCGGCAAATACCAAAACGAGGACTGGTTTCTTCTTCCAGAGCTAGTCACTTCGGTCACTTTGGAAGGCGCTCCGTTGATTGAAAAAGAGCCGAATCTCTTCCAAAAACTGTCGGTCGCTTGCACGGGATTGGGCAGTCCGGCTCCGGTGATCACGTGGGAATGGACGGATAAAGCGGTCGAGAATGGGACGGACGGCTGGGAGATTCACAACGTTCTCGTGGATGACACCACTGTTGTGTGAGTTGCCATTAGACTTATTAGATCCCCCTAGAAGTCAGGGAATATCCTTGTTACAGCTCGAAAATCACGCGTAACAACATACGCGAATCTGGAATGTTGACTTGTTTGGGAAATAACAATGAGGGAAACTCGTCTGAGGTAGCTTCAGTTTAATTGCCACGTCATCCACGTTCGCTGTTTTCAGACAGTCGAAATCCGAGTACTCGGTCCGGGAAAGCCGCCAGAAAACATTCAGTTGACAGCCTACCGCAATCAGATCAATGTGACGTGGCAGGAGTCGACACTTCCAAACGGCGACATTATGGTCTGTCGCTGACGGAAGTTGCTGAACATGCCGACCCAACTTTCAGAAGTACATTGTATATTATTCGGAAAACGGAGACGACGAGCTGGCCGATTGGAACAAATTTGAAACGGCCGAATTGGAGACGTACGTGGAGGCGTTCGGCCCGTCCATCAGGCATTTCGTAAGGGTGCAGGCTGTGTCCGATCGAGGGCCGGGCATAATTTCTGACAAACATTCGTGCCTTTCCGACGTTCTCTGTAAGTTTCACGACCTTCAAGGACCGTACCGTTGAAGTCTTCAGATGAACCCCTACACCTGGAAATCCTTGCGTCGAACATAATGGAATTCGAAGCGGAGCCCAATCAGAACGTGGAAATCCGATGCAAAGGGACCGGAAAACCTCGCCCCGAATTGTATTATCATCTTGGAAATGAAACGGAAATGAAGTTCGAAGACGTCGAAACGACGGCCTACGACGCAGAGTTCTTCGAGGCGAAAGCGCCGCAGATCAGCTCGCGGAGGAACGTGACGGTCACGTGTCGGGCTAGCAACAAGTACGAGAACGTCAGTGTGAGCAGGGTGATCATTGTGCGAAGTGAGCGATAGAGGGAAGTGCGCTCCATTGAGAAAACAGTATTTTAGGGCCGGGAGAAGCGCCGACCAATATCAGCTGGAGCTTCGAGGAAGAAGACGATTCCACGCTGTACATCACCTGGAATCCAATTGAAAATCCGAACGGAGAGAAGTTAGAGTACAATTTATATTTGTCAAACTTCAAGACAAAGGTCTCAGGACCGCCTGTGAAGATTCCTGATGTAAGGGACTCGTATCTTTCTCTCAAATGACTTTCTTCCAGATACCCCTGGACGTCAACATAACCCTCCGGATCTCAGCGGAAAACGAGCACGGAGAGGGAGAAAAGACGTTTCCAATGTGGATTCCGACTCCGAACGGCGGCCCGAAGACTCCGCCAGTGCTCACTTCGCTCCATGCTCAAGACGCCAAAGTGTACATATTCTGGACTGAGCCAAGGCTTCCGAACGGAGACATTCTCAATTATACGATTTATGTTAAAAAGGAGAAGGAGGAAGGGGAAGGAGACGCGGAGAAAAGAGAAGTGACGTGGGAGGTAAGGGAGCGAAGGGGACTGTCACCGGAAAATAATTTATTCAGAAGTACACTTACGGACCGAATACGACACACGTGGTGATTGGAACCGAAGAGGGATTGGAAGAGAACAGAAGGTATCAGATGAAGATGACGGCGACGAACGAACGGCACGAGGGACCGGAGACCAAGGTGAGCATGAGGTGGAAGACAGTATTCACATCGGGCACGTCCCCGAATCATCACAAAGAACTTTTGAATTCATTCCCAATTGGTACGAAACTGCCCGTTCTCTGTTCTTTGATCCTTGTGCCCTACAACCTCCGAGAACGTCTTTCCCCCTGTTTTGTCCACTTTTACGTCAACTGACCCATTCCAGGTCTACTCATTCGACTTGATCTCGTTCGACGAAAATGACGTCATCGACAATTTCACCGCGATCGTGGTCAACTCGACGGTGTTCGTCGAAGTGGAGAATGCGATTTATACGGTAGACCGGGTTTCAGTCGGACTTTTTCAGAGAAAAGAGGCAGAAAGTTTCAGAAATACAATGTGTACATTCGAGATGAGGGAAATAATCAGACGGTGAAGCATGAGATCGACGTGGAATCGGGACGGACAAAGTTCGAGTTTCCGTTCCAATTGGATCATACACTGAGGTGGGTCAGGATAGATCCATCGGCGGAATTCTTGATTTCAGCTACACTGTGAAGCTCTCTGGCATGAAGCTCGGCCGGGAGAGCCCGCCGTCAGAGGAGATCGAGCTGGAGTTCCAGACGGCTCCACGGCCCACTTCCGTGCCGTTCTCTCGTCGGAAAACGATTGTGAAAGAGCCGCCTCTTTGATTCTTCCCGTCTTTTTCCTTTTCTTTTTCCTCCTTTCCACCCGGGTACCTCTTCTCATCCTTATTTTTGCCCCGCCCCGCCCAATTTGTTCTTTCACATAATTTTTGTTCCGTTTTTGACCAAAACAATAAAAGAAGACGAGATAAGAACGAGTTTATCGAAATGGAAAGAGAGAGAGAATTTCAGTAGAACGGGAGAATCAGATGATCATTCAGTAGCCCATGCATCCTTTCAAAACCGGGAATTCTCTAGGGAACTGCGCCTCGACCTTCGGAATTATCGCCAGTGCGCAGTCGACTTTGAAGCAAACCTGAACGCGAATTCAGAAGACGGCACAAGAGTGACCCACCGCGAGTTCCCTTTCGAGCGCCGTCGCCGTCGGACTCTTCGGCAGAATCCGCTTCATGCACGCCTGTCCCCTCTTCTTCAACTTCAACTGCGTCGCCACGTCGGTCGGCACTTTCTGCAACCGTTTTCACGTCTTCCGAGTGCCCAGAAGCCGCGCCCACTCACGTATGCGTCGATCAGAAGAACGGAGGCGGCCAGGAGAGCGAGTATCACAAAAAATCTAGACATTTTGACAAAAGACGAGTCTCTTGCGGTAAAAGTACCATTTTAAAGTGCCCGTCTGATTGAAACGTTCGAGAGTTCCCGCCCCAAACAAGTTCTTGCTTGTTTTTGTGTCTTAATAGTCGCACCCCGTCTCAATGATCAAATTTATTAAATTAAATTCAAATCAAAGCAAGAATGAAAGAGTGGGAACGGATTGGAAGGGGTTTCGGGACGCGATGGAATAAGTTATGGTACAGAACATTAATAAGAGCAAAAATAAATATTAAACAAAAAATGTGGTGCCGCTGTTAGGGAAAAACGAGAGGATCAAAGATATGCCTCATTTGGGGGGACAAAATGTGTGTGTGTGTGTGAAAAATTGATTGCGGAATTGATTCGAGCGGCTTTTTCGTGGAGGAAATCGTTTGATATTATGTTAAAAGATGTGGAGCGCGAAAACTATTAGTATATAAAAACGAAATAACTGGAAACTTCGAGAAGAAGGCACACTGGTTAAACGGGGGGAAGAAGGGGGTGTCATCGTAAGCTGTGAGAGGAAAATGAAGGGACGCTAATACTTTCAGAATCGGGGAAGACGTCTGGAACTTCAGCAGAGAGAAGGACTGTTATTATGAAGTAGAAGGTGCAACAGAAAGGGGCGACGAGTACCTTGTGAGAAGGGGAACGATTCAGACGGAAGTGGAGGGGATCACTGGATGACACACGAACAGCATTGCTTGTTCGAGTGTCCCTGACGACGGCCCGACTCTGGATAACGGCGGTTGATCTGGCGGACCAGGTCGTAAAACACCTGACAGAACAATACGTTATTTTGAACAGAATCGAGCGAATTCTCACCTCGCTGACGTTGATTTTCGCCTTGGCTGACGTCTCGAGGAACGCCGAACCGAACTGTCTCGCCAGATTCTGTCCCTGATCCTTTCCCACGACGCGCTCGTCCTCCAAATCGCATTTGTTGCCTACCAATATCATCGGAACCTGAAATAATCAATATATTGTTTTTCAACACGCATTCGTCTTCAATTCCAACCTCGTCAGTGTCTTTGACACGCAGAATCTGATCACGCAAGTCCATCAAATCGTTGAAAGTCGATTGAGCAGTGATCGAGTAAACGAGCACGAATCCCTGTCCGTTCTTCATGTAAAGATCACGCATCGCTGTGAATTGCTCCTGAAAATGGAACTGAAACGGGTCCGAGAGACAAGTCGGCACAAGCACTTACCGTTCCGGCCGTGTCGAGGATCTCGAGCATGCACTGCTGACCGTCCACTTCCACCTGCTTCCGGTAGCTGTCCTCGATCGTCGGATCGTACTTCTCCACGAAAATTCCCTGCACGAACTGCACCGTCAACGCCGACTTTCCGACTCCTCCGGATCCGAGAACGACAATCTTGTACTCCCGCATCGCCCGTTTCTCCGACTTTACTCTGACTTTTCTCAGACACCTGCGGCAAGTTCGGTTGAAAGAGAGCGAACGAGGCGAACGAGACGGGGGCTGCTGCAAATATGACAATTCAATTTAGAACACGCACAGGGAGATGCACGGAATAACAAGCAGAGAGACAATTTGAATAGACCGACTCTATTTCTGACGCGTTTTGGTCGTAAAACGTGGTTGTGGAGAAGGACGCCATCACTTGCGAGTTTTCTCAGAGTGCACACGTGTGTGGCACCTGGCGGCGGACACGACCGGCACGAATTCACAGCTGGTACAGCTGAAGAAGTTCGAGCAAAAGACACTGTGAGAATGACGCCATTTACTCAGTTATCAGGACGAAAATTAAAAAAAGGACATTAAAATCGGGAACTGGTATTAAAAAAGTTGGGCCACGGCCGAGTACCTCGAGATACACCGTGCCGTGCCACACACCCCTTAATACCACTAGATACCAGAGTTGAGAAAGGAAGAAGAAGGATGGAATTGAGTTGGAATCGATACTTCTTCGACGATCGGAAGTGTTCTGTTTGCACACATCTATTTTATAGCCGAGTTTGTGTTCTATTGCGAAACGCTCAAAATCATTCGAAAGTGGAACTACACGGCGATCGTTTTTTTCTAATTTTTTTCTAATCAATTTGAAAAGCATGACTAGCATGTGCAGAGCGTACTCTCTTCTTCGGCCAACCAAAACAGAACTCAACAAAAACAATGCGACTCTCTCGGCTGTCTTCTCCTTTTCTCTTTTTTCGACTCTGACTCACACGTTCTTTTCTCCCTTCACTGTTTGCAAAAGAGCCATCTCAAATGGGATTCGAGATCGTAAAGACGCGAAAAATCGCATATTTTGAAAGGAATGAATAAGAGAAACGAATCTGGAAAATGTTGCTTTTTCTTCGGCGCCCACACACAATCATTGTTTAATTCATCAATTGGATTAAACGTTTTTCTCGATCACACGAGAGCGCATGTGAAGAGGAAATGCGGTCGATTTCCTGACTAATCCGATTTCAAAAATTCGAGAGCGCTCCAAGGCTGACCCATTGTTTTTGTGATCAATGTCATGAGGAAAGTGATGATGACGTGGCATTTAATTGTGGAAAGAAATAGTTTTTGGTCGGAAAAAGAAGAGAAGCCACGCGCATGAAAGAAAAGGGAACTGAGCGGGCTCGGATTAATCTGGAATCGACTCTTCGAATGGAGAGACAAGAGAACGGTGAAGAATGAACCAGGTGGCGAGGAAGAAGGGATTGGATTAGCGCATACCGAGTTATCGGACGAAAAAAAGCTGGGAGCAGAGGGGTCTGGAATGTCGGAGAGCAGAAACGAATGATCAAGAGCACTGTTGTTATTGATGTCTTGGACGATCGAGAAAAAAAGAAGAAGTAATTGTTCTAGAGGAATGGCCTAGATATTTCTATGTGAAACAATTAAGCCGAGGCAATCACTAAAGGAAACGCTAAACGCACTTGAAGTATTCAGAGGGATCATATTTCGCGTAGTTCATGAACCCGGTCATCAAATATAAACATCTTTGTTGAATTCGTAAACGCCAGGGTGGTGGTGGGGAGACTTGATGATGAAAAGAGGAGCGAAAAGAAGAAAAGAAAGAAGGGGAGAGTGATTAGGATAATCATATCATCCACACTTTCTTTTTCGTTTCTCTCATCAAGAGATAAAGAGATAGAGAAAGAGATGATAATACGTGGGAAAAATGGAGGAGACGGAGAGGACCGAGGGAGATGAAGAAGCGGTGGTGGAACGAAGAGAACGAGAAGAGAAGCGAGACGAACCGGGAGGCAGTGACGGCCTCCCAAGTGCGTGTCATCAGAAGGCGAGAGAGCGTTTCGGAATAAGCGGACGCCGAGAAAGAGATGAGGAATCGGCACTTCGGATTATCACCTCAAAACTCTCCCTCTGACCTTCCGAAACCTTGTCACCTAACTCCTCTGTCTTCTTCACCCGATTTTTTTCAAAAAACTTGACACTGGGCTACGTAAAACGCTGTCGTTGATTCGAGAAATGCACTTTTTCTTTAAAAGCGCTATCCCACACAAGAATGATGAACCACGGAGTACGTTGAAGCAAAAGACATACACTTATTGCTGACGGTCTGGAAATCGCGCTCTAACACTAGTGGTCACGGCCGGGATTTCAGTTGGGATTGCGGTAGATCACCATTTCCAGTAAATATTTAGCAGCGCTATTACTTAACTGACTTAAATTTTACTAAATCAAAAGAGGATCCGTGAAGTTGGCAGTTGGGACGGTTCTAGGAAGGCGACATGCTTCGAGATCAGAAATTACCGGATGGTGACGGAGCAAAGCAACCTAATGAAAATGAGCGGGCGCAAATCTGGCTAATCCTCTCCGGACACCTCCCACTTCATCTTTTTCTTGTCTTCTGTGTCCCCAAGAGCCCCCGCCTTTCTTTCTTTCGTAAACATTCTTCTAGTCGCCGATAATCCTATAATTTGGCTTCGAACAACAACTTTTCATCCAATTTGTTGTCTCATTAAAGGATCATGGGATGATGGAATGAGGGGATGAAGAATGAGGAAATGAGGAGGATTCTGACTCATCTCACAGAGAGATTTTCCTTGTTTTTTCACTTGTTATTCACAAAAAATGGATGGGAAAAGTGCTACATGTCGAATTTTTCAAGTTCGGGACTACAATTGAAATAATAGTACGCGACTCGTCAAAATTGTGAGATTCATTAGCGGCAAATTCAAATTTGAATTTCCAATTTTAAATCAAAGTCGAAAAACAATCCTAGGAGGAGGAAATTGAAATCGAAAAGGTGGGAGACTACTCGCCGATGCGTGGTAATGTTGGTTTTCGAGACCAGTATCAAATACGATTCGCCGGTCGGGCCAGTCATAGAGCGGAGGGAGTACCCAAACAGAGAGGGTGTCAGAGAAGCCGTACAGAAAGACAGTTCAGCGGCGAGAGAATATGCGAGAGGGAGAGGCGCAGAGGGAGCCAGACGACACGCACGTTCGAATTCGGACAATGATCGATCGATTTTTGGAAATAAACGAACGAACGAACGGACGAGCGAAGCTTCGGGAGAGGCGTGAGCGGTACGGAGGAGGACGCCTTCTGTCTTTCCATCTCTGCGTCTTCTCTTCTCTCTCCTCCAGAAGACGGGTTAATTTACTCCCATTCAAAGTGCATTTTATGAGTGGAACGGACGGAAAAGTCGGAGAAAAAGAAGGAGAAGACGTAATTATTTTGCGACGGACGGACGGAGGAAATGTAATTGTTCCTCCTCCTTCGCCTCGTTCGTTCCTTTTCCGGTCGTCAAAGGTTTCGTTATGGAATTCCTCTATTAGCATAAAAGAGGACGGGGTGTACTGAACAAAAACGTGCGGAGAGCATAATGAAATTGTCTCGACGAGCAAGGGGTTTATGAAAGGACTCTCATGAATAAGTGATATTTGGTTAGTGCATTTGGATAATTAGGTTTTTGTCAAACAAATTGTGTGGAATTGTCACGCAAAGTGTTGTTAATTCGTTAAGAAGCAAAAATTGAAAATTTAAACGACTGTGAAAATTGGAAAATGAGTCAGCCAACGATCGACCTAAAATATACGATTGGCGGGCTTTGCGGGTTATGGTGGAAATTTTGATTTTTTCGCGCCAACTTTCTTGGTAAATTGAAAAAGGTGAAATCCTATTTTTTCAGCAAGCTTTAGACGAAATTATCTCAGCTCTAAAGACCAGTAGTAATCAGAGAGTGTGACATTATGGAAATGACAGGTGCGATCGCAAACATTCGCAAGTTTCGTAGTCAGCTTTCCCGATGTGACCACCACAAATCCAGCTGCCCTTTTTGCTGAATTCCCTTTTATAGCAGTGCGCTCAGAAACATTTATTTCGGCCAAAAAAAGATAAAAGCGCCGGAGATTAGGCACCCGACATTCTAGTCGAAAACGCACGTGTCAGTTGGTATTTCTGTCTCCAAATCTGCCATTTTTCGTGTAAATCCATCCTTTTTTCTATTTTTGGATGGGAAACATCAAAAATGTCGGATAGCGTTTCATTCAGAATTTCCTTTTTGGATTATAGCCCAAAAATATTGAGCCGAAAATAAAAGTGCTCCTACGCGTACACGCACTCTTAGGATATGTTTCTTTGGATGTGTTGCGTGCACGACGACTCGAATCGGAAGACGTCAATTTGGATGAATAGGGCAAATTAATAGTAAAATGGAAAATCTAACGCAGGAGAAAAAAAATAGATGTCAGACAACTGCTGCTTTAGAGGAATTCGAATGGAGAAGCTGTTTGGAAAGAAAAGGAAGCGGCAAAAGGTGTGCGGAAACATGCGGAATACTTGGGTGAGCATGCGCGGCTCACTTGCTCCGAACACACGCATTATTGCTGCTCGGTGGCGGGCTCGGCGGCTCGACAAACAAAGGAGCGGCGGCCCGGCGACGACATTTTCAAAGATTAGGAAGGACGCCGGCCGAACACGCGCACACAATAACTACTGCGGCGGTCGTCCGAACAAAACGGATGAACGTGGGAACCGTCCACGTCATGGGAAATAAGGAACATAATGGCGGCGGCCTGTTCGTCAAAGTTATTAAACAAAGTGAGGGCTCTCTTTTCGAATGAATTCAGCTGATCACACAATGTTTGAAACATACTTACAACCGGCCGGGTCTGGTTGAATTGAACATTTGAATCCGGAAAAATGAGGAAATTTAAAAGGAAAATATCTAAGCTCACTTTTTAGCGTGTTTTCTTAATCCTATTTTAAGGGGCATTCATTAAACATTAAATGAAGACAACGAAGCGTATTTTGTTTCAAGTAAAAGGAAAATCGCAAAAAAAAAAACGGCCGGAACGAGCGGGGAATGGGCCGAAACACATTGAGAACATATGGCGGGCAGAAGGAGAAAAATGAGTGGACGGGCACGCGAACCGAGTGATCATTTCAAATTCATAGACGAACATAACAAATTGCAAACTCTGCCAATAACTGATTTTCATTGCATTCTCCCCAAAAAGTAAACGAAAAAAAAACAAGAATTACGAATTTGAATTTCAACAATAGGATAAGAGGGTCTAGTAGTGACGGCTGGATGGGCCCGGATTGTGTGGCGACGGCAGGTAGAGTTGTCTGATCATCTTCTGCCCGTTTTGAGTGACTTGCTCCTCTTCGAATGCCTCCACCTCTTCCACTTCTTCGGCTGCTTCGAGCAGTATGACCTCTCCCGTCCGTCCGTACTCGTCCACAACGTACGATTTTCCTGTCGTCATCAGTTGTTGTTCCATGTGCGTTTGAGCTTCGAACTACAAAAAGACTAATATGCCCGCTATCTGAAATTCATTATTACTCGTTCTATCTGCCGGGCCTTTTCGAGTCGAATCTCTCTGGCCAGCTGCGTTTCCGTCGGATGCTCGTGTCCCAGATGTCCGAAGCAGGCGACCACCTCGAACTGACCGTGGTTCCGTTCGCAACACTGAAACAATCAACCGATTAGTGCTTCAATCTTTCTCCGAATACCTTGATGAATGCGGGACATTGCTCGCATCTTTTCCCTTTCGGCTGGCCTCGTGAATTGGAGAAAAGGCACTTGTAGAGGAAGGTGCGGACTGCGAAACTGAAACGAAATTATGTTAATTCGCGTCGAAAACAGGCGACGAAGTGTGCTCACTTGACTTTTTGTGAAGTTCTGAGGAAGAATTCGGAGCAAGTTTCCTTTTCCATGTTGCGTTTCCACCTCTGGAAAGGATTAATGCCGTTGCACACAATATTTTCTAGTTGAAAATCAAATTACTGTAAAGCTGGCTTTGTCCGGGAAAGTGACTCTACGAATTCGGAAACAGTCGGCGACTGTAGACAGATCCCGATGATCGGTATCCACGTGTATTGCCAGGTCCAGGTAGGTCGGCACACTGAAATTTATCAACAATTTAGAAGAGAACCCCAACAGTTTTTACTTTTTCTCACACCCGTAGCTGGGGCAGACAATGTTATTCACAGACCCCCGTCCCTCCTCGTCGGCCTCGTCTTGCATCGAACATCCCGGGGACTTGCTCATATGGCTCAGCAGGCCCGATTTGGTGATGAACTGGAGTCCGCACGCTGCACACCCGTGCACTTTTGTCACTTTTCGACTTCTCTGCAATTCAAAAACAACATTTTCGTTTAACAAAGTTTCTCCTACGCTTGTCCGGTTTTTGAACGCTTCGATTTTCTTCTGCTGCTTCAGCATTTCGCACTGTTGTTTCGTGAATCCGTGATGATCGAAGAGATGATTGTAGAACCGCTTGTTCGTCAGATCTTCTCCGCAATAGTGGCACGTCGTACTGTAAGTGTGGAATTCAGAGATGAAAGAGGGAATAAAGCGCTCACTGATCTCGATTGACGGCATCCAAATGGACCTGCGAGTAGACGGAGTTGTCCATGACGTAGCAGGGAACGTCCGCCGGCTGTTCAATTTCGACCATCTCACCATGATCAACGTCGTAATCATCATCAACGTAGACAACTTCTTCCTGCTAAAAAAATTGATTTTAAAATTTCTAATGGGGTTATTCAGGCTGTGAAAAAAAAGATTGTTTTCCGTTTTTTTTTTGTTTTTTTACGTCAAAAAATCCAATTCAGCGATGTAAAAAAAACGAAAAAAAAACGGAAAACAAACATACGCTGAATAGCCTCATAATGGAAAAATGATGTGCTCACCACTTCGGAAGGCTCTATATTATCGTGGTTTGTACGGTGCGAATTTTCCGGTTTATCCTCGCCAACTTGCGGTTTATATTCGGTGTTTTCCATCTAAAAATAGGCTTGGGAATTCAAAAAAATCGAATGAGATTTGGCGTCGTAAATCGACAAATGCAACGATACTCCCAAATGACGGGAGCGCGCGTTGTTTAGCGGATTACGAACCCCTCTCTCCGTTTTTCTCGCTCTTCGATTCAAACATTTTCTGCCAATTTCTCTCCGCAAACACGTCGTTCTTGCTCTGTCTGGTGCAGAAATTGATTTTTCGAACATTTATAATCATCTCCAACTCGAAATAAAAACAGTAACTTCATGAAAATACTGTTTTTCAGAAACAATGGCGGATATAGATGAGTCCGTCTTGCTCGGCGACCCAACAGATCAACACGATGGGCCACTGGATGAAAATGCTCTGCTCGATGAGTTAGTTATTGATTTTTACATTTCAGTTTGTTTAATGTGAATATAAAGTTTCAGTAAGGAGTTCAAAGAGGAGGTGGATGATCTTTATGAAGATGCGATCGCTCCGACCAACTCGGTAAGAAATCCACAGAATTGTCTGAAAATGTTAATAGTGTGCTACAGGAAACTACGCCCATAAAAGTGGCAGCCCAAACAACTCCAACTGTAGCCGCACCGGCGGCTTCCGTGCCTGCAAGACCGGCTGCGCCAGCCGAAGGAAGAAAGTACTGCTGCTACATAGGCAACCTTCTCTGGTACACCACTGATGCTGACTTAATGGTTAATCCTCGATTCATGCGCTTCGATTAACGTTTTAATCTCAATTTCAGAAAGCTCTGGCTTCTACTGGCCTTTCGAGATCCTTGTTCGCTGATATGAAGTTTTTCGAAAACCGCACTAATGGACAAAGCAAAGGATATGCTCTGTTGGTGCTCAACTCGGATGCAGCAGTGAAACAAGTGATGGAAGCTCTTCCAACAAAAACCATTCACGGACAAAGCCCAACTGTTCTCTCGTACAACAAAGCGAATCAGGCGAAGCTTGAAGAAGCTCAGGCGAAAAACCAAACTCGTCCGGACGTCAAAAAGAAGGTAAACATCGTCAAACTTCTGTAAGGCACGCGCGCGACGAACTGCCCTCTCCGCGGCCTTATAACTATTCTCTGGCTGGCCCAGCGGGCTGCGTGACGTAGCGCAGGCGGTTAGTTTGTCGTCTGCCCCTCGGCGGGTCGCTAGTTCGATCGCCTCCACGCGCCTTTGAAACTCAGCGGTGTTTTGTGTTAATGATCATGAGCTGGTAGCAGGCGCAAAAGAATTCGGAGTCTTACCGGCGTTCACCTGTTCAAGGTGCGCGTTAAAAGTTCTTCCGAACAATCAAATTTTCAGCTATGTTTGTATTTATCGTTTGTTTTTGCAGCCTTACGGAACCGACGAAGGATGCCTAAACATGGGAACCATCAGAATAGGCACTGGAACTCAGTCCAACCGCTCCGGATCCACTGGCAGAGCTGGTCCTCCGCCTCTGATGATGCAACCGACGAACATGATGAGACCGACTCCACTGATGAGTCAGCAGACGGCTCCGCTCGTCTCGAATCAAGGACAACCTCCGCAGATGCGCCTTCAGATCAATGGACAATCCGTTCCAATGATGAATCGTGCTCCGATGACTGCGCCTCAACAAAGTCTGATGGGAAATGCGTTGGGCGGTCTGAATCAACAGATGCAGCAACCGCAGATGTTGATGGGGGCCCAGCAGGTCCGTCCGATGATGCAGTCCACGATGGGAATGCAACCGATCATGGGCATGAACCTGGCCGCCCCTCCGCCGATGAACAATCAATTCCAGACTAGGTAGGATCCGAGTAACTCATTAGAATGCGCTTAATCCCCGAGCAGTTCCAGACCTCCGCAACTCGGTCCCCTTGGTGTTCAGCCGCTTATGCAAATGAACACAGCGATGCGCCCGCCGACCAACGGAATGCCGCCGGTCCATGTCAATCCGCAGGTACACTTCTACTCTAAACAGTGCATTCTTTATAGTTCTATAGCTTCAGATGTTCCCCGGAATGCAGCCGCCGCCATTGACAGAAGCAGAGTTCGAAGATGTCATGAACCGCAATCGGACCGTCTCGTCGTCGGCCATATCGAGAGCCATCACGGACGCAGCCGTCGGAGACATCAAAGGAGCCACTGAGACCATTTTGACCGCGATTACACTTATCAAACAGAGCAGAATCGGACACGATGACAGATGCAGACAGTTGGTGTACAGTTTGGAGGTGAGCAGTTGGCCTTGGAAGGAAGAAACTGAATTGTTTTCATTTGCAGGACACTTTGAAAGGACTCGAATCGAAGGGCTATTCGTCACGCTCGAAGTCTCATCGCGACCGTTCTCGAAGCCGCGAAAGAGATCGCAAAAGAAGAAGACGTAGCCGTACTCGCTCCCGGTAACTCTCTTTTCCTTATTCCCGCTCCTAACCGTGTCAGTCACAGATCCTACTCCCGCTCGCCATCGCCGCGTCGCTCTCGTCGTTACTGAGTGCATTCCCATCTCTGAATTTCTCGATTCCCCTATTTTAAATCTTATTTTCTTAATAATCCAGTAAGTTTTCAGTCCATGTCTTTCTGGCAAACAGTCGTCATTCAGAATGATCACAGATGCACAAAGTCCGCCCTCTGATCCGCTGTTTACTCTACTTCTTCTTCTTCTTCTACTTCTTCTTCTTCTTCTTCTTCAATTCCAGTGCTGGATTACGGGACGAGGAGTAATCTTTCTCAAAAGTGAGTTCAAGAACCGATTATAAAAATTATATTTTCCCTTCAAGTTTTGTTGTATTCTCCATCATCCCACAAGTAACTTTATAATATTCTCACCAAATTATTTCGAATTTAAATTGTTCCGATGAAGTCGAAACTGATGTAAATGAGTAGGACACCTACCTCTTTATTGCCTTAATTTTAAACTGAATAATCAATTTGTAATGTGTCGGAGTGTTCCGACCAATCTAAATTTGTCTGACAACCCTTCACGCTTATCTCAGGACGTCTTTAACATTGGATGGGAAAGTGATTATATTATGTTACCCAGAATTTGTTTGAGTGTTTCTCTTCATAAAAAGTAACACATTTCGTATTGTGACTGCTCTGGATAGAATAATTTTTCAACCTATTTCATGTGTTTTCTTCTGATTTTTAGTCCAAAATGCGAGCTCCTTTTCTTCATATTCGCTATCTGACTGACTCCTCTTTTCTGTACTCACTCCCCTCCTTCAATTGTACTTTTTCGAACAGATCGCTTCGGTCGTCCGACGTCTTCCCGTCTGCTACCACATCCAGCGGACATGGAATTGAAGAAAACCCCGTCCAAGAACATTATACTCTCTGCTAAATTTTGCTTAATCTTGAACACTCTCTTTCTGAAAGCGTATGAATCCTTCTTTGTAATGTTCGAACGATCATTTTTCCCAAAGTAGAAGAAGCGTGCACTTTCATTGTGATTCCAGCGGTAAGCCAAACTTTTCCTTTTCCTTTCATGTATTCATTCGCCTCGTTTTCACCCCCTAATTTTACTGTGAATGCCAAACAAATTCCCGTTCTCATTCCCCATTTCATTAAGTTCGCAACAGAAAAGTAAGGTTCTCGAAATGCGTAATCGTTTCGTTTTCAGATTTCTACGGGATCTCACCAACAACTTCGTGTGCAACTTCATCACTAATCAATCGATCCGTAACATTGCGTTCTGAATAAATAATGAATTAAAAACAAGTTTCCCAAAACTGTTCATGTTCTGAAGTCGAATCAGTCGACTGGTATAGTATCTATTTACGCAATGACTTTTTCTAAAAATACTTTTTCAGAAAAATGGCGGAGGAGGGCTCGGTGGTCCGATGGTTAGTTTGCGGGGCGAGTGCCGGATTGGCAGTGGACATCGGACTGTACCCTCTGGATACAATCAAATCGCGAATGCAGTCGAAGCAGGGATTCCTCGCGGCCGGAGGATTCAGGGACATTTACAGGTGACCGTCAATCCGATCACCGTAGGAATGAGAGATCGTTGCAGAGGGATGAGCTCGGTGATGGTGGGCTCCGCGCCGGGAGCGGCCATCTTCTTCCTCGCCTACAAGTACATAAACGGACAGCTCAAACGGACTTTGCCCGGGAGAGACGCCCTCGTGGACGCCTTCGCCGCTTCCCTCGCGGAGATCGCCGCGTGCGCCGTCCGTGTTCCGACCGAACTGTGCAAGCAGAGAGGACAAGTGCGGGAGAACGCACGGCTTTCACTGATATGCAGGGAGATTATGGACACGAGGGGAATACGTGGATTCTATCAGGGATACGGTAGCACTGTCGCAAGGGAGATTCCCTTTTCGATCATTCAGTTTCCGATTTGGGAGGCGCTCAAGCGGATCGTCGCCGAAAAGAAAGAGTCCGGGCGGTGCAGTCCTTTGGAAGGGGCCGCCTGCGGGAGTGTCGCTGGATGCGTGGCCGCCGGACTGACGACTCCGTTGGATGTGGCAAAGACGCGGATCATGCTGACGAAGAACGGACCGGCTCCCGGAATCATCGGCACTCTCAGAGAGGTCGTTCCCTCGTCGCACTTGAAAGAAAACGTTTCCGTTTTGCAGGTGTACTCGACAGGAGGCGTGGGCGGATTGTATTCGGGCATCGTGCCACGTGTCATGTGGATCTCCGGTGGCGGATTCGTCTTCTTCGGCGCCTACGAAACGGCAATGCACTTCACGAAATTCCTCGATTAGTATTCGTTTTTAGCCTTTAATAGAATTTGAGTTATAGCGTTTTTAATTTGTTGTTATGATTGTTCCCCCATTTTTTGTGTTCATAGACGTTCTATGTTCTCCAGTTTCGACGGCATCACCTGTCGACTGATTCTCACGTTTCTTTACAATAATCTTTCGCATTCGTTTCCAATCGTCGTGTTAAAACACATAAAACACGATTAGTTTCCATTTCATTTCTGAGTATTTCATACTGACAAGCCGGCGATACAATTTCGAAAAGAACCGGCACAATAATACAGTAAGTCTTTACAAGTCTGTTCTGGAACTAATGAAGTAAATGTGTAGTTGTGATGGAAGGCAACAACAACTCTGGTCAAGCTGATCAGTCCGATGGAGTCGAAGAACCCGAGTGAGTTCTCATTCTGTCTCTGTTCTTTTAGCGCGTGGCTATCGTTTGTCACCGAACTGAGTCCTTCGTATGGTCACAACTTTGAAAAAATAACGGAAGAAACGCCAGACTTTGTGGCTATCGCTGCCCACGTAACAGAGACTGATAATACCAAAAGCCATAGGATCCTTCTCATTTTTTAACATTCATTACAGAAGATATCGAATTAAAATCTCAATGTGGCCGACTAGCATGAGGATCCTCTCATCCTGCCACTCATCAACCAGGGATCGCAAAGATTGATGCCATTCCGGGTACGGGAACCGAATGCGAAAGCACAAGGATTGCGACAACGAGCTGAAGGAGATGGAGACGAAGCTGCGTACATTGGAAGAGGAAACCGGAGGAAACGGAGTGACCGATAAACTGCTTCAGCTCCTCAAATTCACTGTGACATTTGGGGCCACGATGCTTCGGGAACGATTGGAGAAGATCGACGGAATGGAATCCCTTTGGAACGCGACCGAAAAAGACGGAAAACAGGCGGAATTGAACGTAACTTTCTTATCACTTTTATCAGCCTTAATCAGCGTTAATCAATCGAACTCAGAAACAACTGCGGACCATAAGTCGGCATGGGCATTTACGAGTCTCTTAAGTTTCTCGAACGCGTTGTGTACGTAGTTGAATATGCTCGGCAATCCGCTTTCCATTGGAACTCGACCCGTGCTTATAAAAAAAAAAAAAAAACTTCAAAATTGCCGCCGTCTGATCCAAACCGATCACCGCTTTTTTCAATCCATCATTTTCGTGATAAATCACACTGTTTCCCATCTGGATTGAGTCACTTTCCCGCTCGAATTCCTCTCTTTCTCTTTCTTTCCGTCGCTCCGACATTTCTGCTGTGCTACTGATGAAATCGGCTTGTCTTTTTGATTTCAGATTGATTTTCGGTTTCGAGCGGGCGAGAACGGACGAGACCAGTCTCTTGTCACTTTCACAGATGTTCTCTTTTTTTCCAGATTATAGGACCAGTTTGCGTCTGTTCGGAGGTTGACTTTTTCACTCTCTCACCTCCAAAAACGAACTCTTTTCTGCCACCTCTAATGCATTTCTTCATTTATCAATTCATCAGGGCGAAAACAAACGAGTGCGTCCGGATGATTCATTCCGGACACTCTGTGCTTCCCGACCGAATTGTACACACATTTACATGTTTTACGCATTCTTTTGCCGCCAAGAGCGAAACAGAAAGAGAGAGAGAGAGAGAGAGAACGAAGAGTCTATTCAAATAATACCCGTCCGTTTCGGTTTTCCCATTCGCTTTTCAGTTCGAAAGTGCCCTGTGGCTCGACGGCCGATTCACGTATTATTGCAGGCGGCAAAAGCCGATGGTTTGTGGCGGAAAAGCAGCGGAAAGACGAGATGATCACGGCTAAAAACCTCAAAACGTGAGTCAGATAGATTACGGTATATCGCTTCGACCTTATGAGTCAGCATCCCATAGGATCCCACTTCCAGCCCGTTCTTCTCCTCGACTCGCCAGTCATCCGACACCGTGCCCGCCTACAAATCCTTCCTCCATCACACCCGATTCCTCCTCCTTCTTCTCGTCGTTCTCCTCAATGCTGTCGTCTACAGCAACTCCATTCTCATCAATTTCGCCGTAATTTGCATGTCCGAGGAGAAGATCCAGCTGGCAGTGAGCAAGTCGGCCAATGATTGTGAGTTGTGTGCGCGGGGACTTGGGCAAGATAATTTAATGTTTCAGATGAGGTACTTCGGGAAAGGGTCTTCGCCAACATGCACGATTTCCGATCCTACTGGTTCACGTACACTTCTGTGGAGCGGAGCATCATCTTCTCGATGGCTCCTGCTGGATCGTTGGTTACAATTGTGCCCATTTGGTTGCTGATCACGGTAATTCGCTTGTGCATTCCTGTCTCAAGCACGAATAGTTTCAGAAGTATGGCTACCGTCGCGTGTGCTCCGGCTGCTCTCTCCTCTCCACTTTCATCGCCGCCTTCCTTCCGTGGACCATCTACCTGGGCCTTCCGTTCGTTCTCGTCGCCCAGCTTCTGCTCGGTGCCAGCGCTCCGGCTGCCCTTTTGCTTGTGCCAAGTGTGATTCGAAAGTGGTCGACCCGCAAGAATGACCACTTCTGTTTCCTCATTCTCTCCATATTTCAACAGGTTTTTTGCGCTTCCGTTTTCGGGATGAAAAGGGTCAAGGGGAAGGGCAAACAGAAGGGTTTCCGGTGGGAATTACTCATGACCGTTTCGGGAAGTTATGAGGGTACGAACAATTGTTGGATTCCTTCCAGATCTCTCCGTCGGTTATCTATCCGATCGCCGCGTACATCTGCAAAACGGGTCTCGGATGGCCAGTCATCTTCTACTTTCAGTCCATCATCAGTTTCATCGTCACCGCCGTGTTCTTTTACTTCTACAAGTGAGCTCGATTCTTTTGCCGAGAAATTCCAATGGTTTTCAGAGAAACGCCAGTCCGTCACGCAAATGTATCCGACAATGAACTTGAGAGAATTCAGAGGAACGAGGCCGTCCGGGGACAAATTGACTATAAGGTGAGTTCGTGAGTTTCCAGTTGCTCAGTTCATCCGATGGTTTTCAGAAGATGCTCCAATGCCGTCAATTCCAATCTGTGTCCCTCTCCATCTTTGTCTACTTTCTGATCGTTTCGTATTTTGTGCAATATCTTCCCACATTCCTCTTTGAAATTCTCGAGAAATCGTTGGAGACCACGGCGTGGACGGTCTCCGAAGCAATGGTAAGAGCAGTCCGAACTCAAATTGATCCGTCCTATTTCTCAGATGCTCCATCTTATTCTCAAGATTCTCATCTCTCGAATCTTCGAGAAAAATCCGTTGCTCACCAACATCTACACAATCAAATTTCTCCAATTCGCCAGTTTCACCGGTCCTGCCATCATCCTTATCACTCTCTTTTCCACAAAGTAAGCGTCTCTCTGGCCAACAACAGTTCACAAGTGCAACGCATTTTCAGCTTCCCATTCGACATTGCTCTGATCTTCTACTTTGCCATTTTTGCACTTCTCTCTCTCACCTGGCCATCCGTCTTCAAGAGCTCAAACATAATCAGCAAGTTAGTCGGTTCCATTAGATGATCTATAGGAATCCGTGGCTTTTTCAGCAAGTACTACCTTCCTGTAATGGTTCGAGTGCACATTGTCCTTTTCTATTCCGCCTCTCTCCTGTCCAACTGCCTTCCGATGATTTTTGCGAGAACAGAGAGCTGGGATCATTGGAGGTATTTAACTGACAATTTCAGAAGATTCCGAGAGCACGTTCACTTCCAGGCACATCTGGCTCGTCCTCTCCGTTCTTCTCCTCGTCTCCGTCGTCTTCTTCTGGCTGACTTTCCGATTCGACAAGTCCGATTGGGACGTCGTGATTCCGGTGGAGCCGCCGCAGCCTCCGCGTCCGGAAGACATTGCCCCGGTTTCGCATCCGAGACCCTGCACGTTCTCCACCTCTTTCGACGACGAGGTAACCGTTCTGAAAGGAACAGGCTATAAATTTGCCAGTTTCAGATCGTGGTCTCCATAGTTTCCCGTGGTCTCGACAGATGTGACACTTGCAAGAAGCACGGGATTGATTCGAAGATTCATCCGATTTCCGACGATGACGTCATTCCAACCAGGAAGATGTTCGATGACATTGTGCAGGAGAGGCAGAATCAGAGCCAGGAGCAGAGTCTCACCATTACCCGATTCTAAATATCTAAGCGCAGTTGCCAGAATTAAGTAATAAAGAAACGTTAAAGACGTTGCCCGTCGAAGCAGACAAAGAGCGTGTCAACATTAACAAGTACATTGTTCTTTTTGCTGCGAAAGTAATCAAAAGTGATGATATGTGCGCAAACAGGCATCCCCCGATAATGAAGGGAAACCACTTGACACGGCCCCGCGAGAAGTGCTTCTTCCATCCCTTCCGGAGCTTCTTCTTCTTCTTCTTCTTCTTCTTATTCTTCTTTCCAAACGGTCCAGTTTCATTCGAATTCGTCCCATTAGTCGCCACTTCATCCGTCCATTCATTGTCATTCTAATGAGCCGTCCGCTTTATTTCTCACTTCTTTTGGACTTGACCGTTAACTGTACAATATTTGTGGCGACTGCATTTTCGATTTCCGACGAATATTGTCGTCGAGTTGAAAAGTGAGTCAGCGGAAAACAAAGCAAAAACTTTCAAGCGCTCTTCTTTTCTTGCCCAACTATACTTACGCTTCTTGGTGATGTTCGTCGCAAATCCGATTCGGTCGGCATTTCGTCGTGTTTGTTTATGCTCGAATGAGGCGTCAAAACAAAGGATTTCGGTAGGTGTGAATTCGAATTTGCATCTGTGCGCAAACAATATTGACACCTCTCACTTGAATCTCCGAAGCTTCGGTCGGTACGACACAGTTTGAAGGATCTTAGACTGTCGTAATGCATTTCCCATACCCATCAACTTGTGGCTTGGGTCGTTCCTATTGAGATATGAATAATTCATTTCAAACACACGATGTATCATTCTCTCGTGTTCTCTCCATTTCGACCGCAATGCGAGCCGCCCTCCCCTTCCCCTTTATTCCGATGGTAATTCGATGCGATTGCCGGTTTCCTGTTTCGGAAATTGAACATACTCGGTGAGAAGAGGAAGAAGAAGAAGAAGAAGACGGCGGGAGGAAATGTTTCCTGGTCTCTTGCCGGCTCTCTTTTCGTGTTATTTTTGTGGTGAAGATCAAATGAGCAGTTTTTCTGAGAGAAGAAGCTTCCGATGGCACTTTCCCATCGTCCCCATCATCGAAAGCTTGTCCAGTTCGGTCCGTCCGGCTGTCATTTCGAATCCATCCGTCGCTTGTGTGTCTTCTGCGCCGCGCAAAGGTCGAGAGACACGCTTATCCGTCTTCGCGCGGCCGTTCCGATTATCCAAATGTTATCTTTTCCCTTTTATTCCTCCCCATTCATTCACACCTCATCAAGACATTATTATTATTATTATCATCCTTTCATCCTTTTGATCTTCCAGAACTAGAAGTTAATGTTCACTGGCGCTTGCATAAGTAACTAGAAAAACGAGTAATCGTTCTTGGAATGTATGCATTTTTTATGTGTCTGTCTGACTACATTGTTCAAATACGGAACAGCGCGATTTCAAAGTTGTGACCGTGGCCTAGGAAAATCTTCACTGCTATCTATTCTATTTCCTAGCACTATCTTGAATGTTCGGCAACGTCAGAACGGAAACTCTGATCCACAAATCGCTTCCTGTCGAATGCTTCTCGTACATTCCGTTTTGTGACCGCACACGCCAGAATAAACGAACACAAAGGGGCGATGATGTCCCCGGGGAGACTGTCTCAGCCACAAGACGAAGACGTCAGCTGTTTTCGGCGTCTTCTTCTCGTTTCATTCGTCGATCATCCCGGATTTGTCAGTCTAGACTCTAGAGATGCTCTACCGTAATCCTGTGCCGTTTGGAGCCTCGCTAAACTTTTGAAAAGAGGCGGCGGAAAAAGTCACCGGCAACTCAACAAAGACCATCTCATTTTCACTCCCACAGATATTTGTCGATTCGTTTTCCAATTGAGTATCTTTTTGCAAACAGTCGAGTGAGTAACTGTACACACATCCTCGTTTCCCACCCATTTCACTCTCTTTTCGGTCCGGAAATATGTACGTCAATTTGTCGGACGTCGGAGGCGCAGGCGGGAGAGTGATTATCCGCGCGGGCGACATCTCCTTTCTCTCCTCCGCCTTCTCGTCTCCGTCTCTCGCTTTCAGATGCTCTCTCGTCGCTCTTCGGCTCTTTTTCGAGCCGACAAGCAACACATCTTTTCTCCGTTTTTTTCCTTCGCTTCTCACAGACACATTCATCTGAATATCTGCTAGTTTTTTTGAGGCAAAGTGACACTCCAGTCACTCCAGTCACTTTCTTTTTAATGCAATTCTGACTTCTTCTTCTTCTTCTCCTTCTTCTTCTTCTTTTCCTCCATCTTGTCCACTTTGAATCCCAATGAATATTCAAATTGAAGTCGGGCGTTCGTTTGAACAGTTGGAATTATCACATTTGTGTGATGGAAGCAAGGTCGGAACGAGTGACAGACGCGTATGTTTTCAAAAAGTAATCAAGGAGAGACGGGCAGGATTACGGTAGTCGCTTTTCGAATGATCCATTTCTTTCGAAACTTAAACGAAACTTGTCGCCACAAATCATCGAACATCTCTGCAATTAATCAAGGCTCCCCTCGTTTTCCTTCTCTGCGCCCTCTCGTTCCGCCGCACTCTCTCGCCGGCTCTCGGCCCGGCTCCCCTTGTTTTCGGCACCTCTTTTTGCTCTTTACGAGCTGCTCGATTCGACACAACATTCAGTTTTCACCAGATGTTTATAAATTCTCGAAAAATGACCTGATCTTTTCGGTTTCCGCCCCGTGCTGCTGACCAGATGTCTTCGCCCCCCGTTTCTCCGCCCGATTCAATTCGATTTTACGGTAGAATTACAATGTGTAAAAACGAGAGAAATCGGGCAATTAGAGGAGAGGGTACACGGATAATTATCAGTACTTTTTGCGTCTCGACTGCTGGAAACTGGATTCGACCTACTTACAGGTTTCTTTGCTGACGAATTCTTTGGTACTTACATCTTCTTTTTCGAAATCATTCCCTCACATCACTTTTCGAAAGAACATCTTCTCAATCTGCCATCCATATCAAATGGAAATGTGATTAAGCCGCCCTTTCTCTTCCATCAGCCACTCCCTCTCATCGGAACTCGGTTCCTTCCTAATTCGATTCCTCCCTTTCTCTCTCTCTCTCTCACTCGTTTCCCTTTTCTGTGCCTCATCCGTCAGAATATGTACTTTTCGGCGAGTAAGTCAGGCTCGCGGCGTGTACGCTTTCTCTGTTTTTGTGTCAGTTGATTGGGATATGACAGGAAGTTGGAATGGTGAGACAGAGAGATTTTTGGGCCGAAGAAGTCTCCGGCTCAGAGAACTGGCTTTGTAGGACCTAAAGAATCTGTTTAACAATAAATTCGCTTCGAAAACGTCCTTGTATTACCGAGAAGAACAGTAGTTGCTTTCACTAATTGCACTCTTTCACCGTACCGTTCATTCAAGACCATATATCACAGCTGCTGAAAAAGCTATCAAAAAATGTCAACTATCAATTTATTAATTAAGAAATTGTGGAAATTTTTATCAGTTGACCACTGTCGGATATCTCCACAGGCTGAACATGTTGCAATGGAGGTTCGTGCCGCCGTTCGCTTGCACGTTTACGGCATGTTCCGTACGTCGTTCTTCTCACAACTTAATTTCCAATGTATAAAGTATACAACTCCGATCGCAAGATCACAAGACAAGACCCTCTCTTCTATTTCCCGTCTGTTAAGGTCAAAAACGGGTCGTAAACCGTCGATCAGATAGATTGTCATTTCTTTGGTGCGAAAATGATGGATTACAGTACTGTGCCGTTTGCCTCATTCGCTCCACCGCCCGATTCCTTTTCTTTTCCGAAGCCTTCCTGGCCAATAAGTAACTCAATTTGTGCCAGAATGTGCCTCGTTTTGGGCGGTGCATGCCTCCCACTTGTTACACTCTTTTCCCCCTTTTACCCCCGTTTTCTTCTCTCATTTCATTTCAGTTTTACGAGTGTTTTCCTGTTTTTGATTGCTAATTTATGAGATAAGAATGAGGGAAAAACGATGGAAAGGAGGGAAGATGGTTGCAGAAAAAGTTGGGCGTTCTTTTGCGACTTTCTCACTGAGCACTCAAGCCACGTCATCATCCGGCGAGGAAGTCAGCATCAACACAATAATTCGCGTGTCTCTCTCTCGGTCGGGAATTGAAAATTTGAACCAATTAGTTAGTGTTTTGTGATGGAGGCTACTGGCCAAAGACCTTCTTTTTGAGGTTCACGAGGCAATCGCGCTCCACCGCACCACGTCGCAATTACAGTAACCCATTTCCTGTCATCTTTTCGCGTGTACACACCTTCCTCCTTCGGGATGTACACATAATTGGCGCTACTAGCATTTATTTTTGTTCTTGACCTCGAAACACCTCTTCTTCGTTTCCACTCGCTCTCTGAACATTTCCACCCAAATCGGGACACGGAACTCTGTTTGCCTTTGCCTACAGTCTCTGTTTTTTGGCGGTGCTCGCCGGCCGAGAGCATGTATCTTTCGGCTTTTTCCCCCTTCACTCATATCATGTTTCCTTCCCTTTTCCGGCTCGAAAATGAATGCGCCACGAGTGAAGAAATGCGAGGACAAATCATTTCTCCTTTTTCCCTTTTCTTGGAGGTCTTCGGATCTGATATTTCGCAATCCTGCTCGAGTTTTCTGGAGCTCCAGAGGCGCGAAAAGATTGAAAACGGTTTCAAAACGTCCACAAGACCAATGGTTGCCTATCCCTCTTTGATCCCAAGTCCACGAGAACATCCCAATCAGTTTCCGGTCCGGATGTTGCTCAGATCTAGTCTCAGATTCCCACATATCACTGTCCGATTTGTGATTGTTTGTTCCTTAGCCTCTGCACTCCAGTGCTGCTCCTTTCCTCGCTCCACTTTTCGTTTTTTCCCTATTGACTTTCTCACTCTCTCTCTCTCTCTCTCTCTCTCTCTCTCTGTCTCTCTCTCTCTCTCTCTCTCTCTCTCTCTGCGCACTTTCTCTCTTTTTCCTATTATAATTGCTTTTTTCAGCAAGTCAATGGCAGAAGAAGAATGGATTGAACAGG